AACAGATGTGCTCATTGCTTTCGCCAGACACTGGACCTAGTTTACGATAAGTAACACGCTTTCGATCGCCTGGTTTCACTTGGTCACAAAGCGAGCTGGGAAACTTCTGGAGACCCTTGAACTGCTTGATTTCTGCTGATACTTGCTCCGCAGCGAGCGGTGATATGCCAGAATAATATGAATTTTTCGTCTTCGGACAGTCATTACTCACGTTATACTTACTGAAACCAAGTAATTTAGGCATCACTTGTAAGCTCAGATTACGAGGATTGGTGCAAATTTAAAAAATTTCGAAAATCCGACTTTTCTGATTGGCCGAAAAATTGAAATATTTTTTTCAGTATCTCATTTTATTGGCAGCGACTAGTTTCGGAGTAGAACTCCTTCTTCAGGCTACAGATCAATAAACAGTTAACCCAGAAAAACGATGTTACCTTGAGAAGCGAAAAAGCGCGTCTGAGTAAAGAGCGAGATTACAATCGAGATATAAGCGCGTAACAGAAAATGACAAAAAGGGCGCCAAGATGCACAGTTCAATGCCCTTTTTTTACAAGAAGTTCACACTTTTACTTTGAACTTGACGGTTTAGAATTGGATCGGTAAGCAGAATTGAGAATGCTTCACCAGTTTTACGTTCGTGATAGTTCTCCAAATTAGTTTCGACTAAAGAAATGAGTTTAGATTCAAAGGCGAATTAACAGAGTAGAGTAGCTAACGAAGTGTTTTTACGTTTGAACTTTGATAAAGTGCTTGGATCACTTTTGAAAATGTTAAACTGCGTCATAAATTTCTCACACCCCATCGCATGCGATCTAACAGGCAAATTGACTGAGGGACTATCGAAATGCTCGTGGAATCGTTTTTCTAGTGGTCTTATAGTTTCTCCTTGATATCTTATTCCACAGAAACATTTGTATTCATAGATACAACAAGACATCTTTCGAAGTGGGATTTCTTTTTTAAATTTTGGATAAATAACAGATTCTAGTCTGACTGTTTTCCATGCCATAATGACACGAAAAGATGGACTTATTCTACTTATGATTTTCTGGATCTTTTTCCCTATCGAGTCGCATCTCATTCCAGTAAAAGTGGCTTAAAAGTAATGTGTTTGTATATCATCATCATCCTCCTGTGCATCTTGGCGCCCTCGTTTTTCTGGGTTAACTGTTTATTGATCTGTACCCTGAAGAAGGAGTTCTACTCCGATACTAGTCGCTGCCAATAAAATGAAATAACGACAAGGTCAACTAGAGAACTATTTTTTTCGGTATTAAGAATTAATTATTTTCAATTTTTTTCTTCTTGCGCCAATCTACAGAAAATAAGCTTTTCAAAGATATTTTAATCACGTGATTTTGTCAATTATCACGTGAGCTTTGATTGTCCGCAAGAAATTCATAAAAATGGTCTAAAAATCGCCCCGGGCAATGAAAAAAAAAGGTTTTTTTCAGGTGATTTTCAGGGTTCAGACAATGACTAAGACGGTCAACATAGTGGTTTACCCCCTAATTGAAATTTCTGTCAAATCGAAAATTTATATTTTTTCCGGCCATTCTTACTTCGAAAATGCCTGAATTTGCTCCTCACAAAGCCCCTGAAGGAGAAAATAAACTTGATCGGTTTATTACTCGGAGTCAACGCAGGCACTCGTTTCGACTTCATCGATTCTGCCGCCAAGTTTAGCACTACCGGAATTCTGCCGCTCAACTCTGGACCTAGACGAACTTGTTTCGACTGTTTGCTGACGTCGACCGCCGCACCACAGTCAACTTGGCCCAATTTCCTGGCGCCAAGGCAAAAAACAACTGTTGCCGTTGCTGATTCCGCCAACTGCCGCGCGCAATCACAACATATCCCGCCAACACTGCTACTTCTGCCTGAACCAACCGAATTTATGCTGATGGACTTCAGCTGGTAAAGTCTCGACCCAAAGACGCGTAAAACGCGCTGCTCACAGTTTTTCAAAAACTTGAGCGCTTCTTTGAGGTAAATCAAGTCTCGTGTACACTTTGTCCAGTGACAGCGCTGTTTGCAACACCTTCGACTTCAACAACGACGCCCACGGAAGTGCCCTATCTGCCACTGCCTCGCACTGGTCGACACAAACTCCCGAGACGTACTGCCCGACTTGTCATCTATTAGCCCGCCTCGCTGGGTCAACTTTAACTCGTCACGGCCGTTGTTGAACTCCTCTTCACATGCGTCAACGTCGCCCAAAACAGCTGGAAAACAGCTTGAAAAAGACTTGGAATCAACTTCAGTGCATTAAACAGGTAGAAAAGCCTCTTCTTTTGCCGCCGCTGATTTTCGCCAGCGCACGATTGCTCAAGAACCCGACTAGTAATTTCCACAAGTCTGCTGGGTTTCAAACTCGAAGAAATCCGTTGGAATTGCTGATCGCCCCCAGTCATCGATAGTGCCGACTTCGAATACGCTTGTCGACTTCAATCGGACCTTCTGGATTCGATCGTCCACTGCGTTCAGTCTGTGCAACTCATGCACAATCAAGTGTAAAGTCAGTGTTCACCTAACTGGAACACAACACCTAAACTGCCCTTTTCCGTGTTATCAAGAGGCAACAGTAAGTCTAAAAAGTAAAGCAGGACAACAAGAGAGTGGAAGCATTCTTGACCTTTCAAATAATCTTTTTAGGGTTCATCTGGTTTTCGACCGTTTTCAGATAACAACGACGGGGAAGATCTTTCGATCTCTGTCTTTAAGGCGAATCTCAATGTGGTGAGTTCCAATCGACGACCCAAAGTGGAAAACGAAGCGGCCTCTTTAAAACGAAAAATTATACGCGCCTTGGCGACACAATTTTATACCAAACGAAAGCCTTGGCTCTTGTTGCGAACCAAATTTTGATCTTTAAAGAATATGTAAATGATAGACTTACAAGTCTTTGCGTCGATTCGGAACTAAAATCGGAGCATCGCCATTTTCTTTCATTTTCATCAAGTTTCCAAAGGCATCGACCAAGTAATGCTCACCGTTGAGAAAAGTAGTACCGGTCGACTTTTTTTGGTTTGAAGGTTTTTTACCGGGAAACTTTTGAATGTTAACACAATTTAGCTTTGATGACATTCTTTTAGATTGATCAAAACCGTTCATAAGAATACAAAAAATCTGAGGCATTTGTCGTTTTTGATTGATTTCTTTCAAAGAAATCGGCCAATAAAATCGCAAATTTTGGTTCTTCATGTTCACTTTCTGTCAGCTCTGCGCTACCATTTGATTGGGTAGTTGAGTTGATCCAAGACACCGTTGACGGAGTTGAAGTTGTTATAGGAGTTGTTATGATTGTTGTTGTTGGAGTCGACCAAGTTGATAATGACTGCGGTGAAGACGACATTGTTGACCAAGTCGTCGAAGTTGACTCAGTTGATGTCAACTGGGTTGTAGATGATATGTTTAAGATAGGCACTGACAAGTTTAAACTATTTTCAGATTTTCGGAGATCAAAAACTGGAACAAGTTTTGAGGCGACTCCAACTTCTCGCACTCGTAATGAGGACACGGACAACCTTTGGAACAGTACTTCTGAAATGGGCAAACTTCTCCGGCGGAGTCGAAATTTCTAGTCAGCCCAAAGCAGATTGACTCGCAGGGCGTGATTGGGTTGGTCCTTGTTGATTTCAAAACCAGCGCGTTCGAGCAGAGATGGCGGCAGACTCTCTGGTCGTAAAAGCGTTTCTTCTGACAGCGGCGGAGATTCACTTCGTTTTCTTCCTGTGAAAAAACAAGGGGCGCCGCTTTGACAAGCTCTACCTTCGAAACCGGCTCGGGAAGGATAAACTCCTTGGTGTCACGGCATCGCTTCATTAGATGACCGCAAAAGTCCATTGTCGAAATTTTAACGCATTTCTTGTAGTTTCGGTGACAGCTCGACGTCAGAAAAGTCGTTACGCCGCGGGATTTTTCCAAAGAGGCGAAGTTTGCTTGCAAAAGTGGATATTTAAATTACTCGAGAGGTTACCTATGAGCATAACAGTGACCCAGAAAATGGTGCCAAGAGTCAGATAGCTGAACTGCTGCGGATCGGTGGCGTTCCCGTGTTTCGCCAAGCTCATTTTCGCAGTGACCTTTTTTTTCCATGTTTTTTCCTTCTTCTTGATATCGTTTTCTTGAGTGCGAATGCTTCGGGTTGTCAGAATTTCTTCCGGAAAAAGATAAACCTTCTTGCCTTTTTTTCTCAGGGTCCCGATGCAGTCACAGTCGAGGCACTATTTTCAAAATTTATTTTTAGCAAGATGATTAAGCTAACTGTAATGCCCATTAAACTTTGTAACTAAACAGTATCATCCCTGTCAGATGATCACCAATAAAGATAAAAATTACCTTGATTTTAGTTTTGAAAATCGCATTTTCAATGTCTTCATTTTCTTCTTTGATAACCATAACGAGTGATCTCTGAGAGAGAAAAAGCTGTTATGTGAAAAAGTTAAAACAAGCTCGTTTATGAGGACTTCGGACATTGGTTGTCTGACAGCTGGACAGTTTGCTCTCCGTTCGTGCTCTATTTTTAATGTCAGAGCTTTTTCTTTGCCTTGGAATAAGTTGAGTTTTTATTTTCAAAATTTCTATTTTTCGAAATGTACAGTTGCTAAGGTTTATATGCTGATTCTTCTTGTAAGCGGCTTGCTACCAGAAGTTCACTGTACAATTTATTCATTTGCTAGTTTTTCGAGTTTCTTCTTCTCAGAATTCGCTCCGGCTCGCCTTCGTCTGAAAAAATGATTTTTCTCTTTGCTGTTTTCACCAAAAGCTAAAACCTGCTTTGGGCAGAATTCCGCCAGAAATAGAATCATCAATCGCGCTCGAGAAATCGCCCGGATCAACAAAGCCATTGTATCAAGTGGAGAGACGATACTTTAATATTCTTCAAAGATCGTTCGTCTCAAACATCATCGTAATCATTAGAAAAGCAAAGGGCCAAGAATAAACGCTTTATTAACCGCTTTAAAACTCGATATTTTTTGGTTGTTTTATTTGCAAAATTAGTGAGGCACTTTGTATGTTTCTCTCCGATCAATCGATTTCTCATTGTTAATCTTCTTGGACGCAGCATTTCTTCGTAGCTTTTTGATTTTCTCCGAAACAAGACTGAGCCAGTCCAACTCGAGCTCATCTTCTTTGACGCTCTGATTCGTCTCGCAAATGATCGCCACAATCACATTCATCGTCAAGTACATCATCGAAAGATTCAAAGCAAAATAGATGAACTTCGCCAGTAAGCGCCAGTTCGGATCGGGAAGTTCGTCCACTTCAACTCGCATATCTTCAAAAATTATGTTTGTTGTCGAGAAATGGAATGTACCTGAAGGCTTGAGATAGCCCTGCCAAATGATGACAAAGAAGGTTTTCCACAAAGAGCGGAAAATGAAGGATGAGTAGCGAAAGATCAGGAAAACGACGGAGGAGAGCCCGAATTGAATCGGCAAAAGCGCCAACACGAATGGAGCCAGCGTCTTTTTCAGTTGTTTGAGGATGCTCTTGTACTCTGAAAATTGATAAAGAAGGGACAGGTTCTACTTCTTACGTCTGACGGCGTTGAGAGTTGAGAGAATGTGGATGAGCAGAAAGCTGTGTAGAAAAAGAGACATCGCGACGAGCGAAATAAAATGATGCTGAATCAAAAACACTTTTGAAAATGTCGGAGCCCCTTCTGGATCCAGGATGAAATTGTCGATTGCTTCGGAGAGATAATTTGATCGGAGAATGATGAAAGCCAAAATGACAACGTCGATTGTCGTCAGAATTGTTTTATAAAATGAAAGAAATGTTACTTCCTGCTTTCGCAAAATATTAAAGATCTCGATTGTTTCATAAAAAAGCAGAGCAATAAAAACAGTGAGGTTTAATGAGAAAGTGTAATCCGTCAATTCGACATTTTTGAGTTGCTGGATCGTCAAAGAAGGAATGATAGCACCTCCCTCCGCGAATTCGAAGACAGCTCGAAATTGAGCGAAAGCGTTGATGTTCATGTTCAAGAAGCTCTGTTCAAAGATGAGCAATTTTGTGTTTTGGTCAAACCAGGCGTTTTTGCGGAGATAATTTGTCATGTAATCGGCACTTTCTTTTGAGCTTCCGAGAATAGAGGTGAATGCGCAAGTCGAACGGGAGAGTCGAGAAGGAGTTTGGAGAAAGATGTCGGAAGAAATAGATGATCGTGTTTTTGAATAATAAGAGGAAAGAAGTGGGGACTTCTTGACCTTTTCTAATGTTCGTTCTGTAGCATTTGGTTGTTGATTCCAATAAGTAGTGAAAAAGCCGCATTGATCGCGATGCTGAATCAAAGAAGCAGGGCCAAGGCGGAAGTTAACATGGTCTTTTGCAAAGGCTTTGTCTTTCTCGCTTGCCTTTTCGCCGTTGATGAGATTGCCGGAGTGGATGAGCGGAACGATTTCGTCTTGAATCAAATGCCAAGTTGAAGAAATGTTGAGTTGAGTTTCGCTTGGGACGATCGAGACTTTGTCGCGGAAGTTTTTGTCGAGGTAGTACTTCTCAGTCGGGAGAATGACTGTTGAGAGACCATACAAGCTCAACGTCAGTAATAAATAAGAAATAAATCGACGCAAAGTGATGTAAAAGTCAGTCTTGTGTTTCGATCTGTAGACCAGATTTGTGATCGCTTCTCTATCCAAAACTGATTTTTTCAGCTTTTGGTACAGTCCATTTTCATATGATTCCGAATAATCCAAGAAAATGTATTCTAGCTCACTTTGGTCGGTTGTTTGTCTTAAACAGGCAGAGAGAAGAGGGATCAGAAAGAGCTCAAGAACGACAATAAAATAATTTCCTGTCATCCACAAGTCGAAGTATATTTCACTGATTGATGATGTTTGAATAAGCATGAGTCCGCCAAAAAACAGTATTGAAAACCCGGCGAAAGTATGAACAACAAAGCGTTGTATAAAACGCATTCTAGCAATCTTCAGTAGAATAGTGCGACTGTACATCTGCATCGGAAGCATCAGAAAAACAATTGTAAGCAGCGGTAACTGAAGAGTGGAAAGAGTTAGCGGTCCAAAGAGCAGGAACATCATAGGAATGTACGTAGAAATTGAATTGGCCAGGTAAAAGAAATATAGAAAGGAGAAAAATATCGATAGCAAGAAGAAGAATCCAGCGAAAACAACTCGCGAAGACCTCGAAATTTCACTTTGTCTTTTTGATATTGCAGGGCCAAGCCAGTGGTTATTGTCGATTACTTTCTCCAAAAGGCTTTCTCCTTCTTCGTACTTATCGTCCGTAATAACTCTTGAAGAGGAAACTTCTTCGGTCCCCAAAATAGAAATCTCTTCTTTCTCATCAAAAAGAACCGTAGATTCGTGCCAAGCCATGCAACTTATAAACCCCTTTGAATTCGATAAAGGAAATTGGTGAACTTTGAAGAAAGATATTTTCTTTGGCAAAAATGATGCTTCGAGTTCTTTATGGAAGTTTGTGGACAATTTCAAGCTTTTTATTTTCATAATCGGAAGCTGCATCAGAAAATGCAATATTTTTCCGTTTTCAAATATTCGGCTAGTTTCGGAGCCAAGATAAAACTCGAGAATTTGGTGTCTGTCGAGAAAGTCCAGATAATAGATTTCCAATTTGAGCATTTTGGGCGCCTTGTTGAAGGAAAATCGCGAGTCAATGGAAAGAATGTAAAAACCAGCCACCGTTTGGAAGCTTTTTCGTATGAGAAGCGCGGGAGGGTGGAGAAAATTACTCCTGCTATTCTGACGGTCCAAAAAGTGACTGCGAATAAAAATGCAAATCCAGAGAAGACCCAGGAGGACTGGGAACAGTTTCACACTAACTGTAATCATTTCGTTGACGAAGACAGTGTAATAGTCCGCGACAGTCGTGAAGCCACCAGCTCGGGATGTTATTTTGTTGCCGGAAGAGATGTCGCACGAGCACTTGATATTTTCAGCGGTTGAATCACTCATCACTTCGCAGAAGTCTCGATTCCATTTTTCTGATTTGTCGGTTACGCATGACGCCGAGACGGAGGTTATTCTTATTTTTGTTTCTTCCTCTTTTTCGAGAAAATTCGAACTGATTAGCATGAATATTGAGCATTTCTGTCGAGAAAAGCAGAACTCGATTTCTTTCTTCTCAAAATGTATTCCATAAGGATCACCTGAGCAGACGTTCACGGTGCATTTTGTTGCAGACAATTCGGAAGAATTTTTAAACGAAGGAAGAGTCACGTGATGCCGATAAAAGAGCAGCTTTGGGTCGGGCTTGTACCAGAAGTCGACGAAGACATCAAGGTAAATACTCTTATCGAAATCGAAAAATACGAAGAAGTCCTCGTTGTTCTCAAGGTCGAATCTCACTACCTCTCCTTGACCTGCTACCAAGCTCTTCTCAATCATTTTCGGTTTCTGTTTGAATTTCATCTGAGCGGAGCCCTCGAAATTGGAAGAATACAAAACTTGATTGGCAAGTCTCAAATCGTCGTCAGAGTAGATAAAGGGATTGAATTTGATTTCCGCTAGCAAGCCCTTTTTACTTGATCTTGATTCGCCGTATAAAATCGGGATTGAAATATTTTCGCCAAAGACAATAAATTCAGTCGAGGGAGAGTCCTCGGAAATCGCCTCAAGAAGTGTATTCAAACCAGTTCTTATCGAAACTATGCTCTCACTTTTCTCCAGCAACAAATCAACACTCGATGATCCGATTTTCTTCAGAAAAGAGTCATCTCCATTTTTAGGTGCAAGAAGATTTGACAGAAGGTTTCCAGTTCTCGCTGAAGCTTCGCCGATTGCTTCTGAAACAAGTTTTGTGTCGTTTTTAAATTTCAGCGCTAATTGCATTTTTTCGTTAATACTTTCAAGCTCGTTTTCCATCATTTTTTGAAGCTCATCATCCTCCATTTCAGTCATTTTATTTCCATCAAAGCTGACATCTTCGCATTTAAACAAGTCGACTTGTCGCATAGGAACGGGGCACGAGCAAGTGAAGCTTCCAATAGTATTGATACAGATTTCTTCGCACAAGTGCTCCCCACTTTTGCATTCATTGATATCATAACAGGTAAAATTCAAGCACTGTTGCTGACCAAGACAATTCCCGCCTTCAAATCCAGCTTGACAATTACACTCGAAGCTCCTTTCAATATTTTTGCAAGTCGAATATTCTGGGCAATCATTTTCCTCTTCACACTCATCAACATCATAACAGCCGCCAGCCACCATTTTCGTCCCATCAACACAGTCACACGAGTAGCTTCCGATGCTGTTACTGCAGATCATATTTTGGTCACATGGTTCAAGCGAGCACTCATCTTCATCAACACACTCTAAATTTTGGCAATTCGAAAATCCAGAACAAGTTTCTTCAAGAAAACCGGGATTGCAGACACACTCGAAGCTCCCGTTCAAATTCTTGCAGGTTGAAAACTCTGGACAATTATCAATTTCTCTCTCACATTCGTTTATGTCTTCACATGTTCCATTTTTCCGTAAAAATCCATTCATGCAGTTGCATAAATAGCTTCCGATCGTGTTCTCGCAAATCTCGTTCGCAGATTGACATGAATTTTGATCCAGACACTCGTCAGTATCGAAGCAGTGGTAGTTGTCACAGTCATTTTCGATGACGTTCAAACTCTGATATCCGGAAGGACAAGAACAGACGATGCCTGAGTCTGAATTTGAACAGCCTTTTGGTGTGCAGCTTGCGATATTTTCGCAAAGTTCGACGCAAGAATCAACTGTTTCGAGATAGAAATTTCTGATACCCGCGAGCTCTCCCGAGGTCGTTCTGTCGTAAAATAGATGAGCATAAATTGTTCTGTCATACAGGGCGTCTGCTGTGTATGATATATCCTCGTGGTAGATAATATCATTATGTTTGAAAGTTCGCAGCAATTTTCCAGGCTGAATTTCGCGCTGATGAATTGAAAAGTAATGCCATGCTCCCGCTTGGCCTTTAATTGATTCTTGCAGTCCGAAGTATGCGGGATTGAAACTTTGGTCGACAATGCTAAGGGTGGATAGCTACTTAATTAGTAATTAATAATTACGAATTATTTTCAAAATTATTCACTTTATCCTCTTCCCTTATGGAGAAATCTTCATAATTGTCGTGAAGATCAATTGAGAAAAAACGCTTTCCTTTATCATACTTCGATTTCTCGATCCACGCAGTATTTGCCATTTGAAAAATATTTCTCTCTTCGAACCTTTGAAAAAAGAAATTTCGAACAGCGTTATTCGGTGATGCCGCATCGTAATTATTCGAAACCATAACATAGAGATCACCAATCGCATACGCTTGACTAACATCATAAGTTCCATTCGCGATTTCAGCGGCGTCGACTCTCAAAACGTAGCGCAGCGTCGTTGGAGAGTCCGGAACTTGTCTTAGAATTACAGAGTATGTGTTCCACTCTCCGTGGACGCATGGTCTGTAGAGAATTATCCTTCCATCACTTTTTGTTGGGTCATTGACTGTGATAAGCAATTCATGCGACCATGGAATAGAATAGACCGCAAATTGCCTGAAGCCAGGGGAGTTATTGCTTTGAGAGTGTTCCTTGTTGACTTCAATTATGCTATGCCACGACGAGTGCCAATCGTGATCGCAAAGAATATCCACCGAAAAATGATAATTCAACGCCGCCTTGACTGTTCGAACGACGTTGTTTTGTTGTGGAATGACAGAACAACTATTTACGAATGTCGTGCACAATTTTCGCCCAGCGCAAGGATCTTCGCAGAAAGGTAGATCTTCGAAAGTTTGGTAAATGAAATTTCGCACAAAAGAAGCGTAAGCCGTATCGAAATAATTGTCAGAGACGAAGACTTTCAAATTACCACTAGTGATGGCTTCAGTAGCAGAATATGTACCGACGCCAACCTGAGCGCCATCAAAACTGATGACGTATTGAAGTGTCGTTGGCGAGTTCAGAATCTGCCTTACTTCGACAGAATAGATGTTCCATTCTCCATTGCTGCACGGCAAATCGCTTATCTCTCGGTGCTTGTATTGCGCATTATTCGGATCCGTTACAAAAATGCTTATTTTATGGTCAAATTTGTTTCGCTCGATCATGAAAATTCGATCCCCGACAGAGCCGTAATTTCCGCCAACAGTCACATGAAGAAAATTTTTATAGTCATCAAGAGGCATGCTGTGGTCGCAATAAACTTCAACAGAGAACTTGTAATTCAAAGCAGCATCAACAGTTGTGAGAAGATTATTTCGAGAAGGCACGACTGCTGTGGATCCAACCAAAACAAAGCAGTTCTCAAGTCCAGTGCAAAGGTTTTCGGCGGCACAATTTGGTGAGCTTATTTCTGGACCCAAAATTTTGTCGAAAATTTCTACTTCGTTGTCGATCTCCCGAACCTTGATTTGCAATTTTAACTACTTTCCATGCTTATCTTTTTTACCTGATAACTGTATTTAAAAACCTTGCAAGTAACGGCACCAACTACAGTCACTCTTAGCCATTCTGGATACCATCCGTCATCATCGTATTCTGCTATTTCAATTTGGTCAATGTTCGTGATACATGTGTCTGGAAGAGTGGAAACATCAAGAGTCCAAGTATCAATCTCTCCTTGAACAAAGTCATCTTCATTCGGATTGTCAAGTGTTGGCCAGAAGTCCCAGCATCCATCTTTACGGAATCTTGAGAAGGATTAATTTAGCTAAAAAAAACTTCTTACCCAAAATTAATGGAGCCATCAGTGCCTCCTCCGTACTGTATGTCTCTTGTTTTCGCACTGACAACAAAGACATGTTCTGCATTAATTGGTTCATCAAATGTTTGATAATAAAAATTCCTGACAAGATAGGTTTTCGCCGCGTCGTGCCAATCGTCGGAGACGAAGACCTTCAAGTCTCCAGACGTATAAGCAATGCTGGAATCATAAGTCCCCATCGCAATTTGAGTATCGTCCATTTTGACGACGAATCTCAGTGTTGTCGAGGAGCTCTTGACTTGTCTTACTTCAACACTGTATGTGTTCCACTCGCCTTGATTGCAGTCCTCATACGTCGTCTTTTGGAAAGCTCCTCCTGTATCATTTGGATCTGCAACTATGACTGCTATCTGATCGACGGAGTTTCTTTTGATAAAAAACACTCTATCCCCAACAGAGCCCTGGTTTTCTCCAGCAGTGACATGTAAAATCGCTAACCAGTCGCCCACACCTTGCATGCTATGATCGCAATAAACATCAGCGGAGAATTTGTAGTTCAGAGCGGCGGAAATGGTAGTCAGTTGAGTGTTCTTAACCGGAGCAACAGAAGATGCCCCAATAATTGTCGTACAGCTCTGGAGCCCGTCGCATGGAGTGATTTCGGGAAAAGTTTGGTAGATGAAATTTCGGACAAAAAAAGAGGTTGCAGAGATGTGCCAATTGTCGGAAACAAAGACTTGCAGATCACCAGAAGTAACTGCCTCTCGTGAGTCATAAGAGCCTTCGCTAAGCTGAGTGCCATCAACACTGACGATATACCGGATCGTCGTTGGAGAGCTTTCAAGTTGCCGAACTTCGACAGCGTAGGTGTTCCATTCTCCATCATAGCAATCAAAAACTTCGTTTCTTACAGAGTTATAATAATTTGGATCACCGACGCCGATCTCAATCGAGTGCTTCTGGTGATGTCTTGATAGCTTGAGGGAGTTGACATAGCAAACCTGAAAATATATAAAAATCGATTACTAATCGACGATTAGGGACAATAAAGGTCCTTGATGGCAACTCCCTTAAAAGTTCGATCTCCCATACTGCCAGTATCCGCACCAATAGTAACATGAATAATATTCTTCCAATTGTCAAGTGCCATTCCATGGTCACAATAAACTTCTGCTGAAAATTTGTAATTCAGCGCGGCAGACACATTTGCGAGGAAGGTCCCTTGAGCAGGCGCCATCTCATGGGGTCCAATTAAAGTCTTACAACTTAGCATTCCAGCGCAGGGGTCAAACGCGTTCGTTTTAATTTCGAAATGAATTTGGTAATTCATTGGGACTGTCAGCGAAGTAAGAAGGTGACCAGGGCCTGGATCACTTTCAGCAGCGTTGATCCCACAAGAATCCAAGAAACTCTCGCATTCAGACTTCTCTTGACATGGGTCGATGCAGTAAGCAAAAACTCCCGGAAAAAGAAAGAAAGCAAAAATGACGAAGTCGATCATCTTGTGAGATAATTTAACAACAATTGTGAGGGTCGCTGAAGAACTCAAAGAAATTTTTTATTAATTATTGACAGTTTCTCTTTGTCACGGTGTTCTTGGTGGGAGGAAGTCTTCTTTTATAATTCTCAATTGAACTAGCGGCGTTAATTCTTTTTAATTATCATCTGTTGCGAATGACAACTCTTATTCAGTTATTCTCACAAGGATCATCATCGTCCCACAATGTTAAAAAGCAAGTGGTGAATTTTTAATTTATGCCAAGTTCAAATGCTCACTCAGTAAGCAATAAAATGAAATGAAAGTGTCATTTATTTAAGAAATTAAAAGGATAAATAAAAGGTAAGTGCTTTTGTTTATAGAGTTTGTTAGTAGAGATTATATAAGTCGATTATGATTGATAAAATAAGAGATCAATAGCAGTCAGTTTTTTCTTGAGAAAAAGGTGGTCAAAGACATTTAAATTTGACAGTCAAATGCGGGTTTTTTCCCTCGCAGTCCGTGAAATTCCCGACATGAGAGTCAATATCGAATGAGCAGTTTTCTTCGCCCTGACATGATTCCAACTTGTCTGTCAAATCGAGACTCGAATTGCAGAATCTTCCACCGTCGCATGGTCTTCCAAGCGCGCGACCGAAACTCGCAGATTGGATTGAAATTCGATGTTGGAGCGGACAGCTTATTTCTTGAACTTGGTCGGAGCAGATGTCTTCGGAAAATTCGAGGTCTTTGTGGCGCCCGTAGATGTTGCTCACCCAAGTTCTCGGATGCGGCATTTCTTTCAACGGAGCAACTTCGGAAGAGTCGGGAGAAAGGGGATACTTGTTGGTGCATTGAACGGAAGAATCGTCGGTTTCCTGGCAGTACTTGTAAATCATGATCAGTTTGAAGCGGTCGATTCTTTTCAGCAAAACCATCGCTCTTCGAGGACAACTGGGGTAGATTTGCTCTTTTATCCAGCGCCCGTATTGGTAGTAGAGTGACTTCCAGCTGGTGATGAAGTTCGTTGTTGGGAGATTCCAGCGCTTGATCTCGACTCCGGTTTCCTTGATTCCTTCGATTTCCGGCGCTCTCATGCAGGATTGATCCCTTTGGTGGAGATTTTCCATCGTTCGAGTCAGCGCCGCTTTCGCTCGTTCGCCGAATTTGAGATATTTTCTTGAAAAATCGTCCGTGAAAAACGTCGAGAAGAAAAGATCTGTCCCAGTTGAAATGTCTTCACTGAGAGCAGCCGCGAAATCATCATTCCAATTGTCCGATCCTTCCGACAGAAGAAAGTCGGTGTTGTCAACATAGCTTCTCTCGTTGATCTCAGCAATAACGGCAGTTCCGAGGGTGAAAAGCGGGAAAAGAACTTTCATTTTTTTTTCTGAAAAACTGCGGAGACCTTATCGACCTCTGAGTAAAAAACATGAAAAAACGATTTATATACGAATGAAATTGGTAATTTTGAGTTGCTTATTGGTATAATTTTGCGCATTTAGCGGTCAAAATCGGGAAAAATGTGGAAATCGGATGATCTTGCTGGGAATGTGGTTACAAGTCTTGCCTTTTAACTTGATACTCTGCTTTTTTGATGCATGATTTTGGGCAGTTTGGTTTTTCTGATTGCTATCCTATTTATGATCGGTTAACTTTTTTGCGCCTTCAAGAATGACAACAAGATGAAATAATAATGATTGACAATATCTTTATTAAAAAAATGATTCTATTCAAAAAAATCCTTCTTTTTCTATGTTGTCGAAAAAAAAATTATTAGATGTCTTAAAAAGATTCATTTTATCATCATTTCAATCATGTGAGTCAGAGGTCCAGGTCCGTCAACCTCCGCGATTGCGCTTTCGTCTAAGAAATCTTGAAGACTTTCCTCCACCAATCAGATTATCCGCGATTTCATCACATCTTCGAGAGAATTCCACGCCGATTTAACATCCTGTTTTCATCGGGAATGAGTTTTAAAACGAGCAAAAATGGATAAAAATCTGACGAAGAAAATAGAGAAGCTCTTTCTTGGTCGAAAGAAAGTGACTTTGACGCTGAAAAAGGAGGGAAAATTCCATGATGAATCGATTGTCAAGGGTTTTAGCGTAGGCTCTGCGCGATAGTTCTTATTGGTCGATTTCTAAAACCCCTAAAAGTAATTTCCGACGAAGACCAAGCATCCCTGCCACAGCCGAAATCAAAGAAGAGAAAACCAAATTCGAATCGTCATGAAAAACCGTCGACTTCTACCGCGATACTGATTAGCTCTGGAGAGTCTGATGATGAATCTTCCAATAATTTCACGGCCGAAGAAGCGGAAAGAAATTATTTGCTTCAGGAACTGGCTCTAAGATTTTCTTCAATAAATTTTTTTTTTATGAAAAAATCATAAGCCATGAAAAAGCTTCAAAAACAGTTTGATGATGAAGAAAATGAAAAGGAAAATTTCGAGAGGTCCATTCGAGAAGACAAAGGACTGGATAAGATTGATTTTTCTGAAGAATTCGGATTTGATCGCTAGAATTGGCGATTGTTTTCCAAAAATAAGGGGACACCCGGGTTTGAACCGGGGACCTCTCGATCTGCAGTCGAATGCTCTACCACTGAGCTATATCCCCACGGATGTTGCCATGTCTATTATCGCATAAGAAGCCATCTCGAGGGTTGTTGACACAACAGATGTCCGGCTTCCACGAGATCACTTCAAATCGCGATTTTATAATGGCAATTGCCGTGGGGATATAGCTCAGTGGTAGAGCATTCGACTGCAGATCGAGAGGTCCCCGGTTCAAACCCGGGTGTCCCCTTATTTTTGGAAAATAATCGCCAATTCTAGCGATGTCAAATCTCAATCGCTTCCTGAAAGTAGTGAAAATAGAAGCCATTTTCAAATTAGTAAAAGAAAGTTTTTTTTGCTCGATATTTTATAAATATATCCGACAAAAAGACTTCGAACTGGCCCTCCAACTCGCTGGCGAACAAAACTCCAGCCAGGAAAAACTGTACAATTCTCTAAAATCGCTCGTTTCCGAAGACGAAAAACTCGCCCGCGAGCTTCAGGCCTCTTTCGTCCTCTCGCCCGAGGCACTTCCGCTCCAGTCGCCGCGGGGCAAACTCCTTCACAAGCCTCAGGCGTTCTTTTCGGAGAAGAACTTGGGGGCGAATGTGTATGTTTCGATGGCGCCGCATTTGAACAACCGACTCAATGATCCGCAGTGGGAAATTTTGGACCCGAATCCGAATATTCACGAGCTTTTTCAACACTTTAGGTACTTTTCTGTAAAGCCGCAGAGCGGCTTCATTCACAAAAAGCCAGATAAAGCGGCTTTTTGAGGTCTAAAAACAGCAGTAGAAAATCTCAAATAGAAAAAGCCGCAATGCGGCTTTTTTGAGGCAATTCTGATTGAAGAAAAAGCAGCTGCGCGGCTTTCTTTTCTCGATTATAAATTATAATATATAATAAAATTGTAGCGATCGTTTCTTCTGGGGCGCGCTAGGAATCGTCCAACTCGAGTGGAGCAAACGAATGTACACTTGCGCTGGAATCTGCTACTACCAACGCCGTGGAAACGCAGAAAGCTGCATCATCCGCCTTTCCGAGCCGCTTCTCAAGCTCCGTTCGCGCGGGGATCTGGTCAACACGCTCATCCACGAAATGATCCACGCGTTTTTGTTCGTCACTCACGATGATCGAGACCGCGACGGTCACGGACCACGGTTCCAAGCCCACAGCGCTAGAATCAACCAGGCGGCAAAGACGAACATCACCATTTACCACGACTGGCACGACGAGTCCAACTTTTACAAACAGCATGTTTGGCGGTGCAACGGGCCTTGCAGAGATAGGAGACCCTATTTCGGCTGGATTCGGAGAACTGGTACTTATTCAGCTTGAAAGTTACTGCATTTGATGGTCATCTTTTAAGCAAACAGAAAGCCGGGCAAAAACGATAGATGGTGGAGCCAGCATCAAGCGACTTGCAATGGAGAATTCATCAAAGTAGCCGGTATGTAATAGCAAGAAGAATTTGTTAATTTTACTTACAGTCAAAACGCACAATTCCGGAACGCACAATTCCGGAGATTAAGGGGTGGGCGAAAAAATTTTGAATCACACCATTCCGGAGATTTTCGAGAAAAAATCGAACTTCGGGCATTTTATAAGAGAAATACGTGGAATCTCAGCTTGTGTTTTTGGTTTTTTCATGTTTTTCTGTAAAGAGAATGTCCGTTTTATGAAATCTTTGCTTTTTCATGGCATTTTCAAAGGAGAAAACCTCGAAAACTCGGTTTCAGCCTCGAGGCTCGGCCATAGTGAGCATGACCCCATAAAATCAGATTTTTTGAGAGGAGAAAAATTTGTTATCGAAAATCCGCACAATTCCGGAGATTTTGCCATTTTCGCTGAAAAAAAAAGTTCCGGAATTGTGCGTTTTGACTGTATTAGAATGCACTCAATTAAATTTTAGAGCCGGAAAAGAAAAAGAAGAAAGAGGTGGAGAAAGAAAATCCTAAGAAACGGAAAGGGAGTGAGGAAGGGTTCAAGAAACAAAAGTTTGAAAGCTTCTCAGAGATTTCATTTTCTCGAATTCCGAATGAGTCATTGAATTCAACTTCAAATTCGAAAAAGACGCGCCCTGACGCCTCGCAGCCCTCAGTCGTCGATTTGATTGGCCGCGCGCCGCCCAGTCAGCGCGGAGAGTCCAGCTCCACGAGACCCCGTGAGAAGCAGCAAAAACCGAGTAAATCTACGATTTCGAGAGAAAAACGCAAAAAGCAGCCGAAATTGTCGGATTTTTGGAGCTCTGCCAGCGAAGAAAGTTCGTTTGACTGATAATTAGAGATGTTCTCGTTCGTTTATTCAGAAAACTGCCCGAAGAGACAGAAAATTATTTTGGAAAAGAAACGGAATTAAATTTATCAGGTTCAGACGAGTTTCGTGCTTCGGCTTAAATCATGCGTTACGTCGCTGCTTACCTTTTGGCTCAACTTGGCGGTAATGACTCTCCTTCTGCTGACAACATCAAGAGCATCCTCTCCAGGTAAAGATTTCTTCCTTTTTTCAAGAAATTTTGAATCAAAAATTTTCTTTTGGTATCTCCTACAAAGAAATAGTCCCTACGCGCTTTCTAAGAAAAGAAATTTCGAGTCAAAAGCTTGTAGTGAAGCCGCTACGCGGCTTTTTATTTCATTATTTCAATTACCCCTTCTCATTATCCCTCCATTAATTTCCGAATTCTAGCGTTGGCATCGACGCCGACGAAGAGAAGCTTTCTCTTGTGATCTCCCAGCTCTCCGGAAAGGACATCAACGAGGTGATCGCCGAGGGCAAAGAGAAGCTCGCGTCTGTTCCCACTGGTGGCGCCGTCGCTGCTGGTGGAGCCGCCGCTGGTGCTGAAGCTGCAGAGGAGACCAAGGAAGAGGCCAAGGCCGAGTCTTCTGAAGACTCAGGAGACGACGACATGGGATTCGGTCTCTTCGACTAAAAATGGAAATCGGCTCATACCGATCTCTTTCCTGATCAATTTTTAACAACTTTGTCACTTGAAAGAAACATCGGTCCTGCCACCCCGTGGTCAAGCGTTCAGAAAGCCCGTTTCTCATCCTTCTTTCTTTTCAGACCTTTGTTGAATCGACTCTAATCCAACATGGCCAAGAAAGGACGCGGACGTTCGAAGGGAGCCTTCGTCAAGGTCCAGAAGAACAAGGCCTACTTCAAGCGATACCAGCCAAAGTTCAAGAGACGACGAGAGGGAAAGACCGACTACTTCGCCCGAAAGCGACTCTGTGTCCAGGACAAGAACAAGTACAACACCCCTAAGTACCGACTTGTTGTCCGAATCACCAACAAGGTTAGCTTTTCTCTATATTTGGACCTCTGCGCGGCCATTCTTTGAATTTTAATTTTATGTTCATGACTCATGAATTCATTTTTCAACCCAATTTCCAGGACATCATCGCGCAGATCGCCTACGCCCGGCTCCAGGGAGACGTCATCGTCACCTCCGCCTATGCCCACGAACTCCCACGATACGGCATCACCGTTGGTTTGACCAACTACTCCGCTGCCTACGCCGTCGGTCTCTTGATCGGCCGACGAGTCCTCCAGAAGTTCGGTCTTGACTCCATGTACGAAGGCCAGATCGAGGTCGACGGAGACGAGTTCTACGAGGAGGCTGACGCCGGCGAGAAGGCTTCCTTCCGATGCTACTTGGACACTGGTTTGGCCCGAACCTCCACTGGTGCCCGAATCTTCGGTGTCCTCAAGGGTGCCGCTGATGCTGGTCTCGACATCCCCCACAGCCCCAAGGTAAGCAAACTCTCTTCCTTGATTTCACGCTCTAACCGTTTCTTCGTAGCGATTCCCCGGATTCGCCGACGGCAAGCTCAACGCCGAGGTCCACAAAGACCACATCTTCGGTGGCCACGTTGGTGACTACATGGAGAAGCTCGAGGAGGAGAACGAGGAAGCTTTCAAGCGACAGTTCTCTCGATTCATCAAGGTAATTTCCTGCCTATTATCTTCTTATTATTTTGATTTCCAGGCCGGCATCAACTCCGAGAACATCGAGGAGATGTACAGCAAGGCCCACGCTGCTATCCGAGCTGACCCCGCCCCCAAGGCTAAGGTCGAGAAGACCGTCGACAAGAAGCGATGGAACCGAGCCAAGATCAGGTAAAATACCTTCCTTCCTTCCTTCATCTCGCTAACTTTTCTTCTTTCAGCTACGCCCAGCGACGAGCCCGTGTTGCCCAAGTCAAGGCCTCCTTCCTCCGCGCCCAAGAAGCAGAAGAGTAAAAACGCTCCTTTACATTTCATTGTATATCGCGTGATATGTACGGGCTTGTCCTGTACTCGTCCTCTTCTGTGGTTAAAAATACGGGATTACTCCTCTAAATTCATTCCAAGAGCCCAACGTCCCTCTGAGGAATTCGGGAAGTGGATCACTTCCTGAATGTTAGTCTCAGCGGGCCACCGGGTTCCTCGTTTTTGATTCTTATCCCTGGGCCGGGTAGGGAAAGCGCTCCCCGCACTGGTCGATTGATGACCCGATCGCCCCCTCCGTCGAAAGTAGGTAGGCGAGGAGAGATCTTCTGGTGGGGTTGAAACGCCCCTGCGCGTACAGTTGCGTCAACAGAGGGTTAAAAAGGGGTTCACTTATTGAAGCCTGGAAGTTGGCTTGTTTCGGCGTAATGAAATCAACAAGGACTTACACTCATCAAAATTATTAAAAAATTTTTCAAAATTTATTTGACAACAAAGTCGCTCCGCGACTTCCATTTTTGACGATTGCCCCGACCAGGGCTGGTAAATTCGCGTCCTAAAATCTGTCGAAAATTTTTAGTGCACTAAAATTTGTGCGCGAATTTATTTTGTCGAGACTTTAGTGACTTTCGCGTCTCTTTCGCGTGTGTCTCGAAAAATGTCGAAAATAAGGGCTGCTGATTGGCCCGCCAATGATTGCGGGCTCTTTAATTCTAAAAAATACGTAAGTTTGAGAATTTCAAACTTCGCTAATATTAGAATTTCAAAAAGTTTGGTTTCAATAAAGTGGATAGGGTAATCGAGGGCGTTAATTTTAATATAATTTAATTAGCCTTTATAATTTAATTAGCCTAAGATTAGCTTTCTAAGGGAGGTCTTCTCCCTTATTTTTTTTATTGAAGGGCCATCCGCAGCTTGTTCTTCCTGCTTTTTCCTTTTCTTGTCAATCTTCTTCTTGTCGTTGTTCGACTAATTTCGGTGTCCTCAAAAGTCTGCAGCTGGAGCAGCCTTGTGCGAATTGTTGATATAATTCTTTATTAACAAAATCAAATTTATTTTATAATTCAGAAGGGAGATCTTCTCCCAAAATCATGCTAACCTTGTAATTCAGAAAGCAGATTTCCTCCCAATACATTTTACTCAAAAAACTTACAATGCTATATGATAGCCTATATCCTAGAAAACTAAAAAAATCTTTGGGAGGAGTTCTTCATAAGCAGTTATCAACAGTGTTGGAAAACCCGCAACATTTTCCGCGGGCGCGGGCGGGGGCCCCGCAGATTTCCGCGCCCGTGGGCGCCCGGGGGGTTAAGGGCGCCCGTAACCCTGGCGCCCACAGTCCCCGCGGATTCAGAAAAAGCCCCTTAAATAAAAAAATCAAGGAACTGGGCTGAGACGGCCCGAAGGGCCGTCAAGCCCCTTAAATTAAAAAATCAAGGAACTGGGCTGAGACGGCCCGAAGGGCCGTCAAGCCCCTTAAATAAAAAAATCAAGGAACTGGGCTGAGACGGCCCGAAGGGCCGTCAAGCCCCTTAAATAAAAAAATCAAGGAACTGGGCTGAGACGGCCCGAAGGGCCGTCAAGCCCCTTAAATAAAAAAATCAAGGAACTGGGCTGAGACGGCCCGAAGGGCCGTCAAGCCCCTTAAATAAAAAAATCAAGGAACTGGGCTGAGACGGCCCGAAGGGCCGTCAAGCCCCTTAAATTAAAAAATCAAGGAACTGGGCTGAGACGGCCCGAAGGGCCGTCAAGCCCCTTAAATAAAAATCAAGGAACTGGGCTGAGACGGCCCGAAGGGCCGTAAAGCCCTTAAATAAAAATCAAGGAACTGGGCTGAGACGGCCCGAAGGGCCGTCAAGCCCTTAAATAAAAATCAAGGAACTGGGCTGAGACGGCCCGAAGGGCCGTCAAGCCCTTAAATAAAAATCAAGGAACTGGGCTGAGACGGCCCGAAGGGCCGTCAAGCCCTTAAATTAAAAATCAAGGAACTGGGCTGAGACGGCCCGAAGAGCCGTCAAGCCCCTTAAATAAAAATCAAGGAACTGGGCTGAGACGGCCCGAAGGGCCGTCAAGCCCCTTAAATAAAAATCAAGGAACTGGGCTGAGACGGCCCGAAGATCCGTCAAGTTCCTTAAATAAAAAAATCAAGGAACTGGGCTGAGACGGCCCGAAGGGCCGTCATGCCCCTTAAATAAAAAAATCAAGGAACTGGGCTGAGACGGCCCGAAGGGCCGTCAAGCCCCTTAAATAAAAAAATCAAGGAACTGGGCTGAGACGGCCCGAAGGGCCGTCAAGCCCCTTAAATAAAAAAATCAAGGAACTGGGCTGAGACGGCCCGAAGGGCCGTCATGCCCCTTAAATAAAAAAATCAAGGAACTGGGCTGAGACGGCCCGAAGATCCGTCAAAGTCCTTAAATTAAAAAATCAAGGAACTGGGCTGAGACGGCCCGAAGGGCCGTCAAGCCCCTTAAATAAAAAAATCAAGGAACTGGGCTGAGACGGCCCGAAGATCCGTCAAGTTCCTTAAATAAAAAAATCAAGGAACTGGGCTGAGACGGCCCGAAGGGCCGTCATGCCCCTTAAATAAAAAAATCAAGGAACTGGGCTGAGACGGCCCGAAGATCCGTCAAGTTCCTTAAATTAAAAAATCAAGGAACTGGGCTGAGAAAAAATAGCGAACATTTATCACTTTGATGCCCTCTAATGCATACTTAATTATTGAGATACACAGCTTATTATGCCAGAATATGGTCATTATAAAACGAGCTTTCAAATGAGCCCCTGATCACTGTAACAGTTACAACTTGATCGTAAGACAAAAAAGTGAATGCAGGTAAAAGTTCGGAAAATGGGGGTCCGTTAAATTTAAAGCGAGGAAGGGGGAAAATTTAACAACGTACGGGGCCCCGGGCGGGCGCGGGGCCAAATCAGAAATTTCTTCCGGTCGTGGGCGGGTTTTTCCAACACTGCTTATCAAGTAAGCGTGAATTTAGGAGGAGACCTCCCTTCTAAATTATCAAATAAATATGATTCTATGAATAAAGAATTATATAAAGATACTGAGAAGAGCTCTTAAGGGTGTCCCCAACGATCGGATTCGACTAATCTTAGTCTGATGACCAAATTTTTTCAGTTAATTAAAGGAAGCTGATTCTAGAGCTTTTTCAGATCTGAAATATCTCATCTGATTCTCGAGATATTACTGTTTCTATGACAGCGCTAATGCATTACGGCTCGATAGAAATGCACTGTAAAAAGTGTCATTTTCAAACTTTCGATTTTATATATCGACCTGTATATTTTCTGAGAGCTCGAAAAATTCTCTATTCAATGATACCTATATCAATACGATAGCACAAATTTTTCACTTTCAAACAGTGCGCCAAAAGTCGCAAACACCTGCACTTTGGCGCCGGAAAAAGGGATTAAGGGTCTTATCAACGCAAAATCTGAGCGTGCCGGGAGATTGAAAATAGATCAAACTATTATTCCTGTAAAAATGAGAAAAATTGAATTTCAGGAACAGCGCTAGAATCGAGCTCAAACTTCAGCAAAATCGTTACTTCAAAGAATGCATCGTATCTGATGCATACAGATAAATTTTAAAAATCCGTTAAATTTATGGCATAGAGGAGCGTACAAGGAATCAGGATCTGGTCGAAATTTAAAAATTGAATTTGTAGAACTCGAGAAAAACGATCTCAAAGATTGGTCAGAATAGAAAAATCAGAACTCTTTGAAGAAGCGGTAGGGGATTAAAAGATTACAATTTCAAAATTCTGCCAAATTAATGGCATAGAAAAGGGTCTAAATAATAATGAGTATATTTCTTTTAGCCGAAAAGCCTTCAGGAAGTTCTATAAAAAATAGCTCAAAGTATAGCCTGTTTTAAAAAAATCGTTGGGGACACCCTTAAGACCACGAAAGTAGAACGTATCAGTCAAGGCTGCTCTAGCTTCAGAGACTGTTGAGGACAACGATGAGAAGTTTTCGGACAACGACAAGAAGAAGAAAGGCAAAAAATGAAGAAAAGCAGGAAGATGCAGCTGCGGATGGCCCTGCGATAAAAAAAATTAGGGAGAGGACCTCCCTAGCAAAGCTTATCTTAGCTCATCATTTAACTCGACAAAAAGAATTTCCAACAAAAGTTGACTTTTATTCTTTTCAACTTATTTGTTACTAAATAAGTTATTTTTTTAAAAATTTAATTGTGTCATATTTACGATGCATTGATTTTTATATATCTAGCAGTTTCAGTTTGAAGAAATTCTTCCCTGATCAAAATCGTCTTCCATGAAACTATCATCCGGGAAGAGCCTATTGGATGATGAAAAAGAGCCTCTTTTTTCGCGTCTTTAGTGCTGATCAGCTCTCGAAAAGTCACTAATTTCCCCAAGAGGAAAAATTAGTGTCATTTTAGTGCACTAAAGGCGCGAAAGACGCGAAAATGTCTCTAAAAAAAAATTAGTGCGCTAATTTTTTTTTCTTCGAGAGAAAATAGTGCGCTAATTTACCAGCCCTGGCCCCGACACAAGTCAATTTCTAGTGCTCCATATAGTTGAGCGCAGATCTGTTTCTACGCCGGTCAAGGGAATTTCAGGGAAAGGAAAACTCGAACTGTTTTTTCCTCATGGTTAAAATTGTAGACTGAACGGACCGGACGCGTCAAAATGAAACTTAACATCGCCAACCCCGCGACCGGGTGCCAAAAGGTCCTTGAGGTCGATGACGAGCAGAAGTTGAAGCACTTCTACGACAAGCGCATGGCCCAGGAAGTCAGCGCTGATCACCTCGGACCCGAGTGGGCCGGATACGTTGTCCGAATCACTGGCGGTAACGACAAGCAGGGCTTCCCCATGAAACAGGGTAAGTAAACAACGCTTTCAAATGATCAGTCGGTAACTTTTATTCAGGTGTCGCCTCTGTCGGTCGAGTTAAGCTCCTCCTCTCCAAGGGCCAGTCCTGCTACAACCCAAGCCGCACTGGTGAGCGAAAGCGAAAGTCTGTCCGAGGTTGCATCGTCAATCACAACCTCTCCATCCTCAACCTCATGATCGTCAAGAAGGGTGAGGGCGAGATCGAGGGTCTCACCGACAAGGTAAAAGCTTATCTCATCATTCTCAAGCTTATTCGTGTTTTAGACCATCCCCCGACGACTTGGTCCCAAGCGAGCCAACAACATCCGAAAGCTCTTCGGTTTGGACAAGTCCGACCCCGTCACCAAGTACGTCGTCCACCGAACCATCGAGAAGGAGGGCAAGAAGGCCAAGAAGGTTGCCCCCAAGGTCCAGCGACTCATCACTCCCAACCGAATCCAGCGCAAGCGAAAGCGATTGGCAGACAAGGTAACACTCATTTTTCGCCACTTCTCCCCTCCTAACACTTTGGTTTTTAGCGAGACCGATACCAGGCCGCCCAGAAGGCCGAGGCTGAATACCGAAAGCTCCTCAACCAGCGACAGAAGGAAGCCAAGGAAAAGAAGAAGGAGCGAAGACGATCCTCCCTCTCCAAATCCAAGACCTCCGTCAGCGGAAACTAAACACTTCCTGCCCCTGTTCGTGGTCTAAATTTGTCTTGTCAGAAAAAGTCCATTTTGGCGAGAGGAAAATATTCAGAGCGAGCTAACCTTTCTGACGTTTAGATTGAAATGGAAGTGACGCTGGAATTTTGCGGTGGCGCTGAAACTGCTCACAACGGAGGCGAGAAGTTCTTGACGTTCAAGAGCGACCACAAAGAGCCGAAAGTTTCCGATATCTTCGCCCAAGTCAGAAGCAAAAAGGTAAGTTTCAAATCCCCGTTCGCCCGATTGACCTTATATTTAGCTGATCGACGACATCGATGCTTTGATCGAGTCCGACAAAGACGTCAAGCCCGGAGTGCTGGTGCTGATTAACGACGCCGACTGGGAGCTCTTCAACGAAGCCGACTATCAAGTCTGCAAGAACGATAGGATAACCTTCGTCTCCACTCTTCACGGAGGATAATTGAAACATCTCCTTCCTTTTCTAATTATCACTGTCTCTTCTTGTACATTCAACCAGTCTTTCAATACTAAAGCGATTGCCCACGCGCATTCTATCATTCAAAAACTTGTGTTTCCGTCTCTTCCTTTCGCAGGGCAGCTGCTTTCACGTTAACAACGCAACTTGCATCATCAAACTTGTGCATCAATTCAAAAACTATGATCATGGAAAAAGCAAACCTTGGAAAATCCGCTCGTGAAAATGAATTACTCTGAATCTGAAACGCGAACATTGAAAAATCTGAAACTGAAAACAGCCTGAGATGGCTTGATTATTGAAATGGTGAGTAAAATGGATCACAAACAAAATGAGTTGAACTTTGATTATTCACTGAAACAAGCTCGCATGGTCCGGGATTGATAAATATCAAATAGGTTTGTATTATGGAAACTTTCAAATTGGAAATAATTATGTTTGTATCTCTTGGATGTACTGAAAACCGAGTCAGAATGGTAGTTTCTATAACGTAGGATAATACAAGAAATTCGCTGGATAAACTCAACGTAAAATGAGGTCTAAAATGAAAGCAGGCCCGAATCGCAGGTTAACATTTGAGCGAACTCGCTGAACAAAACTTTCTTACAGAACAATCGAAAGACGGTAACATGAGTTCATATCCGAATTACGGTGCTCCACCAGTACCACCAGGTTTGATAACTGTTCTTGCTGTTAAAGCAACTTCGTATTGACGAGATAAAAAATCGAGTCATTTACCGTATTCAATGAATAGAAAATCAAATGAGTTTCATATCACCTCCTTTATTCCTTCGATAAGATTTCTTTTCTTGAATTTGAATTAAAAACCGCGCCGTAGAGCTGGCAAATGCTCCACCACCACCAGGTCCTCCACCTGGCCACCTGCCTCCAGAACTTGCTTCACAAATGATGGGAGGAATGTATGCGGCGCCTCCACCACCCCCACCAGAGTCAAGCGGCTCGTACGGCGCTCCACCACCAGTTTATGGAGCACCACCGCCCGTGCTCAATTCTTACGGAGGCGGAGCTCCTCCGTCTGGTCCACCCAAAGATGACTATCGGTAGTTAAATAAACCAAGTGTTAAAATATAGTGAAATTAAAGTGGTCGCCGAGAGGAGAATCGCTACTCTGATCGCGTTGATCGCGGCGCTGGAAACAGAAACAGCTACGGCGGTGGCGGCGGAGGTGGCTACGAAGATCGTCGAGGAGGCGGGTACGGAGGTCGAGGCCGCGACGATTCATTCCGCGGCAGAAGCAGGGATGACTTCAGAAGAGGAGGCGATCGCGACGGAGGAGATCGAAGAAGCGGCGGCGGTCGAGATTTTGGAGATCGAGGCGGTGTCAGAGACTTTGGCGGCGATCGTGGCGGATTCAGAGGTGGACGTGGCCGCGGAGGATTTGACCGAGAAGATCGAAGAGGGTAATCATTTGTCTTTCTTTGGTAAAATTGCTTAATTTTTTTCTTGTAGAGATGACAGAAGAGGCGGAGACAGACGCGATCGAGATGGTCGAGACGGTCGAGATGACAGGTTAGAGTCAAGATTACTGTAAGGCAGAAATGAGAAATTTATATTTTAGAAGAAGCGATGGCGGCTACCGCGGAGGCGGTGATAGAGACGGCGGTTTCCGAGGCGGTCGAGGCGGCGGCGGTGATCGTGGTGGTTACCGAGGCAGCGGAAGAGGCGGTGGACGAGACTTTGGCGACCGAGGAGGAAGAGATTTCGGAAATCGTGGAGGAGGACGCGACTTTGGCGGCGACAGAAGAGGTGGCGGACGCGATTTTGACCGCGGCGGTGGACGAGATTTCGGAGACAGAGGAGGCGGAAGAGACTTTGGCGGCGATCGAGGTGGATTCAGAGGCGGACGCGGCGGAGGTGGATTCCGTGGCGGACGAGGTGGCGGAAGAGGACCACCTGGAGCTTCTTTCGACCCAGGAATGGATCTGCAATGATTGAAATGGATATCATTATACTGTTATTCAGTTGTTTATCCGTGTAAAGACCGTGTTCCATCAAAGTTCGGCGGCGGACGAGCTCACCAGCCGTATCAAGGAAAAGGACGAGGATTTCAACGGCAACCTCGCGACGACGATCGTGGCTATTCCAGAAGATCGAGATCACGTTCTCCCCGTCGCTCTCGATCCCCACCTAGATACGACGACTACAGGTAATAATACGAATCGTAAGTTAAGGCGTTTTTGCGATTTGCGTCCTTTAAGGCGTTGCATCAGTTAAGGCGTTTGCGTCAGTTAAGGCGCTGAAAATGACTAGTTGGATTCTGATATCGAGAAGGGTCTGCTAGACTTTCTTGATTAACCTTCTTACTGCAAAAGAGATAATTAAAATATCTCGACTCTAAGGTACTCAAAACCGCTCCACAGTAGAGGAGCAGTCTTAAAAAAAACCTGTCTTTCCCAATTCCTAGGGTTAGTGTTAGGTTTAAAATTTTCATAAAAAATAATTTTATACTCGATTACTGAAATTATAATAAGCATGTCAAGCTGAACGGCAGGTTTATCATTAAATTTGAAGTTTTTCGTGATAGAATAAATCAATTTTTAGTAAAATTATAATTCGACACTACTAAATTTTTCAGATCTGTTTTCATATTTGAAATTAAACTTGAGAATGAAATAAGAAGAATTTTAAGTAAAGTTACAATCGAGGAAATCTAGCACACCCTACTTGATATCAGAATTCAACTAGTCATTTTCAGCGCCTTAACTGACGCAAACGCCTTAACTGACGCAAAGCCTTAAGGGACGCAAATCGCAAAAACGCCTTAACTTACGTGCTCCCCCCTCTAACTCGTGATTTAGATAAGCTGTCGTCGAACTTGACCATTACTGCCAGAAGACGAAGACTTGTTAGTACTAAATGGACTCAATTTTCAAAAACAGTCCTGAGTGAAGTTTCTTTCTTTCAGTACAAAAAAAAATCTACCAATAAAAATGAAAAATAAAAGTAAATCGAATAATTATCATCCTCCTTGGCGATAATAATTTTCTTCTGGATTGTTTTCTTTCTTTTGCAATCAATCAATTTTAAAAATGGCGAATTCAGAATGAGATGAGTCAAAAACTGTTCATTTACGGAACTTTAAAATCAGGCGAACCGAACCGTTGGCTTATTGACTATCTCCTTCGCTTCAAGCATATTCAAGAGGCGCCTAGGCCGGCAAGAACAGAGGACGGATTTCCACTTGTTACGGATCCGCAGACAGATCACGTGCCTATTTTGGTTGATCGCAAGGGTCAGGGCGAGTGCGTCGAGGGAGAAATTGTTGAAGTAAGCGAGAAGGGAGCGCTGGTCTTGGATGAATTCGAGGGACTAGATCAAGAGGGCGAGTACAAAAGGATTAGCATCGACGTTGTTAATCGTAAGTTCACATTTTTCACTGTTTTTCTTCGCTATTACGCGCGGCGGAGTAGAAACAACGCGCGGAAAGATAGGATTTAGATAAGGTCTTTTAGTAGTGTGCTCTAAAAAGGGATCAGCGTATCAGTTTGATGGATTTAACGGAGGCTCATGGCAGGAGCCTCATGCTAAGTTAAACTGTATTTTTTTCGCTTTTTGAGTAAACTTGAAATTTAAGTCCGAAAAATAGTCTTCAGATCTTGGCGAGTCAGAAAAGTGCAGTTGCTACGCTTACAACGGCCCAGAATCCGAAATCTCGCGTCTTCTAAAACTCGACTTTATCAGTTCCTATTCTACCAAAAACCAGCCATATTCTGGCAGCAAAGAAGATAAGAAATTCGGAGAAGAAATCTGCGCTCGAATTCTGAAAAATCATTAATGGAGCATTTGTATCCGAAAGAAACCGTTCAAAAGGCGGCGGAGAAGGCGATTTTATCTGATAACTACGGGGAGGTAATTCCTGTTCTCCAGACGTTGCTCAGACAGCAGAAGAAAAGGGATGATTTGGTTCCAACGCTCGCTTCTTTGATTACTTCTAGTAATATTCGAGTCAAGTTTTTAAGGATCGGTTCTGATAAAGCCAAAGATTTTCCGCGAAAATGAAAGCGCAAAAATGAGAACCAAGCGAAGCTACCTCCTTATTCTTCGCAATATCCGGGGCGACGCATCGATGATTATTTTCAATCAAGTTCTCAAGGATCTTTCTCATCAAAACTGGGCGATTCAGAACATCGCGCTCTTCACTCTCGTTACTATTTTTCAAACTTCGGAAGAAATCGTCGAATACGAAACAGTTGAAAGATCGATTTTAGCGACAATCAAAGATGGAAATTTACGTGCGGGAACGTCTGGTAAGATACAGATATATTTCTGCCCAATTATTGGGGCTTGCATTACAAGCCTTGTAATGCAAGAATAAAACACCACTGTATTAAATGTTTTGCGGTAAAAGAAAGCCTCCGTGTTGTTTAATTCTTACAGTCGTGTTAAACGGCGTAAGACTAACTGCCTGGGCTCGGCAACCTGAGTACAGGGTCAGGGTCAGGGTCAGGGTTAGAAAATTTTTTCTTGATATTTACTCAGGAACTCAGGTCAGTGTTTCTCACTCAGTCAGGTACTCAGGGTACTCAGTCAGGCCTGCTCAGACTCAGGAACTCAGGTCAGGGTCAGGTGCCTGACTCAGGCCAAAACTCAGGGTTTTTCCACACATCAAAATCTTAACAATTTCATTTTTCGCAGATAACATATAACTTTTAATCACAAAATCGCCCATAAGACGGAAAATCACTGTATTTTGACCCCCTTGACGTTGCAAATTGACCCTTTTTTTGTGTTTTTTTCGCTTACTCAGGCCCTGTGTGAGCAACTCAGGCCTGTCTTTTAACTCAGGTCAGGGTCAGGGTCAGGGTTTTTTTTCTCGGGCCTCGATTTTACTGAGGCACACAGGTCAGGGCCTGTGTACTCAGTACTCAGGGGCCTGACTCAGGGTTTTACTCAGGTCAGATTGCCGAGCCCAGCTAACTGCAACTTACTGTAGCTTTCATTTTCAGCTCTGGTGCATTTGCAATCTGGGAAATGGGCGAACAAAGTGGCAGAATTAATCATCCAGTCGGAGGACTTACAAGCAGCAATTAACTTCATTAAATTTGCCCTGCGGCGAGAGCCTCTTCTTCACCAAAAAGCCCAGAAAATCTTCATCGACATTTTAAGTGCTGAGTTAGAGAAATCAAAGGTACAACAATACGACGAACACACTTTTTGGTAACAATTTTGATAAATTATTTCAATCAGGGAAATGGGCCGTCTCACAAATGGCGAAAAATCTCGCTGGCTCTCCTGGACTACCTGGAATTCTACGGAGAACGTCCGGAATCGTCAATGCTTCCTCAGATTTACGACTGTTTCCGAAAAGCGAAAACTTCAAAGAATCTCCTCACAATCGCCTATTTCTCCATTCTCTTGCTTTTAGAAGAAGATGATCTGGATGAAGAGATCTTCAAATTTCATCTTCAAAGACATCAAGGCCGGAGTTCCGAGCTAATTTTTATTTTTATTCAGCGATAAGGAGATAAGGCGCTGGAATTTTTCTTTTGGTTTCAAATTTATAGCCGCGGAAAACCGCATTTTGTCATTTCGACTGCCTCAGTCGGATATCTTCTTTATTCAATTGTGGTTTTTATCTTTAAAAAAATACGAAAGTAAAGTCTAAAACAGACATGGTCTGGGACTCAGGTTAAGGTTAGCGCTTGGGTGAAGGGTACGGTTAGAGTTACATAAAAATGCGCGAAAAGTCGGCTTCACAAAAATTACGAGTCAAAAATTTTCCGAAAGAAAAAAAAAACCGCTTCTAGCTCAATTTTTGAGAAAGGGTTCTTCTTGTTTGAATTTTCGTTTTTGTCGTTGTTGATTTCAATTAGAGGATAATCCATCTTTTGAGCCTATTTTCAACCTTTTTATTCCCATTTCCAACTCCAAAAAAGGCGATTCGACAATCCTCTGCAAAATTATCCGCAAGTTTCCATCCCAATCGTTGCTCTTCTTTCCGAAATTGCTCCACCTCCAGGACTCGGCAATTCTTTCTGCGCTGATAAGATTTACGGCTCTGAGCGAGAAGCAGCTGTCGGGCGTCTTTGAATTATTCGAAAATCAAATATTGACAAATCGGCAAGGGCGAGTTTCTTCCGCCCAGCTGGAGGTCGCGTTTCTTTTAGCGCGCAGAAGCGTAAAAAACGAAGAAAGAGTCAGACGCCTTCTGAAATCGGAAACGACAAAAGAACAATTTCAACTATTTCAAAAGAATTTGGATGAATCGGATTAGGATTCGGCTGATTTAATTGCCCTCCAAGAGCTTTCCCTTTCCACTGTTTCAGAGTCTCTGCGCAGCGAAGCTATTTGAATTCAACTAAACTTAATTAATCAATCAACATTTTTTCAGAAATAGAGAGAAAAAGAAGAGTTGAAAAAACGGACATCGGATGGTACAAGGAATTCCAGTTCCAAAGGTAAAACCTCGGTTTTCTGATCTCGACCCTGACTCTTACCATCACCCCTTTTAGAGGCTCAAAGTCCCTCCTTCATATTTCCAAGTGAACCGATTTCATTCAGAGCCGCAGCGTGGCCGGAGGATTTCGCCCGTACAAAGCGGACAAGTGCTCTCACTGCGAGCAACGAATCGGCGACGGTCAAGACTTCACCAACTACGACCAGCAATCGTTTCACAAAGACTGTTTTTGCTGCGAACAGTGTTTCAGGAGATTTACCGATGAGGACAACATCTTTCAGTTTGAAGGAAAAAAGTACTGCGAGGACGATTTCAAAGTTCTTTACGCGCCCATTTGCAGAAAATGCAACACTTTTGTCGAGGGCGAGGTTTTAAGGCTCGGCTTTCCAAAGTGATCTGTTTTCATTTTTCAGTTTTCCCTTAGCGACTCCAATAATAGCGCTATAGAATTGCTTCTTTAGAAGTTTCATCTTATTTTTCTTAGTTTATCAAAAACTGGCTGTAGAGAACGTCCGGTATAAACTTATCTTGATCCATAATTAATTGCTGGAAACAGCACGACAATTTTGATGGCCGTGCTCATTTATTTGAAAAATCCCTTTTTGAAAGCCATTTTTAAAGCGCCCTGAACGCAGAATGGTGCCTCGAATGTTTCTGTTGCGAAAATCAAGACTCTTGCGGATCTGCTTTGGGCACCCCGTTGGCGCAGTACAACAAGAAGCTCTTCTGCCGACCCTGTTTCAACGAAGAAAAAGCGAAAGCCGAAGGAAAGCCAATTTGCCAAAAGTGCTTCAACGTAGTGGAAGACATGCCGCTTCGCTGGAAGGGCGATCCCTATCATCCGTACCACTTCAACTGTGCCAACTGCGCCTGCGTCATGGATCATACTGGCAGAGACATCGGAGGGCGACTGTACTGCCTTCCCTGTCACGATAAGATGGGCATTCCGATTTGCGCAGCTTGTCGACGACCGGTTGGTATGTTCAAAGCGGTAGATTACTGGGCTCGACTTTCAAGAAACCTGAGTCAGGGTCATTGGAAAGCTTTAATTAAAAGCCGCGGCTTTTTCCTGACTCAGGTTTTTGAGTTGGTTTTGATAAATAATTTTTTCTCGAAAAAAGCCATTTTACAGAAGCAGCGTAACTTTGACGAGAATTTTCGGGCTGAACTATTTTCCCTCGCTAACGTGGGCCCGGTTGGTATGTTTTATTATGGCTTCGTGTTTTTAAAAACGCGTCTTGGGTAATAATTGTTGGCATATTTTGGTTATTAGACGCGGCTGGACGGAAACAAGAGATAGATGTAATTATGATTTGGAAACTGACCAGTTTGGTTTGGATAAAAATAAACTTTTCTCTCCTCGTGAAAAATGGGCCGTTTATCCCAAAATTAAATTTAATTGTTGGCAAATCAGCTGAAAATTGACCACTCACGTCGATATTTTAGAGGTCACGTTGATATAAACAGCGAGGGAACTCCCTCCAATGCCGAATTAATTTAACGTTTTTATGCATCCTTTGGGTTGATCAGCAATTAATGTTATTTTTTAGAGGGGAGATGCGTAAATGCCTGTGGGAAGCAGTGGCATCCTGAGCATTTCGTCTGCTCATCCTGCGAGCGTCCTTTCTCGCACTCTAAGTACTTCCTCGGACCTGATAACATGCCTTACTGTGAGAAGCACTACAACATTCAGTTTGGAGAAGTCTGCTTTTCTTGCAATATCCCCATAAAGGTGCACTCCCTTTGTTTTCCCCTGTTTTAAACTTCCGTTTAGGACGAAGTGATTTCGGCGCTGGAGAAAAAGTACTGCTCTTGTTGTTTCCGGTGCACAGGCTGCGATGATCGACTCAGTCCGAAGCAGAAATTCGTCGAGTTTGACATGAAACCGCTTTGGTAAGCGAAATATTCGGGCCTCACAAAAACGTCCAAAAAGCAAACAAGAATCCACCAAATTTTAAAACCCACTGATTCCCTTTTTTAGCAAAAAATGCTTCGACAAGTTCCCCTCTGAGCTAAAAAAGCGAATCAAGAAGCATTCCAAAAAATAGCGGCCAACAAAACCGACAAAATCGACAAGACATGACAATTGAAACTGATTCATCAAAAAAAAAACTCGCTCTTTCTTCAAATTCCAAAAACTCCCCCTTTTTTTACAAGCAATAATTTATTTCCCATAATTGAATTCCTGAGCTTCTCAATCCTTATTTCTTATTCTGCTACGTACTATCAGACTCTCACGTGCCTCAGCCTCTCTTCTTATTCCTTTTCTTTTCTGGCTTTTTCAATCTTCCAATAAAGCAACTAAAAATCTTCTTTACTGGAGACCCAAAACATACTACGATTCTCACCTCTAACTGTGAAGTCTTCGCTTGAATTCCGATCGTTACTAATATAAGAGTGCTGCTTAAAATCGAGAAGCCGCTTGCGGGTTCGATTGAAAAAGACGAAAAAGCCGCGCTTTGCGCAGCTTCGATTCTCTCTTTCTCGAAGCCGCAAGCGGCTTCTCGATTTTCAGCCGACTCATATTTTAGAAACGATCGGATTTCAAGCAAAAAATTCAGAGTCAGAGGTAAGAATCGCGGCACATTGTGTCTATCTTGCAAAATTGAATTTGAAAATTGCTTGCAAAATAACGAAAAGCGTAAAATTACTGATTTGGTAGGTGCGCATGAAATATCAATTTTCGTGAATCAATGGGCATGGAAATCCATTTTATTGGTGTAGAAAAGCTTCGGATAAAAAATATTTACAGAAGTCAAGAAAAAGAAGATTAGCAGCAGTCTGATTTTGGAATAATTAAAAAAAAGTCTCAAATATTGTTTCTCACTTATTTGAGGACGTCCTTCTCGTGAAGATTTGCTCTCATCTCATCATATGTGTTTTGCATGGTTTGAGGGGGGAAGGAAGTGATCCACTCGGGCAGTTTGTAGCCGCCAGTGCATTTGTCGTCGTGAACGTTTACCCACCACCAGCTCATCACGCTTTTGATGATCCGTTTGGGGAAACCGGCGGATTTGCGTTCTTGGATATCTGAAAATTATTATTGAAATGTCTACCATCAAAAGATAAAAAAATTCAATTTAGACTCCAACTTTTAGAGCTTAATATTATTTGGCTCAGCAACCTGAGTGGAAAACCTGAGTCAGGGTCTTGAAAGATCTGTTATGAAATTTCGCTCGATCCTGAGTCAGGTTTTCCACACAGGTTGACGTTATTGCCAACTTCTCTTCTGGGCTCGGCAATCTCTGTGGAAAATCTGAGTAAGGATCGAGAGAATTTTCATAACAGATCTTTCAGGACCCTGACTCAGGTTTTTCACACAGGTTGCCGAGCCTTAAAGAAAAGAGCCGGTAATAACATGTTTTCACCATTGCGAGCACTCGCCCTTAGAAATTATGGTAATTTAAAGTTGTAACATGCTCATTTCTAAATGCTAAAGGCTCATTTCCATAAAGGAATTTGAAAGCTGTTCCTCTGAACTTTCGCTATCAGCTGAAAAACGTCTCCTTTGAGTTGATCTTTTAAAATCGTACGTTGTGATCAGTGAAAACAGCGAGTAAAAATAGAGCCAGCTCGAAAATCGGTATTCAAGGAACCGCCAAATTCGTAGTGAAAATAGAACTTCTATAGCGATTAATTACGGTAGAAGGAAGCTTAGATTTAATCACGCTAATCAGAGATGTTTTGGAAATCCTGGGATTGATGTGACATGACTTGGACGGTCAATTTTAGGAAAACTGGATTTTTATGGGAAAAAACGGGAAAATTTTTTAGTAAGAAAAGCTTACTTCTGCAAAGATTGCACATCATTTCCGCCGTATGGGATCCCAAGTACTCGTAATCATCGTCGAGTTCATTCGCTCTCCACTTGTGATACTCCAAATACGCCGTGTCGTTGCCGTCCAAGTAGTCCAAATAGTCGACCAGATCTTTGGGCGTTTCAAAGTCTTCGGCGAAAATGTAGGAGTTTGGAGGCGCGACAGCTTCCACGTCCGATTTGTGAGGACCGTAGACGACGGGAACAGCCCCGGTGCCGAGGGAGTTACGCCAAAACTTTTCAGAGATGTATCCGTTGCAGTGGACAGAGTTTTCAAACGCTGAAAATTTTTATTGATTTTTTTAATATTCATTAAGATTTCAAAATTGAATTATTAGTAAAAAAATTTTAAAATATTTTAAAATAACAATTATAAAAATCTAATAAATTTTTTAAAATTATTTAGAAATAAAAATTTTAAAATTTTAAATTTGAATTTTTCAAAATTTTAACTAAAAATTCTCAATTTTAATTATCATAAAAATAATTTTTCTTATTTCTTTATTTTGAAAACATAACTTTCTTTGTTTTTTATCAGAAAAAAATTGGTAAAATAACAAAACCACGTTTTCCATGTTAAAAAATTAAACAAAAAAGAGAACGTGAGGGTTGAGCAAAATGAGCGCAAGGGCGACTCACTTTAGCACAGATGTGGTTAATTTTAGTTCAACCTGTTTTCCCAGATTCGCGCGATTTCGCGATTTCTGGATCGCTGGGAATTAAATTTGGTGACTTACCAAGATAGAATTTGTAGCCAGCAATAACTCCATCGCCAAATTTATCCGACCAAGGAGCGCCTTCAAGATGGTTATTGAAGCAATCGCCGAAGCCGTTTATTTTCAGCCCTTCTTTGATCAGTTCTTGAGCGTAGTTCCATCTCGCCGAAGCTCCGTTCGTTCTGCCGCAGTTTGAGACGATCCAGGTTGTGTGTTTTCCGCTGTTGTTTTCTTTGCGGTCCATGATTGACTTAATGATGTCTTCGTAGGGTTCGTGCTCTCCGGCGCTAAAAGATAGCATTTACAAACAAAGTAAGAGAAAGAGAAAGATAAGCAACGTAAAAATAAGGATTGACCTTTGGTTATCTTGTTTTCAATATTTTCTAGGAGTACTTATTTGAAAAATGCAGCGGTTTATATGATTAGAGCTAGGAGGACTTTGGTCCGGCAACCTGTCAAGAAACCTGACTCAGGGTCCTGTAAGAGCTTTGATAGAATGCCCGCGGTTAGGGTTAGGGTAAGAGTAACAGTTCTCCATTTTGCTAAACCTAACCTTAACCCGTTTCGCAAGCTCAGGACCCTGACTCAGGTTTTAACACATGTTTGCGACCCTTGACGAGGAAAACTTACTCAAAATCTCAGACTATAAAATTTTCCAATCAAAAGAATCGTCAACCTTGACCCTGACTCTCTGATATCATCTATCTCTCCCTCATCTTTATTTCTATTCACTAGACGTACTCTATATGCAGCAGAAGTTGAGGGGTCAAGCCGAAGTCTGAGCGAACTTGCTGTGTGTAAACACTAAAAACGTGGCGAATCCATTCTCCTCCTTGAAAACCCAAAATAATTACCCGTTTTCTGTTTAGGCTAAACGGAAGATTTGGGGGCGGCAAAGTTTACATAATCCTTTTTTCACGTGATTCAAAACTGGGGTAAAAAGGTCATTTACTATACCTGTAATGACGTGCAAGTACTGAATCTGTACTGCCAAACGGTCGTACAACGTCGCTATCGATTCTATACGAAGCAGTCAAATTAAAAGCGCCGTCCCAGTCGTGAATTTCCTTTACGAGATTGTAGTTGGTTCCCTTTTCAATTCCCTTGGAAGCTGCTTCTCGCGGCCAAAACACCCAATATTGCGAGTCCGTATTCCGGTTCGTGAAATCGGGAAGATCCTTTGCCTTGATTGCGCTTTTGTAACGAGTGTTGTCGAACATGATTCCGTCAGCTTTTGAAAAGGTTGAACTTTTTCTGTCCTACTGAAATAGCGAGCTCCGAATGCGAGGGAACTAAAGTCCACCCCAAAAAGTAGGGCGATTATTAATTGACAGTTTTGAGACATTCTTGACACGAGAAAAGAATGCTAAACGGTTTTCTTTAAAATTTGAAGAAAATTGAAAAAAAAAATTTCAACTTTAGAATTTTTTTTATTTCGATTTTAGATTTTTTTTTTGAAAAATTTCAATTATAGAATTAATTCTTTGAAAGAAATTTCAATTTAAGATTTTTTTTTTGGAAAAAAATTTCAATGCTAGAATTTATTTTTTGAAAGAAATTTCAATTTTAGATATTTTTTTGAGAAAAAATTTCAATTCTGGCATTTTTTTGAAAAAAAAAATTTCAACCCCTTTCCCTTCATATTCGAAATTTCTATCGTTCGTAAGCCAGCATCCTCCGCATTTCTCTGGAATTTTCTTCAAAAAGGGCATTTCGAAATTCCAGAATTCGAGAATCGTCGTTCTGTCTTTCTTCGGCTTCTGTCTGTTGAATGCTTTGTAATTCTTTTGAAAAAGTTCTAAATTCTCTGCGATTTTTCGCGCTTTCTTTTCGCTGACTTGTTTTCTATCCGTCCGCCAATTTGGAGTTACTGGGTCTTTCATTCCTTCCGCATTGGAGAAAAGTATAAAAACGGAGCTTAGCTTCATTTTGGAGGGTTTTGTTTCTCTATCACGTTTTACAAGAGGTACAGCCGGGAATCTTATCGTGAAACTTTTATGACGCGGCGCGCACGAGCTCACCAGCGCCATCGCGCAGGATTGACCGTGACCTTTGCGCGAAAAAAAAACGCTATATCATGTCAAAGGTGCAATGCCTAGTCAAAAAAGCGACACGACAAGAAGTAATACCGGCAGATGTTCAGAATTATGATGAATCGTAATAACGAAAAAAATAATAAAGTAGATAATTTTAAAACTGAAATTTTTTCTTTTAAAATCTTAAAATTTTACAAAAAAAAATACTTTTGAAATTATTTTGCTTTTATTTATAAAAGATCTAGGACAAATAGAAATCTTAAAAATCACTTTCCAAAAAGAACTCGAATCGAATCTCAACCACTAATTCTTTGATGGAATTTGACCACATAATCGCTGGATTTCTCCCTCTTTGAATTTATTCGAGTTCCGAAAAGAAGAACTGGAAGTGCAATTCACGAGTAAGCCTCGTCATTTTTTAATTGGCTTTTGGTTTGTTAAAACATTGCGGTTTACTAGGTGATTTACTTGTGACACACGTTTTTCAGGTTAATTTTTCAGATTTACAAGTACCAAATTACTTAATAATGATTTTTAAAAGGAAAGATAATTCGCAAACTCACTTTGGCGAGAGCTTAAAACCGTTTTAATCTAAATTCATTCTATTTTACAGCGTTACTTAGCGAGGCCCTATTAAAAAAAAGAGATCTTTATTTTTTTAGAGAAATAAGCGGCGCTTGCCGAGTCCTGGAGTGGGTAACGAGGCCTTGAAGTAACTTTTCCAACTCAATCAAATTATCCACTGTTCATTTTCAGTTTTCAATTATTGACGGGCTCTTAAAATAAGAGCAATGACGTTAGAGATAATTGACTTTGTAAAAAAACAAGAGGATTTTGAGTCAAAAAGTGTTCGTTGGCTTTATTCAAAAATTCCTAACATGCAGTCGTTGATTTAAACAATAAAAAGGGAGATATCTTGTCATCTCGGTACAGGTTTGTTTTTTTTGAGATCTCTTGTCATCTCGATTTTCGTTAAAAAATTGGCTTAGAAACCCACTTTGACTTGTTCTCCGACGCACTTGGTGTAGTCACATGTCATGTCGATTCCCTTTCCAGGCTTGATCGTCACTGGTTTAGCTCCGACGAAGCAATTGTAAACGTCGTCAATTGTAATTGTATCTGGAAGAGGTTTATTGAAGTGAATACCGGCGTAGTACACATCTTTATCCCATTTTCCAGAAGTGTCTTTCACCGTTTTGTCAGCGCTGAGAGGAAAATTATTAAAATATTTATATTTTAATTATATAATTTTTATACGATTATAAATGAAGTTTAACCGAAAGCCGAGTGTGACAGATCGTGTTTTCTTTGATTCGGATGGGTCGTTTTCCCTATAGTAGGTTCCATTAAATGCTGCGTAATTAGTGATCGCGCCTTTCTGTCCCTTTGCTCGTTTTTCCATCACTGTAAAATCGTAGTCGTGACTGTGGAGATAATCAAGCACTGGTTGACCACAAACTGCTCGAGACATGACCCAGCATTGCAGATACGACTGATCCTTTCGAGTGGCTCCTTTAGTCGTTGCTTGAACGACAAAACCATTATTTCCAAGATACAATGGGACCATCGCTTTTCGGCTTATAAAAGATTTTTCGGAAGCTCTGAAAATATTTATTGGCCTTGTGGATTTCGCAATTACGTGTATGAATATTTCTCAAAAAATAAGAATTTACATTATGCCGTCAATGACATCGTCTGTACAATCACAAGGGTCGGCAAAGCAATGTCCGCGATCATGAGCTGTACATCTTGCTGTTGTTGTAGTTGTTTCTTCATCGCTTGTTGTTGTAGTTGTGGTTGTTGTTGTCGTTGGCACTTCATCGGTTGTTGTCGTTTTTTCTTGTGTGGTTGCCGTTTTCGTGGTTGCTTTCGTTGTTGTAGTTGTTTTTGGCTGAGTTGTAGTTGTTTTTGTAGTCGCCTTAGTCGTTGTTGTTGTTTTCGGCTTTGTTGTAGTTGTTTTTGTAGTTGCTTTTGTTGTTGTAGTTGTTTTTGGCTTTGTTGTTGTGGTTTTTGTTGTTTGTTTTGTTGTCGTCGTCGTCTTTGTTGTTGTCGGCTTCTCGGTTGTTGTAGTGACAGAGGTTGAATACTTTTTGCATGAAACACTTAATGACGGCTTTAAGATTGCAAAAATTATTTTTGTCAGCACGAAATTTTACTTTACGATATTATTTAAATAATTTTTTTTCAAGTGATATAAAACCGTTGCTGCCATTTTCTTCGTGTTCCATGTCGATGCATGATCCGTCAGAAGTTTTCACGAACCATGAATCTGTAAGAAATTTCTCGTTATCAAAGAGGATAAATTTATCGAATTGAGGTTCAAATTGAATTGTGAAATCGTTTTCGTCGCAATCCCAAACTGGACGGCCGTAAATTGTTTTTGTCACGTGACGAGTGCATGTTATCGATTTTCCCGGTGGCTTTGAGCTCCACATTTTTGCTAGAATGATGTGTAAAAATATAAACATAAACTTATCTTTTTATTCTCCTTCAAATATCTATGTGTTTCAAGACAGAGCATTCAAGAAAAGATAAAAGATTATTTTAAGATAATCTCAAATTCAAATTGAGCAAAGATTACATTCGGCTGAGCATGTAACGCTGCTAAAAACATTTCATAACTAAAATTTACCTTCAATTAGATCACAGCAAGTATCCTCAGCAACGCATGATCTTCCTGGAGCATCTCCCTAAAACATCATGAATATCCTCAGCGGCGTAAACATCCGAAGTCAAAAATAGAGCTCAACACGATTTGTTTTTTATATTTGTTTCTTTATGCCAGAACTTTTGAAAAGCCCATTGAATTCTGAGCAGATCATAATTAATGCGCTTAGCTGAAACTGTACTTATTTCCCTAAACGCGCTGATAAACAAAAGAACCGAGTGCTCTTTCCACGGAAAAACGCTCCGATCGGGCTTTTTGGGTATTTTTGGCTCCCGGGATATGATTCATGCTGCGAGCGCGCTAAGTTTTCTTGTTTATCTGGCTTTAATTGCTAATAAGTACAATTTCAGATAAACGCATTAAGAATGACCCGTTCAGAATTTAATTGGCTTTTAATGGTGCAGGTTTCATGAAAATACTATGCTTTTCTATTCTTGCGCTTTCTTTGGCTCTGTCGATTACCAAGATCTATTTATTTTGACAGGTTCAGTAAAAATTTCTTACTTTATAAAAAGCAAAAGTGGCGACAATCGGCGACATTTAGGCCTATTTGCCTTTGTTTATTTTTGAAAAATAACGTTTAGACAATTTTTTAAAAAAAAATCAGTTTATAAAAAAAAACCTTAAAGAGGCGACATTCTGCGACATAACCAGGGCGCCCCCGAAATTATGCAAAATGTTTTTTTGCATACCGTTTGAAGATAAATTACCTCAACATTATCTTTAAAGCCGTCTTTGCATTGACAAGTGTAGTCATATCTATTGTCAGTGCAATTCGCGTTAACATCACACTTGTGAGTTCCATCTGAGCATTCATCGATTTCTGGAATGAACGTGCAGGTTTTTCCGTCTCCAGTGTAGAACTCATTACATTTGCAATTGTAAGTCTCATGTAAGTCTGTACAAATAGCATTTTCATCGCAAGGTTTTTCATCACATTGGTTTGGATCATCGGTCCCGTCCCAAAAGCATAAAGAAAACTCGTTCGGTCGTAAAGACCATTGATTGCCCACTGGAAACCATTTTTTCCAGCGTTCATTGATAGGGGGGCAAGTTGCGTCGCTTATGATAAATGATTCATAGTTGTCGTATTCATTGATTGGCCAATGATTGAATTTTGCCCATCGACCATCCAAATAAGCAATGGCTCCTCCATCATCACATTTCCAAAAATCACGATTATTGTATTGTCCTCCATCGATTATGCATTTCAAAGGTCCAGTTCGAGGATTGAAAAAATTAATAGCTCCACAGCAGCCTTTTTCAGTGTTTGGCTGCAGAAGCTTGCATTTTGTCAGCGCCCTGTCGTCAGAGATCTCGTCTTCAAAGCCGCCACAGTCAGGAATGTTGTCGCAAAGTCGATCAGCAAAAATTTTTCTACTGAAACCGAGTTTATCCTTCGATTTACATTCTATCGTTTGTTTTGGCGAGAATATTTTTCCAATCTCTGGATCAGTCTTGCAGTACGTATGATGTATTTGCATCGCATCTGTCGTCGTTACTCTGTACGCCATGCCAAACTCCTCGCCTGTTCCTTTTAAACTCAGAACTGGTTGGGTTTCTCCGGGAAAACAGCGAGAGCAATATGTCATCACTGATTCGACTTCAAACGGACTTGACATATCAAACCACTCACTATGCTTGAGTGGTCTATAATTAAAATGATTCTTCGGCAACGAAGTTCTGTCATAATTAATCATGAGATCAACGTCCGGTCGTTGATGCTCGTGGAAAACACCAAGTGCATGCAACATTTCGTGTTGAACCGTGCCAGGACTCTTTCCAGTACAATCTGGCTGATCAAGAGTACCATCAAGAGAAATTACTTGCCAACCCTCTGGAACACCGAACTCAGTAATGCTGTTATAAACGCCGTTGACTTGAGTTGTTGTATTATGATGCTGACCAGGATCGACGCCAACAGACGAAAAGCATCCGACATTTTTTATGAAAACGACTCCATTTTTATATTTTGCTTTTGTTGCTATAGTTCCAATTTCTTCGTTTGATATTTCAGTGATCGCGAAACATCCAAGATCTTCCTCCAAAGATTTAAGGGAATTCTGAAATATTTAATTCAAAGCGTGATCAAAAAAAAATTAAAAAATTAGTTGTTTTATGGATTTGGGGCAGGTCAAAAAGCTTTTTTACCTTAGGGCTCCTTCAATTCCCGAGAAAAGCTTATTTTTCTTAATTTCTGAAAATGTCAACATGACAACGCGTAGATAACACACATTTATTAAGTTAACTTTTTAACAAGCGAGTGGGAAAGCTAAATCTAGAAAGAAAGGGTTCTGAGCGTCCTTATTACTGCGCTGTCATGTCATTATTTTCCGAAAATAAATCGGAGCTTAGCTCCATCAGAAATTATTGGCGTAAGATGGGCATATTCTCTGGGAAAAATCAACTGGAAATATTTTTGCTTATCTTGAATTTTATAAGAACTAATAATAATGTGAAAGAGAGTGTTTAAACAATTAGAACTCAACTTGGCCCGCTACGAAATCTTTAAAGACGAAAATATATATCTGATTTCAGGAGAAAAATCATCTTATCACTTAATGATTCTAGTTAAAAGGATTGTTCTACTCCTTTGCGAGTTTTCCCTCAAAATGAGATTTCCCGAAGAAATATTCGAATATCCATATATATTTTTTGTATATCTTACCCGGATAAGACCACCGAAATGCCCAACGCTTTGGTGAACAAAGTACGGTACAATTATCGGGCCACCCGTTTCTAAAGATGTCCATCTTGGAAAATTAGCTGTTACTCCTCTCGCAGGTCCGTCCAGTGATGATTTCTTAACAGTGTTTTTTTGTTACTTATTCTTTCAGAGTTGTTTATGAAGAAATTTATTCTTTTTTACAGATCTGAGACTTTTTTTTATAATAATTGATTGAAAGTTAAATCGGTCAAAATAATTTAAAAATTATCTTTAGCATTTACTCTGTATATTTTGTAAAAACGAGCTGATCTTATCAAAAGCCAGCATATGCCCAAAATAAACAAAAAAAAAAAATAAGAAATTTCTCTTTTCTTGAAATCAGTCTAAAAAAGCTAATAAATCAACAAAATTTTTCCATTATTTATCAAGCATTCATTTTTTGCAGATCTAAGTGTTTCCAAAAATCGACTAATATTCTTCAAAACGCGTATTTAGTTGGAGCTCGTCCGCTTTCTTTTTCAATTTTGCATTAAAAATGCGGTATTTAAGAAATAATTTTCTTCATCTTTTGTTTTAAAAATACTCAAATTGATTATATTTTTACTCAATCTGCGATTATCTGTCGATGATAAATAATTGATTTACTGTCAAAAATTTAAACAATTTACCAAAAAAATATTGATCGAAAAATGTTCCATAAAATTAATGAAAATATAAATCATATACGAATGCTTTCAATGTTAGAAAATTTATATCTTACATAAGTCGCTGAAAGAAAAGAGCCGGTACAACCTGCTGGACGAAGAAGGCTTTGATCGTATGACCGGGAATTCAATTGGGTCCATTTAAGTCCAATCGAATCGTTTGCCTTTTCAAGTTTAAATTTGAAATGTCTGTTTTGTTAATTACTAAAATAGTCATTCTCATGGACAATAAATTTAATTTTTTTGACTTAAGGGCTAAAGTTAATCAATATTTAATATCATATTAGTCACATGTCGAATCTAAACATCTCCTGAAGTCCTCTTAAAATCTCTAGAGTCGCTAAAATCTTCATGATTTCACAGGTCAAGTGCGTTGTTCTTCTCAAGTTGGCTGAATATAACAAAAAATAAACAAAGATTATATTTTAATATGAAAAACACTTAAAATTTGATTTCAGTCGATATTAAATTTTGCTTAACAATGTGATTTTCAATATTCGTTAGCTCGTTATAATAATGAATTTTATCAGGGTCCACGCAAAAAAATGCTAAGTACGGCAATTATAACGGCTTGATCAGATATCATTTACCCCTTTTGGAAGATGAATTTTTTTCGGAGAATTCAAAACTACCTTGATTTGGATATTTTTTATTCTTGTCTTATCGACAATTAGTATTCGTTAATATTTTTTTTATTAATTTATTAAATCATTTTATTTTTATGCTTCTAAGAGCCTAGAGAATCCGTTTCAAAGTAAATAAAATATTTTTTTTGGTATCCGAAATGGGCTTAGGTATTTTAATCGTTTTTCACCGTTGAAAACGGCCGGCCTTCGAAATAATTTGACAGAACCATTTTGTCTGACAGAACTATTCTGTTTTAACAAAACTTAAGTGAGGCATGATTGCTGCCCGAAATAGGTAACTGCGGCGGTAAAAATATAAAGAGAGTGTCAAAAAACATGATACTCTCAATTGTCGAGGTTTCTGAAAAACATTCGCGAAGCGCACACTGATTCTCTGATTTTACTCTAACAGAATAGTTCTGTTTTCTACAGAATGGTTCTGTCAACAGAATTATTTCGAAGCCCCGCCGTTGTTAACACCGATAGGGCGCCATTTTGTTAGAAACTTTGGTTTATCGTAAAATTTTTCTTTAGAAATTGGAGTGTTCATCTGATAATAGAGTGCCTCGTGGTTATAAGCATACAATTATTTATGGAATTTGTGGACACTTTTTGTCTTTGAGTTTTCTGAAAAATGTCCACAAATATGATACAGAGCTCCGAAAAAAAAATGTTTCAACGAACTTGCTTAAATTATTTTTTGAGAAGGAAAAATTGATTATTTTTTCAAAAAATAATCTATAAAGGAACACAAGAAGGTAGCTAAAGACGTGAATCTTATTAAAAATTTAGCTTTTGACGAAAAACAGCTCTTCGCATGTAAAATAGGCCTCAATACCGAATGTTTGATCATAAGTTTAGGAGTCAAAGATTTCAATTGACAAAAAATGTCCACAAATTTCAGACCCTCTCTTTTAAAATGTATCCCAAGTAAACCTCTAAAATCTGAAAAATGTTCACAAATTTTATTTCCACAAATCTCATAAAAAATGCTATTGATATAAAGTGTTCTCATTGATTAAAAATGTTTGTTATCTTTAAACCAGTTTGAATCAAAGAAAGAGCATTATTTGCCTAAAGAAAGACATATTGTCGATTTCTGGGAGAAACTCAAGATTTGGGGCGCACTGACTGTGTCGTCGAGTGTCGTCGAATGTCGTAGTTTTTTCTCAAATTCTCAAATAAAAAAAAAGTTCTGTGAAAACAATGCATTCAAGTGATTGCATTTGGCCAAACAGTCGGCTGCTTTTAGCAAAAGCTAAAGTTGGGCCTCGCCAACCAAAAAAGTTCTCTACCCCAAATTGCGTGCGTAAGGGCCCCTGGCCCGTCGCGTGCTCATAACATTGATAACTCATTTTGGAAGTTTTTAGGCCTCATGGTAAAGTATCGAATATGTTAAACATTTCGATGATTATTTTCTAGAACATACTCATTTCTTAAATTTATTTTTTTTAATCGCCAGAAACGACGACATTCGACGACATATTCAGTGTCGACCCAAAGTTACCCAGCTTTAAAAATGATTCTGATTGGAAGATCGACGAAAATAATGATCATATTTGTCAGTAGAATTTCAGGTGCGATTTGTAAATAATCACTGATCATTATATTATAGTCTCAATATCTCGATGTTACCTCTCTACCAACTATATTTGAGAAAAACACACGTATATCTCAATCGACACATGACATTGGCAGAGCTTGTTTAAATTGAAACTCATATTCAGTGACTTTTTATTAGATTTGCTATCGCTTGGATAGATTTGCCTTCAAAAATCATGCAGAACTTATGCAGCATGGATAAAATCAACCGCAAATTGTTTTGTTGAGATAAAACAGCAGCCACGACAAAATCCATCGAATTTATGCACCAAATAATATCACAAGTTCATTTTTCGTTCCTTTGTGATTTTTAATAATCGGGCACGGTTACAGTTCTTACAAAAATAATTTGCGAGAAACAGCGGCGCCTCAAAAGAAACCTCAGTCAAATGGCAAATTTAAAGGCTCCCGCAGTTGAAAATCATTTATGTTGGCATGAAGGTAAGGAAAGTGATTTTCAAAAGAGGTAAGATCGAAACAATTGACAATAGTCCAGATGGTCCTAACGGTCAAGAAAGGACAAAATTAGATATAAATCATGTAAAAAACAATTACAAGTATTGCAAGTGTCCGACTTCATGGGTCAAGAAACTCGGTGTTTAATTACCGACGGGAACGGTCGGTAACAATACCAAAGCTTTTTTGGTATTCCAATACCAAAATTTGGTATTCCAAAACCAAATTTTTTACACAATTTTTATTTTTCGCCCGAAAATTATCAAAAACACTCCTTAAGGGGGAGGTCGACGAGAATCGGGAAATTCTGTAACCAAAAATCCGGAAAAACCTGCTTAGATAGGCAAATTCTGGCTTTTCAGGTGGAAAGAAAAGTGTTTGAAAAATACAGCGGCGAAAACTAGAAAAAAAAATTTTTCGAAAAAATTTTCAAAAAATTGGGTCAAAGTGGGGGTTACTCGTAACCAAAAAATCTCGAAAACGGGATTTTTTTTCATCGTCAAATTAAATAAATAGTTAATTGAAACCCTTTAAAATACAGCGACGACAATATAAAACGGGCTGCTTTTATTAAAAAAATTTTTTCTGTTCACTAAAAATATGCGATTTTCCTAAAAATTGTCATTTTTGCTCATTTTTCACGGAGAATTTTACCAAAAGCGCCGAGACTCGGAATTTTCTACTGACAATGATAAGAAAACCATTTAAAAACAATATCTAGCTAATAAAAATCAGATTAAGATTTTTTTTGGGTGAAATAACCAACTTTAAAATTTTGTAAAATCTTGAATTCCAGACACAAAATCGAAAATTTTGTAAACAAAAGTAAGTCAATGCCCAAAAAGCTGGACACCAAAAATGTTCCTTTTTTATTAAGGAATCCAAAAATATAATCAGAATTTTGAAAAAGTGAAAATAATTTTCTCGTCGACCCCTTCCTTAACTTCTCAATACACGTGGTCCAATCATTGGACCACGGCGACTTTGACCCCCTGTAATTCCCGTTGTAGTAATCTGTTTGACCTGAATTTTGTAATGTGAGCTGATAGGACGTAAACGAACCACTGTGTGAAGTTTCGAATGAAAACTCAAAAGTGGTGGCGTTTCGCGCCACATTTCTCTATCGCTCTCTGGTTGAAAATCGGAACGGATTTTTCAATTGACAATAGTATATTTTTATAGAAGAGGGTTCAAGCTCTCTAACAATACATTTATGAGTTTTAACTCAACGGAAACGTCAATTAGAGCCAAAAGTTCTGGGCGCTATTTTTCACATTATGAATTTGGCGCGCCGCGCGGGGCTGAATAATGCATTGTGGTCCAATTATTGGACCACGTGTTTTGAGGGTATAGTAGCGCGCCCGTGTTTTGAGAAGTTAACTATCGTTTAATACAGGCGCGGAGCGCACAACCGATTTTAAAGTTTGAAAAATTGGCATTTTTGCCGACTTTGGTATTGGAATACCGAAATTGGTATTGGAATACCAAATAGTATTGTAATCGACCATTTTCCGTTTTCGACCCCTGTGCCTCAGGTAGTGTACCCTGGCGGGGTAAGGTTAAGAAATCCTATGTTCAACAAAAATAGTCGGCATTCAAGTTTTACCGGCTTTTTTGTTCCTTTACTTGACCTTAGTTTATGCGGATCCGATACTTCATGGTCCACGCTGCTTGGACGGGATAACCGCAAAGTGATTAATTGAAAAATATCGCAGCTATCCTAACTTTTTATTCCCCGTAGCTTGCAAACAGTGCAACGTTTTAGTTCTTGATGTTTTAGAGAGTAAAACAGGGCCTTCATTATTCCTTGAGAATAAACTAATAGCTTTTATTGCCGATAAACTCGACGTGAAAGAGCTAAAATAAAAAATAAGGTATCGGACACATTAGATGTTTCATAAGAAACTTACAAGCAAGGCTCATCCACATCCTTAGTGGAATCAATCGACCTTGTTTGCGATAAAATCTTACAAATCATTTTCCATAAAGAACAGGAATAGAATCTCGACCACTAATTCTTTGGTGGAATTCGACCACATAATCGCTAGATTTCTCCCTTTTTGAATTTTTGTGTCTCGAAAAAACTGGAAGTGCAATTCACGATTAAGTTTCATCATTTTTTTATTGGCTTTTGGTTAGTTGAAACATCGCGGTTTACTAGGCGATTTACTTGTTACGCACGTTTTTAAGGTTTAGTTTTCAAATTCGTAACTAGCAATTTAAACTTGCTAAAAAACATGTTTATAAAATATAATGAATTTAGGGTTATGAAATCGTAAAAATAAGAATTAAATTCTTCAAGAAACTAATAATTTCAAAAAGAAATCCCCTTGATGACTTTAAAAACCGCTGTATCTCAATACGTTCAATGACGGACTGAAACATTTGTCAAATTGGACACGGGTCCACGACTAAATTAAATTTTTTATCACTTACCTTAAAGCCTTGCATCATTACACATAATTTAACTAGAAAAATTCTTGCCGCGATTTTAATCAATTTTTATCAAACTTTCTCCGACTTTCTTTGAAGCGAGACCGTTCCCTTAAGCTCCGATTGCTTCAAAAGAATTGGTAACTCGAAATCTAAATGGACCATCTAAAATGGCAAAAATATAGCAATAATTCTTTGTTTTTATTGACTTCTGTTCAGATCTTTGGAAAGGTTTGATAGTAGAAATTTTTGACGGCATAGGCTGATCCAGCAATATTCCATTTATTAGACAAGTAGACATCGAGGTCCTCATCGGCATAGACATCATCGGTGGGAACAGTGTTCGAAAAAAATTTTAACGTCATCGAGAAACATGGATAGATCAGTCAAATTTGGGTCGTTTGAATTTTGTCTTCGCTCAAATCGCCAGGTCTGCCACACGCCAGGAACGCAATCGAAGAAGCCGCTCCTCGCCCTCCACTTGTCCGTTGAAGGATCATCGACGCACAACTCCAGCTGATGGTTCTTTTTGTGACGGTTAAGCATGAAGAATCGCTGTCCGGGATTTCCGTCTTTATTGTCCGAGGTCATCTGGAGAATGTTTGTGTAGTTTTGATTGTCTATGTCCATGTCGTGAGAGCACTTGACTTCGGCGCTGACGACGCTGTTGATTTCAGCAGTGACTGTTCCGCATTTGTTGTTGAAGCTAGGATTCATCTCGCAGGAGCCGACAAAGGTGATACAGTCAGTCTTGCCATCACAGGGATCAACAGCGACGCATTGTTCGTATTCGATTTCGTCAAAGGTTTGGTAGAAGAAATTCCGAATTGAGTAGTCTTTCGCAGCGTCGTTCCAACTATTCGAAGCGAAAACATTCAATTCGTCTCCTTTCAATACTCGATGGGTCGCAACAACTCGTTCAGCGACGATGTCATCATCGATGCTGACGACGATGTTGGTAAGGGTTGGGTCGTTTTCGTCTTGTCGCTGCTCAAGTTTGAAAGTGTTCCATTCGCCAGGTACGCATTCGAAATCATCAGATTGTGAAAAGAACTTGCACCTTTCTGGATCGGCAAAGCTGAGTGAGATCGATTGAGAGTCTGGTCGGCGATAGAGCGCGAAGAATCGCTGTCCAGCGTTTCCGTCCAAAGCCATGTTCGTAACCTGCACAAAGTTCATCCACGTGCTGGATTCAACATGTGTGCAAAGGACATCAATCGACATCACATGGTTGACAGAAGCGGTGACAGTGGTGATAAGGTTTTCTCTGGACGGGTTGATAGCGCAGTCATCGATGAAAGTTTCGCAATATTGCTTGCCATCGCATGGATCGTCACAAGGTATCTCCTAGGACGAATATAACTGACATGAATTAATCTTTTTTTTTTCAACTCTTACGCTGAGCCATAGCCTCGACTCAAGGAAAACGAGCTAAAAACTAGAAAAAAGTTTACCGGACACATTGGATGTTCGCAGTTGACACATCCCTCTTTGCACTTCTCTCCACAGGGACAATAGTCGCGGCAGTCTTAAAATTCCTTGAGATTTCATTTGTGAATGGCCTTACTTTGATATTCTCGGTCGCAAATCGACTGGCAATATTCTGTCTCGCACAAAAGACGACAGCGATTGTATTCGACTCTGCACAGTCCGACACATTCCACTTGTATTTCGGCGTCGCTGGAATAGCTCAAGAAAGATAGAAAATAAAAAAAAACTTACGGGCAAGGCTCATCGGCATCTTTACTTGAATCGATTTTAAGAATACCCTGAAAAATCAGTAAAACCTGAAAAATAACCATTTTTGTCTCTCAGAAGAATGTGATAGGGGCCCTGCTTTGAAAAGCGTTTTTTCTGTGTCGAATAAACATTTAACAAACTGTTGCGAATTCAAGCAGATGCTATATAAAAAAGTGTTCTTATGATCATTCAAGTTTATTTACTGTTCTGAACTGATAGAAATTACATGAACTACATCGGTAAGTGCATGTGGGGACCTTCAGGATCCGGTCAATGTCTGTAACTGTCTAGATTTTGGTTTGTTGATTTTGATCTTGATCAGTTACAGTGTGAATCTTAGGAGAAGTCTGATAATAGAAGTTTCGGACGGCGTATGCTGATCCAGCAATGTGCCATCTGTTGGACAAGTAGACATCGAGGTCGTCATTTGCATAGACATTATCAGTTCGAACAGAGTTCGAGAAAACAGTGACGCCATCGAGAGAAACTGAGAGATCAGTCATAATTGGGTTTTCTGAATTCTGCGTTCGCTCGTACCGCCATGTCTGCCACTCTCCAGGAACACAATCGAAATACCCACTTCCAGACCACAATTTGTCGTTGGAAGGATCATCGACTGAGAGTTGAAGCTGTTGATTGTCTTTGTGCCGGAGAAGCATGAAAAATCGCTGTCCGGGGTTCCCTTGGAGATTCGAGGACGTCAACTGGAGGATGTTTGTCCAGTCGCCGAGTTCCATGTCGTGTGAGCACTTGACTTCGGCGCTGACGACGATGTTGATCTCAGCAGTCACTCTACCGCATTGGTTTTTATAGCTTGGTTGCATCTCGCAAGAGTCGACAAAAGTCGTACAGTCGTTTTTGCCTTCACATGGGTCAACAGCGACACATGGTTCGTAATTAATCTCGTCAAAGGTTTGGTAAAAGAAATTTCGAATTGAGTAGTCTACAGCAGCGTCGTTCCATTTATTCGAAGCGTAGACATTTAGTTCATCTCCTTTCAAGACTCGATGGGTAGCAGCGACTCGTTCAGCGACAATAGTATCGTCGATGCTGACGACGATGTTGGTAAGGGCTGGGTCGTTTTCGTCTTGTCGCTGCTCGAGTTTAAAAGTGTTCCACTCGCCAGGCACGCATTCAAAATCATCAGCTTGCGAAAAGAACTTGCATATTTCTGGATAGGCGAAACTAAGCGAAATCGACTGACAGTCTGGTTGGCGATAAAGCGCGAAGAATCGCTGCCCAGCGTTTCCGCTCATAGCCATGTTGGTCATGTGAACAAAGTTCATACCGGTGCTCGATTCGACATGAGTGCAGAGGACATCAACGGATGTGACGTGATTGACTGAAGCAATGACAGTGGTGATGAGGTTTTCTCTAGATGGATTGATTGCGCAGTCATCGATGAAAGTCTCGCAGTTTTCTCTGCCCTCGCAGGGATCGTCACACGGAATCTCCTAAGAAAGATAAACCCTGGACTCAAGGCCCAAAAGTTTAAATAAAGAAAAAAGTGTACCGGACACATTGGATGCTCGCAGTTGACACATCCCTCTTTGCACTTCTCTCCACACGGACAATAGTCACGGCAGTCTAAAACTTTCTTGAGATTGTATTTCTGAATAGCCTTACTTTGATATTCTCGGTCGCAAATCGACTGACAGTATTCCGTTTCGCAAAGAAGACGGCAGCGATTGTATTCAGCTCTGCACAGTCCGATGCACTCCACTTGTATGTCGGCGTCGCTGGAAAAGCTCAAGAAACATGAATAATCAGAAGAAACTACTTACGGGCAAGGCTCATCCGCATCTTTACTGGAATCAACTTTAAGAATACCCTGAAAAATCAGTAAAACCTGAAGTACAATCATTTTTCGTCTCTCAGAAGAATATTATAGGGGTCCTGCTTTGAATACCATTTTTTCTGTGTTGAATCAATCATAAAAAACTGTTGCGAATTCAAGCAGATGCTAAATGAAAAAAGCTTTCTTATGATCATTCAAGTTTATTTATTAAGAAATATTTAGTGTTCTGAATCAATAAAAATCTACTCAACTTCATTAAAAGTTCACTTGGTGCACTCCACAATCTTTTCAATCTTGGAAACCGTCTCCAATGCCTTTCTCAATATTTCGTTTGTTGATTTGCCGCTCTCGACAAAAATTTGCCTGAAATTTTCGATAAAGGCACTCTATTGCGGCGAAGTCGCCTGTTTTCGGATACGATAAGTAGCATCCGGCCAAAAAGAATAATAAAACTCCGTGCACACTATTTGGTGGCCCAGTTCTTGCGATATATCACAGTTTTAATCGAACAATTTTTCGGTGAAAAAAAATGCCAAGTCGTCTAATAGTAAGAGATAATAAATGGTGGTCGAGTTTGAAATTAAATTTAAGGTGACATGTGTAGTCGGAATTCTTGTCTTCGGAGCTCTGGTCGCAACAATTATAACTCCGATTTTTCTCAGAAAAAATCAGGATGCAAAAACAACAAGTGCCTCAACCACGAAGTCCACAACAATAACAACGACCACAACTACAACGACAAGCACAGTCATTACCTGCGAAGCCCATTCTTGTCAGAATGGGGGAATTTGTGAAGAAACCAACGACTCAATTTTTTGCGCTTGTCTGGATGGTTTTTCTGGTGATTTTTGCGAGATCGGTCCTTGTCCAAACAATCCCTGCGAGTACGGCGGAGCGTGTTCCTTTTTCAATGGTAGTTTTGTGTGCTCGTGCTTAGATGGCTTCTCTGGAGAGCGATGCGAAACTACTCCTTGCTCCGGGGATCCGTGTGAGGATGATGCGATCTGTACAATTACTGGAAACACTTATGTTTGCTCTTGCAAAGATTGGGCACACGGAGAATCGTGCGTGATAACTCAGTGTTCCTATGAGCCTTGTAAATATGGAGAGTGCATGTTGTTCGGAGAAAAGCATCTATGCAAGTGTCCTTCTGACATGTTCTCCGGCCGGCGATGCGAAATTAACCCCTGCGAGCAAAACAGCAATGATGCAAGCAAACCACCAGCTTGCTTCAACGATGGAGTCTGCTCAATGGACGGCGATGATTTCAAGTGCGATTGTCCCGAATTTTACTCCGGAAAAAGGTGCGAAATTCATCCTTGCATGGATTTTCCTTGTCAAAATGGAGGGGCCTGCGAAATTACTGGTGACGACTCTTTCATTTGTGATTGTCCTCTGGGCGCTTCTGGAAATACTTGTGAAGAAATAACGGAAACAACAAATAAGTGCTTCGATCTTGAGTGCGACGGAGTTTGCCTTGAAATGAAAGACGGACAACCCAAGTGCTTTGGAAACTCACTCGTTGGCTTCGTCAACAATGATGATTTTAATGTATGATTTCCTCGATAAACTTTGAATAACAAATATTAGTACACGATGAGTTGTGGTCCGATTCATGGTTCGACGATGGCCACTTCACCTGAAATCAAAATCCATCATTTCGATATCGTCCCGAGTTTTAGAAAAAATGAATACTTTATCAACACTCATGGCTGCGGTAACACAGGCAACTGCAGAGCTAGCTTTCCTAAAGGAAGGGTCTGTAAATCTGATATTCGAAGCCGGGAAAAAAGAACCAGACTACAGAACCCTGAAAAGACAAGTCTTCTGAAGGTGGACTCGTTTTTCACCAAGAAAAAGGTAAATCCGGATTTCTTCAAACATGGCTCCTCACAGAAAATTGCGAGGTAAGATTCAACTTTCAATAATTATTTATATAAAATTTATTATATGAATTTTCAGATGGATGATTGCTTTTGGACGATCAAAGATACTCTTGACCTAAACCTCGGTGAGCTCAAACTTGGAGCTTTTTTTTAATAGTTATTCAAGCTTGGAGAGCTCAAGAAATAGAATGTCCACCTGGAACCGGTGTCTGTTACTATGTTAACGAGATTGAGATTCTTCGCTTCGATGCCAACGACGAGCGTTTCCGATGGACTCTTAGATCGAATGCAACGGATCTTCTTTGAAATGCCGAAATTTCTTTTGTAATAATTTAATGCTTAGCTTGTATTTTAAGGAAGAATAGATCAGTATATTCAAAATGATTGCCATTCTTCAGCAGGTTTGAAATTTAGAATTTTTGGGGTCCATATATTTTTATCATGATGGCGAAAAGAGTCAAAAGCAAATTGGCAAGAGCAGTAGCAGCTGCAGCTTTGTTCCTTGGAAAATATTTATTTTGACGTATTTAGGGTTAGGTTTTGGGTTAGAGATAGCGTTACGGATAAATAACCTGACTTTTCGTAGATCTTGATCAATTTTTTCATTCATTTCTTTCTTCTTTGATTCTGGCAAAGGCCTGAGAGTGCCTGAATCGGGTGAGAGCATATTTGCCCAGAATTTTCCCTCCTTCGCACTCGCTAATGGCGGAAATTTCTGGCTGCCATTTTTCAATAAATATTCAGTTCTACTTTCGTCGTCTTTATCGTCAATCGAATAAACCTTCAAATCGGATGATTCGCATCGAATTCCCCAACTCAAATTGTTCATATTCGTTATCGCGAAAATCTGAAAGAAATACAAATGATCGATGATAAATACGAGTACTGCATAAATTACCTGAAGAAAAATATTATTCATCGGAATAAACAGAACATAAACAACGCTGCTGAAAGTACATTTCATATCGCAGAAAATTATCGTTGATATCAAATAAATAGCTCCTAACACAGTAACTAGCACTGCAAGGGGGTCAAAATCAAGCCTTGAAATCCAAACATCAGGAAAAGCAAAGGGTAGAACCATGGAGCAGGCGTAGACTGTCGAGAGAAATTTCGCTGACTGCAATTTTAACGGTTCGAAATCTGACAAACAGATCATCGAAAACACAATAACAGGTGCAAAAACGATGGCAAAAGCGGTCCATCTTGTAATGTAACCCGCAGCAAAGATTTCAAGCCAATTCCAGATAACTAAAAGCGTTGCAGATATGCTGATGGAAGAAACGCCCCAAGAAAAAGCTTCGCTGTAAATTAAGTTCTTCAGCCAAGAATTATTGTTTACTGCTTCTCTTCGTTTCGAATTAAAGTCAAACATGTTGAGAACAAATTGTGGTCCCCATCTACGTCGCTGTTTAAAAAATGCATCAAAATCTTCGGGCGCAAAGTTTTTACATCGACTCTTCCCTTCGTATTCAATCCTTGCGCCGTTGAGCAGCATGAGGTTGCAAAGATATCTATCGTCTCCTTGGTCGAACCAGAGTTCGAAATCTGGGGAAAAGCTCCCAAAGTCCGAAGCATGTTAGGGTTAGGGTAAGCCAGAGACGTGCAAGGGGCCTATTGCAGGGGCAGTGATTTTCTGCCAGACTTCGAACTCTGGGTCAAACATTATTTTTGTTCTTCCATCTGATGCCTCCTTGGCGTAATCCTTCAGGACTGGCTTCAATGCTGACATTCTCAGTATGCAAAAACAATGAGACGTGCACAAAACAGAGCCGAGGAATTTCTCGGAGAACAATTTAGAGTAATGTTGAATGCCGTACTCAAAATGCTGAAACCAAACCATCGGGCCTAAAGACAGCGTTAAATAAGTTTAAAAAGACGGATTTACCGCTTCCTGTTGGCTCAATTTGACTGCAACAAGCGGCGATTTCCGATGAATCCAGCATTCTTGAAAGAACAAGGTCGAAATCCACCGGTCTAAAATCCACATCTCCATCAATCGCCAAAATAAATGAATTTTCCTCCCTGATCCTCGCATCTTTTTCCTGCTTTATCTTCCAGTGGCAGACATAATTCATGTACATAACTTGTGTCCATCGTAATCCTTTCTTGATCTTTTCCGAATCTTTCAAATGAATAGTCCACTCGACTCCAAAAACAAGCAACCGAATTCGCCCTCCATAAGGCGTTTCGGCGAGTTCTCCTTGATTCCCAATATTTTCCTGGCTATTTTCAGGCAAAACTCTTTCGAGGACTTCCAAGTACTGATTGACCCATTTGTTCGTTACTTTCCCAGATGCGGTTTTGTCAAAAGAGTCATCAAAAAAGAAGTGAATTTCAAGCTCGAAGTCATTTTTCTGATGATTTTTCTTATTTTTAATCAACCTTGAATAGAAAAATAAGAAGAAAATTGAGTTCAAACTCACCTTATAAGTGACTTCGTAAGAGTTTCCATCTCAAGTTCATTTTCATGCCAAAGTGGTACACAAATAAATACAAAAGGAGTATCTTTAGGTTTTCTCGTAGCGCAACTCGCAGCTTCCTTCGACATTATAGACTAGCAAACAAATTCACCCACCTCCCCCAACTTCATTTCCGGCCTATCTCAGCTCATTGACATTTTTGATAGAAATAAATTTACCCAACACTTCCCATCATTTTCGAATTTTGAATATGGTGGGTTGTGGTGTTGGATGTGTGCCCACCTCCACCCAAGCACCATTTCAACCATTTTTTGCAGACCCCAAGACCTGGGGCCAAGGTAAATACTCTGAGGCTCAGAGTCAGAGCATTCGTAACTTCGAAAATATTTGATCAAATCAATCGAGCTCCCAATTTTTCTTTCGAGCCTCTTTCTCGAACTTTATTCATAAAAATGGAAGCAGTGTGGGAGTTTTTTCCAAGCAAAAAAGCTTTTGAAAGTGTACCATATGTTACGAAAAATCAAGTAGAGAAAGTTGCCGAGTTTTTAAAAACTCGTTCAAGAGCTGAAATCCTGACGATCAGCACTTTAGGAATGGTTTTATGATCAATTTGATTGTCAGTTTAAATCTTTGTCTAAAGTTTAGGGTTAGGGTTAGGGGTAGGTTAAACCATGAAAGGCTTGACTGGTGTGATTGGCTACTGCTGGCTTCAGAACAAATGGAAGTATTGGCAGCGCAAAGGTGTTTCTGGGCCGAAACCGTCTTTGGCCGACTTGGGAAACACTATCTCAACTTTCAACGATCTTGGTGTAGGGCTCTTTGAGAAGTACGCAGACCAAGACGTGATCGGCATTTACTTCTTTTTCACTCAACCCTGTCTGATAGTCAAAGACCCAGCTATTTGGAAAGAAGTGGCGATCAAGGGCTTCCACAACTTTACAACGAGGGGCCGAAGCGAAGCGAATTTCGCGTTCGGAAAAATGGCTCCTGACTTCGTCACTCTGGCAGAGGGGCAAAAATGGAAAAGGATCAGAAATACGATCGTTCCATTCTTTTCTGGAGCGAGGCTGAAGGAGACGTGCTTGGTGCTTCAAGATACGTACGAACATTACGAGAACACGGCCGTTCCCAAATCGGCGGAAACTGAAGTTGACGCAAAAGCATTCGCGGCTGGACTCACTCTTCGCGCCATTCTTGGCTCTGGTTTAGGCCTTAGTGCAAAAGAAAACGAAGAACTTGTGGAAGAAGTTTATCGCCACGCAAACATCCTTTCTCAAACAAGTTTTTGGGGATTCATCAAGACTTCGACTGTCCCACGATGGATTAGATACAAGTTAAACATGACAAACTATCCTTCTTCGACGGATGATTTCTTCAGGGAGGTCATTGCCCAGATCATGGAGCAGAAGTCGAGCGGCCGGACGAATCTAGTGTCGCTGATGGCTAATAACATCATTGAAAAATCACAGGAGTACACTGCGACAAAAGGGTTGACAAAGGTAAGAAAGCTCAGAAGAAATTTAAATTAATCATAATAGGGTTAGGGTTAGTGGATGGTCACCGTCTGATGGTGTCTGAAACCGACAAAAAATTTTTGACAAGTTTTGCGTGGGCGGCTAATCGGCTGCTGATTGGCCGGTTTGCCGAATCCAGACTTCTGATTGGTTGAAAGCTTCCACGAAAAATTCAATTTTGTCGATATATTTTCGTCGGTTCCAGACACCTCCCAGGATTAGTGTTTGGCTTAGGGTTATGGTTAGGGTTAATTAATAATAATAATTCATTACCAAATTGCGTTTCAGGACGAAATCATCGCTCAAACTTTGATCTTCAAACTCGCCGGCCAAGATACAACCGCGACTGCCTTATCCTTCCTTCTCTTTGCCCTGGCGAAAACCCCTAGCGTTCAGGAGGAAATCTACAACCAAGTAAAAAGCGCAGATCTGAGCTACGAGGGGCTGAAAAAGATCAAATTCATCGACGCATGCATCAAAGAAGCGATGCGCTTTTTCAAGTTTATCGTTCTCCTTCGCGAGGCGGATCAGGACTGCGAAGTTGCAGGCGTAAAGGTTAGGTTTAACCAATAAAAATGAAGATGAGAGAAAATTTAGATCGAAAAAGGCACGCTTGTCTTGTTTCTGCCGAATCTTGTTCACAGAAGCGCCGAATTTTACCAAGATCCGGATGTTTTCAACCCTCATCGATTCGACGGAAATGAATCAAACACTCTTCAAGGTACCTACTTCACCTACTTCACCCCTACTTTTGACGCCTTTTCAGACGACTACTGGTTTGGTTTCGGAATCGGGCCCAGATCTTGCCCGGCAGTTCGGTGGGCCTTTGTATCTATTAAAATCTTCGTTGCGAATATTCTCAAAACCTACGAGCTCCTTCCTGGAGAAAACACGCCCGAACTGAATGAGGTGAAAGTAAGACTTGCTGGTCCGAAAATTGAAACGACTGTTCCGATGAAAATTCGATTCAGAAAACGAGCTTGAATTTTTAAAGTCAGAGCATTCATGATATTTGAGGCTCATAATAAACGATTCTCAACTCTTATCTTTTTGGTTGTTTTAATATTTTTGTTAATTTTATTATGAGCATTGATCTTGCTTTTTTGGCCTTTTTCGCCTATAGAATTCAACGAACTCTTTGTCCTTCTTGTATTCAACTCTAGCTCTTTAATAATTGACAAAAGTTATTTTATTATTATTTTATTATTTGGGACTAAAAATGCGATCGGATAAAAACACCACTGATCCTGGAGAAATCAACAAACAATACCAAAATACGGCCGAAATAGTGATTTATTCATAGTAGGTTTTTTCAGAAGAAATCGCCAAACAGAGAAATATCAATGAGAAAATTTGAATCCAATCTGAATTGTTGACAATGACTCGTTAAGGTCGAGCTTAGTTTCCGCACTTCATTTGCTTGAGTTTTCTGGTGACGATCTGTCTTCGCTGACGGTGGATAAGAGCGTTCAACTTGGCTGGCTTGTACTCGGCGTTTGGCATGCAGACGAAAGAGTCGGTGAAGGAGACGAGCGAGGCAAAAAGGCCATTCAATTCCTCGCAGGCGTCGGCGGAATCGACAGGTGCGACGAAAGTGGTGTGGTCGTTCGAGCCAGCGGGGTAGGTGCAGGGATCGGCGGAAGAGAAGGAGTTGAGCTTTTGCATCTTAGCAAAGAAAGCGTTGAATCTAGCGACCTTCTTTGAAGCAAGGACCGAATTGACGCCGAGGCCGGGGAGAGCATCGTAGAAGTCGTCGACACGGATGGCAATGTCAGCAGCGGCGGCTTCGATCTGCGCCCAAGCATCAGCGGGAGAAGGAGCGGCAGGTTCCTCAGTGGCACCGCCAGCGACGATGTCGATCTCGAAGCCTTTGTAATGCGAAACAAAGTCAGTTTGGAACGTGATCGTCGCGGTGTTTCCAATGACAGTATGCTTTTTCAAACCGGTAGTGATTGGATTGACAACAGTGCGTCCCGAGAGAGATGCTCTTTCCTTTTCCAGCTCGGCGTCTCGTTTTCGTCGAAGAGTGCTGGGATCGGTAAATCCACAGTAGTTCACTTCGTAACCTGCCCCATCGACGATTCGGAGAAAATCGAATCTGCAATCTCCGCTGGTTTCAACGGCGAAGCTTTTGGCGACAAGATCGAAACTCGCGACTGACGCGTCTAGCTCGACCTCCCAGATGCAGCTCGTGTCGGCGTAGTAGAATCCACCGTTTGTGGGAGAGACGATCGTCTGGTCGCTTGTAATCGTTCCACCGCAGGTTATACCTGCACTGCTGGCGTAGTCATTATAGCTCACACCCGATTCAAAGGCGGCGGCGGAAGCAATGAGGGCTTTGGCGACGTTCTTAACAAAATTATTATTTTTGTTTTCTTTTTCAAAGATTAACCTTCATTCTCGTCTCTCTTTCTGATTTTTAATCAGCTTGTCAGACTCGTTTTGGAATCTGAATTCGATCGAATGCGCCGCGTTTTTATGGCCCATGATTCTTGAGCTGTCGCTGGCGGGCGATAGTAAGCAATACCGAGTTATCTGGAGCAAGAACGTTTTTCTGACGTTTTTTAATAAGAGTACAAAGTGCGGTAGAAGAACTAGACAGAAAACGAGTCCATAACATGACCTAATTGAAGTTGCAACCTAAATGAAATTGTAACCCGTTGACGCTAAGTTTGAAGACCGCGACGGGAAGCTACGAATTCATAAATACGTACTTTAATGTAGGATTCTGTCCTGAGATATAGAAATGGGGCAGAGTAAAGAGAGACTAATTAGTAACCGGTCAAGCTGAAAAAATTCCGGAATTGTGCGTAAGGACTGTTATTGCTACCGAATTATCTTCCGCACTTTCGGGCTAAAATTCTAGAGCCGATTCTTTCTCTAAGAGGCTACCTAAACGACATATTCACTTAGATTTTTCCCGCCGATAAATCTGAGCAGCAGTTATTTTTTTCAAAAGTATCTTCATAAACGAAAATAATGTTGAAAAAAGACATTCTGAACGAGATTCTTTACTGAATTCACCGTTCTCCTAAGCTGTCTATTTTGTCACCAGAAACATGTTGGGAGAAGCTTATTTTGATCAGTCTATATTTTTGGCAATGATCCTTGACCTGTCGCTTGCGGGCGATACAACTCAATACCGAGTTATCTGGAGCGAGGAACGCTTTTCTGACAATGAGTACAGAGTGTGGTAGACAAAATAGACAGAAAACGAGTCCATTACATGACCGAGTTTAAGAGGCATGGTATTATGGTCAGTCTATTTTTCCAATTTCAAGTAAAAATATGCCGAATCAGAACTAAGAGGTTAATTTCCGCTCTTTGAGACCCTGACTTAGCTCTTCTGTACTGGTTGGTCAGCAAAAAAAAAACAAAAAAGAAATGGCAATTACGAAATTTTGGGGAGAAAATAGACACACCGACCTTTATTTTTCACTGCACCTTCCGTACTCCTGAGTTGTTCCTTTTATTTTACTACCGTATTTATGATCGTTTTAAACTTTTTGTTGAAAACAAATTTATTTGTAATGAATAAGTAAAGAAAAAGATCTATTCTGATCAGAACAATATCCAGTCCATGAGTTAAAAACTGATTTACGGGCAAATCTAAATAATATTTGATGAAATCCACATAATGTGGATTAAAATTTTTAATTTGTACCTGGTTGTCTAAGCAAGGTCTAAGTGAAATGGCCTCATTGCAGTTGTCTTCTGTACAACTTTCCTTGCAGGTTTCTTCGCGATAATTTTCATACCCATTGTGGTTAATTTCAAAGCATGTTGGACTGTCTTCAAAGTTGCTCTTGAAGCTTGAGCAACCTTTGTTTAGCTGATGAGAATATGTCCCATCGAACTGAAATTTTAAAAACAAAATCATTTATTTAAAAATAACCAGGTTCAATTTGAATTACTTTCAAAAATCGAGCGTTGGCATTCACTATCTAACCTCGCGTGTGTATGCTGCAGTAAAACAGCTCGTATCGGCATATGCGGGACAATCAATGGTTTCTTCATTTTCGCACTCAAGGTCGTTGTATGCGCCGATTTTTGTTTCACTACAGGTTCTGCAGGATTTGACAGTTCCGGTTGAATATTCTGATAGGACTTCTACGTTCGTTCTTGAGTCGTTGCAGCCGTCTTCTTGACAAACTGTTTTGCAGTCTTTGAACTTAATAAAGAATGAAGCGAATGATACTAATCCATGTCTACCTCGAATCCTATTTCGTCCTCATTCATCGACTCTTTGCATCCTAAAGACCCGATATATGATGCACTTGCACATTTCCGAGTCATTGTAGAAACAAGTACCCCATCAAATCGAAAATCAACCATAACAGAAGTAACACAGTATTCCTCTCCAATCGCGCACCCCCTTGCAACCATAAACTGAGAATCTTCTGGATTCTCCCAACAGTCCCGATTCTTTTCGTCTTTGAATCCGATATGATCCCTTTCTCCTGTGCAAACGAAGCATTTTATCGCATCACTCGGGCAAAAAATTATGGCAAAAACGATAATTAGCGAGTTTTTCATTTCGAAATCTCTTCGAATAATCCTATATGAATCATATAATATGATATCACAAATGAAGAATCAACTGAACACTTTCAAGTTGATATTTAGCGAGGAGCACGCTTTGGTTTCCATTTGAACTTTAAGAATCATCTTGGCAAATGTAAATTTTATTATGAGCATAAATTCATCATTGATTCTGTTCCTAAAATATTCCTAGAAGGGCAAAATCTGCTATTTGAACAATTTTCAAGAATAATTAAGAGTCACTCATAATTGGTCAGGTAAAAAAGTCCCCTTGAAATTTTTTTTTGAAGATTTTATTATAAAAACAAGAAAGAATCGATGCAAAAAGATATTTACAAAGAGCGAAGATAGGCAGAAAATAAATTAGAAAGCAGGGGTAAAGTATTGTTGGAAGCTGTCTTCGGGGCTGAAAGAAACGGATGGTGGATTGATTGGAGCGTTGTAGATTTGCTCTTGGGCACCCTCGGGGACGGGGGCTGAAGCTGGTGGAGAGTAGCAGCCAGAGTCGTTGGGGCTGTTTCCGCCGGAAGAGTTGCCTGGCTGCTGGATTTGCTGGACGTCGTAGAATTGTTGGGGAGCGATGTTCTGGTAGATCTGCGCTTGTTGGAAGTAGGCTTGTTGAGTGGCGTAGAACTCTTGCATGAATTGAGCGTTTTGAGCAGTCATTCCAGCGCTAAATTCTTGAGGCCACGAGGTTGGCGGAGAATCGGCCATTGGAGGAGGAGAAGGCACCATTGTTGGGACCGCTGGAGCATTTGAAGGGCAAAGTGCGGTTTGAATCGGCTGATTGGAGACTTGCTGGGCGTGGCATTGTTTTCGGTATCGAGCTCGTCGGTTGGAGAACCAGATTTGAATGCGATTCTCAGTCATGCCGGTGAGAGCGGAGAGTTCTTCGCGGACGTAGACATCGGGATAGTGGGTTTTGAGAAAGGCACCTTCGAGGGCGTCGACTTGAGCTTGAGTGAAGTTGGTTCGAGCTCGACGAGGCTTGGTTGGCGCGGCTTGTTGAGCTGCTGGTGGTGGAGAAAGATCAAGATCGGAAGCGGGGTCGGTTGTGTCGCCTTCTTCCGGGCAACCCTTTTGGCGGAGCACTCGTTTGATTTGATCGACGGAAGGGACTTTTTGGACGCCTTGTTTGACCATTTCTTCTCGCATCTCCCAGGCGTAGGCAAATTGCTTGCGGTACTCGATGATCAGATATTCATGCTCCTTGCTGACGTTGGATCTTCTCTTCGAGCCGCCGGAAGCGCCAGGCTTGATTTGACCAGTCTTGTTGAAGCGGGAGAGGATCTTGGAGACGCAGCCGTGAGAAACGCGCAGATCACGAGAAATGACGCAGGGGCGGATTCCCATTTGAGACATTTGGACGATCTTCTCGCGAGTTTCCAGGGAGAGGGGACGACCGTTGACGAAGGCACCGCCGAGTTGGTTGAGTCGAGCTTGGTTTTGCATTTTTGAAGATTGTTTTTTGCTGTTTGTTTGCTTGTTTGAATGTTTTGTGATATGATGATTGCGATTTCGGATGTTGCTTATATTCGGGAAGGATGAGAAACAACGCCCTCTCTAGAAACAGGTGGAAACAGGTTGATCTTTCCATCCGGCGCACTGGCAATCCTGCACCTTGCCTCATCAGGTTCACTTTTCCCTTCGGCGCGTGGCACAGCCCAGCTGCGCTTTCTTTGGCAAGGTGCGGCTTCAATCAAGAGGGCCTGCCCGTGAAATTACGCGTAATTATTGACTTTCCTTCCTACGAACGGGGATGGAAATGACTTAGAACCATGAAATTGAACAGTTTCTTTTTTATTGGCACTTTTCAAAAATATAAGTTTGACCGACTTTCATCGAAGCTTCTAACGGGCAGTAAATGGACTCTTCTTGTACTTCTCCGTGTTTGATGTAAATTCTGTCGATTGTTGCGTAATGAGAAAGGTTGATCAGTCCCCCAGCGAAATCAAGTTTCACCCAGAGCGAGTTGATGGATCCGAGATTTTCTTTGAGAGTCAGCGGAGTTCGCATTTGAAAGCCTTCATAAGGGGTTATTGGAGACTCGTTGATTTTCAGAGTGATTGGAGAGCCAGAAGAATGAAGATACCTGAAGCTTTTTAGATCGGATTTTGGAAAGAAGGCTTACTGAATTTCCAAGTCTAGTTCAAGATTTCGATCTGTATTTGCATTAAAATACAGTCGCTGAAGATTTTCATGGACACAGAATGGCTTTTTGTCGCCGGTATTCAAATAAACTTCGTTCAAATTCGGCTTTGGCATAATATCTTTGTAATGAATCGAGTTCCAGCCCATTTCCGGGAGAAGATTGTTATCCCAACTTTCCAAACAGTAGCCTTCGTAGAAATCCGTCCATCGTTTGCACTAGAATCCGGTAAAATTGAGCGTCAAGAAAGCAACTAACCTTGTAGCTTTTATAATTGCAGTTTCTCGGAATACTTTCTTCAAAAAATCTGATCGCTCGTTGATGATAGCAGACGGCAAAGTCCCTCAATCCTTCCCAAATTCCGCCATTGTCCGTAATTTGGTCAAAAAGACCGCCTTCGCAGCCCGGGTGATTTGTCCCGTTATTTGGCCAGAAATCGACATGGCCAACTGGATAAGAAAGTCCAAGACCTTGGACGCCTCCCGAGAGAAATTGAGTAGCATCGGAGTGGATAACCGAGACAAAATCAGCGTCAGAATATCCCAGGCAAACTTCATCTGGAGTATCTTTGAAATACGGCTCAGCAGGGTCCAGTCCGTGAATCACTGGCAATTTGACTCCGTATCGTTTTTGGACATTTTGACCGACGTAGCCACAAGCTTGCGCGCCGAGACTGTGCCCGATGCAGGTGATTTTGGAGACCATCGAGTTCATGCTTCTGAAAAACGGCTCCATGTCCTTGATCAGACAGCCGACAGAGCCGCCAACAACTTGCGTGTCCGTAGCTGCCTGAGCGTATTGGATAGTCCGAGAGCCTTCGCCCCAATCGACCCGGAAGACGTTTGCATTTTCTTGCTCCAGGATCAAAGCTGAAATTCGCTGCAGCCAGCCTTCATCTCCTGTGTCAAAATAACCGTGGATGATGAAATAGACGGGGTTTTCTGGATTGAAAGAACTTGCAGCTAGAGAATCAAAGTTTCCATAATCGATGTTGACCCCGGTTTCTAATGTAGTATCGAGGTGGAAATTGACATTAAGATCAGATGGCTAGATCCGAATTTAAACGAGAAAGCGCGCTTGAACTTACGAGATTGGGCAATTTGCTGCCAGGTCGCGCGTCGGTCCCACCCCAAGGCGGCAAATTTGTAAAACAGCCGACTTCGCACTGGTTGTGTCTGTAACACACCTCGTCGCCGAAAACTGTTCCAAGAAGAGACGCTCCAAGCAATTTCATAATTCTTGTTGACTCTGTTTTGAAATCGATAAAAATCGTCTACTGAAGGTGTCTCGAAAATATTCTACAATGAACCAGATTTCACTTTCGCATAACTTGAAATCTGAGAAAAGAACAGATGCTCTGAAAAAGTGCAAGTTCAAATTTACTCCAACGGCAATGTTTTTAATCATTTGAACAAACATTTATTTGAGAAAGCATAATTCTTCAGATGATAAAAGTACCCTATTCAACGCAGAAATCAGCATTTGCCTCGAAAATGACTGGATGCCAGCTGAGAAAGTCGTGTCCGCCGATGATTTCTGCTTCTAAGACTTCGTCGTTGACAACTTTGATTCTCTCAACTGGGTAAAGACCATTCGAATCTCTGACGCCACCAGAAATGGCGAAGATGAAATCACCGATCTTCAACGCTGTGCCACGGTAACAATACTCTTCCAAAAAGCCAGTCAGCCTCCATACATCTTCTTTCAGCAGCCAGATACTTCGAGTGTATTCTCGTTCATTTTGGTCGTATCCACCAGCCATGAGAAGTGCTCCACTCTCCAGTCCAGTCAGTGTATGGCCTTGAATATTCCTAAGAATAGAATTATTGCAAGAGAAAAGCGTATATTGATAACCTTGGGTGGTCAGCCAATCTTCTCCATCCAGAAGACGAGTACGTCTCGACCTTCTGTTGGCCATCTCCTCTGGCGCTTCCGACAGTTGTAGGCTGACCATTCAAGTAGCCAAGACCGCCATTTTCATGCGGGTATAATGTTGAATATGTCAATGTTGAGCTCGCTGAATCGAAAATTTCGCAGTTCGTGAAACTTGACCGATCGAAGCAGATCAGCGCTAAAAGCGATCACAACATTTCTTGAAGAAATGATAAAATTGGAAACCTTTGTCTCCGTCGTCGATTGCAACTGCAAAATGACCATACCAGAACTCGTCAACCAATTGAACTGGCACTTCCTTGAATTCGCAATCTTCCAGCTTCGCAATCTTCGGAATTCACTGAGTCTTTCTAGTTTCGAGTAATTTTACCTTTTGATAATCGGTCTGGCCCCCAAAAATATACAGGTCTCCTCGAACCACGGCAGAAGCGCTTCTATGCGCATAATCATCTCGAGGAGCATCGATGGCAGCCGGGGTCTTCGTGAAGCTTTCGCCGGAGAAGATGTAAGAATTCGCCAAATCGGAGAATCCAAGAATCAGGATGTTGACATCATTCTGATCGGCGTAAATCTATCTTTACCGGAAAGGGATTTACCGGAGATATTGTTGTAATTGCCGTCTGCGAGGTCGTTGTTGTCTCCTAAGAAAAAAAGAAGTTGTTGAAAAAGAGTTTCGAGATTTGTTGATATTTTATCGTACTTGAGGGCAAATTGGATTTTCGCAGTTGAAGCATCCTTGCTCGCAGTTTTCTCCGCAGGGACAATTATCGCCGCAATCTTTAATTTTTTTGAAGCTTTTACTTTTGATGAAGCTTACCTTGGTACTCTCGATCGCAAATCGACTGGCAGTACTCAGTTTCGCAGAGCAGTCGGCAGTAATTGTACTCGACTCTGCACTGTCCCTCGCAATCTTCCTGCAGCTCTATGTCGCTAAAAATAGAGTCATGCGGAAGTTCAAAGATAATAGTCATCACTTTCAATTTATCAAGCTGTCCTTAGTAGTAAGCGGGATCACAAAAGTAACAGAATAAAGAAAACTTACGGGCAAATTTCTATAGCGACAATTGCTCGTTCTCCATCAGAAGATCTCTGGATGCCGGGACGAGCTCCAGAATTAGGAATACTTCCTATGACCAATTGTAGAACCCATAAAAGAATCATTTTTTTTACTCAAAGATTGAGAATAAATGGATCCGTAGGACGTCACTGCAAGTGAACTTTAATGTGAGTAAATACTGAGCGTGCTTTCTGCTGGGTATTTGAACCGCTGATATTTGACATTAAAACAGATAAAATTTTTATATTACTTTATAATTTTGAGGATAAACCTTCTGTATTGAAATTAAACAAAAAAACATTTTTGCGGCATTTTCAGTGCTTTATTTCATGGAGTATTTTTCTAGCTGTTTTTCACCAGTTCGCGATCATCGTTTCTCCTTTTCAATTCTTCTTCCAAGCATTGAATCGCAAAATCATCCTGATCATCAAACTTGTTTGCAAACATGTGAGGCCGACTTGTGATCTAAAAAATCGACGCGAAAAATAAAGCACATCGGAAAGAAAAATTTACCCAAGCAAGATCGCCACTTCCAAAAACGCAAACTCCGCGCCGGGCGTGTCCTTGACACTGAGGGAGCGATCCTCCATTTGTCCATAAAATAAGACGAGACCATTCCTTTGAATTTCCCTGAAAAATTGTCATTGGAACATCGAATAAGCTGTTACCGTTCTTCCGCCTGGGGCGCGTTCCATCGCAACAATCGAAGCCCAGACAAATTCATCCGGCGAAAACGTATCTTTGGACCACTCAATCAGCTGCTTCACTTCTTCATCCTCCATCATCCAACTTACAAACTCCCTTGTCACCATCAAGTACGCGAGTCCGCCAAAGATTTGCACATTGTTCGGCGGCGGGGATTTTCGCCAAAAAGTAATTTGCGGGACGTACTTGTATTCGTGAAAAAACTGTCTTCTGATTGACCAGTGATATTTGTAGCGCTTGAGTTTGTTCTCCGGCATCGGATATTGGTTGATCGAGTTTTTTGGATAAATCGACTTGAGGTGATCGACGATTTCAGAGTTTGTTTTCAGCGGGAAATCCTCGCCGCACAAGTTGATTAAATATCTCCACTGGATTTCGTGCTCCAAAAGCTCTTCCATGCAGTTGAGTTCAGCTTGGAAACGCTCGTAGGAGCCCCAGAGACTGGGCTCGGCAACCTGTGTAGAAAACCTGAGTCAGGGTCTGAAAGATCGCACGCGGCTTTTCAGACCCTGACTCAGGCTTTCTACACAGATTGCCGAGCTCAGCCCAGAGAACATTTTCCCTTTTCTTCGCCAGGAAAACATTCGGGAGACAGTTGGCTAGCTCTTGAAAATCGTTATAAACATCCAATGACGATTTGGAATCGACATGAAGGCAGTAGACATTGTCAGGCGAGTAAATAGCGCGAATCAGTCGTTCGACTTGACCTGGGTTTTTGTGGACGACAATCGAAAATGCAAGAGGAAAGTCGCTGTTTTGAGATGAAAAGGAGTAGTCGCGCATTTTCAGGAACTCTTGGCAGCTTGTTTCTTGAATAAAAGTGGAAATTGCTCCATCTGGAAAAGATTGAACGTCGATTTTGTTCGAAGACTTCAGTTTTTCGACTTTCTCGAGCTCCAGCGAATCGTTCTTAAGGGTGTCCCCAACGATTTTTTTGAAACAGGATCAACTTTGAGTTAATAATTCTATTAATCGGATAGTTTCTACATGAAAAATCTATTTGAATATTATTATTTGGACCCTTCTTTCTGCATTAATCTTGACCGATTTTGTAGATTTTGATCCGTTAATCCCCTACCGCCGCTTCAAAGAAGTTCGATTTCTGTAATCTCGGGGAACTTTGAGATCGTTTTTCTCGAAATCTGAAGATGTGGAGTTGACGAAGTCGTCGAGAAATACCTGTATGAGCGCTTTACAGTCGGGCGAGCTTCGGACTTCTCGGAAATCAAAATAACTTCGCAAACGTCTTCGAAAATCTTCATTTATCTCTGTTGGCTTGAACCAGACCACGATTTTCTCGACAGTTATCTCTCCTTGAAATCTTAGGTTTTGAAGTTTTGCCAAGATGAAGACTAAAAAAAGGACTACGAAGACCGGTCGCAGTGAAATTCTTGTCATTGCTTGACGATGAGAGTGCAGAGCTAGTTTCGCGGAAAATTTTGCTGCCGATTGACTCTAGAAAATCTTCGAAATAGAACTTCGAAGTCTTGAAACAGAGATAATCATCCGTTCAAGTTGAACTTGTTCTCTCAAAGCCATCGTTTTGAATAATCTTATTCGCAGAAGAAAATTGGGTAGGACTCATTCTCATTAGAGCGTTATTTCCACAGGGACTGATTTTCAGACTATCCTGATTTCCATAGAATGCCGGATTTTGCCTTTCTCATTGACACTAGCGGTATGTTAATGCTGTAAGGCTGGTCTGCTCCAAGCTTTGCCTGCAGTAAGGAGGCAACTCAGAAGCTCAAGCTTCTACGTTTTCGTTGATTCTGCGTTGGAAAGAAGCCAAAGTTTCCAGAACCCGTCGCCGCCGTAAGTTTGATGTGACATCAATGATGTCGGATTGTCCATCCAACTTTTTTCGATGAAAATCATATTAAAATACAAAGTAAAAAATGTGATTTTATCCCATTCCTTCAAATTAAAGCCCCTCAAGCCAGCTGCTCTTGTTTTCAGCACTTGTCGCACTGCTGCTTCGTCGTGTTCTTCTCGGACTCGCGGACCGTTGTTCTCATAAAAATAATCGAATCCATTCATTTCAGGCATATTTTTCTTCCTTTCTTTGTTTTCCCTGACTCAAATTGTGCTCATATAAATGTGAGAGTCTCGGTCGAAATCTGACATTTTCCTGCAAATTTTGGGCAAAATATTCTCCTCATTTTTTATTCCTTTCTCTCTCGCTACTCATCTTGGAAATTCTCTTTTAATCCTCTTAACCGCCGCGATCAATAAAACCATTCATATGTCCGAGAATAATTAACGACTCGTAAATAACGGCTTCTTTTTACTCATCGGCGCAAGGGTACTGTGTTCGAAATATTGCTCAGTAAGGCAATTATTTTAAACAGTTTAAAAAGAGTCAAGGACAGGAAGTAGGGCAAGAAGAATCCAAAAGAGCGCCATTCGCGCCACGAACGCAAATTTTCACGTCGCATTCAATATGAAGAGTCTCATCGTCAGTGCTGAATGTGAAACTCGTAAAAGAAAAGTCGGCAGAATCAAATCCCGACAGCACGGCGCTGTATCCCGTTAGGTCGGAGTCGTCAAAATCGACGACTGTTGATGGAGAGCAGTGATCGGCGAGGATGTTGTAGCTCTGACCTTCCATGTCGGCGCTGTCGTAGGCGGTGCATTTTGTAATCTAAAATTTGTAAAAAATTTTGTGCATTTTCGTACTTGGTAGACGTAGGAGAGGGCGCCTAGATCGAGGTCGGAAGTGACGGAGCCGAAAAGTCTTTCACCTAAAACATTCACTGAAGAAATAAAAAATACGACTGCTATTTTACCAATGTTGACGTCAGCAGCTTTGGCCGACATGAAAATATCGCTGTAGATGTTTAATTCGAAGTGATTGTTAAAGTTGCTTGTGTCAGTTACTGGCACTGCAGTTGAGTCAAATTGGTCGACTGAAAATGGATCGGCCATGAGACTTAGCTCGCTTGAGTAGATGCACTCAGCTTTGAAGCCAAGAATCGAGGAAATGTAAACGCCGTCCTGCTGGATGACTTCGGGAGGACCTTGTCCCATCCAAGAAATGAAGATTTCGCCGGATTGAGTAGCGTCGCCACCGCATGTTCCTAACTCGAAAGTTTCTGTCATCCAGCCGTTTGCGTCGGGAGCATCGTTGCCCGTGCATGTTCCGATGTTGAGTCGGACGTTGTTGTAGAGAGATGGAGGCAGATTGGCGTAGAGGTGGTCTACGTGGGCGGAGATGGTGATATTGGTAGAGTCGCACCTTTATTAATTACCGTTATTCTCTTTGGTCCCGAATATTTTTAGATAACTTACTGAACAGTTAAATCAACAGGAATGCAAGCCGTATTTGACGAGTTTGGTTCCCAAGAAATATTTGGACAATCGATTTCTGCTGCTGTTGGTGACTCAGTAGAAGGCTCAGTAGTTGCTCCAGTAGTTGCTTCAGTTGTAGGTATAGTTGTTGATACCGTTGTTGGTTCAGTAGTTGCTTCAGTAGTTGGCTCAGTAGTTGGTTCAGTTGTTTGTCGAGTAGTTGGTTCGCTTGTTGGTTCAGGTGTTGTTTCAGTTGGTGCTTCAGTTGGACGTTCAGTTGGCGGCTCCGTTGGTGGCTCGGTGGGTGGTTCAGTCGGAGTCTCAGTAGATGAAGGTTCAGTTGTTGGGTATAATTTGCAAGTTGCACTTTGATCGGTTTTAAAATTATCTAATTTTTGGTCATATTGTATTTTAGAAACCGATTCCTTGGACTTATCGGATGTTCTGTGTCGATACAATATCCATCTTGAGTCGTCGCGAACATGTAACCTCCATAGTATGTAGTAGGATCCAAAAACAAAGCAAACGGAGGGCTCAAGAGTGGATGATGTCCGATATAATAACCGTCACCATCACACTGCCATGTTGGTCTATCATATTGTGTCTCAGTGTCGTTTTTTATGCATTGAATCGTACCAGACCAGATGGCAACTATTTAGAATATTTTTGTCTAACAGTTGTTCAAGCTTACCCTCAATGACTTCACAGCAAGTATCATCTGGAACACAGGATTGACCTGGAGCATCGCCCTTCAATAAATGATGATTAAAAAGGTCTCAGTCGATTTTAATACATAAACTCATGAATATATAGTCGAAAACCTGGTGACTATCTTTAAATCCATCAGCACATTCACAAGTGTAGTCGATTCTTGCATCGGTACAAACGGCGTTACCATCGCACACATGAGTGCCATCAGCGCATTCGTCGACTTCGGGGATGAATGTGCAGGTCTCGCCGTCTCCAGTGTAGAGTTCATTGCATTCGCAGCTGTAGTCTCTGTACAAATCAGTACAAGTAGCGTTCGGATCACAAGGATTTGGATCGCATTCGTCTGAGTCATCGGCACCTGCCCAGACGCAGGTAGCGATATTGCCATTGTTCCAAGCTTCGTTGATTGGAGGACAAACTGAGTCCGAAACAATGGAGTCCGAGAACCAGTAGGCTCCGTTAAGAGGCCACGAATCCGCAGTGAATACGTACCAGGCTCCGTTATAATTCGCAATTACAGAATTGCTGCATTCCCAGACCTCCTTGTTGTTGTAGACTTCACCATTGGCGATACACTCACCTTGGTAGGGAAAGTACAATGATCCACAGCAGCCGTTGCTCGTGTTGGGAGTTTTTGGATTGCACCGGTTCAGCTCTCCGGTTTCATCCTCGCCTCCGCCGCAGTCAACGACATTGTCGCATAGACGATCCGTGAAAATTTCCCGGTTGAAGCCGAGCTTGTCAGTGGAGGTGCAACTGATCGCTTGTTTGTAAGTGAAGTCAGGGAAATTAATTGGATCAAGTTCGCAGTAGGCGTGTTGAAGCTGCTTCGCATCTGTTGTTGTGATTCTGTACCCGTCACTAAAAGTTTCCCCTGTGGCTCTGATGGTCATTACTGGAGCATCGCCGATCGCGCCACAGAAGGAGCAATAAGTCATGACGGACTCGACTTCCAAAGGACTTCCCATGTCGAACCATTGCTCGGACGCAATCAGATCATATGCACTGGGGTTACTCGAAGCTGAAGGATTAAAGAGCAGGTACGTATCTCTATCAGGTCGTTGATGCTCGTGCAGAACTCCTAGTGCATGAAGCATTTCGTGCTGAATCGTTGATGGATTATCTGGAGTGCAAATATCGGCAAGGGCGATGACTTGCCAAGTAGCAGGAACGCCAAAAGCAGCAACGCTAGAGACTCCCTGTGTTCCGAAATGCGCCCCAGGAGCGAGACCAAGAGCAGAGTAGCAACGGTTTTCGTGCCTAACAAAGACAATTCCATTTTCGTAGGTCGTAGAGTCGATTTCTTCGTCGGTGACCTCAGGCATCGAAAAACAGGCGAGGTCATTGGCCAAAGATTCCATAGAAGTCTTGAAAACAATAAACTCATTTTCTAAATCGATCGATGTGAGATTACCTGAATGAGAGTTTGGAAAGAACTCGCGGTGCTGTGAACATAATACGGTACAGTCACTGGCCCGCCTGGAGTAAGAGGCCGCCATTTGTTCGAGTTTGACAAGCCTCTCGGTGTCACAGCATTGTCGTCTGGCTCAATGTAGCCATCTTCAGGAGTTATAACCCGAGCGCTGTCCGGATTGAAACCAGCTTTGGCGAGAGCTGCTGCCTAGAAAATGGATAAAACATTTCCCATGCCTTTCAAAAAGCTTCGAATTTATCTGTAAGGGTACTAACATCGGATGGTTTGAGATAAAAATCAGATATATCTGCTTGATTGCCAACATTGACATCGTCTGACGGAGGATCTACTTGTGTTCCGATCCATTGAGGATCGGTTACTTTCGTAAGCACTTGAGACTTTACTGATGATGCTGTTATTGCAATTTGAAATAACGCATTCTCTCGGAGCTTCATCTCTCGAAAGAAATATGAAAATAAAACTTATTTCAACTTGATCGTTCTGATTTCCCCGATATTTATAAATCGGCTAAACAAACAGTTGATTATCAGTGCTGCCAAACATGTTTTCATCGCTTGTTTCACGCTGAAAATGTGAAGTAAGCATTTAGTTAAGCTGCATTTTATTTTTATACTGGATTTAAAGATAAGTCAGATTCTGAAGCCTCCAATCGAGTAAAAACAAATAATAATTATCTCAAAATTTCGAGTATGTGCCCACTGCTGCCCATCATTGTTTACTGTTGATTTTTTATCACGCCTATCTTAATTTCTGTAGTCTGTACTTTTTCAAGGCCTGTTGATAAGTGAGCTTGGGCAAGCGTTTTTACTGTTTCCCTTGAAATAACGAGTGTGGACTTTGAAAAAATCTGACCAGCGTTCCAATTTTCATCGAAAAAATGTTGAGCTGAGCGAGCGGCTGAGCGGTCGACCGTGTAAAATTTTTGAGCGGGGCAAACGGTTGTCAAAAAAGAGCTGTGAGCTGAGCGAGCGGACTCTAAGCAGTGAAATTTTTTTCATTTGCTCACTCAAGCGACCAAAAACACTAAAAAAATGATGATTCACCGCTCGACGGCTCAATTATCTCAAGTTGAGCTCACCGCTCGCCCACGCTCAAAAACCGCTCAACACTCAACTAAAATTGGAACCCTGAATCTGACTTTGAATGATTTTCATGACATCATATTATTCAAGTCAAAAATCAGAGGGTTTACTAAGCAGTAAAGCCCTACCCAGGAGCCCCGCCGCGAAGGCAAACTTGGCCTTCCCAGGAACATGACATCAATGGTGATTTTTACGCGAGTCATAAAAATTCCATCGATGGAGACGATTCTTAAAGTTCAGAAGGAAACCAGAACGCGGAGCGCCGCTTCCCTTTCCTGACCGTAAGCGCCATTTATTAATTCCTCGCTAAATATCAACTACAAAGTGGTGCAGGCGCGCGCACTATAATCTTCATTTATCGCAATCATAGAGGAGTAATGCAATAGTAATTCTGGGAAAATGAAATTGACGATTATCTTTATTGCGGCTTTTTGTGGAGCAGCTGATGCAGTAAAATGCTTCGTTTGTACAGGAGAAAGAGATCATACCGGATTTAAAGATGAAAGGAACCAAGAATGCTGGGAAAATCCGGAAAATTCTTCAACCATTTTGCCAAGAGATTGTAAAATCGGAGAAGATTTTTGCGTTACATCAGTAATGGTTGATTTTCGGTTCGATGGAATGCTTGTTTCTTCGATGACTCGAAAGTGCGCAGCAGCAGGTTCTATCGGATCTCTTGGATGTAAAGAATCTGATGATAGTGATGAGATAGGCTTTGAGGTATCTCTTTTAGTTTCGAGTTTTGACTATTTTCAATAAAGACCAAAGATTGCAAGACGGTTTGTCAAGAAGATGGCTGCAACGACTCAAGAACAAACGAAGAAGTCCTCTCAGAATATTCGACAGGAACTGTCAAATCCTGCAGAACCTGCAGTGAAACGAAAGTCGGCGCGTACAACGACCTTGAGTGCGAAAATGAAGAAACCATTGATTGTCCCGCATACGCCGATACAAGCTGTTTTACTGCAGCATACACACGCGAGGTTAGATAGTGAATGCCAACGCTCGCTTTTTGAAAGTAATTGATAGAGTTTATATTTGCCAAATATTCTGATTTTTCGCATATAAAATTCGGCGCCTTTCTGTCGCATTAACTTTGATACACCTTAGTCCATGATCTATTCATTAATTCTGTTTTTAACCATGACTAGGTCAAATTGATCGGAGACTGATTTTGTGAAACTCCCACGGAAAAAGTAAAGTTCTCACCGGAAGTTCACGCTTATTTTATTGCTTGTTTAAAATAGACTTTCTAGTTCGATGGCACATATTCTCACCAGCTAAACAAAGGTTGCTCCAGCTTCAAGAGCAATTTTGAAGACGACCCCACGTGTTTTGAAATAAACCACGGCGACGATGGATTCTATCGTGAAGAAACGTGCAAGGAAAGTTGTTCAAAGGATAATTGTAATAATGTAATCACTCAACGACCTTGTTTGGATAATCAGGTACTTATCAAAGAACACGTACTTCCTAAGTTTGCGTATTAGATATGCCCTGAAATCGAGACCACAACAGAATATGCTACAACAGAAGTACTAGATACAACTTTTGCTGAAAAAACAACCGAACAAGTTTTGTCAACAACGGAATCCGTCCCAACTACCGAACCTCCGATTCCGACGACTGCTTCGTCAGAAACTTCCACTCAAACATCAACTCAAACAGCATCGACATCAACAACAACAACAACAACAACGGCAAAAACTACAACATCAACAACAAGAATCTTAACGACAACTGCTTCCACAACTACATCTACAGCGACTACAATGTCAACAACAAGCTCTACATCATCTTCAACATCAACTTCAACGACAACAGCATCTTCAATAACTTCAACAACATCAAGTTCAACATCCTCTCCACCAACACCAAGCACTACATCACTGTCAACATCGACAACAACGAGTCAGAACACAGTAAAAGATGATTCAGACGGTGGATGTGACCACACTTGCATAATCATCATTTCTACAGTCGTTCCAACAATATGTGTCATTGTCGGACTTTGTGTCTATCTATTTATCCTCAGGTTTGAGGGATTAAGAAAAACTTCTTGCTAAAAAACTTTCCAGAGATCGCAAAGATGTCTACGAAGAAGACTTTTCCGAAAGTCCCGGGCGAAAAACATGTTCAACTGAAGTAAAGGACACCCAGTTTTGATCAAACATTCGATAGAGCAGCCCTGTAAATATCAATTCTCCATATCAACAAGCTGTTGTTGGGAATGTCTGCTTCTCGCCAAATGTTTTCGATGTAATAAAGACCACTGTATAAATTCGAATGTAATCGTTGGATTTCGAACTTTTTCTCAAAGATCTAGGGCAAAATGATACGTCTCCACGTCCGTTACATAATTTGAATTATCCAGGTAAATATGGCCTTCGACTGATTTTCTAAACGCTCAAAAATCCTGTCAACCGGAGACGAAGATAATCCTCCTCGTCTAAACATTGACTTTCATCGCTATCCTATTACAAATCAGGTATATAAAGAGTGAACTTCTCAGCTCTTCTACCAAAAATCACCGGAAAGATCGGTGATTTTTCTGTCCAGAAAATATTTTTGGACCCAAGATTAATTGAATTAGTTTGTGGTTTTTCAAAGTGAAGCACGATGAAGCTCCTGACATCTCTTAGTTCCCTCCTCGCGTCAGCAAATGCGTGGGATAAGGGTTCCTGTGATGATACAACGCCTGGAAGTTCTTCAATGATCTGCAAGAATTCATCAAAGTTTGATTGGATCGGAAGAGGGGAGCAGATTCGATACAGAGAAATGATAAATAGCGAGTACTCCCTGAGCGCTCAGGTCGTGGCCAGGAAATGGAACTTGCCGTATTTGAATAAAGAAGATGGATATGTCGGAATGCTCAGGTAGATTAAAAAAATGTAACGATAATTTTCATCATTGTTTTTTTACAGATTCGATCGGACTTACTGTAAGCGATCGATTCTCCGAGCAATCGGCCAAAACAACATCGTCATCAACATTGGTGATCGAACAAAAGAAAACTACCGGGTAGAAGCCCAGTATTACGAGCGACCAGCAGATGATTCGACAAAGAAAGAAGCGGCGGTTGTTCAATTTCGAAGATCAGGATTCGTTCAGGGCGAATTTCTCGACCGAGGAAAGGATCGATTCTTCGTTTCGATGCACGGAATTGATGAAGATTCCAACCCGCTAGGAGTTTCACACGAAGAATTCCATCAGTAGGTTCAATAGGCACATTTTTCTCCATAATTTCACGAAATTTTTCGAGTAGATGGTAGGAGCAATAATCTATGAGCCTCAAATTTACCGGGAAAATATCTGTTTATTGAATTTTTTATTCAGATGTTTCGCCAATGTCGGTCTTTTGACGATGCAAGAAGATTACAAAGGTTTCGAAAGTGTCGATTACACAAAGGCTTATCTTTTCAAGAAAAGGTTCATCATCTTTTGGTCAAATAATGCTTCTGATTTCATAAACGAGATAAAATTAATATTTTTCTACTACAATAATTATGCACCTTTACTCCAGCGCTACAATCAGACTCCTGATTGGAAGGAAGGACCACTTCCAGTAAGTATCTTATAATCAAGCCATTATAAATACATGTTTGTAGAGGGACACATTCATTTTCGGCCTCCAACACAACACATACCTGTCTTTCCTCATTTCTGGCGACGGAAGTTCGCGAGTTAGCGCGCCAGTCTTGCCCAATATTCACAACACGCTCCTCAATGCTGGCCATGCCGTCATTCGAGGAGAGTTGTACTTCTTTGGAGGAAGCTACAACGTCGGTACAGGCGGGGTGAATCTTATCGCGCCTCGAAGGGTAAGTGACTTTATGGAAAATAAACGCGAGTTTATGCTTATTTTAGATTGGAAAACTTGAAGATTGTCAATTCAAAGAACTGTCGGTAGCTCTCAGTTTCGACTTCGACGCTCATGGAGGCTCCGTTCTCGGACTCTCTGATAATTCCGGAGGTTGGATTTTTATCAAATAGAACATAAGTTGAAAATTTTTACAGCACTTGTTTGCTTTGGAGGACACTGGGACGTGGATGAAGACATGAAAAGATGCACCATTTTCGATGTTGAAGGAGAAGCTGTCACGGAAACTTACTCAACAGTATACGAGCATCGAAAATCATCACTTGCCTACTACAGAGGAAAACCTACAGCAACCTGTGGAATGATCGACTCGAATCACTCGGCTCATACAAAAGTAGAGACGTTACATTTTGAAGGCTCCGATGTTGAAAACGGCTGGTCCAATCTGATCGATCATCCTTTGTAAGTAGGTTTTAAATCTACTCTTCTAAAAAATAATTAAGGCAGCTGCATTCTCATTCGTCCGTCGGACTGAGCGACGGATCCCTGTTGACTATCGCAGGAAGAGATCCTCATGAATTGTCGAAAGCTATCTGGAAGCTGTCTGCTGAGACTGGAGAATGGTCGTACGTCGGAGATCTTCTCACGGTTTATTTTGATTGTATTTCATTGATTATCCAATTTTCAGCCGGTCGAACTGACATCATCAATTTGGATCGGCGCGTCTCTCTACGTCTTCTCCGGCAAAACCTTCCAAGAGGATCTCCCAATTCAACGAGTGGATTTTTCCGACAACGAAATAAGGACGGAAAGGATTGGAGGCATGCAGCAACTTATTCCACGCCCGATCATGTTTCTGGCAACTGAAAACTTCTGCACAGCTTAAAAGCTGTATAAAATTTGCAGCTGTTTAAAAAATGACAATAAAATTAAGGATAACTTACATCTGATAAAATCAATTTATTTGAAAAGACATAAAGATGATAAATAGGCTTATAACTAAAATATCTTCTATTTTTTGATAGCAGTTTTGTTCGATTACAGATTCGTATGAGAAAAAGGGCAAAAGTCAATTTCAGGAGTTAAGAAGATTTGGAGTAACAAAACCTGGAGCAACCGAAATTTTCAAACCGATTTTTAAGGGTGTTAAAGTCATAATTAAGGGTATCTGACTCGGCAAAAAGAAAGCCCGGGCCCAAAGCCGGGTTTTCCCCAGGGTTTGAGGGGGCCGGTAGGCCCTTAACACCCTTAAAAATCGGTTTGAAAATTTCGGTTGCTCCAAGTTTTGTTACTCCAAATCTTCTTAAGGGGGTAGAACTAGGTTTTTCGAAAATAGCCGATTCTAGACCGGCGCTCAAAGCCAGGAGAGCTGAGATTTTCAAATTCTCTCTTCGGTTGAAGAAAGAACAAACTTAGATCTAACAACGTTTTTCTTAAAATTTTTTTTCGTCAACCCATTTTGGCGCTAGAGAGCGAAACGTCAACCCACCTCTTCGAAAATCGCAATTTTAGCGTATTCGCGTCCTCAAATTTATCGAGTCACGTGACTAGCCAAATTTTTTAAATCTCATTTTAAGATAGTTTAACCATTTATCTAGCAACATTTTTGAGGAAATTGCGTAATCATAAGTAAAAACAGGTTTTTCTTATTAAAAGTGCCTCCCGAAAATCACGGTTTTTCCTAAAATCTAGTTCTACCCCCTTAACTCCTGAAATTGTGTCGAGCCGAGAAAAACCAACAATAAACTAATGATTAAATGATAAAATAATGATTTCAATCCTTTCAATCTAACAAGAAATAGTTATTTTGCGGAGCATCACTTGACTTTTCGCGGGAATAACAAGTTTCAGCGCTTTTACAAGCTTTTTGCTCGGATTGAGTCCTTGAAGATCGCAAACTAGCTTTCCTCTTTCTTAAAACAAGCATGAGAAGGCGCTTTTCTTTGAGAAAAATACCTCGTTTATCAAAAGAACAAGCTTGTCCGGGCGGGTTATTCGTCCAGCTCATTTGTTCGCCAGAAATTAACATGTCAATTTTCATATGAACTGGAATCAACTGCTCGTTTCCAGAGGTTATAACAAGACTCTAAGGAGACTGAAGATGGCTGAAGTAAAATTCCATCGTTGTGTCCTCTTTTGAAGCTTGAATCAAAAGATCTTTCTTTCCATAATAAAATTCAAGAACATCTTTTTTGTTCAAATTTGTCGCGATTTTTTCCTCCTCAATTGTCGGATTCAAATCGCCCAAGTGCGAAATCTTCCCTTCAAGCGATGAAACTCGCCCCACGTGATGAAGAAACTTTCTGTCGTGAACTGGGACTGCAAGTTTGACCACCAATGATTTACAACTCGCCTCGCATGCGGACAGACAAGCTTTCATTTTTACGAAATCCCAGTAGATAACATCTATCGGCTTTGTTCGATAAAATAGCCTCGTATAAATGGCCATTTCTTGTAGACTTGATTTTCTGAAGAGTTTTCCAATGAAGCCCATTCCGGAGAATTCAAGCGAGATCCAATCTTGGTCGTCTTTTCTTTGCTGAATTTGCATCATCAGAAATTGAAAGAATCCACGGTCAATGACCAGATCATCTTCTAGTTGAAGAAAGTAGTCGTAATCGAGGCCTATGTTCCACATGAAAAGATAGTCGAGGCATTGCCGGGTTCTCCAAATGATGCGGTCGTCTGAGTCGCCCCAGTTGTGCTTGATGTCAACCAGGTCGGACCCGTAGTAGTCAGAAGAAGCAACGGCGATTTTTGTTGTTCCCGACTCGTATTTGGCCACCAGCTCGGAGAAGTATTCTTCATCACTGGCTAGAAGAATGAATAAAATGAATTTAAGATAAGCGTTACCTCCGGCATAAAGAAGGACTTTGATGTCCAGTGCGTCTGAAAAATTCTCCGTAAAGTCATTTAGATCACTCAGCAAATACTCCATTGTGTCACTGAGGTACGCTTCTCCGTTTCTTCTGACCGTCGGAATGCCAATCAGCAATGTAGGAATCTCTCTTTCCAAAGAAATTCTTGCACTTTTCAAGGTCATCCCTTTCTCGGAGAGAGCAGTTGTGTCAGCTTCATGTTCAATTTTTTGATTTGGGAAATTTATGAGCGATAAAGCTCCAAAAACTCCGAAAAAACAAAGATATCGTGTGATCGACTTTCTGAATATAAATTTTGCTCGTTCAATTAACATTTTCCAGTAGCGTTCTCGTTTATTTTCTTCGTATTTTTGCTCAAGCCAATATCGTCTCTAGCATGCTTTTTCAAAAATGCCAATTTTTTTTTTTCAAAAAGTGACAATCAAGATAATTCTCCGACTTGTTAAAATAACAATAAGTTCGCAATTTGCGAACTTCAGCGTTGTCGTTGTCAGTGACATTTCAATTGATCCCGGATCCGGAATAATTAAATCATGTTATGCATCTTCATAAACTTGGTGACGTAACCTTGGATTTGAGTCTGCTTTCATCGGTATATTTTGCCAAAAAAGGCACAAAAAATTCGGATTTTTTGTATTTATTGAATTTCAGTTTGATTAAGGGCAGTAAGGAAAGTACTAGGTTCAACTCAAATGATTACTCTTCAACAAGAGTTTTCTTCATTTTCTTCGGCTTTAAAGAATAAATGAATAAACCTTCAGATTCAGACGCTGAATACGTTGGAACCAGCTCTAACTCTAGCACTTCTCGTGTTTCGTTCAAATCGTGCTCGGGCGATGATGGTTCAGAAGATGATAAATCGGGAGATGGAATTAAAATTTTGACTGGGCATTTTATCGGGCTAGCGGTTTTGTTTTGAACTGGCGATTTTGGCTTGACTTTCGCAATCTTTTTAGGAGGAGCTTGTCGCGGTGGGTTAACTGTTTTCTCATCGAAGACTCCATTTTTGTATTTCTTTTCGAAGTCACGTGACGAGCTTTGAATATTTTTGCTGGTTTGAGGATCGAAAATTTCGGATCGGGCAATGTCGGAAAGCAGGAGCTCAACTTCGACCGATCTACCAGTATTTATAAGTTTTTCATGATTTTTCTCTAAAACTGACCTTATGAGAGCTGCATGTTTGAGGGCTTCTTCTTTGGTTCTGTTCAACTGCGCCTTGAAATAGGCATATTTGAGGACAGATTCTTTCCAAATTTCTTCAGAAACGCAGGTTTCGAGATGAAAACCGACATGTTCAATTGCTCCAAGCTTCATGTTCTCTCGATTGAAAAAATCATCGTCGAAGACGTTTCGTTTTTTCGTGAAAAGCCAAAGTTTCGCCGAGCAAGTCCGAGTTTTTCTTTCTTTCCTTCGTTGAGCACACTGAAATCGCATCTTTGCTGGCCAAACTAAAATAGATTGAGAATGATCTTCCGTTTCACTTTTACCTTTATCGCCAGTTTCTTCTATCTCGGAGGGGAGCCGCGGGTAAAACCAGCTTCCTTTATAGCCAACACGAGCCAACAAAAAGAAATTTTTACTGTTGAGCTTGGACCCTTGGAAAGTCACCAATTGTGGGGATTCAATTGTTCCTGAAGGTAAGAGAGCTTTTAAACGTTTCGAAAAGTAAATAAATTGAGGAAATATTCTCTTTTGAAACATTCCTTGAAATTCGTCTTCAGTTGGCGGTCTTTTGATTTTCAAAAACTTCATTTTTCAGCAATCGTCGATTTCGCGAAAGATCCGTTTTCAGGATCCAGGATTTTGAAGCTACCACGCATTTCGCCAACGCACTTTTTAGCCTACACGGTATTAACCCAAACACAGGATTTTGCTTGTGGCGATGAATCTATTCTATAGCCGCTCAGACTATTAAGAAGAGGCGGTAATGATACAAGAGCTCTCGTTCTTCTTCAATGAAGTAGTAGAAGTTCTTCATGCTTCCTTTGACTATTGTGCCACTTAACTATCAGTTTCGAAGCGGTCTTCCTGCACGTTAGGATCATAAACAATACCATATTGAAAAGCACTTGAAACCGCGAAAAACTTGAAAACTTAGTCCGCATGGCATTTCGTCGACCATCAAAGCAGAACAATAGTGACAGCTTTTAAATGTGAAAGGCGGCAACGAACTTGATTGAAGTAAACTTTGCCCTACCAAAGTCGTTTCTTTTTGAGAGAAACAATGATAATTGAAGAAGACAACGGAAAAAATGGCCAAAATATATCACAGCCAAAGATTCAGGTTCAAGTGTATTGATCGAGCTTTATTTTAACGTTAAAAAAGTGTCTCGATTGCCACTGTATTGGCATTCTCAAGCAGAAAGAAGGAAAAGTATATTTATTTACCGAAGAAGTTCTTTCTACTCGCAGTATTCATACGCAAAAGCACGATTTAAAAAAGAAAACCATGAAGAAAAAAATCACCGAGAAATTGAGCTTAACTGAGCACGGATTTGCCACAGATATTCAACAGCGCACTTACCTTACATTAGGTTCACTTTTTTGGATAACTGTTATGCTTAGGTAAACTTGATGAAAAATGAGCTCTTTTTAGAGCTTATAAATCAGGGAGTATAATACAGTTTTAGAATCCTCAGAAGCTGGGGATCATTTTGACTATTGACACTTTGGGGTTTTGCTCATGCCCTGAGGGGTTTTAGGCCTTCGAAAGTCCCAAAATTTGGCCAATCTCGGTTAGAGGCTCATAACTTTTCTTCTCCCCACTTCTAGAGAAAGCTCACTATATGAGCTTGTAGAGGAGGCTCTGACGGTTCAGAAAATGTATAAAAAACCACCGGACACCCCCCATTCTAGAGGCTCTGGAGGGCCCGGAAGTTGAAGAAGTCAACGGAAAATCAGTACTATTTTACGGAAATAGAGTCAAAGTGCAATATTTTCATCGGAAATCGTAAGAAAACGTATTTACTGACTTTATGTCGCACAAAATTTAGTTTGGGGTCGTTTTGGGGTGAGTTTTTACGAAATTCAATTTTTTCTCACAATATGACCCCACGTGACCTCAAATGAACCCAGAGTAAATTTTGTGCGTCAGAAAGTCAGTAAAAACGTTTTTCTAACAATGTCCGATGAAAATATTGAACTTTTACTCTATTTTCGTAAAAAAGTACTGATTTTCCTGTGACTTCCCAAACTTCCAGACCTTCTAGAGCCTCTAGAATGGGGGGTGTCCGGTGGTTTTCTATACATTTTCTGAACCGGCAGAGCCTCCTCTACAAGCTCATACAGTGGGCTTGCTCCAGAAGTGGGGAGAAGGAAAGTTATGAGCCTCTAACCGAGATTGGTCAAATTTTGGGACTTTGGAAGGCCTAAAACCCCTCCGGGCATGAGCAAAACCCCAAAGTGTCAATAGTCAAAATGATCCCCAGCTTCTGAGGATTCTAAAACTGTATTATACTCCCTGATTTATAAGCTCTAAAAAGAGCTCATTTTTCATCAAGTTTACCTAGTTATGCTCCTAGGTAATGAACAAATGCCTTTTATCTTATCATAAGTAATAAATTACGAATAACGTTCGAGGAAGAAGTAATAATTTTATTTTATAATTTTGCGATTTTTTTTTCACAGAAACTAGTTATTCTGATAATCATAAGCATTCATCTTAGCAAATATTGTTTCTTTGGAGAAATCAAGAGGCGTTACAACTTTCCTGACTTCTACCTGTCACCGAAGCTACAAAAAATGCGTTATGATCGAATCAATGGATTACTGCGGTCATTTGATGAAGCAATGCTACGAAACTCAAGAATTCATTATTCCGGAGCCAGTTTCTTTTATCGACCAAATGAAATCTGCACCTCTTGTGTTCTCTTCAGAAGAGAATAAAGTAAATTTCCGCCGCTGTCAGAAGAAAAAATTTTACAATACAAAAATATGCCGACATCTTTGCTCAAATACACTTGTTTTGGGAATAACGAAAACAGCCCCAACGTCGCCCTGTGAGTCTATATGCTTCGAATTGACGAGATCTCAAAACTCGGCGGGAGAACTTTGCCCGACTGAGAAATACTGCAAAACTGGATGTCCTTGTCCTTACTATCAGTGCGAGAAGTTGGAGTCAAATCAAAAAATGTTTCCTATCTTCAAGATAGATCAATCAAAAAAGGTTGACGTTGATGAAATCAGAGGTATATAAGTTAATTGACACCCTGAGGAGTAATTTTTCTTATAAGGCAATATTACAGATGATAATCTATCTGTTGAGCTTATCACTCCTCGATGGAAAAATCGACAGGGACAAATAAGCACAATAAAAAAATCTCCACTTTTTCTTTCTGATCTGACAAAGACAGAGAACGATGAGGTTAGAGTTAATTCTTCCGCGTCATTTCTCCCTTATGCACGTTTTATCGATTTCATTTTTGATCATTAAAATTATTTTTAAAACGGGAAAGTCCACCGGCGCAGTTTTTCTCAATGGTGAGCACTATTTGGTCGATGTAATTGGTAATCTGATGATGGTCAAAGAAACAGGTGAACCGACAATTTTCATCCCAAATAAAAAACGCGGAATGTAAGCCTTGTATTGTTAAAATTCCGACAAGTAACTTTTTGAATTTTATCAGGGGATTTTTCGTTTTTCATTTTGGATCTTCAATTGGACCTCATCGAATTGAGATACGCCTAAAAGACAAAGACAGGAAGATTTTTGATGTTCTTGTCATTTGTAAAGAGTCAAAATTCGGAAGATATAATATTTAATCATATGACTTTTGATCTTTTGTAGCTCTCCTACTGGGAGATCTGACAAATGCTACTTCTACGCGCCTGATTACAACTTGAACCGTTTCGAAGAAGCCCAGGGCTTTATTGCTAGCAATCATTTTAACGCAAAGCTTTCTTCAACCACCTTCAAAGGGGTTTTTATTCTGATGAGTGTAAGGCTTGGCGAAAGATACATAAAGCTTTCGAAAACTGTCGCTTTGAATAGAATACGCAGAAATGAAGAAATGGAACTAGGGTGGCGAAAAGATGAGATTGCTTTGCCAGCGGAATATAGAGATTTGGACCCTGTTCATGTGATTCCAATGAAAAGGATTAATAATGCAACTGATTGACCCTTCATTTTAACCTGAATTTTTTAAATCCGCGCTTAGATTGATGTTCGTCGGCTCATTCTAATTCTAGTGACAAGAAGCGTCATTCTTTCAAACACACAATACTCATTGCTCCTAGAGGCGGACGGAAAATTCTTCACTATTGGTAGAGAGTGGATTGGATCTTTAAGCCACTATGAAGAAAAATCGATTTGCTTTTCTAAGTTATTTACTGCAGATGATCGCAATTACACAGACCAAACTGGTAATCAGAACGATGAATGCGAGTATTTTGTGAATGGTATTATTAACGATGAAGCGTTTTTCATCCAGAGTTATGTTTATGATTCTACTTTGGAAATAAAGTATGATTTCGGAAAGGATCAAATAATGAAATATCAAAAAGTTTGCTTTGTTAGCTTTCCGACATTTTCCCAAAAACAAGGCTCGAAAATTCTGAGCACAATCGAGAGGACTAAAAGGGCAACGTATCTGACAACAGACTAAGAAGATTGTAAGCGATCCGTAATAAAAAGACCAAATCGAATTAGACTTCGTTATACAGAAAGAGGCAAAGAAAATGTATGTAACAAGCAACCCATTTTTCGCATTTCACGATGATGTTTTTCCATCTTTTGCTAAAAATGCCGTCAACCAGCGACAATTTAGTCGGTCAGCGAGTTCGATTTCCCGTCCTTTTCCTAAAACAATAATTCCGGATAATTTCTTTGGCTCACTAGAAGAAATCGAACACATTTCAACTCTCACTATGAGATTCACTGGAACTGAAACCCTAACATTTCAGATGAATTTACAGGTAAAATGAGAAAATATCATCGATAATATTTCTTGAAGGAGGTTAAAAGGAATGTCGAAGATCAAACTTTTCTTCAATTGTTATTCCTTGATGGCGAAAAATTTCTTGTCTTTGGGCTCTTTAAAAACGATTCCCTTTGGATTGACTCAAGTTTTTTCCACGAAAGGATGATCTTCAGCTCTGTTTCATCAGACTTTGTTAGCTTGGATGTAAACCTCTATTCAAGTGATGCAAGTGAGTCAATTTTCTTCGAAATCACTAAGGACTCGTACGAGTATAAATTTTTCATGAAGATTTTTTCCATTAACTCTACCCAGAAAAGCGAGAGAAAAGAGTCGCAGGTTAAGCTTGGAATAAAAGGGTTTCAAAATGACGAAAGACGAAGAATACGGATTTACAAAACTCACGCTTGCCCAAAAATCAAAAATTTTATATATTATCCTGTGAAATCTACTCAGATAAATATTTTTCTGCCTCATGGTGAAAGGGGTTATCAACCATTTGCATTACGTGGCGATGGGTCAGTCTATAATAAATTATCAATTTTCTATCCGACGCAGAAGGGATACAATTTTGCTCAGTATATTTATGATTCCAAACATGCTATTATTCTGGACAAACTTCACATCTTTGGAGGACTAGGATCTCATATTGACAGTTTTACGGACAGGGTAAAGGAGATTTTACGAAAAAATGATAGTTTTAAATAGATTTTGCGATTGGATGGATGCACTTTCAAAAAACTACGAGTCCGTTTATTGGGTTCATATAGTTATGGCCATTTAGTAGTAGGACACCAGAATGGCAATAAAGGTTTTATCTAATCTACACAAATAATTTGCAATTGAAAGGTTCAAATATTTTGATTCTTTTCAGCACTTCTTCTGACTGGCTCATTTTGCGAAGAATTTGATGGTTATGTTTCAAAAGAGATGCATCAAACAGTTTACAGCAGAGTTCAAAATAAATGATTTACTTTTTGTGAAAGACTATTTTTAACTCTTGTTGAAAGTCACTGGAGAGGCACAATGGGTTTATATAAAAAACGACCAACTGCAGTTGGAGCAATGTTCGCTAAAGGACAAGTAGAAACACTAACAAAAAATGGATGAAAATCATTTAGGGGATGACATTGACGTATTTAAAAAAATAACCGTCTTTTTCCTTTTCATATTTTTTAAAAATCAATAGATATCAAAATGCCTGATTTCGATCCAAAGAAACATATAATCTTATCCCTTTCGGTTAGTGTCATCATATCCAATGTAGGCTCCTTATTGACCTTTTTTTTATTTTTTTTGCCCTTCAGAAGAATTGTAGAAGCCGGTGCAATAGGACTTCCATCAGGATCAATGCTAACTATCGGAGGATTTGACGATCAGGATCGCAGCATATATTTAAAAGACATATGGATGCTGAGGAATAATAAGTGGTCCTTGGTTGGACTTTTGTCTGAGGTTCAGTTTCTAAGTTTTTAGACAACGTATTATTATCAAATGATTATTCTTATACATTTAAAGGCTGTTCATTCTTTGTCCGCGTTATTTGTCGACGACACAATCTTTATTTTTCCTGGCTATATGCATTATGATTTTACCTTTATTCAACGTGTTGAGATAGGAAACGGTCCATTATTAACGGTTCCTTAATTTTTATCAGCAAAAAGTTATCTTCAGTCGCCTGAATGATAAACTTACTACTTATTTTTAAAATCCCTTTTTTTCAATGGCTACCATGAACGAGATTCAGAAGAAAATATTATTTCAGTTGATATTTTTGCAGACCAAAATGCTCATACTGTATATCCAGCTGTGATTTTGAGCCCATTGAACAACTGTAAATCTTAAATACTGAGAATAAACAGAAAGAAATTTTCACTCAAAAGTACTCCTGACAGTCTCCTGTCAAACTGTCATTGGTAATAGCCAATTCATTCGCGTTGTTGAATATTGTCCACAGGTTTGAGTAGCCTCTATTTTATCAATGAAAAAACGAATCAATCCTTGCTTCCGGTCTACAAAAGTCAGATCGCGCTATTCGCAAAAATGGACTTAGAGAAAAACTGGCAAGACAATACTGAATTCAACCAGTCAGTTGCCTTCCCCGATGGAATGACACAAGACGAATCGGTCAACAAAGGAACTTCTATCGTGGGCCAAATATTCTAACGTTTTCTTATCTTTTCAGATAAAACCTCAAAAACCTTCACTTGGGCATGAAGAAAAGAAAGACTCCGCTAAAAACGGCCATGAAGCTGATGGAATTTTAAACAAGAAAGACAAAGTTAAAGTTGATGATTCCGAGCTTCTTTTCTTTGGAAACACAAGGTAAAACGCTATAAATAAAAATACCTTGCCTATTTTTCATAGCATTCGTAAGAAAAAACGAAGCTTGACCAATTTCAAAGAGGGAGTAAGAAGCACTGCTACCGAGAAAAAGAGCAAATGCTGCTTGATGTGAAAATAAAACATGTACTCTTCCTTGATTTCATGAGCTCAAATTGGCACTTTTTCAAAAAGAGAAAATATAAAGCGGAAATAAAAAAAGAATCAATCCAGAGAAAAAAATGAAGCGGCTTTTAGCGACTACTCAAACATTCACCAAGCGCGTCGATATTTCAAAAATATCAAGCAGAAATCCAGACGATTTACTTTCCCTTGTCAAGAAAAATGTCGAGAGTAGCAGACTTGTTTCAGCAGAAAGGCTGAATTTTGAAGTTTTTCAAGCCACGACCACGAATATCCGCCATTTCAGGAAATCAAGAAAGATTTTTTTCACCTTGTTTTATTAAAAAAGTCGTGTCGGAATAAATAAGTCACTAGGTCATACAGTAGAGGTTGAGGAAGGGCCACGGTAGCTCAGTTGTCGGATCGTGAAGTTTCGGGTTGTTACAGTTCGGCTTAGCGAGGTTATTTTGTAGAGGAGCAGGATTATGATCGCGATAAGGCCAGCAAGAAGGTAGAAAATATAAGCGTTTATTTTATCCTGCTGGGCAGCGGTGGGAATTTCTTCATTTTTTGTGAAGCCAGGGTCGTAAGCATTTAACTAAAATGCAATGATAAGTGTCCCATTCTGATTGAAGTTGAACTGTTGTAAAGGGAAATCATTCGCGCTAACCCTAACCCTAACCCCGGAACCCACCCACCTAAGGCCTAATCAGGGGGCTCCGCCCCGGACCCCCTGTCCCTAACCCTAACCACTAGGCAAGATTCTAGAGATATTGGATGGCTCGAATCATAGGCTCGAATGATAACCCCTCTCTACGGAGCCTAACCCAGGGGGCAATTGGCCCTGGGCAAAATATCCCCCGGGGCGCCACATGATAACAGAATTCATCCTAGAAAGCTCAAATGTAACATTTCGTTGTTCAAAATTTTTTTTCAATTACCTGGCAGAAATCCCCGGAAAAGTCAAAAGTGCATCTGCACATCCATCTATCGCTGAAAAACACGCACTTTCCATTGTTCATACAATCGTCATTACTCGCGCACATTTCTAACAACTTAAACTTCTCTTGTGGCTTTTGTGGTTGAGCACTTCCGATGGAAATGAGAAGATGCTCAAACGGACATTGCTCCTTTGGAAGAATCTCAGGGCCGAAATAATAACTTTTTATAGCGTTTGCGTTTGAAATTGTGTTCGATACGACCGAGTCTTTTACTTCCAAGCAAACGTAAAACGTAAATCTAGTAAACTTAAGTTCTGACGTTGCGGCGACAAACGGCGCGTTATTGATACAGCAGTTTCAATTTTGATGGAATGTGGCCATAGTTCAGGGGCGTTTCTTACAGTTATTCTTGACTAAAAAGACAAGCCAAGTTTGCGACAAGGACAAATCATTCACCCTACAAGTCAGTTCGCCCTTTTTTCAAGCTCTGGGCTCGACAATCCGTGGAAAAAGCCTGAGTCAGGGTACTAGAAGTTCTTCGGTAAAAGGCGCAACGGGGGATTTTAGACCCTGAGTCAGGTTTTAACACAGGTTGCCGAGCTCAGCTCAAGCTGTGTTGTTGGTAATTCAGCCTTCAAATGCATTAACCATTGCAATTCTATCAGAATGACCAATTGACGAAGAAGGACTTTGTCAATCTAACAATCGCTCAAAATATCGATGAAATCAACGAGGAGGACGCGGTTCAAATTTTACGAGAGACCGCGGCTGCTGTTGAAGCTCATCGATAGTTCTCGAAAATCAAGAATCATTTTATTTTATTGATAATTTATCAAGAAAAAAGCTACCAGTAGATAATTTGTCACAGAACTTTGATAAGCGAAAATCCTGTCAAGAAGCGTAGCATCTTTGGAAGACTTTTTGGGTAAAAGAAAAAACCTGCAGCTTGACATGTAACGTTCTCAATTAATCAAAAAACAGTCAAAAAAATTCATTCTGTGCTTCACGTTGTTTTTATTGAGCAGTGTAAGAGTAGCACAGCGGAAAGAACTTTTCACTCGGATCAAATTGTTTTACCTCAATTTCCTCGTTGCTCGAAATAGCACAACATTCATCTCTGAGGCAGAAAATAGGATCCAAGACCAGAGTCTGAAAATAATAAGGAGATCATACTTTTCATCTTGTTACATTTCGAAGAGATTTGAATCGGATTTCAAGGACGTTCAAAGCGTTCAAAACTTTTTCGTTGGAAACTTGCGTCGCTAATGATTGCATTGTTGACATCATTGATGGGAGATCGTCTGGACATGCTTGATCCATTGTCAGCATCATGTGATAGTCGAATTTATCGCTCTTTTTGCAGTCGTAATGTGCAGCCTTTTTTACGTGGTTAGAGACCCCCCCCCCCCCCGTCAGCTTTTCCCTCCGAAAAATTGAAACTTTTAAAAACACCATATTTTTGGTTCTTAATGCGTCCTCAGGTTAAACTTGCTTCAAAACTTGATAAGAGGAATTTTTGACCAAGAAAAATCATTGTTTTTGCCAAAATAAGGCCAAATTCGTCAATTTTCGGCGAAAAGTCCAATTTTCAAATGCGATTTTGAGGGTGAAGGAATCGAGATAGATCCCCAAAAAATGAAGCCTCAAAATCGTTTTTTGAACCGAAGAATGATTCTTCAAGAATCAATTTCCGGGGGTCGTTAATAAATTAAAATTGAGAATTCTTTTCATTTTTGACTATGAAACCAGTGCCTGGTCTGCTCTGAGAAAAGTAATGCATCCGTGATGACTGTCGTATGCCATGCTTGAGCTCATTTTATTGAAACCACTTGTAATATTTCGCTTGTAATCGCGATCTGAAAGGTAAAAATTGAAGGTAAAAACATTTAAAGACCTACCGTAAATCCAATAATTTCGACGAGAATCAAAAAGATGTCCCCACCCACCGAGAAGGCTTTCGGCGATGGAAACATTTGCCAGTTGAAAGCCCAAATTTTCGCAAAATTTTCGACTTTCTTCACGAGTTTTCAGCCCGCTGTCTTGAAAGCAAAGGTTGAAAGATGATAATAAACTTCTTTTCTTACCAGCGAACCAGACCATTCCATCATATGTCTTGCACTTTCGTTGTTGGCAGAAGCAAAGAGGAAAGAGAAAATTCAAGCCGACCAAAATGAGCACAACGATAACCAGCGAAATGGGAATTCCAATGAGCCATTTTCTCTTTTTCTTCTGTTGTTCTGCTTCTACATGGAGAACCGCAGGATCAACCGCGGTTCTTTTTGTCGATTCTAATTTCATATTTTTCAACAAAATGCTTGGTCGATAGAAAATTCATTCAAGCAATAATCGTTCAGCCATGAAAACGCTCTTATCAAATTGATAAAAAAGAACTTCAAAGTGAATTCAGCGATAACTTCATCTTATGATTCATTTGATTATATGAATATCGTCGACGCAAATTTTAAAGGCACCCTGATAGCTTATCAGTGATACGGTCTCTCTATTTCTTTGCCAAAAAACATAAAATAACTAACTTTTTACTTGCTATTATATTTCAATAACGCTAAGACTTGGCGGTTTCGGAGAAACACAGAGGGAAAAATTTTTCATTTTTCTCGAATTGTTTGATTTCTTTAGTTGACGACATCACGCAGCAATCATCTTTAGGACAGAAGGCGGCATCCAAGATCCGATGCTGAAAAAATAAAAAACCATAGTTATATGTTTATGATTACGTTTCGGAGGGATTTATATCGGATTTCCGGGACATTCAAGACTTTCCAAACTTCTGGATTGACAACTTGCTCCGCTATTGAATTCATCGTTGCCGCAAAAGCCGGATATTCGTCTGGACAAGCGTTTCCCATTGTCAGCATCATTTGATACTGATATTTTTCGCTGGGCTTACACTCGTAATAGGCAATCATTTGGTGGGTTAATGAACCAATTATAAACCAATTTATGGAAGTGATTGTGTGGATCTGGGTTTTGATTGGCCGGTAGGCCAAATACAGCAATCTTATTTGTAATCCAAAATGCACTTCAATAAATTGGTTAAGTCCAATTCTTCAGAACCCTGTCCCTGATCTTCTCTGATGAAAGTAATACAGTAATTTTTACTGTCGTACGCCATGCTTGGACTCGTACTGATATATCCAGATTTTATTTTCGTGAAATTTCTGCTGTATTCATCATCTAAGAACAATAATTAATAAACAATATCTTTGAATTTGGAAGAAAAATTACGATGTCGCTTGCCTGATATCCAAAAATTTCTTGAGCCGTCTAAAATTCTTCTTGAAGGAAAGAAAGTACTCCTTTCTTCGAAAAGTTTTTCAGCAATCGAAATATTTGCAAGCTGAAATCCTGCTTTTTCGCAGTATTTTCGGCTCTCGTCGCGAGTCTTTTTCCAAGCGCCTACAGAAAATAATTGTAAAAGGCGTTTTTGGTCATTCTGACCTGCGAACCAGACAATTCCGTCCTCTGTTTTGCATTTTCTCTGGTAGCTGTAGCACTGCGGAATGAAAAAATTCAGCCCAATCAAGATCATGACGATTGTAAAGATAGCAATTGAAATTCCAAACATCCATTTTTTCAGTGAGCATCTCCCATCCATTCCTCCAGTTTCTTCTTGACCTTGCTCATTTCCCACTGTACTAGCTTCATTATTCTTGCTCCCTTCGACTCTCATTTTTCTTGTGAATAAATAAGACAATCCCTACTGAGTAAGTTAACCTAAAATTCTCTCAGCCGTGAAAAGGTCCTCCTTATCAAAATGATAAAACTACAGCTTTGGATTTTTTTCCAACATGTCATCACTTTCGGCTACTCCTTTTTTCTGTAGATATTTTTCTTGACCTATTTTCCAAATCGATTTTTAACCTTAGCTCTCCAAAAGTGGATTTTCTGGGGTACCTGCCAAGAACACCATATATGGTGCTTCCTCTATTATAGCTCTGCACCATATTTGGTTTTTAAAAATCTTTGCTAGAAAATAATTTTCTTGTTCAATAATGGTGTTCCGATGATGATACTAGAGTTCCTTCAATCGAAAACTCTCTCAAAGAAGTTCATAAATTGAGGATCAGTGAAGCTGATCAAGGTAAACTTTCGGCAAAATCGCTGGGAAAAACCTGGGGTACCCGCCAAAAACACCATATATGGTGCATCAACAATTGAAGCTCGACACCATATATGGTGCATGGACTTTTCGCAAAAATAAGGGTCTACCGACGCTAAGGTCTATCAGAAACAGGCCTAAAATCTCTAAAACGCCTGATAATCGATCAAGCCTCCTCAGCGTATCCTTAATTTTCAAAAAAATTCAATGTCCAGCGCAGTGAACAACTACTTGACCGATTCCCGACTCGGGAATCCCGAGTTGTGGTGTACCTTGGCGGGCAAAGGTTAATCAGCTATTTATTGAAATATAAAAATGCAATTATTCACGTTTCGACTTGCTGAGCCTTTTCGGGAGAACATATCGTCTTATTTCTCCTTAAAGCTTGCACTTGCTTGAGCGTTCCACTTCTGACCAAAGTGCGAAAACGGAGCACCACTTGTCGCGCTCAGAAATCTCCGCCGCCTCCAGCACCAGAAGCTGCCTATAAAGCTGGCTCCGGCGCTCTTCCGAGCTTCAAAATTAACAACTTGAGATTTTCCTTTTCAATTTCACGTTCTTTTTATTAAAAAACATGCCCTTTTTGCGACTTTTTCTTCTTTTGATGACTTTTGAGCAATTTTCAGCCATGCCCACTGTACTTGTCAAAATTAAAGAAAAAGCTGTTCTTCAGCAGTGGTAAGTGAAAGCGGTACAGAGGATAATGAGATTTTCAGCTTTTGACGAGGGACGAAAACAACAGGATTTCAAGGCGAAAGAATCTTCCGGAGATAGACAGTTTCATCACTCTCAATTACAGGTAAGTTTTCATTTGAGAACCATAACCAGCTTTAAATTTATAATTTTTTATAATTTATCTTCATGAAAATAATTGAAGCTCATAAATCATTGAAATCAACAATGGAGAATTTCCTCCTATTAATATTTATATAATTTTATAATGGTTTACCATTTCGCATATAATTATAAACACAGTAATATAAACCACTCCTTCTCCGAACAAAATATGTATACGTCCAGTTTTTTGCTTATTCAAAAGATAATAAAGACTGTCAGAAGTATACTTGATCTTATATCTTTTAGCAATCTCTATGGCCCCGTCGGACAAAAAATCCTCAACAATCACATGATGGCCGTTCTCAGAATTCAACCTGGCAAAGTCGACGTAGACCTGGATCCATTTACCCTGAACAGTATCCCATCATCTCTTCCCTCTTCGCCCTTTTCTAACCCTCTTTTCTAGCAAACATCAAGGTCACTCCAATTGATTTTCGCGATGGAAATGTGGTGGTCACCATCCAGGGCGAGCAGCACGGACTCTATCTTGGAATCAACGAGAAAACCCGCCGGATCGACTTGAAAAAAGAAACAGACAGGACAACGGAGTGGATGCTTGAAATCGACCTTGAAACTAAAAAAGACCTTTACAGAAATGTCTACACTAAGTATGACTTCATTCATGGAGTAGGCTTGCTTTTATCCATCACCGTATTTATCCACTTATTCTCATGGTTTATTTTAGCAAATACCTGACCTTTGGTCACATAAACTACCCGCGGGTAAGTGTAAAACGCTACAACAAACGAAGAAAACCCGAGTTTCAATTTCTACAAATCATGACCGAGATGTAACGGTCGGAGAAGCCTACTTCACGAAACAAAAAGAAAAAGCAAAGCCAAAACCAAGTTTATAACTGTACATTTTCCTTCTTACCTCCTTCTTTTGAAAGCAAATTGTGTGCTGAATTCCTGACAATACAATTCTTTCAATTTTTCAATATTTGATGGCGGGTTCGATTAATGCTTCCGGAGAGAGAAAACGATTTGGAGCCATTACGTGACATTTAAAAATCTAGTGCGCTTTCGCATCAGGAAATAGTGAGGCTAGTGCGTATCAGCGAACGCCGGCCTGAGTTCTGGCTAGTACAACAAAGCCAACTAGTGCAAGCATTCTTTTTTTCTCCCAGTAAGCTAAGTTAGTTTGCGATAGGGGTCAAGCACTCTATTTCCGTCAGTTATCGATTCCCAGTTACAGTCTCTTTTAGATGATACAGTAATAACTGAAACCATATCTTGAATCCTGCGAAGCAGATCTGGCATATTGCTAATGGCTTTTAAGCGCATTACCGCGGATTTTATCATCTATTATTCAAGAAAAGCCCTTTTAGGCTAATGCATTTGCAGTATAAAACAAATATTTTCTTCAATAAAACTCATTCTTTCTTTCAAAGACAAATCTAACGCAGAAAAGCAGGAAATAAATAAGTTTTTGTTTGATTCCAAGACTAAAAAGTTAGCGATCAGGGGACTTGAGAAAACGCTAATCAGGAGCGTTGTGCGTATCAGCAGCGGATGTTAAGCTACCGCACCTGACGAGCGCATCCGCATCAACGTGACTTTCGGAAAACTACAACTCACTTCGTTGGCGGACCTCTTGTGGTGAGCGTTCGTCCCCGCCCTATAAAAACGACGACGTGGGGGATTTTCATCAGCACTTTTAACAAAGTATAAGAGAACCTTTTCAAGTTTCGCTTTTTGCATACGGTAGTTACGATCGAGAATCTCTTCAGGAACAGGTAAATAATCAAGAGAAAGCGTTTTAAAACCTCAAAGCCCGAAAAAAACTTTGTTCTTTTTTTCAAGAATACAGTAAGAACATACAGTGATCCGTTGATCGACCGAGCTCCGGGTCGATTGCATCAGGGAGCTCCCAAAGCTCATTTCCCTGCCATTTTAATTAGCTTCCTTCCGTATATAAAGGAGAGCCACCCTTATTTTTTCCATTCTCTATTTGAACCAGAATCAAAGTTCTACATTTGTCCGAAGCGAAAACATAGAGCTGTCATTTTTTATAAAATGAAACTTTTTGCTGGAAATTGGTTTCGTGATCCTTCTCAAGGTAATCTTCGCAGAGCTCAATTAGCACGTAAATTGCCTTGACGCGCTGACATTTCAAATGGTGTCGGTGCGTAGAACGAGCATTAGAGGGAATCCCGGATTTTATGGCGCCAGCCCGGCGCCAATTTACGATAACGTAAAGCGGTTTAAAAAGGAAATGTTTTAAGCTGATCGATTCAAAGCTCAATAATCACAGCTACAAAGCATTCTTTATTACCACACAGATCAAATGAAACTGTCGAGCATTACATACCGTGTGATCAGCAGTAAGTGTGGTCGCGGTAGAGCTTAGTACAGGCCCTACCGCACCAGATCAACTTGACCTTATCACCCCCACCCACTGAAAAGGCCAATAGGGATCGATTTTTCGCCCGAATCATCCACGTATTCGTTTGCTCCTCGCCACAGGCCCGCGAACAATTGTCAATAGAGCTCGTTTTCGGGCGACAGAGGGGGCCCCACGGAGCGCTACTGAATTTTTAAACAAATCAGTTTGGACTCCCACTTCCGCGTCTTCAAATTGAAGTTGTTGTGTTTCAATTTTTGAAGATCGCGAAACTGGAAGGCTGCGAGCCCAACTGGTAAGTTACGAGAAAAGTAGCTTACTGGGAGAAAAAAAGAACTAAATATCGGGCTAGTGAGAATAAAAAGCGTTAATTAACAAAACAACCAGGGTTGATAGAACGGAACAAGTAAACACAAAAAAGACAAAATAAAGTTCCTAAATCAACCTGGTTAAAATAGGGAAAAACTTCCCAAATTGTAAAAGATTCTAAAAACGCTTTCTGTCTCACAATTAGCTCGCCTTGACGGATGTAAAGTTCATTTTTCCAATAATTTTATTTTTAGTGAGCGATTCCCGGGACATGAGTGGATACGGCCGCAGAGAGCGAGAAGGGCGACACCACCAACGCGACTACCACGATCGAAGCCGGTCGCAGTCGAGAGATGGCGGGCAGTATCACCGAGGAGGACGCGGCGGTGGCAGAGGACGAGGTCGTGGCCGAGGCGGTGGCCCAAGAAACGAAAGGGTAATGCACTCATTGATTTTGGCTTTATCGTCTTTTAAAATTCCCTCCATTTAAAACAGACTCAGTCTGCTATCTTATGTAGCCTTTTTCTGGCATTGTGCCAGAGATCATCTGCTTTTAGATAAACAATAAGCAAGCTCTATATCATATTTACAGTATGTATTTTGGAATCGAAAATGGCCCGGCGCTTGTTTTGATAATTCATCTTAAATTAAGTCTTGATCGGTAGCGTATTTCAGAACTGTAATGATCAGTGTTTGAAATAATGGTCAAAACTCTCGTGAGCGAGTAAACGCGAGCAGAGGCTCTCAGAATTTTAACATGAGTGAGCGAGCCCGAGCAGACCCTCTTGATTTTTTCGTGAGCGAGCGAGCGCGAGCGAAGACACCAGGATTTTGCTATGAGTAGGGCCCAGTCGCAAAAAGCGGCCTTCTCAAATCGCTGTTTTTTTCAAAATCTGTCATGATAGGATGATAGAGCAGCTCAAGCTGAACAACTTTGATGTTGAAGACTTTTTGAAAAACTTTGATGATTTGATGATTTTTATTTACTAAGAAAATATGCCAAAAAATGTGTTGAAGCGAATTTCAACCTTCTTGAGGAGATGGACAGGGACCCTCTGCCTTCACACACCCCTAGACCAGCATCTCACAAGCAACATCGCACTTTTTTGACATAAAAAAATTTATTCTGTCATTTAACCATAACTTATGGTCCATAAGGAATCCTCCGAAATATTATACAGTGGTTACATACACATTATATTTATGTGGGTGAGCCGATGTTTCCACCTTCTAGCGTAGACGGACAGGGAGTCCCTGCCCTTGCACACCCCTAGACCAGTCTCTCACATATTTACCATCTGTACTTTATTATTTTTACATTGAAAGCCCTTATTCATTTAATTTCTCTCTTTCCTCAAAGAAAACTCGTATTATTTTTATTGACCAACAGGAAAGCATGAATAGAAAATACGTCGAAGTTTTTGAAAAAAAGACCAATCAAAAATAGTTTGATCTTTGTGAGCTCAATTAGCTGAGCTGAGCTAGCAGAGCTGAGGTTAAAATTGAGCTAGCTGAGCTGAGCTGGCTCTTTTCGAAGAACCATTGAGCTGAGCTGGCTGAGCTGAGGTCAAAGTGAGCTGAGCTGAGCTGAGCTGGCCTTCACCTCAAAATCAGTGTTTGAAAAAGTAGTGAGCGCGAGCCACGAGCGAGCGCGAGCGAGTGAGCGAGCGCTCATGCTCACTCACTCATCATAATTTCGAGAACCTCTGCTCGCGCTCGCTCACTCACCAGAAAATTCCTAGGTCCCTGCTTGCGCTCACTCGCGCTCGCTCACAGTTATTTTAAGTGAATTCACTATCAAGACAAAGATGATTTCAAAAAAAATTCCGGGAACCTAAATTCCGACTATCCTGGGTATCCGTATTGATATTTCGAATATCTATATAAGGGACCATAAATGATAAATAATAAAGTGGATGCACTCCGTTAAAGTCTCCCGATTTCACTTTTTCCCGAAATCGGGTTTGCAAGGGTTGTTAGTAAAAAAACAGACTTTTCTGAGCATTTTAGAAGGTAAAGTCAAATGTTTATTTGAACATTAGGCTCTGGTTGATGGAGAAATCCTTGATTCTTTAAAAATAGAAACTTTTTAAGGATGAAAAACGGCAAGAGACGAAGGAGAAGATCGCCCGAATGCATTACCAGGGCGAGGACCAGCTGCTCAGCTACAAAGCCGAAGTAGCTCGTGCGCATGATCGACTCAAAATCCAGGCGGATATCGTTCGCGACACTGCCAATCACGAGGAGCGAAGAGAAAAGCAAGAAAGTAAGTCACTTTTTATGTTGTTCTTAGCTGTTAAAATTTAATTTACAGTTCGCGAGAGATCAAAGGAACTTGAGGACCTTCCAATTGCGAAGATGAATGGCTCCCTTTCAGAAGGTCGCAAAATTCCTCTGAAAACAAATGCCTACCGTATCGAAATCAATCCAAGCTCTCGTTTCTACGTCTACGAGCTTCTAAGCTGCACCGTCAAAGCCTCGAAGGGCCGCCCACCTGAGCTCAAGAAAAAGGAAAGAAGGACCGTCATCGCAAAACTCGGACGAATGCTCGGCGCACCGATTGCTTTTGACGGCGAAAGCTGCATGCTGCTCTACAAAGAGTTCCGTGGAATCGGACTTTTTCGAGTTGAAGATGTCGGCTGGGTCCAGGAAGACAAGCGAAGGAACGAATTTGAGTTCGGACTCGCTGATGTCCCGCGAGAAAATGGAAAGAAAGATCATGTGGAGGGCAAATTTCTCTTTCGACTTGGTATAAGCTTATCTACTGTCAGTGATTATATCAATGGGCTTAACGTTGATGTCCCGCCTTCAGATGTCATTCAAGCAGTTGAAATCATTATGCGAACTCTTCCAGCCGCAAGAGCACAGTAAGTTAGATAATAATACCTGATTTGAAACACATTCATAAAGATCTAAGAATTGATTTGAACTTAAAAAATCTTCAGGTATCTCTCAAAAGGCCGCGCAGCCTTCTGCGACATTGTCAACACCGACAGTGACAAGCGAAACATCCCAGGAGGCAAAACAGTATGGCATGGTATCTGCCAAAGTGCTAAGATCAGTCACTGGAAGTCGATTGGCAAGAATGCTCTTACTCTGAATTTGGACTTGGCGCACGCTCTTATGTTTCGTCAAAGTCTGATGACCGATCTGTTTGAGGAATACGAAGGGCGACATCATCTGCTTGAAGAGAGCTTGAAGCATCTTGACATCGAAGTCATAGGAGGCGATCGACAATACTACAAATTCTCCAAATTCTCCAGATATCCGATTGCGCATACTGAGATGTACGATTCACGCAACGAGTGTGTCAAAAATATGTACGATCACTTCCGCCGCGCCGGATTCAATCATCTCAACGGCCAGTACGTCGTCGTAGAAACCACGGCAAAGCACAAAAAAGCGCCGAAAGGAAATCAAGTCGTGAAATTCCCCCTTGAAAATGTCCGTCTTCTAGGCGGACAAAGACCGAAAGGTCTCATCAGCGAAAAAACTCAAGCTGATTTCATCCGTGCGACAGCCGAGCCAGCTCCAGATCGACAAGCTAAAATCCAAGAGATTGTTGAAAACAAGGAGCTCTTCGACCGACAAGTTTTGGAGACATACGGACTTCGACTCTCAAAAACGGTGATGGAAGCTGAAGGCCACGTTCTTGTCACGCCAAAGATTTTCGCGAATCAAGGAGAAGAAATCGACGTCAAGCCAAACGACGATAACAGCTGGAATATTTCTCAGTTCGAGCAACCCGCTGCTCCGGTCAATCGCAACTGGATGCGCGTCGTCATTGGCGAAAATCAAAATGAGTTTGGACGCTACTGGAACGAGGCTGGACAACATCTCTGCAAAATCGGAACTGAGCTAGGAGTACCGATGGGCGCGCCGCTTTTTTCAGAATGGTTTGAAACTGGGCTTGATTTTGACGGCTGGTGCGCCAGAATGAAAAAGGCGGATCCTAAAGCCTGGGCCAACTTGGCATTCATTTTGGTCTGCTGTGGACGCAACAAGGATGACTACAGTCTTGTCAAAGTCGCGGCGGAGCTCAATCACTCGGTGATGACGCAATGCATTCTCCCCATAACTGTCATGGAGAACAATCGAATATCACTCAGGAATATTTGGTACAAGGTAAACGAAAACACCGCTTTTAATATTTCAACTCTGAGTTCTAGATCAACAAGAAGTTGGGCGGTCACAATTGGAAAATCCAAATCCCTCTTCCCGAAAGCCCTGTGCCATTAATGGTCATGGGCTACGGATTGAGCCATGCGGAGAAAGATTCAGCCGACCCCACGATCGCTGGTTTTGTGGCAAGCACGGCACAAGGAGCTCTTGGCTACAAAAACTACGTCGATGTCCAGCACCCAGGTCTCAACATCGTTGCAAAGCGAGTGCTCAAGGATGCGATGGCCGCTCTCCTCTCAAAATACAGAGATGGGAATAGTAATGCGCTACCAGAGCGTATCATTATTTACAGAGGAGGCGGCTCTGAAGGAGCATTCCAAGCGATTCTGAAGAACGAGCTCATGGGTATTTTGGTTTTTGTTTATAGAAATTAAAGACTTGTTTAAGGAATCCGCGAGGCGTTGGCCGAATTGAAAGCGGACTACCAGCCGGGAATCACATTCATCTGCGCGATCCGCTCAAGCCACCAGAAATTCTTTGCTGCTGACAAAAAGGACGAGACTGGAATGGGAAAAAATGTGCCAATTGGGACTTGCGTCAGTGGCTTTGGAAATGGAACGCCAGGTTCGATCGTTTTTGATTGAATGTCAATAAAGAGCATTTGTAGACTCATACAGTTTCCATCTTATGTCGCACTCTGCTATCGGCTGCGCCAACCCGACCTTCTACAGCGTCCTCCACGACGACAATGGCATCGAGCTCCAAAACATGGTGAACATGACTTACGCGCTGAGCATGGCTACTCAAAGATGCAACAAATCGTAAGTTTAAATTTTCATTTTTGACCGTTCTCATCGTTGATTGCAGCACCTCCCACACCACGCCTGTCTTCCTCGCCAATCTTCTGACCGAGCGAGCCCGAAATCACTGGAAAGGAACTGCCCTCGGACATGAGCTCAGAGCCAACGGATTTAGAAGAATCGACGGCGATCACAAACTACGAGTTCAAGTCCTGGAGCGCTTCCAGAATGAAGTGTTCTTCATTTAAAGTCTTATACTTTGTAAATATTTGAAACCTTCATCGAATTGAAACCACCTAATAACACCCCTGAACGACTTCAGGGCCATTTTCGTCTCGTGCCATCGTCTTTGATTTTTTTATATCTACCGATTATTGAAAAAAACCTTCATCGAAAACGAAAAAAAAACCACCTAATTGACCGTAATTGTGAAAGTTCTCACTGCACTTCCGAATCTACCATGAATCTTCTTTCAATACCAAATTCCTTCTCGAATCTCAAAACCACCTATAATTTCTAGAGTTCATTTAGTATTTTTCTTTCTTTATCAATATCTGCCCTGATAAAATAAAATAAACATTGGAATAAAAAAAATCTTTCAGGAATGCTAAATGACTATTTAATACTTTTTTTCTTGATTGAGTTTGTTTTATTCAAAGGAGAATATATAGTTAGCAAGCAAATATTTAAAAGAAGTAAAAATATTTTTAAACAGAGGGTAGTTCTTCAGGGCGACTTAGATCTCTTCAAATGTCTGGTAGACAACGTTCTTGACGAAGTAACCATCAGCAGAGTTGTACCATGGATCAGCAACGAAAAACTGGAGATCGCCAGAAGTCAAGGCTCCGGTCGAGGAGTAAGTGCCAGTCTTCATTTCAGTTCCATCGATGCTCACGACGTAGCTGAGGGTCGAGGGAGAGCCTTCGACTTGACGGACTTCGACGGAGAAGTTATTCCACTCGCCAGCGGTGCAAACGAATGGGGTGTAGTCTGAGTGGTCGTTGTGGTTGCCATTTGGATTATTCGTATGCAAATGAAGTTTATTTTGTCTTGGGTGTCTCCACATAGCGAAGGTTCGACTTCCGGGTGTGCCCCTGTCATCGCCTCCAGTCACGTGAATGACATTGATCCATGGGTTGCTAACTGTGTACAATTCGGCGCAGAACACATCAGCTGAGATTTTGTAGTTGAGAGCAGCAGGCGCTGTGGCAACTTCAGTGTTCTTCGTTGGGTTGACGCCGCAAGAATCAACAACGGAAACACAGTTCTCTTCTCCTTCGCATGGATCATCGCAACTGACAACTCGGTCTTCAAACGTTTGGTAGATGAAGTTTCGAACGAAGTAGCCAGAAGCTGCGTTGTACCAAGGATCCCCAACGAAAAATTGGAGATCTCCAGAAGTCAAGGCTCCTGTTGAGGAGTAAAGTCCGGTTTTCACTTCAGCGCCGTCAATGCTGACAGTGTATCTGAGCGCCAATGGGGCCTCTTCAGCTTGTCTAACTTCGATGGTGAATGTGTTCCACTCGCCAGGGGTGCAAACGAACGGTGTGTAGTCAGAGTGGTCATTGTGGTTGCCGTTGGGGTTGTTGGTGTGGAAGTGGAGCTTGTTTTCTCTTGGATGTCTCCAGATCGCAAAGTTTCGACTTCCGGGTGAGCTGTGATCATCTCCTCCAGTCACATGGGCAATATTAATCCACGGGTTGCTTACGGTGTACAAATCAGCGCAGAAAACATCAGCTGACATTTTGTAGTTCAACGCAGCAGGTGCGGTTGCGACTTGGTTGTTTTTGGAAGGATTGATTTCGCAAGAGTCGACGATGACAGAGCAGTTTTCTTCGCCAGCACAAGGATCTTCGCAGAAATCGAAGGATTGGTGGAAGAAATTTCGGACGGGGTAGAGCCAGGCAACATCATTGTTGTTCGTCTTTCGGGAAGAGAAAACATCGACGTTGGTGTCAGAGAGAACAATGGCGGCATCGTATGTGTAGGAAGCAATCTCCTCTCCATCTCTAGAGAAGACAATTTGAACTGTGTCGAGATTGCTCTTATCCTGTCGCTGCTCAAGAACGTAAGTGTTCCATTCGCCATCAACGCAGTCAAGAGTTTTGTATTGGGCGAAACCGCCGACTGGAACACCGAGAGCAAAGTAAAGTTGCTGGTTGTTTGGCCTCTTCCAAGCAGCGAAAAATCGGTCTCCGGGGTTTCCTGCTTCGTTTCCGGCACTGATGTGGAAGATGTTCAGCCATCGGCCGTTGTCCATGCTGTGGCTGCACTGGATATCGATGGATGTTCGGAAGTTGACGCTGGTGTTGATAGATCCGAGCTGATTTCCAGCTGAAGGGAAGCTCTCGCAGGAATCGATGAAGGTCTGGCAGTCATCAACACCGTCGCAAGGATCGCTTGAAGTGCATGGAGCAGGGGAGACGAGATCAAAAGATTTATGGAAGAAGTTTCGGACTGGATATTTCCAGGCGACATCATCATTTCGTGATTTTCGGGACAAGAAAACATCGACGTTTGTGTCGGAGAGAACGGCGGCGCTTTCGTAGTTGTATGAGGCGATTTCGACGTCATCTTTGGTGAAGACTAGTTCGACCATGTTTGGATTGACTTCGTTCTGTCGCTGTTCAAGAGCGTAAGTGTTCCACTCGCCATCGACGCAATCGAGCGTTTGGTATTGAGCAAATCCTCCTTCTGGAACGCCGAGAGCGAAGTACAATTGCTGATTGTTTGGCCTCTTCCATGCAGCAAAGAATCGATCACCAGGGCTTCCGGCTTCATTTCCAGCGCTAATGTGGAAAATATTTCGCCATCGTCCGTTTTCCATGCTGTGGGAACATTGAATATCGATAGAAGTTCGGAAGTTGACACTGGTGTTGATTGATCCAAGCTGGTTGCTTGCCGCAGGGAAGGCCTCGCAGGAGTTGATGAAGGTCTGACAATCGTCTTCGTCCTGGCAAGGATCGGTAGCAGTGCATGGAGCTGGAACGTCAAGGGCGAAATATTGGTGGTAGAAATTTCGAACAGCAAAGTTCCATGCGACATCAACGAGAGCAGTTTTTCTGGATGAGAAAACATCGACATTGGTGCCGGACAAAACAGCAGAAGTTGCGTAACTGTATGATGCGATTTCATTTCCGTCAATCGAGAAAGTCAAAACGACGATATTTGGGTTAGATGAGTCCTGTCGCTGTTCGAGAACGTAGGTGTTCCATTCTTGATCGACGCAGTCAAAAGTTTTGTACTGAGCAAATCCTCCTTCTGGAACACCGAGAGCGAAGTACAATTGCTGTTCATTAGGCTTTCTCCATCCAGCAAAGAATCGGTCTCCTGGGCTTCCGGCTTCGCCTCCAGCGCTGATGTGGAAGATGTTGAGCCATCTTCCCATGTCCATACCGTGATTGCATTGGATATCAATCGAGGTTCTGAAGTTCTCAGTTGTTTCGATGCTTCCGAGATTGTTGCTTGCCGATGGGTTGGCAATGCAAGAGTCGATGAAAGTTTGGCAGTCTTCGAGACCGTCGCATGGGTCAGATCGATCTTCGCATACTCGAGGCTCGACTTCTTCGAAGGTTTGGTAGAAGAAATTTCGTACGGCAAATTCAGAAGCAACATCCGCAGGGTTAGACTTTCTTGAGGAGAAGACATCGACGGATCCAGTGAAAACATCGCTGGTCGGGTAGACGTTGTTTGTGACAACTTCATCGTCAATTGAGAAAGTCATTCTGACGGTGTCGGGAGAGTCTTCATCTTGTCGTTGTTCGAGAGTGTAGGTGTTCCACTCTCCATCAACACAGTCGACGTTTTTGTACTCAGCGAATCCACCATGTGGAACTCCTCGAGCAAAATACAGTCGCTGGTCATTTGGCTGTCTCCAAGCAGCAAAGAATCGATCTCCTGGGTTACCAGCTTCGCCTCCAGCGCTCATGTGGAAGATGTTCAACCATCGACCCATGTCCATGTTGTGATTGCACTGAATGTCGATCGATGCCTTGAAATTAGCGGAAGCCTGGATTGTGGAAAGCTGGTTTGAAGCACTTGGGAAAATTTCGCAAGCGTCAACGAAAGTTTCGCAGTTTTCTTCACCGAAGCAAGGATCTGGGCAAGACAAATCTTGGTGGATGAAGTTTCGGACGTAGTGATCAGTGGCAGCTGGCCAGCCAAAGTCAGAAGCAACTTCAACATTCAAGGAGCCGTTGAAAACATCCTGCTTTCGAACGAGTTGGCTCTCGATTACTTCTCCGTCGAAGAGAATTTCAACGTTCATCTGTCGTCTATCGACAGCAGTTTGTTGGACAGCGAATGTATGCCATCCTTCTTCGCAGTTGACGTAAGCGTTCAACTCATCATTGGGATTGCCAAGAACAGGAGCGACGATTCGAATTTCGTTGACAGATCCTTGCTTCTTCCAAATTGTGAAGTAGCGATCTCCAAAAACTTCGCGACTAGTGCCCGTGTTGACATGCAAAACATTCTCCCACGTTGGAGCGCGTCGGTCAGTGCATCGAACTTCCGCACTTATTTTGAATTGCTCGTAGCCATTTGTCGTCGCGATCTGGTTTCCAGCGAAGGGAGCGATCATGCAGCTGTCAATGTAAGTCTCGCAATTGTCAAGACCGACACAGGGGTCGACAGGTACACAAGGGGGACCAATGTAGGGCTCAGATGTGTGCCAGAAATTTCGAATTTTGAAAAGACTAGCGGAGCTGTGGAACGGGTTAGACCCGTAGACAGTAATTGGGCCGGAATAAGCGCTCAGTGGGTTGATGAAATTGCTTCCGAGAGCAACTCTGTCTTGGTACATTGTCAGCTGGAGCAAGTCGCCTTCGATTTCTCTCTGCTCAATTTTGATCGTGGTCCAGGTTTGGTCATCACAGTCAACGTAGTATTCAACTTCGTTGAAGGCATTCCCCTTGATTGGTCCATTGAGCTTGAGACTACCGTCGGCGTGCTGGAAGATCGCAAGATATCGGTCTCCGAATTGGTCTCGACTGCCTCCTCGAGTCATGTGAACGACGTTCTGCCATCCGTGCCCGCTGGATTTGTGGCAGAAAACATCAACGGATGCAGTGTAGATAGCGTCGCCATCGACGGTGCCGAGGACGTTTCCACCGCTTGGATGAATCTCACAGCTATCGACGAGAGTATCACAGTTGTCTCTGTCTTCGCAAGGATCGACACATGGTGGTGGAGTTTCCGGAGTTTCCGGAGTCGTATCCGGAGTCGTGTCCGGAGTAGTTGTTGGAGTTGTCGTTGTTCCAGGTCGGCAGCGACAGTGCTGGGCTGATTCGATGATCCAGTTTCCGTCGACAAAAAGATCGTCGTCCGAAGTCTGGAGATTTCCTTCGAAGAGCATGCCAGACATGAAGTTTCCATCTGGCTTGAAGTCGATTTTGAAAGTGTTGTCATTGCCAACTTCGGTGACAGCACTGACGGGATGGTTCCATGTTTGCCAAACAACGGGCTCCGTAAATCTTACGCTGACGAAGTCGCCTGAATGTTTACAATAAAATATTGCTAATTTTGGAAGTCACGTTACCTCGAGCCGCGCTGAAGTAAGAATTGAAATTGGTGTTTTGGCCGTACGTTGCTCTAACTCGGAAGCAGTTTCGGCAGGTCCACTCGTTGGTGAAGTAGATTTCTGTATTGTCGAGATCGTCGCAATCGGCCCAGAAGTTTTCAGGACAAGCGCTGGCGATCGGAGAACTAGTGACAGGAGCATCAGTTGGATCGCTTGGGTCTGGCACAACTCCGCCGGGGCATTTTCCGGCTTTTCGGATGACGTTCTTCAGCTTGTGAGATTTTCTCACGAATCTGTCGAGAAATTTCTTCTTCGGGAATCCATCGTCGCAGCCGAATTTTCGTGCATAAGAGCGCATCATCGATGGAAGTTTTCCAGATCCCTCGCAGAGTTCGCTGAAGTCATCGTCGACGGCGAATCGGTCTTCGTCGACGCCGGGGACGGGGCAAGCTGAAACGTCGATTTTGTTCATCGAGTCGAGCATTTTTCCGATCCATTTCGCGACCTGCTCTTTTTTCCTGTCCGACGCGCTGGAGTCCTCAGAGTAGCCAAGGAGCTCGTTGGCTTTTTCGGTGATTTTTGCAAGACGACGACCTGCACTAAAGGAAAGATAAGATTTATGATCCCATATAAGAGGTACTTGGTGCCTTCTTTGAAAAATTAATCGAAAAATTTATATAAAAAACGAACTCTTCAGGAGCTTTACTTACTCTGGTTCTCTGGCAGCAAGAGCTGCAGAAATGACAGCTACTGAAAGCTTCATCTCTTTTGTGCAGTTCTTCTCTCTATAAACCTTCTAGCAACTCCGCGTTTCTTATATATGGGTCAGTGGAGTAGACGCGCGCTAGGTGGAGTTGCTCGCTGGTCAAGAGGTTAAAACCGTCAATAAATGGTGGCACCGCGCGCGCACCATGAGGGCTGCTTTCCGAAAACGTGCTTTCAGAAACGGGGTTTCGTTTATTTTATGTTTATGACGCAAAGAAACGCTTGGTGTCAGGGGTCGAAACAGACTAGTCTGTCCAGCCTAAAGTCTTAGTCTGTCTAGGTTAAGGCTGCCAGACTAACAGACTACCAAAAAATCGCATCATAAATTAGGCTCGTTTTCAGCCCAGCCTAGACTTAAAAGTCTGCAGACTACAGACTAAATCAAATTAGGCTGTTAAGGTTGTCAGCCTTGCGGAGACTTAAATTTTCCTTTTCCAGACTTTTTTTTAGTTTTTATCTAGACTATCGAAATGCCGGCGAATATTTTTCATTTTTTATGATCAATTTTTAATATTCTAGTAGTAATTATTACGGACTGCCCAATCCTGAATCGCACATTTTCCCGGTCCGCACATTTTCCCGTTTTGCCCACAATGGGCGATCAAGGATTCTGGGCGAAACGGGATGTGGGCTAATCGGGATTTTGGGCAAAACAGGCGCTGCCGCACCCTTTAGGGGTGCACTACCTGCGCAACCCACTGCTATCCTTTGGGCGAGCGTGGCGTTTTAACCATAGTTGGAAAAAACACCCGAAACTTGCGTGCGCGTGCGTGCGCTTTAAAAAAGAGAAGTGGGCGTGTACGCTAATCAAGGGCTCTTCGAAACACGCACGCACGCGCACGTGTTTTTTCCAACTATGGTTTTAACCGCCACGAGGATTTTGACGGGCAATTTCTCTACGAATAACTTAGCGATATGTAAAAATTTTCATTTTTCTGAAAAATTCGGACATTTCTCTACCAAGACTAGGTAACCTAGTGCTTATTTGAGAAAAATCCTCGACAAATAACGAGTCTATTATTAATTAGACTATTAACCCTGTTTAAAATGGGCCATTTTAAACGAGCCTAGAAAAGGAAGTCTCAAGACTAAAGTCGCAGACTTGACCAAATTTATGAATTTTTAGGTTGCAGACTTTCAGCCTAAAACAGACTAAGTCTGTCAGCCTTGGCCAGCCTAGACTTTTCATTTTCCCGAAATACCCAGCCCAGACTAGCAGCCTAAAAAGGCTGGAAAATCGCCCAGCCCAGCCTAGCCTAGACTTTCAATTTTTAAAACGGATTTCGACCCCTGCTTGGTGTAATATGATGATTTGTGCAATCAAAAAATAACTAATTTGATCAACTAAATAAATTGTAAAGTATTTTCTATTAAAAATTTACTATCTTTATTTACATTTTTAATTTTTATAGAATACTTTTTCAAGTATAAATTTGGGGAAAACGGATCATAGTTTCTTAGTCGAGCCCGAAAATAAAATATAGATTTTACTGAATTTTTGCAATATCGAGTTGTTTACATTCGGTTTCTTAGATTCCGTAGTTACTGAAACTAAGAATTGGTGGAACCGGGTTTTCGACGATGTTTTCTCGATCGATGCGCCCGTTTCCTCTTTTAAGCTCTATTCTTCGTCAGGGATTAGGGCTAGGAGCTGAGAGTACCTATTGGGGACTGCCAGGGACTTAGTTATATCATATAAGTTATATAATATAACTTATATGGGTAAGGGATGAAGGAAAAGAATTTTTCAGAAATGCCCTAAATTAGAAGCTTCAATTAAGAACGGATTTTGACTTTTTTCTCTCCGGAATTTATAAATAGAGACTTTACTGATAAGAAAATTTTGATTATGACATGTACTGGCCGAGATAAAGGAACCTTGACGTGGTTTCTAAAGTTCATAAAATATCTTTCATAATTATGCGTTGCCAAGCTCCTCAAAATTTTAAGCTGACGCATATCTGGAAACAAACTAGATCTTGAATAAGGAGCACACGCTTGATATGATCATAACTTCGCTTGTTTGAAGGAAAGGCCCAGATTAACCCGTTAGAGCACGAGTTTTTTCTACATAAAGTTTTTTTTCTCGTCTCGTTCAGAAGTTTGTCGCCTCATTAATTTTTTTTTATTTCGGGACCGAGATTTCCTCGAAGTTTTTAACTCAAAAGCTTGTTGGCTTTAAGGTCTTAAGGCGTTTTGAAAACAAACGAAGAAGTATTTGGTTCATTCAACGAAACGTGGGTGCGCTTGCAGATGGAAATTCATTTGGTTTTCAAGTATGCCGTACAAGTTGTCTCCCTGGAGAAGCACTCATTCCGCTTCCTTTCGAATTGTTCCTCAAAGAGCTGATTATGACCAAATGCATTTTTCTCGCTGAATATGAGTTCCTTTGCAAGAGCCCTGCGTCAGCACTCTTGCATTTTCAGAAAAGGTATGTGACAGAAAATTTCCATTTCTCTATCTATCGTAAGAATTACTTACTAATTAACATATTTGTTACTTCTAATAATTCATCAACCGTTGAAGGGTGTTAGAAATAACGAAAGAAGCCGTCTTTGAAAAATCGTTTTTGAAAACAATGTCAAGCGGCGAGTCAGATAATGAATACTGCTACGTTTGCGACCTCTATCTGTCAGCGCGAATCGGCTAATTCAAGTTGAATGACCTTGCATGCAACCCTGTTATCGAAAATGTACGTCCTTTCAAAATCAAGCACAGTTTGAAATCATTTTTTTGTGTTTTTTAGTCAATTTTATACCCGAAATTCGGTACTCCCAAAACTCGATCCTTTTTTTCAAAAATTCAAAACAATTTTTTGTCAGAAAAATTTTCATAGACCCGAGAAAATAAATTGATAAATATTTTTGCGGGCGCTTTCTTTCCACTAAGTACAGTAATCAACAGGAGAAACAAAAACTACCGGAAACAAAGTTCTTTCTTCTTGCTCAGCAATCACATCTACTAAAAGCACATTTTCTTCCGAGTCTTTTACAAAAAGTTCCAAATAAAATAGATTCTTTGCGTTATTTTGAAGGTTTTGAAACATTGACCTAAGGTGATCTTCTGAATCGGAAACTTGCGATTCACAGCTTCAAGCGTGCCCGGAAAAACAAAGACTGACTTTTCAAATAATATCGCTGATGAAGCAGAAATCGTCTGAAATTTTTTCTTCTTTGCGATTCAAATTTGTATTTACTTTTAAAAGAAAGCCGATTTTAGACCACTCGTTGTTTCTAAGTCTCCAAATTTCATCCATCTGCTCGCCTATTAAGCCGAAAAAACCCTTGGCCATGTCTCTCCCTCCGATTGTCAAAAGACTTCCTGAAGGCAGCCCGACTGTGGAGAAATCGATGATCGATCTTAAACCTTTCGTTTATTTTTTGTGCTCGACTCAGCTACCTTGGGTGCTTTGCAAGTGGAATCCAACCCTTCTCGGTGAAAGTTTCAACCGATCCTTCGACTCCTCTCCCCCCGATCGCAGTTGGGCGGCCCTGGTAAATGTCCAATCCGCCCCACAAGTGTTCCTCTTTCGTCGGAAAAGCTGAAGTTAATAATAGTCCATCGAATAACTCGCAGTTTATTTCATCTTTTGTGTCAAAGCAAACGATCGCTAGAAATTCCATTTGAAAAACACACTGTATATTTATATAAGGGAACAGACCTCGACTGCCACCGTCAAAAGAAGTCGCCGAATGACCATGAAGAAATCTCGAAGAAAGTCGCAAAGATAACTCGCTAAATTGGCATCCGACTAGCTGTGCAATCTGTAAAAAATTCAAAGGTTGACTTTATGATTTTGAAGTTACTTTGAAGGGATCCGTTTCGCCACCAAAGATATGGACTTGACCATTAATCAGCGCTTGCTGAGAGCCTTCAATATATTGAGACAGAGATTTGCGCAAGTTTTCATAAGCGGTTGGAGCGTTGAAGAAAACATCATCGATTCCAGAAGGGGACAAAGAATAGGGCGGAATACTTCGCTTTGAGTATGAACTCCCTGGTTCTCTTGGCAATATAACATTAATCTTGGTCGATTTGTCCGGCGAGTAAATGAAGTTGCTGATCTTCGAGCGCCGGTCATATTTAAAAATGTTCAATTTCTTTTTTTCCGAATTCTGAAGCGGATCCATCTCGATTCTTGATATTCTCCTCCCATTCTCCTCAAGCTCAAAAGAAAAGAAAAAAAAACGCTCAAAGAGAAGCTAATCAATAAAACTTTGCCTGAAAAAATTCCAAATAAGATGAGTTCGAGGAGTGGCTCGAATGGAAATACAGTCCCAATTCAGTCTTCTCGGACAAACGAGATTGTAAAATCCGTCGTTTTTGAAAATAATCAGATTCAATCAAAAGAAAGTTTTTCTCCGAAATGCCAAAGGAAAAAAGAGCTGTTTCATCAAGAAACTTGGCTTCAAGAATTTTCTCGTCTTCCGAGCCGCACTCTTCGAAATTGATGCTGAGGTCGAATTTTTCTGTTCCGTTGAGTTGCATTTCAATTGTTGAGATGTGACTGATTTCTTCGAGGCAGGAAAACTCATTGTCCGGAATGATCGTTTTGTAGTAGAAACTTGGGCGAGGGAATTGTCGCTGGGAAGCAGCGTTCTTCGCGAAAGCAGGGAAGATATCGTCGTGGAAAGCGAAATAGGGATTGCTTGTTACGTGCATTTTCTTGCCAGTTCTCCGTTGTATGATTTCGAGTTCTATCGTTTCGAAATTGAGAACAATTTCAAACACTGAATCAAAAACGTAGTTCTGGATGTAAATCTTTTCATTGCTGCTGATTCCGTTGCCGAAGTACTCGCATTCGTCGTTGTTGATTCCACTTTGATCTGTGTAGTTGGGGTCGTAATTGGAAAATAACTTCGAGAAGCAGACTGACCTCTCTTCGTATCTGACAAGAGAGCCGATCCACTCCTTGCCAATGACCAGTAACTTTCCCTCAACCTCCAAGAGAACAGAGTCAAGGTTCTTTCTCGAAGTTCAGTCTAGTTTAGTCTGGTCTCGGCAACCTGTATAGAAAGCCTAAGTCAGGGTCTGAAAGTCAGTAAACTGCTCTTCATTATCGAGTTCACAGACCCTGACTCAGGTTTTCTATACCTGTTGCCGAGTCCAGACTCTGGATAAGGGTTAGGGTTAGGATTGCTTAGGGTTAGGGTTAGCCCTACCTTACACAAACCTAACCTTAACCCTAACCTCAAAGTATCGAAATTAAAGCTAAGAACCCTGGACGGAGTAGAGAGTATTGGAGAGTTCAATGCTCCTCGTCACCAGAATCAGCATCATTCTGCCAACATCGATGAGCGGACTCACATGAACAGGATTCAAATCTCTGAACTGAGCCGGAATCGCGATTTCGTCCTTTTTCCATCCTTTTTCCATTTCTTCGCTTTTTCTGATCTTGTTCAAAGCAACAGTTGTCGAGAGCTTTATCCAGTTTTCACCCATCTGCACACTCATCAACGAGAAGACCCCTTTGAAGCTTATAGAAGAGACTTTCGCGTTGAAGTGCTTGCTCGCGATGAAGCCTTGTGCTTCCTCGAAGCGATTCAGGTTGTAGCCGGGCGCGTAGTAGTAGCACTTCTCCTCTCTCCCGGTCGGTGAGCTTTTCGTGGTCGAAAAAGGTTTCATTAAAAATACGTTTTTTCTCGTGCTCCGACCCCTTCCAGATTACTACTACGGGAAAAATCTTTGTATCTTTCTCTTTTCGGCGAATTTCAATTTGATGGGTCCCGATTGACGAGCCAAAGTGGAAAACAAAAAAGCCTCTAAAACAAGTTGAAGAAGATTTAGGCCGGGAAAAACCGTAACTTACATTCCTCTGTTTTGGATGCCATTTGGAATGAAAACTGAAGCGAAACCATCTTCGTTAATTTTCATCAAGTTTCCAATTGCATCGACCAAGTAGTGCTCGCCGTCGAGAAAAGTGGACCCAGTTGACTTGTCTAGTTTCATTTCCGCTTGTATACTTTTCGTAATTAGGTAACTAATTGAGAAACAATCATAAGAAAACATTGATGTCGAAGCATTTACTTTCGTTGAATCCGCAAGTCGGCCGAACTCAGAAAGAATAATTGGAAACTGACGATTTTCAGTCTCAGCTCGATCGTCCCATCGACCAGTTATTGACTCCACATCCCCGTTTGAATCAGTCAACGCTAGATTTAGAGAAGTCGATGTCGCTGCTGATTTTCCTCCCAAATCGAAAAGAGGAATCAACTTCTGTCGCAACTCGAGTTTCTCGCACTGGTAAAAAGGACAAGGGCAGCCTTTCGGACAACATTTCTGAGTCGGGCAAACTTTTCCTGCGGAATCAAACGATCTAGTCAGCTCAAAGCAAATCGACTCGCATGGCGACATTGAGGGGCGTCTTCCTTTTGCTTGCAAAATAAGCGTCGTCGAACAAAGATGGCGGCAGATTTTTTGGTCGTAGAACTGTTTCTTCTGGCAGCGGAGCAAATTCACTTCGTTTTCTTCTTGATTGAATTTGACAGCTTTGACCTTTTTGGCTTTGATTTTGGAAACTTGCTCAGGGTCGACAAATTCCTTCGTTTGAAAGCATTGCTTCATCAGATGTCCGCATAAATCCATCGTTTCGGTTTTGACGCATTTCTTGTAGCTTCGATGACAAGTCGAAGTCAAGTAAGTCGCCACGTCTCGGGACTTCTCAAGTGAGATCAAATTCGCAACGAGCACAATCGTCATCCAAAAAGAGAGCCGCTTCCAAGATATGTCAACTTTTGTCGCATGGTGGAAAATCCGTGTCGCTTGAAGCTAAACTTGTTGCTGACCTTTCTCTTCCATGTCTTTTCCTTTTTCAAATCTGCTTCTTGAGTGTGAATGCTTCGAGTGGCCAAAATCTCGTCGCTGAACAAGTAAACCTCTTTTCCCTTTTTTCTCAAGACGCCGATGCAGTCGCAGTCGAGACACTATTAAAAAATTAAACTTTCAGAAAAAATTAAAGCTGTTTTTTATTACCCTGACTCTTGTTTTTAAAATCGCTTTTTGAATCGGCTCGTTCTCTCTTTCAAAAATCATTTACAGTAGTTTTTCTTCGGAAGAATGAGCACGCTTGGGAGCTTGAAACGGGAGAATCTGTCAGTCTTGCTGATTTGCTCTGACATTTTTGAATGTCTCTCCGGATTTTTGTGTTACATAAGTTGTGTTGCATAAGTTGTGACATAAAACATTTTTTTCTACCTAATAATCAATAGTTAGAAATCCAGCAGACAATTTTATCCCACTCATCTTGAAGAGCGCGATAGAAGATCAATCAATAGAGTGCATTTAAATTCCTCTGTACTTTCCTTCTTTTATTCAATAAAATGTCGAGGCAGAGAAAACAGAAAAACGAATCCCTTGACAAATTTCTTTCCTTCGTCACCATTTGCCAGAGAAATTACCAAGTTCTTTCTTACGTCCCGAAAGAAGGCATTCCCGACAAAGAAATTTACTCCCAGGTACTTAAATCTTTCCTCAATTCCTTTTCACTGATAAAAGCAACTTGCTCTCCCTTCATACACTCCTTCGTACGAAATCAGCTGCGACATGCCAGCGGGAAACGTCAACAATCTAGACCGATTTGCGCCTAGAAAAGTGACCCGGCTTCCGTCCCTCAAACTTCAGGAAGTGGCTTTTTGCCGCACTAGAATTTCCGGCCGAAGCGAAATTAAAAGTCCCTAAAAAGCCTCTTCTTGGTCAGAAATGCGTCAGTTCCGTTTCTTCCTCGATAGAAGTTCAAACGACAATTGAAGATTTGACTGGACGATCTCTCGATTTTGAATCATAAAAAATTTCAAAAATCAAAGAAAAAAGAAGACTTTTTAAAAAAAAAATTAATAAAAAAATATCTTTGTTTATTCAATGTGCAAATTTTAAAGCGTGTCAGTAAGTAACAGGAATTTGGGTGCAATTTCTACAGTAGTCAAAATTAAAATTTACAACTTCATGAGTTTCTGCGCCGTCATACGTATCCTCATTGGCGTCAGTCGCGCTTCGGGGCTTTCCATCCAGCACTCTTCGACTAAGCGCATTAGGTCTCGTCCGATCGTGTGCGTTTCTGAAAAGCCTCTGTTAATCACTGTAAGAGGCAGAAAAACCGTTTACCTAGAGCGCTGCTGAAAACAGGTCGATAAGCGCGATCAACGACGACTGCTTTCATGTCTGAAAGCGTCGGGTCTCCTGGAACTTGGTCTTCAAAAGGCAGCTTGTAAGGAGCAACGTCGTGGTTTTCGAAAAGCCTTGTTCTTGAAATAATCTCCCAGAAGACCAGTCCCAATCCGTAAATATCCGCACGGGCGTAAGCGCTGAAATTTTCAGGATTCAAAGTTCGAGTGATGATTTCTGGAGCGAGGTAGCGCTTTGTTCCCACGACGATTGGGTCGGAGGTGAAAGTTGGAAGGTCGAGCTGGTGAGTTTTGGAGTCGTAGCGGATCGCGAGGCCGAGATCGCCGATTACGCATTCGCCGTTTGATTTGACCAGAATGTTCTTGCTGAAAGAAAGTTTGAGACTAATAAATCATTTTGCTTCAAAAGTACTTTTGCTTTTGATTTGAATCTTGGAAATTTCGGCGAAAGTGAAAACAAATATCCTACCTCTTGATATCCCGGTGCGCGATGGCACACTTCCCACGAGTTCCGAAGATCTCCTTGTGTAGAAATTCCAGCCCCGAGATCGCTGAGAAAATCATGGTCATGCACTGCTCCATCGTCAAAACATGCGAATGAAGATAGTCGAACAACGATCCGTTGTGGTGGTAGTCGGTGATCAGCCAAAGCTCAGTCGTGTGACCGTTGTCTTAAAAATTTTATTAAAGGAAATGGGGAATTAGGGGGAGTTTTTCTACCTTTATTGTCGGCGGCGACGAAGCCAAGAATATTGCTGTGGCGGAGCATCGAGGTCGTATAGATCTAATTTTTGGGTTAATTGAGGGTCTTTCTTCCTGTGGGAAAAAAAACGAATGAAAACTTACGCTGCATTCTCTGGCCCAAGAAATATCGTCCCAGGAGTAGAACTTCTTGACCGCGACATCTGTTCCTTGCCACCGGCCGTGATACACTTCTCCGTACCTGAAATGATGAATTAAAAAAATCGCACGAATTCTAGGTCATTATTCAGAATTTTCCATCTGAAGCATGTGACGCACCTGCCCTTTCCTTTGATCTCCAAAAGGGTTATCTGGCGTGAAATCGTGCGCTGAACGAGGTTGGCCGGACCTGCACCTGAGCCCGAATTCTCTGAAAAGTCCAAGGGCACGACCTGAAAATTCGGATTAATTTCGGTTGAATGAAAGAAGAAGAAGGTGTTAATAGCCGATTTTCTCTCATCAAGCTGTCGAAAATCTTGACTTACAAAAAGTCGATTTTTTGACGAAACCATGAAGAAAAATCTAAGTCAAATCAAAAGTGTGAATTAAAATGGAGATTTTTCGGCTTTTAGGGTGGTCTTTTAATAGGGCTCTACTGTAAATTGAGAGTATGACTGAAGAATTAAATATCTTACCGATACAGTAGTGTTAGGGCTTGGCTCTGACTGTATTCCAGAGTCGCTTCTGTTCGAATCTCTTCTGACAATTTCATGTTTTTGATCAGGCGTCCAAGTTTTTCCTCCAACGACGATTTGTTTCTGGTTTTCTGGGTCGGGCTGAGCAGCATTTTGACCTTTCAGGGACCATTGGCAGTAATTGTAGTATTTCACTTGAGTGCAGATCTTCCTGCTTATCGGCTTCCAGAGCATTATCAGCAGAACCATCAGCATGAGCACGACGCCGAGCACAATGCCGCCAGAAATCATGTACATTTGCCGCAAACGCATCTTTTTCAAGGTTGAACATTTCAATTTTTCAAAATAGAAAAAGAAAAAGTGTCAAGTAAAGGGGAAAGCGAAAGAAGTGTATATTTATCTACTGTAGCTTATCGCCCTATTTCGTGACGGATTTGGCAAGTGTATTTTTAAGCATCCCACACGTCGGGATTAGGAATTAGTACTGTTATTAACGGGCGGGCTATCCATCAATTTGATGTTTAAGATCTAGTTCAATACAAAAAATCATGGAAGAGAAAATAAGGGTATCTCTCTGCAAACTTTTTTATGAAAATTTGTTAATTAAATTTCTTAATTAATAATTACGAAATTTATTATTTAAAAAAGGAAATTACATTAGCAAATTTTCATAAAAAAGTTTGCAGAGAGATACCCTTATTTTCTCTTCCATGATTTTGAGTATTGAATAGCATTGATTATTATATACCATTATCCATTTTTGGAGTGGGGGGAAATCTGATTTTCAGCGATAATCGGTATTTATGAATAAAAAGGGCACTTGAGATTCAACCCTTGCCTGAGCTCGCTGTTCAGCTCCAGTGGGCCCGAGCGATTCTTCTGCGTTGCAATTGTTCCCTTCGCAGCACGCGCTTTCCGTCAAAACGCTCGCTTTGCTGTGGCACTTGGTCATTTTCGCGAAGAAATCATCAGGAACGCAGCCGTACGCTTTCTTGTGAACATGGTAGTCGCTCTCGTCGGTGCTGCGGGAAAAGTCGGGGACGTGGCTTTTTCGAACGAAACGAACGGTTCTGAAGCAGCTTCCGGAGAGCGAAAGGCAGTGCGTCGAGTTGAATTCTTTGTAGGGCTCGTCTTCTGGTCGGTCTGGAGAAAGAAGGGATGGTTCTGAGCATGGAAACTCGGCGCCAGCGAAGTGGGAGGGAGAACCAAAGGGAGAAGCGTGGATGATTCGGACGCCGCAACTACACCAAATTGGCTAAAATAAGCTTATAAATTTTGAAAGGTTGCTGGAAAAGGGAGATTTTAATGAATTTCGGGATTTTGTTGCTCTGAAATTTATCTTTTTCCCAAAATTATGGCCATTTTTCAATCAAAGAAGATGAAAAAGGGTATTTTTGGGCAAAATTTTTTGTCTATTTTGTCTAAAATTGAATACAAAAATTGCTTAAAAATATGCTTCAAAAACTTTTTTGCCAAATATGTAAAAATTTTTAGAGATTTTTTTGTAAAATTAACCCTTTTCTTTGAAACTTTTCTCTTACCTCTGTTTCTTTGTGTTTTCTTTTCTTCCCGTGTCTCTTAGTCTCTGCGGGCTGAAGCAGCGTAAAAACGAAAAAATGCAAAATTTTCATCCCCAATTTTTTTTCTTTTTCTCTGATTTGGATCTCGATAAAAATGGGAGAGTTTGAGTGACCCGCCGTCAGAAAAGCTTATAAAGGGCGCAGCGCGGAAATTTTCCGCTGCGTGGCGCTGTCGTTTCTTTGCTCAAATTTTCATCCTCTCTCTCTTTTATTTATCGACAATGACCTCCCGCGTAGCGGAAATTTGGAGAGTCGCGCGGGGAGAGAAAATTGACAGGGAGGATGTTTCTTTTGGAGCTCGAGTAGAGTTAGTAGGCTTTTATTGGGCAAACAAAAAGGGATGAGTATCTTCTTCTTTAAAGACTCATGAAAAGATACTCCAACGTAGGGTTAGGGTTAGAAAGAAAATAGGTCTTAAATATCTCTTTTCGCTTTTTGAAATCAAGGAAGAAAACAGAATTTTCGACTTTTTCTGAGGAAAATATGAGGAAAAATGAACAGATCAAAAGTTCAGGGGGCTCAAAAGTCAGCTCAGCTCAATTCTAGCTCGCTCAGATCACATGAGCCAAGATTTTTGACAGATCAGCCTTTACTTCGTTCGGGATTCTGTTCTTTTTTCACATGTTTTTCCCACTTATTTTTAAATCCTGCTGAAGTACCCACGCACCTGATTGGTACCATTGTACTCTATTCGATAATCATTCTTGTTATCCCCTGTTCGAGTCCTTTGGAAAAACAAGTCGTCGCCCATTGTTGTTAGTCTGACATAATTGTGTGCGCAAGGGATGAAAATAATTGTCAAGCAGAGCTCCGTAGGGGCTCAATACACGAAAAAATGGTGCTTGCAGACTTGTCTGGAGGGGTTTTTAGCAGGGGATGATTAAGAAGAACCTTATGTCATTTTTTTAGGGACGGTGATTTGGGTCAAGAGGAAATCGGTCGATACAGGGAATTTTATCGAAAAATATTTTTCGAAAATTGAAATTATTGGCCCCAAATTTCTTGGTTTTATCAAAAATTAGGGCCAAAAATGACCAATTCTAGTGAAAAATTAAGGAAAACACCTGTTTTTTCAACCCATATTTTACGATTTACATCACACTTGTCAGTTTACCCGCTCAAAGCCGGAAAGAAGAACACATCCGAAGATGAATCTTTGTCAGATTGGTATTTCTGACTCATATTTGTATATTCTGCGATCAGCTTCAGAACGCCGCTATTTTCGGCGCTTGATTGAAGAGTTTCCGCTCCGCCGCCTCGTCACTTGCATCAAACACCAAATGGAGCAAAGAAAGAAAGGACAACATCGATTTTGGTCGAGGACTTGTTTATTGCAAATGCCTTAATGAAGGATAAGGACTTGCGAGTCTGTCTGCTAAGGGAAACACTGTGTTTCTGGCACTTTTTCTTAAGACTTTTTTATTGATGAAATAAACAAAAAAAAACGAGGGAAAGATGAAAAAGATGAGAAACAAGCTTAGGGTTAGGGTTAGGGTTACTAAGGGTATACTTAGCTAATAGGCTCAAACTGAGCTGAGCGGAGCTTACAATTTGAAGCTCAAGTTGGGCTAGGGTTAGGGTTAGGTTTTCCTGAGCTTAGAGGCTCGATTGGCTCAATCTGAGCTGAGATGAGCGGAGCTGACAATTTGAATCTCAAGTTGTTTTAGGTTTAAATATTTGAAATATTATATTTCTCAATATTTTGATTGTTTTCCTCGAGAAATTCTCTCCTGGCTTATCTACTCTTCTTTATTATCCTTCGCAGATGGCCCCGCCGACCCAGTTGCCAAGGTTTAATACTGGGAACCAGGTCAGACTCGAGATTTACAAGCGTTTTACCGGTTTACAGCGATCGCTTTTCCCGATAACCATCAAACGCAACCCTTGGCGCAGCTCAAACATACTCATTTTTCACACCATTTCCCTCCTTCTTTTTTATGATCAATTGATGTTCCTGAGCGTATTTACTTTCTCGCAAAAATCGAAAGTACCCTAGGCATCGTGTGAAATTTAATGAACAAAAACTTGAATTTCACGCGCCGCCAAGTGATTAAAAATCGATACCGCCAGCGCTTTTTTTTCGTGAAAATTTCACAGTTTCTGCTGACTCCGCCAGTCTGAAAAAAAAACCGTAAATTTTAAGAAATTTTAATGTTCCAAAAAATCAGCTGCGTCATCCGACTTGCGCTTTTACGGCCCTTTAATTAATCTGCAATGATCTGCAAATATATGCGGAAATTATATTGGCAATTATATGAACGATTAAAGCATTTTCACAGGCTTCCAGATTCATCAATCTTTCAAAAAAATTATGAAAATTGCTTTCTCAGAACTTTTCAAAAAAAAAATTCTTGACAAAAAAAATCACAAAAAATTAACAGTTCAAAAATCACAATCAGAAATTTTTAAAAGCATTTTTCTATTAAAAAAAACTCAAAATTTAAATTTTTTCTCAAAAATATTTGATATCAAAATCGCTTCTCGGCTAAGCGGCTTTTCATTTAAAATATTTCAGACCCTGACACAGGTTTTCTACACAGGATGTTGAGCTCAGTACTTGATTAACGAAGAAGCTTTAATTCCAAGGAGGAGACTCATTATTGAGTGTTTATAAGATCAAAAAGTTGTTTGCCTTTTCGAAAGAAGTTTTCTGTTGCAAATTTGTTGACTTTTGCCTGGCACGCGTCAGTTTGAAAACGCAGTTTCGCAAATATGTGCGTAATGCAGGAGAGATTCGTCCGTTTTGTTCAATTATTAAACTCAGCCAAGTTTCCGAAAGCTCAAGCCCCTATTTGTGCTCAAGGAAAGTGTGAACCGGTCAGCTTTTTTTGCTCGAATTCCGCATTTTTGGAGACATGGAAGAGTAGATTTTTGATAAAGAGAGATTTATAACGAAGATGATTTTATTTTGCGGGCTGATAAGCCTCGCCTTTGGCCAAGATCCGCCGGCTTGTACATTTACTCAATATCCTGCTGAACAAGGAAAGTTTCATAAAATATTCTGAAGCCTCTTTGTATTGACCGAAAAATGAAATCAAAAAAAGGAGAAGGAGTTGACGCAAAATGCGTGGCTGCCCCTGTTTATGACCCCGATTTCGGTACTTGTACAAACCCACCAAGTGGAACACCGACATTATATGGATCTGTTATGAATAAGGCCAATTCAATCGCGAGAGTCTTCAAGAATTACAATGATATGCACGAAGGATTCTATGCGGACAAGTTTGATCTTGACCTTAATACCTTTAATATTGAGTCCGTGGTGGATGGACGAATCTCTTACTGTACGAACAATCCTGCTCTCGGAAGTGAAAGTGGACATTGCACAGAAATTCAGCCAGCGCAACTGGCTCAAAATTACTTTTACGTCGACAGCGGAAGTTTGAAGCTCAGCAATGCGGTGGATATGAAACTAATTGGAGGCCCTCGACATATGATCAAACTCAAAACAACTAGCAACTGTTTCATTTACTACAAAGTATTCATCTTCCCCGATCCCTCCCAGCCACTTGCCGGGGAAATTTCTCTTCTCGATAGCACCCCAAGCAACAGGATTCTCGAACATCTTGGTCTGCCAACATCAAGTCTGATCAATAATGGCTTCGATCCTCTTTTCAAATTGGATATTTATGATAACGTCTTTTGTGCGATCCGAGATGAGTGTAGAATTTCTAATGGCATTTGTCTCTATTCAAGCACGGATCTTAGTGAAAAAGTGGCCGCTGATATGTGGGGTATAAGCACAACTTCTACTGAGTTTGGAAATCCTAAAATTGTTTCTGGCCCGAAAATTGAACTCGGTCAAAGTTCTACCAAAGAGGCGAGTCTTGCTGAAATGGCAAAACGCTGGTATTCGCAGGATGATTCGGGCAACTGGCTCAGATTCGCCCCACAATCTCCATTTTGTACGATAGATGTTCAATTTGATTGGATCTCGTACCCAGGGAGTACGCTCGTCGATGATGTCAATAAAAAAGAAATCCTGACAATCGACGATGTGAACATCGAAGGAGCATTTCAGAATATTCTCTTAGCTGATGCTAATATTAGTTCCAACTTATATTTCCAGTATGAGGCATATGCACGTGAGCATCCTACTGAAATTGAGTCCTACTTTCAAGACCTCGTTGGGATCCAGGATGTGGACGATTTGCCAGCGATTTTTGTCGAAGATCAAAGCTGTCAATCATATCTTGACTGTATCAGTACCATTGGTGACCAGTTTGAGATTTTTCAATCCTACGAAAATTGCAAAACTGGAGAAACATTGCTAACTATGAATACTGATCTTTTCGTGGTCGATGGTGACCGACAGATTGACAACACAAATGTTGATTATGAGCTGCTTCCATCAGCGAGTTTTGAGCTCTCAGGCTCGGCGATTTCCTGCGCCACTGCTCTTTCTCCCGGAAAACATGAGTTCACGCTGAAAGCTGTGCAGGACGACCGAGAGGATAGAACTTCTTACTTGACAGTAGTGGTCACTATTGAAGACCCAGATGTTGACTGGAGTACAATCATCACTACTCCTGATGACACCGCCAATTATGAATATATCGATGCTCCGAGCTACGTTCGAAATACAGAGGACCAGTCGGTGTTTAAACTTTCAATTCCAGTCTTTCCTCCAGCTGGCCAGGAGGTCATTCTCCTTTCCAAGACTCCGGGATACATTTTCACCGATAGCTTTGAGCTTCTCAAAACAGGAGGAAGCAGCACTACATTTTCGGACACGGTGGATTTGGTCGTTCAAGTCTTGCTTCTTGAAAATGGCGCGGTTATTGCTCGAGAAGATGATCTTTCTTTGGGAGTTTTCAATATTGAAGGTATTTCAAAGATAATGTTTTTGTTTGGTTTGAGTTTGCTCTATTATTTTTTGTGTGTTGCTTATTGTTATAATGCTTGAATACTATCTTGCTGATCGATATGTATTCACTGCATGTGTGCCAACTGCGCTTTTCAGAAAAAATGTTCACAACAACTGTGGAACCAACGACTCCAGTGTTTACTGAAGCTTCCACTGAAGCTATCACGTGTGGTAATGCTGCTGTTCAAAATTACGCTTGAATTTTGAACTTGTCTTTTTTAGAACCTTGCGCACCGGTTGTGACTTGTCCTGAACTGACCACTGAGACCCCAGTTACTTGTCCAGAGACCATAACATGTCCCGAGATCACTTTCCCCACAGTCACGTGCCCCGAAATAACTTTCCCGACCGAGCCAATCGTAACTTGCCCCGAGGTCACTTGCCCGACTTACACTTGCCCCGAAGTAACTTACCCAACAGAACCTACCGTCACCTGCCCCGAGGCTACAACTCAAGAATGTCCTGAGGTCATCTGCCCGACTTTTTCACCAAGTAAATTATCGATTAGCAGATCATTAATTTGATCATTATTATTTTTGAATAATGATTGACACTCATTTTGAAAATAGTTACTTGCCCAACGGTTACGACTCAAAAATCAGAGACAGTGTCATGTCCAGCATGTCCTGAAGCTACTTGCCCAGTGGTGTCAACGACAGCACCAGAGGCAGTTTCTTGCCCTGTCTGTCCAGAAACCACTTGTCCAGTAGTGACGACAACGGCTTCTGATACAGTAACATGTCCTATCGTTACCTGTCCTACTTTTTCGCCAAGTATATATAAAATAATTTTTACAGAAAGACTGATTCAAAGCCTCATCAGCAGACTCTCATCAAAAATGATTTCCATACCACCATCAAAATCCTATCCGATTAGTTCATCAAGTAGTTTAGTACCAAAAATAAAGCCACTGGGAATTCATGAAATCAAATTTCCAGGACAAGTGTTTTTTCGACTCATTTTTGACCAATTTCTCTAGCAACCCCGGGACAATGTGAGCCTTGCGTATGCACAACAAATGCTCCTCCAACGACAGACGGGGATGATGACTGCGAGCTGTTCGAAATCTTGACATATGTGATGAGCGCTCTAACAGGCATGTTCCTGATCACAACGATCGTTTTCTTCGTCTTGTGGTGCAGAGCGAGACGCGATGATGACGACAATGAGGTAAGATAGAAATGATTTTCCGAATAATAATTTGTGAAAAGGCCTGGGTGCCGGAATCTGATAATGTCGAGGAAGAAGGAACTGATGATGATGAGCCAGTAATGGAGCCACTCGAGCCAATCGGAAGACCGGAAGTCAAAGTCAACGAAACTCTAGTCCAGGAACAGTACGAAAATACAGCGTTTACATCTGAAGAACCGAAACCGAAAGTGGTTCCAGTTCCGGTTCCAATGAGGTGATTATTCCTCCTTGATTCCTAGTCATCATAATTTTAAGAGATCCATCTCCACCTCCAGCTGATTCTCCCGCCGTTTCGAGCCGTGGTGTTCCCGCTCCAATGGTCGTTCCAATGGCTCAAGCTCATCTCCCAGTCAGTGACAAGTAAATAACTGTAGCCAAGACTGACCTTGACAGAAAAGAGTCAAATTAACTTCAAACACTTGCTGAAGCTGTTTTAAATATTTGAACAGATTTTTACGAGATCGACTATGAACGCGAACGTATTTGAGTTTTCGAATTAATTTATTTGTTTCAGACTTCAAGACCCAATTTACCATACACTGGAGGACCATGAAGTGACTCTCAAAGGCGTTATTAAATCTGGAAAGATTGCGAGTGTCCGGGAAGTGCTCTTGCGGAAGGACGGCGACACCAAACATGCAGTGGCGGTAGTGCTCAATGTTGAATTAGCGACTGATAAGACCTTTGGAGAAATCAACAAACGCATTAGAATTGATACACAAAGTAAGGAGTGTTCAGAAATCGAGAACAAACAACAATTTTAGTTTCCGAAATGCGTCATCAAAATGTGCTGAAATATTTCGGAGCCTGGTGCGAAGTCGACAAGCTATTCATGGGCTACGAATTAGCGGAGAAAGGAAAGCTGGACGAGCATCTCCGCCAAACTCGACTTACAGGCAATGCTGTTTCGAACATGTCCAATTATCAAATTATGAAAATCCTGGTCAATATTGTCGAAGGCCTGGCGCATTTGCACAGCCGAGGAATAATTCACGGCAACTTGCAAGGTACAAATTAGTTTTTTGTTTGTTTACCATTTTCTTTTTCAAAGCGAGCGTAATCTACCTGACAGAAGAAAACATTCCCAAAATAGGCAAAGTATGCAATAACCAAATCAAATCCAACGACCGCAATTTATGGCGCTGGTGGGCGCCAGAAGTATTCGAAAATGGCCAGAAGCATTCGCGCGAGGCCGATATTTGGGCGTTTGGCGTTGTCATGTGGGAAGTGTGTACGTTTGGTGGACTGCCGTACAATGACGTTGATTTGGATCAACTGAGTCAATACGTCAAATATGACAGGTAAGCTTGAACGACTATTTGGTAGTCTTTGTTGTTTCCACTCAATGAATTCTTCTGTATGTAACATACAGTATGTAGAAGCTGGAGATTTATTTTTCCTTTTGACCTTTGACTAAATATTTACGGAGTGCTTTAAGACTTGGCATGCCGAAGAACGTCTCTCCCGAAGTCTACACTTTCATGACAAATTGTTGGAAGAGCGACCCGCGACTGAGGCCGGACGCAAACCAACTGGTGGCGCTGCTGAGCGAGCGGCTTGTAGACGACCAATCAGTTAGTAGACGCAAGGCTTACCCAGCCAAACTTCCAGCTATTTCCATGTGACACCACACACCACATTTCATCGCGGTAAAATTTTTAGCGAAACAGTTAACAGGGTTGCTACAGCTCTAATGGTGAAAAATCAGTGATTTGATTTCATAAGAGGCCATTAAACTGTACGCCCGAAGAATTTTTCCAGCTCGTAGAAAAAAGGCTAGAAAAATTATCGTTCGTTCTTTGAATTCTCACGTGACCGGCAAAAGTGAAAATTCGGAAAAATTCGTATCAATCATGCACGCATTGCTCTCACAAATTTTTAATTCATTCTTTCTCTCTTACTATTTTCTAAGCTAACATTTTAGTACGCCTTTTTGGAAAGACCACGGGACTTCCAACATGTTCCAACAACCGTCCAAGCTCCTTCCGTGAAGGAAACACAAGTTTACTCAGACACTATCTCACGTTCTGCCTTTTAGTATTTTCTCTTTTGAATTTTTGATTAATACCTGTAAATATTTTATTCTGTACACATATTAACAAAAGAATAACAAAGAATTCACGTAAGATTTTTGCCATACATGTATAATTATACCGCGATAATGACAGTTTTTGTTCCGGCTAGGGTCATGTAGAAAAGCCTTTTCAGCTTATTCACTATGATTAGGCCCCGCGCTTGAAAACTCACTGTCACGTGAAAGTCTGAATCATCAAATTTTCTCCCTCCGAAATGAATCAGTAGGGACACACGATCATTTTATACAATTATGTCATGATCGTAATCCGACTAGAACACTGCCAAAAATGGCGCTAAAGTGCTGAAAATGGGTGTTTTTGGGTTTTTTGGGGTTTTCGACCCCGCCGCAAACTCTTAGGAGAACATTTCTAGGTTTATTTGAAAGCTCTAGAAATTCTCTTTTTAATGATAGGTAAAAAAGTTTTGCCACGTGTCTCATTACGTCACAACAGCTCCGGAGGACCATTTTTCTCCTTGCTGGAAGACGGAAAATTGCTGGAAGAGAATGAATCTGGAGTCTTTGATGATATACTTACGAAAGTAAATAAGAGATTCTTATATAACAATATCTGATCACATGATTTTTCGGGGGACCCCTGGAGGACCTCTTCAGCTGGAAGAGCACGTCTGGTGGAAGAGCCCCGGAATTTTTTTTTTTGAATTAATTTTAACAGGGATATTTTTTCATCACATGACCTCTTGGAGGACCCTCGGAGGACTTTTTCTGCTGGAAGAGCCCAAGAAAAAAATTAAAGATTACCAAAGTTTTCACGAGAGTTATTTATTTTTAAAAGCTATGAAAGTTAGATTTCAAATTATTCAGAATACATCTGGGACAGAACATATTTCTTTTGAAACAGATTTGCAGTCAAAAATATCATATGCCGGAGAAAAACCCTTAAATTCTTGGGTAACACTATCAAAATGATTAAACAGCGCATTTGATATAAAAGGGGATGTCAAGTAACGGTGAGTATGTATCCTTTGGTGGTCGAATCATCTTGAATAATGAGCAGCAAGTCGTTGGTTGAGCATTTTCAGGATCAGAAACCTCTGTATCTTCTGTATCTTCTTCATTTTCACTTTCATCATCTGATATAAAATCGGGATCATCATAAACATCACCTCCCTCAGAAAAATAATCATTGTCAGTATTTTCGAAAGGTTCCGTTTCATGCACTTTTTCCGGGTCATCATCCATTCTTTTATCATCATCATTAGTCTTTTCAGCTTCTCCATCGCTCTTAGGTTCTTCGTCAAGTTCAGGATCGTTTTCAGTGTATTCTGAGACAGGCGGTCTCAAAATAGGGCCTTCATATTCTCTCTTGATGCAAGAAAATGCATATTTTTCACACTCATTAGCAGGTAGATTTATGAAATTTTCGAATCTTCGAAGATGCCCGCTTGCTTTTCCAAGGTTGCAAGGAAGATGTCCTCCGATTGTTGGGTCATAATTAGGAGGGCATCCTCTCTCACGATTGTCCAGGTAATAGACTTCTTTACCACCACAAACAACTTAAAAATGAAATTTTTTTCTTGTAAATAATTCTTACAAGTAGTTTCAAGGGTTTTTCTCCGAGTCATCTTTTCCTCTTGTTAATTCAATATGGCAGGTTCCGGTAGGATCAGATCTTCGTCTTGATGTCCGATCAATCAAAGTTCCAAAAAATGTCATTTCATTCTCATTCTTTCCAATTTTGGCAAGCATACGTGCTACATTTGTGGCTACTCGTCCTTTACCGATATTCAATTCGTAAGTGTTTCTGAGGACTTCGTTCCAGATGAGGTTTGATTTTGCATTTGTGACAATCCAACTGTATTCAAAATTAATTTTTCAGTAATAGTAATATTTTACCTGGCGATATCTTTAGTGTATCTATCAGTAAGTCTTTTCAAGGTCGTAGCGTCTTCGGGGGATATAAATCCTTCATTAATTTCGCTCCTGGTCCATTATAAATATGTAGAAAATTTTTCAGGGTTAGTCCGAGGCCTGATTTTTCATTTGGTGGTCGACCGGAGAAAGTGCAGCAGAAAAATAAGAATAAAAACCATGTGCTTTTCATCTTGAGTTTTTCTCTTTAAACTTGTTTGCCGTATTTTCTCGACAGGAAAAGGTCGTCGCGGCTTGTAATAATACGGAGGATTATCATTTTATGTAAAGAAAAAGAATATTTCCATAAATTGGTCTTTTCGAATTCTCGAAGGCTTTTATGTAAAGTCATGTGATAATTGAAAAGATTATTTCTTTAATTTCTTCAAAAATTCAAACTAAAAGTTTTTCATTTGTCGGGGTCTTCCAGCATGAGATGGGTTTTCAAGCAAAAAGAATCCTCCAGGGGTCCTCCGAAAGGTCATATGATCAAACAAAATTTATATTAAGGATTATTTTTTGTGCAAGAAAAGACGCATCTAGAAGAATACTCTTCCAGCAATAATTGGTCTTCCAGCAGATTACTCGTAGGGTCCTCCGGGTGAATTGTGACGTAATGGGTCACGTGGCGTAAAAAATTTTTGGTCTAGTCGATAGAGAAATTCATAAGCTTTCTAACAAGCCCTAAAACGTGTTCCAGATAGTTTGCGGCGGGGGTCAAATCTAGAAAAAACAAAAAATGGCACTTTTTTCACACTTTGGTGCCAATTTACGCCATCTTCTGGTGAAGTTAGACTTTTCGTGTAAGCAGATAAAATGTTCCTTACACTTAGTTTAATAGATTAAGAGGGTTAAAAGAGGCTTTTTCGGACCTAAAATTTTCAAGCGCGTGGCCTAACTATGATCACTGTGATGATCACTGTGAAATGCATTTTGACCTGCAAAAACTTGTAATCGACTATTTGAAATAGTCTATTTCTTGTGTTTTTTCTTTATTTTTTTTTTGTTTAATGAAGGAGATAAGAGCATTTGGGTCAATAACCGGACCAGAAAACTGTTTGATTATTTTCACACTGTTGATCAACTGGGACTTCTGTGTCGATGCGGCAAGAGAAATAATTACGAAGGTAGCATGGGTATTCATTCCACTGAGGCAATGAGAAGTCACTGCTTATTTCGGCGCAGGATTCCCTGCCACCAGGCTTATCAGCTTTCCAATCGTAAAAAGGGACTTGGGCGCCGGTCGTAGTCAACCAGTTGTTGTCATCTCCCCGGACGATTCCGAGCCATTCGCTTCGACTTTCTTTTGAGACTTTGTAGGTATTTACCTCAGCTATATTGTTGAAAAAAGGGAGGGTTCCTCCGTTCGCGTTGCAACTAGCTACAGCACCATCAAATGATTCACGCAACCACATGCGTCGGAATTCAGTGCAAGTTTTCGTTGCCTGGCATTGTTCATCAACCGGGACAATAGTATCGATTCGGCAAGAATAGTGTTGCTCAAGTTCACATGTTTGAGGATTCCACATGTTTTCGTGTTTGACGCTGACCTCTCCACAAGCTTCGGGATCATAAATCCAGAAATATCTATTTTCAAAAAAGTGCGCCCAGCCTATCCATTCATTTCGATAAGATTTGCGTACTAAATAGTCATTAAACTCAGCTTTATTAAGAAAGAAGGGGAGATGCCCTCCGATTGCGTTGCAACTATCTTCTGCAGCGTCGAAATTCAGCTTTGACTCGCCCATGTTTCGGAATTCAGTGCACAGTTTCATTTCAACTTGACATTGTTGATCACCCGGAATGGTTTTTTCGATTCGGCAGGAGTAGTACTGCTTTCTACTGCAGCCTAAATCATACCATTCAAGCGTAGTGGAGCTCTCGACGCAGTCTTCGCTGCCGGTCAAATTGTCGGGCTGGCTATCGGCAAGAGCCCACGCAAAAACGGATATTTCAGTGTTGGCAGTGCTGAACCACTTGTTATCACTTCCGCGAACGATTCCGAGCCACTCGTTTCGATCTGCTTTAAACGCGTTGTACACTGCTAGCTCAGCAGCGTTATTGAAAAATGGCAAATGCCCTCCGATCAAGTTGCAATTAGCCTTTGCTTTTTCAAAAATTACTTTAGAATCACCCATATTGACAAATCCAACACAAGTTTTCTAAATTATCATTCACTTGTACTTCGAACTAAAGACTTACTGGTGGTGGCTCAGTTTGCGGCTCGGTTGGTGCTTCTGTTGGTGGCTCAGTTGTTGGCTCAGTTGTTGGTTCGGATGACGGTTCGGTGGGTGGTTCTGTTGGTGATTTCTTCGGCGTTTCATTGCATTTAAGTTGTTTAAATTTGTCATTGAAAAGAATTTTTCTCTGACGTTGAATGAGTCTTTTCATTCTTAAGGCTTTCTTAGGGCTACCATCGCTGCAGACAAAGGCGTAGTGAAAGCTTTTCACAGACGCGTAAAAGTTGTTGAGAGATAAGCAAATATCCTGGCTATCGTAGTCTGGGTTGATGAAATCGTTTGGGTCACCGGAACCAGCAAAATCGGTGCATGACTCGTCAACAAGTCCGACTAAATCATTGACTTTGTTGTAGAAGTCGCGCAGTCGGTTAGCCTTCTTTTGTGGGGGGATGTTGGTGTCAGCATAGGCGGACAAGACATCATTGTAGAGTTGATTGTAGGCGACGGTGACTTTGCTCCAAGAGGTTTGCGCGGCGGACTCGGCAGATGCAATTGCCAAGATGACCAACGCGAGAAGCTGAATTGAAATATTTATAGCTTTTATTTATACGTCGCGAATTTTTAACTTCATAATGAAAAATTTAAGTCTCGAAATTTAATTTCAATTTTTCAGATTTTTATTTAAAAAAGTTTCTCTTTAAGATAATATATAAATCTCTTTTATAACCACCAAAAAGGCTCGTATTTGTCTAACCTTCATCTCAGCTAATTAAGAAAAAAGCTTTTTTCTCGAATGATGATTTGAAGAAAATCGATGTTGTATTTATGCTGTCAAGTGCGAGCTTTTTCACACTTCCCCACTTAAGAATAAGCGATTACAATTGTAAGCTAAGAGTTTCACCAGATGAGGATTTATGGAATTGAACTAAGGGCTTACCCTGAGTAATGACGCTGTCTTGTTCATGGAACTTGTTCGGGACTTGAATTACAACCAGATTTTATCATTAACAAAAAAATTCATCTGAAATACCAATATCTAGAGTCTAGATTCTAGACCAGATTGAAGTACGAAATGGCTCGGAAGTATTTTTTACCAACTCTGCGTACAATTCACATTTTCCAAACAGCCCCAAGTCCACGAGTCACTCTAGTTATCGATGACTTCAAATTTTTTCATCGGAAAATTAACTTCTCTGGAGTTTTTTGAAATCAATCGGATCGGAGCTGAGCCCATTGATAAATGGGAAGAAACGTTGCATCTGACTGTTATTTCCACTACCATAGCATCCAAGCATTCAAGTTTTTCAAAGTAAAATATCTCATGCAGGGGTCTAGATATTGGTATTTCAGATGAATTTTTTGTTAACGATAAAATCTGGTTGTAATTCAAGTCCCGAACAAGTTCCATGAACAAGACAGCGTCATTACTCAGGCTAAGCCCTTAGTTCAATTCCACAAATCCTCATCTGGTGAAACTCTTAGCTTACAATTGTAATCGCTTATTCTTAAGTGGGTAAGTGTGAAATGGCTCGCACTTGACGGCATAAATACAACATCAATTTTCTTCAAATCATCATTCGAGAAAAAAGCTTTTTTCTTAATTAGCTGAGAATCTCAGCCTGAGATGAAGGTAAGACAAATACGAGCCTTTTTGGTGGTTATAAAAGAGATTTAAATAAGAGAAACTTTTAAAATAAAAATCTGAAAAATCTCGTAGAAAACGCTGTCAGAGTACCTTAATTTTTAATTAAATTTCGAGGCTTGAATTTTTCATTATGAAGTTGAAATTTCGCGACGTATAATTTAAACGGTATAAATCAAAGCTATAAATGATTCAATTTAGCTTCTCGCGTTGGTCATCTTGGCAATCGCATCTGCCGAGTCCGTCGCGCAAACCTCTTGGAGCAAAGTCACCGTCGCCTACAATCAACTCTACAATGATGTCTTGTCCGCCTATGCTGACACCAACATCCCCCCGCAAAAGAAGGCTAACCGACTGCGCGACTTCTACAACAAAGTCGATGATTTACTCGGACTTGTTGACGAGTCATGCACCGATTATGCTGGTTCCGGTGACCCAAACGATTTCATCAACCCAGACTACGATAGCCAGGATATTTGCTTATCCCTCAACAACTTTTACGCGTCTGTAAAAAGCTTTCACTACGCCTTCGTCTGCAGCGATGGTAGCCCTAAGAAAGCCTTAAGAATGAAAAGACTCATTCAACGTCAGAGAAAAATTCTTTTCAATGAAAAATTTAAACAACTTAAATGCAATAAAACGCCGAAGAAATCACCAACAGAACCACCCACCGAACCGTCAACCGAACCAACAACTGAGCCAACAACTGAGCCAACAACTGAGCCGCCGACTGAGCCACCGACTGAGCCACCGACTGAGCCACCAACAGAAGCACCAACTGAGCCGCAAACTGAGCCACCACCAGTAAGTCTTCAGTTCAAAGTACAAGTGAATGATAATTTAGAAAATTTGCGTTGGATTTATCAATATGGGCGATGTTGAAGTCGATTTTGAAGAGGCAAAGTATAATTGCAACTTAATCGGAGGGCATTTGCCATTTTTCAATAACGCTGATGAGCTAGCATCATACAACGCGTTCAAACCAGATCGAAAAGAGTGGCTCGGAATCGTTCGCGGAAGCGATAACAAGTGGTTTAGTACTGCCAACACTGAAATATCCGTTTTTGCCTGGGCTCTCGGCGATGGCCAGCCCGACAATTTGTCCGGCAACCAAGACTGCGTTGAGAGCTCCACTACGCTTGAATGGTACGATTTAGCCTGCATTAGAGGTTCCAGTTTGCCGAGATACTACTCCTGCCGAGTCGAAAAAACAATTCCCGGTGATCAACAATGTCCAGTTGAAATGAAACTGTGCTCTGAGTTTCGAGACATGGGCGAGTCAAAGCTGAATTTCGACGCTGCAGAAGAAAGCTGCAACGCAATCGGAGGGCATCTCCCCTTTTTTCTTAATATAGGCGAGTTCGAAGACTATAAAGCACGCAAATCTTATCGAAATGAATGGATAGGCGGGGCGCACTTTTTTCGATATAGATTTTCCTGGATCTATGATCCCAAAGCTTGTGGAGAGGTCAGCGTCGAGTTAAAAAATAATTGGAATCCTCAAAGATGTGAACTTGAGCAACACTTTTCCTGCCGAATCGATACCGTTGTCGCGGTTGATGAACAATGCCAGGCAACGAAAACTTGCACTGAATTCCGACGCATGTGGTTACGTGAATCATTTAATGATGCAGAAGCTAGCTGCAATGCAATTGGAGGAACCCTCCCTTTTTTCAACAATATAGCTGAGCTGAATGCTTTTAAAATCGCAAAAGGAAGTCCAAGCGAATGGCTCGGAATTGTCCGGGGAGATGACAACAACTGGTTGACTACGACCGGCGCCCAAGTCCCTTTTTACAATTGGAAAGCTAATCAGCTCGGCAGGGAATCCTGCGCCGAAATCCGCAGTGACTTCTTGCCTGGAAATGAATTATGGCATGAAGGCCCATGCTTCCTTGATAACAATTTCTCTTGCCGCATCGACACAGAAGTCCCAGTTGATCAACAGTGTGGAATTAATCAAACCATTTTCTGGAACGGTTATTGACCCAAATGCTCTTCTCTCCTTCATAAAACAAAAGAATAAAAAAAAACACTAAAAATAATCGTTTACACGTTTTTGCAGGTGAAAATGCATCTCCTTGAATTAAATCCGATTCCGAAGTGGCAATTCGTCATTTTTGTGAATCTTGAAAATTTATTATTATTATTATTGTATGTGTTGACGTTTTAAATATGAGTTTCCATCAGTTTATTTGTGTTTAACGTTTTCGAGCAAAGAGCTCTTCTTCAGAACACGAAAAGAAGGTAGAAATATTTGGAACATGGGCACCGAAGCGCATGTGAAAGCCCCCGTCATTTTACACAAAGAGAACGGCTTTGTGAGCGACTTGTTTGTTCAAAATTGGGGATTGTAATTCAATTTCAAGTGCTTCAGTTCGTTTTTTTTCTGAAAAAGGCAAATTTCGATTAAGTACCGAAAATCTCGTGCGGAGGAAATAATTTTTAACTAAAGGTTTGTTTGCACCCGGTAGCGCATTGAGACCGACCTTGTACTGCTCACATTCTTTGATGTGCGAAAAGATGGTAGTGTTTCCACTTGCTTGGCCATGTTGTTTGATTCGGGCTATCAGATTTTCACTCTCTCTTTTTAGCGAAACAGGGTTGCTACAGCTCTAATGTTGAAAGAAAATCAGTGATTTGATTTCGAAAATGTCCATTAAACTGTACGCCCGAAGAATTTTTCCAGCTCGTAGAAAAAAAGCTAGAAAAATTATCGTTCGTTCTTTGAATTTTCACGTGACTAGCAAAAGTGAAAATTCGGAAAAATTATCATCAATCATGCACGCATTGCTCTCACTAATTTTTAACTCCTTTTGTCTCTTACTAAGCCAAAATTTCAGTATGCCTTTTTGAAGAAACCAAGGGACTTCCAGCATGTTCCAACAACCGTCCAAGCTCCATCTATGAAAGAAACTCAAGTTTACTCAGACACTATCTCACGTTCTGCTTTTTAGTATTTTCTCTTATTGATTTATAATTGTAAATATTGTATTCTGTACACATAAAAAATGAAGAATAACAAAAAAATATCGCAGAATTTTTTCTTTACATGTTTAATTATACATCGGCTCAAAAGTATGCCGACAACGTGAGAATCCCTAACGATGGTAAAAACCAGAGTTAACACCCTTAAAATAATTAGAAGAATGACCAAAATCGTGGAAATGACGGTTTCTTCCGGCTTGGGCCATACCGTCTGTGAAAATAAGCCTTGTCTGTTTATTCACTAGAATGAAAATTTATTGATAAAAGTAGGGACTCTCCATAAAATAGACAGGAAAGAGTCTATTTTTTGGAATTAACTCCATCATTGACTATACTTGTATGTCAGGTATACAGTATGCCGTATACTAGCTTGTTTCCGGTTGATGTAATATAAGCAGCGCAAAAATAAATTGGCTTTTAAATTTTAATCGTTGTTGATTCTCTAAAGTTACTTGAGTTTTGAGAAATGGATTGGAAAAAATACCCTGAATACATTTATGAAGCTGAGCTTCATCAACGGTCGGAGCGATACGACGACATGGCCGGGTCAATCAAAAGGCTACCTTACTAATGTGTAAGTCATCGCTAAATTTCAAATAATTAAAGATATTAGTTGATATCCCAAAAGGGAAGATTGAGATTGATGAGCCTAAGCATCGAAATCTTCTCAAGGTTGCCTACAAGAACGCCGTTGGTCCTCGTCGATCAAGCTTTGAAACCCTCGACCAAATCATCAAGAAGGAGTTGATAACCGAATTTCGTGGATTCAAATACGTACGAAAGAAAAATCCTTTTTTTCCTTGAGAAACTGACGCATTATTCAGGACATCGCCGAAAAATGCATTGAGAAGGTCAAGACCGAACTGCGTGACATATCCTTTGAGGCTGTCGGCCTTACGAAGAAATTTCTTGAGCCCTCTTCTAAAACCTTTACCGAAGAAACTAAGGTTTTCATGTATATGGAGCAAGGTGATTTTTACCGGTAAGTGCTTGTGCTCAGGAAAAGTTATACGGCGATTGATTTCTGGTTTTCTTAATGCGAATTTAAGATACTTGGCAGAAACTCCTGCCATAGAAATTTCAAGGAGTCACGAGCAACAAAGGATGAGTCTTTCTTCTCAAGAGGCTTACAAAGTCGGCTTTGACAAAGCAAAATCGGAACTCGCTGTAAAACATTTTTCGAAAATTGTTTTTTTTAATATAATGATTGTAGTGCGCTCATCCTTTACGACTTAATATTGCTCTCAATTACACGAATTTCCTTTTTGAGAGGATGGCCAATCCTCGGGAGGCCTTCAGGTGAGTGAATTATGTTAATTTTTTTCGCGTTATTTTGCAATTTTTGAATCGCCAAGAGCGCACTTGATGATGCCGCTTCCGACCTTGACAACTTAAACGAAGAAAATTATGAAGAAGCGACAAAGACCATGCAGGTACGATGATTTAGGAAAAAAACTCATTTCTTAATTTTTCTCAGCTCATCAGGGACAGTCTGACGTTCTGGGCTCCTGTCATGGAAACACTCGAATAGGCTTACCAACAAAAGTAAAAGGCAGCGTTAAAACGTAAGAAGAATAAATTTGTGTTTCAATTGACATGTTTTTGACTTGAATTATTAGTTTATTTTAATATTTCGACCAAAATACACAGTGGAGCATGGCTTAGAGTGACAAATTTCCCCAAAAAACGTTAGCAGGAAAAAGGCGAAACTGGCCAGCGAAGGTGATCACAATATCGCGTGTAGACAAGATTTCTTATTTGATGCCCAGACGCTGTTCCGTATTTCCCATCGAAGGTCTTACTTGCCAAAACTTCAAGAGGCACGCCGCTATAAAGATCTTTCTAAAAGAAAAAAAAATAGTTGATTTTTTCTGAATTATACACCTACCCCAATATATGCTGGTTTGTCTGAGTTTCCAAGAGGAGTAAACTCGTAGTGATAGCCATCATTCTTTCTGTTGTTTTTCCAAAAGTTGATTGTCGGAAACATCGGCTTCGTAAAATCAAAAAGAACGTCGATTTGAAAAGAAGTCCAGACTCCTTTTTCGCAGGACGTTTGAATAAATAATTAATAAATAATAAATAATTTTGAATTTCAAACAATGAAAAACATAGATTTGTAACAACTAATTCTTACCACAATCGGAAGGTCTTCTTTGAGTGTAGTCGTTATTGAAGTTGTAGTTGTTGCTTGACCTGACATACAGATAGCCCTATTTCCCACGACACATTCTGGCGAGGGGCCAAAATAAGCCATTGCACCAGCAGCAGCCAGGGTTATGTGACAACATTGATTTTCACAGAAAGTGTCTGTTGACGCAGCTCTTTTATCCTGGAACCAGCAGCTCGTTCCAATAGGGAGAAGAGACATCTTATTGATCATCATTTGAAGATCAACATCAGTTGAAGGATCAGCTAGTCGTTTTCCCTGAAGATTGCAGTGGGCTTGAGCTTGGAAAAAACTCATCGAATCGTCTGAAATCTCGAAAGTTATCTCTTCGTCTTGGTGCTCTGGGCTGTTGCTAAGGGCGCTTTTGCTGGCAAGATTTCTTGCGAGAGACTTGTGGTGGACCTTGAGTTTATCTGGAATGCAGGCATAGGATTTTTTCCAATCTCGAAGCATTCCCAATAGGTTTTTCATGTTCGCCGCTGTACTGAAATCTCTTTGAAAATGCACAATATTAATCTCTTGATAAGTAGGATTGCTGATCGCTGAATCGCAAGTTCCACTAGGTTGATAGAATTTCATAATTTTACATTAGTCGTTGTAGTGTTTCATGAATCACTTCCTTCCTGCCTGTTTTATTCGGGCTCCGATTCTATGAGCAAAGACGTCAGCATTACTCCAGAAGTCAAAAAACTGCGGGCCGGCATCGCAAACTTCGAGGAAAAGGAGTAAAAATTTCATTTTTCTTTCTTGCTGAACATGCAATTCTTGCTTTTATACTTTGAAGGGAGCTAGAGGGTTTGTTTCTTCGGAATAAGGGACACAAAACATGAAATCTTAAGAATGTTCTTGTTTGTCGTCAGTCAGCTTAAAACTTAGTAAGCTCAACGCGCATTTATTGTTTTGCATAAATATGCCCAAAGAAAATTTCAGGGGCGAACAAACATGGAAATTTGATTTTTGATTTTATTTATGCGAAGTAGTTACGGAAGCATTTGTTGTTATGTGGACAGCAAGTTTCAAATCGACAGGAGTAAAAACCTCTAAAGGTGTTATGACAGGTGATGTCGTCCCAATCTCGGGTTCCATCCCATCCTTTAACAACACAGGGTTCATTTGTATTGCTGTCGGGTTGGTTCGTCCTAATATCCCAGCTTGTGAAAGTTACCCGAGAGCCATCAGCATTAATCCATTTGTTCCTGCTTCTTAATTGTTCTTCATAGCCTAAAGATAAATCGATCGTCACTCTGTGAATTGAATCAAACCGAGGAATTCTAAACGAAGAGGGACAGATTTCTTATAGACGTTATATTCTTCTTGATTTCTGAAAAATGAAGGAAAACCGACGGTTAACTCGTATTTCTTGGCCAACAAAGCGTATTTTTCTTTTGCTTCCCAATAATGAAGTCCCAATTCATGATAAGGGACAAACCACAATTTGTGTTCGCAAAATTCGTTCTAGAAAATATCGGATACCCTCCTTTCGTCAGGAAATCCTCCATTCGTCAGGAAACTTGCAGATTTTCCTGGCGAATGGAGGATGTTCTAGAAACTCGTCTTCTGATGATTTTCCCTTGATTTATCAATTTATTATTCTTTCTAAAAAAGGGTTAGGGTTGAGTAAATTCCCAATTATATGTTCAAAAAACTGATTTCTATCCGAAATTACTATAAAAAGAATGAATTTGTCACCTAAATTCGCAATTTTGATAGTCAATCTCCTTAAGGAAAACATGTGTTTGGAGGTTCTAGAAACTCTCATCCTCCATTCGTCAGGAAATAAGCGGATTTTCCTGACGAATGGAGGGTCACCCGAAAATATTCATTTCGATTCATTTCATTAAGAAATAAACCTCTTCGGGTTCAAGCAAATTAGCGACACTGGTAGTCACAAAGGTTGAGTTCTGCTTGCCTTCAAAGCAAGCTCGAGTTTGAGATTTTCTCAACTTCAGTTTCTTAGCTTGTTAAGATTTTATAAACCCAACCCGTCATAATATCTTATTTGCAGAAGAAACTCGTGACTGATATCATTGTCTTCAATTTCTTCGTTCATTTTACGGCAAACCATGTAAAAGAACTAGAGAATTAGAGAATGTAATCTGAAGCTGATTTTTACCAGTTTCGGCTCTGAAATTTCTGAATCATCATAAATCTCATGAAACTCGTTAGAGTCACATGATTCCTCGATGCACTCTCTTTCAAAGTCACCACGTTTCATTTCCTCAAATCCAGAATTCGACCTTTTCTTCCGTAGAAAATTCGACGCATCCCGCTTCGAAATTTCAAACGCAAAAAAGGAACTTATAAAAAATTGAAAAAGCAGCATTTTTCCGCAATGAAAATCTACTGAGGAATCTTAGTCTCAACCAAACAATTTAATCCAGGTTATCATAATCGCAAGCAAATAAATCTGCCGGCAAAAATATCGCTTCGATGACAGTATGAACTCACAAAAGTTGTAACAAGAGGCTTTACTTAGTGATTTAATTAATTACTGTTAATTAAATTTACAGAAAATGAAAAAGAAAATAAAATTATAAAAAAGAATATTTTCTAATAGTTAAGAATTTCAAAAATACAGTGAAAAAAGGCCTTCTTCGAACATCATTTTCTGTATTTTCTGCATCAGTTCGAAACTATGAACATATGTTCCATCTGAAATGTTTTTTTGTTTCTTGAGATAAAATCTTTACCTTCTCTGATAACCTTTTTCATCAGATGTTGATTTGCATTCGGATACTCTCTGGGGTATTTTGTCCTACTTGCTAAAGGATACGCTCGGGGATAGTTTCTTGAAACCGGCTCATATCTTTCATTTTCTCCGAGATATTCCTCATCTTCTTCATATTCTATTGGTAGCTGGTTTTCGGTGCTTCCAAGAAGCTCAACATCGGAAAGCATTCCTCCTGACCTCTCTGGGAGGGTTTCTGTCGTTGATGTTTCTGTTGCCGTAGTTGATCTCGATGCTGTCGTTGTCGATGTCGTAGTTGTCGTCGTCCTTGTCGTTGTCGTTGTAGTTGTCGTCGTTGCAGTTGTCGTTGTCGATGTCGTTGATGTTGAAGTTGTTGTTGATACTCTTGTCGATGAAGTTGTTGTTGATGCTGCCGTTGATGTTGTTCTTATCGCTGTTAATGTTGTTGTTGTCAACTCTGTCGATGTAACTTCTTTCTTTTCCGTTGTCCACTTACATCCGGTAAACACATTAAAGGGTCCAACATTTGTGTGACAATTGCACGTTCTATTTAAGGCTGATAAATATAACTTTTGATAGCGGAGATGATTATTGTGTCTAATTTGGAAAAATCAAAATTGAAGCCTTTCCTGTGATATTCTTGAGTCTCCGCCTCGAGAAAGTTTTTGGCAAAAACCGTGCATTTTGAAAATTCTGAAACGCCATCTGGACAGTTCCATTCCCCACAAACCCTCGAAGAATCTTCATCTTCACAGTAGAACTTACCCTCATCGGGGCATTGGTCACGTGATTCAACGTAGAGACTGAAGTCATTGCCAGAATTCTGTGAGGAAATTGGGAGTTGTCGAGCTGAAACGAAATAGTACAAGTCTTGTTCAATAGCAAAATACTTTCTCTGACTCTAGTTCGTAGAAAAATTAGGGTTGACCTGGATGCTTACCTGGATAAATGGATGACGCAGTGACTACCGATACAAAAAATCTGAAAATCATCTCCCCAATTTTTACTGCAATAATTTTTCTTTAAAAATTTGTTGGTTTTCTCTTTTCTTCGTTCGCTTGAAATGATGAAAAAAGAATCAGTTAGCGCCGCAATCTACAAGCAGAAGAATTCATGTTTACGGGAGAAATTTATTATTTGATATCGTTCTAAAGAAACGGTGCGTTCAGTACCTTGACAAGATTTAAAAATAACTTGATTAAAGTGACCAGCCCAGATTCACTTGAACGCTCCAAAAAGAGCAACAATCTCTCTCCACGGAGCCTGAATCTTCTAGAGCAGCTGGGAACATGAAAATGTTTTCTATGAAATCAGATCAGATTCAAGAGACATAAAAATGAGTAAAAAGCTTGCAAAGCAGCCATCGTTAAAAGTAAGCCAGATTTAACTATTTTTTTTTTCAAATTTTTTTCAAGAATATTCTCAAAAAGAGGCAAGATAACGACAAAGAAGTAGAAGCTTCGATAAACTCAAAAGAGTCAGTTCAGTTCAATATCGCCACCGAGAGCGAGTCCGACTTCTCCAAATCAAGCAGCAAAGGAAAATGGCAAATCGGCGGGCGAACGGTCCAAGCGCTCTTCAACAAAAAGGACAAGGCGGATAAAGCAGCGGCGGGACTGCCAGATGGGCCGCCAGAAGTCAAGCGAATATTCTCGTTTCCGCTCAATGGCGATGCCGAGGCCGACGACATTCGAAATGTCTACACTGACTTTAGGTAAAAAATCGTTCTCTTGGCGATCAAAACATCAATTCTTTGTCTAGAGAAATCGTCCGATCTGACCAAGAAGACGACCGCGAGCTGTTCCGGCAATTTTTATCCGAAATCGTCCATTCAGTCAGCTTTAATCTAATAACCATGATCTCAATCGTTCTCAATTTTCTCTCGATTTACGTCGACGTTCTTCTCCAAGGTAAATCCAATAGTTTTTCTTAGAAAAATATGCAATTTCTCCAAGGCAACAACATAAAAGCAGGAATGGTGCTCATCCAGTTGGTCCAAAACGTCACTCTCGCCCTGTTTTTGATGGAAATGCTGCTCAAGTACATTGTAATGCCGGAAACATTCTTCAAGTCGTCGCTGAACATCGTCGATTTAACAATGATTCTCGCGAGCTTCATTCTAACAAACACGGAAATCATGAGCGGAGTCGGCCAAATCGTCTCGATTCTTCGTTCTATTAGATGTAAGACCCCCCTTTTTTGATTTTGTTTATAAAAATTTTGTTCAGTAATCAGCTCGCTGAAAAAACTGCGCAACCGGTGGCCGAGTCTTTGGATCGTTTACGAGACTTTGAAGCTGACTCTTGGCGAAATTGCGATGTTGCTGCTGCTGTTTTTCTTCCTTGCTATCATTTTCGTGAGTGGCTCAGAATTTTCTTTTATTCAAGGAGAGTAGCACAGGGGAAAGAATTTTTCATTCGGCTCGAATTTTTTGACTTCTTGATTCGAAGACATGGCGCAGCACTCGATTTCTGGACAAAAAACAGCGTCTTCAACCAAATGCTAAGGGAAGTTTCAGATTTTGGTGACGGTCGAAAAAAATTTTTTTCTTGTTTTGAGTCAATTATGAAAGAGTACTAAAAATGAAGCATTTTGGTATGTTTCTCGAGTTCTATCTCTCACGAATCTCGGAGATATGGCCTTCTGAAAGTTTAAAAACATGCTTTCTTATATTGGTGATTGTGACTCATCCACATTATGAATCTTAAATTTCTTCTCGGATTCTGATTCAGCAGTGTCCGAACTACCCTGGATTTGAATTTCACTCGCTCACGATCATAATTATGGCGAGAAATCATCATTTTCCTAGAGCCCTTTTTCAGTAACGAAGAAGAGAGAAATCCGGGCAAAAATAGGAAAGCGCAGCGACAAAACGGCCTCAAAATCAGGCGCGTAAAATAAGGCTCATCCCATTTTCCAGCCTGATTCCCATTTCTGAGGTCGTGCAGCTACAAAACGGCCTCGAAATCAAGCAGGGAAGAAATTTTCTCATCCCATTTTCTTCCCATTTGACTACTACTATGATGATCATAGAAATTGAACACTGACATGCTTCCGAAAATCACTTCCGGTTGCGATTCTAGAGCCGAAAATTGACGAAATTTATAAGAATGGCATGCTCGTGGGCTATCAAATTGAAGCTTAGAGCATTTTCAGTCATTTAAAATAGGAATTATATCGAACTGCGGCGCCTAAACTCTTCCTCGATTCCTCGACTATGTTTTATGAAATCGAATATTTTGTCACGAGATTTATCTGGGCAGATTTGAGCAGCAACAATTTCCGGGTAATTCGATGCGTTACCTGTGTAGGTCAGTTGAGCAATAGATACCGGTTCAAAGGAAGGCGCGGGTATCCATGAAATTGCCACCAGAAAAACAATCGATGAGCGAAGTCCCCCAGATCTTCAACTTGATTGAGGCTTTCCTTCAGTGGATTCCATACCATCTCAGATGTTACATCTTTAGAGAAAAGAATCTCGGTATAGTCATTAAGTTCGTAGTTTCTTGTAAGATCATCGCTAGACATGCGAATGTTCATCCATCCACGTTGGACCCAAGGCATGAAAAATTGTGTCTTGTGTGAAATCAGATTTTTGAAATTATAATTCCATAAAATCAGCTGATTTTATCAGCTAGGTCAGCTGACGTACCCTGCCGAGTTCTGTTCCGTTTAAGCGGAAAATTTCGCTCGCTTTGAATTCAATTTTCTCAGAAGAGCAGACAGACGAAAAAAAAGCTGGAAATCAAATTTTTTTCAATTTTTTGAAAATTGAAGAAGAGAAAGACAATCATCAAACGAAAGTCTTAACCAACAAAGTCTCTTTGCTCAAATCAAGCAATCGGACAATTCGCTTGGCTCCTACTGGAACGTTGCTCCTAAAACTGATTCAACTGGAAGACGACCAAGAAAGAAAACGGAACGACTTCAAAGGTAAGTTTCAAAAGAAAAAATGATTGTCAGTCAGAAACCTTTCTAAAATTAGTTATTTTCATCATTTTTTTGATAAAGGTCCTTAGTTTTTTCTTTTTTAATTATAATTAAGGGGATAACTAGGGTTTACGTGCCCCGGAAAGGTATGAGTACTCAATTTTGCTTCATTTTTCGAGCTTCTTCGGGCAATGATTAGATAGAATGCTGATTTCAAAAAAAATTTCGCCGGCCCGGAAATCGTCTCAAAACTTCTAACCTAGTTTTGTAGAGCTCGTCGAGACGAGTCAAATGATATATCAAAGTCCTGAAAATTCTAAGTGATAAGAAGGTGGCTTATCAAAAATTTTCTGACCGCCGCCGTTTTTGTTCTAGAATAGCTGCGGTAACGTTTGACCCCGGAAAATGTTCCAAAAAATTTCAGCCCGTCATCATCTACCCAGCCGAGTTTATCAGTATATTTCATTTTCCAATGGAAATGGGACTGGAAATGGGCCAGAAATTAGGAACGAGCGACAACAAAATACACTAAATTTTTAATTTTTCGCTGATAACTAGGCAGGATATGTGATTACGAGCTGAAATTGACTTTGATATATCATTCGACTCGTCTTGACGAGCTCTACAAAACTAGATAAGAGGTTTTTTGACGATTTCCGGGCCCGCGAAGTTTTTTTTTTTAAATCATCAATGGAACCTGCTCTACAATATGGAATTAGGCGCGCACTGATAGGCTGGAGTATTCATCCCTTTCCGGACGCTCGAAAGTTTCTAGTGCTCATTTTTGACTTCAAATGCTACCTACTGAATTTTCGCCTTATATATCTTTAAAGGGTTTGTCCTCCTTAAGTTCATTGACTAAAAACTCTCGAAAGTAGCTTAGGGCCTAAACTTTACCCTGAGAAAAAATTAAGGCTCTACCCTCATTAAAACCCCGAAAAAAATCTTCACTTAGTAACCTTACCTTTAAGGGCCTGTATAACCTTGAGTTTGATATTGAAAGATAATCATAAGGGGAACGATTGCAGTCGAGGGTTTGATCTTAAGGATGCAATTAAAATTAAGGGTCTACCTTTGAAAGTTTCCAAGAGAAGCTTTCACTTAACAGCCCTTTTTCACAATTCTTGATGGGGGGCTCCTATAAATTTAAATTGGGAATTACCTCTAAAAACATCTCTAAAGACATTAATAGTCGCCAAAAACCCAGATCTTGCTAAATATTTCATCATTTTTTTCTGATTCTGCTATGTCTAAGTTTTCTCGAACCCCTCATTAAAAAAGTCGACGAAATTTTTGAAATTGGAAGAGATCACTTGAAAAAACTTGCGTTTAATATGTTATCGTTATTTTCAAGGTTTTATAGTCTTCAACATTATCGACACTGGCGACATTGACTACAACAATTCTGCTGCTTGAAGATGAGGCTCTATACGCTTCGGGATTTCTCCCAGACTACCGACGATGCCGAAAGCTGTTCATGCCGTGAACAGCGCCTTCAAACGCTTAGATGGAATTTGGTTGCTGATAATGCACAGCGTATTAATTCTGATCTATCCAGAATTGAATACAATTCGCCACGACAAATGTGGGCACGTTCTTACCATCAGCCTCGTTATGTACCACCAGCTGTCCGACTACCCACTCCAACTTCAACGTCTGTCTGCACACCATCAGTGACAAGTTTGCAACCAGCTGCAGTCTTTCCTACGACGTCGGCCAACCAAATGGAAAGTCATCTTCGGGACTTTGATGATTCAACCCGCATCATGTAAGTTTTGTGAATCGGCCCGAGATATCAAATCAATGAAAGAAAAAAATTAATTGCGCGCAAATTATGAAAACGATGTGATCGCGCGTGAGACCCCTTACTGATTCAACAACAACCTTACTTATTAAAAACAGATAAAATGCGCACGAATTATGAGCACTATAAAATGCGCGTAAGGCCCCATACTTATTCAATACATGCGCGTGAGACCCCAAACTCATTCAAGATATGCGCGTGACACTCTCAAATATAAACAATTAGATTAATAACTAAATAATATGCGCACGAATTATGAACACTATATCTATGCGCGTAAGGCCCCATATTGATTGAAAAAATGCGCGTGACAACCAAAACTTATTCAAGAAATGCGCGTGACACCTTTAACTTAAAAACAAGATAAATTACTGGATAAAATGCGCGCGTACTATGAAAACTTATTTAAAGCGCGTTAGGCCCAATACTGATTGAGTACATGCGCGTGACTACCCAAACTTATTCAAGGCATGCGCGTGAATCCCTTTTTTATCATTAATGAGATAATTTACTCAATAAAATGCGCGTGAATTATAAACACTATATCAAAGCGCGTGAGGCCCCTACTGAATCAAAACATGCGCGTGACTCCCAATGTTATTCCAGATCTGCGCGTGACAACCTTAACGATCAAAAATGACATGAATAATTGAATGAAATGCGCGCGAATAATGAAGACAACATGAATGCGCGTGAAGCCCCCTTACTAAATCAAAACATGCGCGTGACTCCCAAAACTTATTCAAGATATGCGCGCGACACCCTTAACTACCAAAAATTAGATAAATAACTTCAAAGATGCGTGCAAATTATGAAAACAATATGAATGCGCGTGAAGCCCCCTTCTGAATCAAAACATGCGCGTTGCATCCCAATGTTATTCCAGATCTGCGCGTGACTTCCTTAACTATCAAAAATGACATGAATAATTGAATGAAATGCGCGCGAATAATGAAAAACTACATGAATGCGCGTGAAGCCCCCTTCATAAATCAGAACATGCGCGTGACTCCGAAAACTTATTCAAGATATGCGCGCGACACCCTTAGCTACCAAAAATTAGATAAATAACTTCAAAGATGCGTGCAAATTATGAAAACAATATGAATGCGCGTGAAGCCCCCTACGGAATCAAAACATGCGCGTTACATCCCAATATTATTCCAGATCTGCGCGTGACAACCTTAACTATCAAAAATGACATGAATAATTGAATGAAATGCGCGCGAATAATGAAAAACTACATGAATGCGCGTGAAGCCCCCTTCATAAATCAGAACATGCGCGTGACTCCCAGAACATATTCAAGATATGCGCGCGACACCCTTAACTACCAAAAATTAGATAAATAACTTCAAAGATGCGTGCAAATTATGAAAACAATATGAATGCGCGTGAAGCCCCCTACGGAATCAAAACATGCGCGTTACATCCCAATATTATTCCAGATCTGCGCGTGACAACCTTAACTATCAAAAATGACATGAATAATTGAATGAAATGCGCGCCAATAATGAAGACTACATGAATGCGCGTGAAGCTCCCTTACTAAATCAAAACATGCGCGTGACTCCCAGAACATATTCAAGATATGCGCGCGACACCCTTAACTACCAAAAATTAGATAAAAACTTAAAAGATGCGTGCAAATTATGAAAACAATATGAATGCGCGTGAAGCCCCCTTACTGAATCAAAACATGCGCGTTACATCCCAATGTTATTCCAGATCTGCGCGTGACACCCTTAACTATCAAAAATGACATAAATTACTGAATAAAATGCGCGCCAATAATGAAGACTACATGAATGCGCGTGAAGCCCCCTTACTCAATCAAAACATGCGCGTGACTCCCAAAACTTATTCAAGATATGCGCGCGACACCCTTAACTACCAAAAATTAGATAAAAACTTTAAAGATGCGTGCAAATTATGAAAACAATATGAATGCGCGTGAAGCCCCCTTACTGAATCAAAACATGCGCGTTACATCCCAATGTTATTCCAGATCTGCGCGTGACACCCTTAACTATCAAAAATGACATAAATTACTGAATAAAATGCGCGCAAATTATAAAAACAGCATGAATGCGCATGAGACCCCATACATATCCAAAAGTATGCGCGTGAAACCCCAAGCTTAGGTGACACCTTTAACTATCAAAGATACAATTCATGACTATGTAAGATGATAGAACATTATAAAATTTATATTTTTTCAGTCCTCCTGAACAGGCCGCTGCCGCTTCATATTATCAAGAAAATTTGACTGCCGATCTCGACGTTATGATGGCAACTCAGCCTGAGTTTTGCCTTTCAGCCGAAAATCCGGTCCAGTATGAAATACCGTTTGTCGACGAGAGTGGTCTTCAATTCGACCAGTTTTCCCCGATCGGATCCTTTTTGCGTGGTGACTTCATCAGCGAGCTGTTTGAAGCCGAGCCATTACCTAGAGACAGTCTAACAACATCGAGCACGAGTGACGATGCTTTTCCACCAAATGATGTGGCGGAAGAGGCTCTGTCGCATTTACTCCCTGATCGGCTCCAGAAAATTCACCAAAAAGCGCTCATGAAGGAGAAGAAGCTCGGCGATTCGATGGTGTTTCCTCTCAAACTACGCCACAAAGCAACTCAACATTGCCGTGAGCTTCAGCTCTTATTTCCAAAAGACGCTGCTTTGCTCAACTCATTGGTCGAAAATAAGATTCAATCGGTAAGAAAGCCATTTTTTCAGATATAGTGAAAACTTAAGGGGATAATATTCGGTGGAATAACATCGATATAATTTCTTCTAAAGCCCTATCTATTCAGCTATTTTTGCTCGTTTCGATAATCAAAGGCTGAAAGCTTTTGGTTTTTACAAAGCTTTGTCAAAAATCTCTACTTACTAATTTAAAAATATGATTTAGTTCGACGAATTGAAAAACCTTGTTTTTTCAATCGAACAATTGAATGAAGGCAGACAGCGCACGACCCTGGAAATGATCTGCAAAAGACAGCAAAAAGTCTTTACCGTCACAGAGATTCATCAATTCATCAAGAAAGCGCTCCTTCATGAATTGCGAACTGCACGCTTTGGAAGTCGGATAAATGGACTATGGGAGATCGAAATCGGCTTTCCAATCCTAAAATACAAGCAGTGTGACAGATGTGCTGACTACGTTTATGTTGGAAGAGCCGGTGATTCGAGCAAGATCTACCAAAAACACCGCTCTTCGTGCTCTGGGAAGCTTTGCCATGGATGCCAAGATACTTTCGGATCGATTGAATCTTACAACAACCACTTATCTTCGTGCTCGAGAGATCATGAAGTCGAGGTCATTGTGAAAGAAATGGATCAGAGACACCAAAAGTTCCCAAACGTAAGTTGTTTTTGAAAAATGCCGACTCGAGAGACGCGCTTTTTTAAAGTTGTTGAGGTTTTCTAGCGCTTTAAAAATCCTAGAACACCATACCTTTTTTGAATCAGTAGGAAATTTTAAGAATTTTGACCCTTTAAGTTTTCGAAAATTCCATTTCCGATCCGATTCTAGAGCCAGAAAATGACCAAATTTGGGAGTTAGGGTAGAAGTGAGACCTCAGAATATTTCCCATCATTTAAAGGAGGAATCGACCCCGATCGCGGCCAAACCAACCGGTTAAAACTGAATAAAATTTCATCAATTTATGCGATTTTTTCATAATTTTACCCCTCGATTGACTACGTTTGGGACTGTTTCTTCTGAAATATTGATTAAAGGATGACTCAAAATTTTCTGAGCAACTATTTGATTGGTCAACTTTACTCTTACTCCTAAATTTCGTCAATTGGCTCTAGAATCGGACCGAAAAAGGAATTCTAAGAATTTTCTGCCGATTCCACAAAATATGGTGTTTTAGTGTTAATAGGGCGCAAGTTGGCTAGAGTACCTCCATAACCTAAAAAAGCGCGTCATTGTAGCCGCGTGCGGCTTCTTTTTTAAAAGCTTTAAAAAAGCGTATATATTTGCTTGATTAAATATAAATTTATAGCAATATTGGAAATGCTGCTACGAATTGAAGAATAAACTAGCAGGACTTCAATCAAATCAACATCATTCGAAATGCCAACTTTCGATTTGCCGAAAATGCTGGATTCGCGTCCCACGAGAGCATCTTGAACTCCACGAAGAAACTCATATCGATGTCAATCAAGATGACGTCGATCAGCTGGAAACGACCGACTCTGGCATGAATCAAGGCGATATGTCTCCTCCGTCACAAGTGGCGCACTCTCAAGGTTCACTCGGCAATGACGACCAAGCGGCAGAATCTCAAGGATCTCAAGAAGGACAATCTTCATCCAAAGCGGAATCAAAGGCGCAATCGTACCCTTCTGATGCCTCAAGCGGCTTCAAAGCGAGCGTCAGAGAACCATTGATTAAAAAAGCTGAGGAAGAAGTCCGAACTGCTATAAGCCTTTTGACGACGGCCGAAAAAAATCGATTGTTGTATCAATTCATCGATGGAAACTGCGCCTCATCTGAAGTTGAGAGTCTTAATGCACAACTGTTGCAAGCGTCAGCTTTTAAAACTGCGACTGCGAACTTGCCGAAATCAGTCAAAACTCAGATCATCAAAAACCTGACGCCGTCGAAACCGAGCAAAAAAATCCTCTCCGGGCTTTCGAAATTCTTTGGAAGAAGACAGGATAGAGTTCTCAAGATGAAAAACGCGAAAAATGAGGCCTATCGCTCCAAGGATCAATTGCGAAATGTCTCGATGGAGCTTTTGATCAACCTCGACCAATTCTTGAAAAGCAACTCTTTCTGTGATCCGAGCAAAAGGGGATATGTAACAATCTCGACGAAAAATGTGAAGGATGATACTATCTTCGCGTTCTACAAAAAGAACTGTCACCTGACAAAAACTGCTAAGCGTGGTTTGGAGAAATTCGAGTCTCCGCGATTGGTGCTTGAAAAGCCGCTGAAAACGCTCTATTTCTCATTCCTCGCAGCGTTTCCTGAGTACGAACATCTGAGTTTCAAGCATTTCAAGGATATGTGCCCATTCTACATTTATGAAGAACACGATCGAAGCAGGCGAATCTGTGCGTGTCTAAAGGAAAGGGTTAATTATTGAATTCATTGCTCTCCTAAATTTATTTGAATCAAACATGATCATAAAATCATCTTTTCTGATTTTCGTTTTATCATCATAACCCGTTAAAAGCACACCAACTTGAACAACTTCATCGATGCAATCAACCGAATCGGCGAGACAGCGCGCGCCAACGAGCGTCTCGGAGCTATTGGTGCCGAACTAGCGACGCTTTCTATCGATGTGATCCTGAACGAATCGACATGCCGTCTTGGGCCGAATGCGACAACAATTGTGGATTGCATCCGTAATCGCAACGGAAGCTGTTTTCAACATATGAAGAAAACAACTGGATGCTCGCACTGTCTTCATCAAGATTGCACAGGAGTAGACAAATGGATACAAGAAAAAATCGAAAATCACTGGGCGCCACTGATCAATGAGTACGGCTCGATGAAAATTGGAGTCTCCCGATTCGAATCTGTTGATAAGGGTGACCCTCGCTGTAGTTTCATCAGTGAGACTGAAGTTGGCAGCGGAAAAATAACCGTCAAGGAAGTTTTTGAACACGTTCAAGCCCGATTTCGATCTTACCTGGAGCACTGGGTTGACAAGAATGAAAACGAGCAAGAGCTGAAGACTCTCGACGATAGCCCTGTCCCAGCTGGCGTTCTTCAAGTGGAGTCGGACTATGCTTCGAAAACACGCTTGAAAGCCAATACTGAAACTCAAAGTGCGTTTTTGTCTTCGGAAGGAAATATAAACGTCCTCACCTCCGTCGTCAAATTCACCATTGATGGGAAGCCGATGAAATACTACTTTCACTTCTTTGCTTCTCACAAATGCAATCGAAACGTCAGATACTCAGAAGGCATCATTCTGCAAGAGTTGCGACAGAGAGGCTTCACATTTGACTCGCTGATGCGCATTTCCGATAATGCACCCAGGATAGGCTCTTAATTTTCGAATTTTGAATTCATTAAATAAGATTATTACTTAAAGTATCTTCTAAAGATTATCAAAAAATGAGCCTTTTAGCGAGTTTAAGAGCTACGAAATCATCAACCAGCTCAGGGACACTGATGTGGATATTCCAACGTGTCTTGTCTACAAAACGCCCGTCCACGGAAAATCATCCGTGGACGGTGCGCACACCGCCGTCAATAATTATCTGCGAAAGGCAACGCTTTACAATCTGGCGAGCAATATACCGGATGCCATCAAATATTGCCAGGAGAGGGAGAGTGAAAAAGATGATGAACGCGACGATAAAGAAGAATTTCAGGAAAGCTTTCAAAAAATTTTTTTTTCATTATTCATTTTCATAAAAAAAATTTTTATATGAAAAATGTATATCAAATTGAAAGCTTGCAAAAGGGAAGAATCTTCGCCCAGATACCTTCTGATCTCGTCGCATCAAAACGTAACGATCTAGTGCGAATACCGTCGATATCTTCCGCTAGTATGATCAAGTTCGAGTCCGGAGTTTTCGACGTAAAATCACACGTCTGTACCTGCGAGTTTTGCCGAGCTGGACGAATTCACGACTGTAAGAAACAGGTTGGGCATCAATACTCACTGAAATCAGCTGAAAGTGGAAAGCAAGTCGAAGTCACAATCAAGAAAAAGCAGACAATGAGCTTAAGAAATGTGGCAAAAGATGAACACATCATGAGCTACCGATACAGGGATGGTAAAAATCATTTTCAGCAAAATTTTCTAAAAAACACTCAAAAAATAGATTTTTACCTTTACAAGTGATTCCGACATCGCAAAAATTATCAATCAGCTTAATTCTTCAAACAACGATAAGGATGTGATAATTCTACCGATGGTTCAAGATATCACCGCCCTCGCCGACGATTTCCTTTCATCAAGAACGGATCAGGATACATCATTGATCCTTGTGCCCGTTGTTACAAAACCAACATCGACGAATCAACTCCATCATCTCACGCTTATTCGAGTGTGCAGCGAGCAGTATGAGATCCAGATTCTTGACACTTCTCTGGATAGAATGGATCAACGAGAGCGCCATAGACTCATCACTATAAGCCACCGGATTGCTGCATTGATTGAGTCAGATGCTCCCCTGACAGATTACGAGAATTGGGATATTTCCTTTGCTAAAAATATTCCATCGTCAAGTGAATTCTGCGCTCCCTTATTGCTCGAAATATGCCGTCAAGAACTCTCTCAGCATCCGAAGCCAGTGGAGATGGACAGTATCCGATCAATCATGACCGACCAATTGAGACTCATCGATCATCCGGTGCTAAAGCTGACATCGTCTGATGATAAAGAAAATGCAGAAGTTCCAAAACAACGCAAGCGAAAACTAGACTTTTCTATGCCGTTCGGATCAGTCGAAAATCTCGCACCAAAAAGACGAAGTCAACGTAAGAAAATTCTTGATATGAAAAAAATAAGAAAAAAAATCAAATATAATCAATTAAACCTTATATTTAAGGGCTATCCGGTCAAGCTGATTCCATTAGGCGAAATATTCCATCAAAATCGACGTTTTCCGAACAATCAACTTCAAGCACCGTTCACACTCCTGATTTTATGCAGGAAGAAACAATCCTCATGCAACCTTTGCGAGCGACACCGAAAATTTCTGATGCCCGGCGTGAACATTTTGTTTCAACCTTAAATGATCTTTTCATAGAAAATTTACCGATAGAGGTAATGCAATTTTTGTGAATTTATAATCAATTCCAATAGGTTGTATCCATGGAGACTCTCCGATCAACAATAAACAAGGATCTAGAAGACAAGTTCACGGACAGCGAGATTGACCACATTCTTGAAGAAATGCAAAGAAGAGAAGAAGTTCGATTAGAAAATAACGATATTCGTCTTGCATAAATTGTAGAAATTTAAATAGAAATCGTCATCAAAACTGAATTCTCGATGTCCACTATGTCATCAAAAGAAATAAATAACTATTGTATATTATAAAAGATTAGTATTGAACAAATCTGACCAAAGCGGCTCCTATAACAACAAATGCGTTTCGACCAGTACAACGACAAATAGCCAACGATCATTTACAAATAAGACTCGACGTAAATTGCCTTTATCAAGTTTTTCTGCGCGTATTTCGAGTTATTCAGCACGAGCAAATGACTGAGGATCAAACTGATCTCTACCAGTTGATCTTTGGAGCAATCCATGACCGAAATTTCCATCGCTTCTTTTTTATTAAGCCGGACAATAAACAGCGTCGCACAGTTCCGCTGAGTGTAGCTATCCGATGCGAGCCAATTGACAATATGGTCAAGTAACGGCTCTGGGTTTTCTTTCAACTGATCTTCCAAATGAGAAAATACTTCTTCGATCCTCTTCTATGAAGCGTTCAGTTGAGAATTTTCGCCAGCTCTCTCATTATTGAGAGGAATTTTCGTTAGGATCAAATATTCAGCGAGGACGGAAATCAGGAGCATCTTGAATCGCTCTTTGGGCTTTTGATTGACGAGATCAATGATCCTGTAGAGTGCACTGACACTGTTTTTTTTATGTTTCCGACCTCATTTTCGACCCTCTGTAAAAAAGGGATGAGTACATCCTGAGGTTATCTTAACCCCCCTACGCCACAGAGTAGACCTTCAGCTCTTTTTTGAGCCCCTTTGAGAAGCTGTACGATGATTTTACTTTGAGAACATCGACTCCCAAAATGAGGTTAAAATTGGCGAAATCGGGTATTTCCGAGTTGATGACGTCATTTGTGAAAGATCACGTGACATTGACATTTGCTCAGTGTACCTACGCCACAAATTAGACCCTAAGCTACATTTTGGTACCCTTGGGGACTCTCTGCGACTTCTCTGGTCTGAGAACATAGACTCCCCAGTTGTCGGAAACATAAAAAAACAGTTGTCAACTGTACTTTCCTTGACCAGGAGTTCGAGAAATAGCATGCTTTTTTGACATTTTTACCAATTTTTACTGGTCGTTTACAGGCAGTTTTTAATCGCGCTTGGCCTCGGTTCCTCTTTTAAATGACTGAAAATGCTCTAAGCTTCAATTTGATAGCCCACGAGCATGCCATTCTTATAAATTTCGTCAATTTTCGGCTCTAGAATCGCAAGCGGAAGTGATTTTCGGAAGCATGAAAGGGTCAAGTTTAAAGCTTTTTTCTGCTGATTTTAAATTTCTATGATGGTCCAGGTATAATTACGCTGAAATGTATTTCATAAATCCAGTAAACTTAAAAAAAGCTAACAGTGTTCAATTTCTATGATCATCATAGTTGTAGTCAAATGGGAAGAAAATGGGATGAGAAAATTTCTTTCCTGCTTGATTTCGAGGCCGTTTTGTAGCTGCACGACCTCAGAAATGGGAATCAGGCTGGAAAATGGGATGAGCTTTATTTTACGCGCCTGATTTTGAGGCCGTTTTGTCGCTGCGCGTTCCTATTTTTGCCCGGATTTCACTCTTCTTCGTTACTGAAAAAGGGCTCTAGGAAAATGATGATTTCTCGCCATAATTATGATCGTGGGCGAGTGAAATTCAAATCCATGCTAGTTCAGACACTGCTGAATCAGAATCCGCAGAGAAATTTAAGATTCAGAATGTGGATGAGTCACAATCACCAATATAAGAAAGCATGTTTTTCAACTTTCAGAAGGCCATATCTCCGAGATTCGTAAGAGATAGAACTCGAGAAACATACCAAAATGCTTCATTTTTAGTACTCTTTCATAATTGACTCAAAACAAGAAAAAAATTTTTTTCGACCGTCACCAAAATCTGAAACTTCCCTAAAAAAGAATGATTTGCCCTTTCATGTTTTTTTCTTAACATTTCGAAGAGATTTGAATTCGATTTCCGAGACATTCATGTATTTCAAAATGTTCACATCCCCGACGCGCCAAGCTAGTGAATCCATCGAGGTCATCCGAACTGGGCTTCTTTCTGGACAAGCTTTGTCCAATGTCAACATCATGAAATAATTGTATTCGAGGCTGGGGGTACACTCGTAATGGGCAAGCTAATCTACAGTTTTCAGCTTGAAAAATCAGCTATTTTGGGCCTTAGTTCTCAAATTCAATTGTCAATTTTTCCCAAAATAACTATTTTTAAAATTGAATCTGTTAAATCAAACATCGAACCGATTCCTGGTCAGATTTAAGAAAAGATATACACTTTTTCCGACTATCGTAAGCCATACTCGGACTGGTTTCGTAATAAAGTCTGCTGTCATTTGCAAACTCATTATCGGTTTCTCTTGTTTCGTTCAATACAAAACTATCATCTGAAAGATGAGATTGAGAAAAAGATAGAAAAGTAGAAAACGTACCGAAAATCCAAAACTTCTTCTGCTCGCTAAAATGGTCTCCGACTTCTTCGAATATTTTTCGAGCGATTGAGACATTCGCGATTTCGGAGCCAGCTTCTACGCAGTACTCGATACTCTCCTCGCGGGTTTTCAGCGTTTTACCTTTTTGAAAATAATCAATTTTCGCTTAAAAATGTCAAAAATACTTGTGAACCAGACAGTTCCGTTGGCTGTTTTGCATTTTCGCTGCGGGTAGTGGCATTCAGGAAAGATAAAGTTCATAATTGTCAATGCTGCTAAAATCAGAAAAACGACAATTGCAATTCTGAAGCTCCATTTTTCTTTTGAACAGCGATTTTTGGCATTTTCGTCGTCGTTTCCGCCATTCATAGCCGCAAATCCATCAACTTTCGTTTCAGAATAATTGCTGGAAATTGCTTTTTTTCTCAATTCAGAACTCATATTTGAAAAAAAACTCAATACTTGCCCTGACAAAAAGTGTCTACAGATTATATTGAAGCAGAAATCCTTCAGCCATAAAAACGCGTCCTTATCATGACGATAAAAAAGCTCGGTTATATTTTGTTTCTGAGCCACAAAACAAGTAACTCTCGGCTGCGAGATGTTCGTCGAAAGCGAGTACGTCCAGGAGCACTTCAAGACCTTTCAAGACGGCATTTGGACGGCTTTCGTGTTTTTGACGATGGATGGGTGGCGAATGAACTTCCAGAGCGGCTTCGACTTCTACGACTACGGCAAAGACACGGAACTCGGCGACCGGGAGCTCATTTTCATCTTTTGGTACTTTGTCAACATTCTGCTCATCATTCTCTTCAGTAAGTGCCCTTTAAACCATAGGTATTATCTATTGAAAACTCACCTAGGCATCATCATGAACTCAATGATCGTCGCCCGGGTCGTGACAAACTTGGACAACGCGATGCTGGAGCAAGACGCGATCCGAGACTCAGGTTTCCTTCTTTTTTCAAAGCCACCCTCTAACTCGTTTTCAGAGAAAGATACAGACGATCAGGAAGAAAAGAAGCCCACTCAGGTGGAAGAAAACAACAACCAAATGGACGACGGGGACGAAGCATCCCTTATCTTTATGGCCAATCATCCAGCCTTCCAGAAACTTAAGCAGAAGCCGCTTTTCAAAACTGGTCTCGGAAACATGAATATTGACAGAGTCGAGGATGTACTCATGATTATCAACGCTCTGGAAAGAAACTTGCGGTAAAGATTAGAATTAGGGGTCGGAAATGTAAAACAAATTTAGGGAATACACTCGAATCCGCGAGAAACTGTGCCGAATCATGGAAGAAATGCAGATTCTGAACGATCCGTTGACGACCAACAACGAAGCCCTGCGCGTTCTCGCCTGCACCGCCGCTGGTCAAGAGCTGCGCGAATCTGCGAATCTGACGGGGCCGCTTTCCTACCGCCAAAGTCAAAGTATTCGCCAGAGCATGTCCAAGTCCATTATTGCCAGACAAACTTCTGTTATGCGGCATCGAATGTAACTTTCTTTTTTCGACAGAAATATTTTGAAAATAAAAATTTTGACGTTCCTTGAATTTCATCCTTCAAATTTTGTTTAATTAGATAAACTACTTGCGAAATAATGAGGTAATCAAGAGCTTTCATATTTAGAGAAATTATTTTTCTATCGATCACAAATAATCGAAATTATAATACAAATGATGTAAGACTTTTATTGTAAATGATAATTTTATTTTATACTTTGAAGGCGAAAGTCTGCAACTAAATATAAATTTCAACAGAATATGCTTCTGTCGAAAGGTACCAAACATCTTCGTCGAATGATTGATCGTTTGCTCTTGTTTGGGGATTCTCCCAAAATTCAATGTAACCATCTTTTAACTGAAACAATTTCCGAGTTACCGGAACTGGCAAGAATCGAGGATTGTCCTCGTCTTCCTGTGTATTTTGAAGGATAAACTCGGTGTTTTCTATTCTATCCAGTACCATTTGATGGCGTGAAGTATACAATTGATTATTCTGACGATCGAAATAAATTATAGCGCCAGTAACAGACAATGGTCGTTGGGACACTATTTTGTCGATAGTTGTTTTTTTGTAACGAAATTTGAATGATTTCAATAAATTCTTTGTCTGATAAGGAACAGCCAAAAAATCATCAGTTATAATTCTTCGAATCCAGCCCCATCCAGGCTCGTATGCATAAGTTGACTTCACCATTCGCTCAAGAATATCTTCGAAACTGTTAAAATCTTGCATGTCTTTTTCAGATTCTTTTGGATTCTGATTCAACCCAGCCAAACTTCGGGGATATATTCTCATTGTCAGAAAATAAAGAATTCGTTCGGCCGAAAAGGCTTCCATGACTTTTTGACCATTTGCTCGTCGTAAATACCTACTCCTGGCCGGTAAACATAATTGCTAAAACATTTTCTGATAGCTGTCCGAAGGATTGTTGTCAGAGAAATGGGAACGCAAAGATTCGAGTCTTTTTGGTCGACGACATATTTCGTGATATTTTCAAAGCCTGGATGAAAATTTCTTTTCAATTTTTCGTACAATTCTGATACATGAAGTGATTTAGTCCAATGTTTATCCAGCACAAACTTGTAGGATGAATTCTGAAGGGAAACAATTTCGGATACGGAATTGAAATAATCGTCTGTGAGATACCAATCGATCGTTTTTTCACTTTTCTTCAAAAACGAAGCATTGCTATGCTGAAGTCAGCACATGCGCTCGTCCTGATCTCTGCAGCCTGACCTGTACGCCTGAGTAAATCGAGACTCGAGAATAAGAACTCTGAGCCTGATCTGAGCAAAAAGACAGGCCTGAATTATTCACACAGGGCCTGAGTTTAGGACAAAAAGTACTTTAACCTTAGCCGGTCAAAATGTTATTTCTGACTCTACCGGCAATATGCACCATGAGTGGTGCATCAGTGATGCAGCATCAGTGATGCAGCATCACCTGCTTTTATTCTTGAAAAATCTAGTCAAAGTCTATTACGTTCGTCTTTGGGTTTGTTTTTGCCTTCTTGGTTAGAGTTCGGATCTGGGTTTAGTTTGGGTTTGGGTTGGGGTGCGGATTTTGGTTTGGGTTTTAGCATCGGATGAAGTCATCCTATTTGAAGAGGGAGATTTTTCGGAAAAATACTGCCTACCGGCCAAAAACACCTTCAGAGGTGTCGGCGCCATTGTTGCAATGCACCATACATGGCGCATGCAGCTGTTCTCAAAATAAGCCTATTTGCGAACCCTAACGCTAACCAAGAGTAGTCGAAAGTTAACATTAGAGTAGCTTATCGATAAATAGCCCAACAGTTTCTTCCGTTTTTCGAAACTCAAAATCACTTCGGTGGGAGACCTAGGGAGTAGTTCTTTGACCCCTGTTCTATAGTTCGTACACCCTGGCCGGCTAAGGTTAAAGGATCCATCCATCCAACGTTGTTTGATCAAAAATTTTGATTAAAAATCATAAAAGCGATTTTATCATTACTGTGACTTTAAAAGATATCCTGTCGAGAAATAGCTTATTTTCCGACGAAACTATTCGGCATTTTGCATTTTCAAAGATTTTTTTTAACTATAAAAATGGACTTATTAAGATAAAATAACTGACAAGAATTTGGCGAGCCATCATAGACGGTTCAGAATTTGATCTTTGATGGCTTCACTTAGTCAGCTCATGTGCTGACCCCAGTTGCAACGATTTAACAGATTGGTAAACATCGCTCGTTTATCTTCATCAATAGGCATCAAAAGAAGAGTCCATGCAGTTTTCCAGTCGCAAAAAAGAAAGAAAAAGGGATGCTTACCGATAGGCACCGTGTTTTTCTGTTTAACACGCCCACCAAGAACTTGGTGAGTGCTACAAGCTCCAGGAGTCCCACTTTCTAAACATTGATGTCGTCGAAATTTGCTCCCTCTTCTCACGTAACCCATTCGCCGATAACTTTCCCTGCCAGTATGATCATACATCAAGCCAAAATCTATCCATTTTGGAATTTTATTCGGCCCAAATAGGACAATATTCTCCAATTTTTGATCTTTATGCTCAAGTCCTATGTCAAATAGGTACTTAATTCCATCACGTATTTGAATCGCCAAATCTTTTCTTTTTTTAATGTCGAATTCATTCTTTCGAAGAAAATATCGCAAGTCTTTACCACCTTCTTCCATGATTGTTATCCAACCAAGGCACTCGACGAAATCTTTATCAGAATGGTGAAAGAATTCAATATTTGCAATATGTTTCAGTACATTTTTATGAGCAGGAATTGAATTTTCTTTTTGGTCTCGTGAATCTGAAGCTTCCAGAAATTCCGAAGCCAAGTTGATTCGATATCGAATTTCATCGCAGAACTTTTCTGTGAAAAGAAACGGATCAAAATAATGAACCCTGTAGAGAGCATTGAAGGCGACATCTTCTTTGCATATAAGCGCTTCTCCTCCTGAATCTAGGAAATGGATGGGCGAAGTACCTGATTGAGGTGAATTCCCAGCTTTCTTTTTTTCTGTTTGAACTGTCCATAATTCTGTTTCCGCTCGAATCTGATTTTTGAAAATATATTTGCCAAGCAAATATCTGTAACGCTGGATCAGGTGATTTTGGAACGGAGTTGCCGGCCAAGAAGAAAGAAGTTTGTATCCTCCTTTATTGTTCTTGTTGAAAACATAGCCTGTAAGAATTCCCCTGTTGCTCATTTTGAATTGAAAAGAAACCCATGTAGAAGCAATAAAATGGTTTTCGTTGAATACTTGTCGTTCCACAGATCTAATAAGCCTACATTTTGCACTTCTTGAAGTTTTTCTTTCGAGTTTTGGTATCAAATCATGGAGCCAAAGTTTAATTTTATCTTTCTCTATCATTTTCGGAGAAAATTTTTTCTGTCTTTGCTTAACTTATTGGGCTCATAAACTGGCCATGAGCTTAATGATCAACCATGTTGATGTTTCTATTTGCCATCTCAAAGGTCAGTAAATCACTTTTGTTACTTGAATTCAGAATTTCATGCTTCAAATCATTTATTGCTTTGACAATCCTTATTCAACTATTATGAGATTTCCGTTTTAAATTTACATTTATCACCATTAGCGTATTTTGACGTTTTTATGAGTCAAATAAGGTCATGAATTCTCAACGATCGTAAAGTGAAACACATGATCGCCCGAATAAATTTTACTTGCCAAAAATGGGGTCATGATTATTTGCTTGATTTGTTCCCTCAATTATGATGAATTCAGATCTGCGGTTTCGTCGACCTTTACGAACACCGCCCGAAGGATCAAATTATCTCATGTTATTTAAGTTTGAGTTTATTTGAATCGTTATCGTGAATCTTCCAGGAGGCCACTTGACGAATCTGCCTCGTTTTTATTCCGAAGCTTTCGAACAAGTGATAAGATGAAGCGATTTTATTTTAAAAACAACTACTTGACGCTCTTTTCCATCATTTATTGCAAAACAACAACCGTTATTGAGTCAAAAAAGTAACAAAATTGAAAAATTCTAATCTCATTTTGACAAATAAAACTCAGACAAAGCTCTGTTGATTATCTTTGAACCGATGGTTTGTTTTTTCGACCATATTTGATTAAGCTTTCTTGAAATTTTTCAATTAAAAATGGCAAAATCCACGCATGAGTTAAAAAAAGGTCACTAACCTGATTGTTCTTTTGACCGAAGAAAATCGCAAGATTTTTCCAGTCAGAAACTCTGAAAATGTTTATGGCAGGCGGCGCTATTTTTCATCTAGATAGCAGCGGCGATAACTCGCTTCGGTTCTGCTGGTCTCATTCGAAAGTCGCGAATTAGAGAAAAATGGCTTTTCTGAGGGCCTTGCTCCTCCTTGTGGGGGTGCTTGGCCAGGAAACGCGTCTCCATTTTGCGAAGACAAGATTTGCTGATGATGAAAAAGCTTCTGTCATCGTTGGTGGAGACTTCCGAGATGTTGACGTTGTTTCCGTGCGAGCAAAGTAGGTTTAATCATTATTCAATTTTCAATTGTAAAAATAAGAAATCAAAAATAAGTAAAACACAGCGTCAAATTGAATTTTAGCGCTGGAGGATTAACATATGATTGCAAGATCAAATCAATCACCGACAACAATGTAGAATGCGGCCTTCCTTTGAATGCTGGCTTTGATCGGTACGACATAAGCGTTCTCGCCCAAAATGACGCTGGTTCGACTCTGTTTACCTGTGCAAGAGCTGATTCATGCATCATCAAAATCGACGATAGTCCATCAACTGACACGAATTCTTATGAGCGGGTAGAAGCCGTCGGAGACGAAACACCGATGGTGACGAAAGTAATTCCGAATGCGGTGGGAACCAGAGGTGGTGCGATCTTTACCATCTCAGGCGAAAATTTTGGAGAATCACTGACTTCGTTTGGCGAAGAGGGGCGAATGTCTAACAGTCAGGGTTATTACGGAAATAAGAGACTAATACAAAGCTAAAATTTCCATTACAGTCCTTTAGCGCAAAATAGTTGACTCCTTCGATCATTGTATTAACCTATTCGACAGTGATATCCAGGTCTTCTTCGCAAACGGGCTCACTTACGTTCCCTGTGAGCTGATCACGCATTGGTATAATCCAGGCGAGATTGCTTGCCAAGCTGCTCCATTTAATCGCGAGGCGGAATGGGCAACTCTCGTCTACCTCAACGGCGAAAAATTAGAGGCTACGTGCGGGGACTGTATCATCCACACTCGCCCTCATCACTGGGGCAGAGCATCTGTCAAGTACGACTTGAAATATGGCAACGCGGTCGCTCCCGGAAAATCTCCAGCGTGGACACCGTGGGCATCGCTGAGTGGCACGACAGAAGAAGAAGAAATCATTTTCGAGGATCGTTTCCTCACTTCCACTTTCGGCTGCCCCGCTCCCATCAGCTTCTCTGTTCGATTCAAAGATGGAACTCTTCTCAACGAAGAAGACATGGAAAATCTCTTCGAGCACTCACAGGCCTCCATGATCATCTGCCCATCAGGCGGCTGCGATGATTACGAGTTCCGATTTCTCTGCGACGACAGTTCTGTTTTCATGTATCTCGCTGGCGATCGCGACCAAAACGATCACGCCGCTTTTGACGTGGATGAGCGTGAAAACCATATGATGGCGGTTAAGATAGAAACCGACTTCCCAAATCCACAGGAGGTCGCTGTTTGTGGCCTTGGATACACGGACGAAGATGAGGTTCATCATTTGTACTCGATCTACAGTAAAGACCGATGGAATGGCGCACTTACCTGCCGCGTAGAGGCGAAAACCGTCGGAGATTATACTATCTCCCCAATTCATTTGAAAAAGGGTAGAGGAGTCGATGAGACGTCCCTTTACTTCACAGCTGAGGGCAAAACTGCCAACTTTGCACTCGCTCCACGAATTGACGCAATTTCGCCCAACGAAGGCTCAAAATTTGGCGGAACACTCATCACCATCACTGGAACAAATCTCAAGCTAAAAGCAAATTCTCCCCCAAAAATCATTCTCGCAGGAAATATCCCTTGTTCAGTCCTGTCCTCGACCTCCGAAGAAATCATTTGTCAAGTCGATCGATCAGTAGTGAATATTGACCCTGAAGAAACCCGATTTCCTGGCGGTCTTGGAGCCAATGATATTTTTGAAGATGGAATTATGAAGACAAAGTATCATCTTCAATCAGAGACTGGGACGATGCGAGGTTTCTTCCGAGTCCCCGTGACTGGTTATTACAGTATCGACCACGGTCTCCATTACGATCTGAACAAGGACGGAAACTACATCCGTTCCTGGGGAGAAAGAGTTCATCTCGATGCCGATTACCAGTACGGCTTCTACACAATCGAAGCAAAATCATACGGTTACATTTTTCATGGCGATGGGAGCCCCGCTACACTTGAGTCGGCTATTCCACCGTATAAGATAATTCAACCCTCCGGGCATAAGCTTGAGGACCAATATGAGCGGCAACAAATTCACGTCTGGCCGATTTTCGCCGAAAAGACCAAACACATAATTCACCTTTCAACTGGCTCCGTTTCAAGCAGCGTGCAGTTCCGACTCCGCTTGACTGGAGGATGGTCTTCTCGAACAACGGAGCCGATGACTTGGAGCGATCTTGTGAACAATGGAGCGGCTCTTCTGAATAGTTGGTTCTCTGATGATTTCAAATTCGGAGCCGATATTTACTCCGTCGATGTCAGTAGCTCGCATGGAGACGCTAGAATCACCGTCACTTTCAATGGCGCAAACTGTGCCAATACTCTCGCACCGATTGAAGTTGTCAGTGAATTTGCTGCGGAACCAACCTCGATGCAATTTACTAACGCCTTTGGAGAGCAAGTCACTGGTCTTCGAACATCAATGACTGAGAATGGCGATACAATTATCATCGACACATGGGAGAATCAACAGATCGTCCCAGGAATGAAAGGATCCTTCCAACTTCATTACAAAACGTGGATTTCGCCAGTGATTGATTCTGAAACTATTCTGCAAGATGATCTCTTGACGATATTGCAATCGGGACATCCAGACTTTTTTGGCTGCATTTTGGAAGTTTTCCGAAAAGATTGTGGCCACGGTGTTTTCTTCATTGTCAAATTCCAGATTCTCGGGGATTTCCCGGAAATCATGATCACAAGTGATGACATGTCAAATCACGGGAATGATTTGGCTTGGCGAACAAATGATGCTGGCGTGAGAGTTAGGAAAATTCCCGGCTCTGCTTTGACAAAAGAAATGTCTTCTCCTCAGGTGAATTTAAAATTGAAAAGCTTCCAGCTCAGGTGAAAATTTTTAGGTCCAACTTTTCATCAAAAACGTTCCGGCTTCTTGCGACAATTGCGACTTCGCATTTATCGATAGCGGAGCTGCAACTTCACTTGGCACGAACAACATCATTCTCGACGGGCAGGAGCAGACAATAAAAATCTTTGGAAGCGATCTTGGAAGTACAGTTGCGGTCATGTTTGGCGATACCTCTTGTACTTTTGACACGGTCTTCTGCACGATCAAATCAGCAACTTCTTCTTCTGTTGAAGTTTCATATACAAAACTTCCATGGGGGTCAAGCGCTGTCTACGTTCTTTCCGAATCAGGTTAACTTTTCAGGAAATCAAAGAATTTGACATTTTAAAAATCATAAATTAATTCAGCTTGCGGTCTAACAGGAAAAAACCCATAATGCAAAATTAATCTGAGCTAAGATCTAATTTTTTTAATTTTTCTGACATAAACGTCATTTTTATTTCAGGTTTCGCTGAGTACACAACTGCTCTTGAAGTAACTGTCTCTTCTTCAACAAGTGTCAGTGTGACCGTTGGCCCCGATGGCAGAAACGTCAATGGTGGTACATTAGTAACAATCAGCGGTGACGGATTTGGCCTAGCTCAAGGTGACATCGCCTTCGGGGATACCATCGTGGAAGTAGTCGGCAGATCTGTCGATGACGTGATTGTGAGATCACCTGAAAATTTCGATGGTCTCGGCGCATCCGTTAGTATCTTCTTTGATGGCGATGTGGAGCCCCTCGGGACATATGTTTATGACGCCGCTGCAAATGTCGTCACACTTGATGTATCCTCACTCAGTGTTGAGGGAAACGATGTAACGGTGACGTTTGATCGAGATATTCTCAATGAAACAGTCACTTTCTTCATTGAGGATGACGAAGTCCACACTGCGATTGTGAATGGAAGTACTTATGGTTTCTTCATTGAAGCGAGAGCACCAGGAGCACATCAGTTCCGAGCACTTATCGGAGAGTTCGGATACTCAGACTCGATCACCGTAGAAACAATCCTCAGTATCAATACAATTGCCCCGACATCGTCCTCGATGGCAGGTGGATCTCTTTTGACAATTGATGGAGAAGGTTTTGGTGTAGATTCGACAATTACTCAAGTCACAATTGGTGGCCAAAACTGCGACATCGTCTCGCAAACGAACAAGAAAATTGTATGCTTGACACATGCAACTTACACTACTCATGTAGCAAATTTTATCGGAACAGGATGGTCACCATCCGACTTTGTCATCAATCAAAACGACAAGATCGTGTTTAGATGGCAGCTCGAAAGCACAATTAACGTTGCGCTAGAATCTGTTCCTGCAGGAGAATTCTCTTATCCACCACAAAGCTCGTCAAGTGGTGAGATTTATCGAGTTTTTGATGAAGCACCTGGAGTCTATTCCTTTACAACCGGACCTGTTGATGATCTTGGAACAGTAACACCAGGAGGAACTATTGAAATCAACGATCCCGTTGACAGAGAGGTCCAAGTTGAAGTCGTGGTTAATGGTTTTTCTGCTATCAAAAATCAGGTCAAAAAATGGACCGGTTGGAAAAATAAATGGAACACACAGAAAAACTGTGGCCCAATCGACACTGATATCTCAACTCAACTTCCGTCCTCGACGATTTCCGCGAACTGCACTGGCTGTCTGACACACACATTCTCCTTTGCTCGAAGTCCGATTGTAACGAGTGGTTCCTGGAGCGGCAATACCGTTCAGCTCACCGCTTCAGGGCTCGCCGACAACAAAGACTGCCTCGATCAGTATGAAGTCTACGCTGTGACGAAAACGAATCCGGATGCAAAGATTCCTTTTATGATCTCATCGATAAGCTCTTTTGGAGAGCTTGTAGCTAATATCGGACAGACAACTGATAATTGGCCCATCAATGAGAAAGTCTATTTACACGTAAATCAATTCGGGCGAGGGTTGGCCCAGATCGACGGAAGCTTGACTGCACTTCAAAAGACCTTTTCCCCGACATGCTCTGGCATCTATCCGGCCGAGGGTTCAAATCAAGGAGGCGGCATTTTGACGATCACAGGCGAATATTTCGCATACGATAAGTTCCCAGTTGCAAAAATGGCTGTCAGTGTTTGTGATAATGTAATTTCCGTAAGCGCCACGGAAATTCTCTGCAAATTGTCAAACACCGATTCTCTTGGAGTTCCAACAGCAATCGCAGTCTACTATTGCGAGACTGATTTTGATGAGTACAATGCAGACGATATTAAACTTTGCGCTGACACTGGCGATTATGGCTTCACCGCAGCATTTGCTGGACAAACTTATACCGCTGTTGATCCAACTAATGATATCGCTAACGTTGCAGGTCCTCCATCGGTTCAAAGTGCTTTTACTGTCGATTTCGATCTTTCTCTTCTCGGTCATCCCGCTTTGGCGGAAGCAGAGTGTCGATTAGTGAGTGCTGCAGGAGAAGATAACAATAACAATTGGCTCTCGATGACCGTTACGCACTCTTGTTCTGGTCCTACTTGCCATTTCTCTTTGAATCTTCCTAATCCAAATTTTGACGATTACGAGGTTCGTTTGTATCTTGACAATTATGGATACGTCAACGTCGGACAATTCCATCTCGAGCTTGAGATCCAATCTTTCGACAACGCTGTAAAGAAGGGATCAATGGGTGGCGGACATCGACTTCGTTTCACGACGAGTGAGAATTTCTTGCAGATTCCAACTGGAGAGATCTATTTCTATGTCGGAGAAGACGATATTTGTGGCCAAAATTATGATCCAAAAGCTTGTAAAATCACTGCAATCAGCTCAACAAAAATCGAAATTATTACTCCTGCAGCTTTTAATTCTGTAACTGAAGATTTCGACGGAAAAGCCACCATCGTTTTCAGTAACCAAAAAATATCATGTGCCCCTGGTGTCTGCGAATACGAATTTGATACTCAAACGAACATTGCTATCACTCAGCAGAGCGAGTCAAGCGAGCCAACTTGGTCGAACAAATACCTTGCCAATGAAGAGGTCACCTTTGGACTCGACAGTCTTCCAAACGGCTGCAGTGGCGTGACAATTTCCATCGGCGACAAAGACTGCCCAATAGTCGACTGCGATGGCACGAATGCTTTCCTTTCTTGCACAGTTCCTGGTCAAGAAGCTGGTGAGTATAAACTGGATATCAACTTCGACAGCATTGGTAGTGCTATTCACGAAAGTTCTGTCTTCGAAATGGGTTTCAAAGTTAACAATGTAAACCCGAATATTGGATCGTATGGTGGCGGAAAACTCATAACCATCACTGGAAGCGGATTTTACGACAACAACATGGGAACGCTCTGCGGTGAGGAGCTCGTCGACTGTCAAATTAACAACGATCACACAGAAGCAATTTGTAAAACGCCCATGATTGAAAATTGGGTGTGGGAAAGCTCAACAGATTGCGTGTACGAGTGGTATCATAACGATGATGAATCTGTCGAAGAGGGCGTTAGAAAACGACGCAACGCGGGTCAGAGCTTTGTCTTTGACAATTCAACCACTGCGTACATCGACAGCATTCACCCGAACATGGGAGGCACCCAAGGTGGAACAAGAATTACTATCGCTGGAAACAACTTTGTACCCGGACAAACAACTGTTGAAATCGACGGAGTTTCGTGTGTTATCCTTTCTGAAAGCGTGACAGAAATTGTCTGCGAGACACAAGCTCATCAATACTCGACGGCTCATTTGGTTCATGTGACTGTGCCTGATGGCAATGCTGTTTTCCATCACCCAGATGCCGCGAAATTCTGGTACGTTGACAGATGGAGCTCTCCATTCACCTGGGGATGTGACGCCGCTGTGAACTGCACTGGCAAACCTGTCGATGGAGATATTGCAGTCATTCCCCACAATCAGACTGTTTTGCTCGACGAGTCTACTCCACTTTTGAAAGTTCTCCTCATCCAAGGCGGTACTCTCGTCTGGGATCGCAAAGATGCCATTAAACTCCGAGCCGAGTACATTTTAATCACTGATGGAGGCCACTTTGAACTTGGAAACGAATATGAGCCTTTCTGCGGAACACCGTCAGATCCAATTGGTGCGGAAATCGAGCTCTATGGCCACCACCGAAGCATTCGACTTCCGATCTACGGCGCCAAGTGTTTTATCACTCGCGACGGAACTGTCAGTCTTCACGGTTGCCCAATCGAGACAACTTGGACACAGTTAAACGCAACGGCAGAAGCAGGAGATAATTCCATCTTCGTGCGCAATCCGGTAACAAATCCTGATGCTCCGATGAACTCATGGAAACCTGGCGATAAAATTGTCATTGCAACTACTGGCGGGCGGCTAACTCTTACTCAAAGCGAAGAAAGAATCATTGACTCGATCTCGAGTGATGGACGAACTATCTTTTTGACGGAGCCTCTAACATACCGACATCTTTATCATTACTCTGAATGGGATGGGGAAATCTTAGAAGTTGCAGCCGAAGTTGGTCTTCTGACAAGAAACGTCAAGCTGTATGGAAACGTTAATGATGAATGGACAAAAACACTTCCACCCTGCGACACGGAGTATGAGACTGGAGAAAACCAGAAAGAAGACGAAGTTATCCAAAGCTGTTACGAGAATAAATGGGGTGATGAAATCGGCTCCGATGAGTTTGGCGGTCATTTCTTGATGCACAAAATCACGTGGGGAAAAATCGCGCACATTGAATCTTTCCACATGGGACAAGCAGCCCAGTTTGCCCGATACTCGTTCCATTTCCACAGATCAAGCCACCAACCCGACTCTTATTTCAAAGGAAACGCGGTCTACAACACTTTCAATCGCGTCATCACAACTCATGGAGTTCATCAGGCTCTGGTTGAATGGAACGTCGGTTACAATGCTATGGGCCACAACTTTTTCATTGAAGATGGCTGCGAAGAGAACAACATAATCCAGTACAATTTGGCTATCAAAACAAAACCGTCGAACTCGCTTCTAAACACTGATCAAAAAGCTGCTGCTTTTTGGATTACCAATCCCTGGAATATCATTCAACATAATCGAGCCGCAGGAGGTGCTCAAACTGGATACTGGGTTAATCCATTTGAACACGCCTTCCCTCACAGAGGAGTTCAGCCAGGCTACAAAGATACACTCTGTCCAGTCAACAGGGGTGTCCTCAAATGGTACAATAACACTGCCCACGATATGGGCTTTTATGGCTTCTGGGTGATGACGATGATTCCAAACTCAGCCTATCGACCAAGCACACAGGATTGTCAGACGACCTGGCCTCCTGGAGAAGCTACCTTTGAAAGAGGAATTTTCTGGAACTGTCTCAGAGGTGCTGAACTTGCCCGAGTAGCAGATAACATTTGGATGAAGGACTTTATTGCAGCGAACAATATTCTTGGCGGCTTGTCGATCCTTGAAACTATTTCCGGGCGTTACGGAGGAGAGTACACTCAGTACGCTACCGGCATCAAGGATTCGACTGTCATTGGATACATTGATAAGAACATCCCTGAGCTATCGCTGTGCACTCGTTTCGGCATTGAAACACCGTGGGAGCCAGACGCAATGTGCGCCATTGAAGGTGTCAAGTTCCACAACTTCGATCAAGGAAACGGAAGCCACTGCACCGCCATTGACGCTTGCTACCATTCTTACCCCTTTGATTGCGGTCGAACTAGTCATTTCGAGCGAATTCAGTGGTTTAACTCTCCAAGAAAGTTTTCGGCTGACTGGGAGCACGAAACCGTTCTTGTCGACCGAGATGGCTCTTTGACTGGAAAAGGCATGGCTGGCTGGTCAGTAGTACCGACATCAAGCCTCTACCCGACCTCGATGTGTGAACCTGCGCCTGAGTTTTCGGTCAAATTTCCATGTTCTTTCTGTCAAGGAATCGAGTTCATGCGCTATGGCATGAATAATGTACTACCAAGCGCACTCCAGGGCTTGAATCTGGACATTGAGAATAAATACGGATCCACAACTATCCCCTTTCAAACCAGTCGATCGACACATCCAACTGGTTGGATGGGTATCCTTCTCGCAGGAGAAACTCACGATGTTTTCTGGAAAGACTTCCTGCACATCACAAATATTACATATCGGGGAACAGTTTACGATGTTGGACAGCACAAGCACGCGATTGTTCGCCATCCTTTCACGCAGGAGGTCGACTATGCTGAAATTGACGGATTCAAACAAAAAGGCTTCGCTGATTGGAAATGGGAATCGTACGCCGGCCGAGAAGAAACATCGCTTGACGTGTCAATGGGACCTCTAGCTTATATGATTGACCAGCATACTCTTGATTTCTCGATCATGTTCGCAAAAACCGACGCTGAAAATATTTATTACGATGTTGACTACAACTTCGAAGTTTTCAAATGCTTCTGGCCCGATTGCACGCCACCGACAACTCCACCGCCAACGACACCGCCAACCGACCTCAACGAATGCGACTGGGAAGATCCGCTTTGCTGGGAAGATGGAGTCGTCCCTGCACCCGGATCGAATGTCACTATTCCTCTTGAAAAGCATGTTACGTTGAACAGTGATTTTGATGGCGACATTCTCTTCCTGGAAGGAACACTCACTATTTCAGATGCTCAAGACATCACTCTCGATATCAGAGACATCCTAATCAACACAGGAGCTGGCGGCCATGAACATCTTTGGGAAAGACGAAAACGAAGATCCGTCCAATTTGAAAATGGAAATCTGTTCGCCGGAACTACCGACCAACCTTTCAACTGTAGTCATACCTTCAAGATCAATTTCAAGGGTGATCGATGGCAAGAAGAATTCGGTGCTCCGCATGGATCCCATCCGATCGGAGCCAAAACGATTGGTGTTATGGGTGGCTTACGTCTTGTTGGATGCCCGCAGAACACACCGTTGTCCTTTTTGCAAAACTCTGTCGTCGCTGGCGTAAATACTATTGAGCTCACGGACGACGTAAGCGGAGATTGGAAAGTTGGCGATGAAATTGTCATTGCCGCGTCTTCCTACAACCCGCGTGATTTTGACGCCCTCAAGATTGTGTCTATCGCTGGAAACACAGTCACTGTCGACAGGCCACTCGACTTTGATCATAGCGGAGCCGATGTCGGTGAAACTTTCAAGACTGAGGTAGTCCACCTGACACGTAATATCCGTCTTGACGGGAGTAGAGACTCGGAAGATATGTTTGGTGGAAGAATTGTAGTTATTGAAGCGGACGATGGTGATTCTTACCGACGAGGATGGGCGCAACTAGAAAACATTGAGCTCGTCTACATGGGTCAATATGGTCATAACCGTGGCGACGACTGGAGAGGACCTATCGTTTTCTACAACAAGGGAGATCAATCAACTCTCCAGAATCCTTCCTACTTCAAAGGTTCATCCATCCACTCGTCTTACATGGGCGCAATTAATATTGGCGAAGAAGTTGACAGCTTTGTTATCGATAGAAATGTAATCTTCAACGTTGTTGGCAGTGGATTCTCGGTACAGGCTGATGATTCAGTTGTAACAAACAATGTAGCCGTCATGATTGTCAGCCAAATGACGTACGCACAGGCCTTCCTTGGTGCTTCTTTCAGCGGAATTAACCAGGCTGGAGCCTCCGGCCCTGGCTTTGGTATCAACAGCTTTTCCGGACTTCTCCACAACAATCGCGTCGCCGGAGGTGATGGTCCTGGCTACGTGGGCCGAGGGCTTCCTTGTCAGCATTCTGATCTCTGCACGAGTGATAGCTGGACAATGAACATTACCAATTACGCTCACTCGGTGAGTTTCGGCTATTCGATTCTCAAGCCTCAATACAACAGACCTTGTATTCTACTAGAAGGCTTCGAGTTCTGGCGAATCGCAGACTACGGCATCTACACGCAAGCATTCAAAGCAAACATTCACATACTTGGCAACAGATTCGTTGATTGCACCGTTGGAGTAGGCCACTTGATGATTGGCAATGGAGGCCCTCTAGATCACTGGCACGGTGACCTTCGCTGCTCAATCGACAACAACGAGTTCATCGGTCTTTCGGACCACCACACTTGCAAGGATTGGGAGAACCTTGAAAACTATCTCACCTTGACTGGCGGTCGAAATACAATGGCAAGAGCGCCGGCAAACAAGCATTTTGGCCATACTGCTATTATGATGCCTATCTTTGTCGCTGACTACAATAACTATCCAAAGAACTTCCTCATTCGATCAAAGGAAGACAACTATCCATCACCAACCGGATACAGTTGCGTCGCGAACAATCTGTTCAAGGAATACTCTATGGATGCAACATGCGGCAGAGGAAATGTGATTGTAATGTCGAACCCGCGCGCTCAAGATGTCACTCATTCGGTTGACATTTCGGGTTCAAGCTTGACTAACTGCCACGCTGATCATCTCGTCGAGTTCAAGCGGCCACTGCTGGAAAATGTCAATCTTGCCGATTGTATCGACATGCCATGCGATGGGCAAAAGAAGCTTTTGGTGAAGGACATGGACGGATCATTCACTGGCAACGGCGTCGAGACATCCATCTTTTCGCAGTCCGAATTCCATTGGCGCGGAGTTCAAGGGTTCCCTTGGTCAAACAGCGTCGATGACTCCTACGGCATGGGCGATTATCGAGTTCCTGAGAGCATGCTGACCTTTACGAATGGAACAGTCATCTCCATCGATGATTATGCGCCTCACAAGGGCATTTCTAGAGGAGACACTTGCGTCTGGAAAGAATCACACGCCGCTTATCACTGCGTCGGAAGTACACGAGCGCACTTGATCTTCGAATCCTTCGACAAAGACACGGAAATACGACGAATCTCGCCAATCGGTTTGCGATCTTCAACTGGTTACATCGATCTCTCAAACGGACTCAACGATAATTCATGCTGTGCTGGGTACTCTTGCTCGCTCCGTGCGACAATGAACCATTTTATTGTTGAGTGCGGCGAAACTTACGATTTCCATGCAACGGGAACGACTCCTACAGAAGTCCAGTTCGCGATGTACAATGTTCCAAGGAAGGGGTAAATGAATTTTTAATCAAAGCCCTATTTTGAAATCTTCGGCGAGAAAATAGAAATTTAACCCATTTAAAAGTGACTGTAAAGTGAAAATCCAGATGTTCACTCATCGTCAAAATCGACAAGATGTTTTCCTCAACGGCAACAACATGATCTACTCAAATCAATACGACTTCGCCACGCACAACTGGAAATTCCCGAGTCCAGCGTTCATTCCTGATGTTACCGATAGCTCTGGCAGTAACTACTTTGACCGTGCTGACCAGATGCTCTATTTCGTTCTTGGCGGAGGCGATAAACTCCGAGTAAAAATTGCAAAATCGATCATTTTAACGCTCGATGTGGCGACATCAATGACAGTCAATGAGTTCTATGCTTCTCCTGATCTGCCCTACCTTCTAGCAGCACTTCTCGGACTCGATCCTAGCCAAGTTAAGGTCGTCGATGTCAAGAAAGAAAACTGGACAAGTGCTCAAAAGAGCTGGACAGAAGCAACAATGGTGACAAAGCCTCAATTAAAGAACAGCATCAACATGAAAGTTTCATTCGAGTTCGGAAAGCCTCTTGGAATCGTCAACTCTTCAAGAAAACGAAGAAGCGTCGGTGATCCAGACTTCGACAAAATTGGAAGCATTCTCGTTCAGAAGCAAATGGACGGCGAGTTGGAGACGAGCATCAAGGATATGGCGGATGCGCAGGGAACCGAGTTAGAGGTTGTTGCGACGACATTGACGGGCGAAGCTGTCGAAGGAGATGTCCCTGATTGGTACGAGCCAGGAACAATGGGCGAGGATGTCACCATTCTCAAGGATCTCGGAATTACGGATGATGAAGCTAACCAGGAAAGATTTGAAAAAGAAAAAATCATGTTTCAGAGGTTAATCTTTGCAACAAATGATTTTCAATCTTGAAGAAAGGCAGAAAACTTGCAGGCAATGGTGGAAGCTAAAGCGGCCGAAGCTGGCAAAGAAGACCTTATTTCCGAGACAACGATCGATAAACAGGCGGCTCAAGAAGAAATCATGTCCAAGACGACTGAAGCAAAGGTTTACGATCAAATTCCAACAACGTTCTCGATTCTTCAAGAACCAGGCAATATGATCGTCAGTCAGCGTCCCAAGCAAGGATTCAAGGTATTTTTTTCTTGTCGAAAATAGATTGATTACTAAATCTTAGGTCGTTATGCTTGATAAAGATGGCGCCCAGATGGAAAATGTCGGATACAGCGGAGATCCATGGAGGGTTCTCATTAGCGAAGCGAATGGAGAATACATCGACGCACTAGAAGTCGCATTTACTCCTGGTAAAACAATAGTAAAGATATCAAGTAAATTACTTTTTGTTAAGGATCTGGCGTTGCTGATTTCAGTGGACTCCGAATTCACTCTCTCGGCTCTTATCAATTGACCGCCGAGCTTTCATATTCCGGCACTGAGTCGAATTTCACTATGCCTGAAATCACTTCTGCGCCTTTCGAAGTGATCGCTGCTCCACCCGGTAAACTCGCGTAAAAAGATCTCCTTACCAAATCCCTCTTTAGGCTCGGTACAGATCGAGTACACAGACAACGTCACAATCAACTACGTGCTTCAGCCGCTGCCAGAAATAAGCATCCAAATCTTCGACACAAATGGCGAGTACATGAGCTCCTGTGGACCAGCTGGCGACGAGTGCAGAGTTTGTGTTGAAGCGCCAGTTTACCAAAACGAAACCCTCACTGGAACTTTGGAAGTTGCCTATATCGGCGGAAGAGCGATTTTCAACGATATCGTGCCGACGGTCGAACACTCCGCTGTCACCCTGATCTTCAGCCTCTGCTACAATCAAGGAGAAGATACAGTTCTGGTCGGGAAAGCACACTCAGATACATTTGTTGTTCGACCTGAACGTAAGTAGAGAGTGAATATTATAATTATATAAAGATAAAATTTATTCTTTGGTTATAATCAAACAAATATCAAAATGCCTATGTGCATTCTTTTTCAAGGAAAAAAAACGGGTAAAGTAACGTAGAATCAATCTTTTAGCAACAACAACTACCACGACAACTACAACGACAACAACGACTACAACCACCACATGTAAGTATTAAATGAACCTATCGAAACTATATAAACAAGTATTTATCTATCGGAGTAAAATCGAACAAATGTCCAAACGCTCGGCATTCCAAAAAACCGGGTACAGTGAGCTTTTTGCGCAGGATAGGAAAAAAGATTCACGCAAATAAAGAATTTTGTGAATCAGAATAAATTTTCTAGCAAACACCACAACTACTACAACTTCAACGAGCATAACACCAACTACTTCATCCGCAGGAAGCACTCCTTGTGATTCCGGTGACATAAGTCTTCAAGTAAGAAGTATTTCCTTCTCGATCGCAATTTTAAACTGTTCCGCTAAGACCTCGACAAAATGCCGCCCCGATCATTTCGGCATTTCCATCCACAAATGCGTCTTCGACCATTTGAATATGGATCCATCTGCTGCCTCGTTGAGCGGACCAAATGCAGTGAGCGGCGGAGCAGTAAACAGCGCTTGCAGCGGAACATTAATCAACGACGAGTACCACTTCGGGCAGCAGGGAAAAGTCGCCGAGTGCGGAAACGAAATCGTCTCCAACGCGACGCACATCATCATCAAGAGCTCGATTCAAGGCGTCGCCGGCGTCAATTACGCGGGAATCACTCGCCAAAGAAGGCTGAAAGTCGACTTGGCGTGCGCTTTCGAGCGACTGATCCGAGTCAACTCGGGCCCGATTTTGACCTCGCTCTATCATTTCACCGTGGACTTGAGCGAAACGACCGGCAACTTCGACTTGAGCATTGACCTATTCAAAGACGACGGTTTCAGGAATGTTTCTCAAAACTATTTTTTATTATCAGCGATGGAGCCGTTTTGAAAAGCATTAAAGCGATCATTTCGCGGTGAACGAAACCATCTCAGTCCCGCAGCCTTTCTTCGTCAAAACTGCGCTAGAATCAGCTGGCGACAATTTCAAACTTCAACTCAACCGCTGCTGGGCCACCTCAACGTACTTGAACACTCTTATTCGTAAAAAATATGAATTTCAGCGACAATCCTCAAGATACACTCTCCTATTCATTCATCGACAACTTCTGCGGCAACAATGACGAAATCGCCGGCGACACTTTGGAAATCTTCGAAAACGGCGAAGAGAACTTTGCGAGATTCAGAATGAACTCCTTCAAATTCCTTGACGCGTCAACACTTTTCCTTCACTGCGATGTTAACGTCTGTGACTCAAGGTAACAATCAAGACGAGTTCTTTCCAAACTTTGCTTCTAGCGTTGAAAATTGCGTCATCGACTGTTCCAGCGGAAGAAAACGAAGATCAATCGACGAGTACCTTCCTACAATCACTACTGGTCCCTTATATTTGCCTTGATTCCGACTTTTCATATTTCGGTCTACTCGTTACATTTATTTATTTATTCTATAAGCAGAATTTTGAACAGCGTTTATTTCTTAAATAAAATATTTATTCAATGTTGACCTGTAAAAATTTGGACTTCGGCAGTGAAATATGCAAAACAAAGCTCATAACGTCTCATAGTATTCTTCGTCGAAACTTTCGTTGAAATCGTCTTCGCACGAATTCTTCGAGCTTGAATCTGAGTCTCTCGCAAAAAGATCATCGGAGTGATTACTTTCAGCTGAATCTTCGTCGCTCTTAATTTTTCGCGTGTTAATTCTCATTCCGAAGATATTTACCGAGGATTCCAGAAATGCCGCTCTTTTTGGCTTTTCTTCCACGATTTTTAAATGTTTTCTTCTTGAAGAAAATGAACAACTCGGTCCGGTCTCTTCCTCTTCTTCTTTCTTTTCTTCGCCAATAATCTTTACGGAATCATTGGACTTCTCTTCGCCGTCTTTCTTGCTCAAGTCGCCAATAAGCCTCTCCGAATCGTTCGATTCAAGTTCTTCTTCCCAGAAATCGTCGCCTTCCGAGTCCCAGTTTTCAGCAATCGAGCCATCTTCTTCAGACTCGCTTATTTTCCGCTGACTCGCGATTCTAAGACTATCAATCCCTGTTTCCGGATATTGGCTCTTTCGTCTCTCTCGATCCAAATCGCTAGGAACTGGTTTCTTTTTGTCTTCTTCATTTTCAGAATCGGGGAGGTAAATTGACTGGCTCAGAAGGTCATTTTCTCCAGCCGCGAATAAGGGTTGAGAATTACCTTCTTCATCTGAGCTCAAGAGAACTTCTGGCGATTTTCGCTCGTCAAGAATCGGATTTGGACTCTTCGGCGACTCTTTAGCGCCATTTTCGGGCTCTTCCTTGATTCCTTCTTCCTCGTTCTTTTTTGCGAGCGCTTGCATATCGACTCGAATTCCTCTGGATTCCAGATCCGCCACGACCCGTAAAATCTGGCTCGCGTCCAAGTCAATTTGTGACCTGTTCGGATCTCTTTCCAGCAGCGCCTCGGAATCAGAATCGAAGTCGTCGTACTCAATAACTGGATTTTCCGGATCTTGATTTTTCCTGTTGAGCCAGTGAATGTGCAGAGCTGGATGGTCGCAGCGCGGGTCCACGTACACGTGCTCCACGAAATGCGGGAGAAGCTTTTTGTTGAAAATGTCGTCGGAAGAGCAGTGCAGCTCGTAGTCGCAGCTTGTCGGGCGCGAGCCTGGCTGCACTCTGGGGAGGCCGGTCAGAAAGTCGATCCCGTTGAACTCCGCTTTCGGGCGCTCGTCGTAGCGGAAGCGATTTAGGTAAACGGATTTGTTCAAGGCGACATTGTGGTCTTTTTAGGTTACTGCATTTGAATAAGAATAGGGTTAGGGTTAAGGTTAGGGTTAAGGTTAGGGACTATTTTTGAAGAAGGATGACTCAGAAACCTGTGCCTGAGTAAAACTGATTCACATAATTGTAAAATCCATTTTGAACCTTGAACTTTTCCTCCAACACTCCTCTTATTGCATCGTGCAAGTACGGCTTCGTGTAGGTTATTTTGATGTACAATCTTTTTTCAGTAGTGTAGCCGTAAAACGGAGTCCGCCAAAATGGCTTCAATTTTCCAAGAAATTCGCCTCGTACTCTTTTTAGCTGGTTCAAAAGCGAGTCTTTCATGATTTCAGAAAAGCGATTTTTGGAACCGTGCATGAGTCGCGCGTCGTTTTTCAAAAGCTCGAGGACTGCGTTCATGTCTCTTTCGAGCACATGCGGATTCGTTGCAATGTAGAAATAGGGAAAGTAGTTGTGGACAAAGACCATTACAGAGTGATCGTCGGGCGTTTCGCCGAACATGCAAATGACTGGAACTTTGTATGTTCTTTCGTAGTTGTCCACGTGCTTGTTGTTCTGCGGCATCCGATCTAGCGCTGAGAGATTTTTTAAATGACCTGAGAAAAGCCTGCTTTTTACTTGTCGAGTGAATGTCTTTGAGAAAGAACTTGAAGTGTCTGCTTTTTAAATTATAGCCGCCCTGGCATTGATGCACAAATGGTTTCTCGTTGTCTCCAAAAGGCATTTTTGCTTTTTAATTTTCTGAAATTTAATATTTTCAGAAAAATAAATTTATGTTTTTTATTTTAATTATTTTTTCATGTATTTCAGTGTCAAATGAAGGATCAAGAAAATAAATAATCTGAACTCGAATTTCAAATTGAAGAAATTTCAAACTGAAAAAAAAGAAACATAAATGGGAAAAAGCTAAAAATAAGAAATGGGATTTTTACTATTTTGAAGAATATGGAGATCCGAATCAATTTTAAGTCTAGCAGCATTATTTTTGAAACTGACGAAAAGGCAAAATTTTGCTAAAAGAGAGCGAATAATCTAAAAGCGACAAAATATTTTTGTCAAAAGGAGAATTAAAATTGCGAAGGAGAAAAAGAATTGATTGATGTTTTTTTCGTTCTTGGGGTTTTCTGATTGATAAATATATTTAAAGTCGACTTAAATGGTGCAAATGGCAAGTCAGCAAGAAAATACAGTAATAAAAAGTATTTATAAGGTCTATGCGGTGAATGGGACAAGTCTTTGGAAAAGAGATCAAGATCACAGTTTCGTCTCAGTGTCCGGAAATCGCTCAGGCGCGGAAATCGACCTCGGCGGTTTCGCTATTTTCTGCGGAGTCGTTTTCAGCGGCGGCAATGGCTTGATCGTCGCGTTTGGGTCGTAGTTGCTGCTGTCGACGCCTTTCCAGCGCTCGTCGGTCGGCGAAATCGTGTCTTCTTCTTGTGCTTCGGGAGCTTCGGGAACTGTCTTTAGTCTTTCTTTGAAGAAGGTTAATATTGAGGACAAAATGGTTGAATTCTCACGAGCAGCAGTGACATTTGAAGCATCAGCGCTGATTGGATTGATCGTTTTCGACATTTTTCCGTTTGTGTATGGCATTTTTACATCGCTGATGCTTTCGGGATCCCTCTTGTAGTAATTCCTTCTCACGTCCTAAAAGGCAATGAATTCTCGAATAAGTGAATAAAGAGCGTACTCCTTTCGTTCTGTCCCATTTTTTCATCTGCCTCTGAAACTCATTCGTCAGCTCTCGTTCCGTTACTCGACAGGAGCAAACTTGGCGAATGAAGTTGTCCTCGTTCTTTGCTGCTTCTGGAGAGCGTTTTGCGAACTACACGAAAGTGAGTTTATTGGAGTTCCTTAATGATTTCTAATTACAGTCATTGCGTCCATGAACAAGTCATCTGCGTTATTTTTCTTGAGTTTTTTCGATAGCGTCGATAGGTTTTCCCTCAACATTGTCAAGCCAACACGGAAAAGCACCTAAAATCGATAAAAATTTGGTTCAAAAGAATGTCCTTACTTTAACTCCTTCAGACAAGAACAAGTCGAAAACGCGGAGCACAGTGTTCCAGGGAAGCGTTCGTATAAATATGCACATGAACCAGTCAGTCATATAATACATCGATTCGACTTTTGTTGCTTTCAGAAGCTTGTGGACATCGCTGGACAAATAAATCATTCAAAAGAATACACGACCTTTTACAAACCTGCAGTATGAGCTCGTAAGCGACTCGAGAATTAGCCCGTCCATTTGAATAGCTGTCAATCCAACGTCGTAGTAGCCGGGAATGAAATAGTCGCAAATAGCCACAAGACTCCAGAAGGCGTCCTCCGCTGTCGATGATTTTAATTATGCACGCGGTTGTTCATTGATAAGCTTACCTGTCAGATGCATTAATAATAAACTAGCGATGGGCGCTTGGCCTTGACAGTAGCCGACATTCGGGCGGTAGACTGCCCACGCTTTGAGAACCCGGTAGAGATCCTGCTTGCCGCTTCCCTTTGTCGAGAACATTTCATGATCGGGGAATTGACGGTGCAGATCTTTTTCGATTTGCTCTTCTTCTTCCGCTGAGCAGCTCTTTTCGTCGAGCATTTGAAACGTCGTCTGGTCCTGGAGCTTTCCTTCTTGCGATGCTCTTTTTAAGACTTCTCCGCCACTAGAAATGTTGAGAAGCGAGAAGGTGAAATTGAAGTACCTCAGGAACATCCAGGCTTTTCCTCGAATAGCATCAGGAATTCCCTTGCGGACTCGATTCTTCAGTTTCGACTGATACTTTTTCGACTTCGAGTACAAGTGCCAATTGGCCAGCATGAGTAGCCACTTGCTCTCGCGCTCTCGGTTCTTTTCGATAGAAACATGTAGTCCGTCTTCGATTTCGCCATTTTTCACCTGAATGAAAGCCCTTTTACAAGTTGAAATCAAGGAAGAAAACGACCTTGAATCCGTGTCGATTGATTTCAGAATTATCTTCTTCGTCCGAGTCATCGCCGAATTTGCTCGACTGAAAGGAACTCAACGACGATTTGGATCCATACATAGGCAGTCTAAACACACTCAGCTCAAAACTCAACAGCGAAATTAATCGAATTCTGAAAGTGAGCGTTGTTTTCCGAGAAAAATGACATTTTCGTCGAACTCTTCTCTTTGGTCTTTTTGAAACCACTCTGGTCGCTCGACCGAACTGCTTTTTTGAAACGCGGCGTCTGTCAGAAGGGTCAGATTTGTTTAGCATCAATATTAAAAAAGGTACAGGCTTAGGAATTGATTTGAACACGCCCGCCATTGCGACCCTTTCCTGAACTATGATTTCGATGATCAACAAGTTGTTCTGGCGGCAAAATCTGATCAGCTTGTTTTCGCATCCGAAATTGCCTCTTTTCTAATCCCTTCGCATTTCTGTACTCCGCATCTCTTTCTTTTTTGAACTCGAATTGGGCTCTCGCGAGCTCGGTGATCTCCGTCATAGCTACAAAGAATAAATGTTAATTAATTTGTCTATCCTCAATATCGGGGGACAGGACAGAATTGGTTATTTATGGCCACAGGGAATCGCGACAGGACATCGCTTTGAGTGAAATATTGAACAAGAAAGGGTTTAAAAAAGCAACCAGGAAATTAAGATTTACCGCAGTTCACAATTTGGCCAAGTTGAAATTTTAGACAAGATAAATTGAACTTAACCTTTTTCATGCTCTTCTTCAGAAACGTCCTCGACAAATAAACTTTGGTCAAAGAGCTGGGTATCCCTCCTCATCAAATCGAAAACAACTGTAACTCGTACTTTTCTGCCAAAAGGCTGCTCGGAATTGATTTGGTCGGAAACGTGTTCGTTGAAAAAACGAATGTTGTGATTCACCACTCTCAGGATTTGGTCTTGTGATGATTTATTGTCTAAAGAACAGTTTAAATTTAAGACCCTTTCTTTTTTCATGATTCATGTAATTCCTACTTTGGGCAAACTTTCCTAGCATTACTCACATTTGTCTTGCCTCAGTAAAACTAGAATTTTGTCTCTTCTGAGCTTTCTGACTCCGAAGATAGATATTTCCTCCAATTCAGGATTGCTGATCGCTAGTTGAGCCAATTTCTCGTTCAAAGTCGGGATGATGCTCTCCAGCTCGCGATTTTGTCTCGCGATGGATTTAAGTTTGTCGGCGCTAATCGACTTTGAGGTTGCGCCCGTGAACCCAACGATGCCAAACGCGTCCATTAGCTGATTACCACGTATCTCGGATCCCTGAGATTTAACACATAATAACACTTGTTTAACCCTTTGGGCGAGCGTGGCGTTTTTAAACGCCACGGGGAATTTGACGGGCGATTTCTCTACGAATAACTTAGCGAAATGTAAAAATTTTTACTTTTCTGGAAAATTCGGACATTTTTCTACCTAGTGATTGTTTTAAAAAAATAAATTTGCTACAAAAACTTGCTCTAAAATCAAAAAGAAAAAGTCTGACTCGGCCAAAATAGGCGTTACTCACGCGCTTTTCCCTTCAAAAAGGGAAAACAGAGGGAGAGCGCGCGGCGCCTTCCTGTTTTTCGGCCAATCTTCAATGGCTGTTTACAGTTATTCCCGACGGAGATAAAAGATAAAATTGGGATCAATGGATAGCCCAAACGATTTTCTTTTTAACACTTCTTTTTAAATTAGAGAAATTTATTAAGAAATGGCTCAAAATTGAGAAAAACTCCGTGGCGTTTTAAAGCGCCACGCGGTTGCCAACGCATAGGACCAGGCTCGCGCCCAAAGAGTTAAACCTTTCAATTACCTCAAAACGAGTCGGCTTTGAATTTTTCTCTCCAGGCCTTCCGATGGATTTTATAATTTCATTCTTCTCCCCCTGCTTCTTTCTCTCAAGCCGTTTCCAAGCTGGGTCGCCATAATAACGCGCGTAGTCGACATCAGTTTTTTCGACCTTGAGTCCGAATTTGTTGAAGGTACTCTTTTTGTCGAGTGAATGTTTCTCCGCCTGCCCGATTTTTTGGCCCTTGAGAGCGCTTTCGAAGATTTCGTCTTTGTAGCGCTTGTGGCGCCCTTTCGGATCTTGCTCGAATCTCTTCTTCAGGTGACGGACGGAGCGGAAAGCGCGATTCATACAGTAAGTGGCGTTTATCTAGATACAGTCCGCTGTGATCGCGGAATTAGCTACGGCCTGCTGATCTGTCTTCGCGGACAGAAAGACTTAGAAATATTAAAAAGAGAGACAATTCTGTTTGGAAAATATAGGCGTTTATATTTATTTTTTCGGGAAGATAAGAATTAAAAATGAATCAGAAGCATTGAAAAGAAAATACTCGAATGAAGATAACGCAGTAATTAGAATTTCATTGTTTGTTTGAATTTTTGAATGAACCGGAAAATAAACTGAAATCAAGGAAGACTTCATTTTGAAAGCTCTTCAACAGTCGGCATTCCACCGGGCATCTGAAGCCAATCTGGCTTCTGAAGCAAAATCTCTTCGGCTTCAAGGCGCGCTCGATCCATTAGGTTGCCGTACGCCATGTCATGTTGGAAAGAGTAGCCGATTCCAATGGGCCAAAGTGGGGCGACGAGTTTTGCGTTTTTGGTTTTGAGAGCGCCCGCAATGCAGCCAAAAGCGACACCACTTGCGAACAGTTGATAATACTGTAAAAATTTTAAATATCATGGAAAAGAAGGCCTTCCACAGATAGAAGATGCTTACCCAAAATCTCTGCCTCGCCATAGCAACTTGAAAGCACATTTGCTTCTCTCGCATCGCCCCCTGCATTTTCAATTGTCTACTCATCTGTGCTCCCATCATCTCATTTTGAGCGTCCTTCATTTTTGCCCCAATCGTCTCTGGTACTTTTTGGAGACTTTGAGAGATTCCCATTTTCGTCGAGTCTCGTTTCTTCAATTAAAAAATCGAGTTAGGGTTGTATTTTGATTAGCCTATATTTTCAATCGAGTTCATAAATAAGAATAATAATTCTGGCGAGTGTTCAAGAGTGTACAGTCAAATTCAAGCGCCGGGGTTGTTTCGCTTCATGAACTCTTTGGCTACTCTGGCAGAGTACTCGAGATACTTTGTAACGCATCTAAGAAACGTGGTCATGGAACAGATAAGAAGCGATAAAATAGCATACCGCTGGCCACATGATTTCTCATCAGCGCTGAGCTCGCCAGAGGTGAAGTTTCTGACGCAATCGTCGAAGCAGATCTTTGTTGTTTTGTTGTAAGACTTCAGGAAGTCCCGCATCATTTCGCTCTGCATTTGCATCTGCTGCTGCTCGTTCATTCCGTTCATTTTTCTCCCTCTGAAAGTTTCTTTGACAATTTAAAGAATTAAAATGTGGAGGTCAATTTTGAACTAATTTTAGGGCAGGAAGAAGTTTTTCAGACTAGTAAGCAGGGAGAAGTGATAGCAGTGAGATTGTGCGGCCGATGGTTTTTGCCACCGAAATTTCATGTTTCTGGCCGCGATGAAAAACGGCCTTGAGGATTTCATCGCTTTTCGTCATCGCTAGAATTGTGAATTTCATGACTCTTTCAGTCTCCAGAATTTCAGGGCCTAAACAAAGTTAGTAAACATAAGTAGTTGTTCTAATCGTACCTTGATCCATAGCATCGAGCATTCTTTGGTAATACAGCTTGATTTTCGTCGGTTCAACTCGAAGAATTTCCAGCAAAATATCAAACGCCATGGCTCGTGCGTCGGGAAGAATGCATGTCAATGCGTCAAGAACACCCTGTTCGAAAGGAATAATCGCTCTCGGACCGCGATCGAATTGATCAAGCGCGAGATGGAGTGCACGAATGCTTTCGATGACCATATTTGGATAGCTCTTGAGGTTGTGGTCGTGATGAGCGCGCTCTTCTGGGCTGAAACCGCGGAAGTGTTCGTTTTGCATTGCGAGGAGGACTTGTTCCGGAGCTAGAAATGATAAATGACTGAAAAATTCTGCCCAACCCTCATTTTCTTAGACTAAACTTACCACCATGGTATGGAGGCACTTTCGCCACGAACACAGAATAATACAGCTGAACATCTCTCGTGTCATTTCCATACACTCCATGTAAATCGTTCCAGAGACTCGTGTAACCTTCTAAGAACTTCAAGCCGTTCACAATATCCAACTCCAAGAATTTTTTAATCATTGCCAAAATCGAATTCGTCGTCGGGCGACTCTGCCGTCTCGCAATCTTTGGATAGACTCTAAGGAACTCGAGGCATTCTGCGATGATGTCCTTGAAGGTAGGGAGGTATCGCTCTTCCATCATATGCGGAGCTAGGTGGCACATGACTGCGCTGATGTTGGTGAAGTAATCCATGTGCCGTTGATTGCGGAAATCTTTCAGTTCATTGTGGCAACGGCCTTTCAGAAGTCTGAGATATCTTTTAAGAAGATGTCCACTGTAATGAGCAAACCTGGCCATCAGATTCAAGTGGCGAAGGAGCAGATGCGGATGCGTAGATGTCAAAGAAACGCAGAACAAAAACGCATCTTTCATCTTATCTCCAATAGTTTGCGACTCTCCAATTGCTGCCAGATCAAGAATGACTCGGTAGACGATTTTATCGACGGAACAAGCCGAAGATTCTGTTCCAACGAGTTTGGTGCCTTCTTGCCCTGCTGGACGGAATAGGTAGAGAAGATTTCCAAGCTTGCCTCGAAGGTCTTGTGAGCCGACTTTAAGAGATTCCACGTGCTTCCGAAGATTTATAAATTGCGAGTCTAGAGGAAAGTTACTAAGTATTTGATGAATGCTCTGAATAAGCTACCTTTCATCTTTGCTCCACGAAGAAAGTGGAAAAGCTGAGGAAGTCTTGTCTCCATCTCCGACTCATCTGCGCAGCCGGCCAAAAAGTGGTGAAGATACATTTCGACCTGTGGCACTGTCATTTTGATGATGTATTCTTTCGACTTCTCTGCTGGCTGTTCTCGTCCCTTCCAAAGTCGCCGGATACGTTCGGAGGCCCAGAGAAAGTCGAGAACGGAGTTGTGATTCACATCTGCGGAGCGTTCGGACAAGAGGAATGATATGGCGTTTTGAATGACGTTCCAATCCGCAGTAGAAAGAAAAATGGACTGAGAATAAAGAAATCAACGAAGAGACCATCGAATTTCCGAAATTACCTGTAGCTGTTGAGATGATGCATTGAAAAACAGCTTCAAATCGTCCTCATTCGTCTCAGAAAACACTCGATGATAATCATTTATCAAAATGTCACTGAGATAACCGATCAGCTGGTCTTCATCAGGAGAAGTGTCCAATGATTGCAAAGAAACCCGGTTGGTTTTTGTCCTCTCTTTGTTGATAAGAGCAACCAACGATTTGACGGCGACGGTTTCTGGGATTTCTTTTGGTTTCGGAGCTGGCTTGGCTTTTGTGAAGATTTTTCGATGGAAATCCAAAGCAATAAGACGAAGCGTATTCAGCTTCGGATTCTGCGCGACGCGTTCTTCTGAGAGATGCCGAGTCATAATCGGGACAAAGTCTTCCAGATCGATGAGCTTGTTTTTCTTCTGCAAAGTCGTTCCGATCCGCCTGATGATATTTCCGAAGCCAGAAATGTGAGTTGTGTACACAGCAGAGTTGTTCTTACCAATCAGGGGCATCAGCGTAGCAATAGCTGGAGAGAGATCTTCGGCTGAAGAAATCTTCTTCAAGAGTGAATGAAGTCTCGCTGAAGTCACTTTTTCAGTTTCGAAGTAGCTCTTTAGTTCGTTGGTCAATGACATTTCTGCTTCCATCTGGTCATCTTTAGGCTCTTCTTTTTTGACCTGTGGAAACTTGAAAGCTGAAGGTTCTTTTGAGTCGGTTATTTTGATCCCTTCTAGTGCTTTGAGCAGCTCAGATCCCTCTTTATCCGGTGACTCGGAGACATGTTCGTTCAGCAGGCGGATGGAAAAGTTCAGTGAAGGAAATTTACTAGCATTCGGCTTTGATGCGTCTTCCTTGAATCTCTTGTCGACAATTTTGAGGAACTGGGACATATGCTCCCCTTCCAAATCGTGCCACCGAGCGCTCTTCATAATTTCAGCTTTGCTCATTTTTCTGACTGCGAGTTCGATTATTTCAGGGCAGAAGCTTCCGGAAGCAAACTCGATCAGCCATTTAGGCAGTTCAGTTTTGATTTCAGATGTGAAGCCCGTGTTGAAATCGTTCAACCAGTGAAGCGCTAGTTCATTGTTGAATTTGAGGGAGAGGACGATCAGGACGGAATAGAGGAAGTTTTTGGGAATGCAAATGTTTCTCCCTTCCATGGAAAATGTTATTACGTCGGTGTTGCGCTCGCAAGTCCAGTTTTGAAGCTTCTTTGAGATCTTCTCATCGTCGTTGAGGACGAAAATCCAGTTGGTGATCTTATTGAAGACTTGAAAAGGGTAAGAATTGACTGATAAATTCGGGATTACCTTTGATAATAAACGTGACCATAGTTCTATTGTCAGCAATTTTTTGGTTTTGCAAGTGACGCGTGGATGTCAGCAAGCCATGGAGTAAAAAGTGCGAAAGAGCAGCCGCCAGGTCGAAAACATCCTCGAAGCTTTCATTGTCGAACTGAATAAATTCCTCCAAGAGCGACAAATAGCCAACGATCATTTGCAAATTAGACTCGACGTATATTGCGTTTATCAAATTCTTCCGCGCGTATTTCGAGTTTTTCAGCACGAGCAAATGACTGAGGATCAAACTGAGCTCTACCGGTTTATCATCGGAGCATTCCATGACCGAGTCCTCCATCGCTTCTTTTTTGTAAAGCTGGACAATGAGCTGCGTCGCGCAGCTCCGCTGAGTGTAGCTCTCGGATGCGAGCCGCTTGACAATATGGTCGAGTAACGGTTCTGGGTTTTCTTTCAACTGATCTTCCAAATGAGAAAACACTTCTTCGATCCGCTTCTTTGAAGCACTCAGTTGAGAATTTTCACCTGCGCTTTCATTATTGAGCGGAATTCTCGTTAGGATCAAGTATTCAGCGAGGACGGAAATCGGAAGCATCTTGAATCGCTCTTTAGGCTGTTGATTGACGAGATCAATGATCCAGTCGAGAGTACTGTCGACTGTACTTTCCTTGACTAGGAGTTCGAGAAAGTCTGGATCTCGGTTTTCAGATAAGAGCGAATCAAGCTTGATCGTTTTATTCAAACTTGAAATTTCTTCCTGGAGAGAGGTTGGAACGTTACGGAGGTTTTCATTGGCGTTAATGATGCAAAAATCAGCGAGGTATTTCGAATCGTCTTTTGGGATCGTTTCTAAAGCTCGATTCGTCGCTTCTGCAACTAGAATTGCATCTGCTTCCCGCTGTCGTTGGTAGAGTATTTTCTGTCTCTCCTCTTGAGTGAGTAAAATTTGTCCAGTGATACAGTAAGTGATCAGTATTCGCATTTGCGGGTAGCAGGCCCAAACGTGTTTTCCTATTTCTTGTGGTGAAAAAGCCGAAAGAATGAGCGCCAAAAGATGCCACTTCCAAAGTGCTTCTGTACTCGCGAATTTCCCGACAGAACTATTGATCTTTATTGGCGGATCATCGTGCCAGGCGAGTTGAAGAAGACTTTCCGTTAATTGAGCTGGATCATTTATTCCCGACAGTCGAGAGCCCTTTTCGCAGCATCTGTTGATAATCTTCCAGATCAATTCCATCGCATACGAATTTCCAAACTTTCTACCGATAAAAGTAAGGCGCAAAATCGTTCCTTCTCGAACATCACAAGATGTCACAGCAGATGACATCATCGTTCTATCAGTTTCCGGCGGCCAGGCTGGCTCAAAGAGAGAAACAGGCGATTCCTTCTTTCCCATGAACATGATCTGATCCACAGCAGCTGTCATCTCATCATTTGTTGGGCTGAAGACCTGAACGAATGTATTCTGAATCCATCGGATTTGCTGCTGTTGAATATCAGCGATATCATTCTCAAACTTGAGTCGTTCTGCGCGTTCATCGTCGCTTATCGGTCCTTTCAACAATTGATCGCGAATTCCTGATGCTCTCAAATAACAACAAAGATTCGCCAGATCCAAGAGTCCGTCAATCGTCGCTTGTCGCGTTTCTTGTGTTCCGGGACGGCACTCTTCAAGAAGCGCTCTTGAAAAATGCTTGAGAAAATGGCCGATATTCGATTTTGATATTTTGCTGATTTCCCGCAATGTGTTTCGCAGAGTCCTCATTATCTGCGCAAATTGTGACTGGTTGACCTGTCCAGTGACCATATTGAACTGTCGCGCAAGTTCGGCCGCTGTTTTTTCTCGTAGCTCCTGACCAGAGTTCAAGAAATGGTTCATGATCGCCATGTGTCCCTGCGTATTCTTGACCGAGTCGAATTCTGCGAAAACAATGCGCTGGATCATCAAAGTGAAATTGTTGGGACTCGCCTTGGACAAGAGCGACAAAGAGTTGAGAAAGAAGTTGACTGGTTTTTGACGATGACGGATGTTCAAAATCCCGTGGATGATTTCGACCTCGTTGCTAGTCGTAGCATTTATGCAGAGAGACGCGAACATTTCTTGCCCGGGCTTCAGCAGCTTTGGATTGTTAAACATCGCTTCGAGTCGCGAAACAATCATTTTTCGGACGTCAAAGAAACCTGTTGTCGCGATCCCAAGAATCACGAGAGATCTCGTCAATGGATCAGCTGTTGGCCGCCGCATATATTGATCAAGGATCATTTGTTGAATGGCCGGGGACTGTTCTTCCTCAAATCTGTCAAAAGCCGGCTCAGTTAGAACACCAGAAGCGGCGTTTTCAACAGACCAGGTTCGATGCTCATTCGGGACTGGAAACGACTTGAAATGGGCCTTGATGTTTTCAGTGAATGGAAAACAAAGTGGGTGATCGACCCAGTCGCGATTTCGAGCTGCGTCTTCTATGTAAATTCGCGCCAGTTCCAGTGGCCACTTCGGGACGCTCTTGAAGGCTGACCAAAGAAGATTGACAGTAAACAGCTCGATTTGGTGGTACTTGCTGTACGGAGTTCTTTGGCTCGGGGGAATTCCATCGCCGGAAAAGATAGCTTGCGCGTCTATCAACGCACTGTCAGTTTGAAACAACGATGGTCTCTTGATGGCCAAGTAGCTCAGTCCAGTCGTGATATTGTTTAGCACTTCTCCTTTTGGATCATCTCTTCCGATTCGCAAAAATTTCAGCTTGAGGAACAAATGTCGCATTTTACCCATTTCTTCGAGAGAAGGTTTTTCTGAGCTCGCATCTCCCAGTTTCTTGATGACGGAAAAGTCGAACGCGATTTTGACTTGTTCCACAGCATCACGGAGTTTCGGACTCTCAGATCGAGTTCCGCCAATATTCGTTCTGCTTGAAGAGCCTCTCAGGATTCCTGGAGGACGAGCTTGAAGACTTGCCGGTAGATTTGACTTTTGTTGTCCGCGAACTCCGAGTGTCTGGACATTTGACGGGGCCACGTGAGATGGACCTTTTCTTCCGCCCCGTCCTCGATTCATATTTTCATGCTTTGCCTGAATGAGAGAAAGAAATTAATATTGTTTTTCATTTTTGAGTATTTCCAATAAAAGATTTGCATCAGACTTCAGTAGAGGGAAACTGGAACGTAAGAGTAAGTACAGCAAAGAGGCAGTACGAAGAGAGGCAGTTGAAAAAAGAACAGCTAAGTGTCAGTTTTGGTCGGTGAACTAGGTTGGATCGCGGCTAAGGGGTTGTTTTCTGTGTCGAGAGTGGGATTTTCGTCGATTTTTGCTCGCTTCGGGCTTGGATTGTCGACGACAGGTGCACCCGAAGTTTCGTCAGTTTCGGGGCAATAAGTGAAGTGGAATTCTTCGTAGGGGAAGATCACTCCATCGAAACGAACAAGACTGATCGGAACATCTAGCTTTTCTTTTGCCATTTCGGGGCTCAAATCGGGCTGGACCAACTTCCTGTCAGGTACCATTGCGATGATGTTCGTATCCGATTGAATGATTGTCTTCGCCTCGCAATCGCCAAACCAAACCTTCAAAGTCGAACTGAAGTTTTTCCCGAGTAGATCCAAGCAGGCATTTCCTCTTGAGGCATCGAGCAGGACTTTTTGGATAACTGGATGCGGCAATGAAAAGTCGGCGGCGGAGGAAGTATCGCAAAAGGTGTATTTTTCTTGATGCGTCGATATAATCGTCAGAACGCAGTTTTCGGGAATGATGTGTCTTCGATGGTCTCCTAAGACGGGCACAGCAACATGCTGGACGATCTTTTCACCTTGGACAGCAAGGTAGTGCATAGGATTGTCTCTGAAACGGAAACAGCATTTCTGAAGCTCGGAAACAGGATCGTCTTCATCAAGCAGAGCCTGTGTACCGTCAACTCTGCCTATGATTGCCAAGGGCAGTGCCATGCTTGTTTCTGTGCAGACCAGCTTTACAGTATTCCCGTAGTGGATAATCCCCTCTTCGGCTTTGAATTCCTCGCTTTCGGCTTGATCATACGGCACCACATAGATGTAAAAAGAGCCCCATTTTTCTGAAGATGCGAGGATTTTTTCCCCTTCTGCGCGAAGATATTTTGTTCTGAGCGTCTGAGATCTTTGACGATTGAATAGGGCCACTTTGGCACCGCCAAGAATGGAGAAATTGACATTCTTGCAACCTTTCTTTTCTTTGACGGCTTGGCGATCACGGACATTGGTAGGGACTCGAAATTGCCCAAGCTTTCTCCATTCCCGAAAAACATTTTCAAATTCAGTGTGAAGTCACGTTTGGCGGTGCTTCCGCAGCTCCTCTTTTCCGTTTCGGTAACAGAAAGCGTTCGAGCTACAGAAAAGTCATTTTTTCCAAAGTATAGTTGTTGATAATCGCTATCAATGCCGATGAACGCGAAAATTTCTTCATCTCCGTCTTTGTAGTCGGCTCTGTCGTGAATCTCCTTTTGCTTGAGTTTCCAGCCCTCCCCTTCGAGAGAAATTATCGGGGGTGGGCAAATGAGTCGTCTTTCCCGCCCATATGACTTTTGGGCGACTTTTGGGTGTTTGATAACGAGTGTTGTGTTGCAAGGATCTGCGATGTACTTCCGCATGGCTTCTTTTGAAAGCTCCTCATTGGGAAAACGAGTCGGGACGTAGTATTTTTCTTTGTTTTCTTCTGACTCCACAGTCTCCCTTGCTTCGGGCTCGTTTACTTCAGTATCTGGAGTGGGAGTAGGCTCAAGTATCACGTGATAGTATTCATGATTAACGTACTGCATGATGCATCTGCCGAGGATTCTCTCCTCCGATCAGCCCCTTTTTCAGACTCTTAATTTTTGATTGATGATATATTGTTGAAGTTTTTGAAATGTTTTCCGTTTACACAGAGAGAAATTTTAAAGGAACAGAGGCAGTAGTAAAACAGCAATCTAAGAAATTATGTTTTAAAACGATCTCGGCTACGGGATCTCTTTCTTCGACGCACGAAGGTGTCTTGGTCGAAGAGGCCTCGTTTTCGGCCTTTTCGTTCTTCGAGAATGTATTCTTCATCACTAGAAAAACGAATAATACTCTGATGAGGGAGTATTTTGAACCTGGTATCTTCGTCACTTGTTGTTGGAGGCAGTCCAGCAGCGGCTCTTCTTTCCCTTGATCGTCGTCTTTTATCGCGCTGTTCTCGCCTGAAACAAGCAGTAAAAATGCAGTCAGAAGATTCTGAATCACCTGAATTTCAATTGAATAACTTTGATTTCGTTCAACAACGCTGAAGCCTCTTTTTGACCCTTCATCTGACCGGGCGCTAGAAAATTTTTAATAGATTAACAAACGAACTACTTCAGTCTTACTTTTTCGATCACCAAAAGCATATTGAACCGATAGCTGTTTCCCGCCAATTTCAAGCTTATTGTCGGGATTGTTGTAGTGCTCTCTCGCCACTTCAGCGTCGCCAAGTTCCTCGAACTCGACGTAGCAAAAACCTCGCATTTTCTGCGTTTTGAAATCAATTGGAATATGAATGTCGCGAATTTCGCCAAAGTCTTGGAAGAACGGGGCGATTTGTTCTGGAGAGATATTTGGCTGGAGAGGGCGAATAAAGAGGGATTTGTTTGGCGGTCTTTGAGAAAATATGAGACAGAAGAATCTGCAAAAATACCTGACTGGCGGATGATTTGCTTGATTTTTCAAGCTCTTTTCTTTGTTTTGCCCATTTTGCCTTCCTCTGCCTTGATCTCGTCGACGATCTCGAGATCTCGACCGATCACGTGATCGCTTTCGACGATCTCTGTCTCGACTTCGATCCCTTGATCTGCTTCGTTTTCTTCTTTCTCGATCTCTTTCGCTTCTTCCGTAGTATTTATCCTCGTCTCGTTCTCGACGGCCCATCTTAAAACATCTTGCTGATTTATGAGTCTACACCGTGGTATCAGTATAAGATCAAATTCTTATTGGCTGACGGATATTCAGTGATATTCCTTGTAAAATCTAAGCCGAGTCTCACAAGTCAAAAGGTGTTTCTGAAGCAAATGCCGTTTCGGAAATCCTGCATGGCAGTAATTGCAGTCACGAGATTCTTGAGTGTGGATTTCCTTATGTCGATTCAAATCGAGCTTACGGGAAAACTTGGATGGACAGAGATCACATTGAAAGTTTAGGATGCGGAAATGAACAAGCATGTGGAAATCTAAGTTTTTCATATTCGTAGAACTGTAAGTACAGAATTCGCAACGGAGAAGGATATTTTTATGAACAGCTTGGTGCTTTTGAAGATCGGCAGCACTAGTAGCGGCGTAATCACAAGTTTAAAAGGAGCATGGAAATCCTCTGTTTCGATTGGAGCCGAATTTTCCGATACCGTGGAATTGGGCGACGTGCATTTTCAGATTTGTCTGGGAGTAGCCGACGTATTCGCAGTTCTCTTGCTTGCATTTGAACTCGCCGTGATTGTGGACGGAAATCATGTGATCGAAAAGGCAGTTCTTCTTTACTTTTGTCTTGAATTTACAGTTGCCGCGCTTGCCAGTGCAGTAGATATTGTTGTCTTTCTTCATTTCCCAATGAAAGCTGTCTCGATGCTTGTAGAAAAAGTCCAGGTGGCTTTTTGGGAGACCAACGGCTTTCGCTAGCTTCTTGAATTCTTTCGGAATTTTTTCTATCTTCTCTAAAGGAATGTTTTTCGTGAGATACTAGTGTAATCAAAACCTGTTACTTGGGGGTCATCACTGGCAATTTTTGCTTTTTTCGCTCGTTCTTTGATAACTGGAACTTCGAGCAATGGCTTTCTTTTCGGAGGTCTTTGAATGGTAAAACTTAGTTTTACTCTCGCCGATATTGTGTTCTCTTCTTTTTTATCTTCTTGTAGTTCATTTTTGAGTACATTTAAGGTTTCTTTTCGCCCCGTTTCCCTCAGGAATGTCAATAGAAATGCATTTATGCGATTTCGGTCCATACTAAACTGATACAGTCAATAAATCTGACAGAGCTCGCTTTTAGGCATCGTTATAAGAGAGTATAATACAGATATGCTGAGGAAATTATACAGTAGTTTTAATAATACAGTAGAGGTTCGCGCGCCCTGAACCTTTTTCAAAGACAAGCGCTGAAGGAGAAACATCAGAGAAAATATTCCATATGGGATGGGCGACTACCTAGGGTCGGACTCCTTTCCTTTTTTTAACCCTTTTTAAGGATCCTTTTTCCTTAATCCTTAATTTTTCCTTAATCCTTTTTGACTTTTGCAACAGGGAAAACTCTTTCCTTTATCCTTTCCGGGCATTTATCAAGGAAAAAAAATCCTTGATAATTTTCCCTTAAATCCTTTCAGATTCAGGGTTTTAGAAAGGATATTTCGCCAAATTTTCACGCCATAAGAATTTTTCAGTCCATTTTTGACTGCAACAAATTTTTTGTACTAAAATTGGGTTTGATTTTATCAAGAAAAATTGCGAAAAATCCTTTCTGAAACCCTTTTCCTTAATATTTTTGAATTTTCGAAAAACCCTTTCCTTAATCCTTTTTGCATTCTGCCCGGAAAAATTTCCTTTCCTTAATCCTTAGTAGGTTTTGGCCAGAAAACTTTCCTTTCCTTAATCCTTATGGGGAAACTGTTAAGGAGTCCGACCCTAGGCGACTACTGGTATGATAGTATTCTGAGTATGATAAAGAGCTTTTCTTTGGGGAAAAGATGCAAGCTAGTGATGCTGGCTATCTACTGCCTTATCGTCTTTTATCTAGCCATGATGACTCGCAGTGCCATTGTAAGTTAAAATCATTTTTGAGCTGAAACTTATGCATTGGGACGTGAAAATATAAATTTTCGGTTTTGACAAAATGTCGTAAACGTAACATTTTTCAAAATCTGAAAGTGCAGGTATGTCGAGCTTGATGTGCCATTTATGAATCTGCAAAAAAATTTTGGGATTTCATTATTATGAAGCGTGGGCGGGGCGATCTAAGAAAAAGTTACGGACTCGCCTAGGGACCAGGGGTACTTCTTTTTTCGAATTTTCTTTGTGCTTTATTATTCTCTATGATCCAAGGACGCTTCATCTTTTTTTAGATTTAAAATTACTCATCGCAATCCAGAAATATTGCGTAATTCATGATTTTCTTGTATAAACTATTAATTTATAACACCTACACTATTTATATTGATTATATCGCCGTCCTCGGCCAGGATATGGCCACTTAAGGTCGAATTCGGTCAAGTTTGGCCGGAGGACCTCCCGGAGGACCACCCTGATGGAAGACTAATAGCTGGAAGACCAATATTTACAAAAGTTAGTGAATAGCTACGGAGGGCCAGTAATTGCCATTTTCGGCTAACTTCGGTCATTTTATGCCGGAGGACCTCCCGGAGGACCACTCTGGTGGAAGACTAACTGCTGGAAAACCAATATTTATAAAAATTAGTAAATAGCCATGGAGGGCCAGTTTTTGCCATTTTCGGCAAATCTCGCTAATTTTCTGCCGGAGGACCTCCCGGAGGACGACCCTTGTGGAAGACTAACTAAAAGAAGACCAATATTTATAAGAGGCGTTTTTATTGTAAATAGCCGTGTTATTGCCAATTCGGGCCGACTACGGTCATTTTGCGCCAAAAATATCTTAAAGGATCTGTTTGCTGGAAAACCTTATATTAAAAACCTGCGAATACTTAATATTAAATTAATAAATTGTCTTTTTGCTTCATATATTGAATTTAGTGTGAGACGGGGCCAAGCCACGAGTAGCGGGGCAACCCGCTTATATTAAATTAAATCTTAGACAGGGCTCAGCCGACCCAAAGGAGAGGCATGCCCGTTTATTCAATTAAATCCGAGACAGGGCCGACTCAATCCGAAGAGGCGGAAAGCCCGGTATGTTGAATTAAGTCTGAGACAAAACCAAGCTGACCCGAAGGGGATGCAAGCCCTGTTTATTCAGTTATATCTGACACGAAGCCAAGTCAACCCGTAGGTGAGGCAAGCCCCGTATATTCAATTCAATCTAAGACGGGGCAAAGCCGACCCAAAGAGGAGGCAAGCCCCGTATAATTATTTCAGTCTGAGACAGGGAGAAGCCGACCCGAAGGGGAGGCTTGCCACGTTTATTCAATTCAGTCTGAGACGGGGCCCAACCGAAAGGGAGCGCGGCACAACAGGTCAACTGGGGGAGTTGGGTGAAGCAGCAGAAGTGGGGTACGATTTTTGAGAATCGGTTACGGTCAAGTTTCTAGATTTTTCCTACTGATTCTAAATATATATGGTGTTCCGGGCCTAAAATGAAGTTAGTGGGAGATTTAAATACCCCAACCTTAAAAAAAGCGCGTCAATATAATTATGACGGGCAAAACTAGACCAGCGTATTATTGAGAATATATTGTAGCAAGGGAAGAGATAATATTTAAGGGCTAAGTTTGCAACTAGCTGGTTTAAAATCTACAGTGAATTAGGCTGCGCATAAGGATGTATTCTTACTCTAAAACTTAAATATCTATGGGGAGATTACCTTTCCTTCGGGTCGGCTTGGCTCCGTCTAAAATTTAATTGATAATACAGGGCTTGCCTTCCTTTCGGTTCGGTTGGGCCCTCTTTGGGTCGGCTTTGCCCCGTCTTAGATTGAATTGAATATACGGGGCTTGCCTCACCTACGGGTTGACTTGGCTTCGTGTCAGATATAACTGAATAAACAGGGCTTGCATCCCCTTCGGGTCAGCTTGGTTTTGTCTCAGACTTAATTCAACATACCGGGCTTTCCGCCTCTTCGGATTGAGTCGGCCCTGTCTCGGATTTAATTGAATAAACGGGCATGCCTCTCCTTTGGGTCGGCTGAGCCCTGTCTAAGATTTAATTTAATATAAGCGGGTTGCCCCGCTACTCGTGGCTTGGCCCCGTCTCACACTAAATTCAATATATGAAGCAAAAAGACAATTTATTAATTTAATATTAAGTATTCGCAGGTTTTTAATATAAGGTTTTCCAGCAAACAGATCCTTTAAGATATTTTTGGCGCAAAATGACCGTAGTCGGCCCGAATTGGCAATAACACGGCTATTTACAATAAAAACGCCTCTTATAAATATTGGTCTTCTTTTAGTTAGTCTTCCACAAGGGTCGTCCTCCGGGAGGTCCTCCGGCAGAAAATTAGCGAAATTTGCCGAAAATGGCAAAAACTGGCCCTCCATGGCTATTTACTAATTTTTATAAATATTGGTTTTCCAGCAGTTAGTCTTCCACCAGAGTGGTCCTCCGGGAGGTCCTCCGGCATAAAATGACCGAAGTTAGCCGAAAATGGCAATTACTGGCCCTCCGTAGCTATTCACTAACTTTTGTAAATATTGGTCTTCCAGCTATTAGTCTTCCATCAGGGTGGTCCTCCGGGAGGTCCTCCGGCCAAACTTGACCGAATTCGACCTTAAGTGGCCATATCCTGGCCGAGGACGGCGATATAATCAATATAAATAGTGTAGGTGTTATAAATTAATAGTTTATACAAGAAAATCATGAATTACGCAATATTTCTGGATTGCGATGAGTAATTTTAAATCTAAAAAAAGATGAAGCGTCCTTGGATCATAGAGAATAATAAAGCACAAAGAAAATTCGAAAAAAGAAGTACCCCTGGTCCCTAGGCGAGTCCGTAACTTTTTCTTAGATCGCCCCGCCCACGCTTCATAATAATGAAATCCCAAAATTTTTTTGCAGATTCATAAATGGCACATCAAGCTCGACATACCTGCACTTTCAGATTTTGAAAAATGTTACGTTTACGACATTTTGTCAAAACGAAAAATTTATATTTTCACGTCCCATTATTTCTTTATAGAAAATTTATCTTCAATATCCTTCGGTGTTAGTTGATAGGGAAGTCGAGCAAGTTTCGTGATGGGATTCTTCTTTCTCCTTTTGATATTTCTATCTATCAGGAGCTATAAATCCGACCTAAGACCTTCCCAAAAATAACGATTTGCCCTTACCAGATGCACTCAAAATGGAAGATGCAAAAATATTACCCGGAGATCAACGATTCTATTCTTAAGTAAGTTTCTTGGCAAGCATTGAATAATTACTTTATTAGAGCATTTTATGGGTCGTCCGAAGAGAGCCTTTATTGGGATGAGAAGCACTGGGAAAGATTCGATCGAATAGACCTCAATGATTTTTTTGTTAAAACGCAGCCAGATATTGAGATACAGAATTGCCTTTTCGACGGTAGTTTGAATTGTGATCACCTTTGGAAAACAAAGAAGACCAAGCTCGGGCGATGTCTCGAATTGGACCTCTATCCAGAATATGGAAATAAAGATTCATCGGAGCATAACTTGGACTTTGTGGCGGGAATGAACAAGTCCGACGAAACCTATGGGTGGTTTGGAGAAAAGCGCGGTCTCCAACTCTACTACAATTATTATACCGATATTATGGAGGAAGAAAAAAGGCCTTCACCCTTCAATCTGAGCTGATTTCAATCGTCAATTTCAAGCTTTTCAAAAACTCTTATCTAGGGGTTCCGTATACCAAGTGCATTTCTGTCCCTCCTTCTGATACATACAGTAAATCGGCTTGCGAGATGGTTCAACTTATTCGCGAAATAGTCGATAAATGCAATTGTCAACCAGATTATCTTCATAATCTTCCAGAGAGGTAACTCATCCAGGACTGTTCTTGAGTAAACTCTGTGTAGAGATTTCGTCCAAAAATTTGCGTGCTCATTCTTTGACAATGCAAAATGCGTCGCGCAAAGGATCAAGCGCTATGTAAAAAAACCACGGGCATTGAACAGAACCTGTCTGCCTGCCTGCCAGAGCTACGAATTCAAGCCAGTCACCATTCAATACGAAGAGCCGTCGAATACAAGGAAAGATACAGACCAATATTTCATGAGAGCGGTTTTACGTACAACTGAAGGTTTTCTCAACAAAACTCGCTTGATAAAAAATCCGTTTTTTTTAGAAAAAGTTACTTTCGTAGAAGAACATTCAACGTACTCTACGAATAAGTTCGTCACCGATGTCTTAGTTTACTTAGGTTCGGAAGATAGTGTAAATAAGGATCATTGCTGTTTTAGGACTTATTCTAGCACTAACTGCTGTGTGCATGCAGTGCTGGGGAAGAAAAAGTGACGGACGCAAAAGTGGTGGAAATTTTTCTCTTTATGATGAATCTCCCATTAGGAAATGTGAAAAAATTAAGAGAATATTTCTCATTGTTTGGAAATAAGAAAGTTTCAACAACAATTAAGGCTAAATAATCAATTCTGACAAGTAAACACGACTTCAACCATTCGATGTTTTCAACATAAATCCATTCTAAAGTGATCTGTTCAACACATCTGCTTGACTTTTTGCAATAAAATCGGATATTTTCACCGGCTTTCATGATACTTTTCAATTCGAACTTTGCATTTTTTCAGATGTTTAAAAAGTAAACTCGCCGACTGGCAAGTTTCAAGGCAATGATTGCAAGAGAAGTCGTTGAAATGAGCTCTTTTGTGGTAGTTGAGTTTTGCCTGACTGGCAAAAGTGGAGGAACAGATTTCACACTCAAATGGTCGAATGTTGAAATGCGCGAAGAGATGATTTTTGAGATTGGCCATCGTTGCGCAAGTATAAGTACAGAACTCACAGTGTTGGAGAGTGTTTTCGTGGACAGCTTGGTGCTCGTCGAGGACTTTTTGCTGGCTGGAACTGTAGTCGCAATACTTGCACTGAAGAACTCGATTTTGCCTGTAACCGACTTTGCCCATTCCGTGAAAATGCGCTTTGTGTCGTTTGAGATTTCCCTTCGAGAAACCAACAAATTGGCAGTTTTCTTCTTGACATTTGAATTCACCGTGATTGTGGTCAGAAATCATGTGCTCGGCAAGACAGTTCTTCTTTACGGTTGTGTTGAATTTACAGTTGCCACGTCTTCCAGTGCAGTAGATATGGTTGTCTTTCTTCATTTCCCAGTGAAAGCTCTCTCGATGCTCGTAGAAGAACTCAAGATGGTCTTTTGGGAGACCAACAGCTTTTGCCAATTTCTTGAATTCTTCTGGAACTTCGATTTTCTTCTCTAAATGAGAATCTCACAAAAATCTATCGGACGTTTGATCTACCTTTTGGATCCAAATCATCACGAGAAATTTTTGCTTTTTTCGTTCGTTTGTGAATTGCTGGAGGTGCAAATGATGGCTTTCTTTTTGGAGGTTTTTGAATGGCAAAACTCAGTTTTACTCCTTCCGATTTCGAAGTCTTTTCGTGCAGCTCATTTTTGAGAGCGTCAAGGGTTCTTCGCCGCTCTGTTTCCATTAGATATTTTAATAGAAACGCATTTATCCGAGTTTTATCCATTCTTATGAGTTCATATTTTATTGAGTGATTTTATTTGATCTGTTCTACAGTGCTTGGTTGAGAAAGGAAGAAAGTGTCATCGACTATCCCTAAATTTTTGAATTCTGACTCTGCAGACTTTCAAGTGTTTTTCGAGCAAGTTATGAGTAGGATAGGTTTCAAGGCAATGATTACACGTAAAGTCTTTTGAATGAAACTTCTTGTGGAAGTCGAGTTTGGATTGACTGGGAAAAGTAGCCGAGCAGGTTTGACATTCAAATGGTCGGATATTGAAGTGGGCAAAGAGATGGTATTTCAGATTTGTCAGCGTCGCACATTTATAAGTACAGAACTCGCATTGGTGGAGCCTATTCTCGTGCACAGCCACGTGCTCGTCGAGAACTTTCCGCTGACTCGAGCTGTAATCACAATACTTGCACTGAAGCACTCTATTGAGCTTGTACCCGACTTTGCCCATCCCGTGGAATTGCGCTGTGTGCCGCTGAAGATTTCCATGAGAGAATCCAACATATTTGCAGTTTTGTTCTTTGCATTTGAAGTCGCCGTGATTGTGGACAGAGATCATGTGTTCGACGAGGCAGTTTTTCTTGACTTTGCTGCTGAATTTGCAGTTGCCGCATTTCCCAGTACAGTAAATACTGTTGTCCTTCTTCACCTCCCAGTGGAAGCTTTCTCGGTACTCGTAGAAGAATTCGAGGTGATCTTTTGGGAGACCAACAGCTTTAGCCAACTTCTTGAATTCTTTCGGAACTTCTACTTTCTTCTCTAAAACCCTTTTTATTCGCAAGTTCCTAGATAATATCAAACCTTTTACATCCGAATCATCTGAAGCAATTTTTGCTTTTTTCGGTCGCTTTCTTTCAGTCACCTTCGCATCTTCAAGAAGTGACATTCTTTTTGGAGGCTTTTGAATTTCAAAACTGAGCTTGAATCCTTCCTTTTTCAGTTCATTCCCTTTTTGAGTCCTTTTCCAGTCATCTTCAAGTGCATCAAGAGATTTTTGCCGCCCTGTTGCCAGCAAATACCTGCGCAGAAACGCGTTTATTTCATTTTTATTCATTCTTATTATAGAAAACATTCAGTTATAAACTAAATAAGACTTTTCAGCAAGAATAGATCTAGTCAGGTTTAATTATATTTACAATCATATTGAAGGTAGAAAAGTGGAACTGTTCAGCAGAAGAAATACTTTGAATCTCTGACTTTTTGTATATCCATATCTCCTTTCTCCGGCCGGTTATGAAACAGCGTTTCTCTTCTTTCCAGATGCGACAGCTTATTCTCCAGCGTCGTTACACTTTCCGGCAAATTATCGAATCGCTTCGGCCACAGACGTTCCGGAATCACCCAGTTCTCCATGTGTTCAGCAAAAGTCGTGATAGGGTCGAAATTTTCATACATGTCGATGAACGCTTCGCGGAGGTTTTCATTCAATAGATCTACTTGAGAAGGGTGGCACCAAAACGAGTCGTGGATTGATCCGAAATCTGCTTCCGTCCCTCTTTCTTCTTTCGCAGCTAAAAAAAGTTATCAAAAGAGGACATGAAAGAGCGCTCTACCTTTAGCAAACATAGTGTAACTCATGAGCAAATGACTCGCATCAATCGCATGAACAAAGTTCGGCGAGAGCGAGTTTCCGGATCGTTGACCATCTGCCGCGGGAAACACTCCGTAGCAATTATCCCTTTCGTTCTTTATTCTATTCTCGTCTACAGCAGCTATCAGTACTTCCATCGAGGTCTTTCTTTGCAGCATACTTTTGTATCCAATCTGCGACACTGAAATCGCCAGGTAAAACTTGGAAAAGAAAAATTAAAGCTCACCAGGAAATCCCATCGGCGAAATGTACTCAATCGGAACTCCGAGTTTCGAGGAGCAAAATCGATTGTACCCAGCGAGCCACTGCTTGATCGCCATCGAGTTTCGGAACGTCTGATTGATCGAACTGAACAAGTTCCTGATGATATACTGCGCCACGGGGGTCAAATCGGCAGTGGAAATTTTCCCGTGAAGATTGTTTCTGCAAATGTCGACGGCGCCTCTGACAGATAAGCCGTACGGAATAGCCATGACAGGTCTCTTGACAATTGAACGGTTGACGACTTTGCGGGCGATTTTCGCGATTCGAAGCTTTTCGAAGTTTGCTCCTTCGGCGGCAATATCTTCATCCATCAGCTTCAGCGCTGATTCGAGAATCGAGTGGTAGAAGTCAGAAGGCCGCTCAGTTGGAAGAACATTTGTGAAGATAGCGCCGATAGTATCTCTTCCCATGGCAGAGTAGTGCTGGAATCCGTTGCAAGTTCCGTCCATGTGGACTGAAATTTTCGTCTCATACTCCGCTGGATCGTCCAGTTGTGTCGCCTTCCAAATCTCCATACAAGCAGCGAGCACCTGAAACGGTTTCTCACAAGTTTCCCACCATCTATAGCCAGTAAGAGGTTCTCGACCAGAGTCACAAATCGCGTGGAAATTTTGCCATGCGAAATGGAGCATTTCCTCGTGAGTCGCTTTCTTTTTCTTATCAGAAAGTGCGATGCACTGAATCAACAGCCACTCGAATCCGGTGAAACCATTCTTTTGCCTTCCACCTAGTTTTCTTGCTCGTCCAAACTGAAAAGTCGCTCTGTAGGGGTCACTCGATAGCGGATTCATAATAGCCGTTGTTGGATAAATCCGACCTCTGTAGTCCAAGTCCAGAGGGAGCCAGAACTCGTCGAACTGGGAAAAGTACTTGGCGAGGCCTAAATGGCTCTGGAAAGTAACATACAGTCCCTTTTCTTCAACCCTTAGTCGTGTTTCTACTTGCTTGTGTCTATTGTAAAGAGGATCAGACGTTGAGGTGGTTACAATCGACTTGATTCCGTGAGAAACATCCCAGCAGTCGCGCATTGGAACTTTCAATGTGTACATTCCTCCTTCTTTTGTTACTTCTTCGAGTATATCAACGATTTCTTTGTTGATGCTCCAGCTTTGTTGGGCAATGGCGTTGCAGGCAGTGAGCATGTGATTGATCTTTTCTTTCGGATACTGTTTCCAGCCGTAGGACTCTTCGATGTGATACGGCTTCGGGTTTCGCATCTTTTTTCTTTTGACCAGCAATCTTGGCGAGGTAAGAAATTGGCCTTTGATTTGATTATCGAAGATCTTGTAGGGTCTTGGCGGACAAACCATCGGCATCGCAGAGTATTTGTCCGTGTAAGTTCCCATGCGAAAGATAAAAGCGAGGTCTTGAAACATGTTTTGAGAGGGATGATCTCTGTCGGTTAGCATGATCCACGGATGAAGCTGGTTGTTGAGAAGATCCTCTTCTAAAGGACGAGTTGAGTTGTACCATTCTAGTGCTTCTGCCGGAGTTCTGAGAAGAGTATTACAGACTTGATAAACTAATCGTTCACGAACTCCTATCCTCTAGATATTCAACATGAGCTTACCTATGAAACTGAAGAGTCTCCCTCATCAAATTGACTAGCACTCTATTCAACTGAAGTCCGATTTCTGAAGACTTATGATACGCCAAATCATGGAACAACGCTCCCGCATTGCCGACGTGATCATTATTGTCCCCAGTGAACCATCTTTTGTAATCCTCGAAGGTCGGATTGATCAAGGCCTTCTCCAGTGTCATGATGCAATAATCCCAAACATGTGGGAGCAGAATCATGGTTGTGACGAGATATTCTTGTGACATCGCAACTTCGCTGTAGCTTCCCCAGACCATCTGCTTGGCCAGATATCGGATGAACTTCTCGGGATCGTCGCCGCCTGCTTCAACAAGTGTTTCAAAAAACGCGCGTATTTCAAGGAATTTGAGAGACTCGAGAAGATTCAAGTCGGAAATCGCATGCTCCGACATTTCAATGTACATTTGGATCATCCTGTCGCCAAGGATCTTTTCCCACTCGACCATGTATTTCTCTAGCATCGATTTGACCAACTCAGGGGTGAACTTTTCTAAATTGAGTCGCTTGCGATTATGTTCGTATTTCGTCTGCGAGGGATAATCAACATCGACAGTGATTGACCCTCTTGCTTCAATTTCCATCTGTTTTTCAAAAAGCTCTCGGAGTTTTTCTTCGTCGGCAAAGAGCTCTTCATTCCGTTTTATTTTGAAATCACCGATTCGTTGCTCCCAGATTTTGTCCATCGCAGGAACATATTTGTCGATATAACTTGGTGGGTTTTCGAGGTACTCGTTTAAATTTTCTCGATCAAGGGGGTCTGTGATTTGTCTTCTCAAAACGAGCTGGCCTTCTTTGATGTTTTCACGAGAGAAATACTCGTCAATTCGATGCTTTAGAATTTCCTGAACTTCTGGATTACAACGTTTGTAAAATTCAAGCGTTCTGAGCATAAAATAATATCTTGGCTGGTCGAAATACAGCGTGTCGGTTATATCCAAATAATTATTCTTCACCGAGTCGGCTGTAAATTTCATCGTCGAAATCGAGTGTTTTTCCGCCGCTTTCTCGACTTTATCCAAAAACTGATCCATCACAGCCCATGAGTTCTCAAAGTCCTTCATGTCAAAAATATAGTCCGGCTTTCGAAAACTCCTCCACCACATGAAATTCTTCAAATATCTCCATCCAATTTGATGGTGCATCCATTGCAGCCCGTTTTTCGCTGGAATCTGGAGGTAGAATTCGTTGATGAGTTTCTGGGACGCGGGGGAGATGTTGAAATGCGCGATTGGATTCCAGAGCTCGGTTTGGTTGACTGTATCTTGTCGGAGCTTGCCAAAGACTGTATGGTTCACCAGCAAGTGCGCTCCTGTCCGTTTGAAATCGTCCTCGCGCCATGTATTTTTAAACTAGAATCGTTAACTTTCCAGATTTTCGAACGAATCTACCTTGTAAGGAGGCCCACTTCCGAGCTTTTTATAATTGGACAGATTCGCCTTTTCTCCAAAAACTTTCAACTCGGCTTTAGTCGCTTCCCGATATCTTTTGTAATTGATGTCGTTGATCAGCTTAATTTTCGATGGCAGCTTAGCGAAATCATCGATCTTCTCAAAAAGTCGAAGAGGACGAGTCCTGCTGATTCTCCTGATAGCTCTCACGTGATGAGGGCCGTAAGAAGAAAGCCATCCCATTTTTCTTCTGAAAGTTTTCGAATGAGAATTTTGAGAAAATATAATTTACAAGTTTTTCCAGCCAAAAAAATTAAATGCTTTTAAATTTTTGATAAATTTATCAATTGACATTTCAGAAAAAATAGGGACGTTGAAATTGACTAAATCGTCATAATCTTGCATGTCTTTTTTGTTGAGCTCTTGGCGCTTCTCTTTCGTGAGGATGTTCCATTTCAAAACGATCCAACAGATAAAAATCGTTGCCCAAGTTGAGGCGCGGAAACCAATGTGGGCGACCGATTGTTTTAGCGAGTTTTTCTGGTCATCGTTTACCGGCATTTTTTCCTGCAAGAATGGATAAGAGGTGAGTGAAAATGGGTCTTACAATTAGAGCATTTGTCTGGGGATTAATCGATGGAGGAAGAAGGTCCTCTTCAGTACGGTTTGCTTTTTTTTCTTCTAGTTCAACGATCAAGTCATAATTAAGCCTGCTTTTGCGGAATCTATACAACTCTGTCAATGGTTGAATATTGATCAAAAAAAATTTACACATAAATAATAATACTCGAATTCAAAAGATTTTATTTATTAAACATTGCAGGAGACATCGTGAGGAGAATTCCGACCTTAGTGCATTACTTCACGTTTTTCATTTAATAAATTCCGAAATTTTAATAATTTTCAGCGATGTTGGTGCTATTTATAACTAGATCGTAAGAGGGCGCCAAACCTCATATTTGGTTTAATTTTGTTTTCACTCCGGTTTCCTGTTAGTAAGAATAAGAAAAAAGCCGGAATTCGCCCATGAGAAAACAAGCCAAAACAACAATATTCAACCCTTCCCCTCAGACATTTCCTTCGTCACGAGCTCGTCCTTCCTCGCCGCAATAATTTCCTCAACCTTTTTCGTCTCCGTCTCCCTTGGAATATTCAAAAATGCATACAATGATTTTCTCCTGACCGAAATTCGACACAACAAACTCATACTTTTTCTTTCTGAAATCATCGTTTCCTTTATTCACAGTTTTTTTTTGTTCTTTCAATTTCAATTTCGGAAATTCGAGACGTAATTCATTCTAGTGGCAGGGTACGTTGCAGATTTTCTCAAATTCAAATTCTTTCGCTTTCATTCTATGTCACCAGACGGTAGGTGACGTATCTTCCCGCAGTTTCGGATCTTCGGATGATTTTAAAGACCTGGCCGCGCTGGACGCCAAAGTATCGAGCGACTGGGTCCGATTTCTGGATTCGCGGGAGCTGCGACTCTTTCAACTTGTATCGCCTAAAATCGTTAATGAGCGGCTTTGAGAATTGTAGACTAACTTGAGCAATTCCTTCTTCTCGTCGTCCGTCAAAACGGCGTGGGTCGGTACCAACTCGTGTTCGGTGATGTTGATCATCAACTCCTGCTCGTAAAACGACTCCAAAGTGTACTTTGGCGCCATGTCATCCAGTGCTTGTTTCGCTAGAAAAAAACTTAGAGCCTGATGGATTTGGGGGCTGGGCTCCGCAACCTATGTAGACAGACTCCGACTCAGATTTTTGACAGAGGTTGCAGAGCCCTGTAAGCGGGTTCACGTACCACTAGGAGTCATACTCTGTTGAATGACGATAATAGCTCGAGTAATGTTTTCTTCCTGCATTCGCTGGCAGTAGATTTTTACCTGCTTGATCGTCACCTGAAAAAAGGGAGTGAGAGATGGAAATGACGAAATGGAGGTACCTTGGGGTCTTCAGGGAAGAAGACAAACATCTGATCAGTGGGATCGTCCGAGTGGCAGACAATAATCGTCAAGTCTTTTCGACTTGGCTGATTCTGACTCGGCTGGGAGCCGAATTCCGCTTTGAATTGCTCCAGCGTCTGGTCCAATTCTCGTTGCTACAAAGAATCGCATGATAAATGCCCGAATTAAAGAGAAAGAACTAACCGCTACGAGGTACTTTCGATCGTGGCACATGGCCATCACGGTTTTTCGGATGCGCCAAAGCTTGAAACACATATCATCGTCATCCATTCTAGGTCAACCACTTGAAGAGTAAAATGCTGAAGAACATGCTTTTTCCTGCAGAATAAAAAACAGCTTTGTTTGATGGTCAAGTAAGGTATCTTTATTAGAATCGATCACATTGTTGTTATCAACAAATTTTTGGAGCAGTAATTGCTTTTTCGCAACTCGTTGAGGATTTATGAGCCTTTTCAGGCTTGTGTTCCCCCCATTGGATGGCAGGGTTTTGAGTTGCGTTGAGATTTGCTAGTTAGCAAATCTCGCCCTCGGATTTTTCTTGGCATCTCGACTGCTTGTGCAAAACGACAGTCGAATTCGCCCGCAAGTTACATTATTTCCGTCTGAAATTGAAGAAAATAAAATAAGGACTTCTTATTCAAGGATTTTCTAGCTATTTTAAGTTAAAGCATTCGAAATAGGCCGAAAAACGACGAGTTGAAGTCCTGAAAATTTTGAAACAGAATAGGGTAAGGTATCTTTGTTAGTTATGTTGTTGTAGTTGTCGTTGGCAACAGTAAAGTATGTAGCTTGACATAAAGTCATGTTGAAGCGTCGTTCGGTTCAGCTTGGAATGGCGTAGATTGAGCAGAGTAAGCCGGTCCTTCTACGCATCCTACGTTCACGGATTGACTAGCTCCAAACAGGCAGCGCAGCAGACATGTCGGCAACGGAGAACGCTCATTGCGCGATCGCCATCGTTGAATCGCTCCAAGCATACTTTGCACGTCATCCGGGCGTCCATCGTTTCGTAATCCACTTCCATTGCTGGTGGCTCCTCTAAATATAATGAATATTAAATCAAATTTCAATAAGTTCTCCTTACCATTTTCTTCCAATGCAGCCTTTGTTATGGTAAGGAGTCGTTTCTTGCTTTTTTCTTCCAATTTGGCATCTCGACTGCGCGTCAAGAACGACAGTCGAATTCGCCCGCATGTTTCGGGTCTGAAATTAAGAAAAATAAGATTTCTTTTCAACAAAAAATTTTCAATTTATAAATTTCAATCTTTTGCAAAAGAGGAAAATAAATAAATCGGAAACATGAGATCAGGTTTGGGAAAAGTAAGGTATCTTTGTTAGGAGTAAGGTGTCTTTGTTAGACCCTCTTCTGGGTCTTTTTATAAATGACTTCTTCCTAGAATCATTTCGGGAATTTCCGCTTCGCAATCATTGAATTCACTCATTTTCTCTGCTTTCGCCGGAGAAACGAATTCCGCGCACTTTCACATCTAGAATCAAAAGGATTAATATTTAGACTTTCTAAAATTTAGAGAAAAAGGAACAGTCTCGCTGATTGTAAAAAGATCCGTCAGGATTTCCTCTATTTTCACACTCTCTGGCGAGAATTCAATAATTTCCTCTCTCGACCAATGAGATTCGCGCGCTTTCCACGGCGCGCAGACACGCTTGGGCCCTACTTTTTACTCAAGCTCCCGCAGCGCCAATATTTTCTGACTCGAAAAACAACTACCGGTTCAAAAGCAGAGAAAACAAAAAGGGATGAGGCTTTTGGCGGGATTTCTTGCTCTTATTTCGGGGTTTTCTACTCGCGAAAATTTGATTGAGGGGGCGAATGACTTTGGATTGGTAGAGGATACGTGCGACGAATATTTTCACAATCAGTATCTATGGCCCTTGACAGGTAAAGAGAATTTCTAGCACTGATCTAAGTCAAGAAGATATAATCAAAAGTTCACAGGTAGCAAAAATCTCTCTGGTCTCTTCTTCATATCTAACTGAAATTGGATTGAAGTCTGATTGGAAAAACCAGTTCTTCAAGTCTGAGAAGCTCAGAAGCACGTGCATATCTTGTCCAATCAGCGGCTGCAGCTTCAAAGCGCGGGCGGGGGGCGCTCAAGCAGATTTTTGATCTAGCGAATCTTGGGCGCTACTTTCGCGGCCCGCGGTCGTTTCGGGCTGTTCGGACAAGAAATTCATCAAAATTGCCAAATTTTGGGGTGCGCGTCGATTCCTACGGTTTCAGGGTTTTGCGTCGATTCCTACGATGCGTCGATACCTACGGTTAGAAATGACTCATGCCAAGGAAGGAAAGATAGGGTCTGCAACTTATCATAAAATATCTAATGGGTTACGGCTTTTCTTTGTTGAGTTATTGTCTGTTTTTAGTTTGTTGGCTCTTTGATGAGAAGTTATTTTAAATAATTGATTTTTGCTAAATTGATTTTTGCCATTTTTGGGTTCTTGCCAGAAGAATGATAAATTTTAGCAAAATATTTCCCGAAACGATAATGAGCCAACCAATCCGTCGACAAAAAGCCGACAAAATTACAAGAAAATTCAATAAACTATTCACATAAACATGTCTTTGAAAAGCATTTTTTTGTTCACGTGCAGACCCTATCTTTCCTTCCTTGGCATGAGTCATTTCTAACCGTAGGTATCGACGCAACCGTAGGTATCGACGCATCGTAGGAATCGACGCAAAACCCTGAAACCGTAGGAATCGACGCGCACCCCAAATTTTGCATTCAAAACCATCTGATATCAATCAAAAAGTTTCGTATTTTTCGAATATCGATCGGAATCGCCAAAAAATCGATAATTTCCCTTCAAAATCGATAAAAAACGCCTGAAATTTCTGTTTTCAGACAAATATCCTGGTGCGATCCGACTGTGCCAGAATATCGCCGGCAAGCCACACAAGTTCGCGACTCTTTACGACATTCCAACTGGCATTCCCGTCTATTCTGCCTACATCGGCAACCGTTCGCCGGACAAAAAGCATCACGATCGTCCGGATTCGCGAAAAAGATGGCCTCGTCTTTCGAAATCGCTCTGTTTCGATGGCGACTTTGATTCGAAGAAATCATATGCATCCAGAATCGATCACGTGTACCACGGCGACTGGGAATTTTGTGGAAAGCATCAGACTGTGAATGATGATTATCTTGGGTAAAATATGAATCTGGAATACTTTCTTCATCAAGTTTAGTGAACACGACCTGATCCACATCGACCGAGGTCACGTGGACCCGAACGAAATCAACAACGAAGACCCTGACGCCCAAGACACGACTTTCACTCTGACAAATGTTGCCCCACAAGCTTCTATCTTCAATGGCACGGTTCTCAATTTAAATTAGTACCTTTTTCATGACAATTTTTTGTGAACCAAGAAACTGAACACTCCTGGCGCGAATACGAATGCATGGCTCGAGAATTTATGATGGCCGAGCATCCTGGAAAGGATCACTACATCATTACTGGAACTCATGGAACGCTGGACTGGATGCATGGAAAGATGCACGAAGTCAGAGTGCCGGAATACTACTGGAAAGCGCAGTGCTACGACGATGGAAAGTCCGCCTGGGCTTGGGTAAGATAACATTTGAAATTTCCTTCTTCATCAAATTCTAGGCAATCATTATCAAAAATACAAACGCCCATGCTTCTGCTGACGAAAGTTCTGGCATCGAAGTGATGACTGTTGCTGATCTCTCTGCTCGTTTCCTCGGTGGCCCGATTTTCGATTCTACCTGCCAAAACGCTGGTCTTGGCCCTTGGAAAGAAGTTCGGGAAAATTGGTCTCAGTGGCAGAGCAAACTCGGCTGCCACTTCCCCGCTTCTGCTGATGAAAATAACGATACAGTAGATGCTGAAGGCGAAGATGGAAAATTACGATTCGTTCCGAGAGCCCATCCACCGCAGTTGTAAAGAAGGAGAATCCTTCTCCCTCAGTAGATCATTGTGAAACTATTGTTTTTGACCTTTTCTTTGATGCCCATTTTTCGTTGTTCAATTTTTGCTCAATCTTCTGTCAATTATTGTTCAAGTGCGAAATCTTTCTTTCAAAATAAATCTTCATAAAAATTCGATTGCTTTGGGTTTTAATAAATAGCGTTCAAGCAGATCGATATCAGAATAGGGAACACAGAGAATATTGGTAAAGAGGAGCTTGTTTTCGATGTTGTTGTTGTTGGGGCTTTAGTTGGAAATGTCAGGATGTAGTAGGAGGTTGTCGTCGTTGTTGTTGTTGATGGTGTCCATTTTATGTCAGGAACGACTTCTCCGGAGCGGAAAAGATACGGGAAATCGGATGTTGAGCTAATATTTTGATTGATTCAGAAGATTTGTTTAACTTACCGGTATCCATGCCCGTGGTATCCGAAATTTCCCGAACGATAGCTTCCAGTCGCCGCAAAAATGAAGAACGATTCTTGAGAAACATCGAAAACTGTACCAGCTTTTGTCACACGAAACGGCCTTTCGAATAGACAACTTTTACGAGTTAATTTCAACGCATATTGTTTCTCATTTTATGAACGAATTAAACTCGTTCCTGTACGAATCGCTGTGATTATCTGTATAAATAGAGCCTGTCGTAATTCCTGTTACACCCATCGATTTGATCCCCTGTTCTCCGATCGAATACGCGGAAGAAACTCGGACTTCTGATGCTGTTCTGCTGCACAAATACATGTCGTCTGTCCCCATCAATTTATCGAATGAAAAACCAAGCCCCACCCATGTCTCTTCTTTTCTGGAATCAAAACCCTGCGCGAAGAAAAATTGTCAAAGAGATCATTTTGAGTCCTTCCTTGAGTATTTCTTGTCAAATTAACTTGAATTTCTCTTCCCAAATTTTTCACTATCACAAGCGTACATCCACTCTCTTCATTTATCTTACAGTATTTGGGAACAGCTAAGCATGCAGTATTCGAGTATTTACAGTCATCAAAGCTCAACCCTCTAGCAAACGCAAAAATACATGCAGCGATTTTTATCATGGCAAAAATGACGTTTCTCTTCAATATTTTTTTCTTATTCAATGAAATTTCAAAACCACACCTACCGTTATTGTAAGAATCAGTAGCCCGACCTTTGGCAAACATGTGACTCGGCTCTGATTTGGAACATATCTTGCTCGTTGAAAATCTAACCGCAAGGTCTTTTATATCCGTCAATTTTATTTTACAGCTTGAAGGATTTCACACGATGAACAGAACAGATTTGAGAAGGGAGTTGTCGATACAGTATTACAGTATTAAACCAGCACTTTTGCTTTGCCGTCGAGGGCAGCTGGAGAAACGCATTGCAGTGGCGGGTTTTGAGCAGTGAGGTCGACTTCTTTGAGATTTTCGAAAAGAGACAGATTTGAAAGGGAGGAGATCTTGTTGTTTTTCAAAGAAACCATGCTCAAGTTTGGCGCGTTTTCCTCGATCAGGAACAATTCGAAGTCTTCGAAAAGATTGTCGTCGAGAATCAGCTTGTCAAGGTTCTCGAAGAAATTGACAAATTCGGCTAGATTTTCGACGTCTGATAGTTTGTTGTTGCTAGAAAAGAGATTGAACAAAACGCTAATGGAAACGGATAAGCACCTGAGATCGACGGTCTGGATAAGCTCCAGAGGAATATTGCCAGACTCCGTGACGAACATATTTGAGAGCTTCATGATTTCGAAGAAGCCATCAAGTGCTTCTAGTTCTTTACCGGAGCAAATGAGCACTCGGTTTTCCCATTTGCAAATTTGACCAGCGCCATTTTTGCTTTTCAGCACCTGAAATGTGCTTATAATATTTTCTTTCAAGCCTGAAAGCTAACCTCAAGGTTGATGGACATCTTAATTGTCTCTTCATTTTGAGCTCGACAGTTTTCGCTTTCAATCAATTCTATGTCCAAAGAATAGAGGCCCGAATATTTCGTCGGAATATCGATTTTAAAACTTCCGTTGACTAAATTAACAATATTGTCCAATACAATCTTCGGCCCTTCGTCAATGCTGTAAGTCGATGATTGCGGCTTCGTTGTTGGCTTCGCTGTTGTTTTCTTGTTGCTGCCCCACTTGTTGGCCCATGGTTTCTTTTTGTTCCCACCTGTGGCAATTGGGATCTTGGATGGAAGAACGGTGGAAGAGTTTTTGTTCTTGTTCTTCTTGTTGCCCTTGTTCTTAGATTTGTTCCCTTTCACCTTGTTTTTCTTCCATTTCTTTTTGAAGATAACGGCTGAAGTGGGGTTTTCTGATTGGAACTGGTTTCTGTTATTCCATCGTTGAAGAGTTTTTCTTTCGAGCTTCGAAAGATGCTCTCCATCTTCAAAACCCGGAATGGAAGTCCCCCTTTGCGCATTTGCCATCATCAAAGCAACAGATTTTTCAAGCCTTGAGTCAAGGCTATCCAGCCGTTTCATCGTTACTCTGATCGAAAAATCGCCAGTTTCGACGAAATTATTTTCCGCGTCAACGATTTTGAGCGTGATGTTCGTTACTTGTCGCAGTTGATAAGTGTAGTTTTTGGAGCCAATGTCTAGCAGAGCAGTTGGAACGGTAAAGATGGACACGGTTGGGTCGATCTTGTCTTCTTCGTTCTTCTGTGCTTTGAAACTGTTGATGGTTGAATTGAAAGTGTTTTTAAAGCCTTGGCGGACTTTGCAAAATGTTGAGGTGGAAATGACAGAAGAGAGCGAGTCGACCTCGTCGGGGAGAATTTCTATTTCAACTTCTTTTTCGTCCTTTGCTAATAAAGAGCTGCGCCCAGCAAGAGACGTTTCTGTCTTTTTATGGACATTGACAACTTTGACTTGGGATGAGTCGAGTTCGAAGAAATCTGCGAGAAGATAGACTAGGTCTTTATGTGCGTAAAACTCCACTGGTGTCATTTCCATTACCGCGCCGATCGAAACGAGAATCGTCGAAGAAGTCTTGACGTCGAGAACTGAGTTTGTTTTGATGCCAACATGGAATTTCTGCGTTTTTCGGTCGAAATAATTTTCTCCATTTTTGAAGCTTTCTAGTTTCGGGATGAAAGAATCGTTTGGAAGCTGAAATTCGATTTCTCCAAGTGCATTCAATCTCACATTGTTCGGTAGTTCGAAGACGCCACTTCTGTAGATTTCCATTCGTTGCGGATTGCTCGTTGAAATGTGAAGGAGAATATTGCCCTCGGAATTGAAGTTGGTGGTGATAAGGCGAAAGTTCTTCGGAAGAGTTGAAGTGGCTGCAATTTTGTATTCTTCGCCAGTTCTTAGGATGAAAAAGAAGGTGGAAATCCGTGAGATGGCTGCGTAACCATGGCTGCCTCGATGATTGCTCGGGCCGTTGACCATATCGACGAAGCCGGAGCTCGATCTGATCACAATCGGAGACAATCGGCGATCTGTCGAATCTTTATCCATTGACTCGAAGATGAGAACACCATAGTTGCTATCGACTCCAGTGCATTTCCACGAATCGTCGACCAAGCTACAGTTTGGCGACGATCGAGTTATTCCTCGTTGACTTTCAGAAGGAACGCCAATGGAGCTCGGAATACGATGATCATGAACTCCGCGGCCTGGTTCGCCCCATGCGAATTCAGATTGACTGAAAACAACTCCTGGTTCATTCGATTCTTCAGAAAGCGACCCATCAAGATCTCGGACGAGAACTTTCTTTCCCCCGTCGCAGTCCATATCGATGCAGTCTGCGCTTTCTCCTGAAGTTATCCATTCTTCAAGCGGCTTTTCAATTAGAATTTTTACGACCAGGCTCTGATCATCGCTAAACGAGACATTTCGCAGATCCATCGGGTGCGAAAAGTCTTTCGCTTCAATGTTGGATGAAATAAAAGCAGAATTTGTTCGCGCTGAGGCTTCTTCAAATTGAACATGTGACAGGCACGATCCTCCCAATAAAGCTGGCTCGGAGGTCACTTTCGACCATTCGTCAATCGGTGCTCGACTTTGTTCGGAAGAAAACGTCGGAATCATGATTCCGATTTGTCCCTTTGGCCTGTTCCCTTTTGTCGCACGCTCGATGTTCTGTTCAAAATTTCCAGCTGCGGGAAAAAGACAGGATCAGAAAGAACAATCTTTGAATTCGAAATTGAAACAGATTTGTCGACGAGCTCGTGTTTTCGCGAGTCCGCGCCATAAACCAAGACAGACATTCCAACCGTGGATCCACGAATGTCGACATTTTCGACTTGAACATTCGCGTCTGTTTGGACGTAAACTCCGTAGTCAACTGTATTGCTAATCGCGAAATTGCGGATCAATGTGCATTCGTTGTGGCCATTTCCCCAAACTGTCACACCGTGAAGAGCTCCTCTTACTGTATTTGGGCTGCTTGCACTCGAGGTTTGTTGAACATGTCCGCAAGTTCTCTCAGAAGAGCACTTTTCACCGCCAGTCCGAAATCCAAAGCCTTCTGAGTAGATAACGTGGTTGTCGATCATCGAAACAGAATTTCCTTGAGTCTCGTCAGTTTGGATTCCACTTGGCCAGATTCTGAAGCCCTTATTTCCAGTAGTACTCGATCTAGGATGCAATAAAGGGTGTTTGATGTTTGCAACAATGTTTCCGAGAAGCGCGACATTTCCTCGGCCATTGAGACGGATTCCATCCCCGATGACATCAAAGATGACGTTTCTATCTAGCAACACATTTGGCGAGTTGTTAACGAAAATCGCTGAATTGTGAGATTTCGAAACTGAGCAAAGAACTATTTTCGCCGTCGCTTGATATCCGTCGATCGCAATAGCGGCTCTGTAATCTGACAATTCATTGTAGCCTCTTTGGCCAAAAGCAGAAAGCTCAACATTGGTCAGCTTCAACGATCCTCGAGATAAAATTCTTCCCCCGAATGAGTTGTTGGCAACACCTGAGATTCTAAGATTCGATCGTAAGTTGACCGCAAACTCGTGGTCATATTCAAGAGCTGGCTCAAAATTGACTTCCCCATTTTCATTTGATATCACTGTTGCATTTTCAAACTGTTGTGGATCGAGTACTTCTGGTAAGAAAATAAGCTCGTCCCCAGGAAAGACTGTGAAACTCGTGAAATTCGATGAGCCACTGGTAATTTTTGACTCAAATCTGAGCATTCTTTCCGCTGTACAACCATTTGCCGTGAATTCTCCAGATGGCGCTACAAAGATAACTTTTGAACCGCCAACGTAGCCACCGAATTCTGCTGTTGTTGAGTCCCAGTTGCCGTGAAGAGTCAAGTTTACTTGTTGAGAGCAGGAAGGATTGAGATCGAAGACACCAAGAACGAAGATCATTTCGGCCTGTATTTCTAGCTTCGTTACGTTTTCGGCGAGTCTAAGAGAATAAAATGAAACAACACAGATAGAAACATAACTTACAGTAGCTTGCCATGTATAACTATGTGTCTCGCGTTGAGGTCGGAATCAAGGAAGAGAATTTCATTTTCAGCAATGACCAGGTCTGTTCCGTCCACGTGATCAAGCGATGAAAGTTGAATATGTTTCCTTTCTTCTCCATTCATCAGCGACATTATGTTTCCAAAGTCGAAGTTTCCATTTTCTTCGGTTGTTGTTTCTTCAGTCGTAGTAGTGACTTCTTGCTCCGTGACAATGATCTCTTCATCCAAAGAATTCACATTTGGTAGGGTGAAATGTAACTCTTCAGAGGTCAAGGATTGGTTCAAATTTGTGAAGTCGACTTTCACCTCTCCACCGTAATATTGATCACCAGTGATGCTTAAATTATCGGTAGCTTCAATATCGAAAATGTTCATCGTCCAGTTAGCGGTGGTATGATTTTGGGCGGAAAAGCTAATTGTGTTTTCGGAATCTCCAAGAAGGAAGCCAATCCAGCCACTAGCATGAGAAAATCGAAGCTGTCTGAAGGGCACTCTGTTCTCTCCGTGCCTAGTATTCACGATAAGATCGGATCCGAAAAATGCTTCGTCAGTCTTGTGAAGACCAAATTTCCGAATAACAACAGAGTCGTCGCACCAAACTGGCTCAACACCAGATTTTGATATTTGAGCGGGTTTAGTACACTTATCTTTCGGAAGAATTCCCGATGCAGGGAGAATTTTTCCCGGAAGATCGTTTTCCATGAAAGATCCGTCAGTATCGTCGATCACATATTCATTCGCGTAGGTAAAGACGACTTTGTTAGTAGAATTGACGAAGGTTGTTCTGCTGAATCGCCCCGTATTCGCGCAATCATGCTTGTAAGCCTTGTAGCAGGGATCAACTGCGACGCACTCCTCATCGTTAAAATTCACGAAAGTCACTCCATCCGCAATGAACGACCCGCGCTTCCAAGGTGTTTCAAGTCCAATCGCTGGTCTATGCTCATTTGGGCAAGATTCGCCATCCAAATGAGCAATGATCGTGCTATCCTCAAAAGTAAGAGCGGGCCATTCAGCCAAATACGCTTCCATAGCAGACAGTCCAGCTCGTCTGTTTCGAATCGCCGTCAAATTTGAGAATTTCAGCATTCCTGTCAGAACCGTTTCTGCTCCACGCTCGTTGTTCCAAAAGAGTGAGTCCCTGAATTCTGCGAGGCTTGGTTCATCAATATCGCAGCTACTGTCTTTTCTAGGAATATAAACAGGGTAGATCCACAAGCCAAACCAACCATTAGAATGAGCAGTGTTCTGCTCAAAGCGACCCATTTCCGTGAATCGGGGACAAATTGATTTCGTAAAGCTCGGCCCAGTTGGTCTTTTCGGCATATTGTACCAAAATCCATTGTGGGTGCCACCAACAGCTCTGTTTCCGACAAGAACGTTGTCTGGATTCGTTATCCAAAAACCAGCAGCCCAGAGATCAGTATTCAACAGCGAGGTTCCTTGTTGAGTGAAAATAGCCACATTTGAATCGAGATAATTGTGAGTTTCGATTCCATCTTCGAGGAAAAACGCGTGACCGATGATATTGTAGGCGACGTTTCCGATTGCTCGAAGATGATGGACCGCGTGAAACGTAACTGCTCTGTTGAACGATCGATGGATAGAACAACCGAGGAGCTTACTGTTCTGCTCGTTGCCGGTGATATGGAAGTGGATTGGGTAGCGACCGAGCTGGAACGCTTGACCGACGTTTTTGAACTCGACGTACGATAAAATCATCTTTTCAGCGTTGTGAGCAGCAACCAAATGGCCACCAAACTTTTTGTCCTCTCCAATTACTCCTTGAATGACGATCGTGCGGCTCAAATTGATTACTTCGGCGGTAAGAGTTACTGAAACTCCCGATTGTTCAATGGAAACTGGATGGTAAGTGTGAGTGTTTCTCAGTTTTCGGTTTACTCTGATAAAGTCTTCCTGGATTTCAACGATTTTGACTCGCTCGGACTCTGCATGACTATCGGGACCACCAGTAGTTGCAATGACCAGTTGGTCGCCAACTTGCCAGGAGCTCGAATCTTCAACGCTTATTCTAGCTGTTTCCTCCACTGCTTCCTGTGAGAGAGTCGTCCATGATTGCTTTTCTTGGCCATACATTTCCACTTTTCCGTCGTGAACAGCGATGACTTTTGATCCGTAAAGTGGCAATTGATGATCAGACATTTCTCCATGAAGGTTGATTTCTACTTTTGTTGCGATCGGTTCTTCCTCACTGCCAACCAGAAGCTGTCCACCATTCGTAATAATAATATACTGAATATTCAGTGCTATGTTATCGTCCTTGATTCTCAAAATACCACCAGAGATCAAAATTGCTTTCAAAATGGGAGTAGATTCGTCTAATAAAATTTTTGCGCCTTTTGGAATTTCGATCAAATCTCCAGCGATCGGCTTGCAATTCTCATTTTCCAAGCAGCCCCAAGTCCACGAGTCACTCCAGTTATCGATGACTTCAAATTTTTTCATCGGAAAATAAACTTCTCCGGAGTTTTTCGAAATCAATCGGATCGGAGCTGAGCCCATTGATAAATGGGAAGAAACGTTGCATCTGACTGTTGTTTCCTCTACCATCAAATCCAGACATTCAAGATTTTCAAAGAAAAATGTCTTATGCAGGGGTCTAGATTATGATATTTCGAATGAACATTTTTGTTTTTGAAAAAATCTGGTTGTAATTCAAGTCCCAAACAAGTTCCATGAACAAAAAAGCGTCATTACTCAGGGTAAGCCCTTAGTTCAATTCCATAAATCCTCATCTGGTGAAACTCTTAGCTTACAATTGTAATCGCTTATTCTTAAGTGGGTAAGTGTGAAATAGCTCGCACTTGACAGCATAAATACAAGATCAGTTCTCTTCAAATCATCATTCGAGAAAAAAGCTTTTTTCTTAATTAGCTGAGATGAAGGTAAGACGAACACTTTTTGGTGGTTATAAAAGAGATTTATATAAGAGAAACTTTTAAAATAAAAATCTTAAAAATCTCGTAAAAAACGCTGTTACACTCTAACAGTTAGAGAACCTTAATTTTTAATTGAATTTCGAGGCTTAAATTTTCATTATGAAGTTGAAATTTCGCGACGTATAAATAGAAGCTATAAATGTTTCAATTTAGCTTCTCGCGTTGGTCATCTTGGCAATTGCTTCTGCCGAGTCCGCCGCGCAAAACTCTTGGAGCAAAGTCGCCGCCGCTTACAATCATCTCTACAATGATGTCTTGTCCGCCTATGCTGACACCAACATCCCCCCACAAAAGAAGGCTAACCGACTGCGTGACTTCTACCTCAAAGTCGATGATTTAGTCGGACTTGTTGACGAGTCATGCACCGATTTTGCCGGCTCCGGTGACCAAAACGATTTCATCGACCCAAATTACGATAGCCAGGATCTTCTCTTATCCCTCAACAATTTTTACGCGTCTGTAAAAAGCTTTCACCACGCCTTCGTCTGCAACGATGGTAGCCCCACGAAAGCCCTTAGAATGAAGAAACTTATTCAGCGTCAGAGAAAAGTTCTTTTCGATGTAAAATTTAAGCAGCTGAAATACAACCAAGCGCCGAAGAAATCACCAACAGAACCAGCCACCGAACCAACAATTGAGCCAACAACTGTGCCAACAACTGAGCCACCGACTGAGCCACCGACTGAGCCACCAACAGAAGCACCAACCGAGCCGCAAACTGAGCCACCACCAGTAAGCCTAAAGTTCAAAATACCAGTTAATGACATTTTAGAAAACTTGTATTGGATTTGTCAACATGGGCGATACTAAAGTCAATTTTGAAACGGCAAAGGTTAATTGCAACGCGATCGGAGGGCATTTGCCATTTTTCAATAACGCTGATGAGCTAGCAGCGTACAACGCGTTCAAACCAGATCGAAGAGAGTGGCTCGGAATCGTTCGCGGAAGTGATAACAAATGGTTCAGCACTGCCAACACTGAAATATCCGTTTTTGCGTGGGCTCGTACCGATGGCCAGCCCGACAATTTGACCGGCGCCCAAGACTGCGCTGAGAGCTCCACTACGCTTAAATGGTATGATTTAGGCTGCCGTGGGCTGCTGTACTACTCCTGCCGAATCGAAAAAACCATTCCCGGTGATCAACAATGTCAAGTTGAAATGAAACTGTGCACTGAGTTCCGAAACATGGGCGAGTCAATGCTGAATTTCGACGCTGCAGAAGATAGTTGCAACGAAATTGGAGGGCATCTCCCCTTCTTTCACAACAAAGATGAGCTCGAAGACTATGAAGCACTTAAATCTTATCGAAATGAATGGCTAGGAGTCCATCGTTTAAATGACAGACTGATCACTACCCTAGGTGGACAGCTCTATTTTCAAGATTTACTTTTTACGCGAGGTAAAGATTCCGAAGCTTGTGTAGAGATTAGCCTCGAGGACGAGAATCATTGGAATGCTCAAAGATGTGAACTTAAGAAATACTATTCCTGCCGAATCGATACTGTAGTCAAGGTTGATGAAAACTGTCAATACTTTTTGCCGTCGCCACCCAACGAACCGTCAACTGAACCAACAACTGAGCCACCGACTGAGCCACCGACTGAGCCACCTACTGAAGAAGCAACCGAGCCGCAAAATGAGCAACCACCAGTAAGGCTTAATTCAAAATACCAGTAAATGACGATTTAGAAAATTTGCGTCGGATTCGTAAACATGGGCGATACTCAAGTGGATTTTGAAACGGCTAAGGCCAACTGCAACGCGATCGGAGGCCATCTACCATTTTTCAATAGCAATGATGAGCTAGAAGCATACAACCAGCAGTTCAAACCAGAACGACACGAGTGGCTCGGAATCGTTCGCGGAAGTGATAACAAATGGTTCAGCACTGCCAACACTGAAATATCCGTTTTCGGTTGGCGTTCTGGACAGCCCAACAATCATTTTTTGTCTAGCCCCGAAGACTGCGTTGTGAGATTCATATCCCTCAAATGGGATGATGTTAACTGCTATGAAGAGGCATACTACTCCTGCCGAATCGAAATAACCATTCCGGGTGATCAACAGTGTGAAGTTAATCAAACCCTTTCCTGGACTTATTATTAGCGGCGTTCTTGACCCAAATGCTCTTCTCTCTTTCATTAAACAAAAAAAAAATAAAAAAAAAACACTAAAAATAGTCGTTTACAAGTTTTCGCAGGTCAAAATGCATCTCATTGAATTTTATCAAATTCTTCATATTTTTCAAATCGTGAAAAAACCTATTCCATAAAAAAATACCAAAATCTCGACCCTCACTCTCATGGTCGTTGATTTTGTCAAGAGTAACGGCGTATTCGTACCCTCCAGAACTCGGCCCGTAGAAATCGCTTTGCTTGATTACATTCAAAGTTCGTTTTTCATCAAAGACAAAGTACTCATCGTAGCTCAAGCTTATTGACGGATCTTCGATTGATTGAACATTTACGAGACATTGTTTGAGAGAAAAATCGTAGAATGGCAATTTGCAGGTGATCTCCTGGTCCAAGCTAACACTGAATGTCATTATTTCGCATAGTTGGCCACAAATAGCGACTTCAACTGCCGGTTCGTCTTCTCCAAAGCCAGCTCCTCTGATTGTTATAACGTTTCCTCCATTTGTCCCTGCAGAAAGAGGATGAACACTCTTGATATGAAGACTGTAAATGACTTGAAGACTGCTTGATTTAGCGAAGCCGTTTGATAAGTGTTCAACATCAAGACGTTTGGCGCCAGGCGATCTCGGCGGGAGACGACAGCTGATAAAGGTTTCCGAACAAGAAAAGATAACACAAGTTGAGTTTCCGCCTTCAACATTCACTTGTTGGTTGCCGCAAATCGGGTCAAAGGCCTCGCCAAGAATCGTTATTTCATCGAGCATGTTCAATCCGCTGACTTCCAAAACGAAACGGTCAGGAAATTCCGGGTGCTTGAGCGCTTCAGCACGGGCGGTAAGCTCATTTTTGTACGAATACAAAGCACGATTAAATGGAACTGGTTTTTCTTGATGCGTCGAAATGAGGAAAATTGAGCTTGGGACCTGGTCTTTGCCTTTGATTCCTCTCAGTTGCGGGATTTTGAGTTTGAGGAGCTCGTGATGGATGAACTTGATCTCACACTCGCCACCGCAAAGATCTCCTGCCTTTTCTTCGTCGGGAATGACCATTACAGACATTTGTTCAGAAAATCCGCTGCCATAAACATTGATCCAGTTTCCTCCGCCGAAAGATCCTTGGTCAGGATAAATGGATCTGACATCTCCAAGAATTGTCGCAGCTACTTGTCCAAGTTTGCCATCAGTTGACGCGTAACCAAGACTCATGAGAACTTTTGGAATGTAGGTACCAGCTCGGACATTTGAAACCTTGCATCGAATTTGACTCGAAGAAGAGAACTTTATGTTACAGATCTGGTCGTCGATCGTGATTGACTCAATTTCACCAACGAAAAACCCTGTCATCGTGATGCTGTTTGACTGAGACGATGTTTGAACCTCGGTCTGAACAATTGTCGAAGTGAAGATTTCTGAAGCAACCATCGTAAACGTCTTGAACCAATGATTTCGGTAGTAGATGTTCAAATTGTAAGATCCTTCGTCTAATTCTGGAACGAGGAGTTTTATTTCTCCATTCGAAAAATCTGTCACTTTTAGCTCAGTACTTCCGGCAATGACAGAAATGTCCGCGACCAAGAAGTTTCTAAAGTCGCCATTTATTGAAATCTCAGCGCCGCCGTTTTTCCCGACTCCATAGTTGCCAATCGGGTTGTAAACGACTGGAACTATCTTCGGACAATTGTTGGCATTTTCCGAGTAAAAAACGTCGCCAAAGTTTGATAGCTCAACTTTCAAGTTGCAGTCGGTTGAATGACCTCCCCGCAAGTTGAAATCACATGTTATTGTTGTGGAGTTGATGACTTTTGCATTCTCGCATTTTTGATTATAGAGTTCGACCGTTATTTTACCAGGGTTGTCTGGGAGTTCATTGAAATGGATGAAAAGACGACTTCCATCGACGAAGCTTTCCTCGTCGCTTTCTGTTGTGACATCTAAAGCGGTCACTTGCTGAAAAGAATCCTTAAAATTAGCCTTCACTTCTTCGTCATTGATGTTCAAAATAAAACTTGCGTCGAATTTGTCGACAACAACGATTTCTCCAGTAAATGCAAGAGTTTGGTCAGCATCAATCCATCCAGAAGAGTAAAAATAGTGACCGGGTTGAAGAAATTCCCTCTCAAAAGAAAAGGCTCCAGAATCGGAAATGAAGCCGAGGCGATTGTATTCAACTCGTCCGCGAGTCATTGTCTGTTGAACTCGGATTTGAGCATCGTGGCCGTTTGGCAACTCCATTTCCTTCCAACTCCAGCTGATCTTGGCTCCCGTCTGAATCTTGATGATCTCTGGTAACCAGCCAGATTCAAGTGATCGCAGAGAAACATGAACAACTGGCTGAGTCTCTTTCAAGAAACATTCGATTTGATCATTCGATGAGCTTATTATCTTGCAATTACGATTCGCAATCAAAATTGAATCGCTCTTATTCAAGGGATCGCAGTTTTTCGTGAAAATCGTCAATCGAACATTTCCAAGCAGAGAAAATCTTCGCGGATAGATTGATTGAATTTTACAGTTGTCATTTCTTCGCATAAACGACGACCCAAGATCGACCTCAAAAGTATCCGAGAAGAAATTATCTTCCTTGATTTCATTTTCTTCTTGATAGCTTGGATTGACGAACGTCCGTGTTGGGGTTTCGATTCCTGAACCTTCTGCGGACCCTTCAATTTCAATTATTTCTTGCTCGATAGTTTTCAGCGAGCTAAAGTCGCATAAATTGTCCGCTCGGCATTCTGAGTAAACACCTTCCGGACATTTCAAGAACACGGCTTTATGGGCTGCTGCCACTTGCATGTTTTTGGCGCTCAAAAGGCCAATTAGTCGCCCGCCATGTCGGACAACGGAAACATCGATTTCATCAAATACCGAATTGGCTCGATCTACGATGACATCTTCCAAATCCCTTGCGTCAATGGATTCCAACGAAATGTGTCTTTCCTTGTCGTAGCATTTGCCAGTAGAGAGGACCTTCGCGACGATGCCGAATTTTGTTTCTAGCTCGGTGGCGAGATCAAAATCATTGATCGAAAGATCAAGATCGGCAGAGACATCACCAGATTGAACAGTAACAACTTCAGAACTACTGATGTATTGAGATTGCTGGCGTTCAATTTGAACCAGAACTCCTTTCTTACTGTATTGATGGATGAATGGCTCGTCGATCTGAGTAAAGGAATATTTGCCAACGAGACGGGAGCTTTTCCAGCCATTAGCTTTTCCAGCCGTTAGCTTTTCCAGCATATTAGAATTTCCAGCAAGGCTGGAAAAGCTAACGGCTGGAAAAGCTAATGGCTGGAAAAGCTTCTTTCAAATTGATATTTTTCTAATGAAAATATAGTTCGATAAAATAAGTACTATTTTTATTAAAAAGTGTATTTACTTTCTGAAGTATCATAATTAATTAATAATCGTCAATTTATATAAGAATTATCGAGAGATCGTTTTCTGAGAAACGCGAACGCTCCGAAATCAACAGCCATGCTCGCAGTACCAAAATCGGATCAAGGAGTACCAAAAATTCCGACCTCCTTTGAAAACGATCTCTCGATAAATTTTATACTAATCGACGATTATTAATAAATAATGAATCCTTATTAATTATATTTCACTAAGACGTGCTTTTTTTAAGGTTCACCAAGTTTTCCAGCCCACTTCCGCCTTATAGACCCCCGAACACCATACGGTATGGTCCATACCTTTTTAGAATCAGCAGACAATTTTAAGAACTTTGACGGTTTAAAATTCTAGAAAACTCCACTTCCGGTCGATTCTAGAGCCGGAAATTGACGAAATTTAGGTGTGATGGTAGAGTATGACCTATCAAATTGATGCTCGGAAGATTTTGAGTCATCCTTTATTGAATATAGGACCTATAATCAATGTATCAGAAGAAACAGTCCCAAACGTGGTCAAACCGACCGGCAAAATTATGTAAAAAAAGGCGTAAACTGATGAATTTTTTTTTCAGTTTTTTTCGGTTGGTTTGACCGCGGTTGGTCTTTATTCTTTTCTAAAATGATAGGAAATCGTCAGATCAGCAATTTGATAGGTCAAACTTCACCATGACACCTTAATTACGTCAATTTCCAGCTCTAGAATCGACCGGAAGTGGAGTTTTCTAGAATTTTAAACCGTCGAAGTTCTAAAAATTTTCTGCTGATTCTAAAAATATATGGTGTTCGCGGGTCTATAAGGCGGAAGTGGGCTGGAAAACTTCGTTAACCTTAAAAATAGCACGTCTAAGTAATTACACTTTTTAATAAAAATAGTACTTATTTTATCAACTTATATTTTCATTAGAAAAATATCAATCTGAAAGAAGCTTTTCCAGTATATTAGCTTTTCCAGCAAATGAGAATTTCCAGCAAGGCTGGAAAAGCTAATGGCTGGAAAAGCTAACGGCTGGAAAAGCTAATGGCTGGAAAAGCTCCCGTCTCTTTGCCAACAATTTCGGGTGGTGGAATATTTTCTAGACAGTTTTCGGATTGGATGGTTATCTGAAGTTGAGCATCAAAACCAAGATTCGCATTCTTCCACGTGACTCCGTAGTGAACAATGAATTCATCGCCCGGTCTAGCGCCGATGTTTTCTTGGACTCTGGTGAAGAAACCAATGTTTTCTCCGAGGTAAATATCATCCAGCATCATGGACGTCTTTTCAGTTGGATGAAAAACGACGTTGTTGATGAAAATCGAATCTTGCTCTTCTCGAATGTATTCTATCACTGGATTGTAGATCTCTTGGCACTGATATCGCCAATTTTCATGAACCATGGTCGGGTCGACATTGTCCAAGTCCATTTCTATCTGATAAATTTTCCTTGATTTTCCTTTTTTAGCTTCGATATTGAGTGTTACATAATTCTCCAAAGAACCTTTGAACGCAAAGCATAATTTTGTATTCGACCGGACTCTTGAAGAATGAAGCTTTTGGAGATATGCCGATTTTGTTTCCAGCGCATAGAGTCCGCAGAAAGGATCAATATTCCCAGTGACTTCATTGTTCTTCGATGATTCAAATTCTTCATGGAATATGACTTGCATATTCCCTAACGACTTGCATTCCGTTTCACTCAACATGTGAAGCTCTTTCTGGATGGTGTTCGTGTTTCCTTTGAGAAGAAAGGGCGCTGTTTCACGATCTCCGTACTTGAATTGAAATTCAAAATCACTTGGTTGATCAACTTTGAATTTTATCAAGTAGACAGTTTCAAAGATTCCACTTCTTTGGAACTTCATCTCGATCTTTTCTGTCAAAGACGATTCGTCGTATAAATTTTCTTCGTTCTCGTCATTGTTGATCATGCTCACGTATAAATGACTCGTGAACCCATTGATTGATCGTCGGAGGACGAAAATTTCGAGGTAGTAGTTGCTCGTCTTTTTGAATTTGTGAACATCAGTAAAGACTTCGCCCGAGGAGTGTCCATCAAAAATGATGACTGGAGAAGCGCAAAAGCCAGATTCAGGATCACATTGGCTCAATCGAACCAAAACAAGACCAGCTGTTTCTATTTTGAACGAGCCTTTTGAGACGAGGGGTTGAAATAGCCGTGCGTTCGAACTAAGGCTACACGTTCATCCCAACTGAAAATCATTGACGAAAGGTGATCTTCACGTATAAGTCGTTCTTGTTGAGCGAAACTGAGGATATTCGACCAGCTTGGGAATTGAGAAAACTCTTGAAAGTCAAAAAGCTGTATTTCCATTCCTAAGTCAGAGGGAAAATGTGGAATCTCAAAGAGGCCTCTTGGTTGTTGAACATTGCATCTCAATTCGGTGAAGCTGTTAGCTTCGTACGAGAAGTCGCGGATACATGGCCAGTTGAAAACCATTACTTCGCAATTTTCATCAAAACCGCTTCCAAAGAGATAAAGGTTGTTGTCTTTGTCTTTCTGGACATCGTGAATAACTGGAAAAACCACGAGATCGACGTTTTTCATCGGGCCAGCAGCAATCGAGCTTTTTCCATAAGTAAGCGATCGAAGATAAATTTGAAAATCGCCGAGGGGGATTTCATCGGCGAAAAATTCGATTTGTCCTTCAGTGACGTTGATTTGAGAGTAAAAAGACTTGTTCGTCTGCATGTGAACAAGCTCGATTTCAGGCAGTAGAAGAGAATGATTTTGCTCATCGTCGATGTTTTCATGAGTTTCGCTTGGTTCAATGCCTTTTCAAGATAATTATTGACATCTATTTAGCTTTGAGGTTCCTCCTATCTTGTTTATAAAAATTTATCTCAAGTTCCTGAGGCGAGAAAATCCCCTTCAAGCGACACTCTATCGCTGCTGCCGATGAACCTCGTTGACCGCCCACGTGATTTGACATCATTTATGAAGGGAGCATACTGCTGTGAAACGTAGATTTTGTTAGAAGTAACCATTTTTATCTGCTCTGCGTTGTCGATGAATTCGACTCTGTATCGACCCTCAGCTTCAAATTTTGGTGTGATGCAAATCATTGTCGTTTCGGAGGAAAGAAACTCAACAATATCGCATAGAACGTACGCATTTTCTCTCCAAAGTCGGATCTCCACAGAACGCTGACCGAAAATTGCACCAACGTTCTTTTTCGCTGGCAAATTGCAACCTGAAATCGTCAATTTTTGCCCTCCGTTTAGGGAGCCGAAAGTAGGAGTGATATCTGTAATCACACTCTTCCCACTACAAAATGAGTCTGCTGGCCCAAAAGATCGAGCGAGCCTGCCTTGACGGAGATAAAAAGTCGGCTTCTCTTTTACAGGATTGGATTCGCTGTAAACTGAGTATGGACCGACAGGTGCGTCGGATAGATCAACCTGGCAAGAAGACTCACTGATAGAAGTACAGAACCATTTCGTCTTGTAGATATTTTCAAAAACGACATCGTTTTTGTGATTCTTCCCGATCTCTACTGTGATTTTTCTCTCATTTGATTCTTCTGGATAAACTCTCGTAACTTGCCCACTTGCTAGGCTGAAAACGAGCGCTAAAATCGAGCTCTTCATCGGATAAATAGAAGCCGATGCTTTTTAGTGAAAATGCATTTTTTAATTAGCGGATATTCGGAGTTCTGAGTCTTGGGAAAAAGGAACGACTGATAATGAAGCATATCACTCGTTGGCCACTTCCAGCTGCCGCGATATCAAGAATCTGCCTGGGGTGAATTTGGGAAGCTCTAATCTGCATAAACACTACACTCTATAAGCAATATACGGCCGATTGGAATTAACGCCGTCCAAGTGCCATCTTGGAAGGTTTTGAAATGCTCCTGGACGTACTCGTATTCGACGAACATCTCACAGTCCAGAGTGATATGTTGTAAGGCTCAGAAAAATATAATAAAATACAGATGTATAACAGATGTTTTTATCAAAATGATAGGGACGCGTTTTTCAGCTGAAGGGATTGCTGAAGAAATGAATGATTTGAAGCATGGAATTCTGAATTCAAGGAACGTCAAAAAGTTTATTTTTAAAAAGTAAAATCGGGCAAAAAAAAAGTTTACATTCGATGGCGCATCACAGAAGTTTGTCTGGCAATGATAGACTTGGACATGCTCTGGCGAATACTTTGACTTTGGCGGTAGGAAAGCGGGCCAGTCAGATTCGCAGATTCGCGCAGCTCTTGACCAGCGGCGGTGCAGGCGAGAACGCGCAGGGCTTCGTTGTTGGTCGTCAACGGATCGTTCAGAATCTGCATTTCTTCCATGATTCGGCACAGTTTCTCGCGGATCCGAGTGTATTCCCTTAATTTGTCTTACAAATCCGACCCTACATTTTAATTTTTACCGCAAGTTTCGTTCCAGCGCGTTGATAATCATGAGCACATCCTCGACTCTGTCAATATTCATGTTTCCGAGACCAGTTTTGAAAAGCGGCTTCTGCTTGAGTTTCTGGAAAGCTGGATGATTGGCCATAAAGATTAGCGATGCTTCGTCCCCGTCGTCCATTTGGTTGTTGTTTTCTTCCACCTGAGTGGGCTTCTTTTCTTCCTGATCGTCTGCATCTTTTTCTGAAAACGAGTTAGAGGGTGGCTTTGAAAAAGGAGGGAAACCTGAGTCTCGGATCGCGTCTTGCTCAAGCATCGCGTTGTCCAAGTTTGTCACGACCCGGGCGACGATCATTGAGTTCATGATGATGCCTAAATAAGTTGGAAAGCTGAATTCCGAGAATGAAACTTACTGAAGAGAATGATGAGCAGAATGTTGACAAAGTACCAAAAGATAAAAATAAGCTCCCGATCGCCGAGTTCCGTGTCTTTGCCGTAGTCGTAGAAGTCGAAGCCGCTCTGGAAGTTCATTCGCCACCCATCCATCGTCAAAAACACAAACGCCGTCCAAATGCCGTCTTGGAAGGTCTTGAAGTGTTCCTGGACGTACTCGCTTTCGACGAACATCTCGCAGCCGAGAGTTACTCGTTTTGTGGCTCAGAAATAAAATAAAAGAAAATAACCGAGTTCGTTTTATCGTCATGATAAGGCCGCGTTTTTATGGCTGAAGGATTTCTGCTTCAATATAATTTGTAGACACTAACTGTCAGGGCAAAAACTCAAAGATGAGACCTGAATCGAGAAAAACAGCTATTTCCAGCAATTATTCTGAAACAAAAGTTGATGGATTTTCGACCACGGGTGCTGGAAACGACGACGAAAACGCCAAAAATCGCTGTTCAAAGGAAAAATGGAGCTTCAGAATTGCAATTCTCGTTTTTGTTATTTTGGCAACATTGACAACGATGAACTTTATCTTTCCTGAATGTCACTACCCGCAGCGAAAATGCAAGACAGCCAACGGAACTGTCTGGTTCACAAGTATTTTTGACTCACAGAACTTTCAATTACAACTATTTTGAAGGTAAATCGGTAAAAACTCGCGAGGAATGTATCAAGTACTGCGTAGAAGCTGGCTCCGAAATCGCGAATGTTTCAATCGCTCGAAAAATATTCGAGGAAGAAGGGGCCCATTTTAGCGGGCAGAAGAACTTTTGGATTTTCGGCAAGTTTTACACTTCTCTATCTCTTTCTCAATCACGTTTTCAGATGACAGTTTTGAATTGAACGAAACAAGAGAAACCGATAATGAGTTTGCCAATGATACCAGACGTTATTACGCAACCAGTCCGAGTATGGCTTACGATAGTCGAAAAAAATGCATTACTTTTCTGAAGTCTGACCAGGAATCGGTTCGATGATTGATTTAACAGATTCAATTTTTAAGATAGTCATTGTGGGAAAAATTGACAATGGAATTAGAGAACTAAAGCCCAAAATAGCTGACTGTTCAAATCTGAAACTGAAAAAAGCTTGCCCATTATGAGTGTACCCCCAGCCTCGAACACAACTATTTCATGATGTTGACATTGGACAAAGCTTGTCCCGATGGAAACGCGGTTCGGATGACCTCGATGGATTCACTAGCTTGGCGCGTTGGAGATGTGAACATTTTAAAATACATGAATGTCTCGGAAATCGAATTCAAATCTCTTCGAAATGTAAAAAAAACATGAAAGAAGAGGGTGCTAACTAAAAATTCTAGCATTGGGTTGAAGATGCTGTTTTTTGTCCAGAAATTGAGTGCTGCGCAATGTCTTCAAATCAAGAAGTCAAAAAATTTCAACCAAAAGAAAAATTCTTCCCTTTGTGCTACTCTCCTTGAATAAAAGAAAATTCTGAGCCACTCACGAAAATGATAGCAAGGAAGAAAAACAGCAGCAGCAACATCGCAATTTCGCCAAGAGTCAGCTTCAAAGTCTCGTAAACGATCCAAAGACTTGGCCACCGGTTGCGTAGTTTTTTCAACGAGCTGATTACTGAACTAAATTTTCAGAAAAAAATTTGAAAAAAGGGGGTCTTACATCTGATAGAACGGAGAATCGAAACGATTTGGCCGACTCCGCTCATGATTTCCGTGTTTGTGAGAATGAAGCTCGCGAGAATCATTGTCAAATCGACGATGTTTAGCGACGACTTGAAGAATGTCTCCGGCATTACAATGTACTTGAGCAGCATTTCCATCAAAAACAGGGCGAGAGTGACGTTTTGGACCAACTGGATAAGCACCATTCCTGCCTTTATGTTGTTGCCTTGGAGAAAAGGGTTTTTTCAGAGAAAAACTGGTTGATTTACCTTGAAGAAGGACATCAACGTAAATCGAGAGAAAATTGAGAACGATTGAGATCATGGTTATTAGATTAAAGCTGACTGAATGGACGATTTCGGATAAAAATTGCCGGAAAAGCTCGCGGTCGTCTTCTTGGTCTGATCGGACGATTTCTCTAGAAAGAAAATTGATGTTTTGATTGCCAAAAGAACGATTTTTACCTGAAGTCAGTGTAGACATTTCGAATGTCGTCGGCCTCGGCATCGCCATTGAGCGGAAACGAGAATATTCGCTTGACTTCTGGCGGCCCATCTGGCAGTCCCGCCGCTGCTTTATCCGCCTTGTCCTTTTTGTTGAAGAGCGCTTGGACCGTTCGCCCGCCGATTTGCCATTTTCCTTTGCTGCTTGATTTAGAGAAGTCGGACTCGCTCTCGGTGGCGATATTGAACTGGACTGACTCTTTTGAGTTTATCGAAGCTTCTACTTCTTTGTCGTTATCTTGCCTCTTTTTGAGAATATTCTTGAAAAAAATTAAAAAAAAGATTGTTAAATTTGGCTTACTTTTAAAGATGGCTGCTTTGCAAGCTTTTTACTCATCTTTATGTCTCTTGAATTTGATCTAATCTGATAAAAAGCATTCTCTTGACCACAGCTGCTCTAGAAGATTCGGTGATTCTAGCTTCGTGGAAAGATATTATCATATTGTTGCTCTTTTTGGAGCGTTCAAGTGAATCTCGGCTGGTCACTTTAATCAAGTTATTTTTAAATCTTGTCGCGGTTAGCGTACTCAACGCGCCGTTTCTATAAAACGAAATCAAATAATAAATTTCTCCCGTAAACATCAATTCTTCTGCTTTTAGATTGCGGCGCTAACTGATTCGTTTTTATTCCCATTCGGCAAATCAGTCTTGAAAAGGTAAGAATAGAGAAAACAAATAAATTTTTAAGAAAAAAAATAGTCACTGCGTCATCCCTTTATTCAGGTAAGCATTCAGGTCAACCCTAATTTTTCTACGAACAAGAGTCAGAGAAAGTATTTTACTACTAGACTATTTTACTAAACTAGACTTGTACTTATTCATTTCAGCTCGACAACCCCCAATTTCCACGCGAAATTCTGGCAATGACTTTAGTCTTTTCGTTGAATCATCATTTCAGAATTTTCGACTTGCACAGTCTTTACTAAAAACTTTCTCGAGTCGGAGACTCACGAATATCACAGGAAAGGCTTCAGTTTAGGATTAATTTAGAAAAAGACCAATTAATCATGCTTGCTATCAAGAGTTGAATTTATCAGCCTGAAATAGAACGTGCAATTGCCACACAAATGTTGGACCGTTTAATGTATTTACCGGATGCAAGTGGACAACAGAAAAGATAGAAGCTTCATCAACAAGATTAACATCAACAACATTAACAGCAAAAAAAACAACATCAACAGCATCATCGACAAGAGTATCAACAACAACTTCAACATCAATGATATCGACAACTACAACCACGACAACTACGACATCGACAACGACAGCATCGAGATCAACTACGGCAACAGAAACATCAACGACAGAAACCCTCCCAGAGAGGTCAGGAGGAATGCTTTCCTATGTTGAGCTTCATGGAAGCACCGAAAACCAGCTACTTGTAAAATATGAAGAAGATGAGGAATATCTCGGAGAAAATGAAAGATATGAGCCGGTTTCGAGAAAGTATCCCCGAGCGTACCCTTTAGCAAGTAGGACAAAATATCCGAGAGAGTATCCGAATGCAAATCAACATCTGATGAAAACAGTTATCAGAGAAGGTAAAGATTTGACAGTTCATCTCAGAAAAGCAAAAAAATATTTCAGACGGAACATATGTTCATAGTTTCGAGCTGATGCAGAAAATACAGAAAATGATGTTCGAAGAAGGCCTCTTTTCACTGTATTCTTGAAATTCTTAATTTTTAGAAAATATTCTTTTTCATATTTTTATTTTCCTTTACATTTTCTGTAAATTAAATTCACAGTAGCTAAATAAATCGAGTGGTCTCCGTTTTCCCAAGTCGCCGTTTGCCCAAGTCGCCGTTTGCTCAAGATCTCCGTTTGCCCAACTTGGGGAAACGGAGACCACTCAAATAAATCACCAAGTAAAACCTCTTGTTGCTTCTTTTGTGAGTTCATACTGTCATTGAAGCAATATTTTTGCCGGCAGAGAGTAAATACGGCTTTAGAGTAGGGTCGGCCCTTTTCTAGTGATGACCGCGGACAACTCTCATATTTTGTGGATATGATGCCTAGGGGGAGAGTGTTAACCTGGCAAAATTTGAGCGGCGTCCGCCAAGATCAACAATGGTACGCCAGAGGGTTGAAAATCAAAATTTTTTTTTTCAATTTTCTTTTAACAGGATGTTAAACAATGCGTTTTTTGAGTCGAAAATGATAAGAAAAATATAATCGACTGTTTCTTCAACTGAAATTTTTAAAAAGGAAAGGGCCGTCTCAGCCCCGTTCCTTGATTTTTAATTTTAAGAGGCTTGACGGCCCTTCGGGCCGTCTCAGCCCCGTTCCTTGATTTTTAATTTTAAGGGGCTTGACGGAGGGTTTTAACTCTGAGGTGATCAATTTCAGTTTTGTCCCCAACCCCACCCACACCCGTTTTCATAAAAATTAAAGTCTTTACTATTTCTTGCTTTTTTATGGGTTTTATCTTACAATTTACTTATTTACTTTTTAATTTCAAATAGCGAAAATCAAAATTTTAAAAATATTACTTACTATCATTCTTTTTTGGCTCGAAAAATTGTCTCTGTGAATTTTTTGGTCTGTTGTTGAAGGAAAATTCGATTAAATGAAAAATTTTTTTTTTGATTTTTAACCCGCTGACTTACCATTAGTGATCTTGACGTACACGGCTCAAAATGTGACAGGTTAACACACCCCACCTGAGGAACATATCCACAAAATATGAGAGTTGTCCGCGGTCATCACGTGAAAAGGGCCGACCCTACTTTAGAGTAAATACTAAAAGGCAGAACGTGAGATAGTGTCTAAGTAAACTTGTGTTTCCTTCACGGATGGAGCTTGGACTGTTGTTGGAACATGCCGGAAATCCCGGGGTTTCTTCAAGATTCTTGAGTAACTTGAATCAAGAAGGCGTACTGAGATTTTGAATTGGAAAATGGCAAGAGTTGAAAAAGGAATTAAAAATTAGTGAGAGCGATGCGTGCATGATTGATGATAATTAATTCACCATTAGAGCTGTTCGACCCTGTTAACTGTTTCGCTAAAAATTTTACCGCGATGAAATGTGGTGTGTGGTGTCACATGAAAATAGCTGGAAGTTTGGCTGGGAAAGCCTTGCGTCTACCAACTGATTGGCCGTCTACAAACCGCTCGCTCAGCAGCGCCACCAGTTGGTTTGCGTCCGGCCTCAGTCGCGGGTCGCTCTTCCAACAATTTGTCATGAAAGTGTAGACTTCGGGAGAGACGTTCTTCGGATGGGGGAAATGATGGGGGCTTTTACGTGCGCGCTCCTGTCATTTTCGCCCCAAGGGCGCACGTAAAAATCTAAACGCTCTGGTTTTTTGCCAAAGTTTATGACACCTAGAAAATTTCAGTCAGTCCCATCCTTACAAGTATACAGGTTACTCCACTTTTCGGTTCCAAATATTTCACCTTCTTTTCGTGTTCTGAAGAAGAGCTTATTGCTCGAAAATGTTAAAAACAAATAAACTGATGGAAACTCATATTTTAAACGTCAACACATACAAATAATAAGAATAATAATAATAATAAGTTTTCAAGATTCACATAAATGACGAATTGCCACTTCGGAATCGGATTTAATTCAATGAGATGCATTTTCACCTGCAAAAACGTGTTAGCGGTTATTTTTAGTTTTTTTTTTATTTTTTTGTTTTATGAAGGAGAGAAGAACATTTGGGTCAATAACCGGAAAAGAAAACGGTTTGATTAACTTCACACCGTTGATCAACTGGGACTTCTGTGTCGATGCGGCAAGAGAAATAATTATCAAGGAAGCATGGGAATTCATGCCACTTAGGAAATAAGAAGTCGTTCCCTATTTCGGCGCATGATTCCCTGCCACCAGGCTGATTAGCTTTCCAATCGTAAAAAGGGACTTGAGCGCCGGTCGTAGTCAACCAGTTGTTGTCATCTCCCCGGACAATTCCGAGCCATTCGCTTCGACTTCCTTTTGCGATTTTAAAAGCATCCAGCTCAGCTATATTGTTGAAAAAAGGGAGGGTTCCTCCAATTGCATTGCAGCTAGCTTCTGCTTCATTAAATGGTTCACTTAACAACATGCGTCGGAATTCAACGCAAGTTTTCGTTGCCTGGCATTGTTCATCAACCGCGACAACAGTATCGATTCGACAGGAATAGGATTGCTCAAGCTCACATCTTTGAGATTTCCAAAAATTCCCGTGCCCGACGCTGACCTCTCCACAAGCTTCGGGATCATAACCCCAAAATCTATTTCGAAAAAAGTGCGCCCAGCCTATCCATTCATTTCGATAAGATTTGCGTGCTATATAGTCATTAAACTCAGCTATATTAAGAAAGAAGGGGAGATGCCCTCCGATTGCGTTGCAACTTTCTTCTGCAGCGTCGAAATTCAGCTTTGACTCGCCCATGTTTCTGAATTCAGTGCACAGTTTCATTTCAGCTTGACATTGTTGATCACCCGGAATGGTTTTTTCGATTCGGCAGGAGTAGTGTCTCGGTGTACTCCAATATCTAGTGCAGCCTAAATCATACCATTCAAGCGTAGTGGAGCTCTCGACGCAGTCTTCGCTGCCGGTCAAATTGTCGGGCTGGTTATCGGCAAGAGCCCACGCAAAAACGGATATTTCAGTGTTGGCAGTGCTGTACCACTTATTATCACTTCCGCGAACGATTCCGAGCCATTCTCTTCGATCTGGTTTGAACGCGTTGTACGCTGCGAGCTCAGCAGCGTTATTGAAAAATGGCAAATGCCCTCCGATTGAGTTGCAATTTTCCTTTGCCTCTTCAAAATCGACTTCAACATCGCCCATGTTGATAAATCCAACGCAAATTTTCTAAATTCTCATTTTCATTCACTTGTACTTCGAACCCGAGACTTACTGGCTCAGTTTGCGGCTCGATTGGTGGTTCAGTTGGTCGCTCAGTCGGTGGTTCAGTCGGTGGTTCAGTTGTTGGCTCAGTTGTTGGCTCAGTTGTTGGTTCGGTCGACGGTTCGGTGGGTGGTTCTGTTGGTGATTTCTTCGGCGTTCCATTGCATTTAAGTTGTTTAAATTTGTTATTGAAAAGAATTTTTCTCTGACGCTGAATGAGTCTTTTCATTCTTAAGGCTTTCTTAGGGCTACCATCGCTGCAGGCGAAGGCGTAGTGAAAGCTTTTCACAGACGCGTAAAAATTGTTGAGGGATAAGCAAATATCCTGGCTATCGTAATCTGGGTTGATGAAATCGTTTGGGTCACCGGAGCCAGCAAAATCGGTGCATGATTCGTCAACAAGTCCGACTAAATCATTGACTTTGTTGTAGAAGTCGCGCAGTCGGTTAGCCTTCTTTTGCGGGGGGATGTTGGTGTCAGCATAGGCGGACAAGACATCATTGTAGAGTTGATTGTAGGCGACGGTGACTTTGCTCCAAGAGGTTTGCGCGGCGGACTCGGCAGATGCGATTGCCAAGATGACCAACGCGAGAAGCTAAATTGAAACATTTAAAGCTTTTATTTATTCGTTGCGAGATTTTAATTTCATTATGAAAAATTTAAGCAGCGAAATTCAATTAAAAATTAAGGTACTCTAACAGCGTTTTTCACGAGATTTTTCAATTTTTTATTTTAAAGGTTCTCTTATATTAATCTCTTTTATAACCACCAAAAAGGCTCGTATTTGTCTAACCTTCATCTCAGCTAATTAAGAAAAAAGCTTTTTTCTCGAATGATGATTTGAAGAAAATTGATGTTGTATTTATGCCGTCAAGTGCGAGCCATTTCACACTTACCCACTTAAGAATAAGCGATTACAATTGTAAGCTAAGAGTTTCACCAGATGAGGATTTATGGAACTGAACTAAGGGCTTACCTTGAGAAATGACGCTGTCTTGTTCATGGAACTTGTTCGGGACTTGAATTACAACCAGATTTTATCATTAACAAAAAAATTCATCTGAAATACCAATATCTTGACCCCTGCATAAGACATTTTTCTTTGAAAATCTTGAATGCTTGGATGCTATGGTAGTGGAAACAACAGTCAGATGCAACGTTTCTTCCCACTTATCAATCGGCTCTTCTCCGATCCGATTGATTTCAAAAACTCCGGAGAAGTTAATTTTCCGATGAAAAAATTTGAAGTCATCGATAACTGGAGTGACTCGTGGGGCTGCTTGGAAAATGTGAATTGTGCGCAGAGTTGGTAAAAAATACTTCCGAGCCATTTCGTACTTCAATGCGCTTCAAAAATGAGGGGCGCCCTGCAGAATTTTGAAGCGCAGGGTTAAGTATACTTTTTGACCAACTCTGATTGTACGCCTATTGCTGGAGATTTGGTCGAAATTCCAAAAGGAGCAAAAATTCTATCAGACGAATCAACTCCAATTTTGAAAGCAATTTTGATATCTGGTGGTATTTTGAGAATATAGGTCCTTGATCCAAAGACGATAAGTTATCGTCGATAACATCGCACTGAATGTTCAGTATATTATTATTACGAATGGTGGACAGCTTCTGATTGGCAGTGAGCAAGAAGGGAGATGGGAGTCCCATCATGGGACAATTGTCCGGTCCAAGTCATGAGACGCCAGTGTTTGAAAAAAGAATGTGCGCGGTCACCCCGAAAGTACTTCGTGTAGTTGAGGAAGTTCTTCTCCTTGTAAAATGCTCATTTTACGAAGGACAATTGTATATTGATCCCATTTACGAAAAAGAGGATGGTTTTGAATGGTAATTCCTATTTTATTTGCATTTAAAAAAACAATTTATAGTGAGCTGTTCACTGGGGATTGCAACGAAGACAAAATCAACAATTGCCGACAATGCGAAAAAAGCGTCTGTTTGAATTGCTGGAAGAAGTCTTGTGCGTCAAATTTTAACAGTCCATTTTGGCGAAATCCCCATTCATAAAGATAATAAAGATAGGGTCTAGATATTGGTATTTCTGATGAATTTTTTTGTTAATGAAAAAATCTGGTTGTAATTCAAGTCCCGAACAAGTTCCATGAACAAGACAGCGTCATTACTCAGGGTAAGCCCTTAGTTCAATTCCATAAATCCTCATCTGGTGAAACTCTTAGCTTACAATTGTAATCGCTTATTCTTAAGTGGGTAAGTGTGAAATGGCTCGCACTTGACGGCATAAATACAAGATCGATTTTCTTCAAATCATCATTCGAGAAAAAAGCTTTTTTCTTAATTAGCTGAGATGAAGGTTAGACAAATACGAGCCTTTTTGGTGGTTATAAAAGAGATTTATATAAGAGAAACTTTTAAAATAAAAAACTGGAAATTTTTGTGAAAAACGCTGTTCGAGTACCTCAATTTTTAATTGAATTTCGAGGCTTAAATTTTTTATTATGAAGTTGAAATTTCGCGACGTATAAATAAAAGCTATAAATGTTTCAATTCAGCTTCTCGCGTTGGTCACCTTGGCAATTGCATCTGCCGAGTCCGCCGCGCAAACCTCTTGGAGCAAAGTCACCGTCGCCTACAATCAACTCTACAATGATGTCTTGTCCGCCTATGCTGACACCAACATCCCCGCACAAAAGAAAGCTAACCGACTGCGTGACTTTTACAACAAAGTCGATGATTTAGTCGGACTTGTTGACGAGTCATGCACCGATTTTGCCGGGAGACACTGAATTGTGCCGCCCTGCGCCGCCTTGCGCCGCCCTGCGCCGCCCTGCGCCGCTCTGCGCCGCCCTGCGCCGCCCAGCGTCGCCCGGTATCGCCGGATCCGAAGATATTTTGTCTTTCAAAAGCTGGTAATTTAGATTTTTATATAAAGTTAGTTATTCTGACATATTTATATTGTCTGAAAATTAAAAAAGGTAATCCTATAATTTTGGGTGTCAGTAGAGTAACTCTCATACAAATTTCGATTTTGGCATAAAATCACAAATTAATTGAGCACGCGACGGGCCAGAGGCCCTTACGCGCGCATTTTCTGGTAGAGAACTCATTGGGTTGGCGGGGCCCAACTCTCGCTCTTGTTCAGAACAGTTTCCTAGGTCATAGTTGGGTCGAATGAGAGCCGGATGGTTTCGGACCGGGCGACGATGGGCGGCGCAGGGCGGCGCAGGGCGGCGCAGGGCGGCGCAAGGCGGCGCAGGGCGGCACAATTCAGTACCCCCCATTTTGCCGGCTCCGGTGACCCGAACGATTTCATCAACCCAGATTACGATAGCCAGGATGTTCTCTTATCCCTCAACAATTTTTACGCGTCTGTCAGAAGCTTTCACCACGCCTTCGTCTGCAACGATCGTAGCCCCGCGAAAGCCCTTAGAATGAAAAGACTCATTCAGCGTCAGAGAAACGTTCTTTTCGATGGAAAATTTAAGCAGCTGAAAAACAACGAAACGCCGAAGAAATCACCGACAAAACCAGCCACCGAACCGTCATCCGAACCGTCAACCGAACCAACAACTGAGCGAACATCTGAGCCAACAACATTGCCGACAACTGAGTCGCCGACTGAGCCGCCGACTGAGCCACCGACTGAGCCACCAACAGAAGCACCAACCGAGCCGCAAACTGAGCCACCACCAGTAAGCCTAAGATCAAAATACCAGTTAATGACATTTTAGAAAACTTGTATTGGATTTGTCAACATGGGCGATACTAAAGTCAATTTTGAAACGGCAAAGGTTAATTGCAACGCGATCGGAGGGCATTTGCCATTTTTCAATAACGCTGATGAGCTAGCAGCGTACAACGCGTTCAAACCAGATCGAAGAGAATGGCTCGGAATCGTTCGCGGAAGTGATAACAAATGGTTCAGCACTGCCAACACTGAAATATCCGTTTTCGCGTGGGCTCGTACCGATGGCCAGCCCGACAATTTGACCGGCGCCCAAGACTGCGCTGAGAGCTCCACTACGCTTAAATGGTATGATTTAGGCTGCCGTGGGCTGCTGTACTACTCCTGCCGAATCGAAAAAACCATTCCGGGTGATCAACAATGTCAAGCTGAAATGAAACTGTGCACTGAATTCCGAAACATGGGCGAGTCAAAGCTGAATTTCGACGCTGCAGAAGATAGTTGCAACGAAATTGGAGGGCATCTCCCCTTCTTTCACAACAAAGATGAGCTCGAAGACTATAAAGCACTTAAATCTTATCGAAATGAATGGCTAGGAGTCCATCATTTAAATGACAGACTGATCACTACCCTAGGTGGACAGCTCTATTTTCAAGATTTACTTTTTACGCGAGGTAAAGATTCCGAAGCTTGTGTAGAGATTAGCCTCGAGTACGAGAATCATTGGAATGCTCAAAGATGTGAACTTGAGAAATACTATTCCTGCCGAATCGATTCTGTAGTCAAGGTTGATGAAAACTGTCAATACTTTTTGCCGTCGCCACCCAACGAACCGTCAGCTGAGCCAACAACTGAGCTACCGACTGAGCCACCAACAGAAGCACCAACCGAGCCGCAAAATGAGCAACCACCAGTAAGGCTTAATTCAAAATACCAGTAAATGACGATTTAGAAAATTTGCGTCGGATATGTAGACATGGGCGATACTCAAGTGGATTTTGAAACGGCGAAGGCCAATTGCAACGCGATCGGAGGCCATCTACCATTTTTCAATAGCAATGATGAGCTAGAAGCGTACAACCAGCAGTTCAAACCAGAACGACACGAGTGGCTCGGAATCGTTCGCGGAAGTGATAACAAATGGTTCAGCACTGCCAACACTGAAATATCCGTTTTTGGTTGGCGTTCTGGCGAGCCCGACAATCATTTTTTGTCTAGCCCCGAAGACTGCGTTATGAGATTCATATCCTTTAAATGGGATGATGTTAACTGCTATGATGAGGCATACTACTCCTGCCGAATCGAAATAACCATTCCGGGTGATCAACAGTGTGAAGTTAATCAAACCCTTTCTTGGACTTATTATTAGCGGCGTTCTTGACCCAAATGCTCTTCTCTCTTTCATTAAACAAAAAAACACTAAAAATAGTCGTTTACAAGTTTTCGCAGGTCAAAATGCATCTCATTGAATTTTATCAAATTCTTCATATTTTTCAAATCGTGAAAAAACCTATTCCATAAAAAAAATACCAAAATCTCGACCCTCACTCTCATAGTCGTTGATTTTGTCAAGAGTAACGGCGTATTCGTACCCTCCAGAACTCGGCCCGTATAAATCGCTTTGCTTGATTACATTCAAAGTTCGTTTTTCATCAAAGACAAAGTACTCATCGTAGCTCATGCTTGTTGAAGGATCTTCGATTGACTGAACATTTACGAGACATTGTTTGAGAGAAAAATCGTAGAATGGCAATTTGCAGGTGATCTCCTGGTCCAAGCTAACACTGAATGTCAGTATTTCGCATACAATGTAATGTGTAATTGACCACAAATAGGTGATACGGCCTAATTCTTCGGCTTGGAGGCCGAAGGATTGATGCGTGTAAGAACACTGATTCTTCGGCATGAACCGAAGAATGAGTGATAAAAGATGCACTGATTCTTCGGCTAAGGTGAATTTATTCACAGATTCCTGTGCCCCTAACCACGGGGCTCCGCCCCTTAGGTCCTAAAATGCCGGGGTCTAGTCTATGGTTACTTAGGGTTACCTTCGGTAACCCTAACTAACCCTAGCCTATCCCCCTCGGGTGAGTTAGTTCTGTCATTTTGCCCAGTGCCCCCTAACACTAACCTCAAATTATAGAATATACTTTTTGCTAAAATGTGTTTTCCTCTAGAAAACGTCTTTTTCATAAGTGATGACTCATAGGTTGCAATCAAAAAGTTATCAAAAGAATTCTGATAATGGATTCTAGAAAATTTGCCGAAGAATCACTGTCAATTTTATCATTAATCCTTCGGTTCAAGGCAATTCTCAATTTGCCGAAGAATCAGTGTTATTGAAAGCATCAATTCTTCGGTCTTGCCGAAGAATCAGCCCATACCACGCACAAATAGTGACTTCAACTGCCGGTTCGTCTTCTCCAAAGCCAGCTCCTCTGATTATTATAACGTTTCCTCCATTTGTCCCTGCAGAAAGAGGATGAACACTCTTGACATTAAGACTATAAATCACTTGAAGACTGCTTGATTTAGCGAAGCCGTTCGATAAGTGTTCAACATCAAGACGTTTGGCGCCAGGCGATCTCGGCGGGAGACGACAACTGATAAAGGTTTCCGAACAAGAAAAGATAACGCACGTTGAGTTTCCGCCTTCGATATTCACTTGTTGGTTGCCGCAAATCGGGTCAAAGGCCTCGCCAACAATCGTTATTTCATCGAGCATGTTCAATCCGCTGACTTCCAAAACGAAACCATCATGAAATTCCAGGTGCTTGAGCGCTTCAGCACGGGCGGTTAGCTCATTTTTGTACGAATACAGAGCACGATTGAAAGGAACAGGCTTTTCTTGATGCGTCGAAATAAGGAAAATTGAGCTTGGAACCTGGTCTTCGCCTTTGATTCCTCTTAGTTGCGGAATTTTGAGTTTGAGGAGCTCGTGATGGATGAATTTGATCCTACTTTGTTACAAAGTGAATAATTTCTGTTTGAATTTTATTTGAAGCAACTATCAAGTTTTGCGAAGAAACTGGCTACGAAATCGCGAATGTGTCATTCGCTCAAAAATATTCGAAGAAAAAGGAAAGCATTTTGGCGAACAAATTTTAATTCAATTATTGCAAAATATTACGGGACACTAAAATGGTGTTTTAGTTTTTAAAATTGATGATTATCAATGAAATTCACAAATGTGAATAGCATTTAAAATCCCCATTATAATAATAAACGCATGAAAGAATAAAACATGGAAAAGCAGAAAATGAATTGAAAACTCATTTGAATCGATGATTTGAAATTCAAATCATTTGAATCGGGGATTTCAGACGCAGAAATTAGCTGTCACTTCGAAAATGGGTAGATATCTAGAACTAGCAAAGTCGTGCCCGCCGATGACTTCTGTTTGGATTACTTCATCGTTAGCGATTTCGATTCGTTCAACCGGGTACAACCCATCGGCATCTGTCGCCCCGCCATTGACGAGGTAGATGAAGTTTCCGACTTTGATTGCAGAGCCCCAATAATTGAACTGAAAAAACTCGATACAAATTTAAAAGTTTATTCCGGTCTGACCTCGTTAAGAGAACCAATAATCGTCCAAGCATCGTTTTTCAAAAGCCAAACGTCTGTGCTCCATCCTCCGGTTGTCAGATCCCTTCCACCGGCCTTTACCAATGCTCCACTCTCCAAGCCTGTCAGTGTATGAAGATAAGAGCCTCTAAAACATAATTGTATGGATTTCGAGGCTCAAGGGAAGAAATAACTATCTACCTTGGAATAGAAGGCAAAGTTGTCCATCCAGAAGCAGAGTATGTTTCCACTCTTGAATTGCTAGGCGAGTATTCGCCTCCGACAGTAGTTGGCTGGCCATTATAGTGGCCAAGACCACCAAGAGCATGATGCACTTCAGGGTCATGGGTCGCTGTCGAGATCACTCCATCAAAGATTTCACAGCTATCCCATCCGACGACATCAAAGCAGATAAGCGCTGAATCAGTTTAAAACAAAATAAAAATACTGAAATGGAACCTCTCTCTCCGTTGTCCGTGTCAATTGCAGCAGATTTATCAGTTATCCGATAACGGAGTCGAACTGATAGTTCGTTAAATGCGCAATTTTCTATTTTCGCGATCTAAGATATTTTTTCAGCCTCATATTTTACCTACTAGAAATTTTACCTTATGATTGTCTTCGATGCCTCCGAAAATATACATCTCTCCTTGCATAACTGCGAAAGCGCTTCCAAACACGTAATCACTTCGAGGAACGCTGATCGAAGGCGAGTTTCTCGTTAGTCCATCGCCGGAGAAGATGTATGAATCGGGAAAGTTTGCGCCTCCAAGAACGAGAATACTCACATCGCCCTTAAGTATTTCAAATACTGTCAAACTTAATTTTGGAAGAAAAAATCAAAAGATATTACTCACCGGTTCTCCACCAGAAGAACAGCTAGCTAGGCAATCAGTGTCGTCAGTAGAACAGAAATTGATCTGAAAAATTTCAAGTGATTCTGTATATTATATTATATTATATTATATTATATTATATTATATTATATTATATTATATTATATTATATTATATTATATTATATTATATTATATTATATTATATTATATTATATTATATTATATTATATTATATTATATTGAAAATTACTCACGTCACAGGTGAGCGTCATGGCGGCGGAATCGGAGCTCTCCGGGAAGATAAAGCTCATGAATTCGAACTTGACTTCGGTTTCAGTCGATTCGCCCCACGTAAACCCGAGGCCATTGTCGACCGGGCAGTTGTTCTCGACGAGATTAGCATTCGAGCCCACAATCGCATCGTCAGAAACGGAACAACTTTGGACGACAAAAGCGGTGTCCGGGATCGACACGGGGGCGTTGATCTGACCAGTGTTCCCTCATTCCGTTTAAATCGGGTCTATCCCCCCTCGTCGGCTTTTTTCGAAAAATCGAATATCGGAATTTCGAAATTTTGACCTCGGAAACGGATTCAAGAGGTCAAAAAGGGATTTTAAGGCTCCATTTTTTGGGGTCTATCTCGACTCCTTCACCCTCAAAATCGCATTTGAAAAATGGACTTTTAGGCAAAAAATGACAAAAATGCGCAGTTTAAGGACACTGGTCTTTCCGTAGAGTTTGCTCCCTACAGCAGCTGGGTTCGTGGCAAAATCCACTGTTGTTTGGTAGTCGGCAGTTTCGTAAAAAGAGAACGTGAAGAGAAAATCGATGGCATTGTCATTCACATCTCCTGCGTCGAAAGAGACCGACGAAACAATGTTGCTTTCGAAGAGTCAAAATTAAATTAATTCATTTTAAAAGATACGGAACGACTACGGCGAGTAGATTAGTTCAAGCCCTATCCTGGAAACAAAGTTGCTCGAGGCGGAAACTTGGCTATTGTAATTGCACACGAAGTCGACAGCTGCATTTCTTCCAAATACCAGATTGTTTACAACACTGTTGCCAATGTGAAGAACGTTGGCAAACGAGAAAACGTCGTTTCCAAATGAAGCGCTGGCGCCGCAGCCAGTCACAGTTGAGCTTTCAATCGTCCAGTGGGTCTCGCCATCTTCAACTGCAGCGCAAGATGGGTCGTTCAAATGAATGTCCGAGGCTTCCACGCCGGGCACGGCACATTTGTCGATCGATATCGTCACTCCTGTTGAAGAACAGGTAACAGTGGCTTTTCCTGCTTCGATGGAACAGCGTTGGCCCGCGGCATCTTGAATTATTAAGTCATTTCATGTATCTCGGATTATCGAAGCAAACTTACCAAGCGTCCAACAAGGCGGACAGGAGCACGTGCCCGCTCCGCTGCAAAAGTGCGAGCAGCCACCGTTGTTGCCGTCATAGCAGTTCGCCATGACGGCAAGGGGCAACAGCAGGTGTCTTTGATTTGTTGAAATAACATCTATTCCGATGAATTACAGAAAATCCTCAGGTATTTAAAATAGGATAAGGGTTTAAAATAAGTACCGTATTTTAATATTTCTTAAATTTCAAGATTTCCTGAAACTCATTGGCTTCTCTCTTTCTTTTTCTTTCTCTCAAATAGAAAGAAGGTGTAATGTGCGTTATTCTTAAAAGCAAGAAGTGATGAGTACGTGGTCGAATTGAACTCGACCAACAACCCCCGGGCCATGAACAGAAAGTCCTTCTAAAAGGGGCGAGTTCTTTATCTCTCAATTTCTGTCAAGATGACACTTATACATTCAATGAAACGAGAGTACGCATGGTACGGAAAAATCATCAGCAGAAATTTAGTTCGAACGAGCCCAAGCATGGCTTCCGATAGCAGAAAAAGTGTACCACTTTTTTAAAACCAAATCAGAAATCGTTTTATTTCCTTTTAACAACGACAGCCTTACGAGTTGTTGCTCTGACAGGCTTAGCGATTGTTTTTAAACACTGAAAAAGCCTGCCTAGTATTTGTTTACCTCTAGCCTCGAATCCAATTACCGCGATTGGCATTCCTGACTGACTGATTCTGATTTTCTAGCAATCGCGGTATTTCATGATGTTGACGATGGACAAGGCTTGTCCAACAAGAAGCGCAATTCGGATTACATCGATGGATACCCTAGCGTGGCGCGTCGCTGATGAAGAAATTTTAAAATATATGAATGTCTCTGAGATTGAATTCAAATCTCTTAGAAATGTAAAAAGAATCAAAAAGGCCTGAATTATATATTTTTAGCATTTGGTTAAAGATGCCTTTTTTTGTACCGAAATCGAATGCTGCGCCATGTCTTCAAATAGAGAAGTCAAAAAATTTGAACCCAGTGAAAAATTCTTCCCCCTATGCTTTTCTCCTTGAACAAAAATACTATGAGCCGGGAGTCCGTCTTTCTTTTTAAAACTGCTCTGCATAACACGAATAAACAAAAAAAGCTTGATTGTGCATAATATAGAGCGCAATATCAATTCTTCAAGAATCATGAATGAGTTTCCTTTATTTGAAATTGAAAAGATATTCTTACATGTAATTGAGACTAGTAAAATTCCATTGAACTTTTGAAAAAAACGTTTACTCGTTCCACTCAGCACCAGTTTCTTTGGCGATGAAGGAAAAAGTGTCGCTGTACTCTTCAAGGACCATTTCGGTCGATTTTCCGAAGCCATGTCCAGCTTTTGTATCGATACGGCCTGAAATTTTGTTAGAAATCGAATGGAAAAGGACTCTTACCGAGCAAGACTCTGTTGGTGTCAGTGCAAGTCTCCTGAAGAGTCGCAAGATATTTAAGAGAATGGTGAGGAACGACTCTGTCATCGTGATCAGCAGTAGTGACGAGAACAGCTGGGAACTTTTCGGTGTTTGGAATGTTGTGAGTTGGCGAGAGCTTCTTCAAATATTCAAAGTCCTTTTTATCATCAGAGCAGCCAAAGTCCGAGCACCACGCATGGCCGATCGTGTATCGATGAAATCTGAGCAGATCCATAACTCCAACAGCGGCAACACCGGCGCTAAAGAGCTCTGGTCGCTGGTTTAGGCACGCGCCGACGAGGAGACCACCGTTAGAGCCGCCCATGATGCAAATATTGTCGGAAGAGGAGTATTGTTGAGCCGTTAGGTATTCAGCAGCGGCTTGGAAATCGTCGTAAGAAGTTTGTTTCTTGGACTTGATCGCGGCAGAGTGCCACTCTTCTCCATATTCGCCTCCGCCTCGGATGTTGGCGATGCAGTAGAGACCGTTGAAGTTGTTCAGCCATGGCAAGCGGATAGAACTAACAATTTATAGATATAATTTGGCCATTGAAAGTACCTGAAAGAAGGAGTGATGGAAATATCAAAGCCACCGTATCCATAAAGCAAGCAAGGATTCTTTCCGTTCATTTCAAATCCCTTCTTCGCGACGATAAACATGGGAATCTTCGTTCCATCCTTGGACTGATAGAAAACTTGTTCAGTGACAAAGTCGCCAGATTTGAACCCAGGAACGACTGTTTCTCTGTAGAGCTCGGTCTTGGCATTGCTGGGGTCGGAAATGTCGAGTTTGAAGATCTGACCGGGGCTGAGGAAGGAAGTGAAGGAGAAAAAGATCTCAGCGTGTTTTCTTTTGCAGGAGATTGTGCCAATGGTTCCGATGTCGATGGGGACTTTGCAGAGCTGCTTGCCTTCCATGGAGTAAATGTACATGGCGGACTTGACGTCTTCGAGGAATTCAACGATGAAATAATCTGAAAACATAGAGGAAGCATCCAAAAATTATCATTTTCTTACCTTTATTGACAGGTGCTACGCACTCAAATTTAGCAGTTTCTGGTTGTGGAATAATCTCCTTTGTTTCTTTGGTCGCAATATCAATCGAAATAACCTTCTTTCTTGGCGCATCTTTCGTCGTGGCGAAGAAAAACACCGTCCCGTTGTTGGTCAGATAATCATATTTTGCGTCAAAAGTATCAATGATTTTTTCATAAGGAAGGATGCCGTTTTCTGTTCTTGGAATCTCGCCGTTTTGAATTTTGTAGATCCATAGCTTGTTTGTTGGTTCGCAGCCGCGTCTTATGCCTGTATATCGATTAGTAGAGAGAATCAGGACTTACTGAATACCGAGGAGGATGTACTCGCCGCAGTCGGAGATTTCAGCGCCCGACATAAGCTTTGGGTCTTCGGGAAAAGCGGCGATTTGGATGTCTTCTGATTGAGCAGTTCCCATTTTGTGGTAGAAGAGGAGTTGGTTCTCATTTCCGGTGACTTCAGTTCCGTCTGTTACGCCTTCTTGGGATGGGTAGGCGTTGTAAAAGATTCCAGAGCCGTCCTGAACAGAATCAACGGTCGTTTCTCAATGAAAAATTACCTTGGTCCAATCAAGACAGGAATATCTAACTTTGGTGATTTCATCCTTCAACAACTCGCCTTCGGCAGTTTTAAATTTGATCGTAACCCAGTCGGATCCTTTATCAGACTGACCAAAAGCATAAACGCTACCATCGTCATTCCAGGCTGCCATTCTGATCGCGCTGGTTCCATCCTCTGATAGCTTGTTTTGATCGAGGAAAACTCGTGGTTCGGCATCGAGCGAGTCCAGTTGGTAGATGATGCTTTGGTTAAGAAGACCAGGATTGTGACTGTAGTAGTAGTATTTGCCGTGCTTCTTCGGGCAGCCGTATTTTGGGTAGTTGTAGTGCTCGCGCATTTTTGACAGAAGCTGGTCACGGTTGGTGAGTGTCTTGCGGTACTCGTCGAAGATTTCATTCTGCTTGTTCACGAAATCCTTAAGGGTTTTTAAAAAGATTTGCGGCTATTGCGCTAATTCAAACAACACACTCGTAAACACACATGCTGACATTGCTCACGAGTTCAAATATAGTCTGCAAGCGTTTTTTTCTGAAGCGCAAAACTTAAAGTAAAAATGGTAAAAGTCGCAAGAATAGATTCAAAGAAACGAGAGATCCCCGAATCGTTCGTTCTATCCCAATACCGACTTTATGTAAAAAGCTGCGACATATGCAAGTAAGAAAAATCAAGTAGAGAGATTAATACCTATATCTCAGCGTCGTTGCCGTGAATCTTTGGCGGTTTGAAAATATACTATCTGATGACTTATTCTACTGCCCTGACTGCAAACCAATGGGCATTGAACTAGAATATGTCCCAATCAATAATGATAATAGACAGCTCAAATTTGGATGCCCATTCAAGCTATGTGATGAAGAACTAGCAATTAAAACCTTTTTCAAACATATGAACAGACACAACTTGAGAAAGCGATGCAAAAGACAATTCGCCAAAGAAGAAAAGGAGAATAATGAAAATACAGAAGATATTTACGAGCAGTTGTCGGAAAAAACCCCACTTGACATCAAAAAACAGCTTTTAGATAAGAAGGCAGCATTCATTAAACAACATCAAGAAAAACTCAAAGTCATTAATCAGATAAGAAGTCTACAACAAAGTCAGAGTTTTCAGTTGTTTCTATAAATATACTTCCTTCCTCAAAAATAAACTCTGAACAGGGAAATTTCTATTGATCAGTCTTTGTTGAAATTGGAAACTGAAATTAACACTCTTGCTGCTCAAATGGAAAGCTTGAAAGGGGAAGGTAAGGAAGACCAGCTTGGTGCAATCCTTATTACTTATAGATGGGGAGGCATTCGAGGCTCTGTGCTGCGAAATCTGCTTCGAGCCATACGATAGAGATGAGAATCAACAAGCTTGTATAACTGTTTGCTTTCATTCTTTCTGCGAAAATTGCTTGTCTAATCTGGACCCCAAGACTTGTCCAAAATGCAGAGCAAATTTCGAGAAGGATCAAATCCAAAAAATCTTCTGAATAAAATACCTTTGTCTTTTCACTATCAGGTTCTTCTAGCCATTTGTAAGGATCAGCAATCTTCTCTCCGTGAAAGTCCTCGACATCTGGCAGTTTCTCAAAAGCAGGATACTTCATTTTCTCTAAAAAGGTTGATCCGTTAAAAGAAAAAAGAGTCAAACTAAAAACGTCAGCAAAATAAATTCGAAAATTCAACAGTAAAAAACTTCGCGGCAACCCCTTGCCTGCGAGAAATCTCAGTCGATTGGCGAGCGAAAACGATCTTCGTAACATCTCTTTTTCAAAAAATCAGAATTTTAATCTCGGATCGAGCCAGTTTCAAAATTGTTGCGCGACCGCCGCGAATTCAAAACTACGCGGCCAATCGCGCTCATTTTTTCCGAGCGAAGGAGAAAAATTATTCTCTTCGTTTACGCGAAAAAATTCTAGAAAGTTCATCTTACTAAATTTTTGTTGTATTTTTAACTCATTCAAAAAGAGAAATTTTTATCAAAATTTTTTCCTTTATAAAAATTTTTATTATTCATCTTTGGTTTTGCTGAATTTTTTGGCATAAAAGGCGAAAATTTTGATATTCTCAAAAACTACTACGTGGATTTTTCTTAATTTCTTCTTCTTTTCAGATTGAAGCAACCCTACGAAAATGGGCGACCGCTACAACATTTTCTCCCAAATGGAGCATCTCCAGTCCAAATACAACGGAACTGGCCACGCTGATCTCACCAAGTGGGAATGGATGGTCCACACTCACCGCGACAGCTACGCCAGGTTCAATCCTTCAAAGATAAATCAACTAATCTTCGTCTTCTCTAGCTACATCGGCCATGGCGACCTTCTTTCGCACATTGCAATTTGCGAAAATGAATCCAGAGCAAGAGTTCAGGTAAAGAAAAATCTGAATAAACCTGTGTCATAAACTTAGTCAGGGTTCTAGGAAGAACTCTCAAAGAAAGCCGCTTTTTTACAAACGAAGCTGCGAACCGGCTTCGCCAGAATTACGATGTCGATCATTTTTTTTAATTCTGACACTGACTCAGGATTCTACACATGAGAGTCAGCTTAGATTCAGAATCATCAAGGCCTAAATTCATATTCAGTTCAACCTGCTGAAGAAAATGTTCCACCCTTGCGGACCCCCTCCACAGAAACCAAAGTGGATGGACATGTAACTCTCGACTCCAGTTACAGTACTAGAACTGTTCCGTTCTACTTAGAAAGAAGCTTGACTGCCACCAACTACTGTCGATTGACGAAGCTTTTCTTTCAGAAAAAAATGTCGGGTGAATTGGCGGCAGAGCTGATTCGCGACCTGGCAAGAGCGAAGGACTCGTTGCCGGCGTACGACGATACAGCTGTCCGTGAAATTGTGGACGAATCGATTGCCCTGTCGAATAAAAACAGAGAAGACATTTCGTCGACGGCGATGAATCAGCTGATTCAGGACTCGGCGGATTTGAATGATGTGACCCCGAAAGAAAGGAGCACATATACAAATGTCTGTCTCAGGTAATGAATACAGAAGGATTTTTAAATAAATCGAACCCCTTGTCCTAGACTTGACAACCTCCGACGAAAACCTGAGACAGGGTTCATCGCCGGTTGCCGAACACTTGACTTTCGCTCAAAGTTCAGACCATCACTATATTTTTAGAGCTGCGGGAATTGAGCGAAACAAGCGCTGCCTGATCGCGTATCACATGAAACGTTTGGAGAAAATCCGCGAAATTCGCTGGCAAGGAGGCCCCGTCATTCCAGATCATTTGCGCTCAAACTTGTCGGCTTCGGAAAGAACGTACTCGCACAAATACAACCGCGCTCTTGCGAAACTGATGCGAGGATCGGGAGATTTGGATTTTACACAGATTCAGACGCCGCCTAAATCGCTCTATGTCGAGGTATGATACGAAGGGATGAAGATGGAATTGAACGATTTCTAGGTCACTTGCGTTGAAGATGTCGGCGATGTGGAGCTAGAGAATGGCGATAGAATTACGCTTGAGAAGAATAGTAGATATTTTTTGGTAAGTTCATAAGAAAACGAAGAAAAAACACTGAAATGATCATCTCGTTTAGCCTCGAGCAAATGTAGAACCCCTAGTCCGCCAAGGCCTGCTCAAAGAAATTCAACGCCAGGTCTGAAAAGAAAAAGAAGCCTAGTCGAACTTTGAAAATTTCCAAAATGTCAAAACTGAACAACAATCAATTATCAAGCTGCTAGAATCTTTCACTGCAATTATCTCCTGTCAAGTGTCAACCGTGTTTTTCTATTCCGTTATCTTTTTTTTTGTATATTCTTTCAAAGAAAACAAACAAGTTAAGAAATTAAAAATGTTTTTGTTAGAATGAAAATTCCTTCGTTCTGCAGGAGATTATCTGAATCGGTTTTCGAGCGCTAGAAATAATGAATTCAATACAAATTTTCTTCTTTCTTCTCCCAGTCGTTTTTCCTGACTGTGTTCCACCAGCCCGGCTTATTTCCGAATCCAAAGTCCGGAGAAAGAAAACGATAGAGCCACATTGCGGCGAACGAATTGATTTTGGAACGACCGATCTTTGCCGAAAATGGCAAATTGACGAGAATGTCGAATTGTCGTTTTGGTTTTCCAATGGAAGCGAAATTCGGGAAGAAAATTCCCTTTTTTCTTTTGAAAATGGCTATCCAGTGATTGACTCGTTTGATGGAAATTTCGGCGATACATTTCTCTGCAAAGCGGAGAAAAGTTGCGGGGCAGAAGACCACTTTCAAGTTGCGCTAGAAATCGAGCAAGAATCTAGCTCTCCTCGGGCGCACATTGAATGCGTCGACGGTTGCGCCAGCCATCAGCAATGCCAGGATAATTTCAGCGGAAGGGATGAGCTGGAGAACTGCGGTCGGCCAAATTACTTCACCGCCCCAATTGAATCTACTGTCACATTCGTCTGTAACGTTCGTTATCCAACTTGCGCGCCGTTTCCCAAAGCTAGCTGGCTCTTCCGAAAGGATGATGCCTGGATCCCCATCGAACAATTGAATCTCCAACCACCCTCTTCTTCGAAAATCTCCTACTCCTATCACAACCAATACGAAAGCCTAACCATCCATTCGATCAATCCCGACATGCCGAGTGTATACAGCTGTACGCTAGAAAACTCTCTTGGCGTAGAAGATACCGTCTTTGAAATTCACTTGTTTGAGAAGAAAATGTCCCTTCTTGATCTTGGCTCGACGACTTGGATTATTGGGGCGGCGGTGTTGGCGGCGATCGTTGTTTTTGGAATCGGAATTTTGATCAAGGTAAATAACGAAGCCCAGGAAGAGAGAAGCCCTGACACAGGTCGCCTGACTCAGGTTTCTTCACAAGTTGCCGAGTTCAGATTACTGTTTCGTCAGTGACGAATCGTCACGAAACTTTCGTGTCTATGAAATTCGAGTCACGCTAACTTGCCCAAGACGCTAACTTCCCCAGACGCTAACTTGCCCAAGACGCTAACTTCCCCAAAACGCTAACTTCCCCAAGGTTGTGCAAGTTAGCGTCTGGGGAAGTCAGCGTCTGGGGAAGTTAGCGTCTTGGGGAAGTTAGCGTGACTCATGAAATTCATCAGTTACAAAAAATAAATTGTGTTTTTAGTCTAAATTCTCAAAAAAAGGAGGCTTGAAGCAAATCCCATTTCAAGACCTGAAGATGCGCCCTGGTTGGGAAGATGCACCCTTGCTGGCTGGCAATCCTGCTGATTTCGAAAATCACATTCCTGCTCATTATATTATCCAGTACGAGCTGCTCGGAGGTAAGCTAATCTAATCGGGCTCAGAGTTCATCGATCCAAAAAGGGAATAAAATGGAAATCGGCAATGGCTGCTTTGGCGTTGTCTACACTTCCGTCGTCAATACAGACGACATTCCTGTAATCAGAAGCGAGATTAATGAGAAACGAAGGGTCGCGCTCAAAGTTGGAAGAGTGGAAAACGCGAATCCGGAAGAGCAAAAGATGGCGTTGGAGAGTTTGTTCAAAGAACTCAAAATCATGATGAAGGTAAGGATCAAGCCTTGATCATCAAGGAGAATATTGCACTCTCGCGAAAATGCTAAATCATTCAACCAATTATATATTAAAAGCGATTCTTTTTGTTGATTTCAACAAAAAATGGCTAACATACGCTCTGTATAAAGGAGACGTATTTCTATTCCGTATGTATATTTGCAACAAAATATCAGTTCTGGTTGGCAAACGGTTTTGAACAAAAAGAACGTACAAGCAGAATTTCAGTAACTATCAACAAATTTAACTTTTATGAAAAAATCTAAATGTCGGCGCAGCATCGTTGGGGCATAGCGAGAGAAAATCGCATCGTCACAACTTGACCGGATTTCTTTTCGATCGAGCTTGAATTTTAAGAGTTAGAAAGGATATTTGCATTTTTGTGCCTTACAGTTCGAGTTCTCTCGTCTTGTATCCTTTTGGGCTGCATCCGATCTTATTTCCCGGATCGGATAGTCTAATCTTGCAACACTCGTAGTTGAACAGATTTCGTTCTCGCTCGTTAGCTTAAAATTTCGATAGAGGAAAAAAAGACTTCAACTCGGCTTACTGTTAAAACTGTAGGTAGAGTAGAGACCCCCGCAGGTTCCTTGATCAGATGGAGATTCACAGATCCCATAAGATCTCATCGTTACATGACAAAGATGAGAAACGCTAGCCGAGTCGAAAAGATCAACTACTGGAGGAATGCATTTCGCGATTTCAATGTCGGGAACATCAATTTTAACGAAATTTGAGTTGCATTTGAAGCAGCTTCTTTCACCTCGACCACAAACCTGAATCAAAGATTTGTATAAGGATCATACAATAACACTTTACCGAGTCGACGAGGTATCTTCTTGTAATATGGTCACCGCAGATGTTGTCATTGACAATAGTTTCGCTATCCCGCATGGTTTTGTGCAAGTAGCAGACTTGATCATCAGAACCATCGCGTCGATAGCTCCTTCCTCGCCTTAGGAGACCTGTTTGAAAGCTCATCGGGGGTCGGTGGTTTGGTACAGAAGCCATCAGCGACTTTGAAAGCATTAAACCGAGTTCGGTGTTTTCATGCTTGCGGGCGGAAACAAGGAGGAAGAAAGAGAAGGAGGAAATCATTGTTGACTTTTTTTAGATTTTTCTTGTTGAAATTTGAGTTGAAAAAACCTAGACAGGATGCTATTTATAGGTGGGAAATGTCGGAGGTGCGCCATCGTAATAATAGTAATTATCGAGAATTTGTCGTAATCCAGGATTACTGTTACTCGTGTTGCTTTTCACGTCACATTCGAGACAAATCGCAAAATCTAACTGGATTAGGATTGCTCTTTCGACGAAAGAGTGACGAACAAGTGGGAAATAATGAATCAAGGAGCATTTTTGACGCGTAAAAACGATAATTTTACCGTTCCATTTTAACTTTGCCGAAAAAAGACCCTAAAAACATTACATTCAGTATACAATTGCTTGTGGGAAGGAACAGTTAATGGTGGTATAATCCCCAGTATGCGGTCATTACTCGAAGTCATGTTCGATTTATGGCAGAATGATCTCCTTATCCTCCCCTGAGAGAACCAGCGCTTTTCGATTAATTAATCGCTGAAAAATTTAGGTCGCTGAATACCGCCAGAGATTTATCGAAAGAAACCAGAACAGAAATTACCACCAATATGTGATTCAACTTCTGGGCTGCGGCTACACCCCTGAGCCGACCAAATGGCCCTTTCTCGTAATCGAATATGCGGAGGTAAGGCAAGGACTTTTTCATTTTGAGTGACGCGCTTTTTTTTAAGAATGGAGACCTGCTCAAGTTTCTGAGAAATGTTTTGAAGGACATCAGAGAAAGAAGGGAAAATGGAGCAAAGGTTTGTTTATTCATTGATAAAGGCTGATTTTGAAATGAATTTTTAGGCGTCTTCGTCGCTCAGACTTACGGACGGAGATTTAATCAAATTTTCATTCCAGGTACAGTTTATTTACAGTTATAATAAGACCACTTGCTCAAAAATGACGTTATTTTCGAGTAGACTGTTGAATTAGCGTTGATTGTAGGGTTTCTTTGGGGTTGATTTTTGATTCGTTGAGATTAATTATACTTCCCTCTTATTGGCCCAAATGTCACATAGAAATATGTTAACTTTAATAAACAATCTTTCAAGATCGCTGCTGGAATGTGCTTCCTCTCGGAAAACAACTTCGTCCACCGCGATTTAGCTGCTCGCAATATCCTCGTTTCTTCCGACCTGACGATGAAAGTGTCCGATTTCGGCCTCTCAAAAGAAGAAAACTACTACCGCTCATCCCGCGGGAAACTGCCCTGGAAGTGGATGGCACTGGAGAGCATCAAGGAGCACAAGTTCACGACGCAATCGGATGTCTGGGCTTTTGGGGTCACTATGTGGGAGATTTTTAGTTTAGGGAATGCGCCCTATCAGACTAAGACCGCACAAGAGGTGAGACATGCCGCGGAAATATCTAGACCCTTACTCAGATTTTCTACTCAGGTCGCCGGGCCTAGGATAAGGCGTGTGGGCCTCAATAGTCGTTAAAACAGATTTGTTCAGGTGAAGGATTTCCTCGAAGATGGTAATCGCCTGGCTCATCCGCCTTTCGCCTCGCGCAGCATCTACCAAATCATGGCCGACTGTTGGAAAAGGAGCGTGGCTGCGCAATTTATTTTCGATTTCTTAAATTCAATTCTGAGGGTCTTAGATCCGCGGCATTAATCTTTTTTTTCTGCAGCCGCGCGACAGTAATCCCAAGGAGCGTCAGACCTTCGCCAGCTTGACGGAGGACTTAGAGCGAGAGCTTCAAATCTGCCAGAGCAACGAGAGAGTTCTCGATCTACAGGGCCACGAAATCAATGGCTACGACTCCTAGAGTTTCAGATTTTCTTCTTTCAGTCCCGTCAATTCCAAACCTCAAAAAAAAACTTGTTCAACTTTATTTTTCTAACATATCTTATCCCCTAGGGTTGGCAAAAGGAAGATGGCCCCCGCAAGGGATGAGGAACCCTCCTTCCCCATTTTTTTGACCATTTTCGCCCACCCTAGAGCATCCTAGTTCCGATTTTGTAACTCTTACCTGCCCGAGCTGCCTTTCATTTCTTTTATTATTTCTTCGGGGACGCTCGATTCGTGTACCAAAATTTTTTGGTATTCGAATACCAATTTTTGGTATTCCAATACCAAATTTTTTTTACCGGATCATATTTTTTCCTTCAAAAACTAGTAAACCTCTCCAAAAGTTTCCTACATGACAGGCGCGGAGCGCATAGACGATTTTCAATAAGGATTTCTGAGTGAAATCCTTACCCCCTATTTTATTTGCTCATTGAAAAGAGCGTAAAAAGTTATCCCAGATTCGCCCGGAAAATGATGAAGTTTTCCAAAAATGATGTGATGGCACGTGACTGAAGTCCCAAAAAACTCAAACTTTCCCGCTCGAGCATTTTCGACTCGTCTGAGCTAATAAGGCTTGTAATAGCTCAAAATGATCGTCTCTGCTAGCTCTTGGTGGGCATCAAGTTTTCATCCCTTTTCAACCCTTTTTTAAATTTCTATTTTTCTAGCAATAGATAAAGGGATGAAATAGGGTTGAAGACGGATGAAAATAAGATGCCCACCAAGAACTCGCCAAGACGATCATTTTGAGCTATTACAAGCTCTTGTATCTCAGACGAGTCGAAAATGCCCGGGCGGGAAAGTTTTGGTACTTTTGGGACTTCAGTCACGTGCCATGACGCTATTTCTTCGGAAATTTCATCCTTTTCCGGGGAAATCTGGGATAACTTTTTACGCTCTTTTCAATGAGCTATTAAAAAAGGGGGGTCAGAATTTCACTCAGAAATCCTTATTGAAAATCGTCATAGGGTCTCTTTAGGTGTATCAAATTCGGACTTTTTAACGAAATTTGGTATTCGAATACCAATTTTGGTATTTGAATACCAATTTTGGTATTCGAATACCAATTGGTACACGAACCGAGCGTCTCCCTATTTCTTATCAAAAATATGTCAGGTTATAATAAAGAAACATCGCTTCTGTAAATGTAAAAAGAAATTAACTTCTCCTGCCGAAAGATTAAAAAATCTTGTACATTCGAATTGACTGAATCTTCAAATCTTCACACTAAATGTTGAAGAATGAAAAGAAGCTGATTTGTAAAACGAAAACGAGAAAAATGAAGAGGATTCCAGTTCAAGTTTATGTTCGAAATGATGTGTGCGATCCGTCTCCACCAATTCAGGTACAAATCGTTGGATTTTCTAGATGCATTTTTTCGATCCTTCTTTTGCGCGGTACACTTTCATATAAAAAAAAGCGAAAAATGCCGCAGTTACTAGAGATTATTCAAAGACAGGTTTCTTAGAGATTAAGTTCATAAAAGATACAGTGGATTATCATGCCTCAAAGTGGGCCCATTTTGGGACACAATTTTTTTATGTTCAGTTTAGCCAAATTTTCATTTCAGGCGCAAATCTCGATTGATCAAAGTACGGGACTAATCGACTACTATTCCAAAACCGACTCTACAGGTAGTTCCTTCTTCTTTCTATTTCGATAAAACTATCAAAGATGGCGGAACAGAAATCCGAACTGTCGAAATTTCGCGCAAAAACAGCTCCTTCGGAATCTCGATAAAAGGAGGCGACAAAAGCAATCAGAGTGGCAGCTCGAGGCCGATCTTCATTTCGAAATGTGACAGAAGACATTCGAATATTAATATTGGCGACAGAATCATCGCTTGTAATGAGAAATCGATGCTTAATGCGACGCACAAAGAGGCGGTAGATGCAATTCAAAGGTAAGCAAATGACATTCTTTTAAAAAAATTACAAAGAAATTATTTAGTTCTGGCGACAAATTACGATTGCAAGTAAGAAGCGAAACTTGGAAAACGACCCATTGGCCGATCGAACTGTCCAAAATCTACCAAGAACTCGGCTGCAACCCATTGTGGATGGCCCGTCTTTCCCGCGCCACTAAATTCGGAGATCACTGTATCGAGGTAAATCTTCTTCTATAACCGTCCCTAGAAAACCCTTTCAGGTCGCCTCAGGTTGTCTGTCGAATCGGATCGTAGTCAAATGCGAGTCAGAAGCGGTCGCGGATGACTGTGTTCTGGCGCTGCAAAGGACCAAGAATCATTTCACCAAAATGAAAAGCTTCAACGAAGCTCTGGCGAAACAGGCGAGCATGCCCAAGTGCGACCAGTTTTTGAAAGATCTCAACACTGCCTGTAAGTCTCAACAAGGATTTTATGCTATAAAATTTATGGGGAATGTGTGCTTATTTGGGGATTCTGGCCAATCAAAGACGAATATTCGCTTTTTGTGGCAATCAAAGAGAATGACCTAGAAGAAGCCAGTATTCTTTATCTGAGCCAATCAAAGATCGGCAAAAGTAATATAATTGTTCAGCTCAATATTGTATTCGAATGGACTGGGTCTTCCACGAAAACGAGCGAAAGCACTATCTGATGATGCTCACTTCTCAAGAGCTTCGATTTTACGACGCGCTGCCCAAGGACTGGGAAGGCTGGTCAAAACCCGTCTTTGGAACGCCACTTCTCTCTGCTCATATTATCGACAAGAAATGTAGGATTTTCGATTGAAACAAAGGTTGTGGATCAATTTCTAGCGAATATTCTGATCCGGATGGCGACGCAGCGAGAAGTACGAGCAATGGAACTACGCTGCTCCGGTTCCAAAAGCTGGCTTGAGTCGATCAAAGAAACGAGAAATGACAATGTGCGAGACATCAAGGAAGCTTTGGTCGAGGTGATTTACAACAACGCCACAGCATACCTTGGCATCCACTGGCTCGAGGGCATCAGGCTCTACGAAGCAAAGACGAGAAATGTGATTGTGCACCAGGAAGCGCACGCGTTGACGAACATCGAAGATGATAATAAGGCGAACTTGACGCTGCAATTCAAAGACACCTCAAAAGTAAGAGCATCCTTTCTACAGTCCATTATCTACCCTCTTTTAGTACACTCTCGTTCTCGGCGACGGACTGAAGCCGTTTATCTTCGTGATGCTTAACTTCTACGCAGCGGCTAAACAATCAACCCTGAAAACAAACAACAACAAACTCTGAAAAACATTAAAAAAGCGTCATTCTGTTCCACTTCAAGTTCTTTCTCAACTTTCATCACTGTGATCCTCTTTCCCTTATAAAATATACCAAAAAAGATACTTCATCAAACTTTCAGTTGCATCTAAAAAAGGCGTACTACAGTAAAAAAAACACTTTTTCTATTTATACAATTATAGTTTCAAACACTAGCAAAACTTTAAAAACCCCGTCTGTCTTCATTCACTATTTCTATTATTATTATTAAAATAGATTTTAAAAAATAAGAATCTGCATATTGTGTCCGTTGTGTTCACCTGAAACCTCAAACAACATTTTTATTTAAAATTTTAATATAATATTTAAATAAAACAAACAGTATTTATCCACCTTTAAATTGGATCTTTCAGCTCAGAATATGGACTTATGTGTGAGTAAATTTCAAGTAAACAACGACAGAAAAACGTATTTTCTCATAGAGTAAGTTCTCCTTCTTGTTTCCTTCTCAAAATAATAATATTAGAGCTACAGTAGGCTCTCGAAAGACAGAGACATGGTACCGCTACTCGGATATTCGTCCCCTGGCCGAACCACTCAAGGCGACAGCTGAGAAATGCGGATGTAAGCGAATATCCCTTATCAACTGATTTCGAGTGAGTGTGTTCAGACTTGAGACTTCCGCATTTCCCCTCGCGATTTACCGAGAATAGAAGCGAAGCTGGATTGGAACAGAGAAGATTGATGCTGGACAGATACTTTTCAGGTTTTATTTTATTTCAGAAGAAAGCAAGAAACATACCAACTCTAGCCATAGCATTTATAGATGCCATATCATTTCAAATATCTTCGTTTCATATCTTATTTTCTCTTTGAATTAAAAAAATCGTATTTAGAGGAGTACTTCTCACTATTTTAGCAGCTGACCTTTATACATGAAAAAATTTTCTACGTCCCCTATCTAATCCCTATTCAAAATCTTGATAAAAGATGAGAGCCTGAGATAAATCTTTATCATTCATATCATCTACCTTTGAAATATAATGTTGAGAACGACCCATGAATTTCAGTTTTCAAAACTCATGATTATTAGATAGAATTTTAGGTAAGCTTTATTTCAGAAATTGTACGAAAGAAAGTCTTTTTCATCTGAAATTTTGACTGCAGTCGTTAAGTATCGGCAAAATTTGATCTTTTGATTTTGCTTCATTTTCATATCTTTTTATAAAATCTCTTCTCCGAGGCTCTTTTTATACGCAAAATATTGGGAACTCTCGACTTCACCCTGTGTAATCATGTGGACTACGAGATTTGGGTCAGGGGGATGACACGCAACAGTAAAATTGCGTGTCAATACGATTATTTACCTTTTGTCCTCTAAAATGAACCAATTTTTAGCCGTTGGAAGCTGGCCTCAATATCCTCGCTACCTGCTCAAATTCGTCAAAGCCGTCGTGCCCGAAGAAAACATCCTCGACTTCCAAAACACCGAAGACCAAGCCATCAACTCAAAAATCCCGATTTTCCCCGCTCCCATCCCAAAAGGCTCAATTTTCTACAACGGAAACTCGAAATTCGACGACTACGACGATTCCATTTCCGACATTGTGGTCGGCGCCCTCTTCGACTGATTTCTTGCTCATTTATTCGTCATTAAACTGCCTCGATTATTTCATCATTTATTTCTTCATCCTCGCGAGACATCATCTGTATCATGTCTTTGAGACATTTTTCGGTTCCTATCTACTAGACTTTTCAAAGTAAACTTTTCGCAACTTTACCAACTTCATTCCAAAATGAATTCCAATCATCAAAAGCAAAAACCAACAAACAAAACCTCATCATACTATCGGAAATTTTATTAAATAATAATTATTCAAAATTTGAGTTTCAAAAGCGGATCTTTCTAGAGTCGAAAGTCGGAAAGGGACCTTCGCATGCAGTTTTTCTAAATGAGTGAATGTACTCATGAGCGAATCGAATAAGCGATCACGATCTTTGCGGCCCAGAAACAAGTTAAAGAAACCAGAGTTTTACAGTACAGAGGCTCCTGAAGCGAGCACTTCCGAACGGGGGGAATCATCTTCTTCCTCAAGTCCAAAGAAGAAGAAGCCTAAACCATCTCCGAAAAAAGAAGAGCTTCCCCCGCCGCCACCAGCGACTCCTGAAGTCAGCGCGTCTCCGAAGAACAGCCGAAAGAGGCCGAGTAGCAAGTCGAATAGACAGAAGAAAAGGAGGCGACCGTCAGCCAACACCCTGGGTGGCTGTACTTCACTAGGAACAGGGAGGCGGAGCTCAAATCGCGACAGATCGCAGCAGAGAATGGAAGACAGTAATCAGTCAAATGATCAGCAAGGACAGGTAAATAAACTTAACCCAGTGACCAAAAGCTAAAGGCGATTTTCTAACAATGCTCGAATCACCCTTCAGATAAAATACTCTAATTTTTAAGGAAAACGCTCCTGTCCCATCTTCCGGAGGCAATCAAAACCTTGAGTCCTCCGAAGAGCCATCCTCTGGAGCTGCTGCCAACTCCCAAAACGCGCCTCAATCCACCTCAAATCCGTCCAATCCAGAACAGCAAGCAATGGACGAGCACGCAGAAGAGCTGCGCCAGCTGCAGAGCATGCTTGAGAGTCGCTTCCCACAAAATCTATTCCAAGTTTTCGGCCCCAGAATGCAGCAAATCATCCGAACATCGATGATGCCGATGCCCAATTCGAGCCACTCGAGATTGATTGAGCAACTGGGTCACGTCGGAATCGGCGCTTTGCCCGCGCTGACTGATCTTTGTCAAATGCTGTGTATGGGAACGGAGGATAATCTAGTTGGGTTCAACTATCGCGCCGCCGTCCCCCTTCTTATCACGCATTTGAAAGATAACGAAGTTGAAGTATCACAGCACGCCGCGCGAGCTTTGACGTATTTGCTCGAGTCTCTCCCACGATCTCTCCAAGCCGTTTCCGAAGCGATTCCAGCTTTGCTCGAGCGAGTGGCTTGCATTCACGATGATGGCCTCCTCGGCGTCGCGGAACAAAGTCTCTCTTGCTTAGAAAAACTCTCTGCGCGCCATGGCCGTCAGATTCTTTTGGAAAGAGGCTGCTCCCAAGTTGTCCTCTTCCTTGATTTCTTCTCGATCGTCGCTCAACGGCACGCGTTAAATATCGTCCTTTCCTGCATGCGTGCTCTCGAGTACTGCGGGACGGAATTCCATCTCGTCGAAGATGCTCTTCCAGCAATTGTCTCCCGACTTCAGCACTCTGATCGTCGATCAATGGAGCTCAGCATCCAGGCGATCTGCAAGCTCGTCGACAGGCGTCACACGATGAATTCTGAAGTTATGGAGAAATTGCGACGCTCGAACATCGCTGAGAATTTGATCAAAGTGGTTTGCGATCCTCAGAATTTGTCCGCGAACTTGGCGACGATCTGCCTTCGTTCGTTGACTTACATGGCCGAGGCTTGCCCACAGACACAGGTTGAAATTTGCGAATCGTCGATTCCAAGTGCCTTGCAGGGGATTTTGACTGTCGACATCGCTGCTAGTCCTCAGCGAGAAGCCCAAGAACTCGTCGAAGCGATTCGATTAGCGACTGCGCTTTTGCCAAAAGGAACGGAAAAGCGAGTCGAGCATCCGATAGAGCTTGATCTTGACACTGACTTTCTCGACGACGACTATGACGAGTCAGAGGCTTCCGAGCGTGCGCCCAGCCCAGCTGCTGAAGTGAGCGAAAATGACATGAAAATGTGCGCAGGATTGATCAAGTCTCTCTACCCACTTTGTTGGAAGCTTCTCAACGCTGCTCCAAACACTTCAGTGCGCGTTTCCGTCATTCAAATCGTCATCAGAATGTCTTACAGCACAACAGCTGATGTTCTTCGAGAGCTTTTGGCGTCGCAGGAGAGCGAAACTTGTAGTCAGATTCAGCAGCTCTTGGATTCATCGGACACGCGTATCCTTGTCCCTGCGTTGCAATTGACAAGAACTGTCCTATCGATTCTCCCAGAGTTCCAGTCCAAGTTCCAGCGAGAAGGCCTTGTTCATTGCTTGACGCAGTTGCAGACGCGAAAATTGCGAGTCCACAGCACTAGTGTTTCCGGCCCTCTGAGCGCTCCGGCATCGTTGGCGACGACACCTTCAGATCAAAACCGACCACTTCGATTTGCTGGAAGCCAATCTGAGACTAAACGAGTCAAGTCGCGAAAATCGGGTTCTTATCTTACCTCTCTTATGCCCAGCCGAAAGCTCTATCCTGATGCGGAGAAAATAGATGCGACGGAAAAGACGGTCAAGGAACAGCTGAACGATGCGATCGCCAATGTCGAGAAAGAAATAAAAGTTCAACAAGCTCTGGAATCTCTTGAATCACCCACGAATCCACTTCCTATCCCCACTCTTCCAACTGACGTAAAGCGAAAAGAACAAGAGCCCGAAGCTCCCCCAGCAGCACCAAGCAGCGAATCCGCGGAAGGAAGCTCCACCGCCACTTCCGCCACGACCCTTTCCGCCAATTCCATGCTCCAGATTCCTACCTCTTCAGGAAAGACCGAAACTCAGTCTCACTACCGAAACCGATGCGATTCACAATCACGAAAGGAAATCGAGCTCAATTGGGCGCGACAGGAATCGAAGGAAATCCTCGAAGAATTTTTCAAGGATCAAGAAAATGAGGAAGGGCAAAGCGCGTTGATTACGCAACTGATTGAAGTCAATGAAATGCTGAAACAAGGCGATTTGAGCAAGCAAATTCAGGGACTAGAGCAGTTCGCCTCTATTTTAACGGTAATTTTGTGAAAAATACTGTTTTACGAGCGTTTATTATTTAGGCACAAGACTTATCCCCATTCGAAATCATCCACACGAAGATAATGGAAAGCCTTTTCGAATATCTCCAAGCTTCGTCGCTCAACCAAAAAGAGTTTCTCCGAGTATTCGCATCGCTGCCAAAAGAATCCGAATTGAACACTACCGATGTTGTCATCCCTCAAAACACAGAGCTCCTGGAGAAGCTTGTCGCTAAGATTCACCAAATCGTCTCGCATGTGGAAAAGTTCCCAGTCAAATTGTTTGACATTCAACATGGGCGAAGTATGACCGGTGGCTCGCAGCATAGTCAGGAAAGTGTTCAATAGGTTGCTTGATTCGTTTTTGTTTCACAGAATTATGAACACTAAGCAAAAGAAAAAGGTCAAATGTGTCCTTCAAAAAGACCCAAGTTGCCCAAAGACGAAGCAATGGACGAGTGGACCTGTTAAAATTGACCCTCTTGCGCCCGTTTCTGCCATTGAACGACATTTGGTGATGAAGGGCTTTGGTTTTTCCGTCACAGAAGTTCGCAATTCCGACTCTGAAGAAAACGACTCAGGTATCCTTTCGCTTCATCTCTTTTTGATTGATAAACGATAATAAGAATCCGATGACGAGTCTGATCAGCCCTCATTCATCGCCTTCGCTCGGGGTCAGCGACTCCTTGACCTTTTCATCAATGGCCAAAAACTGGCGCCGAACATAACAATCTACCAGGCGATCAGAGAATGTGAAGAGTCTGGCTCTGAACTCTCCGATGACGAAGAATATCAGAATATGATCTGGGGACGAACCTTCACGATTACTTACAAGCTTATCCCAAAAGAGGTATTTTGTAGTTGATAACCCACTCTTGTTGGGCGCAAATATTAGGCAAAATTAGACGATAGGTATACTAGACTAAAAGTCCGGTTTGGATATGAGTTAGGAAGAAATTTTAAACGGCGGAACGATAAAAAGTACTTATGGTCTTTCTTCAGAGCATGGATCAAGATAGTAAAAAGAAAAGCAGCCAAAAATTCACGAGATCAAGCACCTTTCATCCGATTCGCCCCTCTGGACCGACGGAGTCGTCAAATCACAAGAAAACCCTATCAGACCTTATTTTACCAGCTTGACCGGAAAACAAAACGATGAAGCGACCCTCTTCTCTGCTAGTACGGAATCATTCTTCATTTCTTTTTTTCTCAAATACGTATTTAGTTGGGCTTTTGCGTGGTTTATTCGGGCTCTCGCGTTTCTGGCAAACGCTCTTTTCGCCCAGCAATAGTTGCAGCAAGAAGATGCTCATCGAACCCGAGGAATTCGAAAACCATTCCATCACTTCAAAAGTCTGGCGTCAACTTCAGGTTTGTTGGTTATCAAAAGAAAAATTCAAAGAAAAACAATTTAGGATCCATTAAACGTACTCTCGGGTACGCTGCCCAGCTGGCTCTCTGATCTCATTGAAAACAGTTCATTCCTTTTGCCCTTTGACCTGCGACGCTATCTGTTCTACATTACCGCGTTTGACCGACAACGCGCCCTCGCCAAGTTCGTCGAGCGCAACCCCGACCACGATATGAGCTCCAGTCGACGACTCAACTCGGAGCGCAGCTCGCGGGAAAAGAAAATCGTCGACCGAAGCCGAATTCTACAAGACGCTGAAGAGCTGCTTAACAAAACGAAAAATTCAAACGCCTACATCGAAGTTCAATATTCGGATGAAGTCGGCACTGGCCTCGGTCCTACACTTGAGTTTTACACTTTGGTTAGTTTCAGAACATTCTACCAGCGTCTCATGATTATTTAAGGTGTCAAAGGAGATCCAAAGAACAGACTTGGGTCTTTGGAGAGGCCATCGCCAAATTGAAGATAATCTAAAAGGCTTGGTTCATTTTTTTTTCTCTTTTTTGATCAAGTAATCGCTGAACCAAGAAATAGGAAAATCTCAAGTGATCGACTCCACCACCCGTGGCGAAGGACTTTTCCCTAATCCTATCGCAAAGTCCTGCAAAAAGAGTACCGTTACTCACATCACCAACAAGTTCAAAGTACCTTCTCTTCAATTTTTGATCGTTCTCATCGTTGATTTCAGTTCTTCGGACAACTGCTCGGCCGAGCTCTTAAAGATAGCCGTCTTCTCGATCTACCTCTCTCGCCTCTACTCTGTCGCTATCTTTTGTCCGAAGAAGAGACGCTTAAGTTCCGGGACCTTTACGAACTCGACGCCCAGTTGGCTCGTTCTCTTCAGCAGCTGCAAACATTCTCTTGTAAGCGGTCTCCTTTGTTTTCCTATTTAAAATATTTTTTTAGCAAATGGAGAAGTTGACAGCATCGACGAGCTTTACCTCGACTTCGTCCTCCCCGGTTTCAACAAGTTTGAGTTGATGAAGAGTGGTGCAAGCAAAGCCGTCAATGGCGACAATCTTTCAAAGTACATCGATCTTGTTACTCACTGGACGATGCTTGAGGTACTTGAGTTTGTCGAACCTCGAGTTATATTTTGAGTTCAGGGTGTTCGACGACAATTTCAAGCGATAAAGATCGGCTTCAGCGAAGTGTGCGACATCAAGCATTTGAAAATCTTCCATCCATGGGAGCTGCCAAGAATTTTCTGCGGGTCAGAAAGAGCTCGATGGACGGTGAGTAAATGAGAGGCGATTTTTATTTAAAAACGGTTTTTAGGTTCTTGAGCTTGAAACTGCCATTCGCTTCGACCATGGTTACTCCACAAATTGCCGAGCAGTTCAGTTCTTCAACACCGTTCTCTCCGAATTAACCGGTGACGAGCAAGCGGATTTCCTCCGCTTCTCAACGGGCTCTCCTCATCTCCCAGTCGGCGGGCTCAAGGTTAGTAAAATCACCAGATTACTCAGTATCCTCTTTAACAGGCCCGCGAGTAAATAATAAGAATGCGCGCGGGTATGTTTTTCACGCGCCAGTGTCGGACAAATATACCCGCGCTGAGTTTCCATTTTAACTCTTGTTTCTATTTTCTGATTTTTAGTCACTGAACCCTCCTTTGACGGTGGTGAAAAAGACGGTCGAAGAAGGAGAGAATCCAGAGGATAATCTGCCGTCCGTCATGACTTGTCAGAATTATCTCAAGCTTCCAGACTATCCGACGCTTCAGGTATCAATCAGTTGAAATCATCGAAGAGAACACCCTTTAAGCTGATGCGCGAAAAACTGCTCCTTGCCATTTCCGAAGGCCAGGGCGCATTCCTTCTCTCTTGAACGAGAGAAGACGACAGTACCTATGACTCACTTCAATTATCATTGGAATAAGCAACGAAAATATGTAATAAAAAAAGACACCCAACACACTCAACGCCACTTATTGAAAAGAAAACAACTGGAAAAAAGACAAGATCGTATTATTATTTTAACCTTTTTTTAATAACTCTGATGGATACACCCTCACTTGAAAGGAAACCTGTTTTTCTGCGACCATTATTATTATCCTTATTCTTGTAAAACTGCACTCAGAGCTGCTCTTACGCCTCAAAATCTACTATAAATTTATTTTCAGATAGAAAAAAATGACTTGAGTACGAAAAATAAAGAAAATGAGTGAAACACAGGCTGTTTATTATGTCACGAAGCACAGCTGGCGTGGCAAATACAAGCGGCTCTTTGCGATTACCAAGAAAGGTTTGAAAACTTTCAACCCATCCGCCCCACATGAAGATACGAACGCTTGGGGATGGGACGAGCTCAATACAATCAGTCTCGATTCAAAGTCGCGCTCCCAAAGCGAGTTCCTTATCCACATCAAGAAAAAGGGAAAAGTGGAGACGATGAAGTTCTCGACTGAGCATCGAGACGAGTTGATGACAGAGGCGATGCAGTTTTATGAGAAAATGGCCGGTCTCGCAAATGTGGCGAGATTCAACGCTGTGAAGCACAAGTGGGACGAGAGCGTTGACCATTGTACAGTCATCGTTGGCCCTGCCAGTATGTACGTCGTTCTCAAAACAGGACAGATCAAGCACCGATTCGACTATCGCCTAATACAAGGATTCACAGAAGTCACCGATGTCAATGGCGGCTTCGTGGTTGTTTACGAAGAGCACAAACGGCTCTACCTTCTTGGCTCGAATCAAAGGAATGAAATTATCCAAGCTTGTCAAGAAGCAGCAGCGGCAAATCTCTGCATCGGCTTGAAAAGAATAAAGCCAGGAATCTCATCTGTCGACTTTCATTCGCGACGAATGGGCGACTTCTCGACTGATGAAGCTCTTACTTCATACGTTGAGTTCAACGTAACAAAAACCCGGCCGGATGGTCGTCCAAGCACGCGTCGCGCTCTCTGCCTCACGGAAAACTGCCTTATCGAGCGAGATCCAGCCACTTATTCTATTGCTTCTCTTCGCTCACTTCAGCGCATCGCTGGAATTGCCAGATCGAAAGCAAATCCCCAACAGTTTATCATCGAGTTCGACAATAGAAGACAAAACTGTTATCTTTCTCCCGAGCGTGATTCTCTTCTAGCAACGTTGTTGGACTCTGTCCGTGGATCTGGAAATCGCGATGTTTGCGTCAAAAGCTCGCCAGGAGATCCACACATGCGATGGGCACCTCTCTATGCTGGCCCTGATGAAGATATTGAAACCCTTCTTCTCAAATTCCTCGGAACAGGAGGCAACGACGTAGACGATGCAGTCCTGAGATTCAACGCGAATGTTTCAGCATCCGGATTGGCCTTTGCCGTTAGTCAAGAGCGTCTCTTTGCGCAAAATAAAGAAAAACTAATCGAAATGGCGATTTCTGCCCTTCTCTCCGCGAAAGTAAAGGACCCAGAAGCCAAGTTTTTCGCTTTGAGAAGATTGGTCAGCTCAAAAGCTGGTTTCTCTGCGTTCACAACACTCGCGCGTTTTAGAGATTCCCTCGGAGCCGGTGTTGTGGAAGCGCTAAAAGCAGATGATGATGCTGTCCTTTGTGCAGCTGTTGATTCTCTTGCTGCACTTATGTGCCCGATGCATGACAATGCTGATTTGCGACAAGAACAGTTGAACAAAATCTCCTTGTTGTCTTCGCAAAAGTTTCTGGAACTCCTTCTCGGGAAGTTGAAATCTCATTGTGACAAAAACTCTGGCGCTTTGATCATTTCTGCTTTGCTGGATTTATTCACATTCGTCATTTGCCCTCCCTTTTCTGAAACGACAGCGGGCGAGAATTTCGACTGGATGCTCACTTCCATCGCCGGCTTGGGCAGATCGTTCTTCAAGCTCTTTCAACACCCAAGTTTGGCTATTCAAAAGTCAGCTGGTCTCCTGATGCAAGCGATGATTGAAGAGGGGTCTCCAGAAGTCGTCAAGAACTTGCAAACTCTTGCGATCGATGAAGGCGCGTTTTTGATCCACACTCATTCTGCGCTCTTTTCTGTTGGGACTCGTGCCGCTGCTAATCGAGGTCTTTCTCGACGTTTAATCGCTCTTTGGGCGACGAACTTTGGGCCAACGCAAAAGCTTCTTAGACAAATTCTCCCAGCCGGCCTTCTACGCTGTCTGGAATCAAGCGAGTCCGTCGTTTTGACTGATGAAGGTGAAATGCTCGATCGAGACAATTTGAAAGTTGCGACAAAAATGAGTGAAATCTCGGCGGTTGAAACACAACTTTTGGAGGTCGAAAGAGCCGTGAAAAACAGACAAAAGCGCTTCTAGCTCACTGGCGAGGTATCCAAAACAGATCCAAGCCGCCCGAAGAAGTACAAGCATCACAACCGAAACCGATCGTCCTCCGCCGCCGCCGTGAAAATACGAAAATCAAGGAGAACTGGAACTTGCTTTATTATCAGTGTTACAAAGATCATCAAAAGCCCGATTTAATTTGGAACTACAAAACACGAGAAGAACTACGAGTGACACTTGAGAACGAAATCAGAACCTTTACAGACGCCGTGGCAGTTATCGGTAACGAAGACGCAGCTTGGAATTATGCCGAGTTTGAGGTGATGTTCAACTCGCTAGCTTCAGAGGTCAAGGTCGGCGATTACTACCTCCGTGTTTTACTGGACATGGATGGCAAACAATCCGGACTTACTATCCATCAGTCTCCAGCGTTCTTCTCCCAGCTTTATCACCGGTTTTTGCTCACCACTTCTTCGAGTATGAAAGTACAGTGCCTTCACGCAATGGCGATCGTATACGAGCGCTGTTATGAAGAAATCGGCCTGTTCGAAGATGCTGGTTACATTGTCAAGCTTTTGGAGACAACGAAGAATAAAGCGGAACGAGATCGATTCGTCATGTTCATTGAAAAACTGATGCTCTATCGGGATAATGTGAAGCTAGTGATTAACGCTGGTGGAGTAAAACTGCTGATAGATTTGGTAACGCTCGCTCACTTGCAGAAAAACAGGCCAAAGACGACTGTGCTTCAGCGGAATGCCATCATCGCTGGTGAAGAGCTCGAAGCAGAACTGGAGGAAAAAGAGTGGTACTACGGGTCGGCCAAGGGTTCAACTGCAGAAAAGGATCGAACAGGGCCCATTAGCTCGAGCGAGATGAAACGACTTTATGAAGAAGGCGACATTACTGAACGAACCAAAGTTTGGGCACAAGGCATGGACGGCTGGAGATGCTTCGTTGAGGTCCCTCAGCTAAAATGGACGCTCTTGGGCGAGGGCGAGCCGATCTTGTCGGAATCGGAGCTCAGCGCGACGATTTTGAACATTTTCACAAAAATGTGCGAGCAATATCCGGCGCGAGGCACGAATGGGCAACTTATTCGTCCACCACCACGAGTCAAGCAGCTTCTTTGCATGTCCGACGCTTTGCCACACCTTGTCCAACTCCTCTTGACATTCGACGTCACTTTGGTTGAAAAAGTAGCCAAGCTGCTACCGCTTATCTTGGTCGACTCGCCTCTCATGCCCCGATTGTACCTCACCGGCGTTTTCTACTTCATCATCATGTACACTGGCAACAACGTTCTTCCAATCGCAGTCTTCCTCAAAATGACCCATCTCTTGCAAAGTTTCAAATCAGAAGAAATCATGTCCAACTCGTTGAAGTCCCGCTCCATCCTCGGTCAAATTCTTCCTGAAGCGATGATCCACTATCTTGAAAACCATTCGGTCGAGAAGTTCTCTGAAATTTTCCTTGGCGAGTTCGACACACCTGAAGCTATTTGGAACTCTGAAATGAGACGCCAAGGTAGAATTTCTTCATAAATTTTAAAACTAATCATTTTTCTAGCGATCGAAAAGATAGCGGCGCATGTGGCAGATTTTTCGCCCCGACTGCGCGCCAATACCCGTGCCATTTACCAATACATTCCACTTCCTCAAATTATCTACCCAAGCTTAGAGAAAGAACTCTTCTGTGGCTATTACTACCTGCGCCATCTTACGAACACACAAAAATTTCCAAAGTGGCCGATTCGCGACCCTGTGCGTTTATTGAAAGACACCCTTAATAACTGGCGAGCCGAGTTGAACAAGGAACCTGGTGGACTGTCAGAAGATGATGCTCTGCGAACTTTAGGACTTGACCCTGCTGCTGGGCCGTTTTCGGAACCAAAAGTGCGAAAGGCCTATTTCAAAATGGCACAAAAGTACCATCCGGATAAAAATCCAGAGGGCAAGGAAATGTTCCAAGCAGTGAACCAAGCGTACGAGCAACTTGCTGCCAAATCAGATGAAGTCGACGGGCCTAACCCTGTCAACATCCGCTTACTCATCAAGGCCCAAGCCATTCTGTTCGAAAACTATCGCTCTGAGCTCGAGCCGTACAAGTACGCCGGCTATCCGATGCTGGTTGAAACTGTCAAGTCTGAAACTGACGACGAACAGCTTTATTCAAAGGTAGATGCGGAACTTCTATCGCCTTCGGTCGAGCTAGCGTATTACACCGTTTGCTGCTCGGCATTGAATGCTGAAGAGTTGAATCGGGAAAAGGGCTTGTTTGAGTTGCGAAGATCGCTCAATCGTTGCATGGGAACCCTTTCAAAATCTTCCGAAGCCACTGACTTGGACGCAAAGGTCTGTCTCTTTGTCTGCAGGACACTGACGATGTCTGCGCAATTCCCATCTTGCGTTGCAAGCCTGACGGAAGAACCAGAGAGCTTATTGGAAGATATCATCAGGCTTCTCTGCTCACACCTTGTACAACTTCAACTTGCGGCTGTAGAAGCTGTAGCTGCGTTTGGAATGATTCCAGAGCTTCGTAAATCGATGATCAATCAAGGCGTGCTACCGATTTTGATGGAGTATCTGTTCGAATACGACTACACGTTAGAAGAAGCCGGGATCGAAAAAGACATGGAGAGCAACAAACAAGAGCAGAAAAACAAACTTGCAAAGCAAGCTCTCCATGCGATCATCGTCCTCGCCGGTCTTTTGCCAACTCTAAAAACAGACGCGGATATCCGCCGCTGCCTGGATTGCTGCATGACTTCCTACCTCGTCAGTCTAATGGAGCAAGGAGATCTCGCGCTGATGTTGAAGCTGTTCACAACGAACTCAGAAACACCGCTTCTTATTTGGGAAGGAATGGCGAGAAACGAACTCGCGGACTTTTTGGAGAAAGAGCGGGAAACAGCACTGAGAGATGCAAGCGAAGTTGATTTATCGAGGATGGCGAATTTCAAGATCTCAGCACATTCAGAAGAGCTCATTGTTCATGGTAAGTTTCTCATTAGAAAAGAATAATTTCTATTTTCAAAAAGGCGTTTTCGTCCGCGTTTTCAACGAACAGCCGCAATTCCAACTTCCTGATCCCGAGGGCTATCTGAAATCGCTTCTTGACTATCTTGGTAATCAAGCTCAATATTTCGCCTCGATCGGAGTCGACGGAACTGTTGATCCAACTCGACTTAATCAAACCTCAATGGCCCTGAGCTCAGTCTTCCATGTTCTCTCCGCGAATCAGCCCTATTCCTTGCAATGCGTAAACAGCCTCCGTCTCCTCAGCAGCTTCTTCGTTAACGATCACACGACAAGCGAGATCCAGCTGAACACCCTTCGAATTTTCGGAATCGTCGCTTCGGTCCAAGAAGTCGTCCTTGCTATCGCGCAACAACGTCTTCTCAGCTCAATTTTGCTCGTTGTCGAAAGGTTGACTGCTCAAGAGCACCAATTCTTCCTTCAAGTCCTGAGCGCGCTGAGCTCACATCCAGAAATAGTGAAACAATTTATTCCAACTGGAGGTGTTTTGTACACGACAAACTTGTTTGCGAATAGCACCGAGCCAGCTGTGAGGAAAGAAGCTGCTGCTTTGCTCGCTAAGGTTTGAATTCGACTAAAATTATTCTTGTTATCAATTTTAATCAGGCAATATCTGATCGACTATCCGGCCCGCGCGTTCGAATTTCTCTTTCAAAGCTTCTTCCACCAATTTTTGCCGATGCCATGGCCGACAATGCCGAAGCCTCGGTAGCGCTTTACGAAGGAATTCACGAAAACCCCGAATTGATCTGGAGCGAAGAGACCCGTCAGCAGACTTCTCTTTATTTGGAACGCAGTGCCAGAGATCTTTCGCAGCAACAAGCAAAGAACCCCGAGATCGACTGGAAACCCCCAACTGAATCGTTCCTTCCAAACAAGGAGTTTATCCTTGGTGGTGTTTATATCCGACTCCTGCTTCAAAACCCTGGTTGGCAGTTGAGAAGGCCGAAAGAATTCATCACGCAGCTGTTCGACAGAATCACGGATCTGACAGAACCAACGAACGGAAATGTCGATCAAAACGAGCTCGATCAACTTTCCGAAGCTGGCTGCGGTCTTTTCACTACTCAAATTAATCTTTCAAAACTCGGTAGGGCCTTACTCTTGATCGCTTTTGCTGATGATTTTTGTAGTTCCTGGCATGGGAATTCTACCGACTTTGATAAAGCGACTCGGAGAAACGCAATATTTAAGACCTATTCTTCTTTTACTCAACGCTTTGTGCATGGAATCAAGTTGCGTTGGACAAATCGGCGAGATTCAAGGCTCGCTCAGAGCTCTCAAGGTAGCCATGGCAAATTGATTAGATGGTAATGTGATTCTAGCGATGTCTTATTGACGATCAAATGGCGATGATAGCGTTCGAAACGATATTCCGAGCTACGAACCACAGTAATTCAAACCTTACAGCCCAGGCGATCTCAAACGATGGCGAGTTCGTCAAAGCTCTCCTCGAGGTTACCTTTTCGATAATTTTCTAAATTTACAGTCGCTTTAGGAATTGTCTCTGAATCGCGTGAATAAGTCGTCAAAAGCGCAGATTGTCAAGATTTTGAAGGCCTTCATGGAATGTCCTGAATATGGGCCGCAGGTAAAATGAAAAGTTGAACCAGAGAAAGAAAGAAATTTAGGTCGCTGAAATCCTCGACGAGTCTGAAATCTGGAAATCCTATTCTTCCCAGAGACACGACTTATTTATTGAAGACAGGCCAGTTCTGGCGATTCAATCCGGTACCGCCCATGCTGGTTATCTGACACAGGTTCGAATATCGCCTTTTTCGCTCATTTACCGTTGATTTACTAGGGTTCTGCAGGAGTAGCCAATGCCCCGCCGCCATCATGAGCAAACATGTGCAATCAACAACAGAAAACGTTCATCCCTCTTCTATCTTCTGCAATATTTGTAAAAAAGAGAATCCCGAAAAGTTCCCACTATCAGTTCGTTTCATCTGGCCTTCGATTTCTTCATTTCTTTCGTTATTATTCTTTTCTACTTTCGCCAGCTTCTAATAAAATTTTTCACAATACGGACAGTACAAACGCGGACTGTTTTCTTTCGATACAACTTTGAAGAAAATCGTCAAATTTGTTTCTTTGTTGCAGGACTGACATTGCAGGTGGGATCTATTACAGCAACTTTAGCGGGCTGGAGGGACAAGTGTCGGACCACGCGGAGTATCCGGTTGTGCAGTTAGGAACCCTGTAATAATAGACGATGACTCGAACCTGAATCGACAAGTTTCCTGGTCAAATACGCTCCGGTCAGCGTAAGAATAGAACCAACAGTAATCTGTTGATACTTTTTGAGTCTTATTTTCGTTAATCCTGTATTAGCCACGAGTTCTATAAAGTGGGCGAATAAACACAGAAGTTCGCACTTTTGATAAAAAAGTAAGATGATTCGTTTTTTCGTTGCGATGATTTCAACCACCTTCGCAACTTTCTCACGTCATCGTCGATCTCTTGAGACGACGCCAGCCTCTGAAGTTAGTACTACGGAAGTTTTCAGAGGTTACTACGAAATATCAGACATGTTTGATTCTGATATACCGAATTTGCGTGATAAACCAGGACAAGTTATAAATCGGAACGTATAAGGGGAATTGGTAATCAATTTTTATTTGTTCCAGACGATTTACAACTGTGAATTAGTACATGATAACATCGACACCATGGTGATAGAGTTCGAAAAGAGGGGAAAGTCAGAAGATCCGCTCCAGAAATTCTGGCAATACGGATGCTGGTGTTTCCAGATGGGAAATTTTCCGCTTCAAAAAGGGATGGGCGTTCCGTTTAGGTTCGGCAAATGCTCAGCGTTTTCTGTAATCAATAACTTTCGTTTTTCTTATACGAAGATTTTGGAGACTCTGTGCATTTGCCTACCCTAACCTTAAGCAAGACAATGTGGACAGAGTTTGCAAGCGTCAAAAACAATGCTACAGATGCGCCGAAATGGACCATGGAGCCGAATGCAAACCAGAGACGAAATACAAATTTAAAGTCAACAAGCTTAATAATGAGATCCAATGCCGTAAGAGTATCATTTCAGTCTAAACTCTAATAATCTTATAAGGAGATGCAAAAGGAACCTGTAAAAGACAAATCTGTGAGTGCGACAAGGCGTTCACCCTCCGACTTAGAGAGGCGGAAAATAGTGATGATGGCTGGAAAATCGAGCACAGTCAACAACTTGGAGGCTTCAGTAGATCTCAATGTAGTCATCAAAATCCAGATAAACGGATTAAGATCGACAAGGAAGAAACTGAAGAAAAATGCTGCGGATCCGGAATGAATCGGTAGTATCTTGCCTTTTATTTTATTTATTTTGTTATGTAGCCATCCATACAAAATGAACAAGAACGGTACTGGAAGACAGTGTTGCGGATCAACACTTTACGATGCTGACACCCAAGAATGCTGCATGGACAATCTCCTCACTGCTATTGGCGGTTGTTGATTTCTTATGAACTAATAATCTCTCGTTACCCTTACATTCTCCTAACAAAAACTATATTTCTAACAATAAAGTGCGCGTACTGGTGGTATTCTTCCGATTTCTTCGTTTCGGCTATTTGATCCAGTTTTCAAAAGGCGCTGCTTTGCCTTGCAGAAAATATTCAGTGACTTTTTCTCCGATTGTTAAAATTTTATTGACGTTGATCAGAATGCAATCTTTAGCTATTGAGAGAAATATTCTTACTTTGCCGGAGATTTATGCTTAAATCTTCGATTACTCGAGGGTTTTTCTTGTCGGAATTTTCGCAGCTTTCTTGCTGATAAAATTGTTAAATAACAAGCATGGGCCCTTGCTGCCAGAAGATTCAAACGTCTCTTCGGAAGAACTTGAAGTCCCAACGTTGCTGATCGGGATTCCAACAATCAAGAGACACGGAGAAGAATATCTCAGCGATACAATGCAGTATTTACTGAATGACCTTAATCACTTTACAGAAAATTTTTCAAACGTTATTGACATCAAAGTTCTACTTTATGTCGGAGGTACTCCCAATATGAAAACAAGTTTTACTTATTCTGTAGCCAATGATGAAGAGTACTATGCCGAGCTCGTGGATAAATACGAATCGGAAACAACAAAGATCGTGGTTGCTCCCTCTGACTACTACGGATCCGATCTTGTCGACATCAAGCACAACTGGGGAGATTCAGACGATCGCATCGTCTGGAGAACCCGGCAATGCCTGGACTATCTTTTCATGTGGAACATTGGCCTCGAGTACGACTACTTTCTTCAGCTTGAGGATGATCTGGTCATCGACCGTGGATTCTTCCAATTTCTGATGATGCAAATCCAGCAGAGAAAAGACGACCCAGATTGGGTCTCACTTGAGTTCTCCGAAATGGGCTTTATTGGAAAGCTCTTCAGAAAAACTAGTCTTCATGATCTCATCACTTATACGAAGCTTTTCTATCGAATCAAACCAATCGACGTGATCTACTGGGCGTTCGTGAAAATGAAAGCTTGTCTGCCCTCATACGACGCGGAGAGATGCAAATCGCTTGTGGACAAAGTTGCAGTTCCAGTTCACGGAAAGAACTTTCTTCATCACGTGGGGCGCGTTTCATCCCTTCAGGGGAAAATTTCGCACTTGGGCGACTTGAATCCGACGATTGAGGCGGGAAAAATTGTGACTAACTTGAACAAAAAGGATGTTCTCGAATTTTATTATGGGAAGAGAGGTCTTTTTCTCCAAGCTTCTCAAAAAGACACCACGATAGAATTTCACTTCAGCCATCTTCAGTCCCCGCAAAATCTCGTTATTACCTCTGGAACCATTGATTTTCATCAGATTATTCCAGCTGATATTAAAATTGACATGATAACCTCAAGCGAACAGACCAGTTGGACAAATAATCCGCCGGGAAAAGCTTGTTTTCATGATAAACAAGGTATTTTTATACAAAAAAACTCGGCTGCCGGCGGATTTACCTGAACGGGGGTTTGACCTGGCGTCGGATTTACCTAAACGGGGGTTTGACCTGACAGGTAAATTCAACGCTCAGGTCAAATCCCCGTTCAGGTAAAAGCGCCGTTTTTCTAACGAAAAAATGTAACGCTTCAACTTGACTTTGATTCAATTAATTATTTAGAAAATTAATTATTTTAGGGTTGTTAGATAATCGATTTTTCTAGCGATGCTTAGGGGTCTTATGATACAGCTTTAGAAAGCTAAGAAGTTGAGCTTTCATTTTGGCACAATATGAAGGAGTCTCATGCAAGGCAATTTATTGGACCGGAAGTTCCGAAATGGACTCAAGAACACGTCAATGGATTTATAAAATGCTGCTGACCTGCATCACAGTGGCCGCTTGGGTCGCTAGAAAGTCTAATTTTGTCCCGGAAATGGGATTTCGTGAACTAAAACGGTGTAAACCTCAGGAGTGACCAAACCGTCCGGTTGAAACGAAGATTTGTGTCGGGGTCAAAACTTCGCACCTGGAAAGAACGGGCAGGATCTCCAGCCGAGCAAATAGGATGCAAGGGTCCGCCGACATGTGCTAACTCCTGCAGAGACTGCCCTAAGCGCAAAATCAGAGCTGCACTCGGCATGAGATGTGTGAGCCATTGAGTAAGTACAGTGTATGATCACAGGGCATATTGAGTCCAAGATCAGGATCAAGCTCAGCCGCGTATAAGTCTCGATAAATTATTGACAATAATGCGAAAAAATATAAGTTGGACAAATCTTGCCTAATTTTTAGCTTACGATTGGCGAAATAAGGATAAGATTAAGGATACGAATAATAAGATTTTTTTGTGTGGCCATCCTAGTTATTTTACACCTCACGAGAGTCGAAAAATTAGCTTTCGCGCAGAAATGCCTTGAAGTTTTGAAAAAAGAAATAAAACTGTAGATATCTATCGCTTAGCTATCTTTAGATTACACTTCGACTACTCTTGGTTAGGGTTAGGGTGAGGGTTCCTGAGGTGTTTTTGCGGGTCGGCTAAAAATGACAATTCGGTAGGGTAAGATTAATTAAAAAATATTTACTTGATACCCTTAACCCTGGTTTTAACAATTTTGGTCCGTGCGAGGACCATTTCGTCCAAAACCGTGGTGGGGATCTTTTGAAGTCAGTTTTGACGCCGAAATCGGAATCTACGCCCTCGATTACCCCTTGAGGCAAGAATTGACCAATTTTTATTTTTGAGTCTTCAATTTTTTCATATTTGAAGCTTATCCGCGACTGAGATTGATCCTAATCTTGAGCTCAATCTGTCCTGTGATCATATTTACTCAATGGACCATTGACAATGGCTCATACATCTCGTGCCGAGTGCAGCTCCGATTTTGCGCTGAGAGCAGTCTCTGCAGGAGTTAGCACATGTCGGCGGACCCTTGCATCTTATTTGCTCGGCAGGAGATCCTGCTCGTTCTTTCCAGGTGCGAAGTTTTGACCCCGACACAAAGTGGAGTGTGCCATTCTTGCGCCCCCTTTCACTATTCTAGCCCTAACCCTAACCCTTGGCACTAGATGGCAGGTCAGTAGTATTTTACTAGCATTTTTTCAAGCCTACCGATGACTCAAATGAAGAGTTCTGGTACCCATTTCGGAACTTCCGGTCCCATGAATCGCCTTTCGGGCACGACCCAGACCCCTTGATACAGTGTTCAAATTATGCTCAGCTACGTGGCTTTCTTAAACTGTGTCATAAAACTAGAAATCCTAAACTAGAAAATCGGCAAAAATTTGATTTTTGATAGATTTTGAATATAATTATTGTTATTAAAATCATTTTTAAGAATGAATGAAACGGGGTGGTGTCTGGAATCGACAAAAAAATTTCGACAGCGCAAGCCCGATTTGAAAATTTTTTATGGAATTTCGACAGGAAAAATCGCAAAATTTTCATTTTGTGATCCCTTTCATTTTTGATTGACTGGGTTAAAGAGGGATCAGTTTGTGTTTCATTTTTGTTTCGCGGAAAAAAATTGTCGAAATTTTCTGGTCGACAGCCGAAGCCCGATTTGGAAATTTTTTATGGTATTTCGACAAAATTTTTTGTCGGGATTTTTTGTCGACTCCAGACACCACCCCAATGAAACTTTGATCAAAACGGGGAATTTTCCTGGCGTCAGATTTGCCTAACGGGGTTTTGACCTGAGCGTCGGATTTACCTGCCAGGTCAAACCCCCGTTCAGGTAAATCCCCCGGCAGCCAAAAAACTCTAGTTGAATGACACTTTTAAGAAAAAGGAAAGCTTCTTTGCGATCTTCAACGACTCAATCCGAGCAAAAAACTTGTAAAAGCGCTGAGGCTAGCAATTCCTTCAAGAACTCACGTGATGCTACACAAAATAACCATTGCTGGATGATTTAGAATAATTGTAATAATGTTCATCATAAAAAAAAAACAACTCAGAAGGAATTTTCTGGTTATGATCTAAAGATGTCAATTTTATGAAGAAGAAAAGGTTCATGATCGCTCGAGACTTCGATTTTGATTGCTTTGATGATAGTTTTTTCGGAACTTAGTTTGTTCATCGAGCAAGAGGTTTTAACACCAAGTGTCGTTGTTTTGGATCTTTTCGTCGGGCTTGATTTCAAGAAAGAGACTTCTTGTAGAAAAAAGTTGTTACTCTTAGAAGTCTGAAGATCTCTGAAAATAATCTAAGCCCTTTCCCGTGATTGCACTGGAAAAAGTCCAGAACATGTTTCCATCCCTCTCCATAAATATCTGCATATATCTTTGTTGTGTAAGGAATTTTCGATTTGGATTGATTACTCAGCTCGCCAGGAAGCTTTTGGGAGGAGCCATGGTAAAAAATGAGCTTTTCTGGCGACTGAAGGTGGCGGAATGAAATTTCAATTGTTGTTTTCTTGTCTTTCATTGAAAAAACTTTAATTGTTTTCGAAGAGCTAAAGAGTATTTTGAAACTGGAATCAAGGAAGAAAACTTACTAGTAAATTGCTTTCAATTCTGATAAGTCGATGTTATCAGTGCAACGGAGTTTCGAAACTTCGGGGTTTCCTTGCGGCCTGTCAACTAGATTCTGGACTTTTCCGTCGAGGGATGAAATCGAGCCAATATGTCTGAGGAGTGGAATTCTTGAGCTGCAGGGAATCACAATTTTTCGAAGTTCCCGTTCGCATCTGTCTTTGTCCCACTTAAAAGTTAATGTTTTTTTCGAGTTGAAAAAGATTCGTCACCTCCGGAGAACAAACTTTCATTCTGATATAACTCCAATAAATCCAATCAATCGGCTTCACGTCAAAAAATAACTTGCTGTACTGCGTCAGCGCCTGCAAACTTTCTTTATTGAACATTTTGCCAATGAAGCCAAGCGGCGAAAACTCGAGTGAAAACCAATCTCTTCGGTTTTCAAGGCTTTTCAAATGACCGCTGATGAAATGGAAGAAACCAGGGCTGACTAGAACGTCGTCTTCGAGTTGAAGATAAAGTGGAAAATCGATGGCGCTTTCCCAGAGGAAAATGTAGTCGAGAGCTTGCATCGTTCGCCAGAACATTCGCTCCATGGAATCGCCAAAAGTCGGGCTTTTTTGGGCTTATTTTATTGAATATTCACAATACGAACCTTATCGGCTTGACAAGATATTTGTGGTAATAATCATCAGGAGCCATAAGAATCGCGAAATCGTCACTAAGCAAGGGTTGAAATTTTCGAAAAAAAATAACGGAGCAAGCGACGAGTTGTTCGACTCGAAAAAATTTCAGAGCGGAGCGAGCGAGCGAGCGAGCGGAGCAATGAGCGATCCTCAGGTCATCTTGATATTCTTCCACAAGTTCGTCGAAATAATTTTTGTCACTTTTTCCGACAAAAAGAACAATCGAGATTTTGAAGGTTTCTGAATCTTTGAAGGTCCTCAAATCATTCTTTATTGAAGTCAGTGTGTCTTAAAACATATTTCATGTTGATTTGGAAAGAAGAACTTTCCAGTACCTCTGAGGTAGCTTTCCGCAGCTCTTTTGACAGTTGGAATGCCGACAAATAGATCGGTTTCTCCTAGAGAATTCGACCAAATTGGACTGAAGTTTCTTTGGTCAGGATAATTTATGCTGTAGGGATCATTAATCGTGAATTTCTTTTCAGTTAGCTTTGTGAAAAGGAAGACTTTTTCATGGTCATTTAAAATGACTCATTTTAGTTGTTTAAAATTATATTAATCATAGTAACCAATGACCTGTAGCAGCAATGCCAGTAAGATAACAAAGATTTAGTTGCTTATTAATTTTCATTATTCTTTGCATTTTTGTCTCGATTCCATTTTTCTGAAATTTGATTTTTAGTTTGAGTAAAAATCGAAAAGTTATTGCAGTGGAGCAGGGAGGGGTTTTTACGGAAGATAGTGGAATCAATTCATTTTCGTCAATTTTTTTCTTATGAAGACAGCACAAAGAATCGTCAAAGCGCCTTGAAGTCAGCATTAAAACCGGTCAGAAACTCTGTTTTTTACCAGAAAAGATGAGCACTGGTGACTGCAAAGTAACATGGTAACAAATTGAGAGTGAAAAAACAATTCCATAAGAAAAATACTCAACAAGTTTCAAAAATCTTATCCTCCTATCCACGCGTTCTATCGACATTTCGTCAGAATATTTTTCCATCTCATACGTCGTTATGATTCCAAAGGCAAAGGTCTTCTCAATTCTTTTATTTTCTCGCTAATGTAAGTCTCTTGATAATTCTCCGGCTCTCCGAAACTCAAAGTCAAATTTATTATGACAAGATTGTTTATCAGCGCGCTCCTTTTTCCCTTACCGTTCACAGCGAATTTTCTCGTTGAAAACCGAGAACTTTTCGGTCGTTGAATCGAAAAATATTGCGGTAAAAACGAATCAGAATAATGATTCCTTTGGTTATTGTATTCGAGCAAAAGCTTTCCAATAAACATTACTTTAGTAAAAGAGCCTCTGTTGTTCATAATAATTACTGGTATCAAGTTGATAGGACAGTGTTTCACGGCTGAGAGACTTGTGCTTCAACATTTAAGCTCTCATTTTGCCGTCTTATATCGACGTTCATGTCTAAAGAAGCTACGATGGAAAATACTTTTAAAGAGACCGTCGTCTCTTCGACCAAACAAATGACTGAATCTCAAACTGTGAGCACTAATGAAGAAGATGAAAAAGTGCAAACAGGACGATTTACTCCGAGAAAATGGAGCTTTCGAGTTTCATTCTTTTTCTTGGCGATTGTAAGCACTCTGACAGCATTGAATTTTATCTTTCCGGAATGCTCCCACCCGCTGCGAAAATGCACAACTCCTGAAGGACTCGTCTGGTTCACAAGTAAAGCTTAATTAGAAAATTTTTTGAATATTTTTTTTCAAGGCCGCGAGCGGAAAACTCGAGCTGAAAGCAAAGAGTACTGCGAAGAAGCTGGCTCTAAACTTGCTAATATTTCAATTGCAAAAGCGATATTTAGGGATAGTGAAGAATTCTTAGACGCGCACAGAAATTTTTGGATCTTTGGCAAGAGAAACACGGAACGCCGATTATATGGAAATGAGCCCGAGTATGGCTTACGACAGTAAGAAAAAATGTGTGACTTTTCTCAAGGGAGACCAGGAAAAGGTCCATAACTAGGGATTCTCACGGAAAAACGGCGCGCGGCGAGGCGCTTCTCGCCCAAAATGATGGCAATCTATTTCGCGTAACTTGAAAGAATTTCAGTGAAAAACCTCTGAATTTATGAAAAAAAATGACGCTTGTTCATAAATTGACCGATTCGGCTTCATTTTATCCGAAAGCTTCATTTTATCCAAAGCTTCATTGTATCCAAATACTTCATTTCATCCAAATTTTTTTTCGGATAAAATGAAGCAATTGGATCAAATGATGCATTTGGATAAGATGAAGCCCAATTTTCAAAAATCCCGGAAATTGGATAAAATGAAGCCATTGTATAAAATGAAGTCATTGGATAGGATGAAGTTTTGGATAAAATGAAGTCAATGGATAGAATGAAGCCACTTTTATTTCGAACGGAAAAAATGGATGAAATGAAGCAATTGGATAAAATGAAGCTGTGCTTTTCAAGAAGAAAATAAGAAAGATTGATATGTCTTTGTTTTTGTGATCCTTCTCGACCCCCCTCTCAGTAAATTTTTCGAAAAAATTTTTTCTTCTAAATTCTATAAAGATTGATTTTGAAGAATCATAATTTATCATCAATCATAAGTTCATTTTTTGTCCTTTATAATAAGGCGCGTTTTCATGTCGCCTGAGCTATCATGGCATGCGATACATAAAAATGATCGTCTCGTCGAGATCTTAATGTACATCATGGATTTATCCCCTTCAAATTATTTTCAACCCTTTATCAAGAGTACCTGATTTTCAGAAAAGGCCTTGAAAGCCACCGTCGCTCAGATTCTCGTATCTCCCGTGCCCAACCAGTCAACCTCATGTTAGAATCGACCAGAGTTCCAAAACACGCACTCGCACGCGGATTTTGAAAATTGTTGCGCACGCGCACGCACGCGCACGCGAAGATTGGGATCGCGCTCGCGTGCGTGATCGTGCGCGTGCTCCAAATCCTAGAAAATTTGGCGTTTTTAGGAAATTTTTGCCGAAAAATTTCCAGAGTGGATTCAAATACATAAAATTTTTGGTTTTCGTATGTTTTAAAACAATTTTGATTTGTTTTTAGCAATAATTGTTCTATACTTAACGATTTAAAAAATTAGAGAGGCTAAAAAAAGCTAAAATTCGACAATTCTATCCCTTTTTGCGCACGCGCATGATCACGCACGCGTGCGCACGCGTGTTCGAAAGTCGTTTCCGCACGCGCACGCACGCGCACGCGAAATTTTAAATTTCTCCGCACGCACGCGCACGCGAGAATTTTGCGTTTTTTGGAACTCTGGAATCGACACTGACAATACTTTTACAAGGTCGAGGACGGTCATCCGTAAGTTCGCTTGGTTGGTTTTTGTTATTTTTATTACAAAAATTCGTATAAATTTGTTGTTGAATATAACTTTTAATCATTAGGTGTTTCTTTGAAAACGTCCTATAATTGATCGGTCTCAGAGACAATTTATAAAAATTGTTATTCTCAGAAAAAAAGGTTCATTAAAGCCCGATGCTTCATTTTATCCAAATAAGAACATGAAAAAATTTGTCTTCGTTTTATCCAGAGGCTTCATTTTATCCAATTTCTGGTTTTTTGAAAATTGGGCTTCATTTTATCCAAAAGCATCATTTTATCCAATTGCTTCATTTTATCCAAAAAATTGGATGAAATGAAGTATTTGGATAAAATGAAGCTTTGGATAGAATGAAGCTTTTGGATAAAATGAAGCCGAATCGGCAATCTATTTCGCGTAACTTGAAAGAATTTCAGTGAAAAACCTCTGAATTTATGAAAAAATGACGCTTGTTCATAAATTGACCTCAAAAACGTAAATTTTCATCAAAAAAGCGAAGTTTTCTCGAAAATCCAAAGAAAACCGGCTTTCTATGTGTCTAACCGACCTTTTGAATCTCTGATTTTGAGATATGTCAAAGAACAGACGTTTTTCTAGAGTCTGTCATAGACTATGACTCATAGTTTGAAGACCGGGGAAAAACTAGAAGGCTTTCAAATGTCCCGTTGATCGAGTCTTGGTGGCGGCGCGATAGTGCATTGCACGGCGAGCGCGGCCCAAAAATTGGTTTCTCTACATTTTGAAGCCCTAACCAACCTTTTTAAGTTCTGATTTTTATATATGTTCAAAAAAAGACCTTTCTTTAGAACATATGTAAGTTTGAAAACCGGGGGAGCCCTAGAACCTCTGAAACCAACCGATGATTGACTGAAAGTGACGGCGCGGTAGTGCTTTACGCGCTCCGCGGGAGGCCCATGAAAAACATGAGCGCGCCCCATAATCTCGGTGGGTGCACACTTTGACTTACTGTAGGGAATCTGTCACAAATAACGGCGGGTTATCTGAACAAAAAAGCTCCCGGAAGTGGTAAGCTACCCGTTTGCTAAGAATTAGCCAACTCATAGTCAAGGATTACTTCCAAAACGAACCAAATACTAGGGCTTACCACCTACCGATCTTATCGGCTATAGGCTATAGCTTGCCACTACCTCAGAATTTGACAATGATTTTTGCATATTTAGAATCAGCGGAAAAAATTAGATCTAGTGTGAAAGTTTCACGAAAATTGAGTACAATTTTTTTTCCGTGAGAATCCCTATCCATAACGAATGCTCAACTGATAGATATTTTCATAAGACCCTATAAAAGATTGCCATGTACGAGTGCAAACCAAACCTCCACTTCAATTACCTCATGATGCTACCAATGGATCAAGCGTGCGCCATTGTGCCTCCGATCATGATGGCTTCCATGAAATCATTAGCCGAGCGAGTCTCAGACCCAAATGTTTTGAAGTTTTTGAACGTTACTGAGATCGACTTTATATCTCTTCGAAATGTATGAAATTCAAAGAAATATTTCGCTGAAAATTTTAAGCATGAAGTTTGGAGCCCAACTTTTTGCCGAGAAGATGAGTGCTGTGCTATGTCAGCGAATAAGGAGGTCAAGAAATTCGATCCAACTGAAAAATTCTCTCCTCTGTGCTATTTTAAAAGTGGCGAATAAATAAGACGGATATCGAGACTTCTATTATTAATAATAATTTATTATAGTTAGAAAGTTATGGAAAGAGTCAGGGTTAGTAAAACTAGCAGGATACAGTTGGATACAGGGAAGGCCGAACTCGTCTCTTGAGGACCATAAGTTTCAATCATATATTTGATTGTTGGTGGAAGGCCAGAGTGCATGACTTCCAGAGCATGGGTGTCGTTGTTGGTCCATTCAACATAATTCATGTTTTCGCGGGTGAACTGATTCCAAGACGATTCGGGTTTTCCGCTCTGAGAATACAAATTTAGCGAAACAGAGAATTCTAGAGCTCCCTCCAAAGATTGATTTCAAACCTTGATGATAGAAGCCCAATGGTTGATGAAGATGTCTGCCATTTGAATCATATATTCTTTTGGCGGATATGGATTTTCGGAAGGGCTGTGAAGAATTTCCCAGAGAGTCAAATTAACGCTTCCTTCATCATATTCTACCTCCATATTTGGAACATCCATCATGAACATGAGGTCTTCAGCATGGCCAGCTGCTGGAATGGGAAATGATGTCTCCCTTTGATCGGTTTTCAACTGATAGACTTAATGATTTTTAATCGATTGGAAACCCTAAATAAACGCATCGTAGAGCATATCGACATTCAGATAATAAACTGAAACTTCTGCGGATTGGTCAGAGTAAAGAAGAGCATGCTCAAAAGATGGAAGAACAAAGGCCATTTCACCCATGATCTTTGCAGCTAAAATCTGGTACTCTTGAGCGGTGCAGTTTTTGATGTCATCACAGTTCAACCACGGTTCGTCGCTCATGAGTCTGTTCATACGATATGAAAACGGTCAAAACTGACAGTTAGTTTTTAGTAAATATCAATTTCCTGAAATAGTTTTCAAAGACTTCTTCTCGGTCTTCTTCTGGGATAAATCTCACGCGTTTGCTTGTTGTTATTTCATCATTAGCGAGGTTGTAGCCAGCAAGATTGTCGAAGACTTTCAGTCGATCATCTTCATAAGGATTCAACTAATGTCAATCGAATGAGTGGTAATATAAAAAATATTTAGAAAGTTATCCGAGTTCGAGGATCCCTAAGCATATGTAGTGACGGCAGCATCTCCATAGTAACCCAAGAGAATGTACCAAATCAAGCTTCCTTCAAACGAATTTGCTCCAATCACATAATTGACGTTTTCTGCTACTCTTCCTTCTTCGAGTTTTTTCTTCGCGTTTTCCGTAAAGAACTCTCCATCGAAAGCAACTGGTGCCCAATCCGGATGATTCGGAAATTCCAACAAACATGCTTGGTCCGCTAATTGAAGCTTCAGAATTTCAGTCGTGTTCAAGCCACGGAATTGATCAACAATTTCTTCAGTGCTTTCTGAGCAGTTCAAGGGAGAGTCAATCATCGAGCTTGTTTTCTCGCAGAGGTTCTTTATCGCCATATTTCCATATTCTGACTCTTGTGGGGACATGTCAAAGGTTGCCAAGCCAGATTGAGAAATAGCAGTTTTGATCATACCCGCTGATTTGTCACTTAGCAACTGGAACCCTACGGACCAGGCGCCAGCAGACTCCCCACCGATGGTTATTTTATTCGGATCGCCTCCGAGGTTTCTAGCGTTTCGGTGAACAAACTCAATCGCTGCTTGCTGATCCAAGAGTCCGAAATTACCAGGAGTATCCGTCAGTCCATCAGGACTGTAAGAGCTGAGAAAGCCATGAATACCGAGTCTGTATTGAATCGCTGCAATGATGATGTCTTCTTGCGCCAACCGGGCGAAGTGATAGTACGCTGATGTTCCGGAAAAGAGACCTCCTCCGTGAATCCAGATAAAAATTGGAAGATCTGTTTTGTTAGTCCTCGCCGGGCGATAAATGTCCATGGCAAGACAGTTTTCGGTAATGACGCCATCTTCTAGCGCGGGTAAAAGCGCATCAGGCCCAAAAGAGTACCCAGGGCAGGCGTTTATTGCTTTTCCTGGGGAAACAGAATCGTAAACTCCTCCTTCGAATTGCTCGATCGGCTCTGGCTTTCGAAAACGGCGGGAGCCCTCGGGAGACTTTGCATAAGGAATCTGCTTGAAAAACTGGTATTTTGTGCCTCGCAAAACTTGTGAGGTCGTCTCGTAGCCGATAAGGGTCCCTTCGTCGAGATTGAGCTCGATTCTATCAGCTGGAGAAAACTCTGGCCGTTTCTCATTGAGGTCAAAGAGAAAATCTAGTGTTTCAAATTGAGCATTAGAAATCCTAAAAAAGGCACCGAAAAATAATGTTGCGGGACCAAATTCTCTCATTGTTGGTCTGAGCCGAGAAATCTGTAAGATTGTCGAGTTTTTTTTTACAAAGAAGTATAAATATTGTTTTACGGAAGAGATCTGAAAGGACCGAAATAAGAAGAAAGAGTTGAGGACAAAACGGCGGATTTGACGCTTGATTTCATTACATTTTTGGTGTGTGAACTTTATAGCTACTAGCTTGCAGCTATCAGCTTCTGTTGATTTAACGTTTCGAATATTCCAGAGTAAAAAAATTTTCAGATTCGAATTATCCGAAAACCATGGTTTTTCAAAAACTTATAAATAACATCTATTTTGCATGCAAGTTCTGTTGGAGTTATCGAAAAACATTTTATAGATATAACATAACATATGTAATCATTACACCAATGTCATTCTTTACGAACCTTATGACGTAAAACGATGCGCAATCGCAAAAATCGTGCGATTCTTTCTGCTGAATGGACTGTAGGATTCATTGCAAGAGACTTAGTCGGCTTTGAGAACTTGTGACGCCTCTTAAAATAAAAAAACAAAAAATTTAAAAGCTGAGAGTCAAATATTGTACGCATTAAACTGTATTCAAGAACGAAAAGGCGACAAGTCAATCATCAAAAGTTCTCCTTTCTCAAAAACGTCCTTGTAGGTTTCATGATTTTTTCAATTTGATGTCACTTCAAGAAAATTTCCCACAAGAACTAAGCAGAAACCGAGTAAGACGATGGCTGGCAGAAAATATACCAAAGCTGAAGAGAGAGTCCACGAAAACTCCAAAATGCCAGGTTATTTCGTCAATCGAAAGATACGATTTTTCCCCGTATTCTCCCGCACCAATATTGATTGCTAACAGGTGGCGATTTATGATTTTTGCCGGAGACAAATTGCATTTGTTTGATGCCGATGAAAAAAAGCTCGCAGTTGTTGAGATTACGAAATTTCAAAAACATATTCTTGCGGAGAATCCTCATCTTGTGAATATTCGCATCGATCGCTGGGACATGGAAGAAGAATATGGAACATGGAAAATTGACAATCGAGAATTGTCAGTCTTAAGAGAAGGCGGGGAAGCATTAGTCCTCGGTGAAAATTTTGATGGACTTGAGTTGGCAATACGTGTTCAAAATTTTGATCCATTGCTTTTCACAGAAAAATTCTCGTATGAAAGGACTCATCATGAAATTCATTTGTCATGCGGTAATAATAATCGTATTTTAAAATTTCTAATTTTTTTTGTAGACTTTGAGCAAGCTACTGAAAAAATTAACTTTGATGTCAAAAATGAAATGGTAATGAGAAACAAGCGAGGTTTTACAAAAAGAATAATTAAGAAAGAGCTAAATATTCCTAAGAATTTTAAAATACAAATAGACAAGGAAGAAGATGATTATGCTCAATTTTAATTATTATGTAAAATATTTAAGTTGTTGATTGTAAAAAATTGTTTTAAAAAATAATTAAGGCTGCTTCAAGTATCATTCAAAACTTCATAAAGATGTTTTCTATAAACCATGACCGTAATGGAAACGCGTATATTGATAAAGATGACGATCTCAAGATCCCTTTCCACAATAATATTGTTCAAAATTTTGTCAATGTCGAGCTTTATCATGATTCTGATAAGATACAGCAGGATTGTGTAGGCTGGATAACTATAATGGAAAAAGCAGATGGAACACTTCGAGAAAAACTTGAGCCACAAGGCAATGAGCATGATGATGATGGCGAACGCATAGTTGAGGAATTGGATGTTCATGCTCGCCAAAAAATATCAATCGAGATTTCAAGTGCAATTGAGTATTTGCGGTCTCTAACCATTTATCATTACGACCTGAAAATGGAAAATATTTTGATGTTTGGCAGTGTTCCGAAACTTTGTGACTTCGGACTAACTACTGATCTTTCAGGAAGACGTGGAGTTTTTCAAATGGGATATGTAAGACGCGGCTCGCAAAGAATGTCGCCCCGTTTATGTAAGTAAAAATTGATTTCGAAACTCTTAGGATCTGACTTAACTAAGATGCTGGTTCTCCTGGCTTTGCCGCTCAGCAGCAAATATCAACAGGGATGTTCGCTTTTCATTCACTTTGGATCTTTTTATCTTGTGATTGGTGGACTGCTTGGACACTTTTATATAAACCAGTTACCCAGATAGAATGGCATAAAATTGATAAAATTGTAAAGGTATCGTACAACCTTACGAATTTCTTATATATATTAGATATGAGTTTGTAAATGACATCTTTCAGATAAATGTTGATGAGTTAATTAGTAGATTTCGGCAGAACGTTTTCGGTTTGATACCATCTTCAGTGCCTGTTGAAGTGAAACTACTGAACTTTATACGCACATATATATATGTGTATATGCGTAGATCTTGAGCTGCTGATTTTAAATCTCCAATAAAAATCGTAGATGCAAAAAGAAATTTAAGAGATAATCGCGATTGAAATCAGACCGGAAATATCTAGAATCAAAATTTTCTCTAGAATTTCTTTTTGCACCTACCATTTTTATTGAAGATTCTGATTCCTCATCTCAAATGCTACAAAAAGAGCTTTTAAACTTTGAAATTCAAAAGACTGCTCCCGGTTTGAGTATTTTTTTTGCGTGGAGACCTTATATATATACTTTATATGTATATTATATATATAACAAATATCATAAATATTATGGAAAAATATTATATTGAAATATTAAAAAAGAATTAAATGAATACATAAAATATTTAAACCATATTTAAAGGAATGTCTCGGGCCAAATAAAGCTTTCCGTAATACTCCAATCGATGGCGTTTTTAATCATATCGGTCTTGGCCTTGATTATGACAAGTCGTCTGACTTTGATAGAAAAATCGTCACTCTTCCAGCTTAGGTCTTTTCACTTTATGATTTATTTGAAGTCGAAATCTATAATGACAAATTTATGAATAATAATTATGAATAATCATTAACATTAGCTTGAGAAATCGTCAAAATTTTTTTACAGTCATGAAAATTCCTTTTCAAAGAAAATTTTTTTATGTTTGATGAAGATGATTATGACTCACATTACTTCGCCCTAGAAGTTAATATTACAAAATCTTGTACAACATCAACAATGAAAAAGAAGATAACGAAATTTGTCGCAGTTGATATGGAAAATTTGCCGAATGAAATTTTCAATCAGAAAGAATCTCAGCTTTGCGGACCAGTCTCATTAACAGTCCTTCTTATGCACGCAATCAAAAATGACTTACCCGAGTCGCATCAGGTTGATGTTTCGTTTGAAAATATTCTCCTTACTTTGACTATGATCGTCTATCCAAGAAGCACAGCTGGACTCAACATCAATCATCGCAATGAAGAGATAGAACATCAAACAGTTGATATTGAACTTCTTTTAAAACGAATCTGCATGAAAACATATCTTATGCCTAGTGGTTGGGACATTATTCGTGAGCTTGGGTGTAACAGTAGATTGGAAAATATTCTTCCTGATCCAATGCCTCCTTCAGTTTGCATCTATTCGAAATGTGAGTATAGAAATGTATATTCTTGTAAAAATTTGAAATATCGATGTTTGAAAATTGATTTTTCAATTTAGGCTTTCTCCATCCAAAATTTAAATTCATAAGACCTCTAACCGTCACAGGCGCATTTATTTGCAAGAACAGCGAGGGTCCGGATTTCCACCAGATGACAATCGACCGAATCGAAAATGATGAGTTTGTTATTCAAAACACCCAGTTTTCGGATAAGTCTCCACCAATACTTCGAATACCGCTGACGAATCCGTATTATATATCAGCTGCCGAATATGATTATCATAACATCAAAAATGGACAGGCAATTCTTTTCTATGAAGACAGTGTATTGGAAATGGTGAATGAAAAGTTCGGTTGTATGGAGAAAGAAAAATGGTATCTTTTACCGAAGGCTTACTCACTCGAACTAATTGATTCGGAGAATTCTAAGCCCAGTTCAATGAACAACTACGAAGACGCAACACGAAATTTGTTTCATATGATGATAGTTGGTTCAATTATTTAACAATCGTGCTTAAAAAATAATTAAAATACTCGTAAATATGCTACTCGTAATTGCCAGAGTCGACTGTATTTATTCTATCTTTGAACCTTCTTCGTAGATAATCATTTGTCAAACGACAAACAGAAGAAAGATAAGATACCGCAGGTCACAAAAAGTAATTATTCATGACGCTACATAAGTTTCAACTTTTTTCATTAAGCGCTAAAGGAGCTCTTCAAATTTGTGTCGCCTCGCAAAAATCAAAATCAATCTCATGATTTAATTAATATGGTTGGATCAGATCTGTTGTCCTTACCCAAAGAAAATGACTGTAATCCAGCCAAAATCGCAAAACTAGAATCATCGTTTGCGAAACTTGCAATAAGTCTTGATAAAATCAATTATAAATTGGAACTTCAAAAAGAAAAAATTGAAAAAGAAACAGAAGATTTGAAAAACAGAATCATATCAGATGCAATGAACACGTTTGGACAAAATGTCAGAACTCACACCGAAATGTTAGAATACGAATGTGCGATCGCGAGACTTACCGAGCATCTAGATGGTCTGAATTTGCATCAATTAAGAATTTTTGCTAGAGATTGTCTGAATCCTACAGAATCATCAAAATCGACGGCGCCATCGGACCATAGACGTCTTGATCTCTCTTCAAGAGGGGTCTCTCAGCTCATTCCTCAGGAAGATAATGACAAACGTGAAGATAAGAATGTGAAAGGATTGATGCAAGACAAACAAGAACGATGCATCGCACATTTTATAGAGGTATGACTTAACTATTCTTTCGTACATAAGATTCTCCAAATCTAGATGGGATTCGACGAACACGATGTCAATCTCGCGTTTGAAGTCTGCGAAGGAGATTCCAACCAAATGTTTGACTTACTTACGAGTTTAACGGAATTTAATTCATGATTTTTCAGCAAATTTCTGAAGCTATATATTATTTAATACAGTTTTTTTTTGTTATTAATTTGCAATCATTTTCTCATTTGTCATAAACTCCTATATACAGTTATTTATGGAATTCGTGGACATTTTTTGTCCCCTAGATTTTGAAAAATGTCCACGAATTTGATACAGAGCTTCGAAAAAAATGTCCCAATTTTAAATTTTTTCCGAGAAGGTAAAATCGATGATTTTTCCAAATAATAATAATAAGAAAAAAAAAATACAAGAAAGCTAATGACGTATCTCTTAACAAAAATTGAGATTTTTGACGAAAAACAATTGTTTGCAGATAAAATTAGCTTCAATAACTAGAGTTTGACCATTAATTTAGGAGTCAAAGATATCCATTGACGAAAAATGTCCACGAATTCGATACCCTCTTTTTTGAATATGTCCCAAATTAACCCTTTTAAATCTGATAAATGTCCACAAATTTGATGTAATTCCATAAAAACTGTGAATGAGCCTTAATGAAATATTATGTTATTTATTGTTTAGTCGGTACTACCGAATCGGTAGTAAAAAAACAAGGATTTTCATCGCAAAACGATTTCGCCAAGAAATCCCTCTTGTAACTTATTACTTATAATTAGTAAGTACTTATTTTAACTCTAATGTCTCATTAGTTAATCATTTTCCAATCTCAATTTTTATTCTCTTCGTTGATACCAATCGCAAAGACACTAGCAAAAAACGATGATCGGCTGCTTATCTCTAAGCGCCAAGTGTTGGTCTTTTATGCGCTGAAGACGTGCGAGCTGGGCCGGGCGCAGCTCTTCAAACTTTCGCGGATTTGAAACAAAGAGAATCATTTCCGCGGTCATTATTTTATATGGCACTTCTCGACGGCGAAATCAAGGAGAATGGACAAGAGAAAACAAGTGACTTTTACTGATAGTACGAAGAAGAAGGATGCGTCGACGAGAAGACAGAGAAAATTGAGAATAGTTTTGGTCGGGGATGGATTTATTGGAAAAACCTCGCTTTTGTTGAGTTATGCTGCGGATAGGGATAGGTTTGATCAATAAATTTTGATTTTATGAAGAAGATAATTCTCATTTTTGGCCATATTTTTGGTCAAAAATGACGATTTTCTGTCGTTTTGCCTTTCGTAAAATATATTAGAAGAAGAATGTCAAACCTAGAAAAGATGGTCATCAAATTATCAACCAACAATGTACGACACATACTGCTACAACATAAACGTCGAGGACAAATCTTATTCCCTCGAAATCACCGACACAGCCGGACAAGGTGACAGATTTCGAATCACTAATTCGAGGAGTTGCGATTTTATGACCCTGACTTTTTAGATGAACACGAACGTTTACGAGTCTTTGCTTATCCACAAGCTGATTGTATTCTTTGCTGCTTTGCGCTAGATTCGCTCAATTCGTTGCAGAATGCACAGGAAAAGCTTTCAATGAAGATTGAGACTGCTTTCTCTTCTAGGCTCGGCAAGCTGAGTGGAAAATCTGAGTCAGGGTCTGACTGATCTTTATAGAAAGCCGCGCAGCGGCTTTTTTTTAAATAAAGTCGCATAGCGCTTTCGAAAAAATATTTTACTATCAATTTTTTAAAAGCCTGCGCGGGTTTTATTAAAGAGCAGTCAGACCCTGACTCAGGTTTTTCACTCAGGTTGTCGAAACCCGCTCTTTTTCTCAAAACTTCCTTCAGTATTGAGCTTCTGACAGTACAAATGGCATCCAGAAATCCGCAAAAACAATCCAACTTGTCCGATAATTCTGGTCGGCACAAAATCAGATCTCTTCGGCGACATCAGTGCAAAACTCAACCTTTTGCCACACGATAAGATGGTCAAATCAAAAGACATTCTCAAGGTCAAGAAATCAAAATTATTCGACGATATCGTCGAGTGCTCTGCCATCAATCAAGTAAATGCTTCCTCCCTGATTTGTGGATTTTTGACACTGCTTTCAGAGCGGCCTCAGGCGCGTGTTTGACCTTGCAATTACAGCTGCCATGATCAACAGGGGATTTTTGAAGACGAAGAAGTCGAGGTTTTTGGATTTTGTCGATTCTGTTGGAAAATTAATCAAATAAAGCTCTTTTCTCTGGAATTTAAATTTTCGCTGGTTATTCTCTGTGTGGAACAATGATCGTTGTTTTCGCGTTTTATATACGAAATCCAGATGGAGGAACAAGGAAAATAGTTGGAGCGTTGGCTCAGAATGGAAAGTCGTTGATAGAAGAGTCTCCTTCTGAAGGAGGAAGACGGATCTGGTGAACTTTGGCGCTGAAGAGTTTTGCACTAGAAATATCGAACGAAGACTTCTTGTTCTAATCGATAGTCTATCGACGATAGACTAGACTAAGACGATAGTCTTTTATCGAAAAAATTTTCGATGGAGCCTGATTGAGCTAACGGCCGAATGCTGACACCTTATTGGTCTTAAATTTTGACCAAAATTTTGGCTAAAATTGCCGCATTTTCTGTCGTTTCGTGCCACCTCCTCCATAAATTTTACTCTGATTTATCGACGATTTAAAAAACAATTTCTCATTAGGATTATTTATTCTTCGTTTCGGACGCTTTCCTTATTATAAAAACGCTTCAAAGCAAGAATTGATAGAAAAAGATTTTTCGCTTTTTTTGAAAAGCTAGGGAAAATTCAAACTTGTCATATTCAAATTGTGGGTTCTTGCGGTTAGTCACGGTCAATTTGTCCGAGAACGGGCGGTTCCTGAAAGATAAAAAGAGAAAAAATTGAGAGAAGTTTGAAGTTACAAAAAAGAAAACCTTGAAGAAATAAAAAAATGATCTCGAAGAAATTTATGAAAAAATATGATCAGGCTTGGGACACTTATTTCTTTGATGAAATTTCTTTGCTTCATTCTGTCTGAAAAAGAACTTGGAATATCGTTCCTGTTCGCCTCAGTTCCCGTGGTTGAATAAGCGGCCGTAGGAAACATGATTATGCGTGGCGCCGTGCGCGTAATTACTGCGCAACCCAATACTGTGTCCCGTTGGCGGGTAGTATTATTCCCCGGCCAGGTGGGGGAGTGGAATGCGGCCGGGACTCAAGGACTTCCAGAGGACCCGAAACGAGCGCTCTTACTCAGCGCCTGGGCGAAGTTTTTTCTATTTACGGACTTTATTTAGGAGGATTCAGATCGTTTCTTCGAGTAGCAAATGCTAATCCTAATTAGGATTAATAACTGTCTAGCAAGGGAAAATCCCTTATCGCTTGGAATTAGTAATGATAAGGGGGTCAAAATAGTTTGCAAGCTTAAGATATTCTTAACTCCAGACGATTCCCCAGCGACTATTCCGAGCTAGCAAACTATTTGGCAGAAATGTTGTTAAGGGTTAAAGGTGAAGTAGACAAAAATTTTGACTCAAAATCCCAAATCCTAAACGGGGTGACGTCAGGAACCGACAAAAAATTTCGACAAATTTTGCGTGGGCGGCTAATCGGCCGCTGATTGGCCGGTTTGCCGAATGCAGGATTCTGATTGGTCGAAAATTTCCACGCAAAATTTGTCGGAAATTTTTGTCGGTTCCAGACGCCACCCCCTATACATCGGATTTCGTACTCCTTGTTGATTTCGACTACAAAATAAGTTCCCACTTTGTGTCTATCCGCTTATTCCCAAATAAAATTTTCTCAAACAAATAACCCACTCGAGCCCCTTAATCAATCTTCAAGCCGTGTGATTATTCTGTCCACATTTATCATCATAATTTTTTCCGTCTTTTGTAATCATAATCAGAAGGCAATAAAATAAGACGATGCGTCAGTATCTTCTTCCTACGAAGGATAAAAATACGACTGAGGCGAGAAATGAGTAGCGCGCAAAAGTATGCTTAGGTGGCACTTGAATCCGCGGGGGCAGCCTGCACCACCGCCGCCGAAAATTCCCAGCGCCCTGGGGCCAGCGCATTTGTGAAATACGAGTTACTTTTGTCATTAAAAGTTTTAGGCTCTTCCAGCTCGTCAAAATAAGACATAAATCTTTGATCAAAACCCATAGAGACGAAACCCACGAAAAATAAAAACAGAGCAACAAAAGAAAAAAGCAAAATGGTGTCCCAACTGTGGATTCGAAAGAATTGTTCAATGTTCAAAATTTTAATACTTTTTGTGTCGTTTTGACGGTTAGGCTGATGACGAGCCATCGAAAAATGGAGAAAATAAAGAAATATTATAATGGAATTGTCGATAAAAGGCGAAACATCATCATCATAAAGAAAATGAAGAGAATGATAATAGTAATAAACAAGAAGAAGTTAAAAAGGTAATTCCTCAATAAAAATGGTTTTTTTCTAAAAAGAAAATAACAGTTGGAGTTTTCAAATTCCATGATTTTTGTAATGAAAAATTTTAAAGCTGAAAATTTCATCATTTTCAACGAAAAATTGCCCAATTTTAACGATAAAGTTTTCTGAAAACTGAGTTTCTACCGGCCAACAGCGGCTATTTGATTAATCGGAAATTTGACCAAAATTTTGGTCGAAATTGTCACATTTTTGTGGCCATTTTCGCGAACCCACAAGAATTAAGAGTTTCGATTTTCATTAAATCAACACTGACCCTAATTTAGGGTTATCTAAATTCCGATTGAAAGGAGAATTCGATGTTAAGATTTTTGTGTTTTTAGGAAATTTCACCGTTGGAGCAAGAAAGACTCGACAACGGAGCGCCAGTACAAATCGCGTGGCCCATGAATTCGCAGTGCACGAAGAGGGGAGATCTCTCGTTTTACGCGTATTATACGCTTTGGCGTAATGATAGGATGCCCATGTACGTGGTGTCATGCACGTCGCCGCGCACAGATGGCGCAGAATTCGTCGAAGCGGCTTATAGCTACTTTCAGAAAAACAAGTACGAGCCGACTGTGCGCTACGACGAGGCAGCCTTGGTGAGTAGAAATGGAAAAAAGTTTTTCATGATTTATTGGAAAAATTTCTTTATGTAACGCTTTCCACACTTTCTGATTCAGGATGGAAAGTATGTCGTCATGATGGTTGATGCTGATGCTCCTTCACCAAATGCTGCGCGATGCCGTTACTGGCTGCATTGGGCTGTTTCCGAAGTTGAAGGAAGGCATTTACGTAATGGAGTCAATTGGCAAAACACTGAAGGGAGAGTTCTCAAAGGTAAAATAAGGATTGGAGCTACCATTGAGGGAATAGGGGTTCCTGGGGGAGGGGCCATCTTGGCGAGGGTGAGAGTTAGAGTTAGACTTGACCGATGACTCATCCGGGATGAGGTAGTAGGGGTTATCATTCGAGCTACCTCTAAACTTAACCCAGGGGCTACACCCAACACCCCCGGACCCCCGTTAAGAATTCTCAGTCCCTAACTCTAACCACTAGAATGACAACCCCTCTCTACGACGGATGAGCCCCTACAAGGGACGGATGGGGCCTACAGTCATCATTTGATTATAATTCAACAGTTAATTATATTTTTAAATTTCAGAATACAATCCTCCAACACCAGCCAAGGGCTCTGGCAAGCATCGTTATCAATTTCTTCTCTTCGCGCAGCGATACCCTTACGGAGAGCTTACCACGGAAGGCGAAAGGTAAAGCTACTCACTTGCTTAACAAGCAATTTATCGTTTCTTTTTACAGATGTGGCTTTGATCCGAAAACGTGGGCAAAGGAAAATAAACTCGAACTCGTTGCTTCGTCGATATTCACCACAGAATATGAATAAAAAAACGCTAAAACGACGATATTCGAATTTCCCGCAGGCAAGACGATGGCGTCCTCCAGCGCGTATTAGGCTCTTCACAACTAACAAAAAAGAAAAAACAATTAGAAAGAACACCAAACTGCCCAAGAATGCGGAGGGACTCCTCGACGCATCACTTCAAAAATCGCATAACATCAATTCTAAAAATAATGCCGCTTTATAAATATTTAATATATAGTTTCTGTTAAAAAGAGTATTATTTCTGTGTTTCTGCGCTTATAATTCGCCATAATTTATGGCCCATAAACTTTTATTTATTATTTATATTTGAATAAAAACAAGAAAGAAAAAATATTGAGATCTGACGCAGTTTTGACTAGTCGGCAGAGTTGAAAATGATTTTTATGATATTTGAGCCAGTTCGCGAAAAGGAGTTTTTAATCCTTCCGGAAAGAAAGCAGTCTAGACGGAATCAATCTGTCAGAGTGGAAACATTCATTTTTTTTACGAGTGCGGTTAAAATCCCGCCAAGGAAAAGAATGGCGTCTTTGAGGGAAAGCCCTAGTCTAGCAAGAGCGCGATCGAAGTAAATCCATGGAATAACGGTCATTCTTGAAGAGTTGAAATTTCATCCTCTTTTGAAAGTATGAAGCATAAATTCCGTCGGCTTTTATTTACAGAATCTTTTTTGATAGAAACTAGTAAGCAGAGCAAGTTTGCCACTTTGGTTTCCAGTAAAACAGGCCCGAATCGTCCAAACAACACTGAAATTGGTTAAATCCAACACTTCATAAATAAACCACCTGTCCTGTTGTTTCATGGTGTCCAAATGGCAAACACTGTGAATGATCATAGTCAGTCAATTCGTTCATCAGTTCTAGCTTTGTAATTTTGATCGCTAGGGATTTATCGCACTCACAAACTGCTCGTTTTAAAGTTCCCTCCGCGTCCTCTAAATTAAAATTAAAAATTATCAGTCTTTGATGGACCCTTAACCACATTTCTAAAGGGCCGACCCTCAGTACTTAATATTGATCGATTAACTTTGTTTTATCGAGCTTACCGCAAAAGTTCTGTACTTCGTGATAGTTGTAAAAGCTTCGTATTCCTCCGATTGTTCTTTCCAGAGTTGAAAATATCTCCTCCGCAAAAAAGGGGGTGGCGTAAGGATTCTACAAAAAAATTCGACAAATTTTGCATGAAAATTTTCAACCAATCAGCAGGCTGGATTCGGCACACCGGCGAATCAGCAAATTTTACGTGGGCGGCTACCCTGCTGCTGATTCGCCGGTGCGCCCAATCCAGGCTTCTTATTGGTTGAAAATTTCCACGCAAAATTTGTCGAAATTTTTTGTCGATTCCTGACTCGTCCGCCTTAGAATAATTGGCAAATAATAAACTCCGGTCCTAATAGCACATTTAACACATAATCTCCACTCATGAAGTGCCTGGTCGACAGAATCCAGAGGAATTCCAGCGGCAGTTGTTCGATGATCAAATTCGTCTGAAAACAAGATTTATTTTGGAACAGGAAGAAAGTTTCTTGTCCTGGATATCCACGAAAATGTGTTTTGACAAACAATTTGGAGCGACATAAAACACCGTCAAAGAACGCTGAACTTGTTAATAGTTAACGGCATCGGGTAAACCGCGATAGGATGAAAGTTTAATGTAATCAGCACTAGACCTTTATAAAAAGACCTGAATCTGGAATTCGAACAAGGAGAATGAACTTGTTATTTTTCTTTCTACCGTTTCTAGCGCTGGGAAAAGTCTTGACGGTTTATGATTTGTCGATGATTCATTATCAGGGACAGTTAAAAAAATTGCTTTTTATACCTACGAGGAAGCATGTCTTCAACTGCAAAAAGTGTATGAAATCAACACTCAAACGTATAATGAGAAATCATGAAGGACACAATCATCCATTTAGAGAAAGTGCGAAGACATGCGAAAATTTTGTGCATCAATTTGTTAATTTGAAATTAGACAGTAAGTTTTCGTGAATGAAATTCATTGATATGCTAGAGCTTCCTTTTCAGATAAATTTCACGACACGGACTACTGAAAAAAGAAATGGAAAACTTACCAACTTGAGCGCAGCCGTAATTCTTCAAAATTTCCGCTGTTCCGGGCATGAAATGCTCAACCATTGTTTCTGTATCAATCACTTGCGGTCTGTGCTTTGGGATCAAGTAAATACACTTTCGCTCGCTCATCATTCCCATCGAGTCTTCTGCCTAAAACAAAAAAAGAGGAAATTTTACGATCGGTGATTTTTTTTTGGTTTATTTGAATTTTATTTAACCATTCTATTTTGTGGAGGAATCTGATAAAACAGAAGATTCATCTTATAAAAAAAGTAAATGCTATAAAAACGCATCAAAGCAATCTTAAAGCCTCTCGATGAACATGTTTCATTTCACAAATTTGGATAAAAAATTAGCTCCTGTGCAACATTTATACTAAGCTCACAGCTGCTAAAACATATGGCCCTTTTTGTTGATCTTTATCAGTCCCCCCATCTGCCCATGAAATTCAAACAGCTTGCATGAAAATGCAATATAAAGGTGCCGCCCTTAATATTTACCTGGAAGCAGAAAACATGTGGCCCCACTTGGTGGTCTTCTGGGTCCCAGTAGCAAGCAGCATTGCCCTTGGCATTGATCGAGGTGCATTTCATCCCGACTGGTTTTACGGTTATGTATCGGACGATGTAGCCGTTGTCCGTCGTTGCTCTCATCGCAATCCATTTCGATCCTTGAATCGTATCATCGACGATGAGTTCTCGGTACGAGTCGGTGTACCATCTTTCTGGTACTTCATTCAGTCTTCTGTAAGACAGCTCAGGAACAGTCAGACAGTAGTCTGGAGCAAGAACGGGGGCGTAAGCTCCAAGAACTCTTTCCATGCTGTTTTGGCTGCTTGAAGGTTGTGGATGGACGGATAAAGGAGGCAAGAATGAGGGATCATGATTGTGCTCGTCATGAGCTTCAGCGCCAAAGAGATCCGGGAATGTAAAGGTCTTTTAAAGAATGAACAAGAGAATCTTAAGTTTTGGTTTGCTCTTGAGAATATCGACTGTGCTTCTATAAAGTATGAGAACACATGGGTATTATGTAAGCGAGTGTTTAAGTCAAAATAGAATGTCTAAAAGTACTTCTTTCTTTAATCAAATATTGCGTAATATTTAGCTCACTCGATTCTTATTGCTGCCAGCTCGTCGCATCGTGACTTCTTCCGCAATGCCGACATACTCTTCTTCCGGCGTCCAGACGATAGCGAGGAAGTGCACTGGAACGGAGCTCTTGATATTTCCATTTTCGTCAAAGTCTTCCACCATGATCGCGACAGGCTTTTAGAAAGTTCTATTTTGCCCTAAGGATTCGTTCAATAGATCCTGTCTGAATATTCAAAGGCATCCTTGACTCGACTTAAAACTCTTCCTTGACTCCATCAACCGCACTCAAAGCTGCGTCAAACGAAAGCACACACGTTTCAGAGTCAAGTATCAACGAACCAAAGCGAAAGTCGTCGTGGGAGGATGGAATAGAAACTTCGTCGAGTAAGCTGTCTGCCCACCGGCATCTGAAATAAAATTTCATTGCGATTTTCACCCTCGAAAGCCGCGGAAACTCACCTTATCGTGTCGCCGTCGGCATCGAAGGGGGCCAATTCGAGATCTTGCGACTCGCAGCCGTGTAAGATTCTCCACAAGGGAGGGACCTTCACGACGGGGCTGTTGTTACTCAAATCGTAGACGCTGCCGACGAGCTTGATTTCATCCCCCCAGACGACGCTGCCCATGTCGGTCGTCATATAAACCCAGCAGCATGAACTCCAGCGCACCTAAAAATGTTCTCTTCCAGGATTTCAGGGATCTTTTTATACCTTGAATGGCTGATCTGGTTTCGCCATGACTTTTCGCTGGTACCCGTAGCAGTAGTTATTGCTCGGCGCTTGGGTGTTTTCAATGTCTGTGACAATATAAGTCGCGTTTTGAAAACCGCAGCTCTCGCCAGATTCTTTGTAGCAATATTCCTCGCCGTTTCGAAAAACGAGAAAAGCGTCATCATCATTATCTTCGGAAACTTTCTTTTCCAGGATATCTCGATTTGTGCATCCGTCGCCGCCATATCCAGCGGCTTCATGTCTCCAGGCGCGTGTGCGCTCGATGATTAGCAGATTTTCATCATGTGGGTGCTAGAAATTTCGATGAATCTCTCGATCAGAAACTTTCTTTTCTTCTTGATAGTGACTTCTACCTGTATAAAAGTAACGGAGCCAGCTCTAAAATGACTTCCTTGGACAAAACTTCCTAAAGACGCGAAAATCGGTCCAAAATATTTCATTTTCATTTAATTTCTCTCTCTTTGGCGAAATCGTCTTATGAATGAAAATTAGCGAAAATGATTGTGCAAGAGCTGGTTCGTGGTGGAAAAAGAGCCACGACGAATCGGACATGATTTGGTGGCTGATTGACAACAACCGGCGACGAATTATGAAGAGAGCCTTTCCATTTAGATTCTTAATTCGAGGAAGAAAACGTTTAGATTTCATTTTGTGTAATTGCCAATAATCTAGTCATTGTCTATTAGACATTTAAAATTTAAAATTTAAATTCATAAAATTACGTGTTGAAATTCTCTTCATTTTCTGTCTGACGGTAAGATATGACCGGAACGGAACTTCCGCGGTTCTTTCCATTCTTTCTGATTTTTGCCAAGCTGAGGGGATATTCCAGTGATTCTTATCTCTTTTATATCTTTTTGTGAAGCTTTCCAGCAAGGATGGAAAGGAATAGGATCGATAGGAGTTACTCTTTCTTTGTTCTTATACCGTAAAGAGATAGAAGCACTGAATTTTTACCCATCTTTGGCTCAAGTTGATTCAATGGAAATTCGACAGAAAGTATGAAACGGCTTTGGTCCAAGACATTGGAAAACATTGGAAACATTTCAATGGAAAGTATGAACAGAAAAGCAATGTCGGATTCTACGACGTAGAAAGTACCAGGGGCCTTCTCCCTCTCTAAAAAAATCTCATGGTATGATCAGAATTAAACCGAATTGAAATCGAAGAATTAAAAACCATTTTTACTTTTAATTTTAAAAATATATTGAATTTTAAAGTTTAAAATTCAATATATTTTTCGCTCTACTTCATCACGGAAACTTTGAGAAGCCCGTCGGACGTATCTTCCGGTCTATGGCGCAAATGGAAGTCGATTAGTCTAAAGATTTTCCGCAGTCATTCTGATTTTCCATGATGACAATTTCAGTATTTTCAATACGGTTGCTCTGACTTCCTCGCTAAAAATAGCATGAGTTTGACAAATGTAAAAGTGAGTAAATCTAGGCAGCTAACAAGTGAAACCTTGGCTGAGGAGAAATGACTCAGAGGGCTGAAGAGGCACTCGCTCAGCTTGATTCGCGCTTGTTCAACTTTTTTTCTAGCGTTCGAGTTCCTCTCGACTAGTAGAGAAATAGACAGGGGCGTCTTGACAGATTGAAAATGACCGACTTTGCCGCCGTCAAAAAGTCCCTTCTCCAGAAAGCCAAAGGTGCTTTTTGACAGCAATAATTTATGAATTCTAAACGACTGAAATCACTAGAACTTCTTGCCGAAGAAGCTTCTGCTCTTGCCAGTGCCCGAGAAGAAACTCTCAAGGAGCGAGTAAAGGTCTGTTTTATTTAACCCATCTCCACCAAACGACCAAATAATTGGTTTATCGAGGAAATCATTGATTTAATTTTTCAACGTTATTTTTACTCCAAATCTTTCAATTGAATTATGAAGAAAACAAAATTGATTGAATCCCCAACAATTTGGCCATTTTTTCGTAATGGGTTAGTTTCAAAATTTGACTTCTAAGAAATCTAGCCCCTCCCCGAATACACCTCCATGGATGAGGAGCAGTTGAAACAGCTTTGCCGAGAACTCCACGCTGCCATCGACAAGGTACTTATCATACAGTAACTCTTTTTATGGGTTCATATTTATAACGCTTGACTTTTCAACATAATTACTAAATCTTCACTTAGCTACCGTTAGTCGGCATTTTATTCTCACGAGAAGTTGCAATTATATCACTATAATTGCATCAAAAAGAGCTCAATAATTTGACAACATAAAAATACCAAATGCAATATTTTTATCTTGATACTAATACAAAAACTAAGGCTTTTTATATAAAACCACTTTACAAAAGCAATTATGAAACCAAAAAGCATGGGAACGGGAATGCGTTCTCCTCCATGATTTCAAGTACCGAATTTAGGCCGACGAACAAAGATACGATGCTGAGTACAAGATCGAAAAGAACAACAAGGAAACTGAAGAACTCAAGCGAAAGCATGCCGAACTCAAAGGTAAGTTTCGCAGAGACTTTTTACTTTGCATCAAAATCGATATCACAAGATACGAGATGTTTTCAAAGTTGCGTAAAATTGAACTCTAAGAGCATCGAGATCGATTTTTACTTCATTTTTTCTCAACTCAATTTTTTTTCTAGCGAAAATGAAGAAGCCCGCTCTCAAGAGAATCCGAATGACCCCAGAAGAAATGATGTCAACACTCTTGGCCGCCAAGTAAACCTTCTCCTGTTAGCTTTTTCCATTTTCCCGTGTTGTGACGATAAAAAAATACTTTAATAAACTTTGACTTTTTAGTTTGCGCAAAACGCATAATATAGAGAATCTTCACCATCATATGAACCGTTAAAGATGACCTAGATAAACTAAAGATACTAAAGGTAAGTATCAAGTTTTCCACGGCCGTCGTTTTTTGTCTGCCGTCTAGGATGCAGTGCTTTATGTTGACCATGAATGACGCTTGATCTGACTCAACTCTGACTGTTGTGAGTTCCGGCTTTTCTCTCTTTTTTATTTACAAGAAGGTATCAAATTTTACAAGTTCAGAATTCACATGTGTTTTGTTTCTTTGGTAGATTTTCCGTGCTGGATTTTGGTGTGAGCGAAAGCGCTCTAGAATCTATAAAAACGTTTTGAAAATGGCGACTTTCCTTGTTGATTTCGTACCGTTGTCCTGATTTGATTCGTCGATGATTTCCAAATTGCTGAGTTGAATCAGCTCGCGCCTAGAAAGCATCATTATTTCACCCTTTCCTTCGGAGAAAATATAGAGAAAACAAATAAAAATAAAACCGGATTAAATTTGTACCAATTACTCCATTTAGTAGAACAAAGAAATTATATGATTGAAAGTGGTGCTTTAGAGGATATTGTATCTTGCGCAAGATACTCTCGTTTTCACGGCTGAGTGCTTCAAATTAATTTTAATCTGCCTTGCAAACCATCGGTTCTAAAGTATCCTACATCATTCACCGACATTTTCGCTAGCGTCTTATTCAAAACGGTTCATGTGAGAGGGATTAATTCAGGGATCCTTTACCCCAGTCTCCACCAAAAAAATACGGTCTTCCTTGATTTCATCAAGAGTTGCAAATTTTGCTGAGCTGAGTGAGCTGAGCGGTCGCTCAACTCAGCTCAGTGATTTATAAAAATGATATAATCTGCTCAGCTCAGCTCAGACAATTTTCACGCAGCTCAGCTCAGCTCAATTATCTTCGAACATGATCTGTTCTGCTCAGCTCAGCTCAGCTTAGCTCAGACAATAATCACTTTGTTCAGCTCAGCTCAGCTTAATGATTGTATCACAATCTAACTAGTAAAAACACAGTAAAAAAGAGCTCAGATCAGCTCAAGCAGCTCAACTCAGCTCTAATTACGCTCCGCTCAGTTCAGCTCAGCTCAACTACCTTAAAAAAAAGATCTGCTCAGCTCAGCTCCGCTCGATGACCTCCGAAAAAGGCCAGCTCAGCTCAGAGATATTTTTACTCAGATCAGGTCAGCTCGGCTCAGCAAAAATAAAGCAAAATTTGCAACTCTGATCTCTTCTGGATAAGCCTTATCATAAGGGAATCAACGAAATCCCGACCCACGAAAGGTACTTACGTCTGGGTAAGCGGATAGGAAGGATGTGGATAAGAAACCCTGTGCTTGCGTATTCGCCCGAGTAACCTAAAAATTCAACATTGAGATTTGCCTGGAATTCATTAATTCAAAATGTTAACCTGGCTCGTCCTGTCGGGGAATCTATCGAATCTGCTGACGGTGCTTGCTGCGTCTGAAAAGTTCACTTGGAGGGTATAAAACAATTGTTGCGCAAATTGCATCATCGTAAAAACGAACCCTAAGAGTTCATCTGATCAATTTTATCCCACGATAAATTGCTCCCAAGAATACATTTATTGCAATCGTTTGATCTCGTTTGTACCTGAAAGCTATACCGGCGAACTCGGGTGGTCAGGTTCTAAAATAGCCGTAATGGCATTTTATCGGAAAATTATAATTACGAACCTGAAGGTTCACTGCACTTGAAGTAGACGAGTTGGCAGCAGAGCTCTGAAATTATTGTTAGATCTAGTCACGTAACTGCTTATTTTAGCAGTTTTCGGTTGTGTAAAAATTATTTTGTAATCGAAAAGAAGTGATGCATGAACCTCTATGCAGCAGAAGCAAAAAGTAGACTGATTCATGGCAGTTAGGCATACGGCAGTCGAAAACCATGCTCCGCTGAAGATGACGACTAGATAAGTGTCGGTACGAGTCCAAGGCGGATTTCCTTCGGGGACAAGCGCCAATCTTTTTGTGGGATTTCAAATGTGGATTTTTTGAAAAAATAATTTTTATAAAAATAAATACAGTAATTGCCATTTTAGCTTCTTTAAAATTAAGTTAATACTGAAGCTTTTCTTTTTTTTTCTTCAGTTTTTTATTTCACAATTTTTGATAAGAATTTTTCGTGATAAGCTCGAAGAATAAATTTTCATCCTCCGTTTTTCCTCCTTGATTCCAAAACCCCGTTCCTGAGAACAATCCCTGCTCCAATAAAAATAAACAGCACTCCACAAAGAATCAAAATAATTTTACATTTTTGGCAGAAACACGCGCAGAACACCATATTTTTTCTCTCTTTCACAAAAGCATTGAAGAAAAAAAATATTCAAAATCAAGACACGAGCACTTGAGCCTCCAACATTCTCTCTACGCGCTAGAAGTGTTCATTTTTTATTCAACGAAGGGCTATTTCTCCTTTTTTCATCCCTCGGGGGCAAGTTCTTCTTGAGCACGCGCCGCGGGGCAAGCAACGTTCGCCCAGAAGACAATTAATTCGCGTTAGTTGTTAAATTTTCCATCAATAAGGCTCCAAAAAGTATAGCCAACTATTTATTATTCATTAACAGATGGAGCAACTTAGAGAAGGGCTCAAACTTTCTGGCTTTTGTGCTTTGTCTGAATCAGTAATGAACTTTAAGACAGTATTTTCTTTTAGAAAAGGGACTTCCAAAGATGATTAACCAAGAATTCCTTGATTTGGGCCCAAGATTATTTCTCAAAATGCCCAAATTTGGTCCTAAGATAGTCGAATTTCCGAATATAAAATTTTTGTGAGCTTTTGACCAATGAAAATGAACCGCTGGAATTTAAAAATTGAATTAGATAATCTTGGGCCTACAATCTCAAATTTGCCATCGACAACCTTGGCGAGAGCATCTGGTATTTAAGAGTCGGAGTTATCTTTTTCATGTTTCTTTTGTATGTTTAAGATGATCACATGCGGCGTGGATCTCAGATTTGCGAAATGCGAACAAAACAAAAAGTTGAAGAGTCTTTTCGTCAAAGTGGTTTGCACAGTCAAGAGAGCTTCAAATGCCCCCTGCAGGCTGCTTGAAATAATAATAACCGGATATCGCCCGTGGTTTTGCCTTTTCTCTCCCACACTTGTTGAGTTGTTGAATCTTACTGTAAATAAAGATACAGCGGATTACTGAAGAAATAGAAAAGAGCGAATTCGCAAGCCCTTTCTTAAGGATATACCCGATAAAATTGAACTTTTATAGCGCCGAAATGCGACGTCGGATCATTTATATTTCAAAAGCAATTCTACGTTAAAATGCACGTAGAACTCAAATCTGGTACTTTTTCATATTTTCTCATTTGATTTTTTCTCTTTAGAGCGATTTCAAATCTTACTCTCTCGATTACTCGAAATTTTTTGTATAAATCGGTCGAGATTTTTCGATAGATAAGTTCTTTAGACCGTTATCTACAATTTTGATGGTTTACTTTTCCTTAATTCCGAAGGAAGCCGATTCTAGAGCCATTTCATTGAGGGCTACTCAGCGCCTGAAAGCTTTACAAAGCGGCGCGCTGGGTGCTCACTCACTCGACTCCTCTTTTCCGAGAGAAAGTGCGTGGTTGAGCGCACCGCTCTGATTGGTAGCACGCAAAAAAACCCGCAGAGAAGAAAAACAAGGGTATAAAAGAAGAGAACACTAGAATGAAAATTCGATCAAGTTTAAGAATTTGATCCCATCAATTTTGTAGCTTAGCATCATTGCAATACAGAATACGGTTCAGTTTTAGCGATTTACTGGAAAAATTTCGAGAAATCGAGAGAGTTCGTTTTCAAATCGCTCTAGAGAGGGAAATTCTAATAAAAATTTCTAAAAAAGTACCAGAATTTAATTTAACGCACAATTTTAGGTAGGACTGCTTTTGAAATAAAAATGATCCGACTTCGTATTTAGGCGCTATGAAAGTTCAATTTCATCGGGTATATCCTTAAATTGTTATTATGAGTCGCAACAGCTGTTTGCCAATTTATAGCGCTGTAGGAAAGTGAGAGAACTCCTGCTGCGCGCCCCTGCTAGTTTAGATTCCGATTATGCCACCAGAACTTGCTTTTTTGCTCCTCCCTGCATCTTGATTTTTGGCCCTTTTCCAGATACATTTTGACCAGTAAGGATAAGTTAGCAAAATTCCTAATTTATCTCCTGTGACAGATTTTCGTCCTCGCATCCAAGTGCGAAAATAATCAATTCGTCAAGTTCGAGCACTTTTAGGCACACACTCTGGTTTGGCACCGCACTGTTTCCGTGCGGGAAAAGAAGAAAGGGATGATTTGGACGCGAGTTAAGGTAGCTTCATCTATTGCGCTTTGTTTGCTCATTGAACTGCTCTTAGCTTTTGATAGCTATTTAACAGATAAAATGGGACTCGCAGCGCGAAATAATTTTGATGTTTATTTTTGATAAGGATTTATCTTTATTCAAGAAAAGTCAGATGATATCTTGGATACCATTCTCCTCCTCGTTCAGGCCAATCCGTCCCAAGAATAATCTGCTCGTAAACACCTTCAGAATCTGTTTCTTTCCAATCGTATATTTTCCGTTCGTAACCCGCAACAGCATCCATGACTTGAATTCTCGTTTTGAATCGAATTTTTCGCCCTGAATATAAATAAAGCAGATTCTTAGTAACAGTTACCTTCGTGGAGGATAGAAAGAAGATGACGCCATTTTAAATCACCGCCCGGTAGTTCTATTTTTTCATTGGAGTAACTTAATTTAGACTTTCCAACAGAAAAGTCTTTATCTAAAGCTCCAACCTTTTTAATTGTTTATCTTCAATTATAAAATTTATTATTCGACCAACCTTGAGGGTGAATTCTTTTAATCCATTTTTATAAGCTTTCATCATGAGCGCAAAAGACGTTTTATCAAAATATTTCTTTCCACCATGAGTTTCACTCTCATCATCCTCGGTAAAGTGGCCAAGACAACTTTCTTAGCTTTTAAAATAAAAATTATGATTTATGAGAGACAAACTTATATGATATTTTTAAATTAAAACATTCCCGTATTTTTGAAGACTCTCAAGCTGGTTTTCATGCAAGCCGTAATTTTCTTGAAAAGAAACAGGCTTCTGAGCTGGTTTGAAATTAAAAGACAATTTATCAGTAAAATTTTTTCTACCATGATATTCACTCTCATCATCCTCGGTAGAGTGGCCAAGACAACTTCCTTAGTTTTTCGAATAATAATTATTATTAATTCGGAGACAAAAAGAATATGATAATTTTTAAATTAAAAACATTCCCGTATTCTTGAAGAATCTCAAGCTGTTTTCCATGCAAGCCGTAATTTTCATATAGGACCAAGGGTTTAAATATCAGCCAAAAACCCAGTGCGAAAACGATGCAAAAGCAAAACTTATAAGCAGGCATCTGAGCTGGTTTGGAAACTTTCATTTCATTTCTGACATTCAGTTTTTGCATCTCGGTTTCTAACATTTTCTCTTCAATAGTTTTTTCTAACTCGTCTATCTTGAGCCCTTGGGTATCGACGGTATTTTCAAAATCTGCGATCCGTTTTTTATAATCAGCGTTGTCTATCAATGCTTCCGAAAGTGAGACCTTCAGCCTTCGTACTTCTTCGTTGACCCTATTTGATTCTGCTTTCATTTCAGATCTCAGTTGTTCTAAAACCAAAAAAAAAATTATCAGCGAAACCATAAATTTCCTCACCAACTAAAGCTGAGTTCGTAACAACTGAATCCTCTGATAGAAAACTCTCGCTGTAGTACGATTTTTCAGACATTTATCCACGTCTTTCTCTTTATATTCTAAGAATATCGGCGCGGAAGAACAAAGGGGCAAAAAAGAAGCCATCAACGCTGGTTTATATTTAACTAAGAGAAATAATGCAAATACCGCGATTTCATTTTGACTGTTTGCAACTTTGGAGCGGGTAACAAAAATCAAGCCTTTTTTGTTACCCGCGAAAGTCAGCGAATAGAGATTTTTTCACGAAAATACAGTATATAGTTTGATATATAAAATCGGAAATTAAAAAATGACCTTTCTAATAGACCATTAGTAATAGACTATTACTAATAGTGCATTTCTATCGAGCGCTAGTGCATTAGCGGGCCAATAGAATGTTGCGTATCTCGTGTTCAAGATGAGATATTTCAGATTTGAAAAAAGATTTGGAATCCTTGTAAGCTAACATGGGCGACCCTTTGTTACTCGATAAAACGCTGGCGCTTTTTAACTAGTTACTCAATAAAATTGTGGCGGGCGGCCCTCTGTTAATCGGTAAAACGATGGCGTGGCGAAAAAAAATTTAATCGATAAAACGATGGCACCCTTGTTAATCGAGGCGCGGGGCTCTCTGGCGTGACGTCATCGGAGAACTCTCTTGCTGGAAGATAGATAAGTTGAAGACATGCACTTTGAATACACGGAAATGCTCCTAGCCCAGCTCTTGGGGAGATAGGCTATTGGGCTGATTGATTTTCTTGGCAATTGATTCTTGACTTCAAATCTTAAGGTATAATGAGTAAAAGTAACTTCGTAACATATGGGTTAAAAGTAAGTAAGTAGTAATAACCTACAAGCATCACTTTCACTTTATTAAAATAGAATTGGTTAAGTAAACCGGTTTAACATCAATTTCGACGCTTTAATCTGAATCTCTAATGAAGTTCCTGAATATAAAACGCTACGATCTGTTTAAAATACAAAATTAACATTACATTAAAATAATGTAATTATGTTTTTGGCGTTTTTTCTTTTAAATTACTTTGTGAATCTAGACTATTGAAGCCTGTTTCCTGACCTAATTACACAGGAATCTGTCTCAACTCAGGCCCTGAGCAGGAAAAACAGGCATGTCTTTAGTCAGGGACAGGGACAGAAACAGGGTTTCGAGATTTTAATCCCAATTTTGGTCAGCTACACAGGACAGGGCCAAAAAACAGGAAACAGGTCCTGTCTAAGGTTTTTAGACAGGTCAGGATGCCGAGCCCAGCACAGCTCAGTTTGCCGAGCCAAGAAGCTCACGTCAGTGATTTCTGAAATGCCCTGCTCAGCTCAGCTCAATTCAATGATTTTCTGAGAGAACCATTTCAGCTCCCATGTGAGAAAATGTAACAATAAACCCTTGTAAATGTGGGTCTCCTAACAAATTAGTCTAGCTGAGTGGTTAGTGATACCACTTAGAGAGTAGCGGGAGCGAGCTCGATTCCCCTTTTCCATTATTTTTTTCAGCAAGAGTCCTCCGATGACGTCATGCAAGAGAGCCCCGCGCCTCGATTAACAAGGGTGCCATCGTTTTACCGATTAAATTTTTTTTTGCTGCGCCATCGTTTTATTGAGTAACTAACCCAAAAGCGCCAGCGTTTTATCGAGTAACAAAGGGTCGCCCATGTTAAATAAAAAGATATTCATTGATCGAATCATAAGAGAGACCCTTATTCGATCGTTGTTGATACAGCGCATTACTGAAGAAATAGAAAAGAGCAAACTCGTAAGGCCTTTCTTTAATTGTTATTAATAATTATATCTTATAATGAGTCGCAACAAATGTTGGCCAATTTATAGCGCGGCAGGAAAGTGATAGAATCCCTGCTGGGCGCCCCTGCTATTTCAGATTCCGACTATGCCGCCCGAACTTGCTTCTTTTTGCTCCTTCCTGCATCTTGATTTTTGGCCATTATCCAGATATATTTTGACCGCTTGGCAGTTTAGATAAGTAAGCAAGATTCCTAATTTATCTCTGAGACAGATTTTGGTCCTCGCATCCAAGTGCGAAAATAATCAATTCGTCAAGTTCGAGCACTTTGAGGCACACACTGTGGTTGGGCATCGCACTGTTTCCGTGCGGTAAGGAGAAGAAAAGGTATATTTGGACGCGGGTATAGCTAACTACAGATTTTTGCGTTTGTTTGCTCATTCTACTGCTCATTGCTTTTTCTCAGAGCAAAAATGAGATCGTATTTCGGAGTAGCGACTAATCTTTATTCAAGAAAAGTCACATGATATCTGCTATACCATACTTAGGGTGAATTTACAAAAAAATCAACTTTTTCCCTATAGATCCTATCTTGTTGAAACTCGGCATGGTGAAAGATCATACCCGAGTTCTTAACAAAATTTTTTTTTTGAAAACTTTTTTTTCGTTTTTCAACCCTTTTCGCCCCCATAAAGGACTATCTTTTGAGCGCCTCAAGTCTGAGTGCTCTTTTTGGTCGGAATCGATGCGCAGTCGGCTTCTGATCATAATTCAAAAAAAAAATTTAGTGAAGCTCTCACCGATGACTCACAATCGGCATTTTAGTGTTACGTAACACTGTTATGTAACAAAGTAAGAAATTTACATTAAGTCCTCCACTAGAACATTCGTAGTTTGTGGGCTGAAATTTTGGGACAATAGGTATTTGACCCCAACGAAAAAAATTGTATTTGAAAATTTTTTGGTCTGACCACGTGATCACCTGATACAGGTCATTTTCTGAAAAGGAGGTCTCAATTTGTTCGGGCCGTCTCAGCCCCGTTCCTTGATTTTCTAATTTAAGGGCTTGACGGCCCTTCGGGCCGTCTCAGCCCCGTTCCTTGATTTTCTAATTTAAGGGCTTGACGGCCCTTCGGGCCGTCTCAGCCCCGTTCCTTGATTTTCTAATTTAAGGGGCTTGACGGCCCTTCGGGCCGTCTCAGCCCCGTTCCTTGATTTTCTAATTTAAGGGCTTGACGGCCCTTCGGGCCGTCTCAGCCCCGCTCCTTGATTTTCTAATTTAAGGGGCTAACTTACAGGCCAATCCGTCGAAAAAAGAATCTGCTCGTGAACACCTTCAGAATCAGTTTCTTTCCAATCGTATATTTTCTTTTCAAAACCCGCAACAGCATCCATGGCTTGAATTCTCGCTTTGAATCTAATGTTTCGCCCTGCATATAAGTATAATAGATTCTCAGAAACAGTTACCTTCGTGAGTGATAGAAAGACGTTTACACCATTTTAGATCACCGCCCGGTAGTTTTATCATTTCGTTGGAGAAATGTAATTTTGACTTTCCAACAGAAAAGTCTCTATCCTCAGCTCCGCACTATTTAATCGTTAATTTTCAATGAATTATTAGACGAACCTTCAGGGTGAATTCTTTTAATCCATTTTCATAAGCTTTCATCATGAGCGCAAAAGACGTATAATCAGTAGTTTTTTTTTCCACCATGAGTTACATATTCATCACCCTCGGTAAAGTGGCCAAGACAACTTTCTTAGCTTTTCAAATAAAAATTATAATTTAATGAGAGACAAAAAGGATATGATACTTTTAAATTGAAAATATTCCTGTATTCTTGAAGAATCTCAAGCTGTTTTTCATGCAAGCCGAAATTTTCTTGTAAAACGACTGTCCCTGGGTTCTTTTGTGCTTGATTGACAATTTTCGACCCACTGCTGACATTCAGTCTTTGCTTTTCGTTTTCCAAGATTTTTTCTTCAAGTGACGTTTCTAGTTGGTCTATCTTGTGCCCTTGGGTGTGGACGGTATTTTCAAGTTTTGCGATTCGCTTTTTGTAATTAGCGTTCTCTATCTCGGCATCAGAAAGCTTTATCTGTAGTATTTGTACTTTTTCGTTGACCTTCCTTGATTCTTGTTCTATTTTTGATCTCAGTTGATCTGGAAAATATTTTTTTTTTCGAATTAATTTTGTCATACCAATTAATATAGAATTAGGTGCTTCACTTTCCTCCGTTAAAACACTTTCGCTTTCGGCATAATGCGATTCATTTGACATCGGTATTCTTTCTTGTGTTGGTAATCTCTCACAACTTTCTTATTGACGACTTCTATCAACCATCTCGACCAGAGATCGTAAAATATGCGCAGGCGGCAAGAATTATATTGTTTGTTAGTCATGAATTTTCACTAAGACACTAATAGTTTCGAATAATTTGTATAAGCCGCTATTGCAAATCAAAATGCAAGTTTGAAAAAAATCTCATTAGGCCTTCTTGATTCGTATCCCTCAAAAAATGTGTAAAAAGCGGCAGTTATGGCAATTTAAGAGTCGGAGATAATTTTTCATGTTTCTTTTGTATGTTTAAGATGATCACATGCGGCGTGGATCTCACATTTGCGAAATGCGAACAAAACAAAAAGTTGAAGAGTCTTTTCGTCAAAGTGGTTTGCACAGTCAAGAGCTCCAAATGCCCCCTGCAGGCTGCTTGAAATAATAATAACCGGATATCGCCCGTGCTTTTGCCTTTTCTCTCCCACACTTGTTCAGTTGCTGAATCTTACTCTAAATAAAGATACAGCGCATTACTGAAGAAATAGAACAGAGCGCATTCGTAAGCCCTAAGGAAGGCTTCCTGAACTTGTAATTATGAGTCGCAACAGATGTTGGCCAATTTATAGCGCCGCAGGAAAGTGATAGTCTATCACTGATAGACTCCCTGCTGCGCGCCCCTGCTATTTCAGATTCCGATTATGCCACCCGAACTTGCTTTTTTTGCTTCTTCCTGCATCTTGATTTTTGGCCATTTTCCAAATATATTTTGACTACTTGTAGAAGGAAAGACTCCTAATTTATCTCCTTAGACAGATTTTTGTCCTCGCATCCAAGTGCGAAAATAATCAATTCGTCAAGTTCGAGCACTTTTAGGCACACACTGTGGTTTGGCACCGCACTGTTTCCGTGCGGTAAAGGAAGAAAGGGATGATTTGGACGCGATTACTGGTAGCGCCAGCTATTTGCGCTTTTTCGCTCATTCAACTGCTCATGGCTTTTTCGAGGCTACTTGTAGATGAAAATATTAAAGAAGATTCAAATATTGTTTAAAAATATTGATGAATGTTTATTCAAGAAAAGTCAGATGATATCTGCTATACCATTCTTCTCCTCTGTGAGGCCAATCCGTCGAAAGAATAATTTGCTCGTGAACACCTTCAGAGTCAGTTTCTTTCCAATCGTATATTCTCTTTTTAAAACCCGCAACAACATCCATGACTTGAACTCTCGCTTTGAATCGAATTTTTCGCCCTGAATATAAATAATGCAGATTCTCACAAGCAGTTACCTTCGTGAGTGATAGTAAGATGTTTACACAATTTTATACCACCGTCCGGTAGTTTTATTTCTTCATCGGAGTAATTAAATTTTGACTTTCCAACAGAAAAGTCTTCATCTAAAGCTCCGACCTATTTAGTCATTTATTTTCAATTTAAAAGTTTATTTTTCGGCCAACCTTCAGGGTGAATTCTTTCAATCCATTTTTGTAAGCTTTCATCATGAGCGCAAAAGACGTTTGATCAGTATATTTGTTTCCACCATAATCCTCAAACTCATCATTCTCGGTAAAGTGGCCAAGACAACTTTATTAAATTTTCAAATAAAAATAATAATAAGACAAAAAGAAAATGATATTATTAAAAACATTCCCGTATTCTTGAAGAATCTCAAGCTGTTTTTCATGCAAGCCATAATTTTCTTGAAAAGCAGCAGGCTTCTGAGCTGGTTTGAAAATTTTCATTTCACTGCTGACATTGAGCGTTTGCATCTCGTTTTCTAATACTTTCTCTTCAAGAGTTTTTTCTAACTGGTCTATTTTTAGCCCTTGGTTCTCGACAGTATTTTCAAGCTCTGCGATCCGTTTTTTATGATCAGTATTCTCCATATCGGCATCAGAAAGCTTTAGCTGTAGCAGTCGTACCTTCTCGTTGACCTTATTTGATTCAGCTTTCATTTCAGATCTCAGTTGTTCTGAACACCCAAAAAAGTTCTATCAAAACGATAATTTTCCTCACCAATTAATGCTGAGTTTGGAACAACTGTATCATCGGAGAGAAAACTCTCGCTGTAGTAAGATTTTTCAGACATTTATATGCCTCTCTCTTTTGATTTTTGGGATATCTGCTCAAAATGTATCAAAAAATGGGAAGAAAGAAGCTATAAACACTGGTTAGTATTTAGCTAAGAAAAGGTACGCAAATAATTCATGCCGCGAATCTCAGAAAGAAAAATTTAATAAGAAGAATATAATTCTGATTTGTGTCCTGCCTCATAATGTTAAATTATAGACTATAATTTATAGTTCATATTTTCGCCATTTCGGCTTATTTGAAAGCCTGCTCTTAAATTGTTACAATGAGTTGCAAAAGATGATGGTCAATTTATAGCGTTGCCGGCAGGGTTCCAATTCTGGTTGAGCGCTGAGCGACATCTGAGCGATCGCTCATGCTCCGCCCAGTCAACTGATTTTTATAGAGAACTGCTTAGTCGCTCGCGCGCTCAATGTTCAAAAATATGATGACCTGAGCGAGGTTTGAGCGAGGTTTGAGCGACGCTTGCGCGACGTTTATATCTCAAATGTCGCTCAGATCTCGCTCAAACGTCGCTCGCTCAATCGCTTAGCCGATTTTTGAAAAATCCCCTCAGCCACTTGCTCGCTCAGCCCTTGCTCAATTCCCACTCGCTCATCGCTCGCTCAAATTCAAAAATTTTTCGCCAAATTTGGAACACTGGCTGCAGGAAAGTGAGAGACTCCCTGCTGGGCGCCTCTGTTTTTGAGACTCCGATTATGCCACCCGAACTTGCTTTTTCCTGCATCCACTATTTTGGCGCTTTTCCGTATATATTTTGACCAGTTTAGATAAGTAAGCAAGATTTCTCATTCATCTCCTGAAAAAGATTTTGGTCCTCGCATCCAAGTGCGAAAATAATCAATTCGTCAAGTTCGAGCACTTTTAGGCACACACTCTGGTTTGGCACCGCACTGTTTCCGTGCGGTATAAGAAGAAAAAGATGATTTGGACGCGAGTACAGGTAGATTCAGGTAATTTGCTGATGATTTTTTCGAGGTAACTTTTAGGTAAAAATGTCGAATGAAGCTGAAATATTGCTTCGAATTTTTGACTAATGTTTATTCAAGAAAAGTCAGATGATATCTGCTATACCATGTTCCTCCTAGCACTTCCCAATCCGTTGAAAGAAGAATCTGCTCGTGAACACCTTCAGAATCAGTTTCTTTCCAATCGTATATTTTCTGTTCAAAACCCGCAACAGAATTCATGACTTGAATTCTCGCTTTGAATCGAAGTTTTCGCCCTGAATATAAATAAAACAGATTCTCAGAAACGGTTACCTTCGTGAGTGATAGAAAGACGTTTACACCATTTTAGTTCACCGTCCGGTAGATCTATTTCTTCATTGGAGAAATGAAATTTTGACTTTCCAACTGAAAAGTCTTCATCTGAACCTCTGAGCTATTTAATTCTTTATTATCAGTTTTTAAATTAATTTTTCGACGAACCTTCAGGGTGAATTCTTTCAATCCGTTTTTGTAAGCTTTCATCATGAGCGCAAAAGACGTATGATCAAAAAAAAATTTTCCACCCTGATATTCACTCTCATCATCCTCGGTAAAGTGGCCAAGACAACTTTCTTAGCTTTTCAAATAATAATTATAATTTAATGAGAGACAAAAAGGATATGATACTTTTAAATTGAAAATATTCCTGTATTCTTGAAGAATCTCAAGCTGTTTTTCATGCAAGCCGAAATTTTCTTGTAAAACGACTGTCCCTGGGTTCTTTTGTGCTTGATTGACAATTTTCGACCCACTGCTGACATTCAGTCTTTGCTTTTCGTTTTCCAAGATTTTTTCTTCAAGTGACGTTTCTAGTTGGTCTATCTTGTGCCCTTGGGTGTGGACGGTATTTTCAAGTTTTGCGATTCGCTTTTTGTAATTAGCGTTCTCTATCTCGGCATCAGAAAGCTTTATCTGTAGTATTTGTACTTTTTCGTTGACCTTCCTTGATTCTTGTTCTATTTTTGATCTCAGTTGATCTGGAAAATATTTTTTTTTTCGAATTAATTTTGTCATACCAATTAATATAGAATTAGGTGCTTCACTTTCCTCCGTTAAAACACTTTCGCTTTCGGCATAATGCGATTCATTTGACATCGGTATTCTTTCTTGTGTTGGTAATCTCTCACAACTTTCTTATTGACGACTTCTATCAACCATCTCGACCAGAGATCGTAAAATATGCGCAGGCGGCAAGAATTATATTGTTTGTTAGTCATGAATTTTTACTAAGACACTAATAGTTTCAAATAATTTGAACCGTATAAGCCACTATCGCAAATCAAACCGAAAGTTAAAAAATAATCTCATTAAACCTTCTTGATTCGTTTCCCTCAAACAAATGTGTAAAAAGTGGCAGTTATGGCAAGTGCCCGATAGCCGAGTAACAGGTGATCGCGATAAGCAGATCCAGAGCACAACAAATCGAGCAATGGCTTCCCTAATCGCAATCAAAAAACGCACCTCCCGGAGCATCCGATAAGCAAGTCCTCAATTACTCCTTTTTGAAAATGATCCAATTAAAAATTTTCTCATAATCAGCTTTGCGAAATGAGAAAATCAATGAAGAGTTACGAGTTCGCGAAAATTATCGAGAATGGATCAGTGATCCGAATTCATAATTTGAGCATGGGGTGCCCGGATGAGCTGCGGCCCGGCATCGATTATGAAAATGGTATACCAGAAATACGAGCAAAACTGCATTCGCGCAACTCAAGGAGATCGATTTCGCGACACTGGCTGGAGAACTGCTCTTTTCCTCTGCGATTTTCAAGCTGCCTTTTTATCTAAGTCAGCTTTTTACCCCCAAAAGTAGACAGCAACTTCTCAAATCAATAAATCTTTATTTTATCTACTGTTTTTCTTTTGGAAGAATAAGGGTGTCACTGCACTAACTCCGGAAGAAAATCATAGAAGAGCGGCTGCTCTAGAATTTTCATCCTTGATTTCAACCTTTTTTTTTGGTTGAAAAATTGGGTCTAATTCAAAGCTGGCCGCCTTAAAAATGCTAATTGCCGTGTTAATATGTTTGATTTGTATGTGGACTACTAATGGGCGGTGATCGATCTATCATTTCTTGTTCGTGGAGTACTTGGCTAAGTGCCCTTTCTAATCCAGTTTAGACAAGAGAGGCGAGCACTTCTAGCAACTCGTTAATTATTCTGCTTGTATAGCTCTATCGTCATTATTTTCAAATATTTTTTGCCTCTTTAAAAAGGGGCGGTGGCGCGCTTTGATCTCAGAGTTTTAGGAGATAAGTGGGATGCTAGATTTCTCCTATAAAAGTAGCGATAACCAGTCATTATATATTTATGATCAAACAACAATAAATAGAACAAATAGAATAGAATCTACATCTTGTTCCATATATAAAGGCTATCTATTCTCCCGGTTCTCGAATAAAGACGTCGTGGAAAATCCTGAAAGAAAATGACTTCCACGAAGAGAACGAAAGAATCAAAAATCTTCGTCTCAATGAATAAGTCACAGAAACTGGAGATATCTCCATGGCATAGTATGATGGCCCCCTTATCGGTAGTAAGGGGTTATCATTCGAGCTACCCCTAACCATAAAGCTAACCCAGGGGGATACGCCCCCGGGACCCCCTTAGGCCTAAACCAGGAGGCTTCGCCCGGACCCCCCTTAAGAGTTCCACGTCCCTAACCCTAACCACTACCCCAGATTCTAGAGATATTGGATGGTTCGAATCATAGGCTCCAATGATAGCCCCTCTCTACCCCCTTATCCGTCCATTTACCCTGCCCATCAATCAGGATGTTTATTACTTTCTGGAGCGCTGGGCTGTCTCCCATTGTCCGCCTTGCACCGCGCTTGAGTACCAAAAGAAAGCTGTCCAGCTGATTGAAAGCGGAGGTCCGTCTAAGGTGCACTAATCCGCAGTCGAATTAAGCATAAACGACCGCCAAGGCGGATTTGGGCGGTACAGGCTCAGATCTCACAAGCACCCAAAGAAAGACAAATCACTTTTCCCTTCGCTGGGTTCCGCTTTTCTTTCTTTAGCAATTATTACGCCGAGTTGTTCTTTGAAATTAACAACAGAAGGAAAAAAAGAAAAGAAGAAGGGAAAGAAGAATTAAGCAGGTCGCCTTGTGATGAGTGTATTTTCGATGGCTTCTTTTATGAAGATGGATCTTATAAGTCTAAGAGTGTCGGTAAAGCTAGGTGTGTAAGGCCCTAAATTGTCGATTTCGGCAATTCTTTGTCCAATTAGTCGACAATTTATGGAAAATCCCTTGGAAACAAGAGAATTTCCGAGGATTATTTTAAGGGTATCAGTTCAAGATATTCACCCGTTATCAACTTCCTTCCAGGACATCAATCCACTCCCGTTTTACGCGTCATCATCATTCAGATCCCTTTATCCTGTCACTGCCCAGCCCCCTTATCGCCTCTTTCTGCTGTATCGCCAGGTACTCGCCAGGAAATGGCCTCGAATCGATATTTCCGCGAGATTGGCCGGTAGGGTCATTATATAGGTTCCAGATGATTAAACGCCCCGTCCAATTTTCTGCGCACGGTCGTTATCTTTCTTCCTTTTTTGATTTTTTTCGTCTTCCGTCAGTGCATGACGGAGCACCATAACCGCACGAATATACGAAAATAGGAGCCGTGAATACTTTTTTATGCTTTGATCGAAAATAATGCCAAATGATTCTTCAATTGATGATGGGTATCTTATGAATTGGTCAATTTTTGGGCAGAACCAAGAAAAGAAAGTGATTATCTGGATCTAGGTTTTGATTGGCCGGTAGGCAAAGTACAACAATCTTATTGGCTATTCAAAAACTCACTTCCTTTTCTTGGTTTGTGCCCAATTTTTCTGGAGATTCTACTTCAAGTCTTTCCATTCCAAGCCTGAATTTCCAGTGCTCATTTTTTTTATATAACTTTTTATATAACAAGTTATATAACTAATACTTTATAATAAAGATCTCCGGATGGAAGAGTTCTGAGTCAGAGCTTCTGACAAAAAAACAGACAGAATTTTTGAGTTCGTTTATTTGCAGGATTAACGTTTTCAGAAATGCAGAATTTGAAATTCTGAATTTCCAACATCAGAGAATGATTTATCAAGAATTTTTTATATAAAGAAGCAGTAGTAATGTAACAACAAAATCGGACTTTTCCGATTGAATTTTCAAGTTAGGCGACGTGGCCAAAAAGACGTTTTGGACAACACATGCACCAGCAGGAGCGACGTTTTGAGCCACACATGCAGGAATAGGAGAGACGTTTTGGGCCAGAATTGCAAATTTTCTGAGCTGAGCTGGCTGATTGAGCTGAGCTAAATGATCTCTCAAAAGGCCAGCTCAGCTCAACTCAGCTCGATACACATTTTCCTAACCTAATAAGCCAATTTCGGTCTCAATTTATTCACGAGAATTGCATCAGTTGACCTACTTTTGTGAAGATTCTACTTCAACTGTTGCTAACTTGGATTACCAGTGCTTATTTTCGTTATGTAACTTTTTTTATATAACATTTTATATAACTCAAATTATATAAAAAAGATCTACGAATCGAGAGTTCTGACAGAAAAAAAAAATCAGAATTTTTTATATAACGCTGATCATCTTTCAATTTGCAGTCGAATGGTTTCAGGAAAGTTTTGATAAGAGGCAGTAGTAATGTAAAAACAAAGTCGGAATTTGCTGCACGAGTTGAAATGAAAGCCTTGGCAGTTATTAGTCTAAACAGGGCAGTCGCACGAAGCTTCACTTAAACTTGTTGGCCAAGGTCGGGGCAAATGCGCCGCGGCATGTAAATTTCTTGAGCCATTGAAGCTTATTCCGCACACAAAAAAAAAGTAGTCACGCTCCGCTGGTGCAATTCTTCATTGTCGCCCATTTTCAATTTCAGCTCTAGTCAATTTGCGATTTGCTTCGATTTAGCGTTGCTGGCAAAAGCACCATTGTTAAAAATGCGAGCTAGTAATGAATTGCCGTCTTTTTTCATGCTCTGTTTAGTTTGGTGAAAATTATTTCCGCGGATCTCCTCGCAACGCGAATATATTCAGAATCGGAATCAAAATACTGCATGTTCTCAAATAAAGGGTTAAAGTGGGGTTAGGGTTAGGGTAAGGATTCGCCGAAATAGGTTTAGCTTTGTGCATGCCTGCGGCAGCGGGTTAAAATTTTTCAATTGCGATTTCATCATGATACCCTTAATTTTTTTTCTTGTTTGTTTTTTTCAGATTAATTAAATGGCCAATTTATACAGTATAACTTGAAGCAGGCTTTGTTTTATCACTACATGCGCCAAGGGGTTACTAACCCTAAGGGTTAACCCTTAAACTGACAATAAACGGAAATGCGAGTCCATGAGAAAAGGAATCAAAAGAAAATTAATCGTCGGATGACAGTAATCTGCAAATTTTCATTTGATTTCGCGCCTTGCCTGGAAGTGTCCCCGAACGAGTTTTGGAGAGGCCTCACTCTCTCGCTTTCGGATTAGCCGCCGATTTCTCGTTTGATGGCAGCGAGTTCCGGCGCAGCGGGGAGTCGCGCCGCTCCGTCAAAAAATGAAAAAATCATCTCACACTTTTAATCCCTTTGTGCCGATGATTAATTTTTGTGTTTTACGCGTTGGCATGGAACATGCGGATTAAGGAGTATTACGCGATGGGCGAAAAATTGCAAAATACGAATTTTTAACAGTGAAACTGATGATGAAATGCTTCAATTTTCAAGCCACAAAATTATTTTTGGGGGGCTATGGGGGTGAAGAATGTAGCCCTTTGACAGTGGGGGTGATTATTATTGGGGGGTGTTCCTCTCAAATAATAATTGGTCAGTAATTTTGCTTCCACCAATCAGTGATTGGCAATCACAGACGAGTTAGAACCCCCTCCCTCCTCAGCTTTTGCCCACAATCGTCGGGGGAGGGGGTGATCTGAAAACTTTTTTCCTAGCTTTTCGAATCATTCGTTTTTTTTCTTTTGAATTTTTGAATTAGATATTTCTCGAAGATTGTTTATCAGTATTTGGTATTCATAAAGATTATTTTGATGAGAGAGGCATCTTTGTTGCGATGTTCTTCTTGCTATGTAAATTATCTTCTTTGAATAATCTGTGCCCGATAAACGGGGATATATAATTAAACGAGATTCGGGAATGCGTATTGATTCCATAACCATAATGTAAGAATGAGCATTTTTATCGAGATTTAGACATGGTGCTTTGAGCATTGCTCGAAGTATTCAACGGCAACTGAAGCAAATCGTTGCGCAAGGAAACGGACCCTTCAACAGGGTCAAAGCATTTAACTTTCAATTACAACGACTACACCAGTTCCACACTCCCGGTTATATCATTTAACACATATTCAAAGTGAGAGAGAGAGCGAGAATATTTTTATATATGTAGTGAGGTTGTGTAACTCGCCTTTCATAAGCCAAGGTATTGTGCTTGCGAACTTAGTCTAGTACGTTCTTAAAGAAAATACCTTCGAAACACAAATTGGTGTCGATCATATTTTGGTACTTCTTCATTTTTTTTTGCTTAGTTGCCCATTACAGTAAAAACGCCTGGTCTGGGACGGCCTTAATCAACAAAAGCGTCCCAAACCAGGCGTTTTTTCATTTTCTTCTCTAGCGCCAATTTCGCTCGCAATAAGTTAAAAATCACCCCCTGGGCGTGTGCCTTTGATCTTTAAACGGCCCGACCGTCCCAAACCAGGCGTATTTTTGACCGTCCCAGACCAGGCGTTTTTATTGTAATTGAGCTATGAATTTCCTAGGAGAATCCGTTTTCAAATTGCTCTTCAAGGCCGCCTAGTAATTTTTTACGGCCAGCAGCGATAATGCAAGACAAAGAAGAAGTATCATCCAAAAGTCATAAACGAAAAGTTGAGCAGTTGAAGTACCTGCTTTTTTATTGCAGCTGAGTCGCAGGATTATCCCCGCTCCTACCCCGCTCTTCCGCTGCTACCTCCATAAAAATCTAGTGCTTTTGACCTAAAAAGTTGAAAAAGCGTATTTATGAAAAGCAACTCCTTCAGATCGAATGCAATTTCCGCAGATCGTGAAATTTGCATCTGAGAAGAAGCAAATCATCACTTGATCAAAGGGAAATGATCGACCCGAATTTGTATTTTTACGATGGCGTGGAAAATACGATGATGTTTATGATAGACATCGATATTTTTTCGGCTGTATAAGGGACCGGGTGCACGAATGCGGAAAATTACGACCCTGGCGTTTTAGGAAATGGATTGTGCTACTGCCAATCATACTAAGTGGATATATTTCAGTCAACCAGCCCAGCTCAATAATTGAGCACCATTTAAACGGGTTAAAATTCAACAAGACAGTCCCCAAAATAGAAGGTTGCAATTAGAATTAGTGCAGGACCGACTAGACCAATCAGACGTTAGCATTGGTCCCATACTAAGGCCCCATTTTAACGGATTTCTTAGATGATGTTCGGGGAAGTATGCAATAAGAATTCGTACAGGACCAACTATTCTATAATTTGGCTAGAATTGGTATGATACCCCTAACCCTTACCAAGGGGCTACGCCGCCGGGACCCCCCCCCCACTAGGTAGGTGGTATAAGACCAATTCTAGCTATATTATAGAAGAATTGGTCCTGTACCAATTCTAATTGCAAACTTCTCCGAACATCATCTAAGAAATCCGTTAAAATGGGGCCTTGATATGGGGCTATGCTAGCATCTGATTGGCTAGCCAATATTTTTGAAGGTTCTTATACAGTTTTTCAAATAAGATCAGATGATTATTCTTCCAAGTTCGAACCCCCGTGTTATTTTTGCTTCTGACTTGAAATTGTTTCGTTGTCGATTATCGGATTCCTCGAAGATGCAAGTTCGCTCTCATGCTGGTCAGAAGAGGGCGATATTGAATAAAACTCATCAGTCTTCTCACTCTCCTGTGATAAGTGAAAAATATGCGATAGCGTTACAAAACCCTGCTTAGCACAAATATGGCGGTAGATAAGGCCTCCCACTGCGTTGATCCTATGCTTTTGCACACAGATTAATTCTCACGCAGCTACAGTGGCAGCAGCAATCGCAGCTACAGGGGGTGCAAATCGAATCACTCGTTTTTGGCAGCTTCTATTAACCGGAATCAAATAATCTCTTCTGACAACTTTTTTTTTGGAATAAAATTCAGATTTACTCAATTTTTGCCCAAGATTGTCGACTCATGCTGAAATTTGTAACCAAAAATTGCTTTTTGGACATAAAAGGTTCTTTGCATAAAGTTGACAATCTTGGGCTAAATTTCCGAAACTGAATGGGCAATCTTAAGACTTCTTTTTCGGATCTCATGATCCAAGATTCTCTTTTTTTCTGACGAGTCTGGCAATGAACCCGTCTGCCCTTTTTGATTCCAGCTGCGAATTTTGATTTTTCTGTGGAGAAAGACGAAATTTGAATATTAGTTATACAACCAGAAATCGATCCTTCATTTCATTTTGTGAATTTGAAATTGAGAATTGAAGAAGCAAAAACGATAAAATAAAATTCTAGGAAAGAAACTTCTTCCTACAAAATTTACAGCAAGCGGGAGCGAGGCAAGGTTAGTCGCCGGTGCAATAAAATCCTCCAGGACTTCCCCGCAGAAATGACCATTTTCCCTTTCAAGGCGAAAACAAGAAGCAGGAGGCAATGCTTGTTTTATCGGCATGCAGTGTATCGTTTTGCAACTGGCTTTTATTTGACTCAATTGCTTTTGAAGCCAATATCGCATTTGATAAAAATTATTGCTCAAAAAGATGGATCGATTACAAATTTTAATTATTTTTATTATTCTTCAAATAATTAAATGCAATTTAAATTTGAAATTATCTTGATACAATAATCTTTTTCAAAGAGGGACAATTTTATTTGTCTATAAACTGAGTTCCATTTTTAGTTTTAAAGGAGGCGGGCGGTTGGATATAAATACGGTCAAGTTACGCAGCAACAAGTATAGTCGAGTTCCAATCCATTAGTAGAGTCTCGTGCAGGTAGCAAGAGCTTAGCTGGGCTGCGTGGCTCCGGGCTGCCCTCAACTGCGGCTGCTTGGGCGAGGGGGCGCCCTCCACTGATCTTGTATGCCACGGCAAGGCGGATCCTCGCTTGCTAAATATCTTGCGTTTTGAACCTGGCAGATCATACCTCTCGCAGAAGCTCACTCAGCAACAACTTCCGCGGCGAAAAAAAAATCTGCAATTCAAAGCTTTATCTTTTCAAAAACAAAGAATTAATTCAAAACTGATCGAGAAACTACAGTTATTCGACTGAAACAGAGAGACGGCAAACATCCACCAATCCAGATTTCGAGGCAAATCTTCATCTTCGCCAAAATGCCGGAAAACTCAGTAAAGGTAACAAAAAGCACTAGAAAAAAGAGATCATCCTTGACATCAAACTTGTGGTGGCGCTGTTTGCATCCGAGCACAGCGCGCATGCATTAGCTCATGGCTGCATGTGGTTGGTCGAAAAAAGGAGCTGGTCTCAAGGGAGGTCTCCTCTTTTTTTCTTGAGCGGGAGGGAACAGCGCCATCCATGCAAGAAATATGCAAGCGAAAAAAGGGTCTGGAAAGATTAATAAAAAAAAATTCTTTAAAAAAAAAAGAAAAAAGTCATTTCTTTTCGAGATTGCATAAGAGATTTCCTGCCTCTCTTTCTCGATTGGCAAAAGTAATTTTTTTTTCGAACCGCGCTTGCGTCGAAAATTCGTATGCAAAAGCAGCGATTCACCTTATTTCATTCATTTTCCAAGAGAGAGATAGAAAGAGAGAGAGAGGCCCCTATTTTATTTGAAAAAGCAGGCGTTCGAGTGGCAGTTGGGCACGATTACTGCTGCTGCTCTATGCTACTTGATCTTTTGTCTGCCCAGTTGAGTTAGAGAAGGAGGGGCCTGCCTGGCCTCTCTAGGCAGGAGTCCTTCAAGTTGCAGCCCGGTCGTAAAAGCACACTAAGAGCAGCACACAAGCCAGAGCAGGTGCCACTGCTTTTTTTCGAAAAGAACACTAACGACGGCAAGTCAAAAATATTTTTATTCATTTCTTTTTTTTTTTGCAAAATCTTGAAAAAAACAGCTTAAGTATTAAATTCCGATCTTTCCTTCGTTTCCAGAATTTCATGCAACTGATCAGTCCGCCCTCATTCTCATTTCTCCAAAAAGTTCGAAAAAAAGAGAGAGTCTAAAATGTTCAATTTTCAGATGATCACTCACCGAGACGACCAACACCACGAGCAGCTCTTCATGCGACTCAATCTTTTCCGCAAAGAAAATATGCTCGTCGACCTGACCATCGTCGTTGAGGTAAGAGATTAATCGCTTATCATCATAAAAAACGAAAGATGATGGCTATTCAAATCAACAAAGACACTCGAACAGGCGCAAGACACACGACTCTCTTGCCGTAGAAATGCGAGTGCGCATGATCGTAAAACAACTCATGTGGTGCTTTTAGGGACAAGAATTTGGCGCGCACAAAATCGTTATGGCAGCGTGCAGTAATTTCTTCCTCCAAGGTGAGTCGTCAATTTTTTTTTTCTTGCTTTTATGTTTTATGGAAGGGTGGGCAATCTAGTGTACTTCGAGCTATGTCTAAATTTTATTGCCAAACTGACATTTTTTCAATTAAACTCAAGGGAAAGAAGCTTCTGTTATTTGGATGGCCCTTGGCTAGTGAATATTGGGCACGGGAAGGTGTTGAATCGTCAATCATTGGAGTGCTAGGTTAACTTATTCAACCCAGTTTACACCTATTTGCTAACCAGATCAGCAAACAAGGCGCGGCTCGATTAACTCCCTTCCGGAGCACTGAGAACTGCTCCCTCGATCGATCTTTTTTCGCAACAAGACATTCATACACACATTCTTATTTCCACAGTCCAAAGCTTTTTCACTCAGTCCGAGCCATTTCCACAGACCGAGGCATGTGTTTGCCTCTTAGATCGATTTTAACTTACGATGGGATGTGGTAATGAAATGGAAATTTAACTTTGAATTGTAGAGGGGTGCGGCCAACCTCGCGTCGTCTTGAACAATGCAAACGTGACGGTGAAAGGATTCCTGCCATTGTTGGAGTACGCATACACTTCCGTGCTCAATGTCCCGCAAAGTGATGTTAATGATGTCTTCCTCGCATCAGTTCACTTGCACATCCAGCCTGTTTCCGACTTTCTCCGGTAAGAAAACTCATTCAAGATCAACCCGATTATTTCTTGCGTTCATCTTCTTTATCTTTTCTTTAGAAAATTCACGAGCATGCAAAGTTCTCCCGGGCCAATGGCCAACTCCCTCCAGCAACTGGAAATGCTCCGACTTGTCCTTGGAATGTCCCAAGGAAACAACGGTGGACAGGATGCGCAAGCCCTGCTGAAGGACAACATCCCGCAGCTGCTGCAGATTCTCAAGATGAGCAACGAGCTCAACAACCAGCAGCAGCAGCAGCAGCCCAACAGCGCAATCGTGACTCCTCAAGAATCGCCAGTTACCGTCGCCAGCAACGATTCTTGCTGCAGCCCGCAGAAGGACATAAGCACCGTTTCAAGCCAAAATGGCGATGGAGATGAGACAACAGAATCCTCCCTAGGTAATTTTTTTATAAATAAAGCAATTTTCTGCTTGAGCCAAAGCGTGGGATAGTGCAATGACATCAACGCTTGATGAATTGCATCCGAGTCGCGTGCGCGCTTGGCCCAGGCAGAGAGAGGGAATGTGAGAAAATGTTAGGCACGCATCACGCTGTGCATCGCCCCCGGGTGCCGCCTAAATCATAATGGCCTTCTATAGGCTACAGGGCGAATATGCAATCAAAATCGCGCAGCCCGCGGCGCTGCAAAAGTCACTTTATTTCCCCGTAATTGGACAACACAGGCGAAAGGGCACATCATGCAGTTTTGCCCCGAGGCGCGAGTTAAATACAGCAGCTCATGTTTGAATTAGGAATTTCCGCTGCGGCATTTTTGGCAAAACATGCCGCGGCTTGCATTCGGAAACGCAAAGACAATACTAGATCTTTTGGGAGCGGCCCGTTTCGATTTTCGAAATCGCCCGAGTCCGATCCCGAAAAACGAAAGCATGAAAAAGGAGAGACGGGCGCCAGGGCCGTCGGTATCGATGGCCGGATAATTGGCATCACCGGCACTAGCACCACCAGAGTAAATTGTGCCTAATTAACTGATGCGGGCAGCGATCGTTGGAGCAATTTCAAATGCTCCTTTTACACAGCGAAAGCCTAATTATCCCGGTGCATAGATAGAAAATGAGCTCTCTTCTTCCCTTTTTTACAATTTTCAATTTTCAAGTTTTCAATTTCCCCCTTCCAAATTTTAAAAAATGGCCAATTATCGAAAAGCGAAGAAAGCGGGCGAATTTCTAACCCGATGCATTTTCGCTGCTCGGACAGGTTAATTGTGGCCGGGATTAAATCGGGGGCAACTTTGATCCGGCGCAATTGGCCTAAAATTGCTCCCTGCTCCTATCCATCTGCAACGCTAGCCCGCTAAGACGCAAATTAAGTGTATCATGACTACACTCTTGCTAGCAGCAATCCAAAACTGCACGTAGCTAGAGCATATGCACCTAATTCCATAATAGCACTTTCAAATTGTCAACCGCTGACAGCGCCCCCTTACCCAACTCAAAAACAAATTCAATCCAATTAAACTTTTTTCTCTAGGTGCGAAAATCGACTCTGGAATGAGCGAAGGGCACCAAGGAGACGAAGAAAACCCAGAGTTCGACGACAATCTCAACAAAAATAACAACATGGGTCTGATGGTCCCCCAGTCTCCCAATTCTAGCGTCTCGGTAAGTCTCCATTGTTTTGAAGTTTCTTTTGAAATTTTCATTTTGACTTCTATCTGACATCTACCCTAGTCGAACCAAGCCAATCTCTCCGTCATCGCCATGGACACCGATCCCTGCATCCCCACTCCCGGCACAGTAGTCGGCCGAACCCGAACCGGCAAGCCACTCACCCAGCCCGATCTGCCCGCTCTTCCGCCAACCGGCCAGTACATGCCCGTCCGTCGCCGAACACTGCCCACTTCAATCCCCAAGCCCCACGTCTGCCAAATCTGCGGCTCCCGCTTCACCCGGTAAGGAGGTCTTCAAACGAGCGCGTCACTAACGCTTTGAATTCAGCTACCACAACTTGAAGCAGCACATCAAACTGCACAGTGGCGTCAAGCCCTTTGAATGCGATATTTGCGGCAAACGATTTACCAGAAATTATACCCTCCGTCTTCACAAAGCAAAGGTAGCTAAAACACACGTCATCCTCAATTTTTCATCTTTCTCCTTCAGCACACCGGGCAGCAGCAATTCTCCTGTGGCTCCTGCGCCTTCACAACGAGCTCCCCAGCGGACATCAAGGCTCACTACAGAATGCACCAGCATCAGCCCGGCGGAGCGCGACCGTTCCGAAACGGTAAGAATCTATTCTTTCTCAAAATAATAGCCGAATATGATCTACGTTTAATCCAAAACAAGTTATATAATTTATGCATATTCAACAAAAAAGTCGTTGAGTCATGAATAAAGCCACAACTGGAGCTGAATTAAGAACTTATGACAATCATCATCTCATATCTAACTGAGTTCATCTTCGTGGAAAACTATAATCTAAAAATAAAATTCAGACGACGCCCCACCCTCGATGGTCCACAGCAGCCCCTACCAGCAATTCGACCCATCCCTGACAATGAACCCGCTCCTCGCCACTCTCACCCAAAACCTCCTCAACTCGCAGCGCCAAGCCGCCCAAAGCGCCCAAGCCCAGCTCAGCGCCGCTCTTCTCAACAACTCCAGCCAGAGCAACCCGGAAAACATCGCCACGATCAACCCCGGCTCCCCAAGCGGCTCGGAAGGCTCCGAACACCACCAGCCACAGTTCGAAAACAACTCCGAAGACGAAGAACAGTCCCTCCAGATCGACGAACACGCCGATGAAAAAATGGAAGACATCAAAGTCGAAGTCTGAAAAAATGGCAGAAAAAAATGATCTTACTAGTTCTATTTATGCAACGACACTTTCTAACACTGCTGTATATTTCCTCTTTTTACTCTGCGAGCTCTTCCCTTTTGCTGTCTAATTTAAAAACAAAAAATTTTTTACAATTGTAAATAAATGATGCAAAAAAATGATGATCGTTTACATGAAGTTTCTAGATGAGTTTCTTGCGTAATTTTAGTTCATGGGCTCAATAAATCAATAACGAAAAGTCGAAAAAAAGCTTGGTTAGATGCTTTTTCCTCGCTGTTTTTCGTGTAGTTAAATTTTTGGGGCCCAAATAATGGAATGTCAATAAAAGATGCGAAAGCGATCCTCCTTGATCTCTGTTAATTTTCCCGAAAAAAGCCGACAGCCAGATAATCAGATAGAACACGCGCACGGTGCAAGAATAAAAGCAAGAGACAAAGAGTGCTTTTAATCCGTATTTACTTGTAACTGGCGGGGCACGCGGCCGCTGCTCGTTTTGTAATGCTATTTGTCTAAAATCCTCGTTTGACTTGCAATGAATTGAATAGTTAACATAGTCCATTATGAGCAGAACAATTCGACTTGGCTCGTTTGTTCCGCACTGCCGACAGAAGGAGCATGTGCATACTCCTGGCGCCGGGCAAACACCAACACAATTGAGGGAAAAGACAAGTTCCTACGTACGTCTGCGCTTTCACCAATTTCAAGAGCGAGGTTCCACGGGCAAAATCTAGGTCACTTGCATAATCGTCCAAGCCTTGATTTTTTGGAAGGCATGAATTATTAATGAAGACATGTGCGGAAGCTGCAGAAGCATATTTTTTGGTTATTTTTTACATAAAAATTACACAAGAATTGATTCAAAACGAATCTAGGTCAATTTTGAATTCAAAAAAAGACGAAAGGGTAAATTTCTTCGACAATTTTATTTATTATTATCGAATTATTCGTTTTCATTCTCTTCCGTAGTTGTCAGAATTGGCATTTTGTACAAATAAATTAAAATAAAGTTAATTTCTGCAAAAAGCTCTGTCAGCTTCTATCCAAATCATCGACTCGTTCTAAATCGAGCTCGAAATCGTCACTGAGCTCTTCGATCTTTCTCTGATAACTTTCCAGCTTCATCTCTCGTTTCTTGTCTTTTTCGACGCCCAAAAGCCCGTCGGAAAAGATCTTTTCCAAGTTGACGCAGGCTTTCATTTCGTTTCCATGCAAACATGATTGCAGATATTTGATTTGGTTCAAAAATCAATCTGCAAACAATTTTCACATACTACTGCTCAAACAATAAAATTGAAAAGAGAAAATGGCGAAAAGAATAGAGCTTGACAATGTTGAAATCATTGACCATCCATCTCAACTGGAAAGAGAGAAAGTTGAATGTTGGCTGAAAGAATTTCTTCCGAAATTGAAGAGGACGACTTCGCGGACGCAGAAATGCCGGCTTGTGGAATCCGTTGAGCGACTTGATTTTGAGGATGATAAAAATGCTTTTCGTTGGGAATTTATAAGATTTTATGAAGAAGGCCGGGGAATGATTTTCGACAGAAAGAATATAAATCTTGAGAAGTTCGAGCAAACAGAATTGCAAAAGCAAGTTCTTAAAAATGATCCCTTTCTTATCGAAAGAACAATCGGACGATGGGAGATCAATGAAGAGTCTGTTGATTGGCGATTAGATGACGATTTGGAAAAGAAGCTGCTTTCACGAGGAGGAGAAGCGATTGTGATCGCTGAAAACTTCGAAGGTCTTGAGACAGTTGTGCGGGTGCAGGTTTTTGATCCTTTTCTTTTCACTAAGGAATTTGAAGAGGACGGATTTGATTGCGAGATACATCTTTCAAAAGGTAGAAACGGGATTTTGAGATATATTTTTAAAGTTTTTTTTGAGAATTTGAACCAGCAAAAGGAAAAGAAGAATCATCACAGGGGAAGAATCAAATGCCATTTCATCAAAACGTTGTCCATAACTTTGTGAATGTTGAGCTTTTTCACGAGAAAGACGAGAAGAAGAAGGATTGCTTGGGCTGGATTACGATTATGGAAAAGGGAGAGGCGATTTTAAGGACTTTGTTGAAAGAAGAAAGAATTGATCTGGAAACGAGAAGGATGATTGCGAATGAAATTTTTGATGGATTTGAATATTTGAGTAGTCGTGGAATTGAGCATTACGATCTGAAATTCGAAAACATTGTGATTGTTGGTGAAATTCCGAAAATAATTGACTTCGGGCTCGTTAGGGAGTTAACCGGTCGAAAAGGCTACCGAAAAATGGGGTACGCCAGGAGAGGATCAAAATACAAACATTTTGGCGCTCTTGGTAAGTTTTTGGAAATCTTCAATTTTTACAAAATTTCGAAGCTGCTGGGACGCCAGGATTCAGTATTCATGGTCAAATCGCGGGTGTAGCTGGTTATTTAGCTCAAAATCTTTATTATTTCCTTTTCTGCGATTGGAAGACTGCGTGGACACTTCTGTACCAACCACTCGATGATGGCGAAAGAAAAGAAATTGATAAAATTGTTGAAGTAAGAGCTTGATTTGTCGATTTTGTAATTTTTGTTTTGAAGGAGTGTGGGGCATCCTCAATCAAAAATTTCAAGAGATTCTATAATTATTCATCACTTCGCAGTTTCATCCAGAGTTGGTAAAAAAGTATACTTCACCCTGCGCTTCAAAAATCTGCAGGGCGCCCTTCAATCTTGAAGCGCATAATGCTTACTTCAATTTGAAGTACGAAATGGCTCGGAAGTATACTTCATTCTGAAGGGCGGGTGAAGTATACTTTTTTACCAACTCTGGTTTCATCTCCGAAGTCACGAAAATAATTTCGCTGGAAAACGCGTCAACCGTTTTTTGCCTTGATGATCCAAACTTGACTCAATCCTGCAAAATGTCGAATTTGAAACAAAACGCGACAAAGTGCGTCAATCAAGACATGAAAAATTTGACGAAAAACGTCTTCGACCAAAAAACCAGTCAACTTTGCGCCCCGATTTCAGTCACCACTCTTCTCCGACACGCCATCAAAAATGACCTTGCTTTCGTAGACGAAGACGGTTTTTGTACCTTTGAAAAAATTCTGGCAACTTTGACTACGATCGTCTTTCCGCGAAGTTTGGCCGGCCTCAATTTGAATCCGAACAACAAAGAACAAGAAAAGCAAGAAAATGAAATCGAGATTCTTTTGAATCGGCTTTGCAAAAAAACTTATCTGATGAGAAGTGGATGGCACATCATCAGAGGAGTACAAAAAAACCTCGAAGACAAACCTTTTGCAAAATCTTGTCCAGTTAAATCAAGCTGTCACTTCCATACAGGCATTTAATCACAAAGAAAACAAATATAACCCGAATTCAGTAACTCTCAACGAAAATTTCACCTTCACTCGTCCTGCAACAGTCACCGGCGCCTATTTACCTTCTTCCGGCGTTCTCTTCTTCCACCAAATGACGCTCGACCGAGTCGAAAAGGGCGAGTACGTTCTCCAAAACAGCGATTTCAAGGATCACTCTTCAGGTGCAATATTTTAAAATTTATCAAACTCAAACTAGCCTTTTTTAGTTCTGCGCATTCCTCTAAAAAGGCCATACTACGCTTCTCCCGAGTACATCTTCAATCTGGTCAACTCAACCGAGTGCACCGTTTACGAAGACAACGAAATCAAACTCACACTCGTCAACGAGTTTTCACAAAACATGGACGAAAACACCTGGTATCTTCTTCCTTCTGCTTACATCATCCAGCTCATCCCAGAATAAACAACTTTATTAGAAATAAAAGCATTTTAAAATAAAGGAAAACGATTCTTTTGTCTTCCTTGATTTCAATTCTTTAGTTTCGAAAATAGAGATATATTTAAAAAAAATAGAAAATAGAATTAAATGGGCAGAAAATGAGGCTTGAAATTATTGTTCTTGAGAAAAATTGATGAGCTCCAAGATTTGAGAAGATTTGGTGGAGAGTTCTCGCTCTGCTTCGTTGTCGTTTTGCGCGTACTCGTAGATAACCTCCTCTGAAAGAATCGGTAAGAGATGATTATTAATTTTGAGCTTACTTGATTTCTTGCGGCGAAGAGTCCAATCCGTCTCGTTGATCAAGCCGCTCAGTCCATTCTTGCGTAGTTTCCGATTTCTGGAGCAGCTCTTGGCCGAGGTTTTGTTCGCTCAAGCTGACGACCACTTTCATCAAACTCGCGCCAAAGAATTCGTCTCCATCTGTCAAACTTGATCGGGAAGCTGTGTCGAAGAGGGAGAGGTAAGCGGACTCTTGGTCGGGACAGTAGTTTCGCGAGAAATTGGCAATACAGTCGGTCACGATTTCGAGTGTTCCGCTTGACTTGGACGACTGGATCAGCTGGCTGTTTGCCGCTTGGATCAAGAAAGGCACGAATTCGATTCCCTGGAGGAGGTTCAAGGAGGGTCGACTCTCATTCCGACAGACAAGGCAGACTGACATTTTGTTCGGAGATTTTTAACGGCGCTGAAATTTAATAACCGCTTCGGATGCGAAAATCAAAGTGCGATTTTTACGAACGTCCCATTGTCAGACCAGAACATCTTCACTTTTCCCTCCGCTAGTTTATGAAGTCAGAGAAATTCAATTAAAATGATACTCAATCTTGAAAAGGAAGAGGATCTAAATTGGTTGAAGCAAAAACGAGTTACTTGCTTGGAGTGTCACTGCGTGGGCATTTTGGGCAAAAAAGGGAGAAAGGTCTTCTTGTTTGCGGAAGATGTGCTCACTACTCGCAGCATCCACACCCAGGAGGCCGATCTTAAAGAGAATAAAAGCTACAAGAAAAAAATCACTTCGAAAATGACTCTTGCTGAGCATGGAAACGCTACGACGATTCAAAAGTACTCTTATGTAGGAATCGGCACAATCTTTTGGGTTCTGATCATGCTTCTAAGTAGATATTTTTTATCCTTCCGAAATTTTTATTTTTCTAGCGAATTTAATTTCACTGGAAAAGTCAAAAGGCGTGACAACTTTTCTGACTTCGACTTGCAACCGAAACTACAAAAGATGCCTCCAGATTGATTCAATGGACTATTGCGGCCACCTGATGAAGCAGTGCTACGAGACGAAGGAATTTATTCTCCCCCTGTCGGTTCAGAAAGTTGAAAAAACGAAGATGGAAACGACGGTCTTTTCCGAGGAGGAGAATAAATTGAATCTCCTCCGCTGCAAAAAGCAAAAGTTCTACGATACAAAAGTCTGCCGCCATCTTTGCTCAAAAACTCTGGTTCTGAAATCAACAAGGAGAAAGCCGACTTCTCCTTGCGAGTCAATTTGCTTTGAGCTGACTAGATCTTTCGACGCTGCCGGCGACATTTGTCCGACTCAGAAATATTGCAAAAATGGATGTCCTTGTCCGTTCTATCAATGCGAAAAATTCCCTGACTCGCATCAAAAACTCATTCCTTTTTTCGACCGTAGCTCTGAAAGTATTCAGAAAGTCACAACTGAAGTTCCGGGAACGACCGAATCTTCGTGCGGCTGCGAACTTTCCTCGACGGTTTTATCAACGACGACGACATCGACGCAATCGACAACAACGCAGTCTTCGACGACTTTATCGACGACAACAATGACGACACTGACTATTGCTGATAAAAACGAAACAAAGGAAAATTACGATGCCACTTTGATAACTCGTCGGTGGCTTGATCGTCAAACGGCTTCGAAGAAGTTTTCAATCATTCTGTCAGATTTTTCCGCAAATGCCACTGCTGTTAAGAAGGGGGGTCGACGAGAATCGGGATTTCCGTGACCAAAAATGCGGGAAAACTGGATTAGATAGGGAAAATTAGAGTCTACTAAAAAATCGGTCAAAAATCCCCTCAAAGTAGGGGCATTTTCGCGAAAATGCGTCAAAAATGGCCATTTGTTTTACAATTTTCTCAATTTCAGCCCCTAAATCTCATTTTTATGAAATGTTTTTAGGCTCAACAGATTCGGGAGGATCTGACAATTCTAAAAATATAAGTTTCATATCGCGGTTATGAGTATAAGCGAAATTACGATCACCCCTGAAAAAAATTCTCGTCGACCCCCCCTTAAGGTTGCTCATCTGAAGACCGACTTTTTTCTTCATGAACGTTTTTGACTGCTTATATCCGAAGATATCTCGGATGATGTTAAATTTTTGATCTTGAGCAAGAACTTAAAAACAATTCTCAAAAACTTAAAAGTCGACCGGCGCGACTTTTCTCAACGGTGCACACTACTTAGTCGATGCTTTAGGAAATCTGATGATTGTCAAGGAGAGTGAAGATGAGCCATCTCTCTCGATTCCAAATAAAATACCCTTTCTGTAAGTTAAAAATTCGAATTTCAAATCCAAGTTTAAGTGGCTTCTTCGTTTTTCATTTTGGCTCGTCTATTGGAACTCATCAAATAGAGATTCGTAACAAAGAGGATGGCAGGAAGACTTTTCCAGTAATTGTCATCTGAAAACGGTCAAAAATATGAAATATATATTATAGTATATTATTATTTTATCTAATCTTAACAAATAATTAACAAGATTATCGTGTTTCTGATCGACAAAAGTTCTCCAACTGGGAGATTAGAAAAATGCTTCTATTACGCTCTTGAGTACAATTTGGATCGCTTCGAAGAAGCACAAGGCTTTATTGCTAGTAATCACTTCAACGCTAAGTTGTCTTCCATCAGCTTCAAGGGAATCTTTTACCTAATGAGTGTCCGGATGGGTGACAGATACATAAAACTATCAACGACTCTCGCGTTGAACAGGATTCGAAGAAGCGAAGAAATGGAAAAGGGTTGGAAGAAAAGTGAGCAAGCGTTGCCTCCAGAGTTCAGAGATCTCGAGCCGGTTCATGTGGTTCCTTTGAAACGGATTAGAAATTTTGTTTTCATCAATACTTTGACGATAATTTCTAATCTTTTGAAGATAGACGTAGGACGACTGATGCTGATCTTGGTGACAAGAAGCATTCCCCTTTCCAATACAATGTATTCTTTGTTGCTAGAAGCGGAAGGAAAGTTCCTGGCCCTGGGCAGCGAGTGGATTGGTTCAGTCATCAAGTACGAAGAAAAGCCCATCTGCTTCTCGAAATTATTCACGGGAAATTATCTTGGCGAGGACGATCCATTCTACACAGACCAAATCGGAAACAACAACGACGAGTGCGAGTACTTCGGCAACGGAATCATCAATAACGAGCGCATTTTCATCCAAAATTATGTTTTCGACACGACTTTCGAGATTGAAATTAATTTTGAACAAATCGAGATCGATTTCGTCCAACAAAAACCCGAAAAGAAAATATACGTGACAAGCAATCCCCTCTTTGCTTTTCACGACGATGTTTTCCCGGGTTTCTCAAAAAATGCCGCCTTCCAAGACAAATTCAATCAATCAGCCAGTTCTATGACTCAACCTTTTCCAAGAACACTCGTCCCAGATTTCAACTTTACTTCGCTCAACGAATATGAACACATTTCCACCCTTGAACTGAAATTTCACAGAGCAGAAACTTTTCAGTTTGAATGGAATCCACGGGTGAGAAATAAGAATAATTTCCTTAACATCATTTGTATTAAAAGAATGCTCCGTGCAGAGAATTAAATATATTTGAACTACAACTTTTTATTGGAAATAAGCTTCTCAGCTTTGGATGCATTAATGGCCGACTTCTGGTTGACTCCGATTATTTCGCTGAACCAGTTACTTTTGAATACAAACCAATTGGGTTAAAAAAATTCGAGTTTGTTTTAAATTCGAACTCTTCCTCTGATTCAATCATATTTGAAATACTCGATAAAACGAGAGAAAGGAGGAAAAAATCCACGATCGCTTCTAGACAAGAAGCTTTGTCAAGGGCAGATAGTTCTGGACTCATGAATTTATCCAACAAACGAGTGCGAGTTTTCAAGTTTGACAAAAAAACAGAAATTCGAAACTTCATTTACTCCACCGGAGAAGCAACGCAATTGTCAGTCATCGTGCCTGAATCTTGGGGACGGTTTGCCCCTTTCCCTCTACTTGGCGATGGTTCTATGAATAACAAGTTATCAATTGAGTCTCCAGTTTTCTGGGGCGATCCCTTCGACATTGCAACTTACGTTTACCAGTCCAAATACGCACTGGTTTCCGGCCAATTGTTTATTTTTGGAGGACGGTTTGATGCTCATAAAGTAAAACTTAATCATTAATACGAAAGAATTTTTTTAAAACTAGATCGCTAAACTTGACGGATGTGGATTTAAACAATTATCAGTCAATCTGACAGCGAAATTTCTCCACGGTCATGGAGTTGTAAGCATAGATGGGGGGAGAAAAGGTTCTTTTGTTTGAAAGAGGCAGTTGTGTATCATCCTTTTTATAGCGCTCATTTGCTTTGATTACGATTCCGAACGATCTTGTGAAGAGTTTGACGGGAAATCTGTTTTACCTGCGAAAAAAACAAAAGAAAAGCACTTTTACGCTGGATTTGGCCTTTACAGAGGTCGGCCGACGGTCGTTGGTGGTTTGTATCGAGAAGGAACGACAGAGACAATGATGAGCACTGGAAAGTGGAAAGAACTTGAGCCGCATCCCCGGTAAGACAGCTTTTTTGAAAATCTAATACACACTTATTCAGGTATATTGAAGACCTTGCTGTCGTCAGCTTGCCTTCAGGAGCTCTTTTGACAATTGGAGGAAAAGACAGAAAGCCATGGCAAGACACAAACGAAATCTGGCAGCTAATGAACAACAACTGGTCTTTACATGGCTTCTTGCCAAAGGTGCGTCTGCCTTCATTTCATCTTTCGCCTTCTAATTGCTGGATTATTTTAGCTTGTTACTTTCCCATCAGTCCTCATGATCGCTGACAGTATCTTTGTATTTCCAGGCGACATGACTACTGAAGTGCGTCTCATTCAAAGAATTAATCTAGGCCGTGATTTCAGAAAGACTTTCAAATTTTGAGTCTGCTGAATATTTTGAAATTTCAAATAAGACTCGAACGAAAATATCGTTTTCACGAATGTTGTTGGAGAAGTTCCGAAAGATAGCGGCGAAAAACCTCTTCCGAAGTACGTTTCCCGATTCTTTTTGTCTCTCCTCTTGATTTCTGTACTATATAATTAGCAATAATAATACCAACATAACATGATTTCATAATGTTATTGGATTGTAAGGATAAAATCTTCATGCTTTTTTCCTCGTTGATTCCAAAATGTCGAATCAGGGCATATTTCAATTGACTTGAATACCAACCTGGCTTCAAGTAATCTCGTTGAGCGTCGTTATGATGCGCAAACAGGAATAAGGGAAGCTTTTTTCGAAGATTAACGTTATTCCGAGGAGTGTATTTTACAAGCAGAGGGAGTATTTTTACTCACTTTTTTCATGAGATCAAGGATAGAGGAAGATATAGTCCCGAAAAATGAAGGGACGCCGCTAGAGATGGGAAAACGTCATAATCTAGCCCCGATCAAGGAGGAAAACGAACCTCCCGATGCTCCAAAAAGAGAGCCACTGGCCAATGTAAAATGCTTGGAATGTCATTGTGTTGGAACAGTCATGAAGACGAAGGATGAAGTAGTTCTCCGTCCAAACACTGTGAAAAAGACACTGATCGATCTTGGTGGAGGGCTCTTCATGCCGAATATCAATAAAGTGAAACCAACAGTGAAGATTATCAACCAGAAGGCAAAAGACTTCGTGGAAGGCTTTAATGAAACTATCGACGGTGGTGACGAAAATCGAGAAAATGCCGGATTCTTCCAAAGATCAACAAAAAGAGTTCGAACGTTCAGAGCGAGATTTGCGCGAGGAATGGAAAATGCCAGACCGGAAAAGAAAATGAAGCTGGCAAAAATGATTCAAGCAGAAATGGTGAAGACCCCCGCGCCGGAAAAATTCACGGGCTGGTTTTCGGATGAGTTCGAAAAACATGCTTTTTGGAAGTCTGAAAAACGCTTTTCTCTTCAGTAAGATAAAGATTCGAATAAGAAAAGGCACATGCTAACAATTTTCAGTGGTAACAAAACAATGCGCCAATTAGCAGTTTACATGGTTTTTGGTTGCTTTTTTTGGGGGATTATCGTCGGAATAAGTATAACTTTTTAAGTTTTTTGTACAGTGATTCATATTTCAGCAAATTACTATTCGATGCTGGCTGCAAGGATTCAACCAACGTACTTGACGGATGTTTGCCAATTCGGGTTCAAGAAATGCATCAAAACAAACGAAATGGACCACTGTGCGCATCGGCTTCATGAATGTATTGGGACAAGAAATTTTACTCAACCAGCTTCTATTTCTGTGCCACAAAGGGAGATACAGTTGCCCCTCAATTTCACAGAAAAAGAAAATGAGATCAATCAACTACGATGTAAGAAACAAAAATTCTATGCTACGGTTTTCAATCATGATTGATCATATTAGAATTTTACAAATTAAAAAACCGAAGACAGATCGGTTCATCTGCCGTCACCTCTGCTCCCAGTCTCTAGTCTTGGAATCGGCGAGGAATAAAGCCCTCAATCACTGCGAAGAAATTTGCTTTCAATTGACAAGGTCTCATGATTTCGCTGGAGACGTTTGTCCGTTCGAAAAATACTGCCAAGCAGGATGTCCTTGTCCATTTTATCAGTGCGAGAAAGTAGAAAATGAGCAAACGCTTGTTCCCGTCTGGAATCTGAAGAAAGGGAGAAAAACAAAAGGAAAGTTAACATGTAAGAGAAGATTTTCTTGGGTACGTATCTGTCAACTTCTTGAGTCCCGCATGGTGCGGATTTGATAACAAAGAGAATTATGGGCCGCAGAGCTTCTTTGACAAAGTATCCGATCATTTTTTCGGACTTGCGAGGGTCAGACGACTCAGTCACTTCTAATTTGGTGAATCTAAATGTAACTGATTACTGGGGTCGGCATCGGTCCCTTTTTCCTCATGAATGTTTTCGACTAATTGAAGTAAATAACACGTATAATAAAATATATAAAACAGCAAAAGTCAATCGGAGCCGTCTTTCTCAATGGCGAGCATTATTTAGTCGATGCTGTTGGAGATATGAGGATAGTCAAGGAGACTGGCGGTTATTTGGTTTATATTCCCAATGGACACAGAAGAATGTAAGTTTACGCTAATTGATACTATCAATTTGATAGTTTCTAGTTTTAAATGTATTAATTCTTCTTGTTTAGTGGATTTTTCGTCTTTCACTTTGGATCGTCGATCGGTACTCATCGAATTGAGATTCGCAACGAAGAAAAAGATAGAAAAGTGTTTCCAGTCGTTGTCATCTGATAGCGGTCGAAAAGAGTTCTTTTCTAAAAATCACTTTCTTACAATGAAATTCATTGAATGAATAATGATTTTTGACCCTTCAAAGTCGTCCAACAGGAAGAGACGATAAATGCTATTACTACGCTCCCGATTACAATTTGAACCGATTCGAAGAATCTCAGGGTTACATCGCTAGTAATCATCAAAATGCGAAAGTTTCTTCGATCAGCTTCAAAGGAGTATTATATTTAATGAGTGTCAAGCTGGGTGACAATTTCATCAAGTTGTCGACGACTCTTTCTTTGAACAGAATAAGAAAAGAAGAAGAATTAGAAAAAGGATGGAAAAAAGGCGACTTCAGAGTTCCCGCAGAACTTAGAGACTTGGATCTAGTCCACGTGGTCCCTCTGGAATGGGTTAAAACGTACAATTTTGTGACTCTACTCGAGTCACTCGAGTAGCATCTTTTTTTATCCCCCTAAAGATTGATTTAGACAGGTTTCTTTTAATTCTAGTGACAAGAAGCATTGATCTCTCGAACACTCTTTATTCGGTCCTTTTGGAGGCGGAAGGGAAGTTCCTTACTCTCGGCCGCGAGTGGATAGGTTCGCTTGATAAATATGAAGAAAAATCTGTGTGTTTCTCGAAATTGTTCGCTTCCGATGGCTGGTACACAGATCTATCGGGGTATAACAACGACGAATGCGAATACTTTGCAAATGGAATCGTTAACGACGAGAAGATCTTCATTCAGAACTATGTTTTTGATTTTTCATTTGAAATAAAATTTCATTTCGGCAGGGATCTAATAATTGCCAATTATTAATTGGAATACTGTTCTAAATAAAATAATTTATTTCCCTATACAGACCTAATCGAGCTCGAGTTCGTCCAACAACCATCAAGGAAACAGATGCATGTGACAAGCAATCCTTATTTCGCATTCCACGATGATGTCTTTCCAGCTTTTTCGAAAAATGCCGTCGCCCAGCCGCGATTTCCCCCAAGTTTCGGCAGTTCAACGATCATTCCAGACCATTTCTTTACATCCCTCGCAGAATTGAATCATATTTCAACAAAAGAGATAAAATTGAATCGAGGAGAAAAATTTAAGCTCGATTTTGAAATTCATTTTCCCGAGAGATCCTGTTTTTCCGAAGAAACAAAAATTCTTGAATGTAAATTTTTTGATGAATCTACTTTCTTTACCTTCGGAGTTTTTGAAACTGGGTCTTTATGGATTGCTTCTGATTATTTTGAAGGACGACTACTATAACTGGGAGACCTGAGCGGTAGGTGTGAGCTGGCCTTGAGGGTGGAGAGGAGTGCTGGTTGCGGGCTAGGAGCCCGCTTATATACGAGGCTGCACAGCGCCCCACACCACTCCTCCCCTAAGGTTTTTATGTTTATTGAATGAAATTTTAAGTACAGAATAATAATTTTCAGTAAACATAAAATAATGGATCTTAAAATTAATCTTCTAAATATTTATAAGAGAAGTATAAAAGAACTCAAAATTTAAGGAAATAAGGAGAAATTTAGAAAGGAAATACATAAGAAAGAATACGCGGTGAGTGCAGAAAAGAGAGAGAATCTATTGATGAGAAACAGTAACGCGCGTAAGAGTGATAACAGTAAATGAGCGCGCCGGCGCTCACACGCGCACAAAGAGCAAGAATAAATGAGAAAAGGTATTTTAATAAATTTGAAACTAACATAAGTAAAAACTAAACCGGCTTAATTGCCTAGCTCCGCCTGACGGATGAGCTTTATGAGAAGGTCCCTTCCGAACGAACGTTCAGGACTCAATAGTCCAGGGAAATCTGATCATTTAAATAAATATTTAAAAGATTATTAGAAGAAACAAGCAAGATGGGAAGAAATAAGGAAAATCTATACAAAGCAAAGATCATTGTTAGTAGTTGATATTTTTGTAATTTTTTGAATACTTTGTAATTTTTTTTTTGTTTATGAGAACCGAATCGTAAAAAAAAATTACAGGCTCTTTTTTCTTCAGTTTGCAAGAAAGCACGTCGTTGTCCAAGTTGATTCGTTTTGAAATACTGTTTTTATTGCCTCTCGATTAAACAAAGTTGCAAATCATCATAACCCAATGTTTTCCAACGTGACAAAACAATTATATTAGGTGACGGGCAAAGTTCCGGCCAAATTGTTCGCAGTCACCACGAGTTTCTTCTATAGTTCATTTTTCTTCAGCCCGATATCTTCTGCTTTTATCAAGAACTTGCAAATCGTTCTCTCGGCAGCGTGAAGTCAAGTCTTCATCCAGTGTAGAAACTTTTCTTCACCTTTGATATCGTTTAATTCGGACGTCCTCTCCATGCTGTCGACCTACCGAAGTCCACTATGTTGGCACTTTTCGGGTTTATCCAGGCCTAAGAAGTTTTCCACGACTTCTCCTTGCCATAAGATCACAAAGACCATCAACAAATATAGTCGTCAACAAAGTGACCAAAAGTATATCGTCTGGAAGGCGATTTTTTTCGATTCGATCCACGAATAAAGAGGAATATCACTCCTCAGGATTTGATCATCGTCAAACCAAAGAAATAACTATGTTGATCTTATCTTTCGCTTTTTCAAATGACACCAGCATGTCCACAAACTCGTCTATTCTCAATTGTCTCATAATTCATCGCTTCTTCGTCCATTTTTTCGCTAGCCTCAGTAATCTCATAAGTAATCCAGACTTCACTGTCCATTGCCATAGGTCAACCGATAAAGAATCAGCATTTAGAACAAACAACTTTCGTAATTTGACAGGGTTTTAGTAAAGCTTGCATTTCAAAAACTGTTGATGAGGGAGAACCCATAATCGTCGATAAGAATTTATGAGAACCTAATATCGTCAATTGATGAGTTGCATCGCTGATGAGAACCAAGTGACGTGAAGGTCTTGTCGTCCTTGGGAACTGATAAGTGAAGCATTGACGTCATTGGTTGAGTCGGCTATCAGTTTTGAGAACTGATATCTGTGATTCTGATCGTCATAAAGATCTCACAATTCTTTTCGAGATTCCAGAGTAAATTTTATAAACGAATGACGGGTTATAAAATTTGAGAGTTCCAATAGAAAGTAATTCCAAAGAAAGTTTTGATCCAAAAGGATAAATAAATCCGCTAGCAATTAATTATACGAATCATTGAAAAAGGTATCCAAATAAATTCTCCATAAGAGTCCAAATCGAATAGTTTGTCAAAATAAAATACCAACATGTTTTAAACGTAGAGCAAAGCAGTTCCAAATCGTAAAGCAGCGTCGAATCGTTGAAGTTATTAAAAGCAGCAAAGCATCAAGATAGAATCACCGTTTTTCTCTTTTGGTAGCAGAATATCTCGACAAAAACGGAAAAAAATAAGCTTTTACGGATTTTTGGCTCCTATATCTCCATTAAGGGCAGGTTCAAACATCCCACGACAGTTCACCAGTATAACTGGGAGACCTGAGCGGTAGGTGTGAGCTGGCCTTGAGGGTGGAGAGGAGTGCTGGTTGCGGGCTAGGAGCCCGCTTATATACGAGGCTGCACAGCGCCCCACACCAACTACATTTGCAATCAAACATCACGAAACTGTCGAAGTTGTCACTTCATTTTAGCTCGTCGAGTTCACCTGACTCGTACTTACTTGAAGTTTCTGAGGAACAGTAAAATACAAACTTTTACTTTCGCTTTTAAAAGATTACTGAACCCAAAAAAAGAATTTGAAGAAAAAGAAAACTAACTCGAAAATTAAGATGATTGGCCTTGAAAATATCAAAAACGAGAAACTACGGATTTTTAAATACGATGATCGCGCAGAAATGAAAAATTTTGTTATTTCTTCAGGGAAAGCAATTCTTATTATGGGCGAAAAATTGGCAAAAGCATTTGTGATTTCCTTCAATGGAGAAAGAAAAATAAATGCAGAAATAGCAGCACCAAGAAAGGACTATCTTCGATGGGCTCCTCATGCTCTTGTAAAAAATAACCTCTATATTTTTGATGGAAGGGATAGAAATAAAGTAAGAAAACTAACTTAAAAACGATCTTAACCGCGTGGGACGAATCGTACATTCCAATGTCATTTAAGACTTTAGGGGCCCGGTATTCCAAGACTATAAATTCGATAACTTTGAAATTTTAAATGTGGGTTAGCTCATGCCTTCTTAGTAACTTGTGCAAATTTGGAAGTTTTATCAGGGCTGCACCTGACACGGGATTAAGTCTGGCCTACTCGAGCGCCCGCTGAGATTTTTACTGTAAAAAGGAACCAATTTGTTTGTTTGAGCTATCTGGGCAACTTTTGTCTATATTTTTGATGGAATTTCACCAAGTGCAACTTCTTTCGAGTGAAAAGAGCACGGAAGATGATGGTAAAAATTTTTCACTCTCATACTTACTAAAAAATAATTATTTCTGACGAAACCAAAATATGAATTCTGACATCAGGATATGAAAGAGGACATGAAGATTAGTTATCTATGAAGATCTGAGAAATATCGGACGAGCGGTTCATGAGTTATTCGAGTTTTTGCTTAAATGACATTCGAATGTACGGTTCGTCCCGCGCTCATACGCGGGGATTCGTCCCACGCGGTTAAAATAGTTTTATTCAGATTGCCAAATTAGAAGGATGCGAATGGAGAGAACAATCGACAAGATTGATAAATCCATTTTCGAGTGGCTCTGCAGCACTTTCGAACGGGGGTACTGAATAGGGCCGCCTTGCGCCGCCCTGCCTCGCCCGGTTCGGTAAAAACTGGGTGGCGCAGGGCGGAGCTATTATGTGACTCCCCTTTCGATTGAAAATGGAGAAAAAGCACTAATTTGCTTTGATAGCTTTTATGCCTTTAAATGTGAAATTTTCGATGGAGAATTTTCAATTGACACTTTCACATCGAGTTATAAACACTTGGGCGGTAAACTCGGCGACTACAATGGAAAGCCCACTTCTGTTGGAAGCTATTACAGCAACAAAGTGGAGACTTTGAGTTCTCGGGGCTGGTCCACTTTACCAGATTTTCCTAAAAGGTATTTGAAAAAAAATTTCATTATTCAAATCTTGCTAGTCGAATGTATTTCCATGTATTGATGGGCCTTCCAAGTGGAAGTCTTTTGCTCGCCGGGGGATATGATGGAAATAAATATCAATCAGCAATTTGGCTTCTTGAAAACGATGTTTGGAGACAGATCGGCGATCTTCAAAACGTAAATTTCAAAAATATAATAATTCAAGAAATCTGATTTCAATTAAGGCTGACTATTCTGCATCTGCAATAATGATCGAAAATTCAATTTTCATCATCTCAGGCTACCGAAGTCCACACGCCATTGAACGGCTCGATTTTAAAGGAGATCGATTGACGAATCAACAAGGAGGTACCGGAAGGTGAGTAGGGCATATATAGGCCAAGATTGAAAAAGATAACAGCTGGGCGCACATGCACAGAGATCAATCGTTACCTAGTGGTAAAGGGAACATTCGTGAAAAATATCCGTTTCGAGATGCAGAAATCCCTTCGAACTTTTCAAGAGCTAATCATTCCTAATAAAACTTTCACTGAAGATAAAAAAACCTAGTCGAATTTTCAATTATTCGACAATTATTTTCGCAGATGTGCTGCCTCTGCGGGAGGGAGTTGGCGGTGGTCACGTTGCATCTCCCTGCCTCGGCTTGGCGCCTTCACCCACCGATGGATGGTGGATCCTTGGTGTCTGTCGAAGACTTCAACTCGAAGTGACAATGAAATATTTGAATCTTCAACGTTTTTAATCAGTAAAAGAAAGTTAAATGAAGTTCCTTTCATTTTTCTTGGAGATCTCCAAACGGAATAGAGTCAAAAGAGAAGAACTCAGAAAATGTACAATCCAATCGATAATTGAAATTCCTAATTAAAAGTTCCATTAGGAATGATTAGCTCTTTAAAAGTTCGAGGGGATTTCTGCATCTCGAAACGGATATTTTTCACGAATGCCCTGCTCGATGCCCTGCTGAAGCTGATTTACAGTGTAGATTACAGTTCCCAACAAGTCATCGGAAACAGTGTTTACAGCTCTATCCCTGTTCTTTTGAAGTTCCTGCTGGCTTTTGCGTCTAAAATGCGACTGATCAAGATCTCAATCAAAAGCATTTTTTACAAAACTTTCATTCTTGTTTCTAGTCTTATTTTCTAATAAACATTCTTAAAATCTTCTTTTATTTTTCTTTCAAGCTTTTATTGTCCTGATATTTTTGTCTTGTATGATTGTTTATTTTAAATTCAAAACGCAAGGAATTCTCGAAAGCAGCTCCTTTTGTCAAAGCAGCGCGTTTTAAAGCGTTATAAAGAATAAAAACTTAATCCAAGAATCTCGATTACTGAGAAATAACGCCAAATTTATCATTCATCGTAATCATGATGCTGCCTTAGACCCGTGTTATTTGTGATAATAACTTATTATGTAGTTGACGAGTTGCGAAAAGATTACTTTGTTTTATCATTTTATTACTTAGTCTTGCACCGAAAACGATTACACGATTTATTGCGGGTTCATTTAAATTTTACGAGCAGGAGCGATTTTCCGTGATTATTTTCCTTTATTAAACTAAAAACATCGATTTTTGAAAGTCAGAAGATGATCTTTTTTCGAAGAAATGATGTCCATTTTTGATAACATGGAATTGTCTCGAATTGAAGACCCGGCGACCCGGAACACGAGATAATATCAAACAGATAAGAAAGCGGAGTTTGATCTGGCGCCCTCTAAAATCTAAACTTTCCATTTTCAACGAAAGAAAGAGACATTAGCATTAAAAAGCCATGCCTTCCCTGGGAGAGAAAATTTTACGGCTTTCTTTTCTTTCGATAGTGCATGGCACTCTTCAAGCACCAAAACTCGAACCACCAGATCCAGTCGTCAGAGATGGAGACACTGTTCAATTTTGGGTACGTATAAGAAAATATTTCAAAAATGTTAAATACAAATTCAAGCCCTCATTCTCGTAGAAATAATTTTCTAGGGCTCAAATCTCGAATTGCTTGGAGAATACAATGAAGACAGAGAATTTGTTTTGCATGAAAGTGTCGAGATATTTTTCAATCCGGCCGAGGAAGACTTTGAGGATCCGCCAAAATGTGAAGATCTGACGATTGAGGAGAATGATCCTTTGTATCCGCAGCGAGAAGGATTGGACTATCCTTACTTCCTGCAATGCACAGCTACTGGAATCAAAGAAGGTGTGGATTACGAACTGCGAATTTCGTACGCCATTCTTGGTGTTCCGGCTTACGAGCCTTGTAAAGTCGAGGAAGCATTGCTCGAAATGGACAAGAAACGGACGATGGCTCCACGAGAGAACAACGGCGTCTCCACTTGCTACACAATCTGTGGTATCAGCGCGGAAGAATTAACAAGAGAAGAGCTATTGGCCGACATTCGTTCACAAAACGACGAGGACGGAGCAAGAAAACGGCGCGCTGGAGCCCCAAGTGTAACGAGAGTGATTCCAAACAAAGGTTCCATCCTCGGAGGACAGCTGATCACCGTCGTAGGATGGAATCTAGTATCAAGCAAACTCAATATCCCTGGCGCCATCGCCGATGAAAGCTCGCCAGATGGCGACGATTTCGTTCTTTGGTTCGAAATGGCCGGAGAATCTCCCAAATTCTGCGAATTCGATCGACAGTTGACGCTTTTGTCAAGACAAGTGGGTAACCAAGATCACCCTTCGCTCGTTTGCCGGACGCCCGCTGTTCATCGAGAAGGAACTTGGAAGGTAAAACTTGTCATCGACGGGGGAGAAATCATAGAAGGGTGGGATTTTACATTCACAGTCTTCTGGGGACCCGAGATTTTCTGGGCGACTCCTTACTTTTCGTCGCCAGCTGCGCATCCTCAAGAACAATACCTCGAGGAACGAACATTTTGGTCGATGTGGATAGATCTTGACACGGACAACGACGGAGATGAGGACGAACGCTTCTCCTCGCATCACAGACACAGAAAACTCTACTTAGCGGGAGCTTGTCGTTCCCCAGTTGATTGGGAAATTTTCGACAAAAACAACAACGAAACATTTGTACAGTCGATTAATTTCAACTCCGATGGCCTCCCACATGCGCAAACTTTCAACTTGAAAGAAGGATTCCACTGCTCTGACAGCGCTCAAACGCAAACACTGGGCGAAATCGAAATGTGCCCAGATGTCAAAATCCGCTACCTTTGCGCGGAAAACGCGATCGACTTCCAAGGACGACTCCGCACAGTGAATTTCAATGCAGTCGACGACGGAAATGAGGAAGATCCGAACAGGATATTTTTTCAGCCTCGATTCATCTCTGAAGATGGACTCAACATGGGCGAATGTGAGTTGTCGATCAAGAAGGATGAGTCGCTGGAAATCGAACTCTTCCGGGAAATGACCCACAATATTAATGGAATTTTGAGATGTCTCGCTAGAGTAGAAGAGCCTGGTCAATACAACTTTACTTTCACGACACAAAACGAAGGAGCCTCCGTTACCTCGGAGGATTTTATTCACGTGCTTGGTAATGACAACCTCGATCCTTTCAACTTCGAAGTTTATCCGATGATTCGTTCTGTTTCACCAAATGTCGGATCGGCAGAAGGCGGCACTGTAATAACCATCACCGGAACCGGATTTTCGAGCACGCTTGGAGAAACAACCGTTGAACTTGGTGGAAAATCCTGCGAAATTCTCACTCACACTTCAACAGAGATTACTTGCGTGACGAAAAAAGTTGAGACTCACAGGCGAAAGTTCAATTGGAGCCCATTATCTGGCGACGCGAACGACTGTCCGGGAAATGACATCTTTGATAGCCACTTCACTCCCACTCAATCAGCTTGTAGACTGCACTGTGAAGAACTGGCCACTTGCACGCACTACATTTATGATCCCCTTGACGGATCGTGCTTTCCGAAAATGGGTTCAACTGACAACTGTGGCAAATACGAAGATCGAGACCATCTGGTTGGGGAGATGGCACTTGACATGGACACAACAAACGCAGTCAAAACAACTCGTTGCATTTGGGGCAAAGGAGTTGGCTATCAAGGAACTCTCGCTGTGGACAAAAACGGGGACGACTGTCAACAAGGCACATTTTGCAGAAATGAAGATGGTCTCTTCGCCACTCCTAGCTGCAACTCAACTGCTTCCAATACAATCGTTGAGTGTGAAATTATAAGTTGTGAGCGCGTTGGAGAATTTGCCGGAAGCAGAGGATCTTCAGTAAGATATGTCGATGACCGAGATGCTTACACCTATGGACACGAGGCTTTCAATCGTGAATACGAGCCGGCTAACTTCGAAATAATCGACTCGTCATATTTTTCAGGCTCCGAGAGAACAAAATGGAGTGGCCAATTCAACCGTGATCATTATTCTGCTCGAAGCCAATTCTTCTTCCTCGTCCCTCGCACCGGTTGGTACAGAATGATTTTCTCGCACGATGCTCACGCGAGACTTCTGAGATTCAACAAGGACGGGTCTTACGAAACCCTTTATAATTACGAATCTTGGAGCAGCTTTTTGACTATACCGCACGAGGTCATGAGCAGCAAACGAAAGACTTGTTCATGGAGAAAGGAAGCGAAGAATTGTTTGAATTTAGTTTTAACGAGATTCATGGATACGATCATGCTTCCATCGGCTTACAGTGGCTCGGCGATTTCCAGAATGGGCGATACGAGGATGACACTCAAACGAGGCTTGGTTACTTCTTGGCGCACTCTCGTCGTGGCTACACATTGACTGGAAGTCACAACATCAGTGAGGCAGTTTGTTCTCATGTTTCAACAAGAGTATCTTTCGGCATTGACGACGGGGAGACCTCCTATTCTTTTGACCATTCTCAATCTGCTTCAATAGTCCAATCTGAACTGCGAAGCCAGTGGCCTCATCTTCAGAGAATAAACTTAGAAGTCACCAAAACTGGCGACTGTATGAATGGCTACTACTTTGACTTCAAAGGTCTTGATAGAGGCAATCTTGGTCAGCTGAAGGCCGAGCATTCGCTATCAGTAGAATTCGTGGAACGCAATCCAGATGCCGCAGCAGCGTTCTCTGTGATCAATGATGACTTTTGGCAGGGCGGTCCTTATCAATCAACAATTCAAGGATCAATGATGGCCATTCCTCAAAGAGTTCCAGAAGTAGTTGTCATCGCGAATCGCCAAAGATCTAAGTGTAGTGCTCACTACCGGCAAGAAATGCACCCTGACACATGGACTGACAACATGCTTTATGGATGCTCATTTACTTTCTCAGAAGATCACACTCCTGTTGTCTACGCAACTTCAGTCGGCGAGGAGGACGTGATCGCTGAAGGAGATACAATCACTGTAGATGTGATTTTCCCGGCAACAACTGGAGTATCTGCTGAAAGCTATATTGAAATAGGTGGAAGCAGATGCGAAATAATCTCGCATGAAGAAGTCATCCCCTTTGTTGCCACGAGATTGACCGTGACTGTTGGTCCTGTTCCAGGTAGAGAAAACCTAGTTTTATTCAAAGACCCATCTTCTGGAAGCGCGAAGTCTGACGTCAAAGTTAAATCTTTACTCACGATTTCTTCGTACTCGCCTCAGTCCGGCTCGATATTTGGTGGTTCAATCGTCTCTGTGACTGGAATTGGATTTTATGAGGGACTTGTCATTGAAGTTTTCGATACTCTTCAAGAATGTATCGCGATTCCTGGAGAAGTTTCTTACATTGAAATGAAATGCATTACGCTGCCTGTTGAAGACTCGAACAGAAAACGCCGCCAGACTGCGAGCGATTCCACGCCTACAGTCACTGGATTGTCGCGAACAAAAGTGTCTGTTCTTGGTGGAGACATCGTGGTTATTACTGGAACTGGATTCGGTTCAGAAGTGAACGGATCAAGAGTAGACGTTCAGGGACTTTTCTCAGAAAACCATTGCCTTACTGATTCTAAATACGCACATCGCGGTTGTTTGGGTTTTCGAACAGCAAATTCTGGTGACTGGACAATCACAAGCTGGTCTGACACGGAAATTGTAGCAGTTACAGTTATGCTCGATCAAGGGCCTTATGAATTGCAAATAACATCTGCAGAAAACGGTTTCTCGAACAAAGTCAACTTCGAGTACGCAGTCGAAGTAACTGGCGTCTATCCGCGCTATTCATCCCTTGCTGGTGGCCGAATCATCACAATTTCGGGCTTTGGCTTCGCTACAGACTCAATTACTCCAAACAGTAAGCTCAACGAAGAAACAACTGTCGAGATCTTTGCTGTCGGCGGGCTCTCAGGTGGCGATCGAAATCAGTGCAACGTCAAGGAAGTATTCGCGGATAAAATTGTTTGCGAAACAGGGTACGCAATAAACGAGCCAATTTCGATGAGCACAGGAAGCAACTTCGAAACAGTAAGAATCAAAGCTGGCGAAGCTGTTCGCTTCAAATGGTCATTCACGGTTAACGGGTACGCACCAAGGATGCAATTTCAAGAATGCGATGTGCCGAATTGTGATGAAGCTTCCTCAGACGATAAAATCTGGAGTCCACTGATAATAGAATCGACGGGAGATTTTCTCCGCCTCTTTACAGAGCCCGGGACTTATCATTATTCGACCGGATACATTGACAACGCCTGGAGCACCTGGCTAAATGGAGTAGTAATTGTCGAAGAAGCTGTCGAGCGACCTGAATGGTTAGAAGTCATTTTCACAGACAGCTTCTCTGATCGACAATGGGGCGAAGTGAATGAGAAATGGCCACATATCGCGGCGCATATTGGCACTCCTCCTGTTCTTGATGGTTCTGATGACGGAGCATCTGAGCTCGGCGCTTGTAGCGTGACGACGACAAACAGTGCCTCATCATTTGACGGTGCATTGGAAAAGCACTCGATCATTTATTCCTGGGCGTTTACACCTGTGGTAGACCAGTGGGTGGCGAATGGGCCGTCGACTCCATTTATGGAGGCAAATTTGACGATAACGAATTTCGAGACATCCGGAGATTGTACAACACAGGCGCACTTTACTGCTTCTCAACGATTGGGCAATGCAATTTATCCGAAAAACAACTTCTACAAAGCGTCAGAAGGTATCAGTGGCACATACGCAATCGAACACAACAATGTGATGGACCCGTTAGTGCAGTACCAATTCGATTTTGTCCTAGCTGGGCGTGGACGAGCTTACTACAATAGCTATGATGGTTCAAAAAGTTTCAAAATTAAGCCTGTTACAACAGCTGTCAGTGCAACTTCAGTCGGTGTTAAAGGAGGCTGGCAATTAACGATGACTGGTGCTGGATTTATCGCTCAAGACAAAAATCTTCTCGAAACTGACGATGTTATTTCTGTTGAAACAGAAGTTCATCTTGGAAAGGACCCTGCCTATCGTTGTGATATATTGTCCCTGACCTACACTGAAATAATTTGTCAGGCTCCTGAAATGTGGGGAGAGATCGCTGATAGACAAGTGAACTTGGCGATCTTTTTTCGTCATGACAATGATTTCTACAATGTTGACAATTCCTTCGACATCGATGAGATCCCAGTTTATGCCAGTTTGTCCGCTACTCCTCAAATCACATCGTTCACACCCGCCTCTGGAATCAGTCACGACACTTCCCAAATAACATTCAACGGGGTCAATTTGGATGGTGCTCAAATAACAATCGATGGGCAAATGGTAAGTGGGTGCTCAGGAAACACCAATTCTCAAACATGCGATGCTCCTATTCTTGCTGCCGGCTCGTACTCAATAAGCGGAACTGCTGATGATGGAATAATCTATGTGGCACCACTTGTCAGAGTCAATGCTCTCTTTGTTGCTGAATCAATAACTCCAACTTCCGGATCGGTTAACGGCGGGCAGCATGTCACAGTCTCCGGATATGGTTGGTCCGAAGATATTTCAATAACTGTTACACAAAGTGGAGGAATCATATGCTCTCGATGTCCAATTATTTCTATTGGCGATAAATTGGTCTTTTCAATGCCTTCTGGTAGAATAACAGGCGCTGCCTCGATAGAAATTGAACATGAGTTTATTGATCACGATTCGTTCAAATTTGACTTTACTTTCGTCGAAGTTGGCAACGAGAGCCCGACGACTTTCTCTGACGTGAGTGATCTCTCCGCTGGCGACTCAATTTCTCTTGAGCTGCCAACTGGAACATGTTCTAGCTCACTTCGAGTTGATCTGGTATTGAACATGAGTCCTTGCGCGGAAGGAGTTCACAACTGTCATTATGCAGCTGAATGCGTGCCAAATCTCGATGGAATCCAATATAGTTGCGTTTGCCAGGGAATCTATCGCGGAGATGGTTTCTCATGTTCTAAGTTTGAAATAAAAGATCCACAGGAACTGAGCGCAGTCGCGGAAAGCAACTGTTTTGCTGAGGGAGAAAACTTTCTTTGGAATCTTGCGAAATTCGAGTCCGTGGAAGAAATAACAAATGTTCTTTCTACCGAGAGCGGGAATATTTTCTTGAACATAAAATACTCGGCGACTGACAACTCGCTCACTCACGACTTAGACGGCACTGCGGTTGCATGGACAGACCAGGTCACTTTCCCATCTGTAGATTCCTGTCTTGTTTACCATGTAGGTTCCGCGCAGCTGAAATTTGTTCCTTGCTCAAATACTCATCAAATCGTGTGCGAGTCTTACGATGAACAAGATTGCTTTTCAGACAGAGGACAGTACTATAGGGGCGATCTCGTTCATTCTGAAGGTCATGATTGCGTCAACTGGGCAGAAGTGCCTTCGATTCCAGGATCAACCTCAGAAGCCAATTTGGATCTTGCTGGAAACTCGTGCCGTAATCCCGACTTCCGAAGTCAAGGACCTTTCTGTTATATTTCAACTGAAGTCGAACAAGGCCAAAGTGAGCCCGCATGGATCCAGTGTGCTGTGCCGAATTGCGCGATGAAGGATCAGCAAATCTGTCAAGTTGTCACAGAGAGTGGCGCTATAATCGGCCGAACGTTAGATTCATTTGTCCTTCAATCTAATCATGATAGCTTTGAACAGAACCGAAAAAACACTCAACTTGGTTTCGCTGAATTCGCCGACGGTGTCGCGATTTTCAAGCACGCCAACAACAAAAACCAAGACAGCGATTATGAGTGTTTTGAAATCGAAGATGGAGACCCTAATGCTGATAACCTACCAGTAATTGTAGTAAATCGCCAACTTGCTGATTGCGCTCGCTGGCAAAAACACCTGCAGCTTGACGGACGTTATCGCTTGAGTCAGAGCAATTACTACCTTCGAGAAAACTTTTCTCATGATAAATTCTATGGACAAATTCTAACTGGCCTTTTGTATGATGATGCAACACTTTCGGGGATAAATTTCGACCTTCAATGCGGCAACCCAGGACACCACAAAGAATCTGGTGTCAATCCAGTCGAGATTTTCCACGAGCTTTCTGGTTCTTGTTCCGGCGATTCTTTGACAGTCATCATGCCTTCGGTTTCAGCTGGTTCTTACAGTCTTCGGGTAAGAGATTCAGCCACGGGATATTTCTCTGGAAAGGTGGATGTTGATTTTTCTCTTTCTCTCGATACAGTTTCGCCTGCGTCTATTGGTCAGTCTGGAGGACAACCGATAACTCTTTTCGGCGCCGGGTTTAGTGCTGAAAACTCCGCTGTTCTTGTCGACGGAATCGACTGCTTAATTCAAGCAGTCAACGCTGAAGGAACCCAGATGACCTGCATTTTCGAAGATCTTGATCATGTTACGCAATCTGGAATCGTTGTTGTTCGACTCTCAGTAACTGATAAATCGACGGGTTCTATCATTTCTGCAGAAGCGAGCATTTACGTCGATATAACCAAGACTCCCCTTATTTCTGGTTTCAGCCCCACTAAAGGCGGTTCAGCTGGTGGCACTAGAATCACATTTACTGGCTCAAACTTAGATGCAGGTGAAGACGCCCTTGTCTCAATTCATGGTATCGTCTGCATAACTCTTTCGAGAACTTTCTCGGAGCTTATTTGTGAGACGGAAGCTTACAGTGGCCTCAACATACCAGTTCAGCCAAAGATTGAATTCGTTAATTTTGGCAACGGTGTTTTCAGCTCCGACGATCTAAAATTCTGGTACGTCGACAGATGGTCGAGCACGTTTACTTGGGGTTGCACAGATGGCAGTTGCAAACCGATGGCAGGCGACATTGTCGTCATTCCTGAAGGAAAAGTGATTCTGCTTGATGAATCGACGCCTATTCTTGCTGTTCTGATTGTTGACGGAGGAACTGTTATTTGGGACCGAGTTCACGGCATCGAGCTCAAGACAGAATACGCAGTCGTGACAAATGGTGGACACTTTGAAATCGGAACCGAAGACGAACCTTTCTGCGATCCAACTGGTGACCGTTCAATTCCCTTTGACGCAACAATTACGATGTATGGCCATCAACGGTCTGTCGAGCTCCCGATCTACGGCGCTAAGGTGTTCGCAGTTCGCCGTGGAACGATCGACCTCCATGGTTGCCGCGTTCACACTTCATGGACTCATATGGATGAAACTGCTGAGGTCGGTGACGACACAATTAAGTTAACTCATCCTGTCGCAAACGATTGGGTTGCAGGAGATCAAGTTATCATCGCAACAACTGGTGACCGGATGCATCTTCATCATTCCGAAACTGCTTATATTTCAGCAGTGAGTGCTGACGGCTACACATTGACTTTGAATGATACTCTAAAATACCGCCACATGGCCGAGTGCTCAGATGGTTTTGACTGGGCGGGAACAATCTGCCAAAGAGCTGAAGTTGGTCTTTTGTCGAAGAATGTGCTTTTCCAGGGAAATCGAAACTTAGACTGGGTCGAGGAGCTGGACGAATGTGAGCTTGGAATCGGAACCGCTTTCGACAAAATTAATAGCACCCAGACTTGCTTTCAGAACAGATATGGACACGAAGTCGGCTCTGATCAGCTCGGAGGGCATTTATTTATGCATATGGTCGATTCCGCTCGAATCGAATTCGTCGAGTTCAATTTCGTCGGACAAGCTTTCCGGTTAGGCCGATATCCAATTCATTTCCATATGACAGGTGACTTGGTTGATACGAATACTTATGCTCGAGGCAATAGCGTTCACGAAAGCTTCAATCGAGCTGTGACAATGCACGGAGTTCACAATCTTCTTGTTGAACACAATGTTGCTTTTAACGTCATGGGTTTAACGTTTTTCCTGGAAGATGGCATCGAAGAAGACAATATTGTGCAGTACAATTTAGCAGTGATGACTAAAAAATCCTCTTCTCTTTTGAATATTGATGCTATTCCTTCGTCCTTCTGGATGCCGAATCCGAACAACATCATCCGCCACAACGCTGTAGCTGGCTCTACCCACTTCGGCTACTGGTATAACTCGCCAAAACATCCGACTGGCCCATCTGCAACAAATACAATTTGCTGCAAGAACCGCCCTCTCGGGGAATTCTGGAATAACACAGTCCACTCTTCTGGGAAATACGGCCTTTGGGTCTTTGTCGACCTTACTCCGACTGGACCGAACGGCGATTGTGGAGAAAGTGCTCCTAAAGCGCTTAAAATTGGTGAGATTCCAGAAAATGCAATAATGCCCGAAGGGGTCGACAGAAACTCTGTTTACGGACTCCACACTTGGAATAACGAGCGAGGAGCTGAAATCACCACCGGTGGTGCCATCCAGTTCCACAATTTTATCGCATCTGATAACTTCATTTCCAACCTTGCTGGTAAGGAATCGTACCTCTCTTCATTCGGCGTTTGTCCAGGCGTCGACTGCCCTGGAAATGTTCAAGCATTCGTTCGTTCGATTGTGATCGGAAGCATGAAACATGATCCACACGTGAATAGCTGTGGTTCCATGGGAATCGAAACTCCATGGATGGAGTTTGCCTTCACAGTCCATGACATTCATTTTTTCAACTTTGATGAGCCCGGTCCATCAAAGCCAGGAACTTTCAATGGCTACTGTACAGCTGTCAACCCTTGCTATGGCTCCGATACATTCGAATGTGCTGCTCTAACCTGGTACACAAATGTTCGTTGGACGAATTCACCAAGAAAACTGACAACTCAGTGGGAGCACGAGTACGCCATTCGTGACATCGATGGATCATTTACTGAAAATGGCGGCGAAGAAGTCTACGTCGTGCCTCATTCGGATGCATACGACCCGAATCATTGCACCTCTGTTTGGCCAGGACCTGAGGGAGTCAACGCAAAGTCGATATTATACCCTATTCAAGTCTGTCCATACGCCGGCGGAAAATTCAAACCACACAGGTTTCCGTTCCATGGGGTTTATCCTAAGTCAATAGAAGGCGCTCAAGGTCGTGTCGTTTCGCCTTATGGCGTTGCTTATTCTCCTTACCGAGTCTGCAGACCGATCGAAAAAGGATGGATGATGCTACTCAATCAAGGCCAAGAGCATATTCTTTCTTTCGAAGGATTCGAGTACATCACCAACATAACTTATTCGGCTGAAATGTTGTTTTTAGAGAAGAATGATTACCTCCATATTGCGCACGAGTTCCATCAGCGCATTGACTACACTAACCTTGGCGTTAAACTCGACGAAATTCCTTCGATCACAAATGAGAGTCACAACAATCTCGATTATCACATTACATCGGACGAAGAATTCCTTACGACGAAGCGATACAAACTGACTTACATGCTTAGGGGTCTGAAGAATCCAATAATTTCTAGCACGAAAGGAATTTACCCGGATAAATATGAAGTAGACGCCTATGGCGATGGAACTCATGGCCGAACGGCGGAATGGTCGCTGAAGATGTACAAGTGTTTCTATCCTCAATGCGAAGAACCAACTACAACAGTCCAGCCGCCGACAACAACAACGACTGAAGCCACGATTGAATGCATGATCGGTGAGCCCGGCTGCGAAGAGACATTTACAGTTCCAGGATGGGACGGTAACAACGAGACGAACGTATTTATCGGCGAGAAGCGAAAGGTCAGGCTTTCATCAATTCCTGACGATCTCCGAGATCCGGAAAGGCCGAATGTTCTCAAAGCAACTAAACTTTTAGTTGATGGAGAGCTCATTATTGAAAATATTGAGGATGATATTGAAATTGAAGTTGAGTCGATTATTGTTAATACTGGAATTTCGGAAACGACCTGGGGCAAATCTCGCCGACGTCGAGATTTGATCGATCAGAACATCGGAAAACTAGTCATCGGAACTGCCGAAAACCCGGTTCCCTGCGACAAAAAAGTAACGATCCGTCTCATGGCTAACTATACTGAAGCAGAAGAGTTCGGAGCACTTGGAAACTCAATTCCTATCGGAGCCAAAGCAATTGGCGGGTATGGTTCACTTGAAATGCACGGCTGTCCGAGAGACAAAACCTGGACGTATCTTGCAACAACAGTCCAACCTGGCGAAAACACAATAACACTGAGTGAAGACGCCGACTGGAAGATTGGTGAAGAAATTGCAATCGCATCTAGCAATTTCGATCAAAGAGAAGTCGAGTTTTTTTCAATAACTGCAAAACAAGCAAGAACTTACACACTGAATCAGACTGCGCAGTTTCGTCACTTCGGAATCGAGACAAATCTGGAAGATGCGGATGGATATCACCTCGGTACTCCCGTCATGCTTCTGACGAGAAATATCATCATTGATGGCAGTGACGGTGCTAACGCTGTGCTCGGAGGACGAGTCCTCGTCGCCAGCACTGTTGAAAAAACAGAGAAGGACACCATTTTCCGATCTGGCTATGGACAGTTCAGCTACGTCCAATTCAAACAAATGGGGCAGTACGGCTACACCAACGAAGAGGACTCGCGATTCCAGCTCTTGTTTTACAATGTCGACCCCACTGCAAGTGGAGATCGAAAGCAATCATACGTTCGCGGTTGTTCCTTCTTCCATGGCCTTAATACTGCTATCGGTTCCGGAATAGACGTTCACGGTCTAGAAATGAAAGACAACGTCATCGTTGGCGCACCTGAAGATGGTATCCGCGTTTTAGGAAACGATGCTGTTGTCGAAAACAACGCCATCGCTTCTATTTGGGACCGATCTGTTTATGCTTACGTAAACGGCTTAAATTCAGAACTTGATACATCCTTGATTCCAGCTGGAATTGATTTCAAAGACGCTCAGAGGTTGACGATGAAAAATAACCATATTGCAGGTGTTATGGGTCCTTGCTACCATGGTGTTGGTGAGAGTTGCATTGGCGATCTCGAAGAATGCACTGCCGATGTCTACGAGAGCGATCCAAACGTTTTCGGAAATGTTGGCAGCGGATGTATTGTTGGCTATTACATTCTGAAGCAGGAACTATACCGATGCCAAAAAGTATCAGGATTCTTCATTCATCATGCAACCACTGCGGTTTACTTTCAATCAAAGACACAGCGGCAAGTGGTTTCTGACAATGTATTAGTCGACAATTCTAACGCGCTTTACACTGTCCACGCAGGACCGGATGCTACAGCATGGAAATTCGACCCAAAAGCATCAATAACTTATAAAAATAACATTATTATCGGCCGATCAGAGCATTGGGAATGCGATGTCGACAATGAAGTTTCACAAATTGGCAACATGCACGAAACGTTCTTTCCAGGAACGAGCAGTCCACGTGACCATGCTGCTATCGTCGGAAGCGACTTCTTGGTTGGCCACAATAGATGGCCAGGAAAACCGATGTACAAAGCGTTTGTGAAGATTCCAGCAATCTACGGACGAACATGTGTCTTGGCAAATGCTTTTACTAAATTTAATGGAAGATGTGGCGATAAGGATGTTATTTTCAGTGCGAACCGAGAAATGGAAGACTATTCGCACCCGACTTATTTCAAACAGGGAAATACTTTCGACAGTAATGTGGCTACACTGAGCAAAGTCGCAAAGTTCTTTAGACCAAAAACTCGCTATGTCAACATCGGATCCTGTGGCGATCTTCATTGCGATGGCCACAAGAAACAACTTGTTATCGATGAAACTGGCGACCTTCTCGGCAGTCCGGGCTTCCTCCACTCCGAGGCTGAATATGCATGGGAAGGAGTCACCAGAAATGGAACGACGTACACTGACACTCGTCCTGGACTGGGAGATTACCGAATTCCGAAAGGCATGTTGACAACTCTCGACGGCCAGAAACTCACCGTTGAAGAGTATGCGCCAGAAAAGGGAGTCATTCGTGATGAAAACTGCGTTTACGATGCTTCCATTCCAGCGTGGCATTGCACAGACTCGCTGAAAATGATAATGATGAATTTCCAATTCATGGACGTGGATCACATGGTCCGAAGAATAGCGCCCTTGGCAATTCGATCCGACACGGGCTACATTGACATCGTCAACGGGCCAGCAGATCACTCTAATTGCATTGGCTATGCTTGTATGATTCGCTTGAGCACTTTTTGGACTCACCAAGCCTGTGGCCATCAGTACGACTATTCCTTCACTTCAACGATTCCGAAGCGAATGAACTTCCATTTGCCGGACTACAATGATCAGAAGTGCAAGATTCATGTGAGGTTCATTACGCTGAAGCCGAATAGATTGGACCTCAAGCAAGACGGCATCTATATGATTCCAACTAACGCACACTACGTTGGCGACGAAATCCAGTGGGATCGACCTCGAAGAGAAATTCATCTTCCTTCTCTTGACGGGCCTCACAGCGAGCCGGGATCAAATTTTTCGATCGACAAGAGCAAGCTATCCACATGATTCTCGAGACAGGTCACATCTACGGACTTCAGCTCAAGTCAACGCTGATTCTCGAGTTGGACGTAACGACTCAGTTGACAGACGACGAGTTCTACGACAATGGTAACATTGCTATTAACATTGCCGCCCTTCTAGGAATTTCACCGAGTCGAGTGAAAATTGTAAATGTCATTCGTGAAACTTCTGAGGAGCGAAGAAAACGACGAGAATCATCTGGTCTGCATTTCTTTGGCAACCCGCGCCTTCGTCGAGCTGGCAATTCAGAAAGCTCCTCTATTCAGTTTGAAATTGCAAGCAATGATGAAAGGCCAGAAGATGGCGACAACGAGCTTGATGAAGAAGATTTGGAAAAAGAGGAGGCTGAGATCGCTGCACTGAATGATCTTGGCGCCCTATTAGCCAAAAAATCACTCGAAGAAGGAAATCCTCTTGGAGCGGCTGTAGCAGCAGCAGTCGTCGATCAGGATTCAAGCGTTTCTGTTGGCGAGGTGGCTGTTGGCATGGCTGATCCACCAACACTCAGTGAAGATCTCCCAGAGTGGTTTGATGCGGACAACCCAGTCGGTGAAAGCATCATTGACAAACTCGGCCTAGACGAAGGGACAATTGAATTGGACGAATCAGGAGACATCGACCTTGATTCCCTTCGTGATCAGATTTTGGCTGTTTCAGACGGTGAAATCGACTTGGAAACAGCAAAGACTGCGGAAGAAAAAGCGAATGAAAAACAAGCGGCCAAAGACACTGCAGCCGAGCCTATTGTCTACAAGGTGCCAACTACGCTTATTCTGGATCAAGAACCGACCGGACTCCAGGTCGAGCAAAATGATATAAAATCTTTCGTTTTGCACGTTCTCGATCAGAATGGAGAAATGATGACTGTTGTAGGATTCCCTCTCAATCCAGCTACTTGCCTTGTTTCCTTAAAAGACGGAGAGACAGGAGAAATAACTGGAGTCGACAGAGTTCCCTTTGTACCTGGAACTGGCTTCGCTACTTTTGATGCTTTCCAAGTAAACAACACCGACAAATCGGTGGAGTTTCAGTTCAGCATCGAGTTCCCTGCTGATTTTGATTTGAATGCCACGGTGTCAGCAGTTTTCTCCTCTTCACACGAGTTCTTGGCCAATACCGATAATGAGGGAGGCGAGAAATGCGAGGTCGTTGAAGGAGAAGGCTTCGACATTCAGGAAATATGGAACGACAACTGCTCTGTCATCTGTACTCTCCCATGCGAAGACGCTGGGGGGCTTCTGTCTACTTCGCCAAAGTGTCGTGAACGAGAAACTACGGAGTGCGGATCTTTCGGCTCTTGCAGCCCTGGGCACGGCTGCGAATGCGATTTGGCATCGATGCCCGAGCCAGATCAGGTGAGCTTCACTTTTCATTCAAGGAGTTTGAATTCCGGTAAAAATTCAGATCAACATTGCTGACCATTTGAAATTCTCATGTGACTATGACGAGATTAATGTAAAAGTCGACAAGTGTGTGATGCATCGATTGGGACTGAGACTCAAAAATTTGGCGATCAACGGAGTCGATCTTTCCTACAATGGGTTTGACTTTTTGACTTTGAATCATTCATAAACAGATGAATTTAGCCCCATTAAAGCATCTGGTTTGAACACATGCGTTGGGAAACTCGACTACCAGACTGGCGCCGACTATAAATTCACTCTTTACGGCTACGACGCTTGTGGAATGGAGAAGAGTCACAACGGCACTCACATTGTCTATACCAACGCCGTCACTGGCAAAATCAACGAAACGATTGAAGTCTTCTCTGAGTTCTCATGCGGTTTCGAAAATGGTAAGTCTGATCACATGGTAAAAATCAAACAAATATCAAAATGCAAGGCATTTTTCATGAGAAAAAAAATCTTGAAAAAAAGACGAGAAATTCTGGTCACAGAATTCGTTAACACAAGAACAATCTTTTAGCAACAACAACAACTTCAACAACAAGCACAACTACATCGACAACAACGACTACAAGTAAGTAGATAACAATTATCGCAAATATATCGAGATGCGATATCTATTGGAATATAATCGAACAAATTTTAAAATGACCTTTTTTCTTTCACCGAAAGAGAATGTGATTCTACCGCGTAAGTAAAAAATTTCGAGAGAACAAAAGTCGAGATTCTGATCAAAACAGAATCTGCTAATTCAGAATCAATCTTCTAGCTACAACAACAACCACTCAACAACCAACGACAACAACAACTTCGTCTGCGGGAAGCACTCCTTGTGATTCTGGCGACATTAACTTACAAGTAGGAAGCTTCTGATCTTTGTGTAAAATAACTTCGAATAAGAGCTCGGCAAAATGCAGCCCGGACCATTTCGGTATCTCTATCCACAGCTGTGTCTTTGAGAAATTAAACATGAATCCTTCTGCTGCCTCCTTGAGCGGGCCAAATGCAGCGACCAGTGGAGCCGTGGACAGCGCTTGCAATGGAACATTTATCAACGACGAGTATCACTTCGGACAGCAGGGAAAAATCGCCGACTGTGGGAACGAGATCGTCTACAATGCGACTCACATCACTATCAAGAGCTCTATTCAAGGCGTCGCTGGCGCCAAATATGGAGGGATTAGTCGTCAAAGAAGATTGAAAGTCGATTTGGCTTGTGTTTTCGAGCGGCTGATCAGAGTCGACTTAGGCCCGATTTTGACCTCGCTCTATCATTTCACTGTCGATTTGGGCGAAACGACCGGTAACTTCGACCTGAGCATCGACCTATTCAAAGACGACGCTTTCAGGAATGTTTTTCAAAGCTATTTTTATTATTACCGATAGAGCCGTTTTGAAAGACATTAAAGCGATCATTTCGCGGTCAATGAAACCATTTCCGTTCCGCAGCCTTTCTTCGTCAAAACTGCGCTAGAATCAGCTGGCGACAACTTCAAACTTCAACTCAACCGCTGCTGGGCCACCTCCACGTATATTTCGAGCACTCTTTTTCGTTAAAAATATGAATTTCAGCGACGATCCTCAAGACACACTCTCCTATTCATTCATCGACCACTTCTGCGGCAACAATGACGAAATCGCCGCTGACACTTTGGAAATCTTCGAAAATGGCGAAGAGAGCTTTGCGAGATTTAGGATGAACTCCTTCAAGTTCCTTGACGCTTCAACACTTTTCCTCCACTGCGATGTAAACGTCTGCGACTCGAGGTAACAATCAAGAGGAGTTCTTTACCTTCCTTCTAGCGTTGAAAATTGCGTCATCGATTGTTCCAGCGGAAGAAAACGAAGATCAATCGACGAGTACCTTCCTACAATCACTGCTGGTCCCTTATATTTGCCTTGATTCCGACTTTTCATATTTCGGTCTATTCGTTACATTTACCCCTCTTATTTATTTATTCTTTGAGCAGAACTTTTTCGTTTGTTTCTAAAATAAAATATTTATTCAATGATGACTTGTGAAAATTAACTCGAAAATAACGTAAATTAACGTAAAATAACTCAATATAAAATAGATCGCTAGTCGCAAAATCAGTTTTTCATAAAATCTCATTCTTTCGTTGAAGATTTAATTGTCTGGATTTTGAAAAATTTGAACAGTGAACTTCCAGGAAACGTAAAAAGAAAGAAACAGATGCATTTTAACTCGGAATTAATTCCAAATTGCGATTTCGTCTTTGTAATAGGTTTTAGTGAGCCATTCGGCCGAGGTTGTGCTGAAGCTCTTCGATTTTATGCAGAAGTTCGTGTTTTTCTCCGTACCTGAAAAGAAATCGCCATTAGTTTTTCTCATGAAAAGGGAGATTTTACCAGTAAGAGTCGTTGTGTCCTCGCCAGGACTTGTTCAAAGATCCGCCTTCGCCAGCCCGAATAAGCGTGATCATGATGACAGTAAGAGTCGTCCACCAGAGCCACTGGTTCTTTCGCAGCTCAGCATATCGCCAGCTGCCGTAGAAGGTACCGTTGTTGGTTGGGTAAGAGAGCTAGAAATTTTCTTCAGATCAAGAAAAAGAAACAAAACTTACAAATTGTCGAGGAATAAGCATTTTGGACGTCTGGTAGCCTGGCTTGGGGTAGAGCGAGTCGGCGAGGTACATGGAAGGCTCTTCTTTAGGGGCCACCCACTGGACTGGGTACTTGGCTGTAGAAGGGGATTTAGCGTTTTTCTTCAAGAATATTTTTACCCAAAGGAAGGCCATAGGCAGCCTGACCAGCGACGGCAGCGGGGAAGGTAGATTTTCCGGCGCTACGAGCGACCTGGAGGTACGGAAGGAAAAAACCCATCTGAAAATTGGAAATAAGAATGCATGACTATTACTAATTAGTAATTATTACTAATAGTCTATTAGTCTAAGTAAGAGTTTGAGACGAAAATGATGGAACCAGTCGCTGATTATCCTGAATCAGGTTCGCATAAGAGGCTGCTGAACCGGGATCTACTTCAGAATCGCAAGTTAAAGTCTAAGATACCAATTAAAAGCCCAATTTTCGTTTATTTCCACGAAGCTAGTCGCTTTGAAATTCATGACAAAATCATATTTTTGCTAAGAAAAGAAGTTGACAAGTCTTTTTAAAAGTTAAATAATTTATTTTGGACCAATTATGGTGGAGAAAGTGATGAAATTCATGCTTCATTTCAGAAAGAAGGTGTTTTCACAAAAGAAAGTTTGAGGACCTCCAACCACTCGAGGTTGAAGTATTCTTGATTGTGAGGACATCGAAAATTATCGTCCTCTCATTCGATGGAGTAACCAGCGCTCCAGATGAGTCTTCATTTGTCCGCCAGGAGCCGATCCCTGGCAATTGTGGACCTCAGATTTTTAAATTCGCATTTTCTGAAAAGAGTTTTTTGTTAAAACAAAATCGAGACAGGGTCTGAGCTCTGCGACCTGAGTAGAAAACCTGAGACTGGTCCTGAAGGTCTCAACTGAAAGCAGCGGCTTTTGAAAACGAAGCCGCTTCGTGGCTTTTCAGACCCTGACTCAGGTTTTTTCACAGGTACCCGAAGGTGATAAAGGAGTCTTTCAAGTTGAAACATGCTTCAGTGGAATAGGAATAATATTGATAGCGCAACCGTTTTTCGGTAGAAAGATATGCTGTAGGAGTGTTTCCAGAAATTATAACAAAGGCAGTTTTTCTGCTATTTTCTCCTCGAGTTCCCGATTTCTCGGCAACTTCCATTGACTTGGACGATGTTTATCGTCCCGAACGAGCGCGTTCCATTTCGGCTCAAAATTCTTCCAGCGCACATCTTCGAGGAAGTGTGAGCTCTTATTGCTTGGCAAGACGCCTTTCCAGTCTTTCGACTCCTTGAAAAGAAGTTCTAGCTTCTTTCGTTGCCAAGCTCTCAAGAGGATGATCAGCTCCTCATCCGTTCGCAATAACTCTGAAATTAACGAATTTGTTAGGACAAGATAAAAAGAACAATTTTGAGGAGTACAGAAAAGATGTTATTTGCTCGAGAAACGATTTGCACGACTTATTTTAACAAATTATGCACCGAAAATATAGATTTAGAACTTATCACAGCGATTCTAATCTCTGAGAGTGCTTTTCGCTAAAATTCTGGTCGTTATAATACGGTAAAATCGTAAAATTACATCTAAAATTCGAGAAGCCGCCTGAAGCTTCGAGTAAGAGAAAACTTGAGCCGCCCAAGGCGCGGCTATTTTGTCTTACTTTGCTCGAAGCCGCAAGATGCTTCTCGAATTTTAGATTTAATTTTGCGATTTTAACATTAGGTAACGACCAAAATTCCGGCGAAAAAGGACTCCCAGATTTTAGAACCGCAGTATTTTTCCGCCAGAAGGAACATGAGTTATATAAAATCAGATTCAATTAGAAAAAGTGACAATTTTAAATCATGTGTTCAGCAAAATTTCTATGGAAAGGTGAGAAAAGGATATTCTCCTAATGTTTCTCCTAATGTTTTTTTCCTCTCGAAATAACGCTAAACAAAATTAATAAAAAAGTGGTTCAATTGTTGACTGGTCTGGTCCGGAATGCCAAAACGTGGGTCGATCCTAGTCTTGTATTTATTGGAGTCGGGTGGCGGTTGTTTCCTATTGGCCGCTTAGAAGCCAAACACGAAATGTTTACTATCGATCAATTGAAAAGAGAGAGGCAGCTCATTGCGCAGCCCAGCCAGGCCGGCCTCATCGCTGCGCCGCCACTATTTTTTATTCGATTTTTGAGCTCTAAATTTTCGTTTTCAAAAGAGAAAATTCGCTACAGAATAAAAACTAAGCCCGCTTACAGTCAGGCAGTGAGTTGATAGCGCCCTGGCACTGTTAATTACTGAACTACAGGGCCTCTCACCCACTACCACAACTGTTCGGCGCTATTTTCGACTTCTCTCAGTTTCTTACTGTTTTTACTGTCTTAGTCTTGTTGTAAAAGTCACTGTATCTTCAAATCTCTTCTAAATCTCTGAAAAATTTATCAGCGGGAAATATAGCGAGAATATTCGGCGTAAAAGCCGATTTATGATTCGAAGAAAAAATCTCGTGAGGACGCGGCGCTGGCCAATCAGCGCCGAGTATTTTTTTCGGAAAAGTGAAATTCCTCAAATAATGACTCATTCAGTACTCTGCCCGTCTTTTTGGTTGTTTTCGGGTGGATTGGACGGGTTTTCGACACAAATGGATAATAAAATCAGGATTTTCATTAATTTTGTTATTTTATTTATTTGAATTGCTAATTTGATTCTTTTATCAAATAAATTATGATTTTTATTTTTGAAAAGAAACAAATTTTTATCCATTTTATGCGTTTTTTGAATATAAATACCAATTTTTAACAAAAATAATAGAATAATTTTCGTTATATTTAACGAAAATCAAAATCTGCCACTTATGGTCGGTTTTAGTAAAGATTTCCGTTCTTCATTTAGCATGATCATCATCAATTTTCTTGATTTACGACTTGAAGACTCGTAAAAATATTGACACCGACAGAAGAGTTTTAAGAAAGTCAGCTTTTTTTGCTTTTAAAACTGCCAGATTTCCGCTTTTTGAATTTTTTCCTTTCAAAAGCGGTCTTTTTGAGCGATTTTTTTGTGAATTTCTTTATTCAGTTTCAAAGGTCGTTGCGTCTCAGAGACGAGGTTTTTCATTGTGACGCGATTTTTGACTTTATGCCGGGAAAACGAAGAAAGATAAATACGAAACAAGCCACGCCACTTCAAATCTCTCTAAAGCTTCAAATGCAGTCTTGTTTCTTATCTTCCTGATTTTTTCCAAATTATTGAAATCCTCGAAATATCTTTGATGAATTTAAAAAACTTTTTGCAGGCAAAATCCTGACTTTGCCTGTTTTTATATTCAGCAGAAAGCCCGTAAAATTCTGAGTCGACTGCACTAGATTCAGACCGAAATCCTCAGAGGATGACGTCATAAATTACGCTAGAAGTTAGCGAAAATGGCTATTTCGGGCAAACTTTGAGTCACTTTTTTTCGACTTTTTTGACGGAGTTTTCTCATGTTCTATAGCTCAAATTGATTCTTATGAAAAACTGTACTAAGGTTTTTCATAAGTTTTCATTTCCTCGAAATTTTTTTTTCGGAAAATTCTAGAGCCAACTTTTTCAAATTTTTTTTCCTAATCCGTAAAAACCTAAGTACAGTTTTGAATAAGCTTTCATTTGAGCTATCGAACAAAGAAAAATTAAAGCAGGAACGCAGTTAATATAAGACTCAAAGTTTCGGCTTTTTGGAACTTTCTGACGTCATTTGTGACGTCATTCTCTAGAAAATTTCGAAAACGAATTGGTTGAATCGACTCCAAATTTTACGGGCTTTCTTTAGAGCTGAAAATCTAACCACCTAAGAATTTAGCTTGCAAAAAGTTTTTTAAATTCATCTTTCTTAGTCTGAGAATAAAAAAATGACCAGCACAAACAAGGTCAGCAATCGGAATCGACGGAGAACAATCTTCTTCCTCAAATCCTTGGTTAGACCCTGAAAAACCTAAAATATAAGCCGCCTAGCGGCTTTTTCAAAAAGGAATCCGCGGAGCGGCTCCGCATAACTTTCTTTCAAATCTTTTCTGAATTTCCGGCTTTACCGCAGATTTTTGTCTTCGTCTTGGGCGAATTTCTACAAGAAATCATTATTGTATTTTTGCATCCATTCATTGCTGTCCTCTTTTTTCTTTCTTGATCAAATCATCAGCTTGCTTTATTCATCTTCTCCTGTTTCTGCATAAAACAAGCCGTGCTCGTAGAGTAATTATCCCTGGGCCAACACATCCACTTGCCTAATCATCAATATTTACCAATTTTCCAAATCCAATTTCCCAGATCATTTCAGAAATAAATCGAAAATCGCCAATCTTCTTTTTCTAATAGAGACGAAATCGAAATCGGAGAAAAATCGAAAGTCGTAAAATTTGAAAATGTACAATCCGTACGATTTCCACAGCGACGAAACGATCGCCAGATTTCATAGCTCGAGTTCTAGCGGATCCCAAAGAGTAAGTAGAAACAGATTGATAGAGTCAATAACTGCCACGCAGACTGATTGATAGATTTCGATAAGCTTTGCGGCTGGTGGCGTTTCTACAGCAATTTTTCTGATTACAAGCTGTCGGTTACAAAGTTTCAGCCTAATTGAAATTTTCTGAAAGACGGTTTTTTTCGTTGATAACAAAATTTCGGCTTTCTCTCGACAACCTGTGTAAAAAACCTGAGTCAGGGTTTTTGACAGCTTTACTGTTAACCCGCGTAGCGGCTTTATTTTTAAACGAAACCGCCTCGCCGAATCCGAAATTTCATTTTTATCGAAGCCGCTTTGCGGCTTTGTTAAAAAAATCTACTACGGGGCTTTTCAGTAAAGCTATCAAAAACCCTGACTCAGGTTTACTACACAGTTTGCTGAATACAGGTCATTTTGAGAAAAAAACGAGCGGAGAAATAAAAAAAAATAAGATGGCGACACCCTTATTTTATTTTCACAGAAAGAAAGATGAAATACACTAAAAAAGTCGGCCAAAATTTCAGCCCAAATTCGATCTTCAGCCTGTTTTCTAAGAGAATTGATCTTTCAATCTTTGAATTCAGTTCATTAAGGGTGTGAACAACGACCAGTTCAAGTCATGTCTGATTGGCTGACCGAACCTATATTTGTTACGTATCAGACGCTGATTCCAAAGCTTTTTTCAGATCTTCAATATCTCATCTAGATCTCGAGATATGACCGATTCGATGGGCGCGCTGACGCATTGACGTTCTCTAGAAATGCACTGTGATAAATGCTTTTTTTAAAACTTACATTCTATATAGCAATCTATATATTTTCTGAAAGCTTGTGAAATTTTCTTTTCAATGATACCCATTGCGATAAGATCAAGCCATTTTTTCGCATTCAAACAGGGCGCCAAAAGTCGCAAACACCTGCACTTTGGCGCCGGAAAAGGGGATTAAAGAATTACTGAGTGCACAATCTGAGCACTCCGGGATATTGTCATAGGATCAAACTATTTTACTACTGGTAATGAAACAAATCGATGCACAGGAACAGTACTAAAATCGAGTTCAAACTTTGAAAAAATCGTTACTTATAACAATGCATGAAAAAAGATGCATGCAATAAAGGTTTCGAAAATCCCTCAAATTTACTTTGTAGAAAAGTGTTTGAGCTTTCATTCTGTGCAAAAACTATCCAAATTGAATTTCGGGAAGATACCTAAACTATTGTTACAAGTGTACCGAATTCATGGATTTAAAGGTTCTTTGAAGCCGCGGTGGGGATTAATTGATTAGTATTTTAGATTTTCGTCAAATTTACTTTGTAGATAAGGGTTCAATCTTAAATATGAGTAAAGAAAAAATTCAAATATGAATAGGGAAGTCACTTTAACTATTGTTACAAATATGACCAGAATCGTTGTTGACATCCTTAATGTGACTGTAATTGCTTTATTGGCTTTGAATTTGCGGTAGAATCGCGCGTGTTCGTCGCATGTTGGTCAAGATGGACGTCACGATTTAAATTTTGATTTTTGTCTTTGAAATTTAAATATTTGCAAAAGCCGTAAAACTCTGGCCGACGAAATAGCTCTGCATTCCAACTCGAGCAAACACAGCCAGAAACAGCGAGATCACTTGATTCTACTCTCCAAAAAAGCATAATTTAGACGCAACTTTATTTTTCAAAGAAAAAACCAAATTTTTTTATAAATATTTTTCTGAGAAAAGAAAAAGAGATTTTCTGACGAAGAAAATAGAAGCTTTTTATGAATGATCAAGGTAAAACGAGCGAAAATTATTGAAGAAAAAAATTGAGATCTCACCTTATTTTCAGTATTGAAAATTTGAGGTTTTAACGCGCTCTACACCCTTAAAATTTGAGTCAACTTAAAGGTTCGACCTTAAGGGCATCCCTTTTATTAATTCTATATCTTGTGGACTCTTGTTTTTTCTTCAGAAAATAGTGTAATGACTCCCTTATTTTCTGTTATTTTTAGAGAGGTGAGAGCCTTAACATAATTCCAGCAATTTTTTCATTTTGAAAAAGAACAACTGCTGCATCAATATTTGCCAAGTTCCAATTTGAATAGAAATCGTCACTGAGAGAACTCGTCCCACACGTCGTTTTTTCCGTAGATTCTCAGTTCTGTTTGTCGAGAACGCAACTTGACCTTCTTATCGAGAACATTTGGAATTCATAAAAATGCTCGATTCTTCCGGTAATGATCGGTAACGATTTTGACTTCCGAGTTTCCAAATTTCAAATTTCTTCGAGAAATTTCTGTTGTTGACATCTTGTATCGATATAGTAGAGTTTTATTGCCAATGTTTAGCTTTCGGAGTTGGGCTCCATTATCAAAACACTAAGGATGATTTTATTTAACTGCATTCTGTACTAAATCATCCTTAGTGTTTTGATAATGGAGCCCAACTCCGAAAGCTAAACATTGGCAATAAAACTCTACTTCTTCGAGAAATTTTACTTCCGGAGAAAAGATAAATAACCATTATTCATTTTCTACCTCCTGAAAATTATTGATGATTCATGCTTTACCAAATATAACGTTTTTTTATTTCTTTTTCTGTCTGACTAAATTGTCAATTACAGTGAGCTGCGACAAATTTATTGTGGAAAAATTCGTGTTTTCCATTTTTTTTGAGCTAGAAAAGGACTACTGTAAATCCTCAAGCGCGTGAATTTAGCGCTGTCAATCAGAGTTCGAGAGGATCTTGTTATCAAGAGATATTTCAGTACAGAAAGTATTTTTGATGTTAAGCAATTCCCAAAGAGTAAAAATTAGAGATACCCTTAAATTTCAGACCCCGAATCTCGATTATCAGGGAATTTTAGTGAATGTTAACAAATCAGAAATTAAAATCGCGGCCTCAATTTTAAGGGTATCCTCTCCATTTGCGCTCCAGTAGAAAAATTCAAATTAAAGCCGCTGATACCCTTAACGATCTTGTCTTCAAAAGTCGAGATTAGATGCACAATTTACGTCAATTTTCGGGAGAACTTGTGAGCTAGAATACTCAAGTCAAGTTCCAGTAAATATGTCTTTTCAGGAATGTCAAACAGAGACAGATTAAAAGACGGCGGCACGAGGCTTTCATCATTTTCCCAACTATGATTGTAAATTAAATTAATTCAAAAAAGGCAGTTTATTTATCTGTCTTTGACTAGCTCAGATTCAGAGAATAAAAAGAGTGAGTGAAAAAACGAAAAAACGACAAAAAGCAATTCTCGGTTTTTATTTTTGTTCTTGTCAATAATTTTCTTGGGCAATAAAAATTTAACACAAAGAGCTTTGAAAAGGCGTTTCTGCGCGTTTGCTCGTTCGACTGAAAAAGAAGAGTTCCGTTTTTTTTCTGACGATTTTTCTTTTGACAATTTTTGGATTTGAATTTGAGAAAGAGGAAATTTCAAGATGGACACTTTGACGGTAAAAAAGCCCAACAGAAATCATAAATGACACTTTTTCGGTTTTGCGCAACGCCTACGCGCGCTTAGTTTACCAATTGGTTGAAATTTCAAGAAGAGATTTTCAGAATTTTGATTTTTTGTTTTTCAGAAACATGGAATGAATCGCTCGTCGATCAAGAAAAAGCCGAACAGAGCAAGAACCGGCGGCGGAAAGAGCTTCGACTTGGAATTTTCGGAGTGCTGGCTCGACCCGCCGAGATACAGACAAGCCATCGCGCAGTATGAAGAGACGATCGAGGGCACGCGCGACGCCATCAAAAAGACAACAAAACATATACAGGTCAGTTACAGTCGCAAGAAGAGTCTTGTGCAATTATTTGGACAATTGTCAATTCCGCGACTCTTGACATTTTTCGAAAATATAAAACTTTTAACAGCTTTTCGGGCGCCATGGTGATTTTTTCTTGGAAAACACCGTTTTCGTATTTTCAGAATCCGGTACATGTTATGGTCAGGGCTCGAAAACCTGAGTCAGAGGTTTTTTGCTTAGGTTTCTGAGCCAAGATCATAACATGTATTCTGAAAGCACCAAGAACGCCTTGTCAAAAAGGTGTAAAAACCAATGAATCAATAAAAAGTGACCGTTTGAACTTCATTTTCAGGACCTTATCACGAAAGGTCAAGCGTTTGCCGAAGCCCAAAAAACGCTCAACGCCGACTTGGTGAATGGCTTCCAAATAGGGACGATCGGCCCGCAGCTGAGCCAGGACGAACTCTTCATGAAAAACTCGCTGGGCGACTTTTCCGAAATGTTCACCACTTACATGGTAAACTTCGAGATTATGCTGGAGAGCATGAGCAAGTGGAAGGGCAAGATCGACAGATTCAGAGAAAATAGAATTGAAAAAGCGTACACGGAGAAACGAAGAGCTTACAAGAAGTACAGAGACAAATATTACAAGAACATGGCTTCCAATTCCGGAGTTGGGGAAGGCCACAAAGGTGAGAAATGGGGAAAAGACTCGGTAGACTTTGTGGGAAAGCTGAGTCAGGTTCTGAAAGATCTTTATTCAGGTTTTGCGAAGCAAATTACTGACTAAATCACTCAAAACTATTTTTAAACTCTCGCGTAGCCGCTTCCCGGCTACGTTTTTGGAAAGCCGCCACGCGGCTTTTCATTAAGATTCTTCAGGACCCTAACTCAGGTTTACATAGGATGATTCTCAAATCTTGAGAAACGTTTATCGAGATACATTCAATGTCACCTTGACTCTTTTAAATGAATAATGTTTGATGATGATTTATGCTGTCATTTCTTAACGAGACAGTGTCACATTAATGTCATCAAATACGATCGTATTTGAGAGTTCAAAAACATGTCTGACAGTCATAATTCTGGCCTTGAACTTGAACTTTCAGAGTCAAAGCAAAACCAGGCGATCCGAGACACGAAAAAGTCGAGGAAGGAGTATCACGAAAACGCGCTCGCATACGTGGACACGCTTTTGGCAATCGAAGAAGAAAAGAAATACGAACTCGTGGAGAATTTATCTTCAATCGCTGGCGTAACAAATTATTAATCTTTTCGCTTTTCTATTTCTTTCTAGGATTGGCTTCAATTCACGAAATCTTGCTACGAATGCCACCACTTGGAAAATAGCGAGAAAATCAAGCAAACGCTGAATTTGTCTAATAATCAACGCGCTAGAGTAAGTTTTTAGTCTTGACCCAGGTTAGGGTACAGTTGAAAGCCGTGGTTTTCAAGATCCCTGACTCAGGGGTTTCTCCCGTGCCCCGATGCCGACCCCATCCTTAACTAACTCCCTCTTCTTTAGCACAAAAGTATACAAGAAAACCTGGACAAGCACAGACAAAACCACGTGAGAAATCCGTCAACTCGGCTGAACGAAAACGAGGACGCATACGAAGGCCATGTTCTACAACTGGAAAAGGGCTTCTCAAAAGGACCGATGGCGCTGAAAACTGCCGGCTACAAATGGAGCCATCGCTATCTCGAGTTCAGCGCGAAGAAGAAGCAAATTGTGCTGTACAATCCAGACAGTGTCATGTCCAGGACCACCTATTCGGTTGTTTTTGACTCGAGTAGGATGGACGATATGAACACCGACAGGAAAAACATATTCCACATTCAAGGTAACTCTTGTCCTTTCGTTCTTTCTAGAGCAGTTAATAAATAGAATAGCTTAGGTTATTTATATATCTCAGTTTAAAATTAGTGCGCTAAAAATGGGGTCAACCCAAGGAAAAGCCGGTAATTTTGAAAAAAATTCTTGATCAAACTTAAAAGTCTCCGTTTTAGTGAGCGACAACAAGCAGGGCGACTCAAAGTGTCTGACCTTCCAAGCAGCAAGCGAAGAAGAATTCAAGCGTTGGCAGCAGCTCGTTTCGTGCAATACCGGTGGGAACCCAAGAGTTTACGTCGACCCCGGCTCGGGAGGCATTTCATGCGCCAGTCATAATATTGAGCTAGACGACCATATTGTCGGTATGTTGCTAAAATGCGTACTTTCTGTAGATATTTACTTTTTCTTTCTTCAGGCAGATTGCAAGAATGCATCACGCATGTCGAGTCTGGTGGTGGGCTAGAAATGGAAGGAGCTTATCGGTTAGTTCAAATCTTGAAATCCTTTTGTTAAAACCAACTGCCTTATTTATCAAAGCTTCTAGCACCGTGGCAGTCCAGTCAAAAGTCGACAACTTGCTGAAGAAAATCATCGATCCCTCGAACAGCGTCGACCTGAACAACTGCGAGGTGCGGACGATTATGTCAGCGATCAAGGCGCTTTTTCGGAACTTACGCGAGCCCATTCTCACCTTTGAAAATCACGAGACAATCATAGGTAATTCAACGCCCAAGCCGACTTAATTTTGCTTACCAAGGTTACTAACACCAGCAATTGGAGAAGGTAACAGTTACTTTTTTAAAAATCAATTATCAGTTATCAAGTCATCACAATTATCTTCACGAGTATTTTTCATTTTGGCTTCAGAAAACACAAAACAGAACCGACCAGTTTTTCTTGATTCCAACTGGACTTATTTCAAGAAGAATTCGCTGCTGACCCATTCTCATTTTTTGTTCAGACATCTTTCGAAACAACGATGTGGAAATCGATGTCAAATCAGAAGAGTTCAAGGGCATTTTACAAACGCTGCCAGAAGTCAACAAAGTCGTGCTGAAAATGATCTGCGAGCATTTAGGTTCGTTCCACGCAGATTCTTACAGTTGCTGAAGTCATCGAATGCTTATTATCTTCCTTCAGTGAAAGTCGCTGCGAACGATAGTGTGAACAAAATGTCAGCCCAAAATATTTCCGTCTGTTTTGGGCCTGCCTTTATGTGGGCGAAGCAAGAAACGATCGGTAAAGTCAATAGATAGAAGATGAGAAATATCGAAAATATTTAGCTGGACTACAAGATGTCAAATACCAATGTACAGTGGTCGAGTTGCTGATAGAAAAGCACGATTCCTTCTTTCAAACGTCAGAAGAAATCAAGACTATGAACCAGACTCTTCAGAAGCATTCCTTTTCCTTGTCCAATCGAACAACTTCTAGGTAAGCATTTACGAATAAATGTCGCTGCTTAATGTGAATATATGTTACTAACTCACTAGAATCTCATTGTTCGTTCACTTTGACAAGTCTGAGTTGCCTCCTGTACAGTCAGGAGGGACTACAGCCAGTGGAGCTCGCGTTTCCCGTCTTCCAAATGTGCTCGAAACATTCGAAGCCCTAGAAATGGACATTTCCAATTTTTCGGAAGAGAAAGAAAGAGGGGAAACTTTCTCGTCGCTCTTCCTGAATCTGACTTTACCGAAACTGACTTTTCGGGAAACGAAGACGAGGAGCTTCAGTTGTAGCGAGACACTCATTTTTGCGCGTTTTGTATGTCTGGTAAAATTGATGGTGATAGAACGTTTTTTATCTGGTGAAATGCGGTCGGTTTTGTGAATATATATCCGGTGGTATACCCTTATTTTGAAATACTGAATAAGCTTTCTTCTGTTTCTTCTTGGCAAAGACATCAAGAATTCTTCGAGGTGTCGTCAGAAAATTTCTTGTTGTCTAGACATCTGACCCTCTAGTAGAAACGAAGATCTTTTATTTCATTACAACAGATTTACTACAAGACATGTAGTTTACGTACATTTTTCAGATCGTCACTGCCATCTGATAGTAGAAGAGAAAGCCAAAACCGTCGGAGCGAGTACGACAATCTTCATTATCACCTGACGCCGCAGAAAATCGCCGAATTTTCCGAAAGTTCAAAAATCCCCGACATCGACGAATCCGAAACTACCGACGACAATCGAAGTCCCGCCATTCCAAGAGCATTTGTGAGCAAAAAGAACTCCTCGTCTTCGACTGCAACTAATTCAAGCTCCGAGGATTTTGACAACTCGCTGACGATTGACGGGAGCAACGAGGAGCTCAATTCGTCGGCAGATGGTGGGAAAGTCACGCTCACGAGGCAGAGGCTCCAGAAATCGTAAGTTAGGGACTCTGTAAAAACTGGGCTCGACAGCCTATGTAGAAAATCTGAGGCGGGATTTGAGAGAGCAAAGGCTGCCGAGCCCAGACAAAAATGTATCAAGATATTCAAGCAACAATTAAAATTCAGAAGTAGCGAAATGGAAGACATCCGGGAAAAGCACAAAACCGACACCGATTTCAATATTTTGGTGACTCCGGGAGCAATGCCGGATAACATCCAAAAGAGCCCGATAACGAGCATCCGCTCAAAGAGCCTCAACAAGGGCTCCTCCAGAATCCAGCGTCGACCGACTGGCAACGAGTCCGACCACGTTCGCCCTTCGATTTTGCGAAAACAAAGCTCCAAAGATGCAGGAAGTATTTTTGGGGAGCCGGATCCGTTGCATACCGAGCTTCACAGTCCTCAACCGTCCGCGTCTCCGGCGGTGATGCACAAGAGTTCCTCTGCTTTTGAACTGGCGACCAGGGCAAAGGCGAAGTATGCTTGCAAAGCGGATAATCCGGACGAACTGACTTTCGAGGTGGGACAGTACTTTTACGATGTTCAAAATGATCCGCTGCATGATGGCTGGTACCTCGCGAGAATGTAAGCTACTCACAAGACAAGAGTCACAAGATTCACGATCTTTTCAGGAAACATCCAGAAACAGGAAAAGAAAGCTGCGGCCTGGTTCCCGGTCCCTTCATCGTCTTCCTCGATTCCACAAAATCGTCAGATTAAAATATTTTAATCGCAAATTCTGCTTCTCTTCTACTTCACCACTTCAATTCGCACAAGTTCACTTTCTATTTCTCTGTACAAACAAAAAATGTCACCTACCGCTGTAACCTCACTGTATCTCGCCAAAAAACGGGATGCGAAAACAATGACCTGCTTGTAAAGTTAATTTATGTTCACAATGGTTCAAAATCTAAATAAACAAAAAAATCGTCCATCAAGCCTATCAATCAGACTATCTCTTATCTAAAGAAGCTTACTGACAATCATAAGAATCCAATGTGTATAATTTGGTGCCTTTTCCAAAACGCCCTTTCTGTGTTTCTAATAAAATTCCAATTTCAGTCGCAAAACAAAAGCGCTTGCCAAAGCATTGAATAAGAATTTGGATTATCATTTTTAGTGTTGGCGTTGCTAAGTTATGAAAAAATGAATTCTCTCTTCAGAAATCTCAAGCAACTGCCATTTACTCGAATCTTTCCGAAAAACAAATTTCAATCCAGAGCAGTTTCAAGTACAGTTACAAGAAGAAAGATGACAGATGAGCTGAGCGAGTGCATTCAGAAAATCGACTTAAAAGACAGTAAAAGCGACGACGAGTCAACTTCAAGCTCGTCTTCGAGTTCTGGCGGTGAATTGGCGAATGAATTTGAAATTGAAGATGTCGAAGCATTATTGAAAGAAGGGAAGGTGAAGAATATCGTGATGGTGGTTGGAGCGGGAATAAGCACTTCCGCGGGAATTCCAGATTTCAGAACGCCAGGAACTGGGCTTTACAGGTAAACTCGCAAATATGACTGTGTTTGAATATTCTGAATCTCAGCAATCTGGAGCGATACAACCTCCCTTACCCAGAAGCTGTATTCGACATCAAGTACTTCAAGAAAAGACCGCAAGCCTTTTACACCCTCTCCAAAGAACTCCTACCTGGTCTCTATGCTCCAACTATCACTCATCACTTCATCGCTCAACTCGGCAAACTTGGCATTTTGAAAAGAATCTATTCGCAGAATATCGACGGTCTTGAGCGATTAGCCGGTTTAGAGGAAGAAAAGCTGGTCGAAGCGCACGGATCTTTCGCCAGTTCGAGATGCACTAGGAAGAGATTAAAAAAGATCATCTTAAGAATACAGGGAATACGATCTGTCTGACAGTCAAACTGACAGTTTACATCAACAAAGGCATTTATTCTTTTTCTTGATCCTCCGAAAAGATGCAAGAAAGTGTACCCAAATTCCGAAGTGCATCCTATGCTCCGAGCTGGCACAGTAATGGAATGCACATCTTGTGAGGACAGAAATGACCGCGCCTATGTGAAGCCTGACATCGTCTTCTTTGGGGAAGGTCTTCCAGACAGGTTTCATGATTTGCTAAACGATGATTTGGAGGAATGCGATTTGATGATTGTGATGGGTACTTCATTGTATGTCTATCCAGTCGGGGGAATCCCAGATGGGGTTGGCAACGACTGCCCGAGGATTTTGATCAACAGGGAGCTCGTTGGAAGCTTCAAGGAGGACAGGAGGAGAACTGCTGATGCATTCTATGTATTTACCAACAGCTTGAATAGGTCTTAATTGGATTGTAGTGCGGCAACGCTGATGATGGTGCCCTGAGACTCGCAAAAGCACTTGGAGTGGAAGAAGAAGTGAAGGAATCGTACAAAAATTTGAAGGCTTCAATTGACAAGAAACGAGAAGAAATCAATAATAATTGAAGATAAGCTCAATTTAACAATGTATAAATTAATTTCAATCAAAAATAAAAAAAACAGTTACAGACGCCAATATTGAATAGTTGAGACGGATAAAGGAGCTGATAGTCGGGCGCTGTCTCACAGCCTCTGTCAGAATTAATTAATCTTCGGATAGAGCGCTTTCGGTTTATAAAGAGCAGGAAAACGCAGGGAAAGCAAATGATGATCAGGGCAGCAGTTTTTCTTCTTTTTTCTTTTTGCTTTTTCACAAAATGTAAGGCCGAAATTCATGAATAAGAGATCATGAATCAAGTTTTTCTCTCAGTGTTCATCCCCTTCAAACTCATAATTTTCATTAGATGCAGAGGCAACTGAGTGCCCTAATAAATGCCAAACTGACCTTAGTGCATGTCTGAGAAGCTGTCCTGGCGGAGAATGCAAGTTTTCCTGCATCACGGGATTCAAAAATTGCGTCGCGAAATGCCAAGATCCAGATTCATGTGACAGCTATTGCTGCGAATTCAGCAAAGGAATTCCGACGTAAGAGAGTGAGAGTATGTTGAAAATGAAGGCCCTTGTTTAGTTGCTCGAAGATGAAGTTTTTCTACGGCGCAAATATTTGCCAAAACAGCTGCTCTTCTGAATGCTTTCTTTGCATGGACCCCTTTTCCAATGGATTCGAGTGCTATACGGCTATGATAAAGTATACTATGATAAATATACGGTCAATGATAAAGTTTGTGACTGCGCAAAAATAAAGTGTTGAAACATCAGGCTTTTCAGTTTTTTGCGAAGTTCAGAGCATTCCTCTGCGGCTCGTTTCCGGTCTAAGCGCTAAAATATACTCGACCCTCTCATTCAGTCTATTTTCAAAGTCACTCGTATCTGGGTCGCTTCCGGTTCACGCACGTAAATACTCGTGGTGCCGGCCGAAGATATCGTTCTCCAGAAAAATGAGCGCCCTTGATACCGTTGAAGCAGTTGTAACAGCGTTAACAACCGCGTAAGACAGAGAACTTGAAATAAACTCGACTAAAGTACTTCAAGCCCAGCCGAGATCCCAGAAAACGGATATATCCTTGAAGGTATGCCGGATGAAGTCCTGCAAGTCGCTTATACCGTGCAAGACGCAATTGAAATTTCGCAGTATTTTCAACTTGACATGGAAGCTATTCAAGCTGGACGAAACAAAGCTCTTGAGTTTCACAACAAGAAGCGCGAGCTACACGAAGGGACAAATCCTATGATTGTATGATTAAAGTATGTCCTTTATTTTTATTTTCAATTGTTAAGCTCAACAAACATGCTAACAGAAGAGCACAAGATTGGGCCGATAAAATTGCAGCCGGTGAAGAATACGGCTATGATCCAGAAAACAGGTTATCGCCTACTACTAGTTACCTAATAATCGATTTTTAAAAGAGTCTGTGGAGAGAACATCGTCTTAATCAACCTGCAAAGTGACTTAGATTACATGACCTTGGCCGATTTCCAACATACTGGAGAAGATTGCGTCAATCGCTGGTACCAGCAAATCGAAGATTACGACTTCGAGAATCATACAAATTTGAACAACAAGAAAGTTGGTAGTTTCACTCAGTTAATCTGGAAAACATCCCAAATCCTCGGTGTTGGAATCGCGCTAGAGAAAGATGGCAATTATATCGTTGGTAGGGGCCGGAAATTATAAACAAAATATATTAATTAACAACATGATATCATTAAATTATTGAATATAAAATTTTATTTTAAGTTGTTTGCCGATACTTCCAAGAAGGCAATATCGTAGGTCAACGAGCTCAACAAGTCGGACAATTAATCGAGAGCTGTTCCTAAAAACCGTTCCTGGAAGTTAGCTACACTGAATTTAATCAATTCTAAATTTTGGAAAAGAGCGAAACCTGATGACTGTTTTTTTTTTCAATAAAATTTCTTGTACTCGGAATATTTGTTTATCAATGCAGTTATTGAATGTTCAAAAAAATACCAACAGAAAAAGAGAGACTTCAAGCGCTAAGACAGTAAACAATTTAATTGAAATTGAGATACCAGCCTGCGTGCAATAAACAAGACTTCTGATAGATCATTTTCATGTATTCATAATAAAGAGGAGCAGGTATGGCTATTTGGGGCCAAAACTAAGCTTATCACGAGACTCCCAAGAATGAGTTTAATTTGCTCGGGCAGGCTTGACGCTCAGAAGTTGTCGATTGAGAGAGAAGTGTTACAGATAAAAGATGGGCAAGTAATCTTAAAGTCCGTTTGCGGCGACAGTCTCTTGGATCCAACTAGAAGTAACGAAGGTCGAAGTGTACTTATTCGGAAATCCTGCCCAGGCGCAGCCGATTCCTCTTGAAACGAGACCGACCAGAGTTGCTTTTCCATTGGTTGGGCAGATGAGAGGTCCGCCGGAATCTCCGTTGCAAGCGGCGGCACCACCATCGAGCATTCCATCGCCATTTAGATCTGGTTTGTAGGCGCAGATGTCGTCAGCTTCGAGGAAGAAGATCGAGGGGGAATTCGCAATGCAGTATTCAGCGCTGAAGACATTCACTCCAACAGAGTGGAGATCTGGATTTGCAAATCCCCCGAAAAATTGAGATCCCCAGCCAGCAACCCAGCAACCGGCGCCATGTTGCTTGTCTGCTTTTGGGAGACAAGCAGCTTGAACTTTGCTGTCTGGGTCACTAGCGATGATGTCGTCGTTGAATTTGATCAGGCAGACATCGTTGTTTTTATCATAGGCATAATGGTCGTACTCGGCATGATTGAACCAGGCGCTGGCTTCGAGCTCGTATTCGTTGCTGTCAGATTCCATCGCCTTCAAATCTCCGAACCGCCCGACGACTCTCTGAACGTCCAGACAACAATGGGCGGCGCTGATGACCCATCTATTGGCAATGACGCTTCCTCCGCAAAGTCTCTCCTGCCCATCATTTAAGTCGAACTTCAACTGAGCAATCCAAGGCCACTCATTCTCGAGGACTTGGACTCCACCGACGATTTTTCCCATAGGACCTGCCAGTTCGGGGAAGTTCTCCGACTCGGAGCAAGTTTGAAGACCAGGGCTGATCGAGTTGCTCAGTGGGGCGAACTCTCTGCAAATTCCTGTCCAAGAGTCTTGCCACGTGATCTGATCGCTCCAAGTCGGCGCTTTGAAAAACACGCCTTTCTTCTGCTTTGCACAGATGACTTCGCCTTTCACAGTTCCATCATCGCAGACAACGTTGAATTTCGCCCTCTTTCGGCTGATTTCTTCCGTCAAAACGAGAGCTCCGTCCAAAATGTCGATCGTGTCAGCTTTGGCTTGACACGGATGAGGTGGCTTGACATCAGGAAGATCTTCAGCACAGGAGAGTGAAGTTTTTGAAGAAAGATTTCTTAAGAAAACATATATGATATATCGTGATCTTTATTTTTATCTTACTTCATTTCGATCTTTGGCGACTTGTAGCATGTTGCCTCAAGTTTCGGTTGAATTCTACTTGGCTTAGTTTGCCAAGTTTTTTAAATCCATCGTTGCATTGTGGAAAGCACTCCATCTTCGACTTGATCTCGTCGAGACTGGGACAGTTCCAATATCCATTTTGAATGAGTAGCTTGTCTCTCGTCTCCTTTATCTTATCCGAGCAAAGTTGAGCCCGCTCCGCTTGAACTTGTGCTGCAAAATTCTGAAATCTCTTGTCGTAATTGGCGGCAACGCTGGTGGCGAGAAGAAACTGTGAGAGCTTCATTTTTCCCTATTTTATAGAAAAATAATTTCTAATAGAGCAAATGTATAAAGATGAGCTTGTGAACGAATTCGGTTGATTATATACGGGCTCAGAGGTACAAGCCGCTGATGTTATGGCAAACATGACGGCGAAACTTCTTTGTTTCGAGCCGCTTAGACATTCCGTTTTGAGCAATCGTTAATTGAGAAAACGCATGTGCAGCACTTGTTAATTCGCTGTTCCAAGGACATGTCAAGTGTTTCACGGATGATTTTTAAAAAAATTTCGCGGGCTCGGAAATCGTCAAAAAACTTCTTGACTAGTTTTGAAGAGCTCTTCGAGACGAGTCGAATGATATATAAAACTCCAGATAGTTTTAAGATTTTCCGCCAAAAGTGATAAGAAGGTGTCTTATCAAAAATTTTCTGACCGGCGCCGTTTTTGTTCGAGAAAAGCTGAGGTGATGCTTGACCCCGGAAAATGATCCTCATGGTCTGGTCTATTCCGGCAAAAATTTCAGCTCGTCATCATTTACCCAGCCGAGTTTATCGTTAAATTTCATTTTCCAAGGAAAATGGGACTGTAAATTGGCCGGAAACTAGGAACGTGCAGCGACAACAAAATGCACTATTTTTTTGATTTTTCGCTGATAAGCACAGCAGGATATGTGAGGACGAGCTGAAATTTTTGCCGGAATAGACCAGACCATGAGGATCATTTTCCGGGGTCAAGCATCACCTCAGCTTTTCTCGAACAAAAACGGCGCCGGTCAGAAAATTTTTGATAAGACACCTTCTTATCACTTTTTGGCGGAAAATCTTAAAACTATCTGGAGTTTTATATATCATTCGACTCGTCTCGACGAGCTCTTCAAAACTAGACAAGAAGTTTTTTGACGATTTCCATGCCCGCGAAATTTTTTTTCTTCGTCGAAGAAACGATGTTGTCAAGACAGTGAAATCATACGTTGTCATACCAAAGCATAAAGTTGTCAATTTTATGCATCATTTATTAATTTAAGAATTTCAAAAATGATCAGGCCGTTTGATATACTGAAAGTTAAAGTCGATTACAGATTTTTATTTATTTCTTTTGTTTTTGATCATCACCATTTTGATTTCATCGCTTTTCCGCTTGGTGGTCCGCTGCTTGGGGGTCCAGTGCTTGATCGTCCGCTGCTGTTTTGATATTGGGGTTTCAGCGCTCCTACATTTCGGAACGCCATTTCTTCGATGTTGCCTTTTTGATAGTATCGACAAACAACTGAAATATAATTGAACAGTTGAAAAAGATCCGCATTTAATACCGTAAAAAGCTCTTCCATCAGGCGAAAGGGCGATTCCAACACCAAGAATTCTGGACTCTCTCCAAATGACCTGGGTGAAAGAACCGACAGATGTGTTCATGTGGCTTTCGTCCATGAGTCTCGATCGTTTTGCGAAGTCGTAGTTGTCGACCTGGTTATACCACGCCTCGACAGCCCATTGCGCAAAGGTGACAAACATTTCTGCATTTGCTGTTCTTACCGGATTCGGTAAAGCTGCACGGTAGATGTTTTCTCCAAAGGGTCTAAGGAAAAATGTTCTTGAATGTTTCAATAAAATTCTCACATATTTGGTTGATAACCAAATTGAGCACCAGATGCGAGTTGTTCCGCCCAATGTTGAGCGCCTTCATTTATTCGATCGCCAAACTTAATTATAATTAATTATAAGAAAAAATCCTTCTTTAAAATAACTCCTACTTTAGAAGCCATATCAGGAGTGTCCTCGTGACGACGACGCTTCTCATTGTGCGCCAATAAGCAGGCCTCTCGTCCAGCATTCAAAGCGTCCCTATCAAGTCGAAGGAGTCTGATCACAGCTTCGGTGTCCAATTCACTCTCGGGAACTTCCTCCGGCTTTTCAAGAACAATGGTACCTCCCAGGACAGTGCTAAAAGTAAGCTTGGTTATTCGTCCCTGGTATTTAAAATTACTTCTCGTTGGTTCCATTCAATCCCAAGGAGTCCACCAGTGCACCCATTCCTTCTTTGTCGTCGTCTAGGTCATTGCCTGTCTCATTATGTGGTCTTAAAATGAGCTTTACTATTTTTAATAAAAATGTATTCTCTTACATTTCATTATTGTACTTTTCATTCAGAGCATCGATCAATGCAGTAAGATCGTTCTTACTCATTCCTCTAGCCATCATTGCTTCAGCCATCTTTGGGTCTGCCTCCATTGCAGCAGCCAACATCGGGTCGTCAAGGGGGTCGGTACTGGTTCGGTTGTCTTTAGAAGCTTTTTCATCCTCTACTCCGGGATTTTTTGGGGGAGGGCCTTTAGGAGGAGGCTTGTTGCGTTTGTCGACCATTTTTCTCTTATTTTTGAGAGAGACGCAAATCAATCTTTCTACTCTTTTAGAAAATAAATTGAATGCGTACCGCAATATTATATATCATTTGAACAGGAAGCGACCCCGATACGTGAGCTTGAATTCAAAAAATAGACTTGATCACGGGGGTTCGTATATTTTGACGCTTAGACCGGAAAGGAGCCGGCAAGAAATGCTCTTAACTATGCAAAAATATGAATATGGGGGGTTCCAAGAGGGCGAAGTCCCCTAGACAAGGAGGTAGGGGTCAGGGACTGCGTACTTTTAAGTTAAAAGTTAAGTTAAAAGTTTTAACAACAGGGGTCCCGGGGAACGGAGGGGGGCTCGAAGCCCCCGGGTCAGGAGTAGGGTTAGGGTTACAAATTCACATCATAATTGGCCGAATTTTGAGGCCAATCAACCTGTCGCCTTATGGACCATAAGTTATGGTTAGGGTGAGGTGCAATTACAAAGAATGCGGCATGATAGAATGCACCAACTCAAGACTGTTTTATGATGTCAATAAATAAACAATTAACCGATTTATTGAAGATTGAAAGATTTTTACAACAACTAGAGATATCTCCGCCGGCTCTTTCCGCTTTACGCGCTAAAATATACTCGACCCTATCATTCAGTCTATTTTTCAAAGTCACTCGCATGTGGATAGCTTCCGGTTGAAAACTATATAATCATCGCGTCTTAATTCCATTTATCTCAACTATCAAAGAGAAAACCGAATCTCTCCATTTCGAGGTTCAAAATCTTCTGAAAATGCCGGCTGGAAATGGAAATTCTGGCAATGCGAATGCAGGCAATGGAAATGCGAATGGCAACGGTCCGAATAATCCCACGGAAGATGCCACTCAAAGGTAAGATAAAAAATAATTCTGGTGCAGATCTGCCAACTCATTTCAAGCAACGTCACGATAACCCTGGGCGAGACAGTTTCTGACTTCCCAGAGCAAGATGATGAAAAAGAAGAACAAGACGTGGAAATTGCTGAAATCATTCAATATTTTCACCTTGACGAAGATGCTTTGAAGGCCGGACGCGACGCCTGCTTAGCCGTGCATAATGCGAAACGTAGTCTTCACCAAGAGACTCCTGAAATGACGGTATAATAAGTTTGAAGAAGAAGACATCTCGTTCTCTTTTCATAGCTCGAGGAAAATCTAACTGCCGACGCACAACAGTGGGCCGAAAAAATCGCTGCTGGTCTTGAAACTGGTTATGATCCGGATACGTAATTATTTATTCAATTAAACTCGCTAGAATAATTTATAGAATCTGCGGAGAAAGCATCGCGCTCGTCCCTTATTCAAGTGACTTGACTTTCATGGTCAAGGGAGACTTCGTCAGCATCGCAGAATTAGTAGCGAACGATTGGTACAACCAGATCGGCAATTACGATTTTGGAACTCACGCAAAGATTGATGCTAATGGAAACAGCGTTTATTGCTTTACGCAAATGGTCTGGAAGAACTCGGAGTATCTTGGTGTTGGAATCGCCAAGACAGCTGATGGAACGCAGGTCGTTGGTAGGCGCTTCTCTAATTTTGCACAGAAGTCATTATTTTTTAGTTGTTTGCCGATACTTTCAAAAAGGCAATATCTCGGGAAGACGACCTGAGTTTGTCAAACCGCTGAAATAAAGAGAGAGAGAAAGCGAGCTGAATAATTCAAATTTCGAAAATTTCCCTTAAATTTGTTCAATTTTAAAGTCACTCTTGAAAGGAACTGTAGTTCTTTATCATTTAATAAACAATAATCAAGCGATAAAGTGTTTCTACAACGTGGTCTTTTCCAGTAATTTGAAAAGGGTACACCGTGTGCTATTTTTTTATCCGGAAGCGTCTGTGCGCCAACCGATTCGGTCAACAACGTGATCACTACATCAACGGCTTCCTTATCAAAGGATTACTTGTTCTCAACACGAGTAATTCCAGCGCTTTATCAAGACTTTCTCTAACTACAAGTACTTTATCAATTGATAGCAGCGTTTTGCGGATGCGTCTGCCCGCCTAATAGCAAGTTTTAGTTCCTCGTCGTGTTTACATCAAACCACAGGCGACTGCTATAAAATCCGCCGTTGTTCATCCACAAGATCACTTTCATCAGCTCAGAAAGAAATTGACTTTCAAGAGTTAGAATAAAAATGAAGTTTTCCCATTTTTTCTCGCCACCAACGCCGCAGCCAAATACGAGGAGAGGTTTCAAAATTTAGTAGCGCCAGTTCAAGCGCAGCGGGCAGCAACATGCTCGGATAAGCTAAAAGAGGCGAGAGACAAGTTACCAATCGAGAATGGACATTGGGATTGTCCTAATATCGATGAGGTAAAACATCATCTCCGGTGCGTCCCAAAATGCGACAGCGGATTTGAACCAACATGGCCTGTCAAGCCTGGTAGAAAACAACCAAAGCTCAACGCAAAGTGCTTCAAGTTCCCGAAAATCGTCAAAAAGTAAGATTCAGCAACAATTTGCACAGCACTTACTTTTTTTAGAAACATTGAAAAGGGAGCTTCCCTCTCCTGTGTTCCTAGAACACCTCATCCGTGTGAAGACAAAGCTGGCTCGATGGACATCCTGGACGGATCACTCGTTTTGACGGAAGAAATCAACTCAAAGAGAGCAAAATTCAACCTTGTCTGCGATGACGGAACAGTGAAAGGCGAAGTCGTCTGTGTTAACAGAAAGGAGCAGGTCTATTTCCAAGAGCCGGAATGGAGCAATCAAATCACCTGGCAAGACTCCTGGAAAGGTATTTGCAGAGAATTCGCACCGCTGAGCAACTCAATCACCGCTGGTCTCCAAACTTGCTCCGAAGCCGACAACTTCCCAGAACTTGCATCAGCTGAAGGAAGAATCGTCGGTGGAGCACCAGTCGCTGAGAATGAATGGCCTTGGATCACTTACTTGAAATTTGAGACAAACTCTGGTGATGAGAGACTTTGCGGCGGTAGCGTGATTGCCAATAGATGGGTCATCAGCGCTGCTCATTGCTGCAAAGAAGTTCAGAAAGTCGTCGGTCGATTCGGAGATTTGAAGGCGATGGAATCTGACAGCAACGAGTACGAGCTCGAAGCCAGCGCCTGGTTCAACCATCCTGAGTACGGACTCATGCAGGGCGATTTCGACACTACAAACAACGATGTCTGCCTCATCAAATTCGTCGACGACATCATCGCCAACGACCCAGAGAGCAAAGTTCAACCTGCTTGCCTTCCAGAAGCAGATAAGCAACACGGCGCCGGCTGCTGGGCTGCGGGCTGGGGATCTACATTTTTCGGGGGTCCTGCCAGCCCGGATCTGCACTCGGTTGGAGTTAATGTCTTCAGCGCTGAATATTGTATCGCAAAGTCCATCTACTTTTTCCTCGAAGCCGACGACATCTGCGCCTACACTCCAGATCTCGACGGAAACGGACAGATGGATGGTGGTGCCGCCGCATGCAATGGGGATTCCGGCGGACCTCTCATTTGCCCGACCAATGGAAAAGCAACTCTGATCGGTCTCGTTTCAAGAGGAATCGGTTGCGCCTGGGCAGGATTTCCGAATAAGTACACTTCGACCTTCGTTACTTCTAGTTGGATCCAAGAAACCGTCGCTGCTAACGGACTTTAATTTTACATGTAAACACAACTTTGTACGGCTTCTATCTGCAACAACTTTTCTTAGCTGCTGCCTATTTATATCAATAATATGAAAAAATCAATCAAAAACGAGTCTTGTTTATTAATTGCAGGCTGTTACTTTATCTTGAAGAGTAAATCACTCATAATTTCATCTTGATATTCGTGCCTCGCTCAAAACGAAAATCAAAATTTCTGGCGTTTTTTCAAAAATGTTAAATAAAAAAGAACAATCAGAAGAAATATCAAATTCTTAATTCCTGTGCATCATCATATTTACATTAGATCTTCAGGCGACTCTCAGTATTCAGAAATTTCGATGCCGCTTTGATTACACAAATTTCAGGCGTTCCCGAGTTTATATTTATCGATGCAGGCTGAGCCGGCCAAGCTATTTACTTCAAAGATCTTCAAAGAGAAAAGTCAGTTTTTGCATATCAGATTTGCTGTTTTTGTCGAAGAGGGATGCCATAGGATTCGTGTCAGCTGCCCGTTTCTATGATAAAAATGTTTCTCGAGGTGTTAATACGCGTCCCTCCCACTTCCAACGATTCAAAATAAACCCTGCGCTCAGGGGAAGTTGCATAACCACGAATCGAGGACTTTTTCCAGAACACCAACGCCAGAGAAATAACAACAAGAAATTTTCCTTAAAAGTGTGCCTGTCGAAAAAGGGGGTGAAAAAAAAAGAGTTCTTTTGGGAAAGTCCGGATGAAGTAAGAAAAAAGAGAAATGGTCGAGTTTATCAATGTCGTCGAGCTGGTCTCTGGGGGCACTGGTGCGGCGACTGGAGCTCTTTGTGGCTTTCCCTGGATACTGTCAAGGTAAGACGTTGAGGGATGTTGAGGGAATTGACCCGTTCAGGTTCGACTACAGTGCCAAAGCTCGAGCGACAGAACAGGCGCTTTTCGCGTCTTCAAGAATATCATCGCCAAAGAAGGTCCTCAAGGTCTATTCAAAGGATGGAAATCGCCAGTTTTCGGACAGTTTTTGTTCAACGCGATCGTCTTTTCTGTCGAAGGACAAGCCAATCGTTTCCTAACAGACAACTTCAAATACATGAGGGAGAACGACCTGACTCGATCTGCGTCTTCAGGTGCGTTCTATTTCTTTATAAGTTGTTCTCATTTTCTCGTTATGTATTTTATTTATATTAACACTAGACAGGAATGGTCGCTGGCGGCGTCCAATCCTTCGTCTGCGGTCCAATCGAACTCGTCAAGACTCACTGTCAAGTCTCTGGCGTTGGATCAAAGGTGCAAAAGTCTGAGATGAGCGTGGCTCGTGAGATCTACAGGAAACAAGGGCTGCGTGGATTCTCGAAAGGGCTTGGATTAACACTGGTGCGCGAGATTCCCTCTTTTGGCGCCTATTTCTGGGCGTACAACACCTTCCATAGTTACTCGATCGCGCAGTTTCCTGATTTTCCGATTCTGGTGACGATGTTTGCTGGTGGCTCGGCTGGAGTCGCCTGCTGGTGCGTTAGTTATCCCTCTGATGTGCTGAAAACAAGGTGGACAGCTGATGGAGTCAATGGGCCTCCCAGATTCGCGTCTGTTAGGAAAGGGATGATAAATCTTGTTTGAGAAATTTTGAATCACATCTTCATATTCAATATTAAAATTAAGCCAATTAGTCCTAATAACCAAATTATCATCCTTCGTAAAAGAGAGTGCTACCAATCAACAGCAAAAGAAGGCGCCCTTTGGGATCCAAGAGGCACCTTTTGGCGAGGTTTCGGAACAACTGCGCTACGAGCCTTTCCAGGTAAAGAAAGTTGTCCTCCATGATTTCGAAAAGAGATTTCAGTCAATGCAATAACCTTCACTGTCGTCAACCTGGTAGCCTCAAACATGTTATACGCAAAAGATGTGTACGATAAAAGATACAGTTAATCACCTCTCTCGCTGCTTATTTTTGTTGCCCCTTGTAAATTATAGATTTTAATAAATAAAATCATAAAATATCTATGGGATAAGAACTGCATGTATCCTTTGCATGCAGCGATTTATTATATTCTCTTTGTATTGCAGAGAACGATTAGGCAGTATCTTCGTCTCGAGAGCGCTTTCGTGATTTCAGAAACTATGAAAATAATTGTTTAAAAACGTCCCTGCTTGATTCTTACCTTTTCCCAGTTTCTGTGGTCGAGACTTTTGAAATCGTCAATATCTTTGAGAACTGTAAGGTATTTGGAAAGCTTCAGGAGCTCTCTATCTGTGGCTTGAGCGGTTGCAGCGTTTTTGAATGGGCGAATTTTTAGACCGGATTGAGGGTTCATCACGAAGTTCCGTCGGAGATCATCGAACATGATCGTGTTTTGTGGCCCCCACTAGAATGTGGTCAGCTGATTTGCAAGGAAAAGTAGAGAGACCTGTTTGTAGTTCTTCCAAATATAACCCAAGGGTTTGACTTCGATTACGCCGTAGGGCTCTGCATGTACCGAAATCATAGCTCTTGAATCGACCATGAAGGCAAGCTTGTAATCTAAATTTCCCGTGACTCCAAGCTCGTCCATTTTCAACTTGATCCATCTCATCGAAGTCGCCGACCAAATTACAATGTCATAACTAGAACAATCAATAAGAGCCTAAGGAAAGCCCTAACTTGTCTCGATAAGCTTTCGCCAGAAATTCGTGAAGATAAGGACGCATAAGTTGCATGGCATTTGTCGCAACACTTCTGTGGTCAAAGAGAGTATAGTCAATATCGAGAACGAGCAGTTTTGAACCAGGTCGAGGTTCGTTCAAAACTTCAATTGGAAGACTTGCGACGCGTTTGTCAATTTTCTGGAGATTTTCAACCCTCAGCTTTTGGTATGATTAGCAATTGTTAGATTATCCTGTGAACTTACTGTAATTGCTTCTTCGACAGCGTTGTCATCAAAATCATCGAGGACTTCCGGTGCATTCTCTGGCTTTCCCGCCTGCAAAAATTTTAAAAACTGGGATCAAGGAAGACTAACCTGAATTTTCGCGATATCTTTCTCCGCGCTACCAACCATCATCACCGGTTTCCCCTCCTTGAAGGACCCGAGAAGCGGATCACCATCTTTTCCTTTGATTCCGAGTAGCTCTCCATCGGTCTCGGCAAGAATTCAACCCCATCATCAGATGTTGCTACTTGCTGAGACCTGACTTTTGGCGACCTGCTAACACGTTTGTTTCTGTTTCTATTTTTGCCTTGAGTTCTTCAATTTTCGCATCCTGCGGTAGCTCATAATTGAAGCACTTTCCAGACCATTTTATTTTCACATTTATTGACATCTTAATCGTTTTCTTTCATTGTCGACAGCTTAGGATTATAAACAGCAAATAAATAATAGCAAGACATTTTGAAACTGGCAGGAAAGTAAACTTTAAAATTAGTTCTAGTTTGGACGAGAGAACACGTGCGTCATTGGTTCCAGGCGAAGGAGAGAGCCAAAGTAAAAGTGCTGCATGACTGGGAATTTTCCAAGCACTTCCGCCTTGTACATTTTCATGAAGCCATTGATTACTTTGTCCCAAAGGAGAACTCCCGAAACGCCCCAGAGAGTGCAGCTATGCTCACAGAATGGTCCGGTTTTGACCTTGTTGATGAAGTCGATTGCTTGAAGAAACATGTACTGAAATGTCGTTAGGAGGGAGATTCATAAACAAGCGTCATTTTACCTTATCTTTATGAGCTTCAACAACTTCTGGTTTAGGAAAATCCGCCGGTTGCAAATCTCCTTGAGAGCCCAACTGAATTGAGCCGTAGAGAAAGCAGAGAAACTGGTAGTCATCTAGCGAGTGAACCCCGTGGCTGCCAGCCGGCTCCATTTTGTAGTCGATTTGAAGGCGGCGCACCAGAACAAGATATCGCTGGAATAGGGCAAGAATCAAGGCTCTGTCGTCGCTTTTGTTTACAGCGCCCACAAGGTCCAAACAACACAAGAAAGCGATGAAATTTGTCTCGTGACCAGTGCCGTAGTCAATTCTTGTCGCATTTCCGAACGATTCGCAGAGGTAAACAGACAATTCTAAAAAGGCTGAAGAAAAGACAGCTGCAAATCTTACCATAATCAGCTCCTGGAAAATCGGCAAGAATATTGGCCAATTTTTCTTTTACAATTTCGTGCATCCTTTCAAACCATTTTCGATAACTCGGATTTCCGAACCTCACTGCGCCAGGTTTCTGTTCTTCCGGAGGAATTTGATCAATCGCTTCGTCCAAGCTGTCGAGTAATTGAATCAAGGACTGCACCGTCGGTGATATCTCCAGCTCTGTGAGCATCGTTGTGTTCACCAATGCTGAGCTCGTTCGACTGATGAATTTGATGAGCGTGTGGTAGCCTTGCGAGCGCTGGAATTTGCCGAAAACCATCGGATTGCTTATATGTTTTGTTGGAAGGATGTATTCATGCTTTGCTTTTCCTGCTTGTGCCATTCTTAAAGCGAGGAAGAATGAATATTTGTAGTTATGTGATTATTAACAAGGCAAAAGTCGGAATAAAAGATAAGTGAAGTTTTATCGCGGGTACATGTCACATGTGGTGTTTATAAAGTTGATAAGAAAAAGAGTTAATAGGTCAATAAAGATGGTGCCATTGGCTGAAAATAAAGCGGTAGAATTTTGAGCCCGGTCTGTGAAATTTCGGAAAAACGGTAGTGAACTTGAAAGAATTCGAAAAAGAAGATGAAGAAAAAAGATGTGAAACGATCATTTGGTACGGTCGGGCTTAGGCGGTAACTGGGGGAGAAGAAGCCAGAGGTGCTCGCTTGAAGAAGGAGGCTTCTTTCCAGACGAACCTAGAGCATTTCTCGTATTCAACGAATTTGATGATGATGTTCTTACCAAAGACTTCCAAGCCACAAGAAGAAATTCAAAAAGCCAAATGCAACCGACGCGTTTAATTTGACAAAAGTTGCCGCCGTGACTGTGCATTTATTCGGGATCTCGCAGAAATCTTTGAGTTCCGCTTCTTTGACGATGTTTCCGTGGGTAAGGATAAAGTCGAGCTGGTTCTTGCCCCACGCCATAGTCGATGTACCAGTAAGCCAGAAGAAGACGAGGACGCCAGTGATGACAAGATCGACGTTGTTGTAAGCAGGGATTTCGTCGTTTTCACGAAGATTTGGTTCTAGAAGAAAATGTTAACGAAGCAACTACCAGCTAGGATCGACAAATGCCCCCGAAATCCGGGTCGGGTTTTCGTCGGATTTTCTTGAAGTCTGATTTTTCCGATCGGGTTTTTGTCGGGTTTTCGTCGGGTTTTTGTCGGGTTTTTATCGGGTTTTTGTAGGGTATTTTTCGGGTTTTTGTCGGGTATTTTTCGGGTTTTTATGGGAGATGGGACAATTGTCCGCACACAAGCCATAGGCAGCGCTACCACACCGCGCTACTACACCTCAATAAGTAGCGCTCGAGAGTCACCCGCGCCAAATTGAAACTCTCTTTCCTCCCAAGAAAGCTTCGATCAAGAATTCAAATTCACGATTATTATTATTATTTATTATTTAACTTTAGTTAATAGTACTGGCTAAAATAAAGGTTAGGGTTAGGGGCACTGGGTAAAATGACAGAACAAACTCACCCGAGGGGGATAGAAATCTCTCCTCTATCTGCTGAAATAAAGACTTTTGCTGATAAGAACTTATTCTAGCTAAAAGTACTTTCTATTTTCGAGGTTAGGGTTAGGGGGCACTGGGCAAAATGACAGAACAAACTTACCCGAGGGGGATAGGCTAGGGTTAGTTAGGGTTACCGCAGGTAACCCTAAGTAACCCTAGACTAGACCCCGGCATCTTAGGACCTAAGGGGCGAAGCCCCGTGGTGAGGGGCACTTAGGTTCTAATATTGTATTTTTGATGATATATGTTCAAGAAATTCTGAGAATCTGTCCAATTCTGGCAGAACAACCATTCTTTATCTTTTTGTTAGGTGATAAATTAAAATTATTTGTTTAGATTGGTACTAGATAAATATATTCAAAACAACGAGAAGTGTTCTTTGAATCAAAGACTTTGATCCCTGCTGATGATTTTGATATCAGCGCGCGCTCCGTTGCGCCCCCATCTCTTGGCTAGTAGCGCGGTGTAGTGCAGCGCCTCATGGCTTGTGTGCGGACAATTGTCCCTCCATCCGGTTTTTATCGGGTCTTTGTCGGGTTCTTGTCGGGTTTTCACAACACTGAAGTTGAATCAAGTAATGAATCTAATTCGGCGAAAAAAAGACATATGTTTTTGGCTAACAGAATTTCGGGTACTGTCTTTAATCAAACTGATGAGTAGATACGAAGAGAAACCCGACGAAAATACATTACAAAAATCCGATAAATGACCCTACAAAAACCCGATTTTATAGGGTTGCCGAAATTTCAACATCGGATTTTTGTAGGGTGGGCAGAATCCTACAAAAACCCGACAAAAACGTCGGTTTTCGATCGGGTGTCGGGTGGGACTTGTCGATCCTAGACTACCAGTCTGAGTCTCCCACAAATATTTGCGTTGATTTTTTCTCGAATCAGAATAAAGCGCTTGAGGTGGAGATTTTTTGTTATTTTTAATATTTTAACTGAGTAACCTAGCTATGGCGTATTGGGGGTCTAAAAGACCTACAATTGAGATTCTCAGTGACATAGAATCGGAAGAGGGAATCCCTTATCTTGATCGTCCTTCTCCTCCGCGAAAAATTGATCCAGATGAAGACTTTTTCGAAAAATTAATGCAAACCTGCAATTCAAAGAAAGTCAAAATCATTGAAGCAAAAGAACAAACAAAAAATCTGAGAAACGAAATCACCTTGAACGAGAAAAAAATAAAATCATACGAGGAAATGACAGCTGCTCTCAAAACTGAGTATGTAGGAACTAGAAAAAGAGTGCAAATTTTGAACGACAACTTCGAGCTCTTCGATTTCGCTGCTGAAGAAGAAAAAGATGATGAGGAATATCTGGTGATTCAAGAGCGAATTGACATTTGCGAAGAGAGAATCCAGAATTTGAAGGATGATATTCATATCAAAGAGCAAGAGCTAGAATCAATCAAACAAAAAATCAAAGAAGATATTTCAACTTCGTCGATAGATTTAATTCCACACTGCGATATTTGCATGGAAACTTACAATACGAAGGATCACTGGCAAGCTTGCATTACATCCTGTGGACATATGTTTGGCCTTGCTTGCATTGAAAAAAGCTTTGATTCCAGCCCGCGCTGCCCCAAATGCAACAAGAAATTCAACAAAGAAAATATCATTTCCCTTTTCTGATCAGTAAACTTTCAAAATAAACTTTACTCACCCATGAAAACGTAGTATCCAAGAGCCAGCATACAATACAGAAACGCAATTACTCCCACAAAAACGTACCAAGACGCAGATGGACTAAAAGCATTCAAGTTTTAGCTATTTCGCTCTATGAATACCTGACATCTCCAGCAAGAGTGACAGGAATTTCAGTTTCGCAGGAATCGTCAAATTTGTGAAAGTCCTTGTTTGATTTGGCAATATTGAACGGGTACTCGATTATAATCTTTTGATCGGTCACTTTTGCTTCAGAATCATCTTCTCCAGCGGGAATACAATGAGACGTAAATGTAAGAGTTTCTAGCGCGATTCTTGAATTATTGGGGAAATGATCTGTTCTACCTGTATAACCAGAGCATGTAGCAAAGGCGACAATAGCCAAAACCCACTGGAGAATCCTTATAAACCCTCTCGGCTCATTCAGCACCCTGAATCTCCCAGCTGCTAGAATACTCTCGACATTCATAATTCTAAAACGAGCAAGATAAAGAGGCGTAAGAAGAATGTAATTTGATTTTTTTGAACTACGAGGTGATGTTAGCCGTAAACAAGAAAGAAATTCGAGAAAAGAAAGGGATGAAAAGGGTTGATTAGCTTTTTTCATGAAGTTTTGCAATTAAAAATGTTCAAAAAGGGATAAGGAAGGAGGAAAATTAACGAAGATGGCGGGAATCCCAGCGTAGTACGGTTACTTGGGTCGTCATCGAGGAAAAACGGTGTAATTTCAAGGCATCTTTCTTAGAGTTTTCAACCAAAAAGAGAGCCTTACCAAAGTGTAAGAAGCATTTTTCCCGTTCTCTTCATTTATTTCAAAACTCCTCCCTAAGTCTGTCTCAAAGCTGCCAATCGTTGGCTCAATTCGTCCTGGTCTCCAGTAGCCGTGGCGATTTGAGTTTGCGCTGCGCCGGGAATCTCCATGTTCAATTCCAGTCCGTGTTCGTCCGCTGTTTCTTGCATCAAAGACTAAAACAAACGCTTAAAAACCGAGCTAGAATCATGCTGAAAACCTGGACAGAAGCTTCTGGAACAGACTGGGCAGTAACGCCGCCGACAGTTTCCTCCATGACCTGCGATTGAACGTCCAAGTTTTCGAAGCTCTTTTCGAAACGGTCGAGCATATTGGAAATCTGCTCGAGATTCATGGATTTGAGCGCCCCTTCCATCGAGCGGACGACCGAGGTCATGTCTTTTGTCACGCGCTGCATCGACACTGCTGTTTGAACTCGAGAAGCTACTGCGTCAACGCGGGATGAAAGACGTAGAAAATTCAGCGCCTTAATTTTCAGGTACTTGTTGTACTGGCAAAGAAAGATAAGGTCAGGGAGAATGGCAAAGTGCAATTCTAAAGGAAGGGTACCTGATTTTTCTGGCGAATGGCATTTTCCGCATGAATTCTGGCACCTTCCATATTTCCCTTTTGAATCGCCTTCTTCAGCTTCGTCTTTTCTTCCGCCTCACTTTTGACGCATTTCTTCGACTCTCTGGCCAAATTTTTCGACGAAAACTTCAGGTTGAAAAGAGTATTCTCCAGCTGTTTGGATTGATCCGCTCCCATGTTTCTTGTTTCAGTCTGAAAATCGAAAAATTGAAAATTGAAGAAGCGGGAATTTTAAATTGCAGTTTAAGGCGCGAAAATCAACGGTTTGAATTTGAAAGTCTTTCGACGCTAGCTTTAATTTCTTCTAAACTTCGCGGATCTTCTTCTCTTTCTCCAACTCGTTTAATTTCTTCCAAATAATTTTCAGCTGGATTGATTTTCTGAGATCATAAAATGAATCAATTATTCAAGAAATTTGAAATACCAGATTTGCTCGACGCCATTCGGACGGCATTACTGATTTATCTTCTTCTGCTCGTTTTTCTTGATACTCGCGTCTTCTTTCTTCCAATTGCTTGTTTAGATAATCTTTCTTTGTGATGTTATTTTCGTAGAGATGGAGGATTTCTGCTTGTTTTTCGTATGCGCGAGCGTTTTGTTCGCGAGTTACGAATGCTCCACCCTGAATGTTATGAATCCTTTAAGAGGGTGTTATCTATCGGAGAGATAGTGCGGGACACCCTTAGTCTGGGCTCGGCAACCTCAGTAAGCGGCGCTCAATCAGTGATTGAGGGCCCCTGAAGAGTAAGGTTTAACCTACCTAAACCGTTAAGGGTTAGGATTAGGACGGTCCTAACTTAGGACCTACTCCCCCTTCAGCCTGAAGGCTTCAGGACCCTGACTCAGATTTCTTGCCAATTGAAGCAAAATGAGATTTGGACCATTTTCTGCTCACCTTATTAACCACTAGTTGATCGAAACAAGCATAAAAGAACCCAGCGGAGAATACTATCGCAGAAACCCAAAATCCAATACGAAACATTTTTGTATTCTCGTCTTAAAAACATGATTTGGAAATGCTTGGCTTCTCCTTTCTACCTGCATCAGGATCGCTCGTTCTAGCAGCTTTGATCTGTCTGAGCGAGTCTTCTACAGAGTCAAATCGTTTTTGGATCTCCTGAACGTTGACTTGCTCGAATTTAAGGGTGTCGATTCCATCTGGTCTCGGAGCTCCTTTGAGTGGCGCTTTTTGCTGGATATTTGATGATGCTCGCTCTGGAACTCGAGATCGAAGGTTCAGACTCGGTCGACTCAGTTTTTTCAGTCTCAACATCTGAATTGAATGTTATAGGGAAGAGAAATTATTAAAAACAAGAACATTTTGACAATTTTGAAAATATCTCTAGAGCAAAACTGTGTTTTTTTCCGGTCCTTCGAAATGCTTTTAGTTGAAAATGTCTTTTTCGGATCAACAGGGATTATACGGAAATGGTCCCGCGAACACCGAAACACCGATTGTTATAAATATAATTCAAGAACAAGCAAAACAAGCACTTCCGAGGCAAGCTACTGCGAATGAGCTTGCACTAGCTGAAGGGAAGCCCCAGCTACGAAGAGTTGCTCACCAGCAGAATCAAAGTTTGAGAAATTATCTTATTCCTAGTTAACTCCAAATTTTTAAGCGTATGGTTATTGCTCCGCAAAACAGCAGTGTGCGCTCATGATTTTTTCTCTGCTGTCTGCTGTCGTTACTGTTACTAGTATGTTTTTAATTATTATTATTTTTTCAGAATAAATTGAAAATATATCAAAATGCAAGAAGCTGTTCAGTTATCTCAACTTTTTGTCATCACAAGACAGATACCCTTATTTTCTTTGCAAAAAAGAAAGGTAAATTCCCCGATATTTCTAGAGCAGAAACTGTGTTTTGGTGACATTTCAAGATGATTTTAGTTTGAAAAATGTCTTATTTCGGGGATCAAGGGGGCTCACCAAGAAATGCTCCCTATCCAGCTTTTTATCAAGCTCCCGCTCAACCTGCTCAAGACAGGGTTCGAAATACATCGAAAAATCATTTCCCTTGAAAAATAAATACTAGTACCAGTTTTATGCATTTCTAACTCTGACCGAAGGTCCTCCAGTCGCGGGAGAAAATTTTGCACAAAATACAAGTCCCCCCAGCCCAGCACCGATCATAATTAAGGGGGTCCCCATTGGATTTTGCGAAACGACCTATTTTTCAACAGCGCTGATCAATAGATGCTCTTATATTTTTGAATTTTTACACTTCTAAACTGTAGATCTAACCTTCAACTAAAAATGTAATTTTGGAGAAAAAAAATTATCAAGCGGTTTGGGCGCTAGAGAGCTCGAAAGAGGTCTTACTCGAGAAATATACCGATTTTGGCTCATTTTCAAACACGCCTCAAGCCCAAAAAATAACAGATTTTTTTCAAACTAGCTATGCTTTTAGAAACAACTAACCTTAATCTAAAAAAGTAATGAAGGGTAGGATTCCCCAACAAATGTTTATGTAATATAGAGGATTTAAAAAAAGTACGATTTTGAAAATTTCGGCCCTTTGAATTGGCTTCCGGGCATGACCTAGACTCTTATTTTTTGGCATAAATAGAAAGCTGAGCTCAATTTGAGCTTTTAAAGCTTTCTAAAAATGTGTCGTATAAGGCATAAGGACTAATTTAAAAATGAGATAATTTTTTCATTTTCACACTTGAACATCAAAATTGGCCACTTCAAGGTCGATTTTCGGGACATTTTCTTGACAAAAGGGAAAAATGGTTAATAAATTTTTTGTTGCTCTTTACCTCAGCTTTTCAAAAATTATCAAAGGATTTTAAAATTCCGACTTTTGCAAAACCAATGGGGACCCCCTTAATGTCGAGCAGACAATTCCAATAACACCGGCGAAACAAATACTTCCGAGGCAGACTACCCGGCAAGAGGTTTCATCGGTTGAATCAAGCAAAGTAAAAGTGAAAAAAGGTAAGACTAAAACTTTGAGAAGTTTTTAATGAAATTTTTAGAAGAAGAGGGTTCCCAAAAAGGTGTTTTTGCATGTTTTTGTTGTTGGCTGTGCTTCGTCTTTTTTGCTCCAATCCTCGCTCCAATTCTGTCGAAGAGTTAACTATTCCCAAAATAAAAATTTTCGCAAGCATTTTTTATTGAGATATGAACAGGCATGTTTTGTTAAACAAAAATAATACAGGAAGAGTACTTGAGGTTTTTTAAAATTTTCAATTGAAAATTTCTATTTAGAAATAAGGCAGGAGGAAAAAAGGTTATTGTTCCATATCTTCGAACTTTTGCAGCGCTTGAACACTTTGGGTACCGAATGAAAAGGAAGAGCCTTGGCCTGTTAATCGAAAAAGTCTTGAGGGCGAAGGATCTCGGGAAACTTGAATTACTTGACTTGTGGGTCTTGAGTTCGCTAAAATACATGTAGAATTTCGGAGACAACGAGGAAGATAAACTTAGTCAAATGAGGATAGGAACGGATAGGGTCAGGAACAGGGTTCTAAACGGACATGTCCGTGTACGGATTTTATCCGTGTCTGTCCGGTCTTGTCCGTACGGACAGAATAGACTTTTAGTCTATTGGTTGAGGAAAAAACGGACAGCCTAGACCGGACTTTTGTCACGATCCGGACAAAATCCGTATTTGTCCGTATTTGTCCGTGAAATCCGGACAACCCCAGACTTTTGTCCGTGTTTGTAAAATCCGGGCAGAATCCGAAAAAATCCGTAAAAAAGCACGATTTGAAATCGAATTCGTTTAAAAAAGCCTGAATCAACGTCATTGTTTGATAAAATAAGCCAGGATTTCAGTTTAAAATTTAAAAATATCAAAATTTTTGACTTTTTTACGGGAAATATTGATGATAACTTGATGATATGTCTTTTTGATGGTGCGAAGCCGGAACTTTGAGGACCGAGTCTCAAGGAAAATTGGTTAAATTAAGAATATTAGGTCCTTCATTATTCCGCTCATTTATTGCCAGTCCTAATTAGGGACTTTCAAAAATAGCAATAACCTTGCGATTCTTGTCCCAGGCCAGTCCCTTGATTTTTTAAAATTGGCTTGAAAGGAACTCAATATTTCGATGTATTGTCTGCCGAATTTAATTTTAAAAGTTTTTTTTTTGGTCTTGTCGGGTTTATTTCGATAAAAATTCGTTTTTTTTCCCATTAAATTTTACGGGCATTAACGGACAAGACTTTTCAGACCAGACTTTTTCTTTAAAAAAAATGTGTCCGGATTTTACGGACAAAAACGGACAAAACGGACATGTCCGGGACTAGAGCGGACAAAAATCGGACACGGATAGACTAGACTTGGGATTTTGGCGGAGGACACGGACACGGACAGACTAAACTTTTAGATTTTGCCTCAAATTTCTAACCCTGGTCAGGAAAATAGGAAAAGAAAAAGAGCTCTATTTAGATAATTTTTCAGATTGAGTAGCGATAACTTCTTTATCGCTTATTACTTTTTTACTGTTTGTGTGAGTCTTACTGTTTAAACTTTCTTGGCCGCTGTTTCTGGGAGTTCCATTTTGCTGCTTTGCGTCAGAATCGAGTCTTATCGTTCTGATCTTGTCATCGTCGACGAGGATACAGGCAGCTGAGTTTGTGCCGCCGCAGTAGGAAGAAGAGGAAAATACAGTCAGGAGGGAGTCGAACTGGATCTTGAAGCCGTTTTGCTGGCATTCGTGAGCGCGGATTACGTATTGATATCCTTAGTGTTGGTTTTGATTGAATTTGACTCATATGATATCAGGTTTTTCAATTTTATAAACCATTCCTGTTCTTTTCAAGAACTGATTCAGCGCCTTTTCGGTGAACAAACAAGAAGTCCTCCTCCTCGTATTCTCCATAAAGGTCAATTCATTCTGCGCCGCTGAATTGTCTCCAGCTGCGTTTTTAATGTCGCCAGCTCTGGCCGGATCTGCCCACATCAAGTCCCAAGCAAGGGAAGACATTCCTTCCGGATCGCGAAGAGGATTTGGAATCGCGTTCACTGCGTTTTCGAAGGACGAAAAGTTTTCGTAAAAACGCGTGTTTGGAATGCCCCCGTGAGTGCAGAAAATCCGCCCGTCAACCACTGCCGAAATCGGCATCACATCGAACACTTGATTAATCAGCTCCCAGATGTCCTTGCCCGACTGATCGCCAAAGCGTTTGATACACTCGTCGTAAAATGTAAAATGCGACTGTCAGCCGAGATTAATTAACATTTATTTTCGTGGAAAATTGAGAAATGATTACGTTTCTTCTGCGTAAATAAATCTTAATCTTTCCTGGACATCTCGATGCTCGTGATTTCCTCTTATGAGGAACACCTTTGAGGGGGCTAAATTATGCTTATTAGGTCAATTCAAATACGCAAATGTCTTACCTAGAATCTTCTGCGCCAACAAATGCGCAACACACTCGATTCCCATCTGTCCCCGGTCAACGTAATCGCCGAGGAAAAGAAACCTTGCCGGCGTTACAGCGACTCCAGAACGATAGAGCAACTTTTCGAACATGTGGAGGTCCTCGAAGTTGCCGTGAATATCGCCCATTATGTAACAGGGCGCTTCAATTTTCAAGAGACGATTTTCTTGGTGGAGAATCGACAGGGCTTCTTTGCAGACGTGTTTGAGGCAGGAGGCGAAATTGCCACGAATCGAGTCTTGAAGAGAGCCCCAACTGAAGGTCCCCTTCGGATGGTCGCCACTTCTTCTTTCTTTGGCAAAGAAATTCAGCGCTTGCAGCATCTCGTTTGCGAACGATTTCTTGTCGAAAACCCGAATCGACTCTTGTTTTCTTATGTCTTTGCTTGAAGGACTATCGGTCGGAAATTTCGCTCCAGCAAGTTTCCAGACATCGGTGACATTACTGATGATTCCGGATTTCTTCAGCGAAATCGAGTGCGTCGCTAGAACGTAGTTTTTCTTCTTTCGCGATTGAATTGGCGTGGAGAGCGAGTCGAAATGAGCGTTGACTGAATTGTCAGATTCTGAAAGGTTGAGTCCATCGAGGCTGTTTTCTTCTTCGAAATCAGGATTGAAAGTCGTCCCGTTTAGTTTTGGCCTTTTGAGACTGGGACTGGAGCTGGAAGAATGATTTAGTCTGGGTTGAGGAAGAGAATCGACGTTTGAACTGGGAGAGTTTTGAACTGGCTCTTGAGAAACGGAGGCTTGTGCTTTCGGAAGGCGGAGGAGCGTCGATGTCCCACGGAATTTTAGCTTTTCGTAGGGTTAGAGATACTTTCAGATATTTTCCATCAGGTAGATAGCTCGAGAACTCCTATTACAGGGCTAGAAAAAACTGGCTCGAGAGTAAGATTAATGAAAATCCGGCCTCTGTGTTTACTCAGGGACTTAGATCAGGTTTAAAACTTCAGTTCAGCACCTAACTGAGGCATTTTTAACTAAAGAATAAACTATCTGGTTTTATCTTTAACCTTTTCTTCCCAATCACATCAATAAATACATCCCTCAGCGGTCCGGATCTGCCAGATACTCCAAACAAAATACAAGTCTGCTTGAAATCCTCAATATTTTCCTCAACGCGGGTCAAACTCTTCGTCTGGCAATAAAAAGCCTGAAATTCTTCGAAAGTCATTTGCTCCGTGTTTCGCGAGTAGAATTTGTACATCATTTTTGTCCGCACTTTGCCGCTTTGGCTTCCGTGGTTTTGTTCTAGATGAGTGGCGCAGAGGCCGCAAATGAAGTCGTCGATCGAGATGAAACGGACTGTGCGGGTTTGAAAGGCGCGCCAGAAGCACTCGATTACAGGACTTGCGAAGGAATGGTTCGCGAAGAATTCTGAAAATAGCGAAAATATGCCGAAGAAACTAAAAAGCTTTTTATACCTTTGAAAAGAGTCTGAAATGCTCGAAAATTGATGAATCGACTTGGATAAATGATCTTTTCGATCGCTTCTTTGAAGGTCTGTCTCTCTTCTTTCGTGTAAATCGGCTGGTCGGGATTTGTCGCTGTTCCCACGAACAGATTCTCCCTCTCGTCGCTTGTGTACATGCTTTCCGGATAAATGGCTAAAAGAATCGGGTCTTCCGAAGAAGGAAACGTTCTCACGCAGAAGTCGAATGGGTGAAGGTCGATCAGCGATCGGTACATGAATTCGTACGGCTCTGGCCCGGCGAACCAAGAAGAACCTTCCCAAGAGCAAAGAAGCTTTTTGAAGTCTTCGAGCAAAAAGAATCTGTATTTTTCGTTATTGTCCATCGTCGGCGAGTAGATATTCCCCTGGCGGACGTATTCGACGATGTAATGAGTGATTTCGTGATTTTCGTTCCAGAGCATTTTCAGAACTCGCCCAGGAACGGGTTTGTCGAACACTTGGACGTCGTCCATTATTGCTCGAATTGATTTTGCTTCGTTCCGACAAAATATTTTGAAAGGAAACCACCAGCCATTTTGCTGCTTTCTCAGCCAGCATCCTTCGGTGTTTCTGAGAACTAGGGTGGACAAAAGGTTAGGGTTGCAGAAGGCGTTCCTTGTATTGTGTAGTTCCCAAATTGGGAATCTCGATCAGAGGACACTTATCGGGCAGGAACGAAAAAGGGGCTTCCTAGAGAAAGGACTCCTAGCCTAGGAGTATGACTAGCAACACGGTAGTTTTTCTATTTGGGCTGAATTCAATCCGGTTTTATTGTCTTCGTTTTCTTTATTCTCTGTTAGTGCGCTTTCTTTTCGCTTCCTACAGGTTCTTTCACCCTTACCCTACCGGAAAACAAATACAATTTATCAATCCACTTTTCAGCTTCATAATCAAAGATCAGACTTGGCTCACACCTATCGGAGGTAAGTTAGAAATCTCCCAAGAGGTACATCAAGAGATTCGAGACAATAAATTATCCCTATAAGATGAGTTCTCCGAACAAATGGGGATGCTCTGGCGAGATGAAGAGGGCACACTTTCGCTGGATGATAAATATTCAATGGCTACTTCTTTCAAGTTATTTTTTTATTAAGAGTTATTGAAAATGAATTAAGTTCTTCTGATTTTGTCAATCGTTGATGGTGTTCGTGATAATAGAATTTGGTACGATGCAGTTGCCATCTCATACAACTTGGGCTCCGTTCTTATTGGAATGCTGGTTGCTGGATTTGGAACAAGCATTTACACTTCTCAGAAACAAGAAGGAATGGACATGGCTGTGAAAAAATCTATGTTTAATTTATTGGTAAGATTGCCATCAAGTTATTTTTGATAAGCTTTTTTTTTCAAGTCCCTGTTCTTCCTTTTTGTTCTTTTCGGCAACATCATATTCGATATAATCCTGAAACTACCATATGATTTGGACTATAATTATTATTATGATGGGGGTTATCTGGCCAAGCCACCGCTCTATGGGCTGAAAATTACCATCGTGGTTATCTACTTCATCCTTTTTATCATGAATCTCGTCACTCTGATCATGCAGGTAAAAGACCAATAATAAACATAACGGATATAAACGAAATTCATAGACTTGCTGCATATGGAACAAGAACGATCGCAACTTAGTTTGAAATGCCAGTCTCTCACTCAACATTTTACAGAAGATAAAAACTGTTACTTTGAATACTAATAGAATTAAAAAGATATCGAAAATTCTTTACTGGTGTAATGAGTTGATAGCAGAGCTTCTGATTGTCTAAAAACAATCTTCAGATAAGCTCAAACATCCATCCACCCTTCATCTTTCCTTGAAACTTTTGCCAACCCTAGCTGATAAAGAGCACTACAGTCACCCGTTCGGAAAGAGGAATCGTCGATCTTTCCATTTCGACCTTCAGCTTTAATTTTAGCTCCTTTGAGGGCCAATGACAGGTTATGATTCACATAAATAGTGGCATGGCCCCGACTCAGTCGGAGACCTGTGGCGGCCCAGTCGCCACAGCGAGGATGAATCACCACTAAAGTGGCAACAGCGAGGCAGATTACTTTTACTTTTACTTTTATTCTGAGGCTCGCTTTCTTCTTAATTCCTACAGTTTCTTTCAACCTAACCCTACCGAAAACAAATTCCATTTTTGTGCTGTTCAATCGAAGATCAGACTTGGCGTACACACTTGGAGGTAAATTCGAAATCGCACAAGAGGTATATGAAGAGATTCGAGAAAAAATAATAGAAATAAGATGAGTTCTCCGAGAAAATGGGGATGTTCTGGCGAAATGAAGATGGCACACTTTCGCTGGATGATAAACATTCAATGGGTTCTTCTTTTAAGTTATTTTTCTTAGTTAGAGCTATTCAAAATGAATTAAGTTCTTGTCATTTTGTCAATCGTTGATGGTGTGAATGAAAATGGGTACGGCGTTGTTGGAATCTCATACAACCTTGGCTCTGTTCTTATTGGAATGCTCGTTGCTGGATTTGGAACAAGCATTTACACTTCTCGAAAACAAGAAGGAATGGACATGGCTGTGAAAAAATCTATGTTTAATTTACTGGTAAAATTGCGACCAAGATATTTTTTGAAAACTATTTTCAAGTCCCTGTTCTTCCTTTTCGTTCTTTTCGGCAATATCCTATTCGATTTCCTCGTGAAACTACCATACGAATATGTCTATGATTATTATTATGATGGGGGTTATTTGGAGAAGCCACCGCTGTATGGGCTGAAAATTACCATCGTGGTCATCTACTTCATTCTTTTTTCATGAATCTCGTCACTCTGATCATGCAGGTAAAAGACCGATAATTAGCATAACGGATATATAACGGACTTTATAGACTTGCTGCATATGGAACAAGAACGATCGCAACTTAGTTTGAAATGTCAGTTTCTCACTAGACAATACATAGAAGATAAAAACTGTTACTTTGAATATTAATAAAATAAAAAAGATATCAAAAATTCTTTTCGGGTGAAATGCGTTGATAAGAAGGTAATCATAAAACGAAGTTTTTAAAAGGGCGCCTCTGATTGGGACAAGGCAAAAATAAGGGGATCTGAATGCCTAAAACAAAAAAAGGGCACTGAGATAAGATAAAAACAAGCACCCACCCTTCATCTTTCCTTGAAACTTTTGCCAACCCTAGCTGATAAAGAGCACTACAGTCAGCCGTTCGGAAAGAGGAATCGCCGATCTTCCATTTCGATTGGGACTCTCCATCCACTTTTCCGACCCTAGCCCTCTTTTCGCTAAATTTCTGAAAAGATCAAAAATGATTTTTTTATGAAACGAAGAAAAGTCTATTCATTCAATCAAAAGATTCAGATTCAAAAATAGAAGAAAAATGAATCAGATAATAAATAAATGAGAAAGAAGTGTATTTTTTTCTGAATAATAAGGTCTGAAATCTAGGAGCAGAATGAAAGCATTTGATGGACTTAGGAAGTTACTGGACAAGCAGGACTTTTAATAAATACATATGCTTAATCAAAATTTAAAAAATCTATCAAGCAGTTACAAATGAGCGAAGAAGAAGTAAAAACTGAAATCAAGGAAGAAAAGAAGTTTTATTTGTAAGAAGCTTTTGTTGATTTTTGCGAAGACTTACTGTAATTACTAATAATAGCCATGCCAAAAACACAAAATTAAGACATTCAACTTTAGGTTTTAAAAAGTGAATACAGAAAAGAAAGGACTGTGAGGTCTAAGTGCTTAAGTCGGTTAGAGATCTGATCAGGATCTCGCGCCGCGCTCTTCTCTGCCACTTTTACGTTCACTGCTTCAGTCCGCGCACAGTAAAAGTGCAGAATACACGCTTTTTCGGAAACTACCTTTCCTCGTGTTTTATTGAAGATACAGTAGAGGCTACGACTAGCTGCAAGAGAACCGTCTAGTATAGAGAGCATACAGCAGTACTTAGACGCTTACATCTGGTGACAATACGCTAAGCTTCTTCTTCACTGGACTCTTCCGAACCCAACGTTCGCCCTCATCACCGGCACTTCCCGCTGCAAAGCTAGAAGTGTTATTAAACTTGGTTCGACCACTCGCCAAGTCGATCGAGCGATCTTTCGCCGTTCCCGTGTTCGATAAACCGCTGGAGCTCGTAAATCAAGTCGCGTCCGCGCGCCGCACAGTAACCCTTCTGTGCGCTCTAACGAGGTCAGTCAAAGTTGTCAAACCCTAACTGCCGCATTTATCGCCGCAACACCGTGGAACTCGTCTCCGACCGCGCCTGAATTGCTCATTTTTTCGCCGCCGGCCACCTGGAACACACACACTACGTGAAAAAGTCGCCACGTGCGCCGCTCAAGGAAAACTCCAGTTACTTGAGCGCTCCGTAAAGGTACAATTTCTTCGTTGTGAACCCTTTACCGCAAATTCCGTTACGCCGCGCCGCCGATTTTGATCAGTCCCGCCAACGAAACCCCGCGAACTTCGCCGATCCATATCTCCAACGACATCTCGGCCCGCCAAAATGTCTTCTACCAGCGCCTGTTACGCGCTCAACCTCTCCGAAGATCAAATCAACTCGTGCACCTGCATCACCATGTTGACCAACTTCTTGTCCGATATCATGGATTATACTATGGAGCTTGCATCGGATCCAACCGAACTCTCAAGCTACACTGACCGGATCAACGCACGCAAAAAGCTGATCAGTGCCCGAATTGTTGCCTTGTCGAAGTCAGGATCTTCTGCTCAGTCCACTGGAATCTCTCGAACTCGCCAAATCGAGATCCAGAATTGTTTGGACAAGCTCGAAGTCCATGATTTCTCCACTGGTTCCGACGCAGAGCAGTTCATTTCTACGCTCCGAACGGCCAGAACCGACCACGTCGCCACTCTTCCAAAGGCTCATCAAGCCGAGGGCGATGAAATTTTGGCTCGCACTGCCAAGAAGTTCTTGGCCAACGATGTCAAGGTCACTTTTCAGCGACTTGGCCTCGAGACCCGGACCATCGAACAGCTGATATCCGCCATTGAAGACAACTTCAGTAGCAAGCTGTCGATCTTTCAGGAGCTCCGCAAGCCGCACGATGTCACTTTCGACGCCTCCAAAGGCCTAGGCGTCTACTTCAATGAACTTCAGGAGGCCTCTAGACACAGCTTTCGACAAGTTGAGCGCATGGCTCGTCGAAAAGCCGCCGAATCCGCCAAAACAGCTTCCGTCAAGGAAGAACCTGAGGTTTCCATAGTTGCCGAGGAGTCCACAAAAGCCGCTGATGGCGAAGCTATTACAGCTTCTGAGCTCAACGATCTCTACGCCGCCACGCTGGGTTACCTCACTGTTTGCCGCGCCTACCCAAATGTCGGAGTTCGACTTTGCGACACAATCGACGAGTGCTCCAACGCCCAGGACGTGTTTGTGAAGGCGAAAACTCTACTTGACCGTCTCCCAAGCAGCGTCACTTCCGAAGAATCTGTCGCCCTCGCTGGCAAGACCTTCGAAAAGACCTCTCAGCCCAACGACGAGATCGCAGCGATGCAGAAATGCATCAGAACCCTTACTGACAAGGTCAACGCGATCTCTAAAGCCGTCGTCCCCGCTAAGGACAATAACAAGTCCAACGGAAAAGGAGGCCAGGGCCACGGGCGCAACAAAAAAGGCAAAAACAACAACGGCAACAAGTCCAACAACAACCAGTCCGAATCCAAAGCCGGATGCGCTGCTACGAAGGATACCGACTCGGTTTTTCGCATCGAGAGTTAGATCGGCGCAGCTCTGACTCTCCCCTCATTTCTTCCGCGCAACTCACCTTCTCCAAACCCTCCAGACCCTGGTACGCTGACTTCACTGTCACCCTCGCCGGACATACTTTCACCGTCAAAAACGGCATGTTCGACACTGGCGCCGACGATGTAATACTGCCAAAACGGCTCATCCCTGACGAACTTTTGAAGCAACTGCAGAGCTCAAAGTTCACCGTCACTGGCGTCAACTCCGAAACCAAGGCCCTAGGCGAGTTCCGCACCACTATTAATTTCAGCGGCATCAAATTCGCTGGAATCCGCATTCTTGTGACAGATGGCAATAACGCGCCGCCACTCATCGGCAGAACTGTCACCGATCACGCCACAAATGTCTCCTTTGGTAGAACTGGTACCAAAGTCATCTTTCAACGACGAGATAGCCCTGGAGCAGAAATCTACACACAGGCACTCGAAATCAAGTCGTACGCTAGTGATCCTTGGAATGCACCTCAGATCGACTCTGGAACTTCCAGCAGCGCAGATTTTCGTAGTTATGCTGACGCTCTTCGATCTGATTCTCTTCAAGCTGCTCAAAAACAGCCCAAACCTTCTGCTCCAGGCCCCAATGCCTCTACTTCGGACCTTCTGAGCTACTTGCGAAGCCAGAAAGAGCTCGATCTTCCAGCCAACCACCACAACAAAAGCGAACTTCATGAACTCGCCCTTCGTTGTGTCCAGTATGAAGACGTCTTTGGAAGTTCTACTGACGAGCTTGGCCTGTTCTACAGACCCGTCCGAATCCCGACAAATGGTGAATCTGTCAGCCGCAAGCAGCACCAGATCCCAGTCAACTTCAGAGGCTCAATGGACACGCACGTCCAAGAAATGCTCGATACTGGCGTCACTGAGCTCTGCTCCGATCCACGTGGATTCAACTCGCCTCTGTTCTGCGTCCCGAAAAAGGATGGCTCCGCGCGTCCTGTGGCTAACTTCAAGAACACGCTCAACCGAGTCCTCGTCGACCCCGACCCGTATCACATGCCCAACCTGCGCGAGCTCTTCAACGAAATGCGCCCGGGCTACAAGTACCTTGCCGGCCTCGATCTGAAGAGTGGCTACTGGCAAGTGGAAATCCACCCCGACGACAGGCACAAAACTGCCTTTTCATGGAACGGTCGCACCTTCCAATATCGTCGGCTCCCATTTGGCCTCGCCACCGCAGGCCAAATTTTTCAAGGTGCGTTGGCGAGGCCCTAGAATCTCTCCCCGACACTTCTGGCATATTCTGCTACATCGACGACGTCTTGGTGGCAGCCAAATCCTTCTCCGACTACCTGGCGAAGCTTACCAGCCTGTTCGAAGCTGCCAGGCGATTTGGACTGCGTCTACACCCGAAAAAGTGCGAGTTTTTGGCGCCCCAGGTGAAATTCCTGGGTAGAATCGTCTCGCCTAAGGGCATGTCCGTGGACCCAGAATATGTCGCTGGAGTTGATGCCTTTGTTCAACCCACAAATCGCACTGAACTACGCGCACTTCTCGGCAAGCTCACCTTCATCCGAGAATTCCTCGAAACTCGAATGTCCGAGCGGATCGACACAAGTTGCTTCTCGCAGCTTGTTTTTCAGCTCAACCAGCTCAACAAAGATGGCGATTTCACGTGGACCACAAAAGCCCAGGAAGCTTTTGAGCGCGTGAAAAAGCGGCTCCGTACAAGCCCAGTCATCTCGTTTCCCGATCCCTCACTCGACTTTCTTCTCTGCACTGATGCTTCTGCAGTTGCCGTCGGCGCCGTCCTACTTCAACAGCAAGATGGATTCGATAGAATCGTCGGCGTCGCTTCTCAAACTCTCACTTCCGTCGAGCAGCGCTGGAGCTGCACGGAACGCGAGGCCTATGGCATTTTGTTTGGCGTCCGCAGATTTCAGTACTTCCTACGCGGCAAGCCCTTTGTGGTGAAAACCGACCATCGAGCTCTTCAATATATTGACTCGGTTGACCACAAGAACGCAAAACTGGCTCGCTGGATGGACGAACTGAGCGCGTACAGATTCATCGTCGAGTATCTCCCTGGCGAGCAAAACGTCTGGGCAGATCTCTTCTCGCGGCCCTTCGGTGTCAAAAGGACCCTCCGTCTGACAATCAGAAGTCAGCCGGTAAATTTGTCGACTTCGGTGGCCTCCGCGCTTACATCCCCAGCTGGTGTACTAAGGATACTGTTATCCCGCCGAAATCCTCTCCTCGAAACCGCTCCGCGAAGGTCTCACTCGCGCACTTACATGCTCCACTGGCGACGAGTTCACCCTCAACCAGAATGTCGAGGATCTACTTCAACTTGCTAATGCCCAGCGCGCCGACTCGGGTTTGGCAAAGCTCATTGATGCTCTTGAAAAGCACAAACGCGACCCAAAGCAAGTTCTACTCGACAAACGCGATTCTAACTACGAATTGTATCGCGTCAACTGGCAGCATTTCCGCATTTGTTCCCGTACAAATGTACTTCTCCACGTGCGCAATGGTAAAAAGCGCCAAGTTTTACCGCCTAAACTCGCGATCGAGCAACTTCGAAAAGCTCATGACAACTCAGCTCACCCTGGTGTACCTCGAGTTATTGAAGCTCTCAGCAGCTACTGGTGGCCTCGCTACATGGAAGATGCACAAAACTACGTGCAGAGCTGCATGATTTGCGCGAAGCGTAAAGGTAACCAAGGGCAAGTGGCTCTACCTCAAATGCAACATGTTCCCCGCGGCTCTAAGCCCTTCGAAACGATCATGATCGACTTCACCGTCTTCCCCAACTGTGCTGGCAAACGCTTCTGCTGCACCGTGCTCGACACATTCACGCGATTTTTCGTCGCTCGAGCTTGCACTGGGGAGCGAGCGATCGATGCTGCACGCACAATCGTCGAAGAGGTGGTTCTACGGCATCAAGTTGTGCCAAAAATCGTCAGTTCTGACCGTGGTACCGCATTCGTCTCTGCTACTATGAAGGAACTCTACTCTCAACTTGGTATCACGCCGCAGTATCACACCGCTTATCGCCCTGAATCTACTGGTAATCTTGAAAGGTCCCACAGAACCTTCAAGGACATGGTTTTTATGTTGACTCATGAGCGAAACATGACTTGGGTTGATGCTATCCCTTACTGCGTCGCCTTCATGAACTCTCACAGGAACAGGTCTACTGGTCAGGTACCTCATACTCTCGTTACTGGCCGTCGTCCTAACTTCACAGTTCCTGAAACTCTACATGACCCCGATGTACGCTCTAACTCGCCTGAATCTTACGGCAAAATCGTCAGAAAGCGGATTCAAATGCTCTCGAAATTGGCGAAAATCGCCAACCGCTCTGCTGACCTGGCTCTGGAACGCCAACATAAGCGTCTTCATCGCGCTCGCCTTCTCAAATACGGCGACATGGTTCATCTCTACAGACCCGTCACTAAGGCTGCCAAGGACTCCAACTGTAACTGGATAGGCCCTTACAAAGTCGTCAAAGCCTCCGAATCCGTGGTTAAAATCGTCGACGGAGCCGACTTTTGTGACTGGGTCCACCGATCTCATCTGCGTCTGGTACCTCCGCGCAAGGATCATCTAAAATCTCCCTCCGACCGTGCTTTAGAACAAGAGCTCATCTGTGGCGATGATCTTGATTCTCCTCAAAATCGACCGGTCGGCGCTTCAGGTTCATATTCCGAACCTCTAGCAAAATTACCAAAGGTTGGGAGGCCGGCTGCTGAAAAGCAAAATACAACCTCTGGCAAATCAACTAGAAAAAAGAGGAAAAGGGCGAGTCCCGACTCGTCACCTGATCCGAAGCGTCAAAATACTGCTTCAATTCCTCCCTCGACTGCTAGAAATTCGACCGCGCCCGCCCCATCAACGTCAACTTCAACTACGCCTCGCTCGACCGACTTGGTAGAAAATGATGTTCAAGATTTACCTGTTGAGACGACTTCTGCTCCTCGTTGTAGTGCGGCAGACTCTCTAAATGGACATCATTTGTCTTCGTCATCTTCGTCAGCTGATCTTTCTTCCATCTTCGAAAATTTGACCGTCCGTGGTGGCCGAATCAGGAAAAAACCTTCTCTGATTCAAGTTGACCCAACTCGCAAGAGTTATTCGTAGAAAAGGAGAAGTTTTCTTAAAAGAAAACTCGTCTCGCGCGAGTCTACTTCTTCTCGCGCTCTGATTGGCTGTCGCTGTCCGGAAATGGTTCGATCTTCGTCCGACTTTTCTCGACTTTTCGTCTCTACGCTGGTGCAATTCCGACGCCGCGCTGTGCTGATTGGCCGCCTTTCCTTTCTCCTTTCCCTTCTGCTCTACTACGATGACTCATCTTCCCGACTTCAACTCTTCAACTGAAGATTCTCGAAACGTCTCTAGAATCTGGGGAGCTGTGAGGTCTAAGTGCTTAAGTCGGTTAGAGATCTGATCAGGATCTCGCGCCGCGCTCTTCTCTGCCACTTTTACGTTCACTGCTTCAGTCCGCGCACAGTAAAAGTGCAGAATACACGCTTTTTCGGAAACTACCTTTCCTCGTGTTTTATTGAAGATACAGTAGAGGCTACGACTAGCTGCAAGAGAACCGTCTAGTATAGAGAGCATACAGCAGTACTTAGACGCTTACAAGGACAGAAAATACAAAATCAAATTTTGACACCAGTTACAATTAAAATTAAGGGTGTCAACAGCGATCTTCATCATCTACCAAAAGCTCTTATTTGATTGCGGACACCCTTAGTGTTTATTAAATACCACGTACAAGTATAAGTGTAGGTTTATTTGCGCTGTATAAATATAGAAATAACTAATTAAAATCATTTGATTTTTCTTAATTTAAAATCGCTGATAAATAAATGAAGATAAAAGGTAGGGAGATCAAAAATCAAGAAGCCTGCGCATAATTAATAATTTTTTTCAAGCGAAACTTAGCATGCAAGTTGTTAATTGCTTATCAAAAATGCATATTCTTGAAATTTTTATTTTTGCAACTGAGAAGAAGGAAGATGAGCGAGAAGATTGATACTTTGATAAATACAAGAAACAGTGTTTTTGAAATATGATTTTTGCGAAGTTTTTTTTCAGAAACGGAAAGTTGGAAAAAAGGTTTTTTCATGCCTTTACTGGGAGTACTTATTTCCCCTCAGTCTTTTCGTGGCGTTTTTCCAGCAAGCTAAAACAACATAAAATAACAAAAAATCGCATAATTTTAAAAATTGTTTTTGTCGAACAACGACGACAATAATCATAAATTACAATCACGCGTGTTTTCTCATAAAACTTTTGGCGTTTTATGATATTTCGGTGCGTTGGCGGGTTTTGGTGTTTCGATTTTTGCTGGATTATTTGCTGTTTAGGCTTCTTTTTTAGCCGAGTTAGGGTTATTTGTAGGGATTGGGTTGTTGCTCGAGGATGCTAAAATACAATGCTACGATTACAACACAATACTACGCTAGAATCAGCTTTCGACTCTCGGCCAATCAAAACCCTTGTTCAAGATGTTAGTCCAATCAAAATACTCGACCAGCTCCTGCTTGGTTTCGATTGGCCAGAGCGTCGAAAATAAAACCCTTAACTACGACTAAACAGCTAAAAAGTCGATACCTCGGATCTCGCTCAAGAATAGTCGTCAAAAGCGTGTCCAAATATTCTTGAAGCTGCTGGTGCTGACATTTCAACTCAGAGTACTAGAAATGGTCAGAGACGAAAACAGGAAGACAAATTACCTTTATTGCAATTTCATCAGCTTCCATGAGGCCGATTTCGTTGGCGAAAGAATCCTCCGCTTCTCCTGAGCGCTGGAAATCTTTGGCTGTTGCAAGTTTTTAAATTCAGCTTGGAGTTTTTCTAGTGAAATAATGAGAAACGAAAAGCCCCTTGGGTCTTCGAGTCTAAAATTATTTGAGCCGCGCAAAGTGCGGCTTCTCAATTTATTAAAGCCTTCTATCAAGCCTATTCTTAACTTGTTTCCTTTCGCAATATGCTGCTGTAAGAGTTGAAGGTTGAGATCTTCGATTTGCTGGGTCAGCTTATCATTTTCATCTTGCAGATTTTGGACTTCTGAAGGTTTTGCCTCGTCCTGAGTTTTGACCAAAGTGACAGCGTCGACCGCTTGTTTCTTCATTTCCTCGTATTTTGTCTGAAGCTGCTTGTTTTCTGCTTCTAGCTGGGCGATATGCGTCTTTTCCCGATTTTTCAAAAATGTTAATTTCAAATGTTGAATCTTGATTTTTGAAAAAAGTGCCTGAAATTGAAGTTTTTCGGTTGTATGCGAAGACAGTTGCTTCGTGTATCTTTCTCTTTCGTTGGAAGTCGACTCGTTGAGTTTCTGATACTTTTCCATTTGATCTTCGACTTTGACATGCGCCGCGTCGAGCTTGTCTTGCAAGGTTTCGAGTTGTTTCTTGTATTTTTCAGCTTTGTGGCGATACTTGTCGTTTTCCTTCGTTATTCGAGCGATTTCTTCTTTTTGTTGCTAAAAATGAGGTAAAAAAGGGGGGGGGCGACAAAATTTTGCCAAAAAAATTGCGTAGGTTGGTAGTCGACGTCTGATTGGCCAGTTAGACGGATTAAACTTTCTTATTGGCTAGGATATTTCGATAGACAAAGTTTCTTAGCCAATCAGATTCACGATTCTGTGAAGCCAATCAGACCTCAGAAAGCCGCCGGCGCATATTTTGTCGCGAATTTTGTGGCCCGCCCAAGCCCGTCAATTGACTCAATATAAGTGTTTTTCTGCTGAAGAGACTTACAGAAATGGTTTGATTAGCGAGTTCCAGTTCAAGATTCTTTTCTTTCTTCAATTTCTCGAGATCGTCTCTCGCCTTCGCTCTTTCGGATTGTTTCATTTCGTCGTATTTCAGCTGCAGATCGTGGTAGTTGTTGTCCAGTTCGTTGACGCGCAGTTTCAATTCCGTGTTTTCGATTTTTACTTGCTCCGTGTGTTCTTGTTTCGCTAAAATAGAGATCAGAAAATCTCGTCTTTTTTCGTTTATTGCACCTTGTCGTTCTTCTTCTATCCTCATAATCCTCCTGGACATCGTCCCCATGGCATCTGTTAAATCGTCAATGTCCGACTCAATCGTCGCATCATTTGGCGAAAGATTGCCATTTCCATTCGGAATCGACAAATTCGCATTTTTATCCGGCCTCGGTCGACGAAATCGCCCAGATTTTCGATTGATCGAGCGACGAAAATTCGAATTTCCGAACGGCGACGCATCGCTAGAAATTCCACTTGAGAAATAAGAAAGAAGAAAATGAATCTTACCCGCCGGAGCCGTAGTCTTCAAAAGATTCTTCAGCCATTTACAGAAGCATTTACAGGCACAGTTTGAATTTCGACTGGAAGCAGCGTTTTAAAAGGAAGACAATGATTCTGAAATTCGTCGGTAAAAATCGATGCCAAAAGATGACTGCTAAATTTTGAGCCAGGACCTTGGCGTTCTGTTTTCAGGGTCAAGGTCAGAGACAGGCTTTTTTAGTTAATTTCCAAAATTAAACTAATTTCAGGAAAACAGGTCAGGGCTTTTCTACTCAGGCCTGTATAACACTCAGGATTTTCACTCAGGAACGCATGTAAGGGTTCGCAAACAGGAATAAGGAGACTTTTTCTCAAATCTTACGCAGGACAGAAAAATAAGAGAGATCACTAGAATTCTCCATTTCAAAGCCTGATTTCAAAAAACAGGGTTCAAAGCAGTTTTTCCTGATCGGAAAATAGACTCTTAGACAGGTTTCTTACGGTATGAAAGGCCTTGAAAAGTAGACTGAGTCTACTAGACTCTCTTTGATGATATTTTCTATTTTCGCATAATTCTTCAGAAAGAAGCAAAAAAGTAGTTACATGCAGGAAGCGCGAGTTGAAGCAACAAAAGAAGGTCAGGCGGCAGTTTAAAATACGCGAAAGTGATTTTTAGTTGAAGCAGTAAAAGTGAAGCCCTCTTTCTTTCTCTTTTCGTCTTTCGCTGCTTTTCGTTGCTAGTAGCCGTCTTTCTCCAATTCTTCGAGAAAGGCGATTCTTTTCAAGGAGCTGACAACGAGCTTTGAAAATGACCCCAGGGCCATTGTCTTCAACTTGTTGATTATTTTTAACTTTTTCTCAGCGAAAATTATAAATTTGGAATAATGCTGAGTCGCAGAATCTCAGAAGCTTCTCTTTTGCTAGCCCCTATCTCCTAAAATAGAGGACCAAAATATTTTGACACCAAAGTCGAGAAGCCGCTTGCGGCTTCGAGCTAAAATAATGGAATAGCCGCGGGAGGCGCGGCTTTCATTTGTGATCATCAGAACAGACCATTACTATTACAATTTGGTCCGTTTTGGTGATCTCAAATGAAAGCCGCGCCTCGCGCGGCTATTCCATTATTTTTAGCTCGAAGCCGCAAGCGGCTTTTCGATTTCGGTATCAAAATATTTCGGCCCCAGTAAAAATTTAAGGAGATAGGGACTTGTAAAGAGAGGAAGAAATCTAAACCTCATTTGATTCTGATTGAAAATGGGATTTTCTCGTTTCAGCTCTTTGCCTGCTCTTTTTTCGGATCAAAAGACAGTTTTATATCTTTCGCTAAGTATCGATTTAATTGGAACTGTCTGCGAAAATCAATACAGTCATTTTTAACGACTAAAAATAATCTGGATCCGATTCCTGAAGGAGCGACTTCAACTTGTCCAAAGTCGCGTTGCATTTGTCCAGTTTTGAAGGCTGCTTCTTTTTTCCCGATTTTTCAGATTTGAGTTTTTTTCTGTCGCTCGTTTTCGCTTTCTTTTTTACCATCCGAAATTCAAAATTCTAAAAAAGACAAAAATTTTAATTTCTCCAATTTTTCAATAATTAAATTATAAATTATTTTTTTTCTTATTTTTCATAATGAATTAAATACAAAGATAACAAACAACTAGTTTAGTATTTTTTTTCTAAATTTCGCGTGTTCTCTCATCTCAATTTCGCGCTTCTGCTTCTGAAGTGCTGCGTAGGCTAATTCTAGAGATTTTCGTTCCTCAAGCAAAAACTTCTCTAAAATATAAATGCTTCGCAAATTCTTTTTTTTTTTCATTTTTTTGTCAATTTTCGCGATTTTTTCAAATTTCCAATTTCTCTGATTTTTTTCAATAAATTCTTCGAAAATCGAGTGAAGAAAAAAAGTGGGTAAGAATGTCAGAAGAAAAAAAAAAGAAGAAGAAAAGGGTTGATTTGGAGGAAAAGCTTTTTTTTCGTCATTTTTTGCGCCACCGTGAGTAGTATAGTGTGTAGATAGGCCTTTTCCAAGATCCATGTAGGTCCCATTGGTCAGATCCTACCTACGCATTTTCAAATTGCGCGCCCATTTACTGTCTATTTTTAGAACTGCCAAAGATCACAACAATGACGCAGATCATCGAAAATCAATATCGACTCATTTTTTCTGCCGAACACACAGCAACTGAACAAGACGTCCGATTTCTCTCGCTCCTAATCCTCTGTCGCTAGATGATGCCACTCCCTCGTCTTTATAATCGCAGAATCTTAATATCGCAGTAAAATGAGCGGAATAATGCCTCGAGATTGGCCGCCAACTACCAAAATTGTCGAAAAATCCAAAGACGAAATTGTATCGCTTGCAAACCAATTGCTTGCTAATCCCGATCTATATAGAGACATTCTAGTCAACTCAGGGGTAGTTTATCCGCCATCTGGCGGTCAATCATTTATTACTCAAGTGGGCTACGATATGACGCGAATAATAAAAGACAATTCCTGCTCCAACTCTGTTTGCCGAGTGAAAGATCGATACCTCGAATCCTTACTAGAGTCCGCGTATGACGATCCTTGTAATCACTATTACAATTACGATCTCATTATTTTCAACGCACTCGCAGCAACTCCAAAGAGACTCTTGCCAGGCTATCAACCAATTCGGTTTCAATCAACCAAAGCAAGTGATCATCCGGATCTCCTAGAAGATTCGTTGGACTAATCCAAGCAATCTGTTTTCCTATCTGTCTTACTGTCGTCATTAAAAAAACAAAAACCATAAATCAGTATTTCGAAGTTTTTATTAATATTTTAAGCAAGCAAGCGACATTGTCAATCTTAAGTGTACAGATAACACACGTATTAATACAGTTATAATAAATATTTATTCAAACTTTCCTCCTTATAATAAGCATCGATCTTATCGCTTGTCAAAAATCTCACCGGCTGAGCATAAAATCTAAAATCAATTCATCCCGCTTTGCGTAACGATTCTTCGAGGGCATTTAAGCAATGGCATGAAGCTTCTTTTCTTCACTTGATAAATATGCACGAATAAAAAACAAAATAGCCTCAACTTTTTTAAATGAGAAAATCTCGGCAAGCTGGATTGAAATAAATTGAAGAGAACCTTATAAAATGAATAACTTCTGGCTTAACCTGAAAAAAATATTCAATAAGAAGCTTCAAATGATTGATAAAATGAGTTCAAAATGAGTATTATGAATGACGTACTCCCTGTTATCTCTATTTTTATAAAATGATAATTCTAAAAAAATGATTCTGATTCCCTTGCATTGAATAGGTTTTCTGTTACATTGTTTATGTACTTTAAAATGAATATCATTATTTTTTACTCCAAAATTGATAAATTCAATGTCTAAAATGAAACAAAATAATTTGCAATCCATTGAAGTCCACCGAAGAAATTTTAAAATGATATCAAAATGCTGTTGATTATTTCGCATCACTTTGTAAAATCCGCTTGACTGTTTAGAAACGCTTTCTTTCTTAAAATGAACTTCAAAAATTCATATGTAATCCAGCCATACTTCTAGAGTAAATAAATTATCCCATTAAAAATGTGTTAACTTTATGCATCCGATAAGTAAAAATCAGCAAAAGCACAATTTGCATGCAGTCTTGCCAAAGAGCAAAATATCGGGTTTTTGTGCAGAAACATTGCCAAAGATAAAAACATATGCTTAAAGAATTGAACCTGCTGTCAATGATCAAAACATTTACCCAGTTTTAAAAAAGTGCTGTCAATGATCAAAACATTAACCCAGTTTTAAACAAGTGCTGTCAATGAGCAAAACATTGGCCAGCCATTATTTTTAACACAAAATTAAGAAATTTTCAGATGACTTTTTTTATTTTTTCGCATTTTATGATGAAAATAATACATAATGAGCGATCTATAAACAATTCGCAGCAGCAGATAAATAAACGCCTAAAATAAAGAACTGTTCAACATGTACAGTGCTCAGAATACAGAAAATGAAGGGTCTTTACTTTTTGTTCGTGGTTCGGACAGAACGTTTTCCCGTTGTGCTATCAGGCGGCTCATCTTGGGAGGGCGTTGGTTTTGATTTTTCTAACTTAAATAACTTTCATAATTTCACCATCTTGCTTACTTTCCGTTGGCTCAGCAGGCTCGATTTCCCCGTCTTCAAGTTGCGTGTCATCTGATTCTGGTTGCTTTGATGGAGGTGGCGGATTTTTCCGTGGTCGCCCCGGTCCACGTTTTGCAGGTGCTGGCTTGGATTTGCGCTCGGTTAGCTCCGCGAGATCGCTGAAGAGATCTTCGCACAGCTCCAAAGCGTAATTTGTGATTTTGTCCGCCACTCGCCCCTCTTCGTCACAGAAGTATTCCCGTAATATATTAAGGGATTCTTCATAAGAGTCTACGTAAAAAAGTTAAGCATGATCGTTTTAAAATAAATTACCGGATTCTGCAAGACGCTCTATTGTTATGTTTTTCTGATCCTTGAATGTTTTTTCAGTTTCCTTCTGGGGATCACGCGAACGTTTTGGTCGCTTTTTGGGCTCAGAACGTTCGTTCATGATAGCAGTTGGCTCGGTTTCCTCGTGGATTTTAATTTCAATCCGAGGCATACTAAAAGTGACACATTGATGTCATCGACAATGGTATTTAAAGGCGGCTTATACTACATATAGTTGCTAATCCGGCAATTTTAATTTACGGTGTCTTCGTCTTAATGTCAAAAATTGAGGATCGGTGGAGTATAAAAGCACGCTGCGAGTACAAATTTTCCGACAATGGCACATTTCTATACACTCAAGTGTCATGGTAGAAAATTGCAAATTGAAAATCAACCTTTTCCGAGAATACGTGAAAATAACCCCTTTTCGGCGCTTGAACTTGTCATCGGTACTTCCTCAACAGACACCGTAAGTCGAGTTGTATTCAGGGTGAGTCAAGAATACGACGAAGAGAAGAAAGCATGGTTCCAGGTCGTTCGTGCGCATCTCAAGGAAGTTTCAGAGAATGTTTTTTAATCACGCAGTCAGTATTTATGATTGCTAGGATTAAGAACATTTTAAGTGCTGCCGATTCATACATTTTTGAAAGGTTTAAATCATGATGAGTATTGGAGACGTACCCACAGGCTAGTGAAATTTGCCCATTGTGATCTCATGTGATAGAATTGGCCACTTTCACTAAGAGACTTTTCACAGTGGCATCAGCGGGCAACCGTGTCGGACGAACGAGAATTTGAATCAGATTTGAGCAGACTCTTTAATACTGACTCTGGATTTTCTGTTCTAAACTACAAAAGCCGCAGCTGCGGAAGTCACGATCAAGTGGTCATTTATCGCGATTTAGAATATCGCCGCCGCCTTGAGCCCCCTGACAACGATAACTTTCAAAACGAATCCAATTATACTGTTGATCTAGTTCGACAAAAAGTGGTGTACCGTTCGTTTACGCACCATTTTGCATGGCTCACAAGATTTTGGACCAATTTAAATTGCCCCTATGTTATAGGGGCGTATGTTTTATTTGCGGAGACAGTTGTTCGCGATTACATGTCACGCGATCGAAAAAAGCATTCTGAAGCGTACATTGATGGGTATATTAAAAGTCTCATTGATGAAATGATTCCCAATTTTAAATTTTTCTCACGAGCGCAATTAATTGGGCATCTCGAGTCACTTAAATATTTACAAGCTCGCCAAAATATCTTGGAAAAATACGCGTTCCCTAAAAAATATCTCGATAAATATATAAAAAAAGTCGAAATACTTGTGAGTGATGCAAGAGTAGATACCGCAAAAAAAGCACCCTCTGCGGATTCCGTCCTTTAAATAACCACTTAATTTATTTTTTTGAGAGTATGAGCGATTTGGTCGAATCAGCTGGTCAACTTGTTCAAAACGAAGATGCCAAGACCCCGGTCGATCCGATCGACGAGCATGTTCCGGACTCGGAGTCGGCAACAAGTGACATTGTAGCGGCTTTTGTCGAAGCATGCGACGCTGTCGATGATGTATTTACTCGCCCAATTGATCCGTCTCCTTCTTCGGGCTGTCAAAAGCCGAAACAGGCGGTCCAGGGGTCTGGAGCAAAGTTCATCCTCGAGAAAGTTGAGGATTTTTTTACAGAATCGGAACTTGAGAACTTGGAGAATTGCTGCCCTGATTGGAAAAGTAAGCTTTAGAAATGTCGACCACTTTCTTTACTTTTTTAAGATCTCAGCCTCGCCCGACGACGAGTCATAATCTGTGAAATTAAAGAAGCATCTGCTTATTTCGCTTATGAAGACGCAAAACGACGAACATTGATGGCGAAAAGCTCCCTGACTTTTTACTGAGTGTTATTGTCTTTTATTTTCTTTTTTTGTCAATGTCAACAATAAAAATGAAAAAATTTTCTAGAACACGGCTTTTGTTTTGATCTTTGGCAGAAATTTAAATCAGTTTGATTTTTGCAGGCTAACAACAACACTAAAATGAAAAAACAGGTAATTTTAGTATCAGTCAGGCAGAAATATTTTTTGTGGTAGAATTTTTCGGAGCTACGAAAAATTGTGGCCGAAACCAAACGAAACCTCGCTCGAATGGAACGTTTCCTCCAAGCCGAAACCCCCGAGATTCCGCGCTTGGATATTCGTAAATCCGGCAAGGAGTTGAAGAATAAAATTCGACGATCTATCGACGCTGTGCAACGAAACTTGCAAAGGCCACAAGGTAAATTTTGCGCTAATTGAATAAATTGAAAAAATTTTAAAGCGTTGGATTACGATCCAAACACAGCCGAGGGTCAACAAAACAATGTCGAAGAAAACGAGCCCGGTCCGATGCAGGGCGGCGAAATGGACCCCGGCATCGGAGAAGAGCCCATCGAATTTGGTGAGGGGCTCGACGCTCTCAACGGGCTTCCGGGAAATGCCATCAACGACCAAGAAGCGCACGAAGTCGGTAAGAATGTCCTTGAAACTTCATCAATCTTATAAAATGTTCAGACTCGCTCGTCAACGAGCTTGGAGCGAATCTTCGAGAGGAGGAGCGTGAGGCAATTCACAAGGAAGCTCTACGCCTCTGTGCACTGCGCCAAGATCACGCTTCCCAGCTGTACGACGATCTTCTGCAGCAACGAGTTAAAGTTCATATTCGAACCAAAGGAGGGCGTGGATTTAGCCTGAATGGCGAGGGTGTTGATTTTTAGCATCTGCAAACAAACTATGCGCTTTTAACACTGTATATCTCTCAAATTTACGTTTTAAGCTGCAATAAACAATAATAATTCTAGAAAATAAATTTTGCCTTTTTATGATAAAGAGTCAAAATTGGTCTTGTTGGTAGTTTATGTGATGTTAAGCTATAGGCATCAGTTCAAAAACTCAAATAGAGGCCATGCATTCATTTTAACAATTTTGTTGAATATCTACTGTGCTACTGTTGTCTCAGATCGATCACACCGTTATGGTTTCCCTTTTTTCTATCGGCAATTTCACACTGCCAATGATCAAAACAAAGCGTTATGCGCTCTTTTGAAGCAATATCCCGCTATTGTGTGAAATCGGTTGTATTTGATGGCGCCATTTTTATTGCGATAAAATGAGAACCAGACACTCAAGAAAGTATGGAACTTTTACGGATATATCGCGTTGAAATTTTTTCAGACTTTTCTGCCCATGTTGAATGGCACACTCCTACTCAAGTCGAGATAAATCTCTTTATGAAGCAACTAGCCATTTTCAAAGAACTTTTTGGCAAAAGTGAAGTTGAAATTCGAAAGCTGCTTATGCAGGAGCGACAATGGAAAAACTACAAGGCAAGGCACACCGTTCCGAAAAATGCAGACCATCCGGTTAATATAAAACTTCGGGCCAGAATCGATAAAGTAGAAGAAGGCTTGAAAAAATTCAGAAAAAGAAGAATCCAGCTCAGCAAGGCTATAACTCGAATCGAAAGTAAATTGTACCGCCTCATTCTTTCCTCACATCCCGACGATCAGCCACTTACCGCGATTGCTAAGATGAACAATCCTGTCAAAATTGATTCAAAACTGTGCACACTCAATCTACCTGCGATAAAATTTTAGCTCTTTTGCCTGCAATAAAACAAAAATATTTGATGTTGGAAGAATAAACGTGTTTTGCAGTATCAAAAGCCAGAACCCAAGGAACACCGTTCAATCCGGGTATTTCACCGTAGACGTTAGTGTAGAATTTCGCCTGTGTTGGTTTTGTAACATCCTTTCGGGCAATAACGTATTGATGCTTTGAAACGCGTTTCTTCTTGAAGAGGTCGATAGCAGCCTTGAATGGCTCGAGTAATCCCATTTTGCTGAAGATGACGCGGTTTGCACTCAAATCGGCTTCACTGATAAACGAGATGACTGCGGTCATGCAAAGACTAAAAATAAATCAAAAATGTTATTCAAATTTAGAGACTTACCGTATTGTTATTGACCTCTTAGATCGCTCGAAGAAATTGTGACATGTAAATGCAAGCGAGATCCCCTGATGCCTACGGCCATAAATTACTAATTGTTCAATTACAGGACTTTCAATACACGCGCTCCACATATCGTCGATAACAAGCATTGTATCACGCGTACTGTCTTTAAAAGTATCGTCTATCCAACTTTGCGTTGGAAGACCCGCCATGACAAAAAGACGCTGATGTGGAGCGGGAGTAATATCTAAGGGTTCTAATCGGGGCATAAAATAAAAAATTGTTTTGATAGTACCTCTGATTCCATTATGCTCTATCGTATTTTTTATAAAATTTGATTTTCCAGCGCCCGAGTGGCCACTCACCAATAAGCAACAGGGGTGCTCAAATCGCAAGTCTTCACAGTAACGAGCTAAATAGTTGGGCATGCTGTAAAAGCCCGGGCAACAAAGAGTCCCTTGGTTTTTCCCTCAGGCTCGTAGCCCGCCTTCTTACGATCCAGGCAGTCGGTGAGCCAGATGACGCCGGTTTTTCGCTTAAACTTCTTCTCAAGCGACTCAAAGTACGCTTTCTCCTCGGGGTTGTTCAAGTTGAAAGTTTGGTCGCTCACAAAGGCGGTGAATTCGACACCTTCTTCAAGACGATTGTACCAGGCAGGTAGTTTCTCGTCGATTCGCAAACCACCCTCAACAGGGGTCGCACGGACAAAGTATCGGGTAGGCCAAAGATCAGTTCGATAACCAGAAATCTCCGCTTGTACGGGCCAGCAGTTTTCTCTAGCTTCAGCTTCAACTGGATTCATTTTTTGACAGTCTTGCCAGATTTGCCGTTTCGCAGGGGTATTTATATGCGCGTAAAGGATTAACACTCGATGGCGCACGTTTATATACTATAAATTCTATGTATATCTAGTTTAACGTACAGACCGGAAGAGAAAGAGAAAACGTAAGCAGCATTAACAGACTAAGTATATAAATACTCGTTTTTTTAGCTTAATTATCATTTTCTAATGAAATGCCAAATCCGTACGCGTGCATCCCGCTTGACTGTATAGACCATTTTTGTTCCGAGTACGAAACAAATCCAGATACCGGTGAAATACGATTTACCGCTCCAAAAACAAAAGGCTCTCCCTATCCAGACTATGACGAAGAGGCGAGTAAAACGGCCGGCTTACTTGGACGAATATGCGACCGAGTTTATCCCGTTGGGAAATCGAAGGCTCTCGGAGAATTTGGCGAAGACTACGACGACTTTTCCGACTGGGACGACACTCCAGACGACCCCGAGTATCGCAAGAACGGGGTCGGTCGAGACACCCAAACCGATGGACAGCGCGTTGGCAAAGATCAAAACAAACGCGCAGCAAGTGGCAACGGGTCAGAACCCACTGGAAATCGCGGCTTCATGGCAAATGAATCTATCCAACAATCTGAACAAGATTGGAATCGGAGATCCAACGTCACCAACAAGCGCTTCGCCGGTAGTAGCGCCCGCTCTGATCACGCGAACCGGGGGAATTTCGTTTCTAACCATGATGACAGGCGAGAGCGAACCCCCGTTGAAGAAATTGAATCAGAGACTCCCAGATATTCAAGAGCTCCCCGAGAGCGACACCGGATGGTGGAATTCGACAGATCCGCTAATCGACGAGAATGGCACCCAACAGTGGTCGGAGAAGCGTCAAGGTTTGAGTGGCTTGCAAGACGCGAATATGCAAAGCGACGCCGACTCGAACATGAACTACGAATCATTCGGCAGTATGCAAACCAACAACGACAACAACGAAGACGTCGAGATGATGGATTTCGAAGAGTCAGATTTGAGCGAAAACGTGCGGCAACCCCAGGCCCGAGAGGCGACGACAGCGACGAAAGCAAGTACATTGTCATCAGTGACAACGAATCCGGAAGCGAACAGCCGCATGTTTCCTACGCAAAGGGACCAAAGAAATCAAAACGAGTGGTTACTGAATTCGAACCGCCCAGAGGATCAACAACTGCTCAACAATCGGACGAATCGGAGCAAAGCGAGCAGGGATCCACGCCTCATGAGGGGTCCCCGATCAGCGATGTGGAAAACTTTTGGCAATGAACCGGGCACAACATCGCCATCTGCAAATCTTTTTTACAATTTGAAAAACGCTTCTGCTTATAGTGGAATGGATCTTGCAAAATTTAAACGTCGTAACAAAACAATCTCAATGCACAAACCCTACAAATCACGTTTTCGCCGTAATCCCATTATTGCGACTGGACTTTATACTTGTCTATTTGCTGATACTTGTGAATGGTTCGCCAACGATGTTGAGATCAATAATGGCTACAGATATATTCTTGTTGTTGTGGATGGTTTATCACGTCAGAGCTTTGTACGCCCTCTAAAGCGCAAGACGGCGGAAGAAACGGCTGCAGCGCTTGAAGACATCATAAAGCGCTTGGATTTACCCGGTCACACGTTTCTTATGGTCGATGACGGCAATGAATTTAAAGGAGCCGTTTTGCCGCTATTGGAGAAATGGCAAATAACTCCTCATCAACTTCGAGGGCGTCATAAATCATCAATCGCAGAGCGCTTTATGTAAGTTTACGTCGCTGTTGAAGATTTTAATAAAATTTAGTCAAACGCTCGAGGGGAGACTGCAGCGTTATTTTGATGAGCACAATGGTTTGCGGCGCTGGATTCATGCCCTTCAAGATATTAATGCGATGTATAACGCAACTGTACACAATGCTATTGATATGCCACCAAAAGACGGATTTTGGAGCAAAAACGTCGAAATATTGGGGCCCGTAAAACAAGAACAAAATTTTACATCGGGGACTTGGTCCGAATTCCAGTGAATGCGCTTGGAAAAAATCCTTTTAAAAAGGGAGCAACGGCAAATTGGTCCGCCGAACTTTATAAAATTGTTAAAATTCATTGGGGCACATTTGTTCCGACGTTTACGCTCCATGATGCACGCGGCGCGGCGCTCAACCGGCGTTTCTATGAAAATGAACTTAACAAAGTCACAAGTGTTGGCGAAATCAATAAAGAATCTGTTTAGGCTGTGTTGGCGCGTTTTCATCAACAATTGCAGGGGCATAAGCATCACGCAAAATGGCAATTTTACGACGACGACGATCAACTTCGCGAGCAAGGAAGCAATTGAAAAGGAAAAAATCGTCCAAGAAGCCGCAGGCGAAAACACGGGTGGCTTATCTTGTGACAAGTGGTGGTGGCGTTATTCCGCTTGGTGGACGGCGAAAGCGAAAAATGCGAAGAGTCTCTTTCAGGCGATGAGAATGCATCCGCGGGATTTGGCACTTGTTATGAGCGCATTTTCTTTAATTATCTTAATTTTGATCCTTGTTGTAACCCTTGATAGCAAGATCGGCTTTTGCCAGAATTTGCTAAAACTGTTCAACGTTTTAAATAAAATATTTTAGGCACATGACAGAAAACTTTGGAAATCTTTTGTTCTACAATCGTGATGTTCGCTGCGATGACGATCCGTACAAAGGCTATAAAGTTCTTTCAAGAGCTGGCCAATTTGACTGTGGAAACCGCGTCCTTTTTGAAGTGCCGGATGACAAGTTTTCGCTCAAACTTTCGGAGTGCATGTTTCGGTTTCGATTGTCAATGCCCGAAAACTATGTACCCGACAACGATGTTCATGGAAAACTTGTAAGAAAACTGGATATCAAAATCCTGGACAACCGTATATTCTCATCATTTGACGATCACGAGCACGCTTTCTTTAGTCAAGCCATCACAAAATTGAATTATTCTCCATTGGCGCAGGATTGCGAGCTTTTTCCATATGGTCGATTCGATAGCTTGGAAGCGGATTCATACGAGCTTGAATATATAAAGCTCGCTCGGAATAATAAAACATTGGCTGAAAACCGGAAGCAATATGGACAAAAACGATGGGAAACTCATTCTGAAGCTGTCGTTTTTAAAACTGGTGATCAACCTCAAAAATACGAACGATGCTTTTACGACTACGATTTCCGAGCGCCAATAACTCATGGGCTTGCGCGTCAACCTCGCGTCTTACCCCCAGGCTCACGACCGTCGCTTGAAGTTACACTCAATTACATTTCGCGCGTGTTGATGGAATTGAGCGAGTTTCAACTGTGCCGAGTAAGCGAAGACGCTGTCTCAAATATGGAATGGCCCTTTCCAACTGGAATGAAGACTGTCGGTGAACCGATGGAGCATAAAACTGCTGAGGATTGCGATTGCACGGCTGCAAAATACGACTCTGGAGAATACACCGATTTGGAACAAGTTTATAAAGCTGGAGAGGCAAAATACACTGATAAATCGCTACTTTATCAAAAAACAAAAATAAACTCTGGTGATGCAGAAGCTCCGTGGAAGGCTCACACTCTTAAAGTCACAACGCCAATCATCTCACCTTGTCCAGAGGATGACAAAAAGAAGTACATTTGGATGAAGCATACACTCGATCCTGAAGATATTGTTGACCCCAAAAATTACATTATGGAGTCGGTATTCTGCGAACCCGGAAAATCGGAAAAGCCCGTTTCGACTGGTGTCAAAGGGGAGGGAGTGCTACCATTCTTTTATCCCCGAATGACGCGAAAATCGCTGTCCGGAAATTTGTCAACTTACGACATTGAGGTTAATACTGGTCCCCTTCCAAAAATGATTGTGCTGACTGGAATGCCTCACTCTCGCTATGAGATAAAATCCTTTCGACAGTGCCTCACCAAAACGACAATGGCCGATCCCGACTTCAAAATAAAGCAGCTGACCGTCTTTGTCAACAATGTGCCGCAATTTCGATCACCATGGACTACGGCGACAGATCATTATACAAATTTTATGAAGCATAATGGAAGATGGGATAACAAAGCTAACGCTCTTGGCCAGGATTTTTTCGTTTTCCGGGATTATTTCTGGATGGTTCCATTATTCTTTGACGATCGCGAAGGAAATACGGCAAACGTCACAATAAGGATAGAATTTGAGACACCGCTTGAAGCTACGTGGGACACGCTCATTTTCCGAATTCCGAGAAACGAACTGTTTCTGGACGCAAATCGAAATGGTAATTGAGCTTTACAGAATTGCGCATGTTAATTTTTTTTTTAGAAGCGACCGTCCTGGAGAAAAACGCCTCTGGTAAAAAACGGAAGTCTGCGGAATTAAAGGCTTTGGAAGAAAAGTGCACAAAGGATACAAAAGTCGATAGCACCACACGCGGCGTCAACAAGGGCAACTCCAAAAGACGAAAAGGATGATCGATAACGTTTCTTATATAAATGTCTGCACGTACAATAAATGTCATATTACTAAAATGAAACTTTCAAGATTCTATCCAGATAAAAAAACAAAAGAAGGTAAATTAAAGAGAAAATGATGTGATTACAAGTTAATCTTTGTAGGCTTATCCAATGCTGATAAAAACAAAAAACGGCGTTTTCTTGCTTCTTATGCGGAAGGAACGAAATTTCGAACTGGCACAGAAATGCGAAACATTGATTTAGAAACGACAAACATTTATCACGCGCTTTTATTTGGGAAAAATTGGTGGAATTTTCTTCAAAAAATTGCTCCAAAGGTGCCAACCACAATCAACCAAGAACTTAAGGACGATCTTTTAAAATGCAACACGTCAATGCTGGAGGTTAGATTTGGGCCTAAACCAACAAGAGCGGATTTGCCAAAAATTGAAGAGTTCTTAAATATTGATTTGTATCTATTGTATGGAGGAAAATACAGCCCACTTGGTATATCATACAGACCGAGTAGAACGGCTGAAGTGTTGAGCATTCGCAACGTTTTGGAAAAGTACGAGTCTGGCCACACCAACAACGAACATGTTGATCGACCGCTTGTTATTCTGCAAAGTGCTCGCCCCTATTTTCATACACTTGGTCCTTTTTACGTTATTCCAACACGAAAAGTCGCTGAGGAGCGGGACCGCGACTGGATAAATTTGTGGCGAGCTATTGTAAAATATCGTTGGCCAAAATTGAACAAAACCGAACAAGACGAAAAAATTGTCGAAGTCAAACGTGAGATGTGCATCGATGATCGCGAAATGTTTAGTATTGCCGACGGTGTTTTTCAACGCATAAGAACACGTTACCAATTGCCAATTCGTCTCTTTATTGGCAAAATTGTCAACGACAATGTTAACAACAAAGTGTGTTTCTACGCCACAAAACCAATCTTGGGAAAAAATCCGCTCAATTTGCTTGTTGGAAGTTATACTCCGGACGAATTCGAGATTGAATTTAAAAAATTTGCGGGAGTTTCCTACAACGAATTACGACGGAACCCGTGGCGCAATCCCGTTCTTGCAGCGGATGGCGAATATCAACGCGAGCGACGCCTTGACGCGGATCGCGGTTTTGCCGCAAATGTTATTGATGAAGGCGATGTGGATGCCGCGGGGCTTGTCGAAGGCGCAACTTATGAAACCGACGACAACGACAATGAAAGTGTTGTTCTTGATGAAGGCGAGTTTGAGGAATATGACGGGGGCCTCGGCGCAAACCCGTTTATTGACTCGATGGCTGCAGAAGATGACTGCAACTCTGACGGGACCGACGATTGTGATGGATATGACTCGTATGATGAGAGGGAAGATGATGCTGTTTATCGTCCGATTCGAAATTTGGCGGCACTTGTGCCAAATGTTTTTAGCGACAACACTCTCTGCCGAATTTTGCATCGTGGTGAAGTTATCGATATGCCTGTTTGCCCGACTAAAAACTGTCTTTACTCTCATCAAAAAGCGTCTTATATGCGTGCACACGTAAAAATTGCACAGCCGAGACATCCTGCAGAATTCGTCAATCAGTTCTTGGACCCCGTGTTATTGACTTTGTCAAAGAATTAGTCGATGAAAACTACTTACCGTCTGTTTCTTATACGCAGGATTATTATTGCACTTATGATATCGAATGTCTTATGAGCGAGGGAATGTTAAAAACGGAAACATGTGAATTTAACGACGAACGAAAATTTCACAACTTGGCGACTCTTGCCTGCATGACAAGTGATGGAGAAAGACGCGCTTTTAAAAGAAAAAACATGGATTATAGCTCGGTTCTTGTCATGTTGGCTGAATTTGTCAATTACTTGAAGCAACTTCGCGACAAGATGATTTCCGAAATCCCGCAAATGATCAAGGATGGAGTCGATTTTTATTCAAAAGAATTGGGCGATAAAGAGCAACGAAGCAAGTATTCGTTTGATGAACTCGTTCCGATGCGCAAAAAGCTAAATTATTTGCGTGATTTTTACAAATTAAAAATTTACTCGTGGTATGGGGAAACATACGATTTATGTGTTTTATATCCAATGCTTGTATCTGTGCTCTACGAATTTTCGGGCAAGCAAAGTCAGCAAATTTCAACAATCAAACGCGACGGTGGTTATATGCTCTTGGATGCGGCTGGGTTGAGCTTTCGCGATTTCAAAAACTACTCTGCACCAGGAAGTTTGGCCGATTTGGCGCGATCAATGGGGCTCAATCCCGACGAATACACCAAGGGTTCATTTCCATATGAATGGTATACCCGAGTTGATCAGCTGGAAGCTGCAAAACGCTTTCCTGCGTATACGTGCTTTTATTCGACAATGGGAAGTGGCGCACTCAACAAGGGCTCAAAATACGCCGCAAAGATCAATCTTATGATTCGGCAAAAGTGCGAAGACACAAGTGAAGATCGTTGGCAACGTGACGAAGCGGTTATATGCCAGCTGTCTGACTGGTTGTGCTTGAGAAATCTTCTTGACGATCCGGTGCTAAAAGAGTGGTGCGATAAAAATAACAGAACTCCACGATCAATTGTCGATGAGCATGTTAGATTTTTAGGAAAGAAATTCATCTACGACCCAGAGGTTCGATGCCATCAATGCGATCCAAACGATCCCGCGGTGCGAGATTTTTTTCGATTCAAACCAAAAAAATACAACGAAAATAAAGAATTGTGGGAGCGAATGGTTGCCGATTTGGAGAGTAAGAACCCCGGCGACGGTGAAAAAATGACAATGATGATATTCCTTATCAACAACAATTTCAACGATGTAAAATTATTGACGGGAAGTATTGACGCTTACGCCGAAAACTATAAGACAAAATTTGGTCTTGGAATTCATGCGGATTTGTCAATAGCGAAGATGGCCCAGAAAATTGCGCTGATGCAATATGACTCCGAGCTCCCGCCAATCTACTCTCCGCCACCAAAGGCGGCGTTTTACTACAAAGATTGTCGAGCAAAGCTTCAAGGTGGAATTTGCCAAGTTCTTCATCGCGCAATATATTTGAATGAAAGGCACGACGATCCGCGCATTCCGAAGGCCGCAACGCATGCGCCAAATGGCGAACGGTACGTCTATTTGGAAGGGCTCGACTTTAATTCACTTTATCCATGGGCTGTAGCTAGAAATCTCCCCCTTGGCCCTGGCATACTGTACACTTTAAATAGTGTTTTTGGTCACGTTAATAACTCGAGATTTCAAGCGCCCATAACAGCGAGCTCTGATTATAAAGATGGCGAAGTTCGTTTTTTCAATGACGGTCTTTACGCGCAGAAGCAAAACACATCTTTGGAATCTATTCGATGGCTTGAATATTTGAATTGGAAAACGTACAACGGTAAAATACAGCACTCGTACAATGGTGAGGAAAAGAAGATTGGCAGGCATCATGTTGACGGATACACTGTTTTGGATGAGTTTATTAGCGGGACAAATCGTCTCTATCATATTTACGGCGACGATGATGCGAACCCAATACGAAAAAAAGTTATTTTCGAATTTAGAGGCTGCTCTTATCATACGTGCCCGCATTGTAAGCGTAAACCTTGGCGAGGATGCAAAAAGAAGGTCGCATCAGTTGGTGGGAAGCCAATCTACAAGGAAATCACTCCAGAGCAATTGCAAGCAGAGGATGACGCCCGAATGCACGCCATTGTTGACACTCTTCGCGAAGAGGCCATAATGGCAGGTTACTTGCCCTTTGAATTGGATCCAATTTTTGGCGAGGACAAAGACGATCTTTTACAGCAAGAAGGTCCTCTTAATTTTCCTCATGAGATTGTCATTGTTTACGCGTGTCAATGGCTGAAAATTTGGACAAATGCTGAATTTGCAAATGAAGCGCCACACTCGCCAACTTATCCATTTTTGTATAAAGGAGCGAAGCCAAATTTTAGCGGCATGATTCCAGGCAAACCTGGTGTGACGGAAGAAGATTTTTTGGCAGCTTTGCGCGCGAAAAAATTCTTTGGACTTGCGCTTGTTGATCTTTCTTCGACGCAAAAAGTTATAGATGAAAATCCGTTTATTCCGCCCATCTTTGCAAAAACGGAGCTAACGACTGACACACTCAATGGTTATATGAAGCGCGTTCTTCCGCAAAAAACCGTGGAGCGACTTTATCCAAGCGAAGAAAATGTGTTTTGCTACAATGCAAAGAATTACATGGCAACCAGCGAAATGCTAGAGTTTCTTGATAACAAAGGCGTCAAGATTAAAGTTCACTACTTTGTCGAGTACTACAAAGGAGCTCCATTCAAAAAATTTGTTGCAAACATGGTCAAGGATCGCGTAACCGCTTTGAGCAAGAAAAACGCGGGTCTTCAACTTGTCATAAAATTAATTCTCAATGCAATGGTTGGCCGCTTTGCTTTGGCCGTCTACCGCTTTCTTTCTTGCTCAATTGTCGGCGCCGATAAAATGTACGATGCAATACGTTCGCCAATGTTAAAATCAACAAAACAGCTAAGAGTCGAAGATGTTGCATTAGATCCGCTGCATGAGATTGTTCGTCGAAAAAAGAATGTTACCGAAGATTTGGCCTTGCCGATTCAAATCTTTGTCTATCAGGAAAGGAGGACCGTGAACGATGGCCGAGTGGATATAGAGCTAAAGCAGAGCGTAAGGCGGCTAAATTTGAGCTGTACTAGCCCATTCTCCTTTCCCCTCTCCTCCCTCTCATCAGCCCAATCCCTGTTCCCTATTGCGGCGGTACTATTGAAGTAACGCGGCGATAGCGAGCAAAAGTACTCTTAGATTGACGCTTGCTGGTCGTAATGCTTACCCTCTATGTTCGAATCCCCTTCTCACAAATGTTTTTTCAAAAACCATAACAACCCTTTAAAAAAGATCTTTATAAATTTTTTTTAATTTCTGGCAATTTGAGTAAAATGATACAGGATGAACAGCAGGAATACCCTGACGCCATTCTACTAGGATTAGAAATGAACCCTCATTATCGGAAACCACGGCAGAATGATTCCTGAATTCTGTTGGTGCAAAATCACAATTGCCAAAGATCAAAACAAAGGCACCCTAGAACCACCAATGCTGCCAAAGAGCAAAACAAAGGCAACCCAGAACCACCAATGCTGCCAAAGATCAAAACAAAGGCAACCAAAATCAACCATTGCGGCCAAAGGTCAAAACAAATGTCATTTTCGACAAATACAATCACCATAACGCGCGCTTGTATTTTAGAAAAGAATTTCAAATTTTGTCAACCCAAACGCCAAAATGCTTTGCTCTACGCCTATTTTGAATAATATTCTGTAAGCTTGAACCCTCAATAACCACCACCAACCACCAAACCCCGCCACCAAACCCAACCACCACCAACCAACCACCCGCACCACCAACAACCAAAACTGCCGTCCTCCCTGGCCTGAACCTGGCTGGTGGCCGTGCCGGCCGTACGGCACGGCACGGCTCCATCCAGGCCTGGCCCGGTCGTCCGGAACCTTGTGCGACTGGGGGTTGGCCGTGCCTTCGGCACGGCAACCCCAGACCCCCGCCGGCCGGTACGGCCGGCAACCATAGCCCTCGGGGGCTCCGCCCCGGACCCCCGGACCCCGCCAGTCTCAGAGTGTCGATCCTCCTTCAAAAGAATTCAAAATTGTTGTTTATGCAATTTGAACAGATTTTGCGCGATTATTTGATGCCCGGCTCGTACAAGTTTTGTTATGCTGATACGGATTCCTTTATACTGGCGTTGACAAAAGACAGCGTGCACAAGTGCGTCAATCCAAAACTCAAAGACAAGTGGGAAAAGGAGATTCGCCCGGCATGGTTTGCCGTCGATGGTGACGATGCTTCACAAAAGGAGCCCGGTCTGCTTAAAAGAAGTCTCAATAAAATCGGGCTGGTTTTTGGCTCCGAGTCCAAAATGTTATGCCATGGTGGAGAAAGAGCCCTGCGATATGGACGGGCAAATTTGTGATCCTAAAAATGAGTATCGCGTTTTGGACATTTTGGCGCAGATGGAGGATGAGGATATTGTGCCAACAAAAGTCGTCAAAAAATCTGCCAAAGGTTGCAAGAAAAAGTTCAACTTGGGTAAGTGCAAAAACTGATTTGATAAATACACTGTCACAGCCATTACGAGTATCTTGCCGCCGTGTTTGGCGCCGATTACAATCGTCAAATCAGAAAGGATGTACCCGTCATGCAAATGGATCGCAAGCGAGACAGAATGCGAACATTTTTAATGAATCGTGCTGTATTCAACAATGTGCTTAAAAAACGTCTTGTAGCCGACGACAAAATTTCCACATCACCTTTGATCTACTCTGACAACACATTTGTCTAATTAAATGTTTTTGTAAGTAAGGTTTGTTCTTTTTTCAGAATGGGCTCAAAGAATACAATTTTCAATTATTTGAAACCGTCGGAAAAAGCAAATGGCTCTGTTGTTGCTGACACAGACGACTCCTTTAACAATAGACGATCATCATCATCATCATCATATGCGGATATTGAAGAAGGCGAAAACATTGTCGATTATATTTTCCGAAAGCGTCGGGATTCAAGACTTCGCGTCAAATTCAATCCGCCTGAGCGCTTCGTCGACTTGGATGAGATTGACGATCCGCGATTTAATTTGAGTCGCCATCAAATGAATTGGTTTTCCTGCGTCAAAAGCGGTGCCAGATTGGAATTACGAAGGCGATTTTCTCGGAACGGGGAGCAAGGCCAATCGCGAATTCTTGGACAAGCTGATCCCGCATAAAAACCCACCCAAGGGCTACTTTCAACCTGAAGAAATGAAAATGCTCACTGCGGCCGACTCATTACGATTTCCTCCAATTTACTATATACGTTTGTTTTGTAGGTTTTTATATTTGGAAACAAATTCAGGGCAATCTTGGCGTGAAAATCAACTCGAGTTGGGTGGCGATTATTATAGCCGCTATGCACAGCTCTGCAACAAGTATACAATTTCGCTGTTGAACGATGCCAATGTTCAAAACATTGTCAAGCAGCTTGCGGAAAATCTAAACGGCCTGTTGCGAATCTCGGTCGACGCGTGGTACATTACAAAAAGTAGCAACACATTTACCGACGAGAGTGGCGAGTCATATGTTGACACGCGCTACGAAATAGTGTACCCGAATACATGGGGAAGCCTAAACGATACAGAAATACTGCGAAACGAAAAGGACCTGGATCAAATGCTTGCCGAGTTGGAGCCGACTGCTTTTGCCGATAAACTGCTGCAAAATACGTTTCTCCGTCGAAATGTTTACAAAGAAAGCAACGTTCGACTTCACCGAATCCTTGGTTTCCAAATAATTGTACTCACTTATCCTCCCTCTTGGTTGAATCAATAAAAACGCTTTTTTATACAACGATTAACATTTATTTTTTCGTGTTTTTTTTTATAAAAGTGAACTTGTCAGGAGCAGGTTAGCATAGAAATAAATGATTTTACTGATAATTGTTGAACATTTGGTCAAAAGAGTTTTCTAAAGCGGCGGCGGCGGCGGCGGTGGAAGTAGAAGGTTGATAAACACACTCGTTGATGTTGTACATGTTCTCGTTTGACGATGGGCGAAAAGGAGGGACAACAGGCCTTACGGTAGGCCTAGACGGTACTGCAGACAAAGCTTGCCCTACGGCTTGCCCTACGGCTTGCCCTACGGCAGGACCTACGGCAGGCCCTACGGCGGGCCCTACGGCAGGCCCTACGGCGGGCCCTACGGCAGGCCGCACACTTGGCGGCGGCGGAACATGTTGCGGCGGCGGCATTTTATTTGAAACTGAAAGTAAATTATGGGAAGGAGTGAAAAGAGCTTACAAGATAGGTCTGTCGGTTGTTCGATTTTTGGAAGCTTGTCCACTCGATGACTGGGCGTGTTGTTTGACCCAGTAAAGAGTCGAAGATTAGAATTGGCGACCGCAGTTTTTACAATTTGGTTCAGCGTACTCTGTTCTGCAGTTGTGCATGCAGTACTGCTTACTGCTGTTGTTACTGGCGTGAGAAGGGACAGCGCAGTTTGTAGAGGCGGCACATGCAATTGCTTTTTTTCTTCACTTGATCGCGCCGCCGCGGATATTCTGCTAAACAAGAATCAAATATTAATTATTTGTATATTTGCACCTTGTGTCGCTTATCGACGGCTCAATGTCCAAGCTGACGTCCTCAATGTCTTGAATTCCGTCGTCTGTATCTTCACCGCTGCTACATATTGGTGTTTCAGGGTGATAATCACCGTCTTGACGTTTCCAGAGCGCATGTTCAATAACACTTCCGCTGGTTGATTCGAGGGGGCGCGCGCGATAAAGTTTGAAATCGGCACTGTCGTATTCACTTTTCTGTAGCAGCAATTTATATTGATGGCGTTTTACTGACAGATACTCTTCGTTTAGAATCGACTTGTGCTTGAGCAGCTCGTTACATCGTTCGTCCATACTCTCTCTCCGGGCGATTTGAAAGGCAACATAACGATGATGAAGGACACAAATTATGCGGCGCATGGTTTGTCTTTTGGGGTTAAACTTATCCATTATTCGTGATAGATAATCGATCGGTATAACCCCAGCCTATGTGAGTTGATTGCATCTTGGCGCAGTTTTTCCAGTCTTTTAAGCAAAATCTCACGACGCAGCCGCTCATCCGACGTCTCTTGATCGCCTTTTAATCGAGTCAAAAGAATTGCCATCTCCGATTTTGTATGTGAATAGACGAGATTCATGTGTCCTCTTTGCTGACGAACATATTCGGTGATAAATTTCCGGCAGACTTTTAGAGCGCGTTCTACAAATTTGTTTTTTTGTTGACAGAATTTTAGTGGAGCGCTTTCCTATTAAAAAGTTGATGTGGGCATTTTTGCACGAATCACGCAAAAGTGTAATCCGCTGTAATGCACGCTCGAGATCTTCTAGCATTTTGTGGACTTTTGGTAAATTTGTTTCCTCGCCTCGTTGTTGTTGCTGATCGTCGACTGTAGCCGTTGCAGCGTTTTCAATCAGCTGTAGCTTTTTGTACATGAGCGGAATAAAATTTTCGTCCTCCACCGTTGTCATATGCGCTGTTTCGGTTAGCGCGTCTGTTATCGCACAAATTGTGAGATAGTAGTCCAAAACTTGTGTTCGCCAAAACGCGGTCGTTTGAATATCGCAGCAGGATGTCGAAAAACTTGGCGATATTTTCGTGTCGTAATACGATTTTGTGCAGAGTTGACGGATTGCTGTAATGCATTCTTCTGAAATATCAGCGCCGATATTAAACTCGCTCTCGTGATGCCGTTCTGTATCGTCAAACATTGATTTTTTTTCGGCAACATCGCGCAGCGCAAATGATACAATGCGTACTTTGTTAAGGTCCGTTGCTTGGCTTCCATCAACAAGATACGACGGGACACATTTTACATCCAATATGACGGAAAATTCAAGAGTCGCGAGAGCGACGCTTTGTTGTTGAAACGGCGGATATTTCTCGCAAAGATTGGCATCAAAAAATCGAAACGAATCTGATTCGGACGCCGTACGGCTCGGTGCAGTGCGGCTCGGCTGCGGCGATGGCGGCAGTAAAGAATCGGTTTCGTTATACTGTCGGCCATAAAGCACACTTCCATCGATCAACGACGAGCCCAAAAGCATTTTTTTGATTGAATCCTCGGGTGTGTTTCTCATGATCGCAAGCGCCCAATTGATCCCACTTTCAGGATAGTAACGATTACCGCCGACGATATTCACGGGACAATTTTCGAATAAACTCGTTCGATTGTAAGCATTGTCCCAGATGGCTTGAAAGTACTCGGGCCAAGATTGTTCAAATATGGGGGTTTTCTGACGTTTACGCAGGGCGCGAATCGACAGCGATTTTGTTGCCGTTTGATTTTCGTCCTTTAATTCTGCATTAGCAATCGAATCGCCAACGCTGGCGCAACGGTTATAAGAAGCGCTAGAAAGACTGTTCCGGCTAATTCGTCCGCATATTGAAGAACTGCGCGAGCTAATAACTTCGCATTTTGCTAAACAGTCGATTATTATAGATTTTTGACAAAAAACTCACCCATTGTTTCGTTATCCAGCGCATCGGCTGCTCGACTTGTTGTTCTTGTTGTAGATTGTTTTGCGGAGGAAAGCTCATAGCCTGATTTTGCAAGATCAGACATTGCTTGATCGCCGCTATTTCCGTTCTTAGCCTGTTGAACTCTTCGTTTGTTGCTTCTCGGAAGCGAACCGCGCTGTCTACTCGCATCATTATTCGACGAAGAGTTCTGGGCGTCGGCTCTTGTTCGGCGGCTCGACGACCTTGTCGTTCTTGCTCTTGATGATTTGCTTGCCCGTTTAGCTGCGGAGGCCCCGCCACTAGCGGTTGCGGTCGGCGCATTCTCGGAGACAATCTCACACTCACCATCGAGCTCGGCCTGGCTCATGCAAAGTTCTAAACAAAATATCCAAAACAAAAATATAAAAACAATTAAAATTCAAAAATGAGAGCGAGAGTGTGAGAATGGAGCTAAAATTGGAGTGAACATAGATTGATGAGAGAGTGGAAGTGGTAAGTTTTCAAGACTCGAATCTTTTTGGTGCTTGCACGCGGCGGCCGTATCGTGAGAAGATAACTTTTTCTTTCTTGGGCGCCGAGGGACACTTTGGAGCCGCAATAACTGGCGACTCGTGATCAGACACAATGTCTGGAAGTGCGCGATGTGGTTGCTCTGGAGTTTGTTGTGGCGTAATTTCGCTGCAGAATGAGACATTGTCGCCGTCGTCAACGCCCTCGGCGGTGGCGGTGGTGTCGACGGGAAAAACGGTTTCATCAAAACCATTGAAAGCGGTTGTGTCTGCAAGTGCGACGATAGGCGCATTTTTCTCGTCAGGGTCGACTTCCGCCAAGGAGAGAGACGGGGCGGAGAAAGTTTGAACAGGAGTCATTTGTTCATTTTCAACTTTGACGCTTGGTTGGGCCAAGATGGTTTCGGCGGTTGGGGGCGACCAAGCAAGTTCTTCTTTGCAGTCTTTTTCATTTTTTATCTCGACTAAATTTATTTTTAAGCAGCGCAATTATGAAAATTAAATTACCTTTTGCGTCCGCTTGATGGACTGGAGCGGGGAGAGCCGGAATTAAGTTGAGTCTAGTGCACATTTTTAAAAATGACAAAGTGGCGGAAAGACTTACGCTTTGCCGAAAAGGTTCGAAACCCACGAACCCTCATTAGGTTCTTTTTTAATATTCTGGGGCGTATCCTCTTTTGTGATTTGTGTGGTTTCTTCCTCCGTTTCGATTTTCTATTAAACGAAATTAATTTAAGAAACAAAAATAAAGGCAGCTACCGTTAATTGAGGAGGTTTAGGGCGCGGGGGTGCCGTACAGCTCGGCGGCTTGTTGAGCGGCGAAGTCTCGCAACAGTCGTCTTCATCGTCCGATTGGGAAAACTCGAATTTCGGCTCATAGGTTTTGGGTCGAGGAAGAACAAGTTGCTTTGGAATGCGTTTGGGCGCGGGCTTAGACGTGCGGCGGCTGGCGCTTTTTCTCGCCGCGCGAGAGCGTGTTGGAGCGGGCGGCGGTGGAACTCGAGGCGGGCCGGAGCTTCCGCCGCGTTCAAATTCTTCCTCGATTCGCGAATTTTTAGGCGGTGCGTTTTTTGAACTTTTCGCGTTTCCTAGTAATGATTAATTGGTGAACAATCGACAGAATTTACCTCTGACGTAATTTGCATTCTCAACTACAGTCGGTCTTCCTCTGTTTGAGCTAGATCGTAGACTCAAGTCACGCGGTTCCAAAAGGTACCCGTCGCCTTGCTCGTCATCAATGTCCGGGCAGCAGGGACACACGGAGTAGATCCAATCACAGCCACTCTCCCAGGCATTGCACGCATAACGCTTGATATCCTTACTGCAGCAACACCAAACGGACACCGCTAACACGATCAGCAGCGTCAATACAATCCAGAAGCCGACACTGTAGTTGCTCGAATCGAAAGAACCGGTTGAAAGGTTGTAACCGGTCGTTTGGTTCAGCCTGAAAAAATTCGTTAGTCAGAAACTTTCTATGCTTTGAGATCCCTCCCTATCAGGAAATTCCTGCACCTTGGCGATACCTGCATACACCTCAAAATTGCTTCATTGATCTACGCGGGGGGATCCCAAGGTGCAGGTGTTTCCAGGTATAGAAGATCCCCAGCCCCCTAGAATTTTCTAGACAAAGAAAAATTTTTTATCGATTTTCTAGATTTTTATTGATTTTTTTAACGATTTTTTAGAATAGATTACGTAGGTTGAGATGTGTGAGTCATAAGAAGTGATAAGGAACCGGAGAGGGAAGAAAGTGAGTACGTGAGCGCGGAGCTGTAGGTTTAGGCGGTTAGGGTGTACGACCAGTTTCGCCCCTCGGCTAACGGAAACGAGGAATGCATGTCCTGCACGGGCCACCGGCGGAGCGTGGCATACCCATCGCTCTTGACGATGGGCTGTCTTCGAATGCAGTAAAGGAGTTCCTCTCTGTCTGGCTCGTTCTTCTTGGGCGAGTACTCGCCGACTTTTTTCTTGAGGATTTTGCCGAGTTTCTTGAAGACTGGAAGGCAGCTCATTGTTTCAAGTTGATCTTGTTCTTGTTTTGTTTGAAAAAGAATCGATTTTGATTTTGATAATTAGTTTTTGAGTCGCTCCCTTTTTATACCAAAGCAGGGCCTCGCATGATGGCGATCTTTGGTGATGCCAAAGTTCAAAACAAATGCGCTGTTCCCCAAAAAAAAGTAGGCCCCGCGCTCGAGGTAGGATATCAAACCGGCTGTTTGTTTATAATGAATTTTATTGCGGGCGGCTGTTTATACATATTGCACAAAAATTACCTTTGAACCGTTACATTCGGACTCGCAATTATTGTTTCGCTTTCCGGCAATTGAATCGTCAATGTTGGAATTGTTTGTCGACCGTCCGAAGCAGCGACTGTTGTTTCCGCCGTAGGCATTTCGGCCGTAGTAACAATTTCCTCCGTATCATTGCCGGGTAGCGTTGACGCGCCCATCACCTGAGTTGGCTCTTGACGGGTCGTAGTAGTTGACGTCGTGCTTGTAGTCGACGTCGTAGTTGAGGTCGTACTTGTAGTAGACGTCGTAGTTGACGTCGCGCTTGTAGTCGACGTCGTGCTTGTAGTCGACGCCGTAGTCGTCGTACTTGTAGTACTTGTGCTCGTCGTCGGCTCTCGCTTTACGACCTCCTCGCCGCGAAATTCGCGACAGAATTCCGTCGAATAATGTCTTCCGATATTGCAGTAGCGCTCGGCCTCTTCATATGTATGAGGTAGCGCGGCCACCAACGGGCTAACAAAGAAAATACTGACAATTCGCATTTTCTAAACGAGCGATTTTTTAAATAAATTTTAGTTTTTAAGCGCTAAATTTAACTTGGCAGACAGAGTGACATCAAATAAGCTAATGCTTTGTAATTGGAGGGCGCGGGTATGGAGCAGAATCTTTATAACGAGGGATTTGGTTGTCTTCAGCCGCTCCATAGTCGATCCGTCGCTTCTTGGCAAGCATTTTTTCGAGCTCTTCGCGCAAGAGATTGCCACCGTTCACCCCGGGTGCAGGTAACAGGGCTTCAACGGGAAGCGCCGCCCACCCCTGCCAGGACACGATATCAGCTGGAATAGTCGGCGCTCCAAACTAATTTATTTTTAGATCAAAAAAAGCAACATCAGATTAAACTTACGATGCGCATAAGCCTTGGATTTTCGGTAAATCGCACGCTAGCCAAACTTTGTAGAAAGCGACGAAAGAGCTCCCGTGAAGGTGCTAGCCCCTTGAGTTTCATAACTGGCGGAAGAGCCTCAAATAGCGTTCTAAACGCCTCTTCAGTGGGTCTCGCTGTTTCCTTGCTCTTTGCTGGAGCGTAGCCACCATCGCTAGGGCGAAAATGTGTCTCAAGAAGCCCAACCAGAGTTTTAAAGCGCTCTTCGATGGGGAATTGCGCGTCGGTTTCGCTTCGGGCGCGGAGAGTTTCTTCTTTAGACACAATCAAGCTTCGATAAAGCATGTTTTCGAGCTCCAAATATATTGTGTCACGCTGATCGTGAGCCATTCCGTGGGGTAATGGGCGAAAGACGCCCAACATTTCGCAGACCTATGGGAAAGATTTTATTCGTGATTTTAATGAGTTTTGTTTACCTCGGCTGTGAGCTTATCGGCAGCATCAGCGTACGGCGGGCGATGTGGAATTGGGACTAGACCCATCGTCAACAAGAGTGCACTTTTTTCGAGTGCGTAATCGCCCTCCTTCGGCCAAGGATACACTGTAGATGTAACATTGTTTAGCCCTGCAAAGGTGACCGCAGGATGACCAAGATTTATGTCGTGCAGCGACAAGAGTTTCCAATTGCTATCATATTTGACCTAAAACATCAAATAAATTTTTGTCAATGATGTAAACATTACCCAGACTCGGAAATCAACGGCGACAAAGTGGCCAAAGCCGTTGACGTTGAAAATAGGAAAAAGGGCCCCAATTTCTTTCCATTTTTTTACTGGAGCTGACGCAGACATTGGCTTTGTGTAAAACGAATCGTACATTAGCTTGGAGGAGCTCTCAAAGATAACTCGAAAGCGCGATTCGGGAGTTTCGTCTTTAAACAGTTGCTTGGATCGTTTTGCCAGATTCCTGGCGTAAATTCCAAGGCGAGTGTCGTAAAGCGAAGCGGCGACTCCTCGCATTGTCCAGTAAGATCGTGCGTAAACCTGGCGCAATTTGAGAACATTCATCGGATAAATAGCCGCATGTTTTTCGTATTGAGCATGGCGCTCTGCTTTTGCGGCTTCATCTGTATCGCTATCTGTCATCTCGGGGTCGAAAAAGGCAGCCACAGCGGGATCAAAGGGGATCGTTGTCGGAAAAACACTATCAGCTCCGACGATGAGGCTCGGTTCGGGCAAGTCGCTACGAGGCAAAACCGTGGAAGCGCCAGATTTGACTACGACAGTCTTGGCTGAATCTGGATGGTTTGTGTAAACGCTGTCGGAGATATGAGCGGCTTTGTCGTTTGTGAAATCTTGGATATCTCGTTGCCACTCGATTTGCGTAATGTACGACTTGGGCACGATTTTTCGGCGAACTCGTTTGGTCTTTTTACGCGCTGACGGGGTCTGATCTTCATCACTGTCTTCCGTCTCGTTTGCCCGCTTCTTAAGAGCTTTTGCCGACTTGGTTTTTTTCTTTGGAGGTTCTTCGCCAGCCGAGATTTTCTTTTTCTTCTTTTTCGAAGTTGGCACTTCTTTTGCCCCGCCGTCGATTTTGTCCTCCTTGGCTTTTTTCTTTTTCGCGCTCTCGTCCGCGTCCTTTTCTACAGACTTAAGACCTTCCAAAGTACGGCTAGCTGCGACTAAGGCTTTACCAGCAGGTTTCGTGGCAGGTTCATCTTGGCCAGTTGTGCCAGCAACTTCCTCTCCGGCGGCTGCCTCGTCGATGAGGAGATCACCCTCTGCCTCTGAATCTATAAGAGGCTAGATCAATCTTTTTTTAAGCACAAAAAAAAACTTGATGTAAGCTCTTACCTGATGAAAGGAGGGGCGCACTTCGCTTTCTCGCCGCCATCATTCCGTTGGATTGTACGCGCACAATGTTGTTGTACGCCTCAAAAGCTGAAGAACGATTAACAGGAGAAATACACAGCGATACGCTACCTTGTTTTCGCCTAGTCTCTCTATCAGCCGAACTCTCCTGTCTTTTTTTGAGTAGATCGGCTTTTGTTCTGGCCATCTAAAAACAAACAAATGAAAATAATATTTTTGTGTCTCTATTCGTAAAACAGCGTTAAAGGCGAGCAGCGAGGAGCAGGTTTCAATATGGAGTAAAAAACAAAAGATGTGCCAAAGTTCAAAACAATGGTTGGCAGGAAAAAAGCGCTCGTCAAAGATGTAAACAAATGCCGGCTGCGGCGATTCGAAGCGGAGTTTTAATCTAAATTCTGCGTAAATTGTGTGCATTTTGACTTTTCTTTACCTAGCTCGATGATGTTTTTGGCCTTCATAAGAGTTCCGCTGCCGGGAACCTTGACACGCTCGCCACCGCGTCGTCGAGATGTCACGGTGCCATCGAAGTTGAGCTTGGGCGCCTTGAATGCGGGCGGCTTTTTAAAGGAAAGCTGGCAGGGAGTGTGCTTGAGCGAGACGTAACCTTCGTAATCGCCGATCTGCCCTCCAAGGCAAATAGCTTTTGGACTATTTGCAAAGTCTAAAAGATCCATGTTTAACAGGCATTCAGTTTTTTTGACAGAACTTACTTTGGGCGGCGTTGAACGCGTCTTTCATCAAAACGCCCACTTTCTTCAGATGCTTCTGAACGGACTTTTTGCGTGGGGGAGAGTGTTGAGGAGAGCCACCGCTTCGTCGTCGCTTGCCTGGAACAGTATTGAATTGAATTCTTCTAGTTTTTAATTACCTCCTGCTCGGCGACTTCCAGCAACAAATGGCGCAGCGTAATGGGTCGCCATTGACGCAACGCTTGAAATCGCTTGCTGGGTGTTACGTCGGCATGCCTTGACAAATCGCCGCTTGTGTCCCACCATTGTTTTCTTGAAGCACGGCTGGGGCCTTAATTTTGATGGTATTACTAGCATAATAATTTTTACACTTACATTCGCGGGATAGGAGTCAAAGCCATGGTTTTTCGACTGAGCTTAAGCCCAGTTTTTGTCGGCTCAGGGGTGCTCACAGGGCGTCGAACGCTTCGGCGCTTTGTTGGAGTCATGTCTTAAGAAATTACCCGTTAACAAAAATTTTCCTTGCTCCAAGATAATCAATAAATAAACGAAAATCTGAGCGGGCACAGGCGAGTTCAGAGAAACTGATTATGACCGAGATTCTTGTCAATCGCATCGTCATGGTAGTAATCTTGACGGATGTTAACGGCGCGGCGATGATCAAGTTTTCCTTTAGCAGTGTTGATCGAGTCCGCTCTGTTAAATGGCGATTTCGGTCAACACCGCTCCTGTGACAAAGCATATTGGCACTTCATCAGTTGAAGTCAAGCAGCCAGAAAGAGAACCGACATACCCCCGAATAGAAAACCGTCGCACTGTTTCGACCACAATGTAGGGAGCTCGGCCGCGAAGATTTCGTCGAAGAGCCGCGCTGGGCACATTTTCGCCAAAAACACCCAGCTGTTCTCTCGGATTGAAATTGTGCAGCTCGAGGCCACTCAGATCAGAAAGACCCTTGAGGTGGGTTTGCTTTTCTCTTTCTTTGAAATTGGTCGCGGGTTCTTTGATTGGCAAAGTCTCGAACTAAACATAAAATTATTCAATTGCTGCAAGTTTTCAAGACTTACCCGTCGTTGACGAGGAATGCGAATATCGCGTGTTTGCCCCGACGCATTTGTGCCACGCAGCGTTTGTTCGTCGGTCTAAATAGGGTTTTTTAATCGACTTTGTCAAGCGGGCGGCATATTATTTAGATTTATGTGCTAATAATCTATTTGATTTCAAAATTGCACTTGCAATTATTACCCGTTCATTTTCGACGCTACGCCGACTTGCGCTCGGCTCATCCGTCGGCTCTTCAATAATCGTTTCTATGAGCTCGTCGTGGGTGGTATCCAAATCGACATTTCCAAACGGATTGTTCATTCTTAAACATTTATTGTCGGCATAAACAGACATGCAAGCGGGGATAATTTAGGGTTGCACAGATAATAAGGCATAAAACGGGAAAATAAGAGCTTTGTAAATGTATCTGTAGCTCCTATAACGCAAATGGTATAAAAAATCGAAACAGTTGCCATAAGGGGGAAAGGTTTTAAAAAGGTCGGTAAAGCTCTGGAATAATAGCGGTGATACGTTTGGTAAGTGGCACATAAATAAAAGAAACAAATTTTGCATTTGCGGGGTTGGGCGAATAACAATGGAACTTATGGAGGTATTTACTTATCTGTGTTTACGAGCGAAATAAAGCGTAAGCGTTTTTTACATGCGTTGAATAATTTATCAATGCACTTTTTTATAATAAGGGGTACAACAATTCAAGAAAGCTTTCCTTGAGCCGAATGAGCTTTAGAGAATGTCGACAGCCGCACCATCACCGGCAGCCCGTTCGTTTGTCTCACCAGATCCGCCTTCGCCGCTGCCTCGCTCAAGCTCTAAAGATTTATTTTTGATTTTGGCCAAAAAAAAAAAAAACATTTCTTACCCGACATCGTCATTGTAGTGTCAGCTACGGGCTGAGCGGTCGTGGCGGGAACGAGGGTTTCGGTCGACGAGGTTGCATATTCTCGGGCGGTCATGAACAAGGTCTCGTTCTCTTCGCGCCCATCGCCGCTGCCACGAAGAGTTTCCGCATACGTCGCTAAATATTATTTTAAGCCAATGGCGTTAGCGCAAGATGTGCGAGTGGCGCTATTACTTACGTGGGTCTTGGCGCGAAAGGACCTCCAAAAGGCGGTCCCTTGTTGTTGAAACATTTTCGCGGGCTGCAGTTCGGAGCTCTTCGACTTCCCGCATCAACACATCGAAATCGTCGGACTCGTCGTCGTCGAGCGTTTCTAATAAGGTTTTTAAACTTTGCTTTTACACTTTAAAAAATTACCGAGAGAGCGTCGTCGGCGGGTGCGAACGGTGGGGAGTTGAGGGCTTTGAACATGATTGAATCGGGACTCGGCTTCCTCAACGTTGACGCTGTTTGCGATGCATCGTCGGCCAGTAAAAAACGGAAAGAGCCACGTCACCAGGAGGACTAGGAACAAACCGAGGCCGACGCCCATCGCAATGTAGCAGATTTCCCGGGTGGTTGGGCAAGATCGCGCGGGCTTTATTTATTTTAAAAACTTGTTCCTTTTTTATTTTACTTACAGTGTAACCAACGCCAAGGGCCATTTGACGAAATTGCGCACGAGTAACTTTTTTCTGAGCGCCAAGATCGAAAAGCGTTTCGTCTCCTGCTTCACGATCAAAGTCGGACACAGAAGAAGGCGCGGGAGTCATTGTGGGCGTGATACTTGACGAGTTGTTATTTTCCTCATTAAAAGGCGACATTTTTACCTTGCAGGTGACACTTCTCTTTTAGTTCGAGCAGAGTGAAGTGAAGCAAGAGACCGGTTTTCTTCCCGAGCGCTGCGCTTGCTTGGCATCAGATGGATACTGCCCTCTTCAGGGTCTAAAATCAAAATCGATAAGAATGTGCTCCTCCCTAAAACCGGCCGTCTTAGAGGCGCCGATTTTGATAAATAACAGTGAAACGGCCGCGCCGATATCTGTATTTTATTATTCTCTCACAGTTTCTCTTTCAAACGGCAATTCTCTTAATCGAGCCCGGCGCCAAATAATCTGACAGGTTGCATTTCTCAATTTCAAAAATCTCGAAATGAAAAATCTCCAAATTGCGAAAAAAAGGGAAAACGCCCGCCGCTCTTTTTCGAGAATTGAAGTTCGCGTGATGACTTATCACGATTTCGTAGGTTTCTCGCATCCGCTTGAAATTCGGAAACAATAGTTCATTTTGATAAAATCTGCCTGCTAATTACTCTGCTAATCGCCTGACAAGGGCTGCTTGATAACGGTTTTGGCCTGCATTTTAGAATTTTTTGCGTTATTTAAAAATAATTGAAACGAGATTCTTTTCTTTTTATAAAAACAAAAGAATATTTTTTTTAACGAATATATCTTTTATTCACTTCTGTTGAAGAAGGGTTTCAGTTGTTTTTTACTCAAAGCAGGGAAAAACGAGCGCTTTTCCAATGCAAATCATCAGAGTTTTGAACTCAAGAACGCAGACGAACTCTCCTTGCTCTAGTTCTTGCTTGAGCTTGGCAAGATCTGCGTTGTCTTTCTCAAACATTCCACGAAGAATGGTCAGCGCATCGTCTAAGGTGTTGATATTGTGCCCTCGAACTTAAAAAAGTTAAAAACGGTTTTTAAACATTTTCTTACTGGGCGCGTTAAAGGGGAATGCGGAATAAGCGGCGCCTGAAGTTGTGTAGGAATCGCTGCACATTCTCTCCGTGAGGAATGGGGGTCCTTCTTCGTAAACCCGGATCAGATACTTGCCGGGTACAAATTCCCGCTCGACAAAGGGGATAGCTGCGTCAATTGATTCGGCCGGACGACCCTTACACAGAATTATTTACAAAATTTTTGATGGAACTACCTGGTTGAATTCTTGCAGCAAATTTCTTCTCGCTCGTTTTGGTGGCGAGGGGGTGTTTATTTCGGGCACTGGCTCGAAAATTGGCGACGGAGTGTCGGGGAGAGTGCTCGAATCCGAATCTTCAATCGCGTAGTACCGAACAATTTTTTTGTTCTTTTTCTTGATCCACGGAGTTACCTGGGTGCGTTTGTGCGCGTTTGCGCGCTCGTCATCCCGAATGGCTAAATGTGTTTTCATTTTTTATTGTTTTATTAATTTACCATTTCGAGCTTCATCGGTTCTATTTCCAAAGGCCCACCGACGCCGAGACATTGCCTGGTACTGTGCGCCACGATCGTCGGACGGTCCCATAAGCAAGTCGTTGTTGCCTTCCATTCCACTTTCAGAGGGCGCAACGTCGGGAGAATCTTGGACAAAAGTCCCGAAACTACGTCGGCTAGTTGGCGTAGGCGCTTGTTCTTAAAACTTAATAAAGGGGTTGAAAAATGCGTTTCAAACCTTCTCCAGGTGACCCGTCGCCAAATAGTTGATTACGAGGCGAGTTTGGAATAAGCTCGACTACCACTTGTCGACGAGCTGGAGTTGCTGGTTGATTTGGAGCCGCATTAGCTGGCGGCTGGTTGTTCGCGTCGTTTGGTTGTTGCGGGCTGTTATTTGCCTGCTGCTCGAGTTGGAATTCGCGATAATATCGCGAGTATTGCTATTTTGTTATTAACTGTTGTTGAACGTCAGCTTACCCGTGTTCCTGCGCGGCGGGGGGTTGGTGGACGATTGTTCGATCGCATTAAACGCTTTCGCCTTTACTTTGATTAAAATAAAACTGAGCTTTTTACTTTTTTTGATAAGATATAAACAGGAGTTCTAGAGAATTTACCTTCAAACCCGAGTTTTGCACATTTGTTGTGATCTTTGGCAAATCAAAGAGTCGTACAGGGTGTTTGTTTTGAACTTTGGCAACATCGATTGCAATGAAAAATGAGTGGAGATGACGTGAATCAAAGCTTATCGGCAACGAGCGTAGGCTTGCGATGCTTTCCAGTTTTTATTTTCCTCAAACTCTCGCACAAACGCACACACACACAACTCCACAGAGCACACAAAACTACAAAAAATGACTTTTTAAAATGAAACAAGATGAACGACAACCACATCTCGATGATTGTAAGGGAGAATAATAACTATATGAAATAAAATGAATAACCTTACTCGCTTACCTGTGTATTACATGTTTTCTTTTGATGGCAAAATGCAAGCACTGCAGAGCATCTTGAAAGGAAAGTTTTTGGAAACCATAAAAACAGATTTTTCGTGATTGAACTTGGTATGTACCTATTTGGTACAAATAAAGCTACCTCATACACCAGGACAGTAGTTTTGTGTTTGATTTATTACGGTAAAAGATGTTGAGGAGTTGCTTGTAGCGCTTTGAAAATGTACAGATAACGATTGTTATGGACATTGCGGAGATCGTCAAGAGAGCGCGGAATCATAGTCTGGATGAAGTCGGTCTTTACTTTGCACATCGGGTTTGAGCATGTACCGTATTCTAAGATTTGAATGAAATCGTAACCGGTCTGGGTTATCCAGGCTTGGCCGCCAAAGGGAGGGTGAACGAAGCCTGAATTCCTCAAAATACAGTTAAATTTTAACTCGTCTCTACACAACATTGCAGCAAAAGCTGAAAGCTCTTGCTCGGATTTAATGACAATTTTTGTTGTTGGCGGCCAGTTTCGGATATTACATCGTTTACTCATTTTTTAAAGGAAAATTGATGCCGATTGCGGATTTATATACTTGCCTCAAATGAGGTATAGCAGCATCTAGCGACAGGGATTAGGAGCGAGAGAAATCGGACGTCTTGCTCAGTTGCTGCGTGTTCGGCAGAAGAAATCGGCCGATATTGATTTTGGATGATTTGCGTCATTGTTGTGATCTTTGGCAGTTCTAAAAATAGACAGTAAATGGGCGCGCAATTTGAAAATGCGTAGGTAGGAACTGACCAATGGGACCTACATGGATCTTGGAAAAGGCCTATCTACACACTATACTACTACCGTGATTCACCAGGCGGAGGCGGCTCTTTTTCGCAAAACAAAAAAAAGGAAAAAAACTCTGGCGCTTTATTTTTTGCTTTCAATGAGAGACTCAGAAGCTCAAGGACGAGAAAATTGATGAGGAGAGAGTAAGAAGGAAAGAAAATAAGAAAAGAAATTCAGAAGAAATAAGAAGAAGTAATGGAGCGAGGAATAAGAAGAGCCCTGGCGAAAGCTGCTGCTGATGGGAAGGATCATCCGCTTGGAGATTATAAAGGTATCAAAGAAATGAAGAACAAGTAGAAAAAATTTAAATCCACAACTGTTCCGCTCGATTACGAATTTTTTCATCGGGTTATCTGATTTGTAACGCGGGTGAAAGTTTATATTCTTGACCTTTTAGCCAATAAGAAGGCTTCATGGAAACATTCGTTATTGAGATCCTGTACCGTAGAGGTGCTGTTCTCAATAATGAATTTTTCCATCAAGATTTCTTATTCGCTAGAAGTCAAAGATAGAATCTTTCCATTGTCTTATCAATCGAAATTCCTGATTAAAAGATTCTTTATACAAATAAACATTTGTAGATTTAAAATTTTTGTAAATACAGTGAAACCAGTAGAGCAATCTCAAAATTTAAAAACTGTATTTCGCGAATCGCGACCTTCGTAGAAAACCTGAGTCAAGATTTTGAATATCTTGCGAATCCTGACCCAGTTTTTCTACTCAGGTTAGGGGCTGGAGGCTTACAAAGCTCATATGGATCGGTCTAATGGACAATCTTTGTGGGGTCCTTTTTGTGTCCATTTTTCCCAGCTGAGTAGACTAGAAGAAGATTCTTTTTACAACGCTGACCGCTAAATCAGGGTCATAAAATGATTAATTAATGATTATTAGTTGTTTATTCGCCCAAACTACTCATGCTTTTTTTCAGTAATCCTGGACGACGTGGCTTCCTGTCGCGAGGGCTTGAAATCCGTGAACGAGTCGCTCTCAAAATTCTCCAAAAATAAATCTTCAGATGACTCTCTTTACAGCCGCCTTGGACAGGTTTTTCGTTTTTAGTTTTGTAATTGTCAATTTTGTAATTTAGGGCTTCGACAAAGCCGACCAGCACTGTTTCAAGCAGATGAGTCGGATTCAGACTTTTGGCCGAATTATGGGATTGATTGGCAAGAAAATGGAGCAAATTGGTCATTTGGAGCAGAGTCACCATATTAGGAGCAGAAATCTTGTTCAGGAAAAGATCAGAAAATTCAGTTTCTTTAGCTCGAAAAATACCGTTCTTTAGACTCTGACCTGAGTACTGTACCTCTTTAAAATTTGGGGAAGAAAAGTGCCTTGAGCTTGTCCCTGAGCTCGTCTAAAAATCAGGAAACAGGCCCTGAGTCAGGGCCCCTGACTTAGAATTTCAGACAGGTCAGACCCGACGACCTCTTGAACTTTTTCTTCCGATCTTTCCGAAAGGATAAACTGGATCCAGTTTCCTCCAAAGAAATTCCGGAGCTGGTGAAAGCTGCGTCCAAGCTGTCGACTTTCGAGGCAGATCACAAAATAAGCCTCGGTAAAGTGGAAAACGCCAAAGCAAGCTGTAAGTAAATGAGAAAAGTAAAAAAAAAAACGCTTTCTTTCGAAGTGGAAAAACTGAGACGAACTGGAAAAGCGACGAGCTCGGGTTTATTTGGAAAAACAGAAATGACGGAAGATGACCATATTGAGAAAATCCGAAATCTTGAAAGCGACGCGGATGCAGCTGAGTCCAAACTTCACGACGCCACGGAAAAAGTGAAGCTTGAGTTACTGGAGTTTGATGCGAAAACGGCGCTGGTTGGGGACTACTTTAGGATTTTGGTGAATAATATGCATATGTTCCACAAAGAAGGTAAGAACCAAATTGCGACTAGCAATCATTTCATTTCCATGAAATAGATCTATTCGACATCCTGTGTGGAAAAGCCTGAGTCAGGGTTTCAGCATCATCTTCGTTTGAGAACCCTGACTCAGGTTGCCAAGCCTTTTTATAAAGAAAGTGAACTTTTTGAGTTCACCATCTTTCCAATTCAATCAAATTTCTATTTTGAAGAATTTCAGTACTAAAAATTCTTCAGCTGCGGCGGCGTTGGAAGAACTCGTCCCACAACTCGACGATGAATTAAAACAATTTCAGCCGCAGTTCCGATTACATTCCGTTTCCGAGAATTGTTCCGAAAAAGCGCCCATTGCCAAGCCTCTTGAAGTGCTAGTCGATTTGTTGTTGGGCAACGAAGGTTTGGATGAACAAGGCATTTTCCGCCTTCCAGGAGCGATTTCCAAGGTCAAGCAATTGATCGCCGCCCTCAACGCGCCCTGCTACAACGAAGCAGATTTAGATGAATTTTCTCCTTGCAATCAGACGCTGGCGTCTGCTCTCAAGCAATTCTTCCGCGACCTGGAATATCCTCTTCTTCGCAATTTCATGGATTCTGGCGCAATTCAACACGCAGAAGGAATCCTGGATCAGTCGGAACAATTTGTCATGATTTCAGAACTGATCTCGAAAATGGCCACTTTTGACCGTTACAACTTGGCGTATCTCTGCCGCTTTTGCCGGGAAATCATGGAGAATCACGAGAAAAACCTTATGACAGCTCATGCTCTGGCAATCTGTTGGGCTCCGACTTTGATCGGCAGTACGACTACCTCCGGCCTAGGAACACTTTTCGTCCAGCGCTTGATCGAACAAGCGCAGTACTTCTTCCCCGATGAGGACTACCCGCTTCTTCGCAATCAAAACCTCGATTTCGGTTTCTCCGAGCGCGCTGCTTTCCTCCAAACTCAGAAGCAAAAGAAGGAAAACGTCAAAAATTCCGACTATGGCTTCCTCCCCCCGACGAGAAGTGATCCAAGCCCAACAAAAGCTAGAAAGAAGGCAGCACCAACTCCGCCAAATGGAATTTCGCTGCATTCCACGCCTCTGAATTCCTCTTCAACGCCCGGAAAAGTACAAATTTTACATTCTTCAACTCCGAATTTATCCGCCCGTCCCAGGTAAATAACCTCGCATGGAGCCATTTTTAACGAAAATCAGAACCAAGCCCCCAGAATTCATCGGCACTGCAAGCCACGTCGCTCAGCCCGTCCCATCCCAACGCCGTCCCATTAAATCGCCCAGTGCCACAACCGATTATACAGGATTCGGTCTCATGGAAGAAGATCCTGTCCAGTCCTCCTCCGAGCCCGCGGAATCATCCCGGGTGGGGGATACCAGCCTCGCCGATGAAATAACGAGCCAACTCGACAACATGTTCCGCGGCTCTTCGGAAAACAAGCCTAAACCGATTCGTCCGCCTAAGCCGTCGTCGATAAAAGAGTTTGAAAATCAGCCGAAAAGACCAGAAGGTGAGGAAAATGGAGATTCAGAGGGGGAGAAGAAAGTGAAACTCAGACACTCGAAATCTCATTCTTTTCAGCGAAAAAGGGATAGTCTTTAATTTTCCCTAAAATTAATTTTGATTGACGAAAATTATCCTCTTTTGAGAACCAAAAAATTGATCAAGAGAAAGGAAAGTCTCTATGTGAGTTTCTCGAGTATTTTCAAAGACAGGACGCAAAAATTTTCTTTGAAAAAATCTTTCTTGATTTCATGATTTTTGAAAAATCTTGCGAAGGGAGCAAATTTAGCCGCAGAGCGTCAATTATTTCTGCGCCTCAGTCGCCGAGAAAGATCGCTTCTGGTGATCCTTTTTTGATGGACTTGAAGTCTTCTCTCGGTCCTGTTTTTGAACCCGACGGGTCTGGCTCAACAGTTCTTGCGGAAGGGGCAGTTTTGGGAAATACAACTGTATTCTCACTTGAGACGAAGGAGTAAACGATCGAAATCGCGGCGACGGAAAAAGTCGAAAAGCAAGAGCAAAGAGTCTGTCTCAACTGCTCTTTAATTTTCTTACTGTGAGGGGATTTTCTAACCAAAGGATATCTAAAATCTATAAGCGGCTCAAACTAACAGAGACACAACGAAACTACAACCGTATTGAATGCCAGTTTACTCATTTTTACTTCAGGTGCACCTCCACCAACTCCGAAGCCGCGGCATCTATCTTCTGAAAGCGGGGAATATACGCAGGAACAGATCGAAAAACATTTTACTTCGGAAATTTGGAAGTAAAACTAACTAAGAATTTCTGTAATTCTGGTAAGTCGTAGATTTCAGATCAATTTTAATTCCATAAAATCCGTTATGAAAACACACCTCAAATTCTGCCATAAAAACTTAGATTCACATTTTTCTTCCAAAAAATCCACCGATCGACTTTTCGATCTCGATTAGCTTTAAACTTTACGCCGAATCAATTACGCTGACCTTCATGACTTCATCCTTCCCTCCCGCCCTCCTGGTTCAAGCCTCTTTCAAAAGTCAATCTGTGCAACATTTCACCAACTAACCTGTTCCATTCAATCCTATCCAAAGCCAATTTCATTCTTGAAGAATTCAATCGAAATCGATTTCACCGCTCATTCGCCTGATTAACCCTATTTCTACTGTACATTTCCTTATTTCTTCCTTATCTTCGTAATGCCGCAAATCAAAAGAAACCTAACCCTAATCAAAATTCTACACTGTGCAAAATAAATATTTATTAATAAGACACATGCCCAAAGATTTTTTGTTGCTTTATTCAAAATAAAAAACCTATAAAAGGAAGTCGCAAAAAAGACTTCGCCTGTAAAACTAAACGGAATGAATGTTTCTATTGGTTTTTGACAATTCAGATGAATAAATGAAGCTTGTTGCCATCCATGTAGCCGATATCAGATTGCTCAGGGTTAAGATTTTCTGACAAATCTTCGTATTTTGTGGTGCATAGTTCATCTAAATTTGTAAATTCTTAGGCGGGGAAAATCTGCCTACCAAGTTTGATAAGTGGCAAAGTTGCTTTCGCCGGGACATCACCAGGAAACCATTGACCAGGAAAGCTGAGCTCGCATGTGAACGTTTCAGCCTCGAGAAGAAGCTTTTTAATCTCGTCTATCTTGATCGTAAAAACCTTAGATTCGGTGTCGTATTGGTCCAAAACGAGATGCACCAATCCCTTGATTCCAATTTTGAGGCCTGATTTTTTCGTCAATTCGCCTCGTTCGAAGAAACAAAGATGCTTCAACAAATCAGGATGTCTTTCAAAGGTGTCAGTTAACCTCTCTTCTCGGTAAAAATATCCAAATACAAGGTATTTATCCTCCCCGCCATATGGATTGTCAGCTTCTCTCAGATAGTAAAGAGATGACTCGGAGAAACCATAGAACGCTGACGAAACAATGAATTGGTACGGTAATTGGTACGACTTCACTTCTTTCTTCTCCAGGTTGAAGAATAGTATCTTATCGTTGCCTTCTACGTCGTAAACATCGATCATCACGAGCCACAAGCCATCATCGAGGAATCTCGTGGTTATATGGCTGGCTTGGTAATATGACCCCGCGCGGACAAAGTCAAATGACCAGATCAATTTGCTCTCGCCATTGGAAAAATTCACAAAATTAATTGTCATTGGCATTTCATCCTTCTCCTTGTCTTCCAGGTGTCGATTCTCCTTTAGAATGGGATGAATATTTCTTTGTGGGTAAGCAGTGAGATTTCGCCATGTTCGTTGTCGAGAAATGTTGTGGTCAAGGAACTTCAAGTTACTGTCAGAGACGCACCAAGTCCATTTGCCATCCGGATTGCTTTCAATGCCTAAAATATGTTATAACTGACCTTGATTTTCAAACAACCTTTAGAAGTCTGAAGATAAAGCCACATTGAAACCATTTCTGATGAGTTATAAGGATTATCTTTAGTCAAAAACCAAGGATGGGCGAGTTCTAGCTTCGGTGCGGTGTTTTCTCGGTTTATTTTGAAGAAAAGCAAATCATCCTCCGAGTTCTTGCACTCGAATCCTTTCGGCTTCGATTCATTATTTGTAACAAGCTGAATCCGGTGATTAAAGTTCTCAAGTAGTTGCTGCTTACATATGAATGAGAGAATCTGACGAGCGGCTTATCCGTGCTGAACTTGATCGTGGTCTTTTTCTCCAAATTTTTCCTGTTGTTTCTCAAATCAATTCTTTTCTGGATGATCTGGGCGACTTCTGACAGTGTTTCGGGTTTTCTCTCGTTTTCTCTGTAAAATTCTTCACCAACAAGCGCCAGAATAGCATCACTTTTGTAATGACGATTGAGAGCGTAACTGGAGAAATCGGGGCTGAATAGAGAATCAAACGTGCCGTACCCATTGTCGGTTTTCTCCAAAACAATCGGCGCCATCAGGGCGAGATCTTCGAATTGCAATCGCTTGAAAATAAGTTCGAACAAAATTTGAGAATTTGGATGATTTCGTATCTTCTGAAGAGTTGACCGACGAAACTCCTCTGTCATTTTCACTCTGAATTATATATTTTTTACAAATATTCACTTTCAAAATCTGTCAAATATCAATTCTGAATTTCTTTCACAAATTTTCTTTTTTTTTTATTCTTTCACAATAAAATAAAAGCTCAGTTAAATCTTAATGCAATAAAGTCGCAAAAAAACTTCGCCTGTAAAACTCAACGGAATGAATGTTTCTATTGGTTTTCGACAATTCAGACGAGGAAATGAAGCTTGTTGCCATCCATGTAGCCGATATCAGACTGCTCAGGGTCAAGATTTTCCGACAAATCTTCGTATTTTGTGATGCATAGTTCATCTAAATTTGTAAATTCTTAGGCGGGAAAAATCTGCCTACCGAGTTTGATAAATGGCAAAGTTGCTTTCGCGGGGACATCGTACCACCAGTCAACATTAAAGCCGAAATTGCACGTGCACTCATCAGCCTCAAGAAGAAGCTCTTTTATCGGGAGTCACTTAATAGCGCCGCCTTGCGCCGCCTAGCGCCGCCTTGCGCCGCCTTGCGCCGCCCTGCGCCGCCCAGTCCTGCTTAAAATTTTTCTTCTCGAAGATTTTCGGCGTTTCAATGATGATTTTTTCTATTTTCTTATCAAATCGTTTATTCTGGTATATTTGAATAGTCTGACCATCAGAAAAAAGAAAACGTATAATTTAGGGTGTAATTAGCAGGAGTCAAAATTATCTCCATATTTTGGCATAAAATCATCAATTTATTAAGCACGCGACGGGCCAAAGGCCCTTACGCGCGCATTTTCTGTTAGAGAACTCATGGGGTTGGCGGGGCCCAACTCTCGCTCTTGTTCCGATCATTAAGTTTGGTCAGGATTTGGTCAGACGTGACCCGGTTTGTACCGAACCGGGCGGCGCAGGGCGGCGCAAGGCGGCGCAAGGCGGCGCTAGGCGGCGCAAGGCGGCGCAAGGCGGCGCTATTCAGTACCCCCCCTTTTATCTGGTCAATTGTGACTGTGAAGACTCGTGATTCAGTTGGGTCCATAACGATATGAATTAATCCCTTTGTTCCGATTTTTAGGACTGACTCTTTCGTCAAATCGCCTCGTTCAAAGAAACAAAGATGCTTCAAACAATCAGGATCAACCCAATCGTCTAGTTCTTCCTTGTAAAAATACCCCAATACAAGGTATTTTTCTCCGTCGCTGAATGAATAACCAACTTCTCGCACATAGTAAAGAGAAGATTCGTAAAAACCATAGGATGCTGACGCCACAAGAAATTGGTGCGGTAATCTGTACGACTTCACTTCTTTTTTCTCCAAGTTGATAAAGAGTATCTTATCGTAACCCTCTGAGTCAAAAACATCGATCATCAGGAGCCACAAGCCATCATCAATAAATCTCATGTTGATATGGCTTGCTTGGTAATATCGCGCCGTGCGGACAAAATCAAATGCCCAGATCAATTTGCTGTCGCCATCGGAAAAATTCACAAAATCGATTGTCATGGGCATTTCATTCTTCTCCTTGTTTTCCAGGTGTCGATTCTCCTTTAGAATGGGATGAATATTTCTTTGCAGGTTAGCAGTGAGATTTCGCCATGATCGCTGTCGAGAAATGTTGTGGTCAAGCAACTTCAAATTACTGTCAGAGAGGCACCAAGTCCATTTCCCATCCGGATTGCTTTCAATGCCTAAAATATGTTATAACTGACCTTGATTTTCAAACAACCTTGAGAAGTTTGAAGATGAAGCCACATTGAAATCATTTTTGATAAGTAATAAGGATTATCTTTAGTCAAAAACCAAGGATGGGCGAGTTCTAGCTTCGGTGCGGTGTTTTCTCGGTTTATTTTGAAGAAAAGCAAATCATCCTCCGAGTTCTCGCACTCCAATCCTTTCGGCTTCGATTCATTGTTTGTAACAAGCTAAATCTGGTTAATTTGAGTTCTGAAGTAGGCGCTGCTTACATATGAATGGGAGAATCTGACGAGCGGCTTATCCGTGCTGAACTCGATCGTGGTCTTTTTCTCCAAAATTTTCCTATTGCTTCTCAAATCGATTCTTTTCTGGATGATCTGGGCGACTTCTGACAGTGTTTCAGGTTTTCTTTCGTTTTCTCTGTAAAATTCTTCACCGACAAGCGCCAGAATAGTATCACTTTTGTAATGACGATTGAGAGCGTAACTCGAGAAATCGGGGCTGGATATAGAATCGAAACTGGCGTACCCATCATCGGTTTTCTCCAACACAATCGGCGCTATCAAAGCAAGATCTTCGAGTTGCAGTCGTTTGAAAATAAGTTCGAACAAAATTTGAGAATTTGGATGATCTCGTATCTTCTCAAGAGTTGACCGACGAAACTCCTCTGTCATTTTTGCTCAAAACTCTGAATTATCCAGATTTTACAAATGTTCACTATTGTCATTAGACTCTATTGAACAGATAATATCAATTATTCACTCTCGAAACCTTACATAAAGAAAAATATAAAAAATAAGAACAGCTCTTTGAAATTCGATTTGATTGGTCGGACTGATTCTCGGCTGAATAAGTCTGACTACTGACTCTATCACTTAGACCGACTAAGAGAGTTTGTTATCAATTTTATGCTCCCACCATGGACAATCATTCATTCGGGCTTCCTCGTCAATTTGAAGAGCTTGAAGTAGGGCAAAATATGTGCGTCAGATTCTCCTCCTTGTACTCAATAAAGTCAAGTTAATTTATTGCATAAGGATAAAAGATACAAAGAAAATGATCATGTTCATTGAGATTTTCAAATAGGCACTGGTTGTTGTTTCCATCGCCGCTGTCGTCTCGATATTTTCGGTGACGGTCGTCGTTGTCGCTGTCGACTTGCACTCGTAGTCCCGAATTTCTCCATTTATCTCAACATCACTGCAAACCATCTCATCGCCGCAAATGTTCGCGAAACTATCACAGATCGAACCTTGGACGCAAATATCCTCGACGAAAAACCATCCTGGCTGATCACAATTACATTTGTAGCTTCCGACAGTATTTTCGCAACTGTTGCCAAGAGGGCAAATATCGCTGTTTTCACATTCATTGATGTCTTCAACGAGTTTTTCAACGAAAATTTACCGAACGAACATTGTAAGACAGAAAACTCGTTCCTTCGCACTGCCCAATTTCCGCTTTTTTGAATCCAGACTTGCATTCACACGAGTACCTGAAATTAAAAACATGTTCTGATTTTCGTTTCTTACTCTGCTGGACCAGCAAACAAGCATTTCTCCGACACAGCATCGCATGGATCGTTTTTGCAAAGATTAATCGGGGAGCAATAGAAGCCATCGCCCTCGAATTTTTCATTGCAGGTGCAGCTGAGTGATGTTTCTTGATTCTCGCACTTTGCGTCTGGATGACACTGGTCAGGGCTTAAGGAGCAGAAATCGACGAAGTTGTCGATCTCGAGAGATTCCTCAACAGCTTCGATGATGATTTCCTCCATATCGGCAAATTGATCTTCGATGCTGTGTTGAGTTTGAAGACTAGTTCATTGTGTGAAAAATATTTGATGAAAAATTGGCTCGATATTTTCCGAAACTCTAATTATCATGCTCAGAAATATTTCGCTTGAAAGCATCTGGATTGAAAACTATGTCTTGTCGGGCGTTTGTTGGATCAACTGGCATCCATTCTTCTAGAGTTCCAGAGATTCCCTTTGTAAAGTAGTCGTAAGCTCTCTTTGAGCTCTCGGATCCTAAATTTTATCTAGTGAAAATGCTTCGACTTCTCTTTTTACCAGCGACATTGAAGTAAAGCTGGTCAATTGCGATTTTGGGTCGGTAAGAAAAGTCGATCCCAGCGATTTCGAGATCACGGATAAAGCCAAAAGTGAAGTCGTTTGCAAGGTCTCTGTCGTAAAAAGTATACAAAGATGAGGGCTGATTTGTCCACTTCCGCAGCGGAGGATGTCGAGATGAGAGAGAATCGTAGTGATAGTCAATATCGGTGAAAACATGGACCTGCTTGATTGAGTCAGCATCCCATTCAACTTCCGGGTCCGTCATTGTGAAAATGATTCCAAGCAATTGATCTGAAAGAGATTTTTTTAACACATAAATTAGAATTGCTCTGACCTTCAGGAGCATCTCCACCACCGTACATTTCATTGATCTTTGCGAAAGCAGCATCAAAAGCACTATCGAAAGAATATTCATTGACATCCTTGAGTGCAAGGCCAGCCTGGTACACTTTGTTTGTTGGCGAAGTCATCTCATTTTGAGTAAACAATCTGTCCGCGAAGAATGTCATTCCCATGCGAAATTCGAATTCATTATATTTTTCGTCTGTAGCTTGAAGATTTTGGAGAAATCGGACTTGATCTTTGAAAGCCTTTTTAGCATCTTCTTGGTAGCTTTTGTAAGAACCAGTGCCGTCGATGAGCCAAACGATGTCGATCTTCTTCTGGTCGCAGCGAAAGCCACCTTCTGTATTGATACAGTCGCCGGGGTTGGAACAAGTGTTCAGCTCTGGATCAACGCACTCATTGATATCAACGCAGACTCCGTCTTTGAGCTCGAATCCATCGGTGCAGATGCATTTGAATCCATCGGGGGTGTCTTCGCAATCATTCAGGCCGTGACCACAAGGAGGTGGATTTTGCAAGCACTCGCTATTTGAGTTGCAGGGATACTTGAAGCTGATTTTGAGAAGGTCGGACTCGGAAAATGGAGGCTGCATTTCGACTGGTGCAAGTTGACTTGGTCGAGAGGGAACATGAACGTTCGGTAGACCTTCTTCATCAAGATACGCCGGGTGATGCATGATCGAGCTGAAGTCGTAGTCATCGTAAAGCGCACCATATTCTTGTGGAAACTTGGAAAACTCAGTTGTCGTGGAAAATTTTTGATTCACGCCAATGTGTTCGTCTCTGTCGAATCTGCTCGATTCATGAGTAAATCCAAGAATGTGCATGAACAAATGAAGAACTCCAGTTCCATCATTCATTTTTGGGCAATCAGGTCGCATGTGAACGGTTTGATTCGCTTCCTGGCCCAAGAAAGCGACGCATGGGTAATCGGGATCAGCGATTTCGTCGATTTTAAACGCGGTTGGAAATTCGGAAAGATCTGTTTCAGAAATCTCAAGGAACTCAACACATGTATTTTCTTTAAATTCTTGCGCCTGTTTTCTGACTTCTGCTATCGCCGATTTCCCTGTGAAGAGATTTTGAAACTCGTCGAAGTAGGCCGTCTCTTCAAACCCCTCAGCGAAGTAGAAGGGAATCACGTACTTTTTGTACTTTGGATCCCAGTGATCGTCCCACAGAGCAATTTCGAGGATGTCAGGAGAAACGCTGCAATCTTCATCGCTTTTCAAGGTTGAAGGGATTTGCCAGCCGTGGTTTTCCAAGAACTTCGCCTGGCATGATTGAAAGTAGATGTCGTCATGAAGTACAGATGATGGGAATTGGGCTTTTCAAGTTTCAAAGAGAAAGCTTTTTTGGGCAACAAAAATCTCTTTAAAACTTTTCCTATCGAAATTCCTAAAAAAGAAGATAAAAGTTTCATCTTGCCTCTTTTGGCGGAATTTCGTTGCATCTGTCATTTTATAGGAAAAGATAACCACTTGAGCATATATTGACTTGCGTTATTGCGCCTTGATAAAAAGGACGCAGCACGGATGTGGCTGGAAAATTGCGCCGCAGCAGAATTGTGACGGCATAACTGCATTTCGAATTTAGTCCTAAGCTAACAAAATATTCTCTTCATGCTGCCATACTGTATTCGGATGTGCTCGACGCTTGAGAACGCCGGTCATTCAAAGTGTCAACATCGAGAATGTTGATGTCAGTTTGTTATCTCATGGGTTCGTTGAGTGACTCTTCAGCTGGCCTTTCCTATATGAGACAATGTTAGCCAGTTTTATTTAGATTTCAAGATTATTTGACTTGAAATATTCCTAAGGTAGGATGCTGAGTGTAAAAAGAAAATCATCCAGATATCCAAACATTTCAAAATGTTGTCGTTCACATGGATTTTAAAGATTAAAGCAAAACAAATACCCAGGCAACTTTCAAATACTGTGATTATCGCTTTTTATTAAGAAATGATCATAAGATAGATAAGATGATTGTTATTTCGATTTGAGATTCGGGCAATTAATTATATAAAGATGGAGAAAATAAGGAGTAAAGTCAGATCGATTCCGTTTTTAATGTCAGCACTGGTTGTTGTTTCAGAAGCTTTCGTTGACGTCGTTGTTATTGGTGTGGTTGTAGCAGAAGACAGTGTAGTTCTCATTGTGGTAGTCGTAATGGTGGAAGTTGTTGTTGTCGAAGCTGTCGTTGAGGTCGTTGTCATTGAATTAGTGGAGCTTGTTGTAGTAGTAGTAGTCGATGTCGTTGTGGTAGAAGTTGTCGTTTGTGTCGTAGTTGTTGTAGGCGTTGTAGTTGTTGTAGACGTTGTTGTTATTGGAGTAGAAGTCGTTGTAGTATTGGAAGTTGTTGTCGTGATTATCCTGCAATCATAGTCCCGGCTTGTTCCGTTAATCTGAATATCACTGCAATACATGTCGTCACCGCAAATATTCGCGAAACTATCACAGATAGAGCCTTGGACGCAAATATCATCAGCTAAAAACCATCCTGTTTGATTGCAGTGACAATTGTAGCTTCCGAAAGTATTTTCGCATGTGTTGCCAAGAGGACAAATATTGCTGATCTCACACTCATCAATGTCTTTCAACGAGTTTTTGATTCAGTCCATTAATGGAGAATATCAATAGAATTCTTATGAAACCCGTTTCTTCGCATCCGCTCCTATCGGCTTTCTTGAAGCCGGATTTGCACTCGCATGAATACCTAAAATGAGACTTTGCTTTTGTGACTATTCAATGAACATGTTACTCGTCGGGACCGGTAAATAAGCATTTCTCCGTTGCAGCATCACATGGATTGTTTTTGCAAGGATTAATCGGTGAGCAGTAGAAACCATCGCCCTCAAATTTTTCATTACAAGTGCAGTTTACAGTTGTTTCGTGGTTTTCGCAAGAGGCATTTGGGTGGCACTGATCAGGATTCACCGCACAAAAATCAATGAAGTTGTCGATCTCAAGAGATTCCTCGACGGCTTCGACGATGATTTCTTCCATTTGAGCGAATTGATCTGCAATGCTTCAATGAGTTACGTAAATTTTTTCATCGAGTATATCGAATTATCAGATAATAAGGGTTTTAATCGCTATCAGATTTAATGAACTCTGGTTATTATGCTCAGATATATTTCGTTTAAATGCATCCAGGTTGAACACGAAATCTTTGTTAGTCCTTGTAGGATCAACAGACATCCAGTTTTCCAAATTTTGCGGAATTCCATTTGTAAAAAAATCGTAGGCTCTTTTGTACGCGTTGTTTGTTCCTTGGCATATAAAAGTTAAGTTTAAATATGTGCTTTTACCAGCAACATTGAAATAAAGCTGAGAAATGGCAATTTCTGGTCGGTATGAATAATCAATAACCGAGCTGCTCAAATTTCGCACGAAGCCAAAAGTGAAGTCATTCGTGAGATCTCTGTCGTAATAAGTATACAGCGTTGAGGGCTGATACGTCCACTTTTCAAGGGGAGGGTGGTCGGACGAGAGGGCCTCGAAATGATAGTCGACGTCGGTAAAGACATGGACCTGCTTGATTGAGTCTGAAGCCCAGCCGATTGTGGGGTCTGTCATTGTGAAAATTATTCCAAGTAGGGGATCTTAAGGTTATGAATACTTCATATCTAATTATCTACATAATTTAGTTATTTACCTTCTTGATCATCTCCACCGTTATACATACTGTTTATTTTTGAAAAAGCATCATCATATGACTTATCGAAGGAATAATCATTAACATCTGTTAATGCCAGATCAGCTTGATAAACTCTTCTTGTTGTGGAAATCATCTCATTTTGAGCAAAACGTCTGTCCGCAAAAAATGTCATTCCCATTCGAAACTCAAACGAGTCATATTTTTCGTCTGTTTCTTGAAGGTTAAGGAGAAATTCGACTTGCTCTTTGAATGCACTCTTGGCTGCATTTTGGTACTTTTTGTATGGGCCAGTACCATCGATTAGCCAAACGATGTCGACTTTCTTTCGACTGCAGCGAAAACCGCCATGGATATTCCTACAGTCCGCAGGGTTTGCACACGTGTTAAAATCTGGATCGACGCACTCATTGATGTCTTCACAGGTTCCATTGTTCAGCTCAAATCCATCAGCGCAAATGCAGGTGAAACCGCTGGGAGTATTTTCACACAAGTTTGAGCTAATGCCGCATGGCGGTGGGTCTCGCAAGCATTCACTTGTTGCCAAGCAGGGATATCTGAGTTTGATTTTGAGAAGATCAGACGCGGAAAATGGAGCATGAAGATTAACAGGTGCTAGTTGACTCGGTCGAGGAGGAGCATAAATGTTTGGCAAGCCTTCTTGATCGAGGTATGCTGGATGATGCAAGATTGAGTTGAAATCGTAGTCATCATATAAAGCGCCGTATTCTTTGGGAATCTTGAAAAACTCCGTTGTTTTGGAAAATTTCTGATTGACCCCAACAAAATCATCTCTATCAAATCTACTTGATTCGTGATTAAAGCCAAGAATATGCATGAAAAGATGCAAAACTCCTGTTCCATCGTTCTTTTTCGGGCAATCTGGGCGCATTCGCAGGGTTTGATTCGCTTGTTTTCCCAAAAACGCCACGCAAGGAAATTCAGGATCGGCATTTTCCTCGATTTTAAAAGCAGTAGGATACTTTGAAAGATCAGCCTCGGAAATCTCAACGAATTTCACACACGTGTTCTCATTAAAATCTTGAGCTTGTTTTCTAATTTCTGCTATTGCTGAGTCGCCCGTGAAGAGATTTTCGAACTCGTCAAGGTAAGTTGAGTTTTCGAATCCCTTCGAGACATAAAATGGGATGACATATTTATTGTTTCTCGCGTCATAATGATCGTCCCATAGATCGATCTCTAGAAAATCCGGAGAAACGCTGCATATACCATCACTCTTCAGCTTTGCTGGTATTTCCCAGCCGTGGTTCTCCAAGAACCGCGCCTGGCAGGGTTCAAAGAAGATGTCATCGTGAAGAACGGACGAAGAGAATTGGCCTTTTTAAAGTTTTGATCCTTGTTCGAAATCGTTTAAATATCTGGTAAAATCTCAAACGTTCCTAGAGAATATCTTAGAAGAAACGTAAAAAGCTTCATTTTCGATCTTTGAAAGAAACTTTTTTTTCTGTCTTTCATTTTATAGGAAACGAAAATCACTAGAGCCTTTGTTCACTTATTCGGCTACAGATGGCTGCAGTTTCTCATGCTGACTTTTCGAAATGGACAAGTGCAGCATATTCATAATTTGATGGTGAACTTGAACAGACAATGTCAAGACGCCAAATAAGAATATTTTTTATAGAAACCTATTCAGGGTTGGATGTTACTGGCTATATTAGAAAAATATCTACGGATATGAATAAAGCAGGTCTCGATTTTGACACCGATCTCAAGCTTATGCGACCATATATATGTTTTTCGAAAAAAAATAATCGAAAAGCCCGAGCTTTTCATTTTTCTTTCCGAAAATTTAATCGTCCGACATTTCGAACTCAATTATTAATTAGAGCTAACATTTACGCTTAATTCACAGTTGACCTTCATATCTATGTCCTTTTTGCTTTACTCCCCTTGGTCAAGCCTTTTTCGAATGCCAATTAGTCGAATTTTAATATCGATTAATGCATAAGTGAGCTTTATGTCAAAGAGCGCAATGGAGTTTTTTGATATTTATTCACAATAAAATACAGTTGTTAATTTGACTGAAATCGCTTTCAAAAAAGCTCCAACGTTGATTATTTTCTCAGTTCGCTCGTAAATTTTCGTCTCCCAGGAACTTTTGAATTTCCGCGTTTGAAAATTTACGGCTGCCAATCGGGTAGGATAATTTTATTTCAATGTAGATTTTTTTCTGGAGGTTATTTACATCAGATTGGCGGCGGAACATGATTTTTTTGGGGGCAGGCAGGCTGTTTGGCGGGGACTTTCGGGAAATGATTTCATGACGAAGGGAAGGTGTAGCTATAGCTGGAAAATGCGAGGATGGAGAAATGTTGTTTTCATTTCTTTTATGGTGTTCAGAATTCGATTTCTTTAATTGTATTTTTGTAGAGGAGGTGAGGCGTTAAATTGCTGATAAAAACGTATAACAAGTATAATTATGACGCGGGGTAATTTGAATAAAAATACAAAAATAGACATTGTAAACACCATTCCTTTCGAATTTTCCAGTCCACTCAAGCGTTACAAGTGTTTCCCTTTGAAATGACTCTATCATTGCAACACTGGTTGAAGATTTTCTCGAAGGTCTTCCCGTTACAGCAAGCTCTCGTGCCCGTCGAAGCGTAAGGCATCCTTTCAGGGTAATTTCCACAGCACTGGTCCCACGGCGGACTTCCCACTTTTTCCGTGCAGGAAGTGGAGGAATCGAAAGCGCCCCACCTAGGATTAATTGAAGGAAATTCATTTTCAAAAAGGAAAATTTATTTTTCCGGTATTCTCCTCCGCGGTGGGAATTCTAAAGAAGGGGGTCGACGAGAATCGGGATTTCCGTGACCTAAAATGTGGGAAAACCTGATTAGATAGGCAAATTCTGAATTTACTGATGAATAGAAAAGGTTTCCATCAGTTTATTGTGTTTAACGTTTTCGAGCAAAGAGCTCTTCTTCAGAACACTAAAGAGAGTAGAAATAATTGGAACAGAAAAGTGGAGTAACCTGTAACCTTGTAAGGATGGGACTGACTGAAATTTTCTAGGTGTCATAAACTTTGGCAAAAAAAACAGAGCGTCTAGAAGATTTTACGTGCGCCGTAGGGGCGAGAATGACAGGGGCACCGGAGCGCGCACGTAAAAGCCCCCGTCATTTTACACAAAGAGAACGGCTTTGTGAGCGACTTGTTTGTTCAAAATTGGGGACTGTAATTTAATTTCAAGTGCTTCAGTGCGTTTTCTTTCTGTAAAAGGCAAATTTCGATGAAGTACCGAAAATCTCGTGCGGAGGAAATTATTTTACTTGCTTTTACGTGCGCGCTCCGGTGCCCCTGTCATTCTCGCCCCTACGGCGCACGTAAAATCTTCTAGACGCTCTGTTTTTGCCAAAGTTTATGACACCTAGAAAATTTCAGTCAGTCCCATCCTTACAAGGTTACAGGTTACTCCACTTTTCTGTTCCAATTATTTCTACAGTAGTCTCTCTTTTAGTGTTCTGAAGAAGAGCTCTTTGCTCGAAAACGTTAAACACAATAAACTGATGGAAACTCATACTTAAAACGTCAACACATACAAATGAATAGAAAAGGGTTGAAAAAATAAACCGGCGAAAAGTAGAAAAATTTTAGCCAGAAAAAATCGGTCAAAAATCCCGTCTGAGTAGAACCATTTTCTCGAAAATACACCAAAAATGGTCATTTTTTACAATTTTCTTAATTTCATCCCCTAAATCTTATTTTTATCGAGTGATTTTGGGCTCAACAGATTCGTCAGGATCTGAAGATTCCAAAAATAAAAGATTCATAGGCAAACCATGTGTGTACGCGAAATTCCGATCGACCCTGAAAAAATTCTCGTCGACCCCGATATTGAATGTGTCAAAGAAAAACCCGACTTTTTAGTCTTAAACTTACATTGGATCGTAATTGATGTTAAAAGTTTCAGTCTGTTTGGCGAGATTCATGGCCATTTGCCGATCACATTCGCAAATATTTCGCTGGCAGCTTCCCATCTCGTTTACTTAAAAACCTGTTGAGCCAAACATAAGTGTAAATAAACTAACGGCACTCGATGAACCGCTCGCCCGTTGTTGGATCTTGCAGGCCCATGAAGTCGTATTGCATCAGCGGGTCGCAGCTGCCGTCCGGATTGTCGTTCTTGATGCAGTGGTAGCACATGCCAAGCTTGCGGCAGGTCCTGAAAGTGTGAAAAAAGGGAGGAAAGGAGCGCGTACTTGTCAATTTCGTCTTTTGGGACGCCCTTGCCTTTCCAAAATTGAGTGTCGAAGGATTGGAAGCAATGGCAGCCGTATTGAGAGAATCGATTCCAGTCTTGGAATTCCCTTGGCTGCAAATACAGCATCATAAGCTAGCGAATTTTGTCAACACTGGTTTTTGAGATATTTTGGTACCTTGAGAAGCTGATACTTTTCGAGCGTCTGAATGCCTTCAAAATCATCCATTCGACCAGCGTTGAGCACCGCAAATTGGTATTCGGCGTATTCAAGACTTTTGGTAAAATTAGATTCACCGAAAAAAAGATGAAAACAAAGGGGCAAACCTATTTATAGTAGCGTTAAGGAAGGTTTCGTTCTCAAAGAAATCCATGGCGTTGTAGATTCTTTCCCTGCCGAACTTTTTGGTTGTTTGACGGGGCCAGGTTTGTCTCGAAACGGATGGAAATTTGAATTAACAGAATGATTTAATGATTTAGTTGTACACCCTCCTTGTAGTGGTTGTTGTTGTCGTGGTGGTTGTTGTTGTTGTTGTCGATGTCGTTGTTGTGATGACTGGCACTGTCGTCAAAACTGTTGGCTTCGTTGTTGGTCTTGTAAATTGGAATGTTCTGATAAAGTTCAAGCTGATTGAAGAAAAATCTGATTTATCAATATTTAAGCTTTTTCAATATCTCTTTTCAAACTCTTTCCTTGAGAAAGTCCCTCTATCCACGCCATTTTTCGACCCCTTCTTTTTCTGTTTCTTCGCATTTTTCCTCTTCTCCGAGTTTTTCTTCCTCTTCTGTCTTCGTTCCTTCCTCGCTTGTTTCTTGTCGACAGTCTCTAACTCAGCAAGTCCTGGAAAAGCTCCGTATTCGTCGTAATCGCCAGTTTCCGGGTCTCGATGAGCAAGGCGCCATTCTTTTCGGCGAATTTGTTCAAGTCGGCGGAGTTCTTTTCTTCTTCGTCGCGCGGCTCGGATTTTTTCACCTGAAAAAATGGTAAAAAGAGACTTCAAAAAAGAGTCAACAAAGAAAGAACACCAAAAGATAAAAAATATTCAAGAATCAAATTTTGATTCTGTTCCCTCCCTCTTTTTTGATTAAAAAAATCGCATGCGAAAATCACGTTGTTTCTGCTCTTCCGCAGTCAGTTTTCGCCCTAGGACTCTTCGATTGAAGCCCTTAACTTTTGGCACATTTCCTTCCCTGTCGCCTTTGAAAGTGATTCCCTTTCCGCCCTTTTCTTTTCTGATTTTCTCAATCAACTGCATCAACTCGTTATCAATCATGGTCACTATTAGTTAATTGAAAATAACGATCCAAACAATTTAATTTCAAGCGCTTGAAATTAAAATTGACAAACCTTCCTCGTCGAGCTTGGCATCGACTTCCTTGAGCTTGAATTTACTCATCAGACCGCGAGCGATTTCAGTTGAGAGTTCCTCGTTACTTTCTAATCCGTATTTTTAGAAATCGAAAGTCGAAATTAAAAATCGGTCATTTTTTTCTCCAAACATAAATTTCCTTTCCAGGATTTGGAAGGTTCAATTGGCTTTTAACCCTTTCGCGCATATTGACCAATTTGTTGGAAAATATCCTTTCGGTGAAAATAATAGAAAATTTTTGAGTCAAAAAGCGTTTTTTTCTCGAAAATTTCGCCTGAAAGAAATTTTTACCAATTTATTGGTCGATATGCTCGTAAGGATATAAATAAGCATAAAAACTTACGTTTCTTCGTGGGTGACTTATTTTTCCAGTATCCAACTTTCTTCTTTTTCTTTTTAATCGCCGATTTCAGCAGCGCGACTTGCCCAGAAAACGGGTCTTTTTCAAGCTCCTTCTTCAGCAATTCTTTCAGCTTCCGGAAAACCTCTTCTTCAGACAACTGCTGCTCCCTCATCGCGGAAAACTCCTTGACCTCTTCATCGTCGAAATCTCCCTCACGTCGGATCCGTGTTTTCGGCTCTAACCAGGCGAATGCTAAAAGAAACGGTTTCGTCATTATTAGGTCGCTGAAGCTGGCCGATTAGGTCATTGCCGATGTTAGAGGACGAGGCGGAAATAATGATCGAAAATCAAAAATGTCAAAAAACCGCAGTGCAAGATTTTGCGAACGCGGCAATTTATATAATTCTTTTTAAAAAAATGATGAAATTATGATTTTGGGCGGTTTAAATTATGAAATTAAGGTTCTACTCTCCATTATCATTTTTTATCTGAAAAAAGGCTGAATCGCAGCAAAGTAAAATTCTAGCTGCAAAAAAAACGAGAATAGTTCAATCAAAAGAACTGAAAAACCTTACATCTATGAGTAAGCTTACAGTAGAACAAGCCAATTAAAAAAAGTGGGAACTAATTAGTCTTTTCAGATTACATGCTTTTTGTGTCTAACAGAGCCTTCCAAAATAGTACCAAATGTCAGAGCGCTGCTCCTCTCTGAAGCTTGTTATTTTTGTATAAATTTCAGGGCATTTCTCACGAAGTCGTCAAAAAACGAAAGGTCAGCCAAAAATATAGCGAAAATTAAACCTTGTGTTTTTCCAAAAAAAACTCTATCTACGACGTTTTTCTCTGATGATTTTAATATTAATCAATATGCATCCCAAATGCTATACGAATTTCTTTATAATTTGATTGACGAGTTTAGTCAAAAATAACTAAGTTTGAAATCAAATTCTTTCGCCTCGATGAGAATCGTATTTAACCGTGAATAGAAATAAAACAATCCGAGCATGACGGTCTGGGGACAATTATGCAGCATCATTTGTGTTACATAAAAAAATTATATAATAAATTATATAAAAATTCTTTCCACATTGCTTCGTTAGCTAAACTTGACTAAGCACAATTTTTTCATCAGTCAAAGTTAATCAGGACTTTTCTATAGAATCTTCAATCATCATTTTCTTATTCAATCAAATTCAACGTTCTACAATCTATTTACCATCATCATTAGCCATATTCAAATTCGTCATATCCAACGACGCATTTGCCGTGGCCATCAAGCCTGCAAGTGTCGGTAAGAGCTTCATTTTTCAGCTACTCCTTCTCTCTATTCTTCTGCTTCTTTCGATTCTTTTGCTTCTTATTCTCTCTCTCTCTCCAAAAAATATATAAAAAATGGTACTTTTTCAACCAGCGTTTAGTTGCCTCTCCGTGGTCGTTTTTTCAGACGCGGGAAAGTCACTGTCTCAGAGCAAAAGGTCACTTATCGTTTCCACAAGTTGTCGGACATGCACACACGGTATATCGGACAGACCGCGGGTCCTCGGTGGCGGTGGTGGCGCACCTGCGTCATAGGCGAAAATTTTCAATGTTTGCTGCACCGAACTCGGATCTGAGTCGCTTTGTTTAAAATTGACTCGATTCTGATTCACTGGTTTACCGAAAAGGTGATTGCATTAAATTAATGATCAATCAAGACAATTTCTATAATTTTTTATTCGTACAGAAATTAACAGGAATAATTATGAAGCACTGTTTTTGGCGAGCTACTATGCTATGCTAAATATGGTAAAATACTGGCTGTTGTGCTCAGGGCCTCAGTATCTGAAGCGACATCTACGATAGTGACGCCCTCGCTTTCTAGCGACATCATTAGGAAACGTACAGAAGGTAGGGTATATAAGCAGCCTTCTACTTTCTTCGACCACAAGCAGTTTTTCTCAAACAAAGCATCAACATTCAAAAAACAACAATCGAAAATGGTCTCAATCATCAAAGCTACTCTCTTTCTTGCATCTCTCGTTGCTGGACGCGGAATGATGCCCAACAAGTGGAGGATGCAAAAAGCATTCCAGGAACGAATCAACAATGAGTGTGCCTTGGACACGATTTACATGATATGCATCGGGGGCTACCGACAGTCGAAGATGCAGAAATGCATGCGACAGAAGATTTCCCGCTGCTCTGGCATGCAATTTCATCAGTAAAAGTTCCAGCATTCAACTTTCTGATTTCCTTCACAAACTTTTTTTTTCATCTTAGTCATCATTATCAATTCCTTTCCCTCAAAACTGACTGTTACCCTCTTTTTATTACAAATTTTAGGACAATAAATGAAAAATCTTAACATTCGCGTTCATAGTTTATTCCTGCGCTTTTCCTAAAACCGTATTGTCAAGAAAATCTTTTATGATTCCGCCGACAAATTTTTTTATTGCCTTTTGCATTGTAAACTTTACAACGTCGCTCAGAAAAAAAGTACGAAAAAGAACCTGTTTTATCGTGAAATCTCATTTTTCAGCATATTTCTATCAATGAAGGGTTTTTTCTATATCTCCTCCATCTTTTTTATCGTGAAAATGAGTAGTTGAAGAATGCCAAAATTTATTAGCAATCGTGAAAAGAAAATGCCTCTGCGTTTACGACTTGAATGATCGCTCACTGGTACTCGTTTATCGCAAGGTTTTCGGCCAAATCGAGACTCTTTGGGTTAATAGCTTTCTTTCGCCAAAACAGCGAGATATAGAGAAAGATGACGGGATTTTTGGACGTCTCGAGATCGGAACGGCTCGTCGATGGGGAGTCCTCTTACCCAGAAGATGCTAACGACAACTTTGACTTTGAGCGAATCAACTGCTATGTTTACAAAGGCGAGCAGAAGACTTGGAGAGTTGGGCCAGATCCGACCAAGTGTGACTGCTGGATGGTCAGGTATGAAAAGAGGAATGGCCAATTTGTCATGAAATTTTGGCAAGAAAAGCGCTCATTTTCATTTCAGCGACTGCGAAGCGGCAACCTTCGACGAATTTTTCCGCCAAGTTCTCGAGTGCCACGATGGCATCAACTGGTGGGAGTACCGATCTGTCAGAGGCGAAACCACTCCGACCGAGTTCCGACGATTTCTGATCAAGCATCACTACGCCGACAAGTACGCGAATGAGTACAGTATCTCTCACAGCGCTTCTTCTCCCTGGAAACAGCCATTGATCGGGTTCTGGGATCGTCGAGAGTCAAGCCGATTCGGGGAACCAGGTGAGGCTTATATAAGAAAGTGAAATAAATTTATCAAGAATTATATAAGGAAAAATAATATTTATTTTCTAGATTATCTTATGCGACGTTGCCGAATGCCACGAGATCGAACCTGGTGTCCTGAAGGAAAAGTGCGAACCCCAACTCCTCCTCCACCAACTCCTTCTCCTGAGCCCGAGCCAGTAATTGAAGAACCAGTGAAGCGAGCTCCCACTCCAGAGCCGCTTTCGGAAAACACTTACGTCTACCTTTATCATCTCGGCGGACGATGGCGAATCGGACCCGACTACCGGGACAAGAACTGCTGGTTGTTCACGAAGAAGATGGCAAAGGAGCGAGTAAATCGATCAACTCAGTGGTACAGAGTTGATGATAATGACCAGATTGTTCCAACATCAGTGGAGATCGACCAATTGGATCAGCCGAACGAACGAGTAAGAAAAAACTGTCTCAATTCAAAAACCCGAACTTCAGATCCCATACTTTGCCGAAACCCCAGAAAACCCCGCAGGAGACTCCAAGCCTTTGCCAAAGAACGTTTCTGACAACCTCCTCGGCGCTTACACTCCCCATCGAGCCGCTGATGAAGTCTGGTACCACGGACCTATCATGTGGAAGGGAAAACGACTCCAGGTTCTTTTTTTAACTCAAGAGCGATCTTTTAACCTGAATGTAGCAATTCCAAAAAGATGTAGAAGACGATGAAATGGTCTTCATTGGCGATCGTAACATTAATCCATGGAAGAATGTCCACAACGCAGGTGTCACTGGCTACTATGATCTTGTTCGGGGCCGATGCATGGGCTCAACGGTACTTCCTTAATCATATTTTCTATCTTTATTATTTTCAGAGCGACATGTTCTACATCGCTCGACATACAACGCGGCCCGAGTACCAGAAAATCTACATTTACCGACTGGGTAGTCGATGGGCTGTCGGCCCTCAGAGAAATGGAGATCAGGAGCAGTTCAAAAAAGTTAAACATTAGAATTAGTTTTATTCTCTTGAAGAGCTTTTTTGATAACTCAAAACAGTCCAAAGTGTGGCTGTACTCGGAAGAAAACAATACTCATGTCACGGATCCAAAGTTGAAGTGGATTGAAAACGTCAAGGGCGAAACTCGCAAGTCTCACAAGAACATCAAAGTCTACCCTTGCGGCGTCAAATCTGCACTTTAAATTGCGGAATTCGAACAATTATGATATTCTTTTTTACTCAATAATCCCTGTGCATGTTTCAATTCGACTTTCATAATAAAAGAAGAAGTTTCTGGTGAAACAATTCGAATTAATAAGAACTGAAAAAATTTTGCGTTGAATTGTTTTCAATTCTTAGTGTTCGGCTATGCTTTGTTATTTTCAAGTGACAGTGAAAATTTGACTCCTTCAGATATCTGTTTCGAGTCCGAGTTTTCGTTCAATGGTTGTTCTTCGCTTCTCTTGAAGTTTTGATTTTTATGGCAGTCTGCATCTGATTTTCACTCTTGATTCCCAAAAAATCTTATCGGGTTTTTGAAAATCAATCCTAGTAAAAACGCATTCCGCAGAAAGTTCGGCCATTTGGGAGACGTAAAGAGAGAAAGTTGCAGATCCGGATTGGGTTCAGAATTTTCGTCCTTGAAAATCTTCGAGACAACAAAACTAACGCCGCCCATAATCGCCATAGAGAGGAGACCATTCCATCCGACTTTTGACACCCAAAATATTCTGTGCCACCAAGGATAGCTCGGTTCAATCACTTCTGGGGCAGGATCGAGAAGAACTGTAACTGAGGAAACATTGAGACAAACATCGGCTGTGTGATGAACCAAGTTTTGAAAAGAAGCAGGTTTGTGGAAGAATAGTTTTTGGCAGGAAAGAAGAGCCAGTGGAATTTGAGAAGCGAATGTCCCAGCTGAATATTGATCAGAAAAGAAAGCTTTTGCGGGAAATACCTATGATTCCGTATTCATTTGTAGAGGGGACGAGAATTCCGAGCAAGAAAATCATCGTCAACGGCGCTTGAAATGAGCCAAGAACCATCAACGCAATTGAAATGATATTTCCGGGCATCCACATAAACAGCATCGACAAACACGTGACACAAACTCCGAAAACTAAAAATATAAAAAGCATCGGATTAATCATTCTTACTGGTAATAAAAATTCGCATGTATAAAATCTGTTTCTCTTCCTTGATTTCGACGTTTCCGATCACAGACTTGAAAAAAATCGTTGCCCCGGAATTCAAAGCGGTTGAGATTGTGGAAAGAGTGGCGCTGTATGCTGAAGAAATAAAGACACCAGTCATTCCGGGAATCTCTTTGAAGATTTCCTGCACCAAATAAGGGACGATCGCGTCGATTCTCGGGATTTTCCCGCTCTAGAATCGCTGGAGAGAGAATTGAGCAAGATCTTACCTTGACTGGGTCGCAGCCTTTGAAGTAAGAAATACTCGCCATCCCAATCATTGGAATAAAAATCCCTCCAACAATTAGCGAAACACTTGCTCCAACCCAAATGCTCTTTTTCGCGTCATTCGGGGTCGCGCAAGAAACGAATCTTTGAACAAAATATTGTCCAAAGCCAATGTGACAGACCATCAGATTGATTTCATTGAAAAACCAAGCTGCGGAAGATCTGGTTGTAATGCGCCAATCGAAGATGTCCCCAAGTTTGTTTCCGCCGGATTCTCCAACGTCTGCTAGAATTTTTTCGTAGCCAAGATCGAACCATAATTTGAAGGAAACGGCGGCCAGAGAAAAGACTGAAAGAATTATAACTTCTCGTTGCAGCTTCTTTTTCTTACCTAAAACTCCAGATTGAAGCACATCCGTCCAAATAACAGCTTTCATTCCCCCAAGCATCGTATAGAACAGCGCTACTCCGTTGAGCATGAACAAACTCATCGGCACCGAAATTCCAGTGACAGTATTGAGCGCCAAAGCAGTAAGATAGCAGAGACACATTGTGTGAAAAATCATGGCAATGATTCCAAGAACGAGGGAAATGATCATGACTGCTTTTGAGCGGTTAAATCGCTGCTCGATGTAACTTTTTTGAGCATTTTAGACTGGAAGACATGGAAGAGTATATTTTGAGCAGTTCAAAATACTTTCCTGAAAATCGAAAAAGTCTTCAATTTATGAAGAAATGGGACAAAAGTTTCGTTCAAAATAATCGCACCAATAATGCCGCCAGCTTCGATTCAGGTCAAAAGATTCAATTGACTTTTTTTGTCATAAAGTTTTGTCAGTTGAAAATTTTGCCACGAGCGCAAATATTGCTCTATTTTTTGAACTCAAAAAAGAGTTCATCTTTTTGACCTGTTTCTAGTCGCCAGATCATTCCATTTCCATAGACGTAGATTTCTACAGGCATCGCGATTACAGTTAGGGCGGAGATTAGGGAGACGAAGATAGAAAGACCAGCGGCATACGGATTCATCGCGTCATTATTCTTGATTTTTATAATTCTTGAGCACTTGATCTTCTACTTTGAGACTCTTACCAAAAGATAAGCTTCCGAAGACTGATTTCTTTCTTGATACGAGAAGTAAATTCCCACGGAAATCGACACAATTAGCAAACATCTTCTTTGAGTTTCGAGCTTGATTATTTTCAAACACACTTTATTCTTTAGTATCAAAACCCTTAGCCAAAGACTGCATAATCCTGCCAGGGCAGACAATCTTCGCAGCTCATTTCCTTCTCTGGTTCTACAAAGACAGACAAATGCCCTGGCACTGCCCCCAACTTCCAAGTTTTGAAGGGACAGTTAAATCTTTACGAAGATATTATTCTTTGTCCGTCTCACTTTGATGCAATTTCCAAATGCAGTTGCTTCCAGAAACAAGCAAAGACTCTTTTATTTAGAGTTTCACAGTATCAGGATTGTATTTAAAATTTTTGAAAGAAAAAACTGTTTCCCTAAAAGGAATAATCATCAAATCATCAATTTCTTCTGTCAGAGTCTGACAGTCAGACAGACTTGCAAATATAGTGAGCTGAGTGAGCTGAGCGAGCAATTTTCAGAAGAGAATTTTCGCTGCTCAGCTCAGCTCAGCTCTACTCGATGAATTTTGAGACTAGTCAGCAGCTGACTGTCAGCTCAGCTCAGCTGGATTCAATGATTTTCTGAGAGGACCAGCTCGGCTCACACAATTTTGCTTCTTTTACTACAGTAAAAATCTGCTCAGCGCAGCTCACTCAGCTCAGCTCATTTCAAAATTGTGTCTGCTTAGTTCAGCTCAGCTCAATAGCCTTCGAAAAGGTCTACTCAGCTCAGCTCAAGTCAATGATTTCTCAAAAAGGCCAGCTCAGCTCAATAAGAGAAATTTCTACTCAGCTTGAGATATTCCGGCTTAGATGCAGTTCCAGCCTGTCAATCAAAGCCTATTAATAGCTAAACCAAGCCTCATTTCCTGTGCACCCAGCTGACTGTCTCGTACAGTCAGCTGTTTCCTTACGCTCCTCTTCTCTCCAATTTTATAATAAATCAGTCTAACCAAAACAAGAGTACTAGCGGCAACTACTCTTAGACTCCGATTCAGGCCAGAATATCACACTGGTGACTGAATAAAACAAAAACTTTTTTGAGAAAACGCCCCGAAGAAACCCAGTCAACCAAGAGAATTAAAAAATAGAGGAAACGATCAACGATCGAGCCAGTCAACAAAATCGTCATATTTCTACTCTTGTTCCAGAACCGCCGGTGCAGCCACTCGAAGCAGCCAATGCAACGCCTGTATCACTAGCAATGATGCTGACTTCTCCTCAAACAACCCTTGCTTCGCCGTCAATGACGACTTCTTCAGCACAACCAGTTCCGTCTCACGATCACATTGCTGTCAACTAAACTTCACAATGGTCAGTAGAAGTTCCCGTTTCAGCACCATCAATGACGCCTACTGCTCTTCCTACTTTCGCTTTATCTTAAGCACAATTATCAATGATGGATAGAGAGAGAAATTAGGATCTTATACACTTGGATTTTTACTATTTAAATAATTTTAGAGCCTTAAGTATATTTTAATAAGTGATTAATTAAAATTTTGAGTGATTAAAATTTTTTCATGAAAATCTTCTATGAATGAAAACGGTCACAAAAAGGAAGAAATGCTTAGCCTTGGATATGAATGTGAGGCTTCCGACCTTGTAGCTAGCCAAATCCTAATGTTCAAACCACACTTGCCGCGCACGAAAGTACTCTGTAATCGACTCGCCGCAGGGTATGATTTTCAAACTCATTTTTGCTGACCATTTTGTATTGCGGGGAGGGGAAAGGCGTGCGCGTTGACTACTTGCCCGACAAAAGTGCTATGTCGGAACCCACGGAACTAGCCACTGGTAATGGCGGGGTTAAACAGTTTCTGCAATTTGGTCACGGGTTTCGAAAATATACTAGCTTCGCACAGTTCAATTACATGGTCGATTTCGGCTATCATATTTATATACATAAAAGGCATTTTCTTAATTTTTATGTCTATTTTCAACAATGTTTTCAAAGAAACCAGACCATTTCTCCTGAAAAAAGATCAGACTAGACTTAACCTTCTAATTAGGCCCTCTTCTCTTTCTCTCTCCCATCTTTCTTTATATTTTCCTTTGATATACATTTACGTTGTCAAATGTTATTAACTGTATTTTCTTTATTTTCAGCCATGATTTTAAACACAGCCTTGATTGTCAAGGCCCTCTTTCTACTAACAACCTTTTTACCAACTAACCTCTGCAGATCATCCTTGTCGCTGATTCAATCACCGCCTCTGGTGCAATGCCCACGTTTGCTGAATGAACAAGATAGTTTACTACTGTACATAACTTCTACGATTATCCCTTATCTACGACTTCAACAAGAAAATCCCTTTTGTGTGCTTTTTGTGTGCTCAACTTACCTCATAGTGACTCACTATCAGTGAGGCTTGTCGACCAAGCTCACCTTTTCCCTTAGTGGGGGTAGGGTGAGATATTCCGGCTTAGATGCAGTTCCAGCCTGTCAATCAAAGCCTATTAATAGCTAAACCAAGCCTCATTTCCTGTGCACCCAGCTGACTGTCTCGTACAGTCAGCTGTTTCCTTACGCTCCTCTTCTCTCCAATTTTATAATAAATCAGTCTAACCAAAACAAGAGTACTAGCGGCAACTACTCTTAGACTCCGATTCAGGCCAGAATATCACAAGCTCAGCTCAGCGAAAAAGACCAAAGTTGAAACTCTTCTTCATAGTTTGGTTTTCATAAGCGACGCTTCTGATGATTTCCTGGTTCTTGATGTCACGATGAAAAAATAACATGGTCTCCCATCAACAAAAATCAAATTTTATGACCAGCCCCAATCCATAAAAGCGAGCACCTTATAATCATAAATAGACCTCGCTTATTAACTTTCTCCAAAAAGTAAAAATTACCTTATGCAACAAAAATAACACGGGTTACGTCTTGCCGGTGAATTACCACCGGCATCGGGCGATTCGGTTTCAGAACCGTTGTCCTAAAAATCCTCGTTTGGTTAAAAATCTCTGAAACAAAATCGGCAGAGGATTAACTTCTCGGCGGCTCAGTTCAACTTTTTTTGCTTTTTCGGAGCATTTTTCATTTTTTCTTTTTTGATAAGAGAGAAAACAAACGAAAAAAAACGAGTGCTGGAAAGATTGAAATTCCGAAAATTAAAAAAGTCACGCATAGTAAGTCAAAATTAATCACTTCCCGGCTAAAACATAAAACAAGAAATTACTTTTTTAAAGAAGCGAGGACAATGGGAAGCTCAAAGCAAGTGGAACAACCGAGTCTATTCGGCAGCTTCTTCAGGAGGTTTAGACGCTCTTTTGATAAATGCCAAGGTACTGTCCGAAGATTTTCTTTTCTTTTAGACATTTTTTGAAAGTTCTCCTGCTCATCATCATTTTGCTGCTGTGCAAAATCATCACGGACATTCAAGACCAGAACACGAAGAAACTGGAAGATATAACTTCGAAGAGACACGTGATCAATAATGAAATTGTTGTTCCAATCGCAGGTAACTGAGACTTACTTCAAGAAAATTTTAGGGTGACAGAATTACCTAAAGATTGACAGTACTTTCAACAGGGCTGCTTGTCGACAAACATGCGACAAAAAATTTGTCGACAAAAATGCGACAAAAAATTTGTCGACAAAAAATGCGACAAAAAATTGTCGACGAATTTTCGCGACAATTTTTTCTAAAATCTGATTGGCCTTCTGGCCGAATGCGGATATCTGATTGGCCTAAAAGTTTGCTCCGAATTCTTGATTTTTATTGATTTAAAACTCTGTTTTTTCCGACGAATTCTTGACTCTTTAGTAAGACTAAAAAAGCGGCCTCTTGAGAAAAAAATTTCTATCATAAATTTATCGCCCAAAGTCTCCCCTTATCCTTCACGTGGCCGAATTTCCCCCTCAAGTTGAGGGTCTCACCAAAGTTAAAAAAATAGCGGCGACCGCATTAATTTACTCTTTTACCAAAGTCGAAAATTGGTGGAACAAACACGCGGGCAAAAGCTGAAGCCGGCGAAAATGGCTAGAATTGAATAGATAAGCGGGCAACTGGTGGAGTTGCTCAGGAGACAGGGGCTCTCGAGATCGTGACGGCAGATTTTGAGTTGTCGGACACCGCCACCGCCATCTTTCGCCAAACATCTGGAAGAGCACCTCTCCGAACATTACGGCGCCAAAACTAGATTTCTTCAAACATTATTTTTTCATTAAAAAGAGAATTTTTACGAAGACAAAAAAGAAAAACCTTCATCAATAAATTCTTATTCACCAAAAAAAATTAAAAAAATCATTAAAAAACAAACTTTGAAAATATTCAAAAATGCCAAGTAAAAACCCCAAAAGAAGAAAGAGTTCGTGTGTAAAAATATCATTTTTATTTTTTCAATAAGAAAATACTAGGAAATCTAATTTTTCATGAACTTGATAAGAAGAAAAAATCATCAAGGCCTTCATTTTGCTTCTTCTTTTTGACTCTTCTACGGGTTGGGATCAATTTTAAAGAATAAAACTTTAACTTTAACAAATAATTTCTTCATCAATCCCAAATCGAAGCGAACATGTTTCGCTACAGTAATGATATCTGTAGCATTTGTCTTTTACATCCGAACAGTTCAGCTTTTGGAAGCCGAAAAAATTTCGAAAAAGTTTCTTCAAGGTAAATTTTGAAAGTAATTTATTTTTCTTGCGCCGGGGTGTTGATGCATGCGTATGAATGTTATCAGCATGTAGGACTTAATCTCGGACTTGGAGAGTAATCCTCCTCCACCAGCGCCTCCTCCAGGCCAGTTTGGGCGGCGAATGCTTTTGAGTTCCCTCCCCCGCTGACATTTATCACTACTTTCTTTTTCATTTCATCTTTTTTAACAAATCAGAGAAAAAAAAATCACAAAAACGCGAAAAAACTTGATCGTTTTTTTTCAATTTTTTAAAGAATTTTTTTAATTTTTGAATTATTGACGATTTTGAGTCAAGATCAGTCTACTCTGAATAAACATCAGAAAAAAAAAGAGAAGTGCTCGTTTATTTTCTTTACGAGCGCTTGGTGGAGCAATAAAAAAAGCAGCGAGAGTTGCAACTTGCACCACACTTCTCCTGGTGGTGCACCGCGGCTCCGCTCCAGCGCTGAGCCCTAGCGATGGGCATCCGTCGCACAATGGCTCACCATTTGCCCACCCAAATACGCCGTTTTTGCAGGCGCAACTCGACTTTCGTTTTGGCCAATTTGCTGGCTGCTGCTTTAGTCTGGTCGGCATACACTAACGGCTACGTGGAGGATATTCAAGAGACGTTTTTTGACACCAGAGATTATGAAAATACCGAAGCCCCTGGAGCATTTGAACGTTAGAGAGACACCCTTAAAATCCAAAGCAACAAATTTTTAACGACTTTTTTTCAGATGGAGCGAAGCACTCAAAACTGCAAGATACCTACAGGTAAGACAAACGTCAAGACAACCAGTGCTACAAACAAAATTACCCCTAACTCCTCATTCCACCCTTTTTTCCATCAAAAGAGAAGATGGTCTGTCTGTGGGAAGGATTCACAGACGGATTGATTTCGTTGTTGAATTTACTGATTTTCATTTCCATCGGCTTAATTTGGTTTGATGTGGTGGAGGTGACAGATCTGTACCACCGCGCCGCGACATTTCGGTAAACCGGTGTTCGTGCCCTCAGGGCAAACGCCTGAAAATTTATTTATCTCGAAATTTTAAACAAGCTAAACAAAAAAATTCATCATCTCTGACTCAAAACTTAAAAATCAAGTGAAAAAAGGTCACTACTAACCCTCCCCGTCGTAGTTTGACTTCGCTAAAGTCGCCATTCTCGGCTCAAAACCAACCCAAACTTAGAATTTCTAGCTATGAACCAGAAGATGATTCAAACCCACTGCCATCTCGCGAAGACTATCAGGTAAGCAAACCCTTCCCATGGGAAAGTATTACTAGAATGCTCAGTACTCACTGTCATCTTATTCAGTTGGAAGTGCGTCCAGTCCCAGTTCAGCCCGTCGCCGCTCAGCAAATTCAGCAGGCCGCAGCGCCCGCTCCCGCCGTTCCTGCAGCTCCAGCGGCAGCGCCTGTAGCTCCAGCCGCGGCGCAACCGGTTAACAACGCTGCACCAATGTATGAACAAGTACCGGCACAACCAGCAGTCGTGGAAGCAGTCGTAAAGAAAGCCTCAGCAACTGGCTGGATCGACCCTCCGAATCGAGGACCACCGGCAGTGGGAGAGGCAAATACACCGCCACCAAGCTCGTTTCAGGAAAATTTACCGGACATTTCAAATGCTGATAAATCTATCAAACCACCACTCAAGGATTTCAGTCAATATCAGTTTGCAACCAACTTTGACAGGGTAAGAACTTGAACAAAGATCATTTCCGATACAAAATTTTAGCCGATTCCAAACGAACAATTTATCTTCCACAACAAATTGCCCAAAGCCGGATCTTCCACGATGAACAACATTCTTATCATGTTGGGGCGAAAGAACAGATTCAACTACCGCAAATTGAACCCGCATAACCTCGAAGGTACTTTGTCGTGAGGATGAAAGGGTCTTCTCTTTTGAGTCAAAAGAAAAATCCTGTTTCTCAGTCACGTGAGTCACGTGGCAAAATTTTCAAAGAAATCTTATTCTTTGCTTTTTACAGTTTGGAGTTGACCTACTGATCTACTGATTTTTGTCCGGTTGAAAAAAAAACTCCATTTTTCAAAAAATCTACCCTTACCAAAGCCCTAGGTGACGGTCTAACTGCTGAAGGCCCGCTCGTCAATTTCGTCAAAAACAACGTCACTTCTTGGCCGTTTCTGCTTCTGAAGCATCACTTGCCTATGGATTTTGAAAAGTACAACATTCAGCAGCCGACGTATATAAATGTCATCCGAGATCCGGCAGATTGGTTCCAGAGCCATTACTATTTCGAGCGATTTGGATGGACTAGAAAAGAGGATGACAGAGGAAGCTTCAATGGAAGTGAGGAGGACAAGCAAAGAGTAAGTGCTGAATTAAGGTCTAATGAAATCGTTGTTACCAACCAAAAACAATAATTTAGGGGTTAATCGCATCGGTTAGGTTTTCATTCAGAAGCTCGAAAACAAATAAGATCTAATTTTTTCCGCTAAAAATTTGTTAAACATAATTTTCTCATAAACTTATTTTTTTCTTTCAGACAATCGACCAATGCGTCGAGCAGAAAAACGATCAGTGCATGGACCCAATCACTTGGAAATACATCGAGTTCTTTTGCGGCAACGCGTTTCCCTGCAATTCGCGCTCTGGAAAAGAAGAAGTGACAAAGCAAGCGATGATGAAGGCGATGCACAACATTGAACACAATTTCTTCGCCGTTGGTGTTTTGGAACAATTCGACGATACATTGAAGCTCTTTGAAAAAATGCTCCCGAGATTTTTTACCGGCGCTACGGAAGTTTATCATTCTGACAGTAAGTCAATAATGTTTTCTTATTTGTTTGGAAAACTCCAAAATTCATCAAACTTTCCAGGAATCGCGGAAAAGCGAGCTGCAACAAAAACAGTTGGCGCTGTTCCAATGAACAACGCTACTCGCCACTTTTTCGCTACGGGCCCGCTTCGCTACGAATACCAGCTCTACGCCTTTACGCGGCAACTATTCAACGAGCGCCTCAAACGAGCTGGAATCCAGTCGGTAGCCAGTCCTTATGGAGTGCCTCCGGTTAATTAAAACAAGAGCTGATGCTTTTAAAAGTCTTTAGAAAAATGATAAACTACAAAACTGCTGTATTAACTCTTTTTGCGCTACTTCTTTTTTCTGTAAATTTATGATGATTTAAAAATTATTCCGTTCTTTGTTCACTTCTGAAAAAATTGCTGTTTCACCATTTTTATTATACTCGATCTTCAATAATAAATATTATACTTATGAAAAACTTCTTTTGATTGAACAAAACGGGGAAGCCGCTGTCGTCATAAGGAAACATTTTTTATGGCAAATATTTGTTTTAATTCGAAACCATCGAGAGAAAAGTGCTTTTGATGAGATTTTCAAAAAATGGAAGTCTCGTCACATCCAGAAGAGTTGACGAGAGACAGTATAGAGACATGGCTGGAGCCATTTATGAAGACATTGAAGAGAGAGACGAGTAGAAATGACTTAGATAGACTGATTTTGTCTATTGAGAGAATGGATTTTGATGATGAGGATGATGCTGGATGGAAACACGTTGTTTATAAAGAAATCAATGGAGAATTTTTTGGTGAAATTTATAGAATTATAAAAGACAGAGACGACAAAGAAGAAGAAATTGCTGGATCAAAATTCAAAGCAACTCCACTCCAGACAGAATTACTTCAGTCTTATCAAAAGTCATTGCCTGAAAGATCATCCAAAATACGTATTGAGCGTTCGATGTTGACAGAAGAGGAAAAGGGAATGTGGGAGATGCGAGACAACGAGGAGAGAGAAAAATCGGAAGAAGAATTTATTTCTGTTGGAGGAGAAGCAATTGTTCTCAAAGCAAAAATAAATGATCTCGAAGTTGCAGTTCGAGTTCACGTTTTTGATCCAATTTTATTTTTTGAACAATGGGAAAATCTCAGCTTTAAAACTCACCTTTCGAAAGGTAACTGTATTAATCTCTGTGATAAAAGCCCGCGCGAACGTTCGATTCGAACGCCTTTTTTTACTAAAAAAACCGGTAGTACAAGGACCGATCGTTACTGCCCTACTTCCATCGAAAGATAAAACAGAATAAGTAAATTTGAGTCTAGATTTTTACATCGCCGACAACGACAACATCGATGAAAGCAAAGTAATTCCTGTTCACGAAAATGTCATCAAAAACTTTGCAAATATCGAGATATTTTCGATTGTAGACCTTTCTGACTGTATTGGATGGGTAACGATTATGGAGCTGTGCGATTCGAATTTGAGAGAAACACTAAAGAGAGGAGATTTGAGCCTGGAAGAAAGGAAAAAAATTGCCATCGGTGTCAAGGAAGGAGAAGAATATTTAGGACAGATTGGACTATTTCACTTCGACCAGAAACCAGAAAATATTCTTTTTAAAAATGGGAAACCAAAATGGATAGACTATGGCATTGTCGAAGAATCAACAAAAAGAGAAAGCTATCGTCAAATGGGTTATGTAAGAAGAGGCAGCAAGTTCATTAACTGGAAATATCTTTGTGAGTATTCTTTTCATAAACTATTGTCTGAGCTGTCTTCTTAGATGCCGGGTCAGCAGGTTTTACTGGAGCTATACAACTAGGATTAAACAACTTGGGCTACGAAATTGAAAGAAGTAAACTTTTCATTCTGATTTTGAGCGATTGGAAGACTGCCTGGAGCCTTGTTTTCAATCCAATTGAACCGACTAAAAGAAAGCATGTTAAAACGATTTTGAAGGTAGATTCATGAACTCTGTATTCTTCATTTTGACGTCAACTGTTACTAATCATTTAGACATGCAACGCCGAATGGCTTTCTAATGCGACTCCTCATTCTCATCAAATTCGAAATCTATCAAAAACTATTTTGTTATCGGATGCGTCTACTCACGACTGCTTTGATGATGAAAATCTAACGAAATCTCTATCGCTTGCATGTCTTAAACACAGATTGACAAAGCAAATGAACGAAATCTTCGAAAACCTGACCAAAAATGTTCTCAACCAAAAAGACAGCAATCTCTGCGTCCCTATTTCCGTGAGTGTTCTCCTTAAATGGGCCATCAAAAACGATTTGAAAGTAAATGATGAAGAGATGAAAAATTTCACAGTCGAGAGAATTTTTATATGTCTGATAATGATAATATATCCTCGAAGTTTAGCAGGACTGAATTATAACCCCGATAAAGAAGAACAATACTATCAACACACAAAAATCGACAAGATTTTGGAGAGGCTAAGACTCGAAACATACTTACACAAAAGTGGCTGGGAAATACTTGCGAGGCTTGGTAAAATTGGGAAAAGCATCTTGAACTGGCATGAAGGTAAAGAAACTTTTTTTTTTTAATAATCATTGATCAGTGCTTCTTCATAATAATTTCCAGTTTGGCCGACCTCTAACAGTAATTGGCTTATGTAAAAATTCACAAGGAGATATCTGTTATCACCAAATGACTTTGGATAAAGTGGAAGAAAAGAAAGGCGAAAGGAAATACGTTCTTCAAAATACTCAGTTTACCGACAAAAATCCTTCTCAGATACGAATCAATCTCAAGAATCCTTATTATGACATTTATAAAGGAGGAAATGAATCAACCTTTAATTTTACCGGTCCAAAAATGGAAAAACTCCAGTTAATAAATGGAGAGCGGAACATGATCGCCGATCAATGGTATCTCTATCCTTATGCTTATTCAATTACTTTGTCAAAAGCAGAAAACAAAGACAATCCCAATTCATCAACAGTCCTCGACACAGATCGAGATACGAACCCTGGTGCGCTTGTTTTCCCAGTAGACGTGAAGATATCGCTTGAATCAATTGTTGCAAAATTGAAGAGAACGAGTTCGCGTGATGATTTAGACAGATTGATACTCTCCATTGAACGCTTGAATTTCAATGACCCTGAAAATGCTGCCAACTGGGAATCTGTCATATTTAGAGAAAGAGGTGTCATTGGATATCAAAAGATATATGGAGAGCTCTTTGACAAAGATATGAAGAGCTTGGAGAAATTTGAGCTTACCCAATTTCAGAAAAAATATTGGAAGAGAATCCCCTCTTTCTGGTCGTCGACTTAGACGTGACGAGCTTAAAGAAGAAACAGGAGAATGGATTCTTGATGAATTTCTAAAACCCAAAGTCATTTCAGTTGGTGGAGAAGCAATTGTTCTCGAAGCGAATTTTGATGGAATTGAGACTGCCATTCGAGTACAACCTTTTGATTCCGCTCTTTTTACGGGAGTCGATCGTAATTTCACAACGAACATCAATGATCTGAACGGTAAAACTTTGATTCTTTGGTCGCGAATTTTTTATTTTTCGAGACAAGTTTTGCCAAGTTTGACCATATTTTGAAGACTATAAACCTGCAGAGAATGACTACAAGAATGCCAAAAATGTTATTCCGCTCCATCCGAATGTTATAAGAAATATTTGCAACATCGAAATGTTTCTTCCCGGCGATATTCACCAGGAAGATTGTATTGGATGGATAACAATTATGGATAAATGCGACTCGGATCTAAGAAGCAGGCTCAAAAAAGAAGATTTGAGTCTTGAAGAAAGAAAAAAGATAGCACTTGGAGTCATGGAAGGAGAAAAGTATTTGAGAAAAATTGGCATCACACATTACGATCTGAAACCCGAAAATGTTCTGCTTAAAAACGGGGAAGCAAAACTGATTGACTTCGGTATCGTTGAAGAAAGAACAGGAAGAAAAAGTTATCGCGAAACAGGATACACTAGGAGAGGGAGCAAGTACAGGGACTCTTATCATCTTTGTAAGATATGACACTAGAATTAAATTTTCTAGATACAATTCTAGACGCTGGGTCAGCAGGATTTTCGAGCAACTGGCAACTTTGTGGATTTAATGGAGGATTTCAATCGAGGCTGCATGTTTTCATTCTCTGTGATTGGAAGACTGCATGGAGTCTTCTGTTTGATCCAATCAAGCCAGATGAGGAGGAGAAAATCAAAGATGAGCTTCGGGTTTCTATTGATTCATATTTCAAATCTTAAGATTTTTCTTAGGATTGCTATGCAGAATGGCTCTCAAATGAAACACCAGCAGAGGAAGATATCCAAAAGCTGTCACGAATAATATCTTTAAAAAATGCGTCTTCTTATTTTAGCCTTGACGATCCGAACTTAACGAAGTCAATTGCGATGGCCAATATTAAACAAAAAATGACAAGACAAATCGATATCGATTTTAACAATGTGATGATGAATGTTTTAGACCAAAAAGAAAGCGACCTTTCTGTTCCTATCTCAGTCACTGTTCTCCTTAGATGGGCTATAAAAAACGACTTGAACTCTGATGATGAGATAATGGAAAGGTTCTTTACCTTGGAAAAAATATTAACAATTCTGGTAATGGTCGTTTATCCGCGAAGTATGGCTGGACTCAATCTCAATCCGCAAAAAGAAGAACAAGATTTTCAAACAAACGAGATTGAATTACTTCTTAGAAGAATAGAATTCAAAACCTATTTGACTGTAAGTGGATGGGATATCATCAGAAAGGCCTTGCCGCGGGATGAATTGAAAGGACACTTCCACTTTGAGCAAGGTATAAAAAGATACTTTACATTTCTACTAAGTTTTTTTATCAAGTCCTCCTTCATGGAAACTTCACATTCTCCCGTCCCCTGACTGTAACCGGCGCTTATTTGAATCCCGATGGATCCATATTTTTTCACCAAATGGTGCTCGACCGTGTCGAAAACTCCGAATTCATTCTTCAAACCACTCTTCTCGACCATTCCGGCTCGCAAATCAGAATTCCTCTTTCCAAAGAATTCTACGTTTCTTACAAAATGATGGAAGATTGCTTTAACTCCTACAAAGATTTTGTTTATTACGGAGACAACAACGAGTTCTTAGCTTTAGTCAATGAAAATTTCAACATGCAAACTGAAAGATGGTATCTACTGCCTCACGCATACTCAATTACTCTCAGTCCGGAATAAATAGTAAGTGAGAAATACATGTAACATGTAGTATTTATTTTCAAGATAAAAAAATCTCGTCAGATCCTTATGAATGTTTTAGCTACAGCCGCTCTTCTTGCCAAGATTCTTGGCTCATCACGTGATTCCTCCATATTGATTAGATCTGTAATAAATTTCGTAAAAATAATCTGAGTCGACTTTTTCAGTTGAACATTGATAAAAATTCCGTATAAATAAATTTCATCACAATATTATAGATTACAGTAGGTTCTTATTGAAAACGGTCATTTTCGGTGCAGCTGGTAGTTTTGACCCCATTAATGTTGTTGATTCCTCAATTGTCAGAATTTAATTTTTTTTTTGGAAAGGTGACCGTCTTGAAAGAATAGTTATGCACTTTGGATCAATACCACCGGTCCTAATTAATTTGAGCGGACATAGAAAAATCATTATCCAATTAATTTCTCATTCGCAGCAATTCTCCTCAGAAGTATGCAGTGAAACTATGAGAGCGCTTTTATTTTATCTTTTTTCTTGCTTCTCGGCCTCCGTTATCGATAAGCTTTTGGTGAATTATGATAAGAGAGTCCGGCCAGGTTATGGTACGAATAAACCTGTCAAAGTTGCCGTTAATATTTTTGTCAATTCTTTCGGCTCAATTTCTGCGAAAACGATGGATTACCGGATAAATATGTTCTTGAGACAGAGATGGACTGACCCACGACTTCGTAAGTTTTTTCATAAGATTACGTAACATCTACCGTGTTCTAGGGCACAATGTGAGGGGAGATCCAATAGCGCCAGATGCAACATATTTGGACAAAATTTGGGTTCCAGACTTGTTTTTCAACAACGAAAAGTCCTCTCGCTTCCATGATATAACTCTCAAAAATAAGCTCGTGCGAATAAGTCGAGAAGGAGAGGTTGTTTACAGTATGAGGATCACGCTCGTTCTCTCCAGCCCTATGTCGCTGACAAAATTTCCGGAAAGTTTTTGAAAAATTTTCGAAAAAAAATTATTTTTCTTTCTTTCAAAAACTCACTTAGATGGATACGCAAGAAATTTACATGCAACTGGAATGTTTTAGCGTCACCAACCGCGAAATCGACTTTGAGTGGGACGAGAAAAAAGAAGGCGGGCCTTTTCAATTCAATGAAATTGTTCTTTCGGAAGGTCTCAGGGTTTGTTGAAGAGTTATTTCTTTGGGAAACTGAAAATAACTCTTGTGAAGGACTTTTCTTTTGATCCTAAAGGGATTTTACTTGGGCAATGTGACAAGAACTACGAAAGTGGGACTTTCAGGACTGGTTTAAAATCTAAACTTTAGATTGATATAACTATAGAAAACGGAGCATTCCGAAACCACAAAAGCTGCATCGAAGCAAAATTTGTCGTCACTCGTCAACTCGGCTATTACATCATCAATATTTTCATCCCCACTCTACTCGGCGTTGTTCTCAGCTACATGAGCTACTGGATTGACCCGAGAAATTCCCCTGCTCGAATTTGCATCGGTGTTTTCGCTAATTTAGGCGTAAATACAGTAGCTACTTCAGGGTCACTTCCCAAAGTTTCTTATATCAAAGCGATTGATGTTTGGTTCTTTGCCTGCCAGGTTTGAAATCAAGGAGGAATACCGTGATTAATGTGCCCTAGATATTGACGTTTATTTGTTTGGTGGAATACGCAAAAGTGAATGTGTACATCCGAGATCATAAATTTCGCGAGCAACAAATCGAAATTGCCAGGAAAAAATATGACGCGCTTATTCAAGAAGAAGAATCTCAGGTTGAAAAATATCTTTCAAATTTTTTTTCATCGAAAAAATTAAGGAAGACCCAGACGACTGGTTATTTGAAATTATCGGCGAAGAACCCCCGAGGAAGAAAACTGAGCTTCCTGAGTTTCGCTACGATGAGCTTCCGCCTGTTCCGGATGCAGAGTGGTTGGATGAAAAATTCAGACTCTGGATTCCTGTACTGTTTTTGGTCTTTAATGTTGGTTACTGGTCATATTATTCATAAATAAAATGAGCTAGAAAATAAATTTGTCCTCATATTTCTTTGTCGAATTTCAAAATAACTTCGTTTCATTTGGCCGAAAGTTTGTTTTTTTCCTAGGATTAGTCCTAGAATAGGAGTGTGGGAACACACAAAGTCAAATTTAATGGCATATCAAGTTTTACAGATTTATACAAATTTGGGCGATAGTTGTCAATTTCGCCGGTAAAGGGAGACTCAACTTTCCCTTTTTGTAACTTGTTTCCGGGTTTTATATAAATTGAAAATTTTTTATGAACAGTTGTTGCGACAATATAAATGGAATTGCAGAATGAAATGCTCAGAGTTTTCTCGATTTCGAAGACTGGAAATCCACCTGCATGAAGGTAAAAGAGAACGTCAACTTCTTTTTTTGATTTCAAAATTTAGATCCTTCTGACTCTTTTTGGGTTGCTTGTTAGGGCACAACAATGCTCCTCAGGAGTCAAGGATCTTACAATGACCCCGGGATCAACTGGTGAAGATGTGGCTCGAGCGACTTATGGAAAAGTCTGGGCAGAGATCTCAACTTGGGATCCGAAATACGTAGATCGTGACTTTTTTGTTCGTTATGCTTACACAGAGAGTAATTTCGGTCATTAACAATTGCTTTCGACTTTTTAAAATTCATCATCTAGGTATCATTGAGCATCAATACGTTCAGCAAATATGGCCAATCGACGAGCAACAATTCAATTCAACCAAAAATTCTGGCATGAAAAGCGCTGTTTCGACTACGTTCAATGTCGACTGGGACGTGCTTGAGTACGATGAGCTGACTATTCCGACCTACTCAATGCTTGCGCTATTTCTGCACCTGGATGATCTTAATTATTTTCCGATTCCTTTCTCCATCGATGCTCAAGGTGCGATTTTCGAAAACATCACTCATCACACTGTCGACGGTTTCAAGGATGCTACTGATGAACTCGATCTGATAACTGAAAGTGAATGCTTGACGAAAGCTCTTGATATTGTCTTCGTCGTCGATCAGTCGGGGTCAGTCAGTTTGTCGGACTTTGAGCTGATAAGACAATTTCTTGAAGACTACGCTAAATCCGTCAATATCGGGAGTGATACAACTCGTATCGCAATTAGGCGTTACGCATCTGATACAACGCTCTACTTCGCATTGAATGACTTCAGAACAAAAATATCATCAATGAAATTCAAAATATGCCTAAAATAAGTGGTGGAACAAACACTGCCGATGCAATCGATGCTGCGCTCTTAGATTTCGGAGCTGACAGACCAGAATCCGCGAAATTCATGGTCACAATTACTGATGGTGCCAGTAACTCATTCGCAGCAACAAAAGCGGCAGCAGATAGAGTCAAAGCAAATTCGAAAAACATTCAATCGTTTGCTATTGGAGTTGCTGGAGCAAGAGAGGATGAATTGGAGGCCATTGCGACATCCCTTGATCACGTTGAAATGCTTGATGGATTTGGGGATTTCGAGCCAATCAAAAAGAATCTTTTGAGCAAAATCTGCACGGGCAATATTGAGAATAACAACGGAGGAGACACTCAAATTGGGGGAAGCACTGGTACGCCTGGAAAAATAACTTATAAAATTGGAATGACTGGAAAAGACAACTTCGACGTGAAAGCTTCTGGTCCTCTTACCTTCTTCTACCATCGAAGTAATCCTCAGCCCGGCCCTGCCGCTTACCAAAAGATGTTCAACGCGACTTCTAGTAACTTAAACACTTGGATCAACCACAATGTTGGCTCCGGTCACTCTTTCGTCTACCTCTCCGCTTACAACTACAGACCGTCCAAAGCTATCGTCTCTCTGCAAATCAAAAGCGGTGGATCATCTGTCCCACTTGACCCAGAACCAGTCATGTGTTCTGCTAATGCTTACTGCGATGGTGGCACCTGTGAATGTTTCCCTCAGTATTCACTAGATGGTTCTGGGAACTGTGTTTTTGATCGATGCGCGAATGTGGATTGCTTCAATGGATATCAATGCGCTGAAGCAACAGGAACATGCTTTTGCCCAGATGATCATCTCCAGTTAGACGGAAACTGCTATCCTGCGACTTGCCCAGATTCCGTTGTCAAAGTTCATGTAAGTGAAGAAACAAAAATATCGAGCTAGTTATTCCTAGGAAAATGAATTCGGCAATGCAATGGGCGAGCTAAGCTCCCCTTGGCGAGAACACGCAGTCGACTACCCGAGTAATTTCAACTGCACTTACGAGTTCGAAACTGTCAGAGCTGAAGGCAGCTGCTATGAAGTTCTGTTGGAAAAGCCTTTCGGAATCGAGGCTTCAGCAAACTGCCAAAATGATCGACTCGAGATTTTTGACGTCTTGAACGCGGATCAAGGTAAAAACAAGAGAAAACTTAGAACTTAACGATTTCAGTGAATATGGATCACTCTTCAACTCGACCTGCAGGTGCAGCAGTTATGTGTGGAGATGCATGTATTGCTGAAGGCGGCTGGGTTGGAAAAATCTGCGGGGACAAACTCAAAATCCGATTCAAGACTGATCATATTGCAGAGGACATTGGCTGGAAACTCAAATGGGTCCTTCGACCAAAAGAAGAATGTGATTGTCTTTGCAATCGACCATGAATTCCTTTTCAGCCTGTCATTTCGAAAAGTTCCTTTGATTAGAAAATTTTCTGCCGCAATAAAAATGCCGATTTTGCATCCCACGTTTGAGCCTCTTTTGGGAATCGCAGCTCATCTGAGCTTGCTTTCGCAGTTTCCTTCCGGCTCAGACCTCGTCTATCCGACAGCTTCACTTCAAGAAATCAATACTGCGTAAACAAGTTCCAAAAAAGCGAGATTTTTATCAACAGAATACCATATTGGGTCGGTCCTTATCAATGTGCAAATGCAATATGCCTAACCAGCTGGTAGTGAAAATATAAGCTCCTCAAGAATAGAAATCAGCACAGAAAAGGTATAAAATGAAATCTTAAGGTTTGCTAATAAATAGCATTGGTGAGTTCCAAATGTACGATACTGAAAATAACGGTTCGATCTCCCCGCTTCTGGGCTGGCACGTGTCAATATGAACAAAATCGGCGATTACCACTTCAAAGTCGACTTTTGGCGACTGGCGCTTCCTTCCGATGTCGTCGAAAAATTTCGTTCGCGAATAAATTATCATATCTTCAACTTGCTCTGTTGACCTTTTTAGCTATCGCTCGTTCTATTTCTTCTTTTATCGAGCGAGTTAGAAGTTCAAGATAAAATATTTTTATGTTAATTCAACTTGAAGAAGCTTTTTCTTTAGCATACTAAGCTTTTTAGCGATTTTCAAGCTTTTTTTACAATCTTGGATATTTTTTCTTTACAAAAAACAATAACGAAAAACCACAGTATTCCTCTGTGAAAGCTACAGTAATTAAAGAGTACCTTGGTTGTAATAATCCCCCTAAAAGCATCACTTTTCCGATAAATCTCATAAGAGTACAAAGTTGGTGGCGCTGTTGGCGCGAGGGCGCAGTGACGCGCCGCGCCTCGATCGTGAAAGTTTACGATCGTCAAGAAGCTGAGAATACAATTTAACGTCTCGATGAGAGATTTCACGAAATTTTGGGCGCTTTTCAATGCCGTCGAAGCTCTTTCTACCAAACGTAAGTTGAAGAGATAAATTTTTGGAAAAAAAATTCTAGCAATAAGATTTTCATAAGATTATTGATTTATTTTTATAAGTCAAAAAAGAATTTGGATTTCTTTCTCCGCCGTAATTAATTATTTAAAAAAATATTTTTTTTGGCGGAAAAACAAACAATTTTAAATTTAAATATTAATTTTAAAATTCATTAATTTGATTTTTTAAAATAAAATTTTTTACGAAATAATTTCATTTTACGTGAAAGGCATTTTTCTATCTCACTCTAGAACTCCTCAAAGTGGCCCTAGAAACACCGCTTTTAAAATTGTGACATGGCGAAGATATGCGCAATAAGTGTAGGGAAATGAGTTGTCCCTTGTCAGCGCAGTCACTCCCTTGTCGCCTTTGGAATGGCCCCCTTTGCGCGTCCTAGTGATAGTCGCTGACCTTCCAAACAAATATTTCGCTATCGATTCTCTTTTCAGCGCAAATTTACGGAAACTGCGGCGGAAATTATGCCGGCGTTTATGGTACTGTTGCTTCGCCTGGGTTCCCGTTGGCGAATTATCCGAAGAATTCTGCTTGTAAATGGACTGTAGAAGTGCCGAAAGGGATGATTGTCGAGGTAAGAGATCCAACTTCATTTTGACGAAGGAAATTTTTTGGACATGAAAAAAATTGAAGCTAAATTTCCGCAATTTTCGAGTTTTTCACACGTGTTTTGGAATCACTTCGGCGCCGTAATATTTCAAGCTCGAGTGTACCCGCGCTGTAGCGGATTTGTTCATTACGCCGAGTGAAAAACTGTTCACCAAAGCAGCTAAACCTAAACGTCACTTTTTCAGGTGGACATGGAATGGATGGATTTGGAGCCCGATCCGAGTGGATGCAATTTTGACTTTCTCGGTATCATTTATTTTCTTATCGCTTCTTTTCCTTTAGACACCCTTAAAATCCTTTCTAGCATTTTACGACCAAGGAACCAAACGAAGAAAAGAAAACACCTTCTGCGGATCCAAGCCAATTTTCCCCATCATTTCAAAAAGCAACCAATTCACGATCGAATTCGGATCAGACGGAAACGAGGAAAAATCTGGCTTCGCACTTCGCTGGATGGCTGTAGAACCGGCAAAAGAAATCTTCAACTGTGATTTTGAACAAGGAACATGTCTCGGGTGGGACTTGACTTCGATGGGAATCAGCGCAGAAGAAGGTGAGTCATCAGTTCTAGCTGTACACGTACAGTCGTAATCGCCGCCGCAAAGCACTTTTTTGTTCCCCACCGCAAAATAACGACCCGCGCCATTGATGTTTTCGGGAAAAAATCGAAATGAACAGAGTTGCTTGATTGACTGGGTTTTCAACAAATTGATGATTCAACTAAACTTTGTATTTGCGGTTCCAAAACTTAAGGAGCCCCCTGACGATAGAAAAATAAAATTTGCTTGAGATATTTTGCTAAATAAACCTCTTATAAGTATTGAGTCAATAATTTAACTCTATTTTTAAACCAAAAATCGAAATTTCATTTAAAAAATATTTAAATATATTTAAGAAACCGTCAATCAATTTAATATTTTTTCTCAGAACCTTTATCCTTGAACCTTCTTTTTACCCTTTCCACGTTTTGATGTGACTCAATAAGCGACTCGATTTTTAGAAAACTTCTACGCTGTGGCCGAACTCGATCTGTCTCCAAGTAACACCTCTTCCACAAGTTTCACCTTGGTCTCTCCCACCGTGTGGCCGACAGCGACCGACAACTGCTTCACATTTCAAGTCCGCCCAGGCTCCCTCGACTCCCTTCAAGTCATCGATTCCAGCGGCATCGAACTTTATTCCCAAAAAGTCGAGCTCGATCGAGGATTAGAAAATTGGTCGCTTGTTTCAGTTCCACTCCCGCGAGTGGTCGAGCCAGTTCATGTAACGTTACAATTTCGGAAGCTGATGATTAAGCTTTTATCGCTTTGAAAAAATATTTGAAAATTGAGATAGAAAATTTGAAGATGTTTGTTTTAGATCCGCATCAAGGGCGAGCACAGGGGAGATAGTCCAGTTCCAGCCGCGCTAGATGATTTCAATCTGGACTTTCAGAAATGCCCGATTCTCCGAGAAGGTAACGTGTTTTCGGAAGGATTTAACCTGTTTTGGGAAATTCACCAATAATTTTGTTCCGTGGAGAAAAGCTTTTTTCAATACAAAAACCTACAAATTAGCCGCTTGCGGCTTAAATTTCACATGAAAAAGCCGCAAATTTAGCCTGCGGCTTTTTTAAAATAATTTTAGCCGCAAGCGGCTAAAATATTTGATTTTTTTTAAATTTTTTTTAATGAATTTCTAAAGAAAAAATTAGGTTTTTTGTAGACTTAAATTCATTTAAAATTTTTCCGCGAAGAAAAATAGTCAGATCCGTTTGTAGAATCAGGAGCAGATTTAGCGGCTCGCGCAGGGCTCATCTGTCAACTGCTGGAGTCGCCATTACATGACAGATCTTTCCGGCGCGAATACGTGCAGGAAGTTTGAATCAGCTTCCCGAATTCTCAGATTTACTAATGACTGTGTTTTTAGCGTTCACATGCATTCATCGCTTTGATTATTTTTTGTTTTTCTTGCATGGGAAATTGAATATTCGAGTAAATAGTATCAATTTTCCTCGTTTTTAGAAATCTCGACAGCACCAGAATTTGAATTTATTATACAGAATTAAGTTAAAAATAAGCAAGTAATTTTTTATCAATAAAAATTAATCGCCATGGGAAAGAAAAAAATTCTAGCGCTAGGTTTTTTCGCTGCGGCTGGCTTTTCGAGTGTCAATTCCACAAATTGGGGGACTAATCATGAAGCGAAGGAATATGGAACAAAAGCTTGACAAAATGTGTTTAGATAAGCCGCCGTGCGGTCTTGGACTCTACAGATGTCAAAGTGGCAAGAATTGCATTCCCACAGAGTACATTTGCGATGGTGTTAAGGAATTGGTCCGAAAAAATATAGAAAATTCAAGATTTCATAAATTTTGTTATAATCTTCTCGGTATAGGAAAAAGGGTATCACTATGCAGCATAGTTAGGGTCAACGAGCAAAAAATCAACCCCCAAACCCCTTCAGGTAACTGCCCGAAACTTTGGGACTATATATATTTTGGCCCATCTTAAAAATTTGTAGTTGAAAATTTTTTGGTATGATAACGTTTTCGAGGGTCAGTAACACGTGATCACGTGGTCAGACCAAAAAATTTTCAATAACAATTTTTTTAGTTGGGCCCAAATACATATTGTCCCAAAGTTTCAAGGCTTTACCAAAAAGGGTTCTTGGGGTTGAATTTTTGCTCGTCGGCCCTAAGCATAGTCAGAAACTGGGCTTGATAACCTGTGTAGAAAATGTGAGTCAGGGTCTTGTCAAAACTATTTCAGGACCCTGACTCAGGTTTTTTCACAGGTTATCGAACCCAACTTTTGATAAAGCATGTTGACACCCTTACTTTTTCATTCAAGGTAAATTTTCTCGAACAAAAAAACAGGATTGCTTTCACGGAGATGACGAAGTCTCCTGTCAAAAACTGGAAATTCCAGCAACTCTTCTCTTCCCAACGCAGCTGGGCCCACAGCTCCCACCACAAGCGCTCCACCAGACACCACCACTCAAGGTAACAGTTTTCGTAAGCGATAGGGATTTACTGACACTAATTGCGATCTAAGAAAAAGAGTTGTTTTGACGAGCGAGCTCGGAATCCGCGAACTCGGAAATGCGAAATATAAAATTACAAAAGCTAAAAAGGACATGAATAGATTCGAAACTCTTAGAACTCAAAAGCTCGGCTAAACGTGAACAGCGCTAGAATTAACGAATCGTCATTATTTTTGTTCAGAAAATTACTGCGAAGAAAACGAGTACTCCTGCTTGGGGCGGGCGGGATGCATTCCAATCTCCTGGCTCTGCGATGGGACGAAAGGATAGGGTTGAAATTATGCCGGAGTTATCGAGGCTATCGCTTGGTCTTTTGGCTTTGATAAAATGCAAGCTTTAGAAAAGGCTTTCAAGGGAATATCTTTGAACCCAAAAATAGAATGCGCACTTGGAGATGACGAAGAAAACTGCCCCGAGAAAAAGGTAAAATTTATGGAAAAAATTCTTTCAGAAACAGAACAAACAACAACCACAACGGATTTCACGACAACAACCACTGTTTCTACATCCATCACAACATCGTCAACAACTCAAACTGCAACAACGACCGTGTCAATTAATGAAACAGAGTCAGAGAAGAGTGAAACGGATGTTGAGCTTCCACCCTTTTTCAAAAATTTCACCGAGTCCGGAATCGAAACAAACTCCTCCGTCATTCTCAAATCGCATCAAAACTCAACAATCATCGAAGAAGAACTCGAAATTGTCCAGCTCGTGCGCGTCGCTGCCCCAACACCAGATAGTGTCAAAGGAACATTACCGTCCCTAATTCTCTCGACAGTCATTCTCGTCCTTTTTTCCATCTTCTAAGTAGTCAATTTCTGCTCATGTAAATATTTTCTACCTCCTGCCCAGCTGTACAAAATAATCGCTCTGAAATAAAAATTTCTTTTTTTTTTCAAACAGTATCCAAATTCATTCAACGGAAACTGTGTCGACGCTCCCGATTGAAGGAAACTCCAAGGGCTGATAATTTCTCCATTTTTTCGTTTACGTCGTTGTCGTCAATCTGAGTTATTTTTTATCAAAATAAGAAAAAGAGACACTCACGGTAGATAAATCTGGATTGTAGTTATTCACGTTCAGAGTCCCATTAGTAGAATGGATCGAGTTTCTCGCGCCATAAAGTGGACCGATGGAATTTCTAGCGCTGTTGAAAGGCGCACGATATCGTTCTTCGGCAAAGTGTCGACCGATCAAGGTTTGGTTTTTGATAGAACGAATCTTTCTTTGGCAGAAATGACTGCATGCAGAGATGAAGTCCGCCACTAAAATTCAGAAACACTCATTTTTCAATAAGGGACAAATTGTCCCGGACAATATACCTGTCAAACCGATCGAAAGCAGACAAGTAATGGTCATGTAAAAGAGCGAGACTTTCTTTTCGGTTGGCTAAAAAATAGGGCAGCGTCAAAATAGCTCCTTTGAACAGGAGACCAAACCTTATTGACAAAGCATAAAATATTTTCATTCTTGTTGCACCACTGTCTAACGTAAACATCCTTCACAGGACAGTAGTACGTAGCTGGTACATCAAAGAGGCCAGCAAATGCGTATTCATGAGCGGCTCCGTATCGGCCAATGTTGTTCATATTCATCTTAATTTTTAATTTATGATAGAGATTCCGAATTACCTGTATCATCATCGAAAACGAAAAGAAAAAAAGCTCGATGCAGATTCTGCAAAGAAGATGGACTAAAAACGCGAATCGGATTTGTGGACTCCAGACAACTTCGACTACTTTCTTCCCCATCACTCGCAGTTTTCGTTTTTCTTTTCTTGCTTTCATCACTTCTCGATTCGTCAGCTTGGATGCTTCTGAAACAGATTCGTCGATTGTATGATCTGATCCGAAAATCGTAGATTTTTCTTCGAGCTTTCTTCTCTTCGCATCTGACAAAATTTCCATTGATCAATGCAAAGACGATACTGTACCTAATCGTCGTTTTCCATCCTCAAGATAAATGTAGCTCGTGAAAACAAAACTTGGAAAAAGCGTTGCGATCTTTTCAATGATTCTTTACGTGATGGAAGTCAAGGAAGAGTACAAATTTGAATCATTTCCAATTGAATTTGCCAAAGCTTGTCCAGTCCGATTGGCATAAAATTATTGTAGCAAGCATTCTGGCAACCGAATAATACCGTGTCACATTTAAAGTCCTCTAAAGAGCCTGTCCAGATCGCCGGACCAATCAAAGCAGCCATTCCTAGACGAAAGCCACCAGTTAGGACGTACCATAGGATGCCAAGACGGGTACTGTACAAAAGTGCTAGAAAATTGTCACGCGGAGAAGTTTATAAAGAAAACCTGTATTGGAGTATTCAATCAGTGTTTCTGCAAGAGCGAGCCCCATTTTAGTTGAATCTGATCAAAATTCGCAGCGTTAGGATATTCTCTCGTCAAGAGAAAAGAGCAAGGATTGAGGTGTATCCTGCTTTTATGGAGCAGGCCGTGGCTATCTAAACGTGTGCGCGGTAGACCGCATAAGAGGAATGAACATTCTCTTCCATTTCTTGCGAAAACAATAAGGGTTCATTATGAGGGGATGCCTCTCCCCAGATCGCCAATTGGCAATTGCCCAATTTGGGTGAGGGTTAGGGTTAGGGAGTATGATGGTCATAATTTTATTCATAACTTTTTTATTCGTATCAACAGAAACTACATTTGCGTTCTCGGTCGAGTTTATCAAACGATGTTCCAGTCGATAATTTCTCAGCTTTTTCGATGGCGGGTGCTTCATCAACCTTATTTTTTTACATTTTCAGAAACTAAAGAGCTCCTACCGGCGATATTTCGTGGTGGAAGCTTTCCCTGAAATACCCGTTTGGGACAGCTAGGGAACTTCTAGCGCTGGCGAGCGGAGCACGGTAACGTTCTTCGGCAAAGTGTCGACCGATCAAGGCACGATTTTTGATGGAGCGGATCTTTCGATGGAAAAAATGGCTGCATGCAGAAACGAAGTCCGTCACTTTAGCCAATGATAAAGGTCTTTTGTACAGATTCGAGAGTACCTGTAAGAGCAATTGAGAGAAGACAGGTGATGGTCATGTAGAAGAGGGAGATTTTCTTTTCTGTTGGCTAGAATTTTTTAAAGGGAGGACCTTTGGTTAAATTACTTTATTGACGAAGCAAAGAATGTTCTTGTTTTTGTTGCACCACTGTCTGACGTAAACGTCCTTGACTGGACAGTAGTAAGTGGCTGGTACATCAAATAGTCCGACAAAGGCGTATTGATGATCGGCTCCGTATCGCCCGATGTTGTTCATATTCAGCTGAATTTTCAATGTTTAGGAGGATAAAAATGGCATTATAATGGCAATAAAGGAACCTGGATCAGCGTCGAAAACGAAAAGAAGCACACTTCAACGCAGAGTCTGCAAAGAAGATGGACCAAAAACGCGAATCGAATCTGCTGGCTCCAGACCACCTCAACCACCTTCTTCCCCATCACTCGCAGTTTTCGTTTTTCTTTTCTCGCCTTCATTACTTCCCGATTTGTGAGCTTCGACGCTTCAGAAACAGATTCTTCGATTGTATGATCTGATCCAAAATTTGTCGATTTTTCCTCCAGTTTTCTTCTTCTCGCATCTGTAAAATTTCAAATCAGGAGAGCTAGACTCGAAAAGCCTAACTGTACCTAATCGTCGTTTTCCATCTTCAAGATAAATATAGCTCGTGAAGACAAAACTCGGAAAAAGCGTCGCAATCTTTAAAATGATTCAATTTTTTTCTGCTAAAATCAAGGAAGAGTACGATCCTTCGAATCCCTTCCAATTGAATTTGCCAAAGTTTATCAAGTCCAATTGGCATAAAATTATTGTAGCAAGCATTTTCGCAACCGAATAAAACCGTGTCACATTTGAAATCATCAGCAGTGCCAGTCCAGATCGCCGGGCCAATCAAAGCCGCCATTCCAAGTCGAAAGCCGCAAGTAAGGGCGTACCATAGAATGCCAAGGCGGGTACTGTACAAGATCGCTACGATACAGTAAGCGGGAAAAACTCATTCTGGCTTGAATAAAAAACCTGTGTTTGAATATTCAATTAATGTTTCTGCAAGCGCCAGCCCCATTTCAAAAATGATCCTGCGAAAATTGGCTTCAGTGGTAAACTCTCTTGCCAAGATAAAATGCAAGGTTGCAGATTCATGCTTGCTTTTATGAAGATGATCGCGGCTATCTAAACGGTGCGCGGTAGACCGCAAAAGTGGACTGTAGCTTCTGTTCTATTCCTAACGAAAACATAAAGGGTTCACTTTGAAGAGAGCGACGTTTATTTCAGAGCAAGACTAGTATTCAAAGAGTGAATTCAATTCTGATACGAAAGCGAGCAATTTCTACTTTCGCGGTATCTCCGGTCATCTGCAGATTTCTCTTTCCATTCAAATTTTATGGAATTCTGGTTGGAATCAAAAGACTTGCTCTCGGCCTAACAGGGTGAGTTTATTTTACTTATTCTGTTTTACGATGATTTAGGCTTCTGATCTTCGGCCTTCAAGAAATCCCAAACAAGTTCGGCTCGACACAATTTTTGGAGTTAAGAAGATTTGGAGTAAGCTTAAAGGAGCAACTTTATTTTCCGGAGATACTCCAAATCGGAGCAAAATTTCAAAGCCGATTTTAATGGTGTTAAGGGCCTCCCGGCCCTGTCAAACCCCGGCAAAAACGCGCCTCCGGGCCCGGACTTTCTTTTGAGCTATTCAGATACCCTTAAATATTTCTGCAACACCCTTAAAATCGGCGTTGAAATTTTGCTCCAATTTGGAGTATCTCCGGAAAATAAAGTTGCTCCTTTTAGCTTACTCCAAATCTTCTTAACTCCTAAAATTGACCATAGCCAACAAGTTCGGCAAGAATGGTTTCGCTGGTGTTTTTTATTTCTTTATTGCTATTCAAGTTCTCATGATAATATTTCCTATCAGATAGGACCTATCTGCTTCGGAAGAAAACTTTTCTCAATAAAAATTCACGCATGAATATTTTACTACAGTACAGTGTATTTTGTCGTCTAGTCTAGTTTCAACTTTAAAGTGAGCCTTTTCGCTTTTCAAATGACATTTAGAAAAAATCCACCTAGACAAGTGGCAGGAATATTATCTATTCAAAGAAATGACTCCGAAGAAAGACTCAGCAACAATGACATCAAGGAAAAAACCCAAGCCTCAAGCAATCTAGGTTGAAAAGCCAATTTCCGCTTACGTTAAATAATAAATAAATTGTTTCAACAAAAAAGTTCACTCACCATTTGCTGAAGAGAAAAAAATTCTGAAAATATGGATTCGAAGCCATCAGCAAGAATTGTAAGAACAGGAACGAGTTTAGATATTAGTGAAATTTTCAGAAATGGACGAATCAAAGAGAATTCGTCTTGACGGTAGCTGGTTGTTGCATTGGACTTGGAAATGTTTGGCGATTTCCGTACTTGTGTTATAAATATGGAGGCGGTGCATTCCTGGTCCCTTATTTTACCTTTGTTCTGCTCGTGGCAGTGCCGACAATGTTGCTCGAATTTTCAATGGGCCAGTTCATGTCGCTTGGAGGAATAAAAGTATGGAAAATTGTTCCGATCGCGAAAGGCATTGGCTTTGCTGGGATGATTCTTTCGAGCTGGTTCGCTATCTACTACGTGGTGATTCTCGCGTGGGCACTTTTTTACTTTCTCCACTCTGCAACCGGAAATTCTCCTTGGTCAAACTGTGACAACTCCTTCAACAGCCCCTGCTGTTCTTCGGAATATAATCAAAACGGAACCCTCGTCATCCCCGAAGCTTGCAACTCTACAGCCCAGTTGCCCGAAACAGAATTCTGGTTTCAGCGAACTTTGAACATTTCTTCTGGTTTTGAAGATGTAGGAAGGCTTCGATTAGAGCTTCTCGGCTGTCTTGTCATTATGTGGGTTCTTGTCTTCTTCTGTGTTTTCAAGGGGATCAAGTCAACTGGCAAATCTGCTTATGTAACAGGTAATTTTCTTCCAAGATTTCTTCCATCAACTTTCAATAATTCAGCAACGATGCCAATGATCATGCTCCTCTTCCTCGTTGGAAACGGAGTCTCCCTCCCAGGAGCTTCAATCGGCCTAAGATATTACCTCAAACCAGTTTACCATAAACTCGTCGATCCAGAAGTATGGCTTGCTGCCGGCAGCCAAGTCATCTTTAGCTACGTCCTCGGCACTGGAGTTCTTACAACGCTTGGAAGCTTCAACAAATACGATTATAACATTTTCAAATGGACCTCTCGGCTTTGCTTCCTGAATTGTTCCGCCTCGTTTCTCGCTGGAATCGCAATTTTTAGCGTCTTGGGAAACATGTCGTACGAAACAGGCATTCCGATGGAGACAGTTGGACGAAGTGGACCAGGACTGGCTTTCATCGCCTATCCCAGGGCTTTGAAAGCACTGCCGTATTGCCACGTCTGGTTCAGTTTGTTCTTTGGAATGTTGATCATTCTTGGTTTGGCTTCGGAATGCTCAGTTATTGAGTCGATTTCGTCAATGATCGTGGACTTCCATCAAAGCTGGTTTGACAAGAAGAAACATAGAAGACCCATCTTTGTGTTCTTTGTTTGCGTTTTGTTTTTCTTGATGGCTCTTCCACTAATCAATCAAGGTAAACCTTTAACGACAAATTTTTTCACTCCGATTTCAGGTGGAATCTTCCTCTTCAATTTATACGACTCATATTCGGTCTCTGGAATCTGCGTCCTCGTTGTTGTCATCAGCCAGAGCATCGCAATGGGCTGGCTTTACGGAGTCGAAAAATTCTACGACGATCTTTTTGACATGTTCGGCCACAAAATGGATCCCCGAAGACGACCATGGTCATTTTTCGGAATCTGCTGGAAATGGATTACGCCTGCAATTTGCTCAGCTGTTTTGCTTGCACAAGTTATTTCGGTGAAAAAGCCAAGTTACAGTCTTCCAAGTGGAATTTATCAGTATCCAGCTTCGGGAACTGCCGTTGCAGCTTTTATGACTCTGTCCAGTATTATTTGCATTCCGATTTACGCGCTAAAGAAACGGTCCCGTTGATTAATTTTCGTAAAATATGAAATGAAGCGACCGCGAAAATAGAAAATTATGAGTGAGATCAAAAGCCCTTACGGATTTAAAAGTTTTTCTCGAGCTTTCGAGCTCTTAACGCTGCCCAATCTTCCGGTAGATCATCCTTCAAGGTTTGTTACAGAGAGAATTGAAATCTAAAGGATTTTCAAGGCAAGAACTGAAGTTAATTGATGAACAAAAGTAACTGAACGTTCATTTACTGATTCAAAGCTTCCGCTCCAACACTTTATCTAAATAAATTTAATTACTGAATTCACAATTCTTTGAATCCAATCGCAAATATCAAACTGACTTGAGGAACGAACTTCATATTTACTGAGTAATTTGCCTGTACTTCAAAAAAAACCATCCAGTCAAATTGTTCCAACTTCAAAAATGAGATTTCCAAGCATTTTTATCTTTTTGGAGGGCGTTTTCGTCGCCGATTGCAGCTCGAAAGCTCGTCAGCGGTCGGATTTTCTTGGCAACGATATTTTTCGCACAAGACCACTTATTTACTCTTCAAAAAATGATTTGTATCAAGAAAATGTTGAATCAGAAGCTGTTGGGGCCAGCAAACCGGGATTCTCGAAAAATGACGATATCGAGAGAAGCTTTGAAATCAAGGAAGACGAATGCCCGTGAGTTTAGTATTTAAGGTTCGTGTGTCAACTCCTATTAAGTGATAAAGCCTTGCAGTCAGAATGCGAAGGTGTTTGCCGAGTCGAGTACAACAGATGCCGTCTTCTCTGCGAAACGGAGTACTGCCAGTCAATCTGTGACAGGGAATTCCAAAGTAAATAAAAATGAATGAATAATTTCCACTAATTCTAAGGTTGCCGCGACAACTGTCCCTGCGGAGAAAACTGCAAAGAAGGATGTTTCAACTGCGACAACGAAATTTGCCGGGGATGTTTTCAAAATTAGTTAGTCTGATTTTTTGTGACACCAAATGTTTAGGAGACAACAACGATAACTGTCATAACAACAACGATGCCATTATCTGAACAAGTAATTTTTGTGAAATAAAAATGATTGGTAATCTTTTCAGCACATTCTGGTAATTGGCGACAGTTTGAATGAGGCTTTCTCGATCTCTTTCGACGGGTCGACAAAGACGCCAAAATCAATCACAGGAAAAATAGACGAATACGTTCGCTCGGCTCCTCATGCTTTAGTCAACGGCGAGTTCTTTATTTTCGGTGGATTCATGGATTCTTATAAAGTAAGCAAATTTTTAAGGCATTGAATTAATTACTGTAATGATTTTAAGATTGCTAAATTGACTGGATGTAACTGGGAAGAACAGCCTCAAAGACTGACGAATAGATTTGGTGCTGGTTCCGCTGCACTCACCATTGAAGACAAAGCATTAATTTGCTTCGATTACATGGACAGAAACAATTGTGAAATTTACGATGGAAAGTCGGTAGTCTCCACTTACTCGGCTAAAAGGCATTACGCTGGCAAACTGGCATTCTTCAAGGGGCAACCGACAACAGTTAGCGGCGACTATAGTTGGTCTTCTGACTCAAAATTAGTGGAGACTCTTAGTTCCACCGGTTGGGTTTCTTTAGGCGATTTTCCGAGGTAGTTGAAAACTGATTCTTTTGAATTTTCATCTTTAGTGTAATCGCTTACCATGTTCTTATCGGGCTTCCGAGTGGAAACCTCTTGCTGGCAGGAGGAGAAATTTATGAAGACGACGACTGGACTACTCAAACAGCAATTTGGCTTCTTGAAAGCGACATTTGGAAAACAATCGGAAATCTTCAAAATGTAAGCTTCAGAATTTATAATTTGATATTCTTGAAGAACTAAGGATCTTATCTTAGGCTGACTACGGAGGATCCGGAATAATGATCGATGATTCAATTTTCATCGTCTCTGGCTACGAAAAGCCACACGCAATTCAACGACTCGATCTTAAAGGAGATTATCTGGTCAATCAAGAAGTCATTGGGAACTCTTTTGCCAGTTGGATTCCCGTTCTCTTGGAAGTTTCTGCTGATTATTGCCTCTAAAGAATCCTCATCAAATAATAAATCTTGACTTTGTTGAATCTCTTTTTTCCCGAGCAGTTTTCATCTGAAACTTTCAGACTGAAAGAACCTGAAGAAAGATTTATTTCTTCGGGCAAATTTGCGATAGACAAATTGATGAAAAAAGACGCTAATTATCTTCAATTATCCTCTTATTTTCTCGGAATTTCATCAGGTGAAGCGCCCGATACACCGATTTTATACGAACGCAAATATCAAATCGACTTGAAGAACGAACTTGACATTTACTGAGTAATTTGCCTGAACTTCAAAAAAAATCATCCAGTCAAATTGTTCCAACTTCACAAATGATTTTTTTAAGCTTTTTTATCTTTTTGGAGGGCCTTTTCCTCGTCAATTGCAGCTCGAAAGCTCGTCAGCGGTCGGATTTTCTTGGCAACGATAATTTTCGCCCTAGACCGTTTTCTAATTCAACTGATTTGTATCTAGAAGATCTTGAATCAGAAGCTGTTGGGGCCAACAAACCTGGATTTTTGAAAAATGGCGAGCTCGAGAGAAGCTTTGAAATCAAGGAAGACGACTGCCCGTGAGTTTATTATTTTTGGATTTCGTGTCAATTCGTTTTCAGGGATAAAGACTTGCAATCAGAATGCGAAGATGTTTGCCGAGTCGAATACAACAGATGCCGTCTCCTCTGCGAAACGGAGTACTGCCAATCAATCTGTGAGAAGGAACTTCAAAGTAAAAAAAAATTAGTGAAAAATTTCTACGTTTTCTAAGGTTGCCGCGACAACTGTCCCTGTGGAGAAAACTGTCAAGAAGGATGCTTTAATTGCGAAAATCATATCTGTCCGGTGCGTTGACGAAATGAATTGTTCATTAATTTTTTGAATCATAACACGAAGAATTCAGGAGACAATAACGACGACAGTCATAACGACAACGATCTCAACATCTGATGAGGTAAAAGTTATCAAGTAAGTAATCCTAATAAATTTTACTTCAAGCACATTTTGGTTATGGGGGAAAGTTTGGAAAAGGCTTTCTCTATTTCTTTCGATGGATCAACAAAAGCTCAAAAAACGATCATCGCAAAAAGTGACCGCTACGTTCGTGCAGCTCCGCATGCCTTTGTCAAGGGCGAGTTGTTCATTTTTGGTGGATTTAGCGACTCACGCAAAGTAAACGCATTTCATCATTTTGAAAAAATATTCTCAAGATTGCTAAATTGAGTGGCTGTGAATGGATAGAACAGCCTCAACAAATGACCAACATTTATTCTGCTGGATCCGCCGCACTAACTATTAATGACAGTGCATTAATTTGTTTCGATTACACGTTCCTTACTCAATGTGAAATATACGACGGAGAATCGGCAATCTCAACTTACTCGACCTCATCGAGGCATTACGGAGGCAAACTGGCATTCTTCAAGGGACAACCGACAACAGTTGGGGGCGACTGGTTTGGCTCTTCTAGCCCGAAAAAGGTGGAGACTCTGAGCTCTACTGGCTGGGTTTCTTTGAACGATTTCCCGATGTATTTCAAAAAATTTGATTCTTAAATAAAAATCTTAAGGATAATTGCTTATCATGTTCTTATTGGCCTTCCGAGTGGAAATCTTTTACTGGCTGGAGGAGAAACATATGAGGACAACTGGGTTGCTCAAACTGCAATTTGGCTTCTTGAAAACGACACTTGGAAAACGATCGGGAATCTTCAAAACGTAAGCTTCAGATTCGAATAATTGTCAGAGTTAAATTCATCTCAGGCTGACTACGGAGGATCTGGAATAATGATCGACGATTCAATTTTCATCGTCTCCGGTTACAAAGATCCACATTCAATTCAGCGACTTGATTTAGAAGGAGATAACCTGGTCAATCAAGAAGTCATTGGAGACACATTTCATAGTTCGATACCTGTTCTTTTGAAAGTTTCCGCTGATTATTGCGCCTGAAGAGTCCAGATCAAATAGTAAAGATTGATTTTGCAGAATCTGTTTCTTTTAATCGAGTATTTTTTTAGCAGTTCTCTCCTGCAGGCTACAGTTCCGCAGCATTAGGTTATCCAAATAAATATAAAAAGCACGGGAGGCTCTAAAACCCAAAACGCAGCTACCACCCGTCAATCGGTTAAAACACGATCGGTGTCAGGGAAAACACACAACCGCGGCCAAGTTCATTGCGCAGAATCAACGCATGTGCATGCCGCAGCCGTTTCACGCTTGCGTGGATTCAAGTCCAAAAAGAGTAAGCCAAACTTGCGCCAAATTATCCCTCGAAGACGCCACCTGAGATGCTCACCTAGCACCTTGATTTTTATATTGAAAAAATGCTCCAAAATTGTATGTAAAGCTCTTTTGATTTCGGCTTTTTAATTCCTGTCAGTTGTTAGTACTCTTTTTGATCTCAGCCCTGGGAAAAAAGGGATGAAAACAGTTGGAAAAGGTGATAAGAAAATAGAATATGTTTATTAGAAAAAATATAGAGCAGTAGAAAAGAGTTTAGCTTCGTTAATATTTTTTTTACAACGTTTGATTTTCTTCAACTTTGAGGAGAATCGCCTGTTCAGAATCAGGCGTGACTCCTGTCAATCTCAAGTCAATCGAAGTCAGAGTCGAGTTGCTCCGCATCGCGTGTTGAAGATTCTTGCCGGATTCTTCCCCAATATTGCAAGAAGCAAGCAACACTTCTTCAAGCGTTTCATTCTTCGACAGCACAGCTAGAAAACGCCGGAAATTGGGCACTTGAAAAATCAATAGTACTTACAGGAAAGTGCCTTTCCAAATCCCTCTCCGAGATTATTCGCAGCAATATGCAAGTTCGTCAGGGTCGAGTTGCTTTCGAGGGCGTCGCAAATGAGCTCTCCACCGATATCGTTGATAAAGTTTTGCGTTAAATTCAGTTTCTACCGATTGGGATTTATTTTTGCTTATTGTTTGCAAAGCTGTTTAGGTTCTTATCGATAACCCTAACCAAAAACTTTTCAAAACACGAAAAATCAAGGGGAAAAATCAAGGAAAAAATCCCAAGTCTTGAGTCTCGTGAGATCCTTCAAAAGCGAATTAGCAATCGCCCCAGCGCCTTCGTCTCCGATCTCATTGTCTTCGAGGATGAGCTCTTCGAGCGTATTCACCGTCGATACAAGCTGAAAAGGGGATTAAATTATCGCCGATGCAGATTACTGAAAAAATCATCTGTAGCGTGAAATACAATTATATTTTCAATAGAAATTTTCAACCGCAAAAGCTTCAAAAACTCCATCAAAAAAATATTACCCGAAATTGTCCCCCTTCCGTAAAATCATCCATAAGTCGCTAAACCTTCTACCCTTCCCATGCCCAACCCTGCCCATCTGTTTCTCAGCCGCTTTTCCTTCTGAGAAAATAAAATCTTCAAATGACAAGTTCGCCGAAACCATCTGCTCACATCCTGTCGCGCTATTAAATTTCCCATAAAGACAGATTTCACCGATCCTGCGAGTGATACCATAAGCGTAATTTCTTATCAAAGGCTTCGATCGGCCAGCACAAGAAACACCTGGCCAGCATCCCACACTGCGCTCCGGCGGCGCTCGAGATCGATCTGTCGCGAATTTAACCGAAAACGCCCCGCAGAGGAACATCACATCTCGACAAACGGTTTTCAATTATTCCCTTTTGCAGATAACAAAAGAGACTTCCCTCTCATTCCTCAAAAACTCCCCAAAGAAAAGCGAAAGAAAAATGATGGAAGCTAACCCAAAAGAGATTAAAAACCACCGATGTCTTCTTTGCGAGGTAAGATTTCTAGTGATCAATGAAAACCGTAATTGTTCAATTAGTTAATGAGATCTATTTATTAGATTTAAAGCGCTTACTTCTCGAGAAATAATTATTAATCTCCATGGGATCTAGATCAAAAGCTTCCACTTTTCTTAGCTCGATTCTAAAAATTCTAGTTCTACTTTTATTCCAACAATAATACTAACAAGTCAAGGAAAACGGAAGTTGTCAACAATTTCCGCTCCCCTTGTCATCCCTTATTTCCGCCTGACCGAGTTTCTTTTTAGGCTGGACCTGGTCTTTGCATGTTCCGCCCTGGTCAACAAATGCCCGAGATCAAGAAGAAAACCCTCCGCGCCCGCTTCTCGCACAAAATGAAGAAGTTTTTGAAACACTAACCGCCCGAGAAATTCTAATTTACGCACCTTTCCGATCGCCCTCGCAGCCGAGCATCTGAGATGATTTCTTCGCAAGTCCAAGACGCGAAGGTTCGGATGTTTGAGAAGAGATTTGATGATGATCCGAGCGTTTCCATCGTCCAGTCGCGATTCCGTCAGTCGAAGTACTTTCAGCTGTGGACAAGTTCCCATTGTCGAAGAAATCATTAAAGCATCGTGTTGCGTAAACTTAAATATTTCTGTAAATAAACGATTCTATTCTATTCAAAAAAAAAATATGTTAAAAAGCATCATTTTGTAACGCATGGGAGCGGAAATTTGAGCCTGTTGGTGATAAAGTTGACTGAAAAAGTAACGTAGGGAGTGACGTAGTTGTTGAAACATTTCAATGTCATGACAATTTCATGAAGCCATAGCAGTATTAAAAGTTATGTTGAGGGAAAAAATTTCTCGAAGAAATAATTCATAATAAGTCCTTTCTGCCATTTCACAGGCAATTGAGCATTTCTACGCATTTCTGGATCAATATAAAAACTTCTTTCATGCGAGCTGATAACTTCCTGAGCTGGCAGCAAATCGATGACATTTGGTTGAGTTATGGTCACCCGTCCGTATAGCCACCCTTCTCGGGCTCATACTGGGCTGCTCAATTAATTGAAATGATTGTTTTGAGCGAAAATAATACTGCTTGGAAATGAACTCATTCAAGAACCCATTGTTTGCGAAAAAAATACTCAAGGGCCATTTTGAAATGAGTTCAAGGGGTCGTTTTTTGGTTTTTAAAAGTAGAAAAATTCAGTCATTCAAATACATGCAAGCGAAACGGCTTTGGGAAATTCCCCTCTTCATAAAAAACCCAACGGTAAACAGTAAACAACGCCATATAAATTTTATCCGTTTGATCGCCGCGATAACAGGTTTATTTAGGGGTTTAACGACACGAGAGTCTGCGGTAATTTTCCGCAAATTTCATCCCCCGTCGCCACCTCAAGCATCTCCGGGGTCAATTTTTATTTTTCGATCAATAGAAAAGTGGAAGTCATGAAATTCCTTTTATTTATTTGCAAATATCTTTACTCCCAATTCTTACCGTGAAAAAGCCCCACTCGAAATTCATGCCGACGTTTTTGACCTGGAATTGGATGCTGAATTCTTCTAGTTTTTTCAATTCCGCGACGATGGGCGACAAGTCCATATGGCTAGGGCTGTCTTCCTCATCGTCGTCTTCTTCGTTAATTTCTTTGATGTCCGGAATCGGGGGTAAAATTTGCTCGATGTTGAGTCGCCTCACTTCCGATTTGGCCAAGTTTACAACTCTTCGCAATTCATCGATATCGCTTCGATTAGGGACAAAATGCTCGATTGCCTCTTCCAGCGTCTTTTCCAAGAACATTCGCTTATAGGAGCCGCCATATCGAGCGATATCGTAAACTGGCTTTAATCTGGTTCAAAGAGCGGAAAATTTTATTATTCAAAATATATCGAGTAAGAGTCAAGTCGAACCAGTGCCCAAATCTCATCCGCCCGCCGTTTCCAGTACGTATTGTCGTCTATCAAAACAGCTTTCTCAAGTGGAACGTCGAGGGCGAGCTTTTCGACGAGTACCGATCGTTCCTTTTCGCCCGGCAGCTCGGAAAAGTGAGGAAAATCATTCCAATTAGCAACTAAAAAATATCATTTCCTTGCCTTACTTCTTTTTTACTTACCAATAGTTTTGAGAGCAATCTGTCTTAGAAACGGAACCGTCTGAAGCGTCCACTCATCATCTTCCGCAATAATTCGCCTGGTCATTATTGCTGCCATGCTTACGTTGATAAATTCGCTCTTTGAAAATGTTTTTATTGATGAAGATTGAAAGTTTGAAAAAGCAGATTTATCAATAATTGCAATTAAAAAAGTCTTGATGATTCATCTTTTGAGCATTTTTACATGATCTGGGAACAGTGAAGAGAGTAAGAACAAGAAATACGGAAGAAGAGAAGGTTAATCGAGAAATTGGCGGAATGCGTTGTAGCTTTGTTCCAGATCGAAGAGCATCTGGCGAGCTTGTTCTTCTACAAAACCGGTTGTTTTGGAAACGAAAGGGTTGGTTAACCTGTGATTTCATCTGACGCAGCCATGGGTCGAAGCTCAGCCTCCCAGGATTTCTGCGATTCTTTAATTCCCTCAGGCACGTCCGTCATTCGATCGAGATTGACAACGAGCTCGCGGAGTTCCGGATAAAGACTGTCTTTCGAGTAGTTTTCCAAGTGAATTCGATCTTGAAAAAATACTTATAATAAGAGTCCTCCTTGCTTTCAGACCTTGCAGCGAGATAAAGCCAGCAATAACGTCGGCGATGAGCACATTTTGGTTTCCTTTATTGTCCCTGTTCGTAATCGGTCTGTCTTCCTTGATTCTCGCCATTGCCAAGCGACAATCGAGACGGTATTTTTGCACAAACTCTTCCACTAAAGCAGCTCTCATTAGCGATAGTTTTCGATAAGTTTTCTATGAGAAACAGCAAGAAAATCTCATGGGCGGAACAACTCACCAGATGTTATCTCAGACTGCGGAAGAGCAGTTTTGTACTGCACTAAGAGCCTTGAGCACTGATTCTCGTACTCTTTCGTGCTGATTGCATCCTTGATATTCGCCTTTTCGAGCTCTTGCAGAGTCTTGATTATTGAATACAATTCTGCCTGGTTTTCGATTTCTTCGCGGTCACGGGCGTTTTCATGAAGTCGAACTTCTTGGTACAGACTCATTCTTTTGAAGATGCATTTAAGAACTTTGAATTTCGCTGAACTTTATTTTGAAAGAGGCTGAAAAGAGTTACAGAAAAGAGTTGAGGAAGGAAAAGTTATAACAGTCGGTATTTAATATTGCACCTAGAAATTCTAAGAAGGTATGAGGCTCTTCGTTTAGCGCTTGAACTGCTTTTTCATCGCTCTAGAATGCAATAAGAACGACGAAACGGGATGAAAACTTACAAAACATCAACTTTTGTGAACTGTAAAATCGTCTCCAGCGCCGCCAGCATCGATTTCTTCTTCGTCCCTTCGGGAGCCGCCAGAAATTGAACAACTAAATCACACAATAGACCTCCCTTCTTATGTAAATTTTCTCAAGCTTACTCAAGTTTCTCATGTACTCCTTGGAAGCAGGCGAGTCGTCACGCTCTTGGGCTTGAATCTTTTCTTTGAAAGAATGAACTTCTTCTTGGGACTCGGCGAGTTTTTCTTGGAGACCGCGGATGCGCGATTCTAGCTCGTTTCGACGGCTCCGATGGGTGTTGATTTCTACGTCTTTTCGGGCTAACTAAACATGATTTGGAAATTTTGAAACTAATCTAAAGTGAAGGGAGATCTTCAACTGTAAAATCGACTGTACCTGTTCGGCGTACATAATCAAGGCAGTATCAATATTAGCATCCCCATTTTGCATCAATTGACCAACCGAATCTGGCTGCTCTTTTTCAGCTCCGTCATTTTGTTTTCTCAGGATTTCGATTTCGTTATCCTTGTCAGCCAGAATCTTCTGACTTCGTTCTCGCATTTGGGCGAGTTCGGCTTCGAATTCGGCGATTTTTTCGTTGGCGCGGTTTTCGGAGTCGATTTTTTGCTGATCCGCTTAAGGAAAGGTTGGAGATGGATTTTGAATTCGAGGAAAAGAACCTGAAATCTTCACTGATTCTAGTTTCATCCTGTGCTCTTCGTTGTTCGCGTCGATTTGCTGCTTGAGCTTTTCTTTCTCCCTCCTGACGGTGATAAGCGTCGCCTTGAGACTTTTGATCTCGTCTTTCAGCTCATCCGCGAATCCGACCGGCTGAGCCTTTGGCGCTGATTTTTCCTCTTCATCCTTTTTTACGAGCTTGATTTTCGTTTCTTCGAGCTCGAGTGACAGCTGTTTGATGTCGTCCTGCGCCTGGATAAATAAACGGAAGTAGTCTTGCTTCTCATCTTGGACCGAGTCTTTTGATGTGTTTGTCGAGGTTAGGGCTTGGGATTCGCGCAGCTAAAAATGAACTTGATCGCTAAAAATAACATGAAGGGAGATAAAAATCGGTCAACCAAGGACTCGGAGGATGGAAAATGGGCTAAGCAAATAAGGTCGATTACTGTAATCCTCCTCAAATTGTCCTCTAACAGCATGCCACATGTGACCTAACTCAGTACGTTAGAGCGCCACCGACGAAAGTACTGAAGTTCCAGTCTTTATAAAGAAACTGAAATCGCTTTCAATTATCAATTTAAAAATAATGATCGAGGATTCGTAAAATGAGAAGACAAGAAATTTACATGAAGTTGATTCAGATAATTTTTGGCTGTGAAGATAGCCCTGAAAATTACAAGATGAAGCGGGGTCCTACGGAAATTGTATCTCTATGAAATGATGCCTTTTGATCAATTTCAGTTTTTCTTCATAAGAAGTTCGTATGGCTGTCTGTTTTTTTTTTGAATTTAATATGAGTTCTGATATTATTTGATAAATAAATGAAAAAATGATTGTCCAAAAACTTTGTAAAGTGATTTCTGAAAAAAAAACAGAAATTGAAAATACCTGTTCAATGAGTTCTTTTTGTGCAAGAGTCTTCTGAACTTCCACCGACTTTTCCCTTTCAAGCTCTGAGCAAAGATTCGTCACTCCAGTAATTCTATCTTCGAGTTCCGAAACTTTTGTCTCATTTGCCTCCACCGTCGACTTCAATTTTTCCCGAAGCTCGTCAACTGTTTTTTGCAGCGAAGAATTACTTTGCGTGAGTTCGGAAATTTTGTCATTTGCGCGAGTTTTGATATTTTTTATTTCTCCGTTTTTCTCCGCAAGTTTCTTTTTCGCTTGTTCTAGTTTTTCGTCGAACTGCTTGGTCAGATTCTCGTTGGATTCAGAAGCCTGTTGCTTCGATTTTTCCTCAGAGCGCTTTTGCAAGTTTTTCAGCTCTTCTTTCAGAGTTGCGATATTTTGCTTGAAATCGTCGGATTTCTTGCGCTCGGAGTTAAGTTGCTAAAAAACACGAATTCAACATGTTATCAGATATTTATTCCAACATTCAATTCTCCAGTAGTAATTTATTCAATGGATTTTTAAGTATCTCCAGGGTCAATATCGGTATCTAAACTTGCAAAAAATGCATCATTTTCTCAAACCTCCGGGGGTAAAATTTTACCTCCGAGAAAGGCTTTTATGCAGTTATCTTTACTCGCGGCATCTAGTGGTACGACAGCTGATATTTATGGTAAGATTCTCTGACGATAGCGTCAAGCCTCACCGTCGATTCGAAAATATAAAATGCCTTGAAACTTTGGTGTAACTTATTGTAGAACGATACTCATAATAGCTAGTCAGAAAAATCTATTTTCATAAAAGTAGGTTTTGTCCAAATGCAGGAATTTTTTCCCTTCGAAAATTGAAATTTCTCTCAAATTTACCTTTTGTAGCTCTCTGTTTGTAATTTTCGAAGCATTCGTCTCCGCCTCCATCGCAAGAATCCTCTCCTTAGTGCTGCTTTTGTACTCGTTCAGCTCTTCAAGATAGCGTTTTCTCTCGCTAACGGCAGTTTCATGATCTTTTTCCAGCTTCGAAAATCGCTCCTCAAATTCTTGCTTCATCTTCTTCCGGTCGTTCTGGAAAGTTTCCTGCATTTTCGTCCTTTCGGCGCTCATTTGCGCGAGGGAAGAGGTAAGACGGGCGATTTTTGCTTGATCAGCTGAGGAAGAGTCGGATTGACTTTCGTTCTCCGAGGAGTCTTTTGACTCGCCATTCTCGGTCGATTCCGGATCAGTTTCAGACTTGGCTGGTTCCGGAGAGGAAGCAAGAGCTGCTAGGCTTTCTTCAAGGGTGTTCTTTTCATCCTAAAAATATAGTTTAGCGGAAATTCAATCGCATAGAATCAATGGATAAATAACAGCTGTCGAAAAAGCTGACTTGCATCTGTCCACCATCCCCGACGGATGAAAAATCAGCTGCTAGTGAAGCATAAAAAGTACGAAGAGGTGTTCAGTTATTACCAAAAACGATGAAATGACTTCGAAAGTACTTTTAGAGCATGGATAGACCATATACGGTTTTTGTCAAAATTTACTGTAATAGTGCTAGAAACTGATAAAACAGAGATCTCTATTGATAAATATACAACTGATTTACTTGAAATGAACCAAAATACTCAATTAGTTCTGAATGGTTTGTCTGAACTGATCTGAAACCATACACATTCTTCTTTTGTAATAAATAAATAAAACCTGAAACGAACCTGAAGTGTCTTGTAAGCAGCAACTAGGTTCGCAAGCCTAGTCTTTGTCTTTTTCAACTGTGCTTCTTGTAATTCGCATTTTTCCGCAAGCTCGCGGGTAGAAATGCTATTTCCACCCTTGAAAAAACTCATCTCATTCTTTTTTCTTCTGAAAGTGAATACTGTTGCTCGACTGTAAAAAAAGAGAGCGTTTATTTAGTAGAAAAATAGAAGCAGATTATATAAAAATAGACATGGAAGAGTCAAACAGAAAGGCTAATTTGTGATGCTAGAATTTTTGGACTGGATCTGAGCGCGTTTTCGTTCCAGCTCTTCGTTTCGTTCCAAATCGATCTTTTCCATTTCGCGGATGATCGAGGAAATTTCGCTTTTGATTCCGGCTTCGTATTTTTGCCCTAAAAACATGTCCATTTTCAGAAAAATAGGGATAAAACCGACCTTGACCGAGCTTTTCCATGCTTTTTAAAAACTCTTCCCGTTCTTTGATTTCGTTTTCTAGCTCAGTAAATCTGTCCGCCGCCTCTTTTTTCGGCGCTTGGAGCTCTTTTGCCTTCATTTTTCGATACTCGCGAACAGGGTCTTCCATTCCAAAAGCGAGCTTGTTTACAAACTGGTCTTTCAGGTGATCTCTGTTGACGCAAACGCCGCCTCTGTACTGGGGCCGTTCGTAGCCGCCGCGTTTTTCGATGTCTTCGCGAGATTCTTTGTTGATGATCGAACGAGAGGTCATATTGAAGGATTTGGAGGGGGATTCTTGGGTGGACAGCTCACTGATGTCGTAGGGCTGGTTTCCTCGTTCCGCTTAATAAGATTATCTTTAATTGCCAGTTTCAGTGAAACAAGTCAACAGAGTAAAGATTTCTCTTTAGTGGTCAATAATGGACGAGAATCTGGGACAATCTGACCTACAAACTTAATTAGCCAGCTTTAGTTCCTATCTTTTGTTTTTCAACTCAATACTCGTCCGTTTGATGAAGAGGTCAAATTAAAGCTCTGAAGAGAGAGAAAAGCTTACGTTCAACTGGAAGAGCCTGGCCGACCCTCATCGCTTTGGTGATTTCCTTCTGCTTTTTCCAGGTGATTTTCTTGTCCTTCATCATTTGGTTTATCAAGTTTTGCGTGTCTTTTGAAAGACCTTTTGTCGGGCTTCTGCGATTTGGGGAGGACATAACAATTCTAGTAAAACAAAATGGTTTAAAATCAAGTCTGCTTCACGTCTTTATTCTAGGGTTAGGCTTGGTAGGGCAAAGAAAAGGCAAATGCGAAGGAAACAGAGTTTTTTTTGTTTCATTTGAGCTTTTATTTTTCAATTCATTTGGCAAGATTCTTGTTTTTTCGGCTTCGTAAAACTCTTCCAGTTGGCTCTTTAGCTTTCTTCGGCTCTGGAATTTTCTCCTGCTCATCTGACATTGACTCTTCTTCAATTGTAGCGAGTTGTTCCTCCTCTTCCTCCACAATAACTGGCTCTGGGTGTTGCATTTGTTCTGATTGAGCAGAAGGGGGTGGGAGAATGGAGGGAAGAGATTGATTAACTTGAGGCTGGTCAGTTGATCCCTCATCAAAGTGACCAGAAGTGAGTTCCAAGTTGTTCGCCCGCTCATTTTCGTCGAACAATTGAATAGAGTATCGGATTCGCCGCTCGTCGCGTTCCAAGATTTTCAGCTGGTCGGCCAGATAACGAATTCCCCCTACAAACATCAGGTAAATCACACGGCAGTTATTGAAAGTGCCCCGCAGAGCGCGGTTTTTTTTTGTTTTTATAGCTCTAAGCCGCAAGCGGCTTCTCGATTCCATCATGAACTTACTGTCAAGCGCTTCCTCTTCCTGCTGTAGGGCTGTCCATTCATTGATTAGTGCTTGCTGGGCGTTCGTTTTTCCACTCATTTTTCAACTTTGAAAAGAAAATTTGTGAGATTTAGTTGGTTCCTTCTCTTTACCTTTTATCCTCTTTTATAATTGAATTTTGAAGGGGAAGAATTGCGGTTTTTGGATCCACGAGCTCATCTAGAGATTTATCGCGAATTCTCGAAGTCTTCTGAATGGGCGAATTTCTAGAGATTCTTCGGGAAACGGCAAAACTCATTCTTAAAAACGGATTTTCAAGCTTTTGAGTTTGATTTTTCGTAATTTTGTGGCAGTTGAACGCATTTTATTCAAAAGTAAAATTTTCCTATTTGCAGAAAGAAAGCTCTAATTTGCTTCAATTTCTTTTGGGTTTTCTGAACTTTGGATCGCTTCTTCTGATTCTTCGTCGCTGCTGTCTTGTTCGAGGAAGGGGTCGAATTTCGCGAAGATTTCGCGGAACTTGCCAGCGTAATGTTCTTCTTGGTCGTCTGAGACGACGCAGTTTTTCCAGTCGCCTAGAATTTTGAGTCAAATTTTGGCAGAACCGGGGAGATTTTAAAAAGTTTTTGGGGTAATTTTGGCCCAAATTATGGGGTCATTTAGGGGTGGTAGGGCCTCTGATTGGCTAGAACAGAAAATGCTTTATTTTGATTTGTCGAAAACTTCGAAAAAGAAGTCGACAATTATGCCTATTTAGGTTTTAGGTTGAAAAAAAGAACGGCTTGAAATTAAAATTAAATGGCTTTTCTTTGAGCTGGGAGATAATGAGTCTAGTAGATTATTCAAAATTACCTTTTTCAGGCTTGTTTATAAGTTCGCAAACTGCTTCTCTCCCAAAATTGAGCGGGAATCCTCCTCTGACTCGATGAAGCAATCTTGTTCCGTCGTCCATTTCGCAGAGAAAGAAGGGCGTTCTAGGGCCAGGAACAGCTGATCGCATGTCCACAAGCATGGGTAGTTCTACAAAGTCGATTTCGATCGGGTAGCCGTTTTTGTCCGTTCTTCCGTGGCCGACTTTTGTCAGAGCCGTTGGGATATGTTGCTGAAAACATAAATTTTATCAAAGGAGATAGAAATGGTTCGGTTCAAGTTTTAAACGAACCATTGGGAAAAATGGTTCAGTTTTGCAGGGGGCCGCGGTATGAGATTTAGCCAGCTGTTTCATTCAGTATTTTAAGCATCGTTTTTTTGACTTCTTATTTGAAAAAATAATGAAATGAACGCCTAAAAATTACTAGCAAGATGCATCAGGCAACGAAGATAACTTTGAAGAAAGAATGATGTTTTATTTTCAAATGAATCCGAAAGCCGTTTTAGTTATGTCTTTATAACCCCTAGAATTTATAACTGTACCTTATATTTCTTGTGAATGGGCAAAACTTGAATCTGCATATGATCTGTTTTGTAATTTCTTTCGTAAATAAACGAGCTCAATCCTCTCGACTTGAACATTTCTCTCAGCGCTTTTTTGTACTCTTCTACTTCCGCCGAAACGTCGCTCGGTAGAGTCAGCGAGCTCTGGTAGTGTTGAATCGGAAGAATCAAAACATGCTGGCTGTTTACGCCGCCTCGTGCTAAAGCTACGTAGCAGTGTTCTCCGACAGACACGACCTCGAATCAATTATCAAGGAGGAGCACTAGAATTTCGCCACTTACCATGTGTTTTCGAACATGTTCTCCTCCCAAGCAAAACCAGCAATCACCGAAATCCCTTCTCTGTCGCTTTCCACCCGCTTCGCCAGTCATTGCCTGCTGCCGCTTTCTCCTTTCTATCGCGTCTGGATCATCTGGGTCGTCTTTCAGTTCTGGTCCGTCTGGTAGTGACCATCTGTAGTTTCCAGCGTTTGCTGAAAATGATACAGTAACAACATGGATTTCTAGTTCTCCGCTAGATAAGCCGCTCGAGGCGGCTTCTGGATTATAAATGACAGATCATTGTACCTTTTGCTCTAGCAGCAGCTTCATCAGGAAACGGCGTTTCCGTACAATCCTCTGGCTTCTTCGCTGTCAACTCTCCGGGAGTAATATTAAACGCGTAGAGATACTTTTCTTTATTCGGATTTCCAACATTCGCCAAGGCAATAAATCTGGTTATTTGCAGCAGTTTCGCGCTCTTGTTCTGGTAAGGTCTTCGTTCGTAGTGTTTCTGTTCGAATCCGGCGAAGTGGTAGCGAGGCTTCAGTTCTCTGGTCGCTCTGGCGATTTCTAAGTTGCCGACTTGGAGCAGTCGCGGGTCATCAGGGCTGTTGCCATTGTTGGTGATGCCGAGTGGCCAGCAGGAAGAAAGAAAGACGTCCAAAGTGTTTCCTTGAACCTGATCTTTTAGCTTCTTCCACGCGTTCGCCTGAACTGGGTATTCAGAAGAACCTTCTTTTCCTTCCGCCGAGCCGCCGAGGTATCCGACTCGCAGTCCATCAGCTGTTGTAAACGTTCCGCAGCGACCTGAAAGAAGAAAAATTGAGAAAAGAAAAATGGGAAGAAAGTTTAAAATTAGCTCTCCACTAGTCAAATCACCAAATGAAAGGTAATCAGAGTACTAATATAAAAATCACTGACGAAGCGGCAATTAATTCTTCAAATTCCTTACCTAAGCACATAATATTGGCACAAAGCTCTCCCCCATTATCCAGCCCGGCATAGAACTTGGACTCAGCCACATTCGCCGGTCCAAGAATATACGTCGAAATCGGAATTCTTTTTTCTCCAGTTTTGTATTCATCCCATTCCGGGCATTCCGATCCATCAGTCGGGAAAAACGAGCCAACGCAGTAAAGTTCCGAGAAAGTCTGGCCTTTCGCTTGTAATTTTCGAATTCGGTTGTACAGCGTGTCCAGTTTTCCTAGGACATCGCCCGTCACTAGAATTTTTACCATTCTGAAAACAAGATTATCGGATAAAAGGAGGGACTTTGATTCAGGTCAGGGCCCGCCAACCTGTGAAGGAAACCTGAGTCAGGCTATGAAAGCTCTCTAAGGGTCCGCCTCAGGTTCTATTCACAGGTTTTCAAGTCCAGATTCCAGCTAAGAAGATAGCCTTAATGACACATGTCAGTATAAATAAACAGTCTGAAAGTAGATGAAGTGAGGGGAAACTCTCCTCACTTTATTGGCGGTAATCAAGACACTACTCTAATTAACCCAGCAAAAAAGAGCGCAAAAATAAAGCGAAAAAGAAAAATGTCAGATAAAAGCTGCGGCTTATCGTGCTTTGGCTCGTTGACGCTTCATAGAAGAAAAAATTACAGTCGATCTAAAAGGTCGAGCCCAAAAAAATCTTCGAGGTAAAAAAATTTCTTATTTTAAAAACAGCGTTGAAAGAATCAGATAAGGGGCGCATTCTCAATTTTTACCGGGCAAATTCAAAATAGAGGAAAAAATTGAAATGAAGAGGTCTCTGAGAAAATCGTTATCCGACTCTTTACGGGAGTTTGCATCGATTGGAAAAAGGGATGAAACGGGAGGCTCAAGGTAATTAAACAACTTAGTTTTAAGGGTGTCAAAAGGAATGAAAAAGTCCGTAAATAAGCCTTTTTCTTGTTTACAATTTACTTTCAAGTTTTCAAATAAAATTGGCCCACTAATCGTTTTCCCTTTTTATTGCTATTTTTTTAAAGAGGCCCTTCCTATTAGGAAAAAGCTCAGTTTCTTTAAACGCATGTGAAAAAAAAAGAGAAAAGCAAATCTCATTACAAATTTCCTTTTGTTTGCCAGGTCTGAAAAGCAAAGATAGATCAATCAGCCCGAGTGTAGAAATCAGAAAAGAAAAAGAAGTGTTTTCAGAAATCGAAGAATGCCAAAGAGTATCAAAGATCTAGCGCCGATTCCTGGCTGTTTGAGGATGCCTGTCAAAATGACACTTAGAAGAGTTCTAGTGCCAGATGCTTCTAATTCTACTGTTCTACGGCTTTGTAAGTTTTTAACAGAAAATTCGAGAAAATTATTATTTTGACGGAAAATTTTGAAAATTACTGTAAAAACGGGAGAAATTCAGAAAATTTTCAATTTGAAAATGAAAAAACTAAACCATTTTTCAGTCACTGATGAAAAAACGACATGGTACATTCAAATCGACGACATCGCTGTTCATCTAACTCCAGACATCAAAATCTGGCACGGATGCATGTCAAAAAGTCAGGATTGCGAGTGAGTTCATGTTAAAAATAACCAACCCCTGTACCATCTTTTGTAGCGTCTGGAAGATCGAACGAAGGGTGGAAAAGACAGATCAATTCAAAACGATGATCATTTTTGAAAGCTGCCCGAAAACGAAAAGATACAAAATTGAAGAATTGATGAAATTTGTTTATCAAAGTGGAGCCATTTTCAGGTATTTCCCTTTTCATCCCCCTTTTTCTAACGAAAATTCTAGCAACACTGAAACGCGAGATCTTGGCTACTTAGATCTACAGGACAAAAAGAAAGCAATCGAAATGACGAAAAATGAGCCCGATGGAAATTTTCTAGCGCCGCCGAGAGCTTCGGAAAAAAGCACTATTTATCTTGATATTCCTTCCAACGATTATTATTACATTCTCCCACCCAAAGAGAACTGAAAACGATGAAGAAAGAATAAAATATTTGTAAATAACGGTTTTTCAAAGCGTTCATATTTTATTGCCCGATTTTTCCGACTTCAGTTTGGACAAATTTCTTCATTTGCTCTCTAATTTTGACATTTTCTTTGCCTTCCCGAAGAAAACTGGGTTTTTCTACGATACCATATATCAAGATGATAACGTCACATTTTAAAATTTAAATAAAAAGTCCTTCAATTTAATTTTCTCATTTTTAAGTCGTAGTGGTTCGTTCCCACGCTTTTCTTCATAGCGGCGGCCAATCAGCGGCGGTCATTTTTCGAGAAGAATTTCTTGAATTCGATAATTGCCAGTGTTTGTAGCGTACTGTAAGGTAAGCGTTGCTGCTCATACGAGAGGCTAGACCTGAATTCGGGATTAAAAAATTCGTTTTTATTCAATTTTTGAACTTATAAGAAATCAGTCAGAGAGTCGCTGTTTTCACTGATTTTCCCAAAGACATCTGTATCCGTACTGATTCGCCGGGCAATGAAGGCATCCAACAGCGTGGCAGAGGTACTCGTCGTCGATTCCGTCCATGCAAACTCGAGCGTTGTTCAAGTCGAAGTTGCATTTCAAGTCACTAAATTTCAGTTAGACAAGAAAGCTTGAATTCTGATTCACCCGCAAGTCCAAAAATCGTTGACAACGATGCCCAAGTGGCAGACTTTCGTGCAGCCCGATTCAAGGCGATCCTTGTTCATCGATTTGAAGCACAAGTTCTTGTTCTGAAGCTCCTTTGGAACTTTATAAACGATCGTTCCTTCGCCGGCGTTTCCAATGACATCCACTAGCAGATCGTTTTCGTAAAGGCCGTAGCTTCGATGATCCCAGCCCGGCTCGATTTCGATTGTCCAGTCGTTGATTCTCAACTGTGGTTCCGAAGGAATCGGAGGATAGCCGCTGAATCGCCACGGAAGAGCGGGAACATTCGATTTGTTGGCGTAGACTGTTGATTTGAGCAGATCTTTTACTCGTTCAAATAAGATGAAATAAAGGCCACACGATCTTTTTTTGGCGATGAAATCAAGGAAGAGAACGAGTTCCTGTGAGACCCTTGGTGTTTTTCTCAAAAGCCTGCATTGAGAAATGAATTTCTCCGACTCCAGTTGAGAGCTAGAATTTTAATTAAAATATTGCCGGTTTTGAACGCGAAATCCGACCTGTTTGTTTCTCATGAGTTCGATTTGATCAACAATCTCTTGCGCCGGCCAGTCCTTGACATGTTCCATCACTCCCGAAGCATAGAGCCCCGTCATCACATGTTTCTTTTCGTAATTCTGTTCATTCCACCAGTCGTAAAGATCTTCAAACGGCTGTCCACTCGAATCAATCGGCCAGTACAGCTGAGGAGCGAGGTAATCCAACCAGCCTTCGTTCAGCCATTTCTTTGAGTCGCAGTAAAGATCTTTGTAGGCGTCCATTCCGACGATTCCAGGCGGGTTTCCCGGCCGCCAAATTCCAAAAGGAGCGACTCCGAAGTTCACATAGCTGTTATGGTTCTTCACGAGCTCGTAGGTGTCCCGAATGAGTTCGTTGACATTCTCTCTTCGCCAATCTTCTCTGCTCATCGCTCCGCCGGCATTGACGTATTTGGCATACGTAGCATCGTCGGGAAAGCCTTGGTAGTTGTTATATGAAGGGTAGGGGTAGAAATAGTCGTCGTAGTGGAGTCCATCAACGTCATATCGGTTGAGAATGTCGCTGATCACAGCTTTTGTGTGGGCCTTGATTTCGTCTGCTCCAGGGTCGAGCCAGATGTACTTGCCGATTTCGTAAGCGTAGTCGGGATATTGATGAACTGGACTGAGAGGGTCAAGATTGTCCTTTTGCGATTCAGCAGCATTCGCTCGGTAAGGATTGAGCCAGCCATGCAGCTCCAGACCTCGTCGATGTGCTTCAGTAATGGCGAATTCTAGCGGGTCCCATCCGGGGTCGACGCCTTGCTGTTTTCAAGTCTCAAAAAATGGGAGAATGGCAAAAAAGCCGTGAAAAAACAATTTTAAGACTTTGAAAATTCTCTAGAAAGAGGGCGCTATCAATAAATCTAGTTGCAGGAAAAAGAACTTTTTAGCAAATTTTCTCTAGATTTGTTGTCTACTTCAGGCCTCGCAAGCTAACGAGCTTCAGTCAGATTGACTTTCAGAGTCCGACCCTGAGAATTTTTCGGTAAGCGATTATTTTTCGTATCATTTTAACGGATTTATTCAGAAAAAAAACAGAATGGCTCACAATGGACTGAGGAAAAGATACAGTCGCAGCTTTCAAACGGTAAACCGTTGACAACCTCAATCAAACCTCTAAAGAGAGCTTTCCTTAAACTTTATCTGAAAATACAGTCGCAACTTTCAACCCATCTCAAAAGAATGCATGTTTTACTCTGACTTAATATGCATTTTCTGTGTCTTTTCGTTCTTGCAGGTTTCCTAGTTTACATTTTGAGGACTTTCCTTGTTCGTAAGCCAGTAGCTCCAAGGCTCCAATTCTGAACGATAAAAGGCATCAGCTTGGGGCCGAATTTGAAAGACGACGACGTTGAAGTTGTTCTCTTGCGCCAGATCTAACTGGGCAATGAGCTGAGCCTGAGCGACTTCGGGCGAGAGACCGCGCTGCTTAGGCCAGTCAATGTTGGAGACGGTGGTAATCCAGACCCCACGGAATTCTCTGGCCAGTGCCTCTGCTGCTAGACATGTCAGAATTCTCATTTTCTGAGTTTTGAGTTGCTGTTTTACGATTTATTAGCCAAGTTCGAAAACATATGCCAGAGTTCACACAAGACGAAACTTTTCGAAAACAAAAATACCTACATACATAAAATATACATTAAATACAAATGTAAATGAAGAAAGCTCTGAATCTAACTTTTAAATAACGTTACGTTATTTCGACCTTTGAAATTCAGAATCCTTATACTGCAACAATTTTCGGAACCATTAAACAATCTGATATTTGCACGTACTTTATGCAGCAGGAGAAACAATTTCATCTCACTCCGAGAATCTATCTTTTCTTTCCGAGTTTTTTCAATAAGAGATACAGTTAAAGCTTTGCGAATTGTTTAAATGACGGTTTCTTTGTAAGAGTTACAGAATATCAGAAGTATACTTTACTTGAACCCGAATCTGTAACTTGGTAAAAGAAGGACGGACGATACGCCAACATCGACAAGGCTCGTTTTGGTACGAACAAAGGAGTAACTGAGGCTTTGGATACAGCAACACGAGAAACCGTTATGGTCAAGGCAATCTATCTTCATGATGCAGACCAGTGGGAAAATGCGCGACAAGAAGCAGCGAATCTTCAAAGTCTCGGTTAGTTAATTTCTTATTTCTTTGTGTTGAATTGTTTAGATCACGCGAACGTGGTCCGATTCATCGACTTTCTGGATCGACAAACTCCAGATTGGGCGTTTGGGTCCATGTGCTTCATTATCATGGAGTACTGCGCTGGAGGCAGTCTTGCCGACTGGATCCAGAAGATGAAAGATGCCGGCCGAAAGCCGACGATGGAAGAGGCGACTCTCATCGGTGCTCAAATCATCTCTGGTTTGAGCTACTGCCACGAGAGGAAGAAGCTTCACCTTGATTTGAAGCCCGAAAATATCTTTGTCCAGTCTGACTTTATAACCGTAAGTAAATATCACAGGAATCGTAAACACATGCGTTTCGAAGGTCAAACTGGGTGATTTCGGCAGCACCCAGTCGGTCCGCTCGATTCAACAAACCATGACAACGTCGAGCGACAGCCCCATAAAGTGCACTCCTCTTTACGCTGCACCAGGTAAACAAGTCAAGTAAGCTTTAATAAATTGACTGCAATAGAAATTTACCACGAGGAAGAGGCAAAAATATCACCAAGACTGGACGTTTGGGGATTTGGTTTAATTCTGCAGGTTTGAAAATTGTAAAAGTCCACTTTTTTGAAGTTTGGTTTTTAGGAAGTATTGACATTGGAGCATGCTTTCGGCCGTGTTGATGGAAGAACAGCGTTTACCGGAGAGATTCGTATGTTTATTCTCAGAAAGCTGGATTATTATTAGCTTGTTTTAGTGACAAACATCCAAACAGGAAATCGAACGTCGCTCTTTGAAATTTTCGGCGAAACGAACGAGTTTGAAGAGTTTGAAAATCTTCTTCAAAAATGCACTTATCTTAACCGCAAGCGACGCCATAGGAACGCGGTCGAGCTCAGGGCTGAATCTCTCTTCGTTGATTTCTTACAGCGAATTGAAAACGGCGAACGACCGAGCAACATCGTTCCCCCTCCCTTTCCAAATGAGAATGATAAGGTTCAGCGACTCACGGAAGAGATTGAGCAGAAAGACAGGACAATCGCACAACTTCAGCGTCGACTTGACACTTTCAACGAAATCATGGAAGATCGACTTAGAGACGAAGCGAAGCAAAAAAATAAAGAAATCGGTCAGCTAAATCGAGTTAGTATCTGTTTCCTCTTATGCGATGCTTTTTGACTATTTTATTAAAAAACTTTGTGAGGAAAATGAAAAACTGAAACAAGAAAATGGAAAATGGCAGGCAGTCGCGAAAATGAAGAAATTGAATTTAGAACTGGAACAAAATTTTAAATACTCGAGGAATATCATTGACGACATGAAAATGGTGATCATCTATTTAATCATCTATTTAATCAATTTTAGCAAAACGAATCTGAAACGAAATCTGCACGACGAGAAATTGAAAAACACGCGTCGATTTTGAAAGAAGAAAAAGAAAAGAATCGCCGCGAACTCGAAAATCAGAAAAGAGAAATTGAGAGATTAGATAAAAAAGAAGAAAAAAAAGTTGATGTGAGAAACGAGGAACTGGAGAAGCTGAGGAAGGAGTTGGGCGCGAAGGGTGGAGCGGGCGAGTTTTATGGACAAGATAAAGCGACTTTTGCTGGTGGAGAAAGAAATGTCATGCTCGAAAAAGAATTGCGAAACGTGCTGAAACTGCTGGCACTCGGCGAAAAACGAATCAACCTCAAGGAAAGAGAGTTTTTAATTTTTTAAAGCGAAAATGAATTTCGAGAAACTCTCCGCGAAGTTTTATCATGGGGATAATTGGGAGGTCGCCGAAGGAGGCTGGCACTTGCAATTCAAAGGAGGGAATGGAAAAGGATCAGATGATTTTTATTACTTGTCAATCTGGAACAAAGGTAAAAAGATAAAATTTCAATTTTTTAAAATTTTATTTCAGAACGCGGCAGAAGATTCAGAGCCGTAGCGCAGCAAATTAATTGGATGACTGGAGAAGAAGTGAATCGACGAGAAATCGAAAGCAAGGCGGATGGAGGGCGACAAACCATCAAATACGAAAGGGAAACTTGTTATATTTATGTGAGATTTAATATTTACTTTCTGTAATTAATTTTTTTATAAAAATAAATAAAATAAAAAACATCATACTTGAGATTTCATTTTTTATTTAAAAAGTGAGGTCACCAGTTTTTTGCTACAATTTCAAGTAAACAGATTTTTGAAAAAGAATTTTATAATTACTGTGGCGAGTTGTCGGTTTCCTCGTCCGAGTCGTCGTGGAGGAACACTTCGGCTTTGTATTTGTACAGGTCAGGGATTGTCGGAATGCGCGAGAGAAAGTCCAGAATCTCGTTGTTGTCTTGGTAGTTGGGCTTGATCCCGTAGATTGTCAGTTTCTTCGTCAGCCAGAGCATCAAAATCACCCGGAAGCCGATGTATTTAAGTACAATGGTAACTAGAACGCTTGATTATTGAATCTAAGAAGGGTTCTTACTGATGATGAGCGCAAAAACAAGCGTAAAAGTAGCAGCAGGGCGAATCCAGATAAAAGTATGGAAAATCTTTTCGAGAATTCCAGCGATGAAGTCGATTTTTCGCTCGACCGATTTGATCATTTCCTGGGTTTTTTTGATGAAGTTCTACAAAGAGATAGATACGATGGAAAATAAAGGGTGTGTACTTGATTGATGGCATCTTCAGATTTCTTCCCACTCTTGTCTTTTTCGCCACTTATCGAGGATTTTTTCGATGAGTTCTGAAATATTTTTAGGAAAAGCGAATTTGACAGTTTCGGGGTCCGAGTTTTAAGATAAAAATTGAGCAGCATAAATCCTATTTTCAGCATTTTACTTAGCGCAATTTTGAACCCAATTAAGGGGGTGGCGGGCGCCCAGGTTCACAATCGGTTGGTTCACAATTTCGGTCAAAAAAGTGACTCAAATAGACTGAAGGCGCGGTTTTAGAGAAAGCTTATAACGTCAAAAATGAGTTTCTCTATGAAATCGGGCGCGGAGCGCATATAGATCCCTTATTTCGTACTTTTAAAAAATTTGTGAACAGGGTTCACACAGATTGTGAACCGGGTTCACAAAATTGTGAACCGGGTTCACAATTGTGAACCTGGGCGCCCTACACCCAAAGATCATCGTTTTCGTTTGTTTTTTAAAAATGAAGTTATTCCATTTTTTATTTGTCAGTTTTTGATTTTTGAAAGGTTTTTTGCAACCCTAACTTGTGACTCACAAGTTGGGCCATTTTGATTTACTCACTTCTTCAATGTAAAGCTTGACATTAAAATTAAAAAGACTCACAAACGTGTTTTCATAGGGGATGAATTTCTACAACAAAGCCGTTTTCTTTTTCGATCTAAAATTCATTCACCTTTTTCTTGACAAAGAGCGAGGGCTGAATTCTGCCAACAACGAGGACTCCAACCAGCGCCGCCGGGATCATCCACGGCTCAAAGCTGTGGACAGCTGCCATCGTGCCAATCCAAATGAGAAAGGACAGCGGCTTGTTTTTCCAGTGGATCACGTCGTGCATTAATGCTAATAAGGGTGCGATGTCAGGCATTTCGAAGGCTTTTAGACGGCTGAAAGAATGATGACAGGGGGACCTTTCATTGGGGAATATTTACTTGACATTAGCAAAAAACGAGTCCATGTTGTATTTTGGCTCGCAGTTCCAGTAAGTCTTGGCTTTTGGCTTGAAGAGTCGAGCATTGCCTCTGAAATTTTATGATAATTAATGATTTTCGGGTAGAGCCAAAATATTGAAGTGATTTTATGGATCAGGGTTTTGATTGGTCGGTAGGCCAAATACAGCAATATTATTGGTTATCCGAAAATGCACTTCTATAAATTGGTTTGGGCCGATTTTCGACCAATTTTCGAGAGTTAAACCGACTATCTTTGACCTCGAAAAATTTCCTTTCGAATCGTGAAATCAAGGAAGAGTACCTGATCGGATTGTAATATCTCGTGCAAGTTACAGTCAGCGTTCCCTGCGTAAAACTATCCAATCGCTTCGTCTTGAGTCTGTATTCCATCTTTTTGTCGTTGATCATATCCGCGATGGGCAAACATAATCGACCAAGAAAGTCATCTTCGTTTTGATCCTCGTCGTAGATGGACAGTGTCAGGCACTCGTAAAGGTCGGCCATTTCGAAGTAAAATGTTCGATTCCACTCTGGATTTACTGTTTTGTCGATTGTGGCAGTACGGAAGCGTTGGTTTCCAAGGTCGACGTAGCAGTAAGGATCGGACGTTCCAAAGCCGAAAGCGCCATCCAAAGCCTAAAACAATTTGTCTATTCTGATTTTAACGACACTTTTCTTTTAGTAATGTGCCCTTTTCCGTTCTTATCCCTGTTTATGCCCGGCTCACCTTTAGATTTGCCGCCGAATGTAAAACAACCTTTAGAATTCCAATGTCCGTAAAATCGCTCAGCGTTCTCGACAAGTTGTAAATTTTCCCGCTCGAGGCTAGTTTGAACTTTTCCTCCATTTCGTGGGTCGCTGCGGCGTCTACTCCAGAAATGGTTATGGCAAGGTTGACTCGACCACGGAGCTTTCCGGCTTCGTTTCGGAGATCGAGGGAGGTATTGTGGAGTGTATCGTGCGCCAATGATGTCAGTTTTATGGTCCTATAGATTCATCAATCGACAAGACTGTCATTTCTAGCGCTCTTTACCCGGAAGCAGTTAAGGTTTTTGAATCAAACATGTCAATCTGCAGACTATGATCCTTGTGCATCACATTCGGCTCCTGCATCAGCGTGAAATAGCAAGCCCGGTTGAAGACAGCTACAAACCTATTCTTTCCTGAGTCTATTTTTACAACTTACGATTGAGGCATTTCCGCTTCGTCTTTGTTTCATATTTCTGTCCTTCTAATTTCGCCTTGAGATGAATGCTTGGAAGCTCTTTGTTGAATTGTTTTACATCGAAAACATCTCGAATTTGAATGATCGCGTTTGCTACTGTTATCTTCTTTTTCTTCGTCTTTCCGTTTGATTTGGACCCTGATGATGCTGCATCACCACAGAAATTTCGAAGCTAGAAGGAAAAGTTTCTAATCAATTCTTTCAAGAGACCATAAATTTTGAAGTAGGTCACCTTAATTGTGAAATAGATCGTCCCCAGTGACGCATCTTCATCCTCTTGGTATCCTCCTCTTAGGCCCATTTTGATTGTATTTTCTTCATCCATATTTAATCGCCTGAAAATAATGAGCCAATTTCCATTTCTTTCTTTTTTACCGCAAGTCCATTGCATTGCAGCCTATCAGATCGTCGCTCGAAAACGTGTCCCGGTCTTTAACTTCGATTCTGAGCTTTTCCACCTGCTCGGCTGTGATTCGGACTTGAAAGAATTGATTCCACAGCGGATTGAGAGTTCGCTTCTTGATCTCGCTTTTGCACAGCGACTCCGGGCCGATGAGAAAAGTCGTGTAGGGATCGGAGAATCCATTAGAATCCATCGCTTCAAAAATATGTCACGTTATTCATATATGATTACGTTTGACATTTAACTCAATAAATGCAAACTCGTTCTTGTTCAATTAACTCTCATTTACAAAGTTGAAGTTGAAAGTTTATGTTCAATTATGTTAATTAATTGGATAAGTTCGGGTCTATTTCCTTGTCTTTGCTTGTAGCAAAAATAACTCTCCGCATAATTTATACCGCGAGCTACAGCATTTTATCATCACTTCAAAAAAATAGTTTTTCGAGAGAGCACAAAAAATGAAGTTGCTACGATTCTTTCTGGCAACGCAAGTTGCCGCTTCTTTTAAAAAACACCAAAATGGGAAGAACGAGAAAAGCGCTGAACACATTTGTGTTGAAGTCGCCGCGGAAACCGAGATTCCAGGTGGAAGTCTCGTTCTTGACAAAATCATCAACAAGAAAAGAGCAAAGTTCCAGATTGTATGCGACGATGGGAAAGTCAAAGGGAAGGTGAAATGTGTCAAAGGTATTTGGAGAGATAAAGGGTGGAAGAGATCTTGCTTGACCGAGGAACCTCCGACACAGGAACCTCCAAAACCGCCACCACCGCCAAAAACAACGTGTTCCGAAGCTGAAAACTTTCCGGATGCTGTCTCTACGGTGAATCAGGACCCGAACGAGAAAATTCTGGGTGGGGTCAAAGTCGATGATGACAGCTTTCCTTGGATTGCCCGACTATATTTCGATACGAATCCTCTTTGGGCCTGCGGAGGAAGCGTCATTGCCAATAGATGGGTCTTGAGTGCGGCTCATTGCTGTGACGGAAGGAACATAATCAAAGCAACCTTCGGTGATAGAAAAGGTTCCATTGTGGACAGTAATGAGTACCAACTCAGGGCTGCTGATTGGTTTCTTCATCCTGGCTATGTAGACGGCAAAAATCTGGATGTATGTCTCATCAAGTTTGATGAAGACATCATCGCGAGAGATCCGGACAATAAAGTACGAGCTGCTTGTCTTCCAAACATCGATAAGCATTCGTTCGTAGATCGGACATGTACTGTTGCCGGCTGGGGCACCATAGCCGTTGGGGGTATATTGAGTTCTGCGTTGCGCGAAGTAGACATTAAGGTTATAAGTGATGCCACGTGCCGTCAAACTTACGAAGATTTGGCAGAAGATGATATCTGCGCAGGTGGCAGGGGTGGCAAAGACTCTTGCCAGGGCGATTCGGGCGGACCCTTGAATTGTCAGAAGGCCGGAGACTCAATTCCCTATCTCATTGGTGTCGTGTCAAGAGGCTACATGTGCGGTCTCCGAGATATTCCTGGGATCTACACTTCTACCTACGCGACTCTAGATTGGATCCGCCAGACTGTTCAAGAGAACGGACTTTAAATCTTCGATGCTAACCAAAACTGAAAGTATACTCAACCAAACTTTTATGCAAAATATACAATTATGTACCCTCGATCTCCTAGTTTGCTTCTCTCAAAGTTCATTTTTATCACTGCAACCAAATATATTCATCCTGTTCTCAATTATTCAGAAAAATCAAAAGTTGAACCCATCGGTAAATCTGTTGCTTACCTTTTAAGTTCTCTCCTCGTGAAAGCATTATGTCGAGCTGGAAGTACTCCGGGCAATCTGTTTGTGAAAGGATTTCTGATGCCGATTTCACCGGAGATACCGTAGAATCATCTCTCTCTGGAGATGGAGAGCTAAAAACGCTCAACATTGCTTTCTTTCTTTGAGAGATAAAAAGTGGGTTGATTTTGATACTTTTAATAATTGAATTCGCCGCTCATTGAATATATTATCGGATATTCCTTTTCGATAATTTAAATTCAAAACAAGCGAGTTTCTGTCTTTTCTCGATTCATTATTGAGCGTGTTCTTGGACTGGAAAGCACCATTGCCTCGGCATTAGCCACAATCAGCGCGGTCGCCAATGATTGCTTTGTCGGGTTCACGACCACCGTGAAGAAATGACCTTCCAACTCGATAGTTGAGGAGCCGGAGAGGTATTCGCCAAGTAATTGCTCGTGCTCGATAGTTGGCTGAAAATGGATTCGGGGGTTAGGTTTTGGGAGGGGTAAATTAGGTTATTTTCTACGATGCATTTGAAGTTACCTCCCGAAGTCAATTGGTTTTTATTAAACTTTTTTTATTTTACAAATATTTAGCGAATCAATGATTCGGAATCATAACGGAAATAAGAAGTTAATTTTGAATATTAACACATTTTAATTGGCTTTCAGGGCCTACACAGGACTTTGATTGGCTGAATATTGTTTTCATTCCGACTGCAAGAAAATTCTTTTAGCGAAAATTGAGCAAAATCTGAGTAATTTTATTGACAGTTTTGGATCCATAAAACCATAAATATTGACAATATCATATTGTGGTTTGACTAGACTTTCCTCAATAATATTGGGAAATGCCACCAGTAATTAACCTTACGCCGCCAAACTAAAATTTCACCCCCCGCCGCCAAATGTGCCATATATGGCACATCATCTTTTCCGTCGTCCTAGGCCCCATATAATGGCCGAACCCGAACCTTAACCAAGATCCGAATTCGAACCAGAACCCGAGCTCAAAAATGAACCCAAACCCAAGCCCAGACTATTGCCCGAAAATGAGTAAAAATGGAAGAACCCGAAATGATGACGGAGAGAAAAATGGGCTTTGGAAAGCCCTTGTGCCATATATGGCACATTTGGCGGCGTAGGGTTAACTTTAGGAGATTAAATTTGTGAGTCTTGTGAAAAAAGGCTTCTACACTTACATGAGCTTGTTCATCCTGAATAATTTATCCTAAAGCTGGCGGCGAAAATTTGTCACTTACGTGTTCCACATTTTTTATGAATGTGCATTTTGCCAGCGAATTCGAATCGAATATTCCATCGAGAATGACGGTTTCCTCGAGTTCTCGGAGACCAGAAGAAACGCCAGCGACGTTCCACGTGACCTTGACGCCATCTGAAAGAGGGGATGTCAGAAACCGACGGATCTGGCCGGCCATTTATTTTTCAGCATGGTCATTTTGGCGAGAATCTGCCGCGATTTGCGGTAAATTTGTACCTGGCAAATTTGTCTCCTTGATCTGAATCTGAATTTGCGTGAAGGTCCCTGCCGATTGTGTCTCGTCGAAACCGGAGTCAATGTCAGCTTTGGATGAGGCGGATTTCGTTGGAGATCGAAACTCTTAATCACTCATAAACGATGCTTATTGGCTCAAGGAATAATCCCTCCTGATTCAATCCATCGTGCTTGATTTTCTTGTCAAAACAAGTTCAGAACCTGTCTGTCTTTTCGAGCATGCCAGAAGATAAGGCCCTTTTAGATCGAATTTGAAATGTTTCTTGACCAGTTAAACCTACTAAAAATTATTGAACAGATAAGGGGTTAACTCCGGCAAGATTATTTTTCGTGTAAAAATCATCTAAAAGAGATCCCTTTCCCTCACTAAAAAGAGGTATTTTTTAATATAAAAATGCGCCATTCTTGAGGGTAGTATGATCTCAAAATTCGGCCAAATGCCGAATTTTCATATACTCATATTTTGAATGAATAATTCGGCCAGAGTGGCCGAATTTTTCGACCAAAATTGAAAGATTTTTTGGATGAAAAATTCGGCCCCAAAGATTAAAGGCCGCGCCCCTATAAAGCCACTCGTTTATTAAGAGTCTCCATTTTATCAGTATATAAGTATCTAATCTAATGGTTCCTAACCTCGGGGCTCCGCCCCTTCGGTCCTAAGATGCCGGGGTCTAGTCTAGGGTTACTTAGGATTACTTTCAGTAACCCTAACTAACCCTAGCCTATCCCCCTCGGGTAATTTGTTCTGTCATTTTTGCAGGTGCCCCCTAACCCTAACCTTTATTTTAGCAAATACTACGGTCTTAATTTTCTTATCAAAAAAGTCCTGGGGAGCTGCAAATTGCTCTTACCGTGCAGACCAGTTGTTATTAGAACGAGGTCGACCTGAATTCTTGTGGTAATGAAAAGCCCAGTTACTGTCCTAAAAATTCAAATTATCAGAATTGATAACAAGCATTCATAGCGATTGCGAAAGCCCTCAAAAAAGAAAAATGACTGTCCACGGAGAATTTCACTGGCCGAATTTTTCACCAAAATACTTTGTAGAATCCGCCCAATAATTCGGTCAATTTGGCCGAATTTTTCATTCAGAATTCTTGAAAATATTGACGAATAATTCGGCTATAGGTGGCCGAATTTTGAGATCATACTACGTTCTTGAGCGGCTTTTGATTTGAGCCAAAAACCGCATCAAATTTATCTTAGCTCATAAAATTAAAAGTCTCATAAGGCTAGGTGTTTATAGCTCATCAGCTTTAAATCCATCAAACTCGCCAAGAAAATCAAAAAATAATAAAAGTCAGCATTGAAATACCTCTTATAAGTCCGCGCCCCTTTCTAGTGATATTTTTGATGTTCCATCCCATGAAATAGCTCTGCCCTCTTTCAGCCGATCTCTCTCTTTTGCAGGAGTCAAAAAGACCAATTTTTATATTTTAATTTTGTGCCCGGCGAAATGGAGGAATTCTCGCCCCATTTTGCGCCGAGGAAAATGTAGAACAAAAAATGAGAGAGAAGAGACGGAAAGAATGATAGATGCAGAGGCATGGCACTTTAGTTATTTATATCAACGCTAGGCTCAAAAATGAACAAGAGATGACACCAGGACCAGGCTAGGTTCCCAGGGGAAGGGGGGCCACAAGCGCCGTACGAAGATTATTTTGATAAAAAAGTGGGAAAAGATTTAATTCATTAATTATTGACAAAGCTATGCGCGAGTAAAGCAACCCACGCTTTTAAGTTTATGAATTCAAAAAAATTATAATTTACCATTAAAATTGAATCCTTTTTCGTCAAGGACAGGATGTTTTCCACCCTGGTCAAGGAGGTCCTCACTGCCATATCTGCTTTTGATCAAATTTGACGAGCTTTTTAGCCTTCTGAAGCTCTTTTTAATCTTATTCCGCATCAGATCTATTGGCCTCTCTTTATCTGGCATGTCAAGCAGGTCGTAGGATCTCCATTTTCTTTTTGCGGAGACAATCGGTTGCCCAAGTGGCACCTTAATGCTCGCCATGTCGGGAGAAGGGCTTCTCCGGACAAAAAAACCAATATTCAACGAATTGCCCTGGTTAATTAAAAAATAACTGATTTTGGGTAAATTCTGAGTTCTCTTTCTTCAATTTCTTACTACTTGTTTCTTTGAAACGGGAAAGTATACATCGTAAAGAGATTTTTTATCATCACATGAAGCGTGAGCAGCTTAAGACATCAGAAAAAGATAGAAAAAAGTTGGGTTGTAATTTTATTCCTTTTACGGGCCGTAAAAAGCATGCTCAGAATAGGAAGTAGAAGAAAATAAAGGGAGTTTAATTAATTTGGGTGAAAGACTGCTTTCGATTTAGGACCACCGTGGTTTTATGGGGATCATAATTCTTAATCAGATGATTTATTAAATGATTTGAAGAAATTTTGATAAAGAAAATTTTCATGCAAAGAAAGAGTAGACTTTCAAGGTTGGCTTAAGGATGGCTTTACATTTTGTGTCGAAAACCTGACTCAGGAATCCTGACTCAGGATTTTGACCCTGTCTCAGGTTTTAGGAACAAATTGCCGAGCCATGGAGCAGAGCATTTATGAAGTTAAATTTAAGAGTATCCCAGAGAAAAAGCGACTGAAATCAAGGAAGAGTACACTTACTTTTGCCAATATTGGAGAATCTTCTTGAAAAAGTCCGCTTTAGGGACATATCGAGAGTCATTTTCTATTTACGTTTTTCAAGAAAAAAAAGTACTCGAAAATCGCTCAAATCACTCTGACTTTTTTGTTCGTCAGAGCTGTCCGAACAGGCGCACCTGCTCGCTCAGGCAAAGGTCAGGACGCATAACTCCCCTTCCTTTGTCGGACTTTCTGGCGGCGGTGGGGATCCGTTAAATACTTAAACCGAGGACTCGAATCGTAAAAAGCATAGATTTACAACTGTTCTTTCTTTTCTATTTACAGTACTTTGAGTCCCGTTCCTAGCGGCTAAACATGTTTCGTTCTGATTATTTTCATTCTGTTTTGTACTCTCTCATTTTAATTTTCATCTGATGAATGGGCAGATTCCCATTCTGCCAAATGCGCGAAAAAAGAGCATTAACATTGGCCATAAGAATGAGAGCGCATGCATTAATATTTATTGGAAGATTAGTTTTTAATTCTCACATTAAAGCCACTCATCAATTATCAGCAAAATAGATTTATAAATTTATATAAATAATTATTATTATAAATAAATTTATAGGCAAAATAATATTTTTATTTTTTTAAAGTTATTTGTTCAAAGTAAAATGCCAGGAAAAGTTTTATTTGGGGAGGTTCTTTTAGTTCTATTTTTCGTAGACCTCACCGAAAGAGGTTAACCCTAGCCCTAAATTAAAAGAGTGAATCTAGCCAGAATTTGTGGTAGAAACATTTCTCTGATTTCGCTTTTATTCTCCTTGAAATTTTGTTAAACATTTTCACCAAAAATGCATCACCAGAAAACCTTCGTCAAAGATATTTGTCTGTCTCTCAGATATGCGGTGGACGAAAATGTCGGATGACCCCTCTTCGTAGCATGAGGAAGTTTAGATTAGATTGCTTTACGACACTTTGGAGTCGTTGCTGCACTCAGTCTGATCAAGCCTGTCATTATTTACCTGGAGGTATTATAAACTAAGGCGTTTTTATTGCACCATGAGGTGCATTTTAGTAATCTTTACAAGTTATATACAACAACGCAAGGTCTGTTGATCATGATAAGGCGCTTGTTTTCATGGATTTGGACGGTAAATGAAATTTTCGTCGGTGTACCCCACAGAAAAGGAGGAAAATTTATTTAAGTGTGAATTTTATAGTTCTGAATCGTTTAATGACACTTATAGACACAGTAAATGAACTCGTTTATTGAAGACTAAAAGTTTTTGGAAACGTTGTTTCATCATCAGAGTCGGTGGTTGTCTTGTTGAAAAGTTCATGATGTAAAGGACGTTCATCGATTGTTGTTGAAGTAAAATTCGTAGAAGAGTTCGTAAAAATTATTTCCTTCAACAAAGATAATATAAAATCAAAGATTTGCATCAATACAGCTTTTAAATCATTCAAAAAACTATTGTTTCTCTTAAAATTCAGATAGATTAGCTTCGATTTTCAGTTTTCAAGAGAAAACTTACATTATTTATTTTCTGATTATCATCGCTGAGATCGAAATTTAAAAGAGATATCCAAGTATAAAAAAATATCCCGGACAGAACAAACAAAATAAGAGAGCAATCTCTTTCGTGATTTTTCCATCTCGTTTCAATCATGGTAAGGTTATAAATGAGTCGAGTTCAAAATATGTTTCTCAAAAATTTCCTCGCTAAAGAAATAGCTGTAGGAATACTCTACAAGCAATATTGACGTTGCATAGTTACGGTAATCATTTGATATTTACAGTAGGTGTGGTCGATTTGGGAGATTTCGGCCGACATCAGCAAAATTTTAAAAGCTAAGTATTACTGCTTTTGAGATCATATCCTTTGAAACCTTTCGCATCGTTCCTTCAAAAAATACAAGCGGTTTATTATCTATAATAATGCCATACCTTACCCGGCCAAGGTAAATAAATTTTCTTTCCATGACACTTCTATTTTTCAGAATCTTATAGCGGCTTATTATAGCCTATAAAGACTTTTTGAAGTGTGTCCTTGAAATTTTACAATTGACTGAATTGCAAGAAAATTATTTGATAAAATGAGAAAATTTGACAAAAATCAACAAAATAAAGTGACCCATTTCTATTCACATCAATCTTTTAAGGAAGTTCTGGAGCCAATGTAGCGGATAAAACGTTGGCAAAAGCGAATTTACGCTGGACACAAAAATGAGAGATTTTCTCATTTCAAATGGAATATCTTTTTTTCTTTCGATGTGCGAAGTGCTCTTCTATGCCGGCGTTGTTTATGGATTCGGCTTTGTTCAGTACATCTTAGAGTTGGGTCAGAAATAGAGATAAGAATTGAAGGAGCTCTTTCGATTTTTTGATCCGCAGTGAGAGCTTGAAGGAGTTTTTTGGATGGAACTATGTTACGACCCAATGGAGCCGGAGCACATCACAAAATGTAATTTCACCTGCGAAACTACCAACTGCGACAATAACGCTCTACATGTCAGCTGCCCAGAAGAACTAACAAGAGTTCCTTGTCCAGAGTAAGTTCTCTTTCGAGACTATCATTACTGATCTTCTTCAAAGATCTCAAGCAGAATTCAACTCTATTTACACATGGTTTCTTCTCAGTACAAGTTTAACTGTGCTGATGCTCGACCCAATTTTAAACCGATTCGGAATATTTGTTTGTCGCTTTATTTGCGTTCTTTTCACCACTGGGGGACTTGTCTGCATGTGTCTTTACGGTGAGACTTGGACCAAGCTGGCACTAGCGTTGAATCTTAGAGACGAATCCGTACTTGCTTTGGGGAGCATGGCAGCTGATGGGTGTCTCAGCGACAATGTACATCGTCATTAATATCCGTGAACAATGCGCACTTTTTCCCAACGCCTCTGGAATCTCGCTCGGCCTGATTAATGGTTTCTTCGACGCTTCAGGTGTTGGAGAACGCGCTAGAAACTTTCTTTACATTTTCAGCCGGCGTTTTCCTTGCCTTCAAATTCATCTACGACGCAGATCTTCCCAGCGTGACAGTACCACAAATGTTCGCTTACTATACAATGGGAGTAAGTCTCATCTGGGTCAAGCTTTTCTTTTTCTGTCCTCGCTTTGATGTTCGAAAAGAAGAAAACTACACTGTACTATCAGACTCGTTTGTTGGCGGCCTCTGCAAAAGCACCAAGATCGAAGTCGCCGAGACTAAAACTGAAGAAGCGAAGCCGGTCACGTGGCAGGAGTACAAAAAGTCCGTCTTCAGTCTCAATTTTCTACTCTTCAACATATTTTCGATCATCAGTACCGTGCGAATTGCATCATTTCAAATCTGGATTCTCCCGTGGCTCAAGTGGACATTTCAAGATCTGCCTGAAGACGAAGCAAGTGAGCTAGTCTCGAAAAACATGGACATCTATGGGATCATGTATTTTGCCAGCATGGTTATCTGTCCACTGCCCGGTAATCAACCATGTTCAAGGCATTTCAAAATAATTCCTTATCTGAAGGCATGTTCTTGAAAGCGCTGGAAAAATGGATTTGCAAGGAAAAACTGAAAGCCGAATACTTTGGCCTCATTTGGTTCTCTCTTCTGACTGTCTCGCTGTGCGCTGCTCTTTCCTTTCAAATGTGCATTCTTGGCTCAGAAAGTAATGCCACGGCTCTGGTCATCGAGTTCTCTTTTTTGAGGTGAGCCTTTTTGTGTTTCTCCTTGCTTGAATTTGGAACTTCAGGACAATCTATTTCATCTCAAGAAGCATGTATCTATTCCAGCAGTTTCCAACCGAGCACTTTGGCCTGCTATTTGGAATCGTCATTTTCATGCTTGCTGGGACTCAATACACGATTGAGCCCTTATTCACACTCATCCAGGAACTGGTTTAAGGAGGTAGATATCAAGAATCGGGATTTTCTGGCAGACTTTTCTCCCAATCCTAAGATAATGACCGATGATTTTTTTGTTTTAATAAAGAGTTGAGGCCCTTAACTCGTGCCTATGGAAGGCCGATTTCCAAATCTCCAGAAAAAAATCGTAAAAAATGGCGTTGAAGATTCGGAAATCGCTAAAAATGACCGTTTTCTTGGCAGACTTTTCTCGAAACCCTTATATTGGGCGGAATTTATTTTCTTCTGAGAAGTTAGATAAGACCCTTGTCTAGATCCTATGAAGGCCAGAATTTAAAATTTCAAAAATTTTTTTAGAAAAAAATCGATTTCCTGTTTTTCGCGATTTTCAACGAAAATATAAAATTTTGAATTTGTATTCAGCAGTATTAAAATCATTCTATAAATGTTCCCAGGGGTTTCTGTTAATGTTTTTTTGACGAAAACTAAGTAATTAATTATTTAATTACTAAAAATTGGTCGATCTATTATAAAAAGGGCAAATTTTCGAGATTTAAGAGGCGATTTTGTGAAAAATCACGTGGTCTAATTAAAAAATTTTTGCTTACAAGTTTTCTCCTTGACCTCGAAACTATACGTAGAAAAAGTTTGAAGCGAAAAAATTAAAAATTTTTTTCTTGATATCGACCTCCTTAACGGCCTGAAAACACGAGTATTTTCAGTCTTCATTAAACCATGAAAGGGAAGTGATGGCGAAATGGATTTTATCCCAGTTTCATTTTCGCTTGGAATTGCCTGCGCTGCCTGCGTTTTTCTACCGATTTATAATCTCGTTGTTGCGAAGAGATTTTTGGCGAGAGACAACCCTAACAATTCTGGTGACTCCTTCACGTCGAAAAATGATACTTCCTCCGATAGAGCTATAAATTGACATGTTTGTCAATCTCACTAAAATAAATGATCGAGAATGTATTTCAAGAATTATGAGTAATAATTTGTTACTTTATTGCAAGAAGAAGAACGGAAAGTAGCGTGAATGAAATTTTTGAACTTTTTGATGCAGAAATTTTTTGAAACACTTCTCTTCGCATTTTTACCATCGAGTTTTCAAGCTCGTCTGAAATAACTATAATTATTAAAATCAAACCATTGAAATGGCTCGAACCGTAAAATAATAAGGGATCAAGATTGAAAAATTCAGCGGTTCGATCTTTATCAAGCCTTATTTATTCAGCTTCGGTCTGAAATTGATGCTTCAAAAATGATTCTTTTCGGTTTTTTAACTGGATTTATGAGAGATTAAGGGGGTAGAAACAGCTTTTTCCCGAAAAAGGCGATTTTTGACCGGCGCTACAGACAAGAGAATGTTACATTTTTAAATTTTCTCTTCAGATTTAGATAGATACATCTTAGATCTAGGAAAATCTTCCTCGAAATTAGTTTTAGTTATCAAATTTTTGAGTAGACGGGCTCAGAAGCAACTCATCTCTCCGAAATTCTCGATTTTCGCCACTTTTCAAACACGAATATCTCGTGTCACTTAATAGTTAAATAAATTTCATTCACAGTTTTGTAAACCTCAACCCCTTTTCTACGAACATTTATGAGGAATTTCCGTTAACATTAATAAATCTTATGTTTTCTTTTATGTAGCTACAGTCCAAAATCGAGAAAGCTGTTTCTACCCCCTTAATAGTAAAATGAAATCACAACGAATATCAGTTGTTCCATCTATATGAAATGTAAAGAAAATTATTGATTTACCTTGCCACTGATGAAATGTCTTTCCAAAATAAAGTTCCCGTTTTCTTTCTTCCGTGTTGCACAAATCCTCTTCGCAGCAGAAAATCCTCGAGAAGGAGCAAATATTTCGTTCTTCCGAGCATTGATGATTTCTTATTTTACTATTGTCTTGGTTCCAGTCAAGTCCGGTGCAGATAGGGTCGCAGTAAGAAGCAAGGGGCACATGGGCGATCCCGGTCATTTCGAAATCGCGTTTGAGGAGAAAAGACCCGTCTTTTCGTTTTAAATCTTCGCCGTATTTTCCGCTGGCAGAATCGTTAATGTTGATAAATCTCATTGTCTACCTGCACATATGCTCGTATCCATCATTTTCTGTCTCCCTCTTCGCGCAGCCCTTGACGGAGTAAAGCTGGACAGAGCAGTTTCTCTCGTGGCAAGGATATCCATTTTCATCGAGGGTTCTGTTTATCGGCCTCCAATGCGACTTTTCAAAGCAGAATCCGTCATTGACTTCGCAAAAATATTTTTTTGTTTCTTCGTCGAAAAACGAAGTGATTCTGTTTTCGTCGTGAGGATCATCGGAACTACTGGCAGGGGTGTAAGGACAGGAATTGTGAGTTGTGTTGATCACTTTTTTCGGTCACTTTCCGACAAGAAATTAAGGCTATCACCAATGAAAATGACCTTTCCTATTTTTCCGGAAGACTCGCTCGTAAACGTATTAGACAAACACTCGCATTTGATACAAGACCCGGCTAAAATTGAAAGTTCAAATTTCGTTACCGTCTTGCCGGATTTTTCCGATCATAAAAATACCTCGAAAAAGAAAAACGAAAATCGTTAAAATCATTTTCTCTCGTTATTTGAATTGTTGGACAAGGTGCGAATCTCTTCAGCCTCTCTTTACAAGATTTAAGAGTCACTGTAGTTGGTCAGCAGGAGCGAGCGCAGACTAGTAACTTGGAAGAAAGTGAGTCTGATTGCCGCTATTAAACAGAATTCGTCTAAAACTCTTCTGAGCCGGTAATTTCAGAGCTTACAATTGTAGGCCCCGCCGCGCCGCCAAAAAATCACCGCTTGTCGGAAAGTCAATTCAATCATAGGATATGCTAACCGTAGCCAAAAAACCGTACATCCAAACAGCCGGCGGATCTGCAGGTAGACAATGAAATAAATAAAAATGTTCTGCAAAGGCGATGGTGGCAAAATGAAAGTGTTTGGAGTGGCCTCTTTGGCGACGAACGGTCCGGCAATTGACCTTCAAAAAAGATTCATGGGCTCCTGTTTTCTCTCCAGAGGCGCAGAAACATCTCGGCCAGTGGAATCCTCAAAACAGGCCGCCGAATGTGAACACTTTCCAGGGCTTCGACAAAATGCTGGAATATTATTTTTTCAAGAAAGAACTGCTGGACTGGGCCAAAGGTTCTGCATCCTCAGGCTCCTCATCAGGTTATTCAACTGGTTCTTATCAAAGTGGAAGAAGTTCTTTCTCTGGATCTTCCTACCAGAATCAAAATTCGCGTTCGCAAGGCAGGGCTCAATTTTTATGAATCTTCTTTCGAATAGCATAAAAATATAAACCCACAAAAGGCACGACCGGTGGAAAATTGCCCCGATGCTCTTATTGCCCTCAACGAAACAAGCCTCTTCAGGCACCCAAGAGAAGCCAATACAGTCAGCCTCAGTACAAGCCACCCCCTTCATATGCCAGAAATCCCGCTTCTCGATCGCCGTATTCCAGCCCTTCTTCATCGAACAACAGATATCCCTCGAGAAAACCAGTTTATAATTTTCGCAATTCTGGTTACGCTGGCAATTCCCGATCTTATAACTCTGACTCTCCCTCTGGCTCATCCTACCAGAATCAATACTCAAAATATTCTCCGAGGAAACCATCTTACAATCCCGGGGACGCTCGATTCGTGTACCAAAATTTTTTGGTATTCGAATACCAAAAATTGGTATTCGAATGCCATATTTTTTTTACCGGATCATATTTTTTCCTTCAAAAAATTACTTAACTACTCCCAAAGGTTCCTACAAGATAGGCGCGGAGCGCATAGGGTCTCTTTAGGTACATCAAATTTGGACTTTTTGAGGAAATTTGGTATTCGAATACCAATTTTGGTATTTGAATACCAATTTTGGTATTCGAATACCAATTGGTACACGAACCGAGCGTCTCCCTACAATCCTCCAAAATCTGCCTACGGTTCGCGAAATTCTGGCAACTCTGGATCATCAAGCTCAAACGCCAGGCCAAACTATCAAAATCGAATCAGTGGTCGATACAGACCCGGAGGATAGGAAATCATGCTATCTGCGAATTTCACTGTTTTCACATTTAAACTGCCCTGTTATCAAAAATAAATATTTTTCGGAAAATTCAAATTTGAAATTTCAATTTTAACTCGTAAAAATCTCTAGAAAAGCTGTTGTCCTCTCGCTAAAATGTCCCCCAGCGTCAGAAAAGAGAGACAAAAAATGAGATTGTTGAGCGTTTTTCTACTTTTTCTTGCGGCTGATGCAAAGAGAAAGAAACGAGGAAGAGTCAGGGGAGGAACGAAAGTTCGCAGTGCAACCAAATATCCCTCTTATGTCGCGATGTTGCGGTTTAATCAGCATTACTGGTAAAGAAAAACAAAAAAAGAGGGATTTTTTCCCTTTTGAATTTCTCGAAAACATGGATGATCAAAAATATTTGAGAACAACAACGAGTTCGACAATTTTTCAACTCAATTTCTAGCGGCGGATCGATTCTGGACGAAACAACAATCCTAACCGCTGCTCACTGCAAACCCCGAACTAGTGATCTCGTCGCCTTTGGAACGAACAAGCGAGCGGAGCACCTTTCAAGCAGCGAAAAACGCACCAACACGGTCGGAATCAAAAGCGTCAAACTGCTCGGCAGGAAGCTCACGGGCAGCTCGCACAGCAAATGGGACGAGAAGATTTGGGACAATGACTGGGCAATCGTCAAGTTGGCGAAACCGATTCCCCTTGGAAGAACTGCTGCGAAGGCCGAGCTTGCTACTTGGAAAGAATTCGAGGAAAATTTATTGGTAAGCTCGATCAATTAGTTTTTTGCTCCAAAATAACTTTTAAGAACGGATCAAATAATAAATGCACAATTATTGGCAACGGCATAACAGATGTCAAAGGTCAATTTTCAGGTACGTACCTATTCTATCGACCATTTTCTTAACCCATTTCTAGAGGTTCTCAAAGAAGGAACAGTGACCTTCGTCTCCGAGAGTCCAAAAACATCCGGCTTCCGAACAATTTGGAACTGCAACAAGAGATCCGGCAAAAACTGTCTGCTCTTCAGAAACAGCAACAGGGCAATCGTCGGTGCGGGCGACTCCGGTGGGCCGATTTTCTGCAAGGGCGAGGGTGGCAAAATGAAAACGTATGGAGTTGCTTCCTGGGCTTCGAAAGATGGCAAGTCAGATGATAATACCTTGACGATGGGATTTGCGCCTGTTTTTTCACCAGATGCTCAGAAACACTTTGGCCAGTGGAATCCCCAAAATAGGCCGCCAAATGCCAGCACTTTCAAGGGTTTTGACGAGTTGATGAATCACATGTTTTTTCCGGAGAAAATGGGCCCTTTCCCTCAGTGGGCCAAAGTTTCTGGATCCTCTTCGCGAACGAAATCCTCCTCCTCATCATCATCAAGATCGTCCTATTCATCAGGCGGTAGATCATCGTCATCAGGTTATTCTCGTGGATCTTATGGCAATCAAAGAAGCTCTGGGTCATTAACTGGGTCTTCCTACAAAAGACCAAATTCGAGCTCACAAGGCCTGGGTTCAATTTTTCCTTCACAATTTCTTTAAATTTATAAATAAGCATAATATAAATATTCACCCCTAAGAAGCTTCATCTAGAGGAAACTCGCCCGAATGCACCTGCCCCCAAGAAAACAAACCGTCTCAGGCTCCCCAGCGAAAGCAATACAGACAGCCTTCATATGCTAGAAATTCCCCTTCTCGATCGTCGTATTCCGGCTCTTCTTCGTCGAACAACAGATATCCCTCGAGAAAGCCCATGTATAATTCTCGCAATTCTGCTTATGCTGGCAATTCCCGATCGTATAATTCTGGCTCTGGCTCCCGAAATTTTGGCAACTCTGGATCACGTTCGAACTCTCGGCCCAACTACGGAAATCGAATGAGCGGACAATACAGAGGATAAAAATTATTTCTTTAAATTTTACTGTTTTCACATTTAAACTGCCCTATAATCGTAAATATATTATTATTCTTCTTTATTTTCTATCATTAATTTTGCAGGCAAACCTTCAAATTTGCAAAAAATTGATATTGAAGGGTTCATTTTGAACTCATTTTTTTAGTGCTCGAATTAGACCTCATATTTTTGAACAAAATTGGTGATTTTTAAGAAATTTTATCTCGAATTCATTTATTTCGTTCTACAGAAATCAACAGAAGAACTAAAAATAATTGGGTCCTCAATGGTGATATCTCGATAATTGACCTGAGCAATAATGTGACTTGAAATAATATTTTCTTCTGTATCTTTTTGAGGTTCCAAATGACCAAAATATTGTAATGTTATAACGCATGAACAATCATTTCCATGATAAGCATTCAAGAAAGATTTAATTTTAAGAATATCTTTTTGATAAAGAATTTTTATAACAAAGATAATTTTAACCTTGCCCTAATTTAATTTGTTGTATAGAAGCTTGGATTTCATCAGTTGAGCCAGGGAAAACAATAACAGAATCGCCTTTTAAAATTGCCGCTGAGTATCGAACAGCCTTAAAAATATAACAAAATTACAAATTAAGATTAAACTACTCAAAGAACACCCCCGGTTGAAACTTCGAACAGTTCGGGATCCCGAATGATTCCGAATGATTTCCCGAATCATTGGAAGAGAAAATGGAGGTTTTTGTCTTCGAACGATTCGGAATTTTTTGATTTTTGCTGTCCCTAAAGTAAAGTAAAAAGGGAAGAACGACTTAGTAGTGATCTGTTCGGAAGTCAATCGATGCTCAAGAGCCAAAAATATATTTTTATAACGAATGAATAAATCACCCGTAAAATTTCCTACAAGACAGGCGTGAAGCGCATTCAAGCTCGTTGACTTTAAAAATCATCGGAATTTGAAGCTCTGTAAATTTTTGTTAATGAGAATGACTTCATTGTCTACAGTAGGCCTTTGATCTCATTTAATTATGCGAAAATTCGACCCTTCTGTTAGATAAAAGTTCCGTTAACTCCCGAATCATTTGGAGAATCCCGAATGGTTCGAGAAAATCCCGAATGGTTCGGGGAAATCCCGAATGGTTCGGGGAAATTCCGAATGGTTCGGGGAAATCCCGAATGGTTCGAGAAAATCCCGAATGGTTCGTGGAAATCCTGAATGGTTCGGGAAAATCCCGAATGGTTCGGGGAAATTCCGAATGGTTCGGGAAATCCCGAATGGTTCGGGGAAATCCCGAATGGTTCGGGAAACCCCGAATGATTCGGGATCCCGAACTGTTCGAAGAGACAACCCCCGCCAGCTTTTTTCGAAAAATCAAAAATCAGAATTTTAAAATTTTGACCCCGGAATTTATTTACTACGGAATGTATACTACGGGTCAAGATACGATTTTAAAGCTCCATTTTTTGGTGTCTATTTCAATTTATTCCCGCCTAGAATCACATTTGAAAATTTACGGTTTGAGAAAATTTACTTTTACAAGGTAGTCTAGTAACGACCACTTATTGTCCATCAATCGCCAAATTTCATTTAATCGTTGATATTCCCACCCATCGTAGCCTCCAATAGTCAGAAGACGTCCAGAAGGTAGCCCAATTGCAGAGAAGCCATAATAAATTGACCTCAATTATTCAGTATAAAATAAGGAACCCCCCCTTATGTTTACCTTGGATGCCTTTGTAATGATACCCAGCCATTTTCAGTCAATGTTTCAGTTTGTCCTCTTGCAAAAAACCGAGCAAATTCCCATAAATATCTACATAACTTCGCTATAATAAAAAACAAGAAAAATGAGTTATATACTATTATGGTATTATGGCTGGCTATAGTCTATATACCGATCAGCTTTGGTAGCTACGGCAGCCACAAATCTGGGTCTGAAGCCATCTTAAACCGAGCGAGCGAGGGCTGGTTCTCATAATGAGAACCAATTTGGTTAAATCGAAGGCCAGGACATCCTTACCGCCGCAATGGCCACATCTGATCGATATCTTTTTGTAAGATTCTCAAGAACTACCTAGGTATGATTGAAATATTTAAGGGAACACCCTCTCGTATGCTCCGATTGCAGTTGGGCGACCATTGTAATAGCCTAACCCACCACTCTCATGTGTTTCTCTTGTTGAAAATGTCGATTTTAATTTAAACCCATCGAATATCTCGCATTTTGTATTTCTCGAAAAGTCGAAACAAATTAACGCTTAAATAATATTTTTATCTTGAAGATAAGACAATTCAATCAATGAATTCAGAAGAAAGTAAACCCTCTAAAAAATAAATTCAAATATTTTACAAAACCTTTACTTCCTCCGTCAATAGTTAAAGCCGCATGAGTTTTTTTGAACTGATTTGACAATCGAACAGGTAACATCTTGAAAACGCATGAGTCTAAGCGATGAATCTAATCAAAATAAGGTCTCATTTTAAGATATTATTATTACTCTGTCATAATAATAATCATGATTTCCTCCAAATAAATGGAGATAATCATTAATCAATGCGTGCTTTGCACCATAAATAAAGTAACCAATAGTGTCTTCTGAAAAGTCTGGCGGATAAAAATGAATATTATTGTTCACTGATCCATAAACAAGAGAATACGGCTGAAAATCACCCCACCACGGCATCCCCCCCAGTAAAACATTTATTTGGAATGATTCGGAATAAATCAACTTTTTAATCATTATTAGACGATCAACCTTGAAAATCCGGATTTTTTTGTTTTCGATATTTTTTATTGCCGTCATCTTAATCTTATGTTTATCTTGATGATTTGCGTTGCGGTTCTTCACGAGTTTTCATAAAAATGTTTTCAACAAATATGTTCATTAAGCTCAAACTCTTCCTCAGAAATTTTAACCAAACACGATTCAGGCGAATGATCTGAGTCAAACTCGAGTCCTTAAGAGAGTTGCAGAATACGTTACGTTTTGCTGGGCTGAGCTGAAATAACCTGAGTGGAAATTGCTCCGAGCTGAGCTGACCTATTACTTATATATTTTGAATTAAGCTAAGCTGGCCTTTCTTGAAGTAGTTGAGTTGATCTTAGCAGGTATTGAAAAATTATTGAGCTGAGCTGAGTCATAATTGTCTGAGCTGAGCGACATCCAAGCTCACTAAGCTAGCTCAGCTCACTCACCTTGTTGCTCAAAAAATTGCAACTTTGATCCTAATTGTATTAATTCAGAGGCATTTGACTTAAGAATAATGCGCTCATCGAAGAAATCCGAGTCTATTGATAAGGAACCATTTTTACCAATTCCAAAGGTAAAGACTTTCTTCCCATTAAATAACTGGTACTCAAGAATTTTCATTTCGTTTCTGACAGCTGAGTCGTTGTACTGCTGAAAATCAATGTCGAATTCGAAAGTTTCTGTTCCATTTAATTTGAGCTCCGCTGTGCAAATATGATTTAATTCTTTCAAAGAAGAAAAGAATTTATCCGGAATAATTGTCTTGAAAGACGGGTTAGGCGGAGGAAACCGTTGTTGGGAGACAGCATTTCTGGGAAAAGCTGGAAAGACATCGTCGTGAAATGCAAAGAATGGATTGCTTGTTACATGCATTTTCTTTTCTGCTTTCTTTTGGACGAATTCGATCTCAATCTTTTCTTTCAAAATGGATTTTTATCAAAAAATGCGAATTTTTTAAACAAAAATATGATTTCAATCTTTGATCCCTTGCAAAATTGAATGTTACTTCAAATATTGCGTCAAAAACATAGCTGTTAATGAAAATCTTCTCATCGTTGACGAATCCATTTACAAAGTACTCGCATTCGTCGTTAATGACTCCACCTTGATTCGTAAAAAAAGGATCATTGGCATTTAATAGTCTCGAATAACAGATTGACTGCTCGTCATATTTGACAAGAGAACCTATCCATTCACTGCCAACAGTTAAAAACTTTCCTTCTACTTCCAATAATACCGTGTAGAGTGTATTTGAGAGGGGAATACTTCTTGTCACAAGAATTAAAAGCAATCGTCGGACATCTATCTTTTTTTGAGTTAAAAATGCTCATAGATTAATAAGTAGGGAGTCCGTACTGGGGACTTCAAAATATTCGAAAGAGTCTTGTTATGGCCCATAACTTATGGGTCTTATTTTGAAAAGCAATATTTGACTCTTTTCATAGGAATGATATGGACGGGATCCAAGTCTCTGTATTCTTGCGGCAAATCGATTCCGCCTTTTCTCCACCCTTTCTCCAGTTCTTCACTTTTTCGAATCCTATTCAAGGCAAGAGTTGTTGAGAGTTTGATGTAGTGGTCACCAATCTTGACGCTCATCAGATAAAACACTCCCTTGAAACTGACGGAAGATAATTTCGCGTTGAAATGGTTGCTAGCAATATAACCCTGAGCTTCTTCAAAGCGGTCTAAACTATAATCCGGAGCGTAATAAAAGCATTTTTCTAATCTTCCAGTTGGAGAGCTTTAATTCAGTCAAAAACATTCAAAAATATTTTTACATTTATTCGTATGTGTTCATCTTTTTGACCTTTTCAGATGATGACAACGGGGAAAATTTTCCTGTTTTTGTCTTTAAGGCGAATCTCAATTTGGTGAGTTCCGATCGACGAACCAAAGTGGAATACGAAAAAGCCACTAAAGAGTAAAAAAAAGATGATTTTTAACAATTTTTTAATCGGGAACAAAATTTTGCCCAAATAGGCGGGCAATGAGTGAATTGCATAACTTACATTCCTCTGATATTGATTTTATTTGGAAAGAAAATCGGAGAAGCGCCGTTTTCTTTCAGTTTTATCATGTTTCCAGTCGCATCGACCAAATAATGCTCGCCATCGAGAAAAGTAGCACCAATTGACTTTGCCGTTTTCATTAACTATACTTTAACTTAAATCAAACATTTCTTATCAGTAAAAACTTTCATATTGGTCTAGGGAATCAAACGTATAATTCACTTGTTGAGCAAATTTTCCATTCAAATTAGAGAAAATAATTGGAAAGTTTTGCTTTTTGATTTTTCTTTTCGTCCAGCGACCAGTTATTGATTTAAATTCTTTTGTTTTGGAAGTCCTAATTTTCTGTGTTGTTATATTCTCTGTTTCAGGTTTTTGTAAATCGAAAACAGGGATGAATTTTTGACGCAAATCGGTTTTCTCACACTCGTAAAAAGGGCAAGGACAGCCATTTTTACAGTATTTCTGACCTGGACAAACTTCTCCTGCAGATTCAGAAGATTTAGTGAGCTCAAAGCAAATTGACTCACAGGGCGAAATCGGGTTCGTCCATGTTGTCGTCAAAACGATCGTTTCAGAACAAAAATGGCGGCAAGATTTTTGATCGTAAAACTGTTTTTTCTTGCAACGCATCAGATTCACCTGGTTGTCTTCTTTATCGAAGTAAACTTGATCTTGTTTTTTCAATTCAACTTTTGAGATTGGTTCAGGAAGAATGAATGTTCTAGTTTCATAACACTGCTTCATCAGATGTCCACAGTAGTCCATTTCCGCGGTTTGAACACATTTCTTGTAGTTTCGATGACATGTCGAAGTTAGAAAAGTGGTAACCGCTCGTGAATTTTGCAAAGATGCGAAATTCGCTTATCATATTAATAAACAGTTAAATATTATCAGAGCTATGTACCTATCACCATAACAGTGATCCAAAACATAGAACCAAGTGTTAGGTACGTGTATTGTTGAGGATCGGTTGCGTTTCCATGCTTGGCGAGGCTCATTTTTTCGCTGACTTTTTTCTTCCATGTTTTCTCACTTTTCAAATCCCGTTTTTGTGTATGCATGCTTCGAGTTGTCAAAATTTCCTCTGGAAAAAGGTATACTTTTCCATCTTGTTGATTGAGAACGCCAATGCAATGACAATCCAAACACTTATAAAATTATGTTATATAAATAAAAATCATATGAATCCAATTTGTTCTTCTGTCACTTTTACGAATTGAAAATTATTCGCATATATCAACATTTACCTGAACTCTCGCCTGATACACAATCTTTGCATTTGCCTCTTCCTCTTCGATAACCATAGCGAGTGGTCGCTCGTTGAAAAAAGCTAATGTATTCTGGAGGTACACGGTAAAAAGCTCGCTTATGAGAATCGTCGTCGCTGCTTCTTCTGACAGCCCGACAGTTTCGTCTCCGTTCACGGTTCTTGTTGAATGTCACCGCCGTATTTGAGATTCAAGTTGCTTTTTGAGAGTTTTTAAAACTCTGTTTATGAGTTGATTTTGAAGCATAGAAATGATTTTCCGTTAAATAAAGTTCATTTTGAATTTCTTTCGCGAAAAATCATTTGATGTTGTTTGAAGGTCATGAAAATCACTTCTGACTTTCAATTTGGCCATACGTAAGCCGGTTTAGAAACGTTTCTCTACTGAATCTTAATTCATTGATATTAATTAAATGCCGATCTGACTGTTTAAAATCGAGCGTTTCGCGAGTCAAGCTCAAAAATTACGGATCAGAGATGAGGGTAACGAATTAATTTTGATTTAAATATATTTACTTTTTTTTTTAGCTTCTTGCTAGCATCTTTGCCATAATAACTGCTTATGAGCAACCAAAATATGGAGATTTTCTCCAAGCAGTGAGTCAAAGAAAGAGTGGTTGGGGAGCTCCAACTGGCCGAAAAGGTGCTTCCTTTGAGAAATGCCCAGCATTGGCCAGTCCTGAGAATGGTCAGATTGTCTGCGACCAAGCTACCTGCGCCCTCGTCTGTGATCAAGGTAAGTTTGATAAAGATGTGCATTACTCCCGCTTTTAAAAGGTTTCATCGCGATCGGCAGACGAAGAACGAAGTGTCGCTTCAGCACTGGGCAGCAGCATCACTGGAAGCGAACGCTCGGCTCCTGCGACACCTGTGCCGATTTAGCTCCTCCTCCGCTAGGAATCAGCGTTGATTGCGAATTCAAAGCGTCTGGAAAGAAGAAATGCTACTACACGTCCAAGGACGTAAGCCGAGACGTCGTTTTCGATCCAACCGGAGAGCGATTCAATAAGATCGGCGCGACATGCAGTTGTCCACGCAAGGGCAATGCTCGTGTTTGTGGATGGAAGGCGCCTAAGCTTGGAGGAATGATCACCGATGCTGATGTTGCCGAGCTTCGACAATCACTCCCGTGCGATGCTAGAAGCGATTATGTTTGCCCGTATTCGGAAAACTTCAAACCAAGAACACATGAGATCAAAGAGGGGCTGAAGACATGCAAAGACGGATATCCGCTCGAAACCTCTGGTCGAATCGTCGGTGGTATCGAAGCTGATCACACTCGCTGGCCCTGGTATGTTCGCCTGAACTTCTTCGCCGGTGATCATTTCGCAGGCTACTGTGGTGGCTCTATCGTGCGTGAGAACTGGGTTTTGACCGCTGCTCACTGCTGTCTTCTGAGGCACAACAAGACTGGTCCACAAGTTGATTATGTAGACGCTTACTTCAACGACCCTGACCGAATCGAGAATGATAATGAAGGGGAGTTTTGGCTCAACGCGTCTAGGACCCACTTTTTCAACCACCATGACTACACGAACGAAACAGGAGACGGAACTCACCAAGCCGACATTTGCTTAATCAAATTCAAGGAGAATATAATAGCTAAAGGCGAAGGAAAAGCTAAGGAAGTCTGTCTTGCTGACTACTATCCAGAGCGTAAGTCGAAATTATCAGCAATGTTGGTAAATTTATTTAGATGGAGAAGCATGTTGGGTCGGAGGCTTTGGTGGCTTGGGTAGTGAAGGTCCAGGATCTAAGAAATTCAAAAGTGCTGGTGTTTCGATCATGTCTCAAGCGTACTGCAACATGAAATCAAATTACACCGGTCGTGTTCCTCCCCATGATGTTCGAACATGGGATATTTGCGCAGGTCTTCCGGATCAAGACTTAGACGGTTGGACCGATGGAGCTAAAGTCGGTACAGAGTGGGTTGAAGGCCAAAGCCACCAGTTCAATGAGAACCAGTTCAAGAATGGAACTGATGCTTGCCAAGGCGACTCAGGCGGACCACTTGTTTGCAACGTTGAGGGAGTAGCCACTCAAGTCGGAGTGGTTGCTTGGGGAGAAGGATGTGGCTGGGAAAAATTTCCCGGTATCTACTCGTTCGTCAACTACGATCACTGGATCCGAGAGACTATCGATAAAAATTCCTCGCCTGATAACTAAACATATTGAATTGACTTCGACGGTGCTCAATAAAGTTACATTTTTATAGAATTAATCTGTTTCTCTTTGTTTAAATTTCTTGCATCAACTTTGCAGATGGGACTGAGAAGATTAAGGGACCACATGTGGTTTTCTTACAAATTATCTGGAATAAAAATGTCGGATTATAATCTGAGGGTTAACCGTCTGAAATGATCAATTAGGGATTATATTGATTATTTAATTTTAACCGAAACTTTTCTCGAAGTAACTCAATCATTGTTTTAATAAAGAAGGGAGCTAAAAACTCAAGTTCTATATTCAAATATTTAGCTCGTGCTCCTTCCAGGTGTTCCTAGAAAAAGGCAAAATTGAACCGTGCTCATTGAACCGGGACAAAGTTCGCGCGCACTCAAAAAAAAACTGTTGCCACGAAGTAAACATAATTATCGAGGTTAATTACCTCTCCAGTTAGCAATTTATTTGGACTTTTTCCAGATAAACTTGACAGCTGATATTTTTAACCCTTTCTAGCAAGAGGGCAAATTACTCTGCCGGATACAGTAACGAGTTTGTCGAGCTAATGATTGACAAGCTAAGAGCATATTACATCGTCCTTGCCCTGGTCAGCGATAACAAGCCATTTTTATCTGTTGACATTTTAGCACAGACATTTGACTACTGATACATCTCAAATCGTAAACGATTCTGTCGCTTCATCAAATACAGGAGCTCGGGATTAAAAATCGCCCGTGAAATTCGACAACAGGTGGTTCTCGCTACTTCGTGAAATTTAAATGCTTTTTTGATGAAATTTCATTCCACTTCCGGGAGATCCAATTTCTCCAAAAGCTCGATTTTTTTCTTGACATTGAAGTTCTAGCTCTTAGTTCCGGGTACTTGCCACAAACTTGCGGAACTTGACGGTCCGGTTCCTGCTTTTTCTTTCGCCGATAATCCGGAACCCTTAATTGGCCACTTTCGCTAAAAGCTGATAAGCGTTCCCATTTCAAAGCGAACAGATCTTCCGGGTGATGGAAAACTTGTCAAACTTTCAAGATGAAAATTTTGTTTGAAGGACTTTTTGAAATCGCTTTCAATTTAAAATAAAATGGCTCTTTGATATATTTAGTTTCAACCCTTTTTCTGATCGATGAAAACTCCGCTTGATCCGAAAATCGGATCCCAAGATCAAGCAAAATGCCACTCGAATAGGTCAGAAACGTCACACCTAAGAACCCTCACCGCTCGTTATATAAAACAGACAGTTGCGATGATTTATTGTCCGTTTATCTTTTTTTTTCGAGGCAAGCATTTTAATCCATCATCGTACTTTTGCGAAGGAGACAAGGCATAATGATTGAAACAAGCCAAGCTGAACATCAATAGCACTAGGGTTGACTGCGCTTTTGAATTTTGTGGGAAATGAGCTCTTGTGAGAGTTTTGAGAAACTGTCTTCCGCCTTTTTTGTTCTCGTAAAAACTCGGGGGAAGTTGCGGATTTTTTTTATGAACCGGGTTTTTCAGAATAAAGGTCTATAGATAGGTCTATAGATTCCTAATTTCAAATAAGTTATTTTGATACAACGTACCACTGTATTCTTTGAGTGTTGAAAATGAAGACGTGACAACGTAAAGATGACTCATTATCGATGTCACGTCGCGATTTTAAATACTTAAAAATATAGAGGCACGCCATATCAAAAGTTATGGGTCCTCCCGAATTGTCAATAAAATATCAGAAAGCAATATTATGTTGTTGATTTTTGGATTCAAGATTTTGAGCGTTTGCTTCCTTTTCCTAAAATCGCTGAAAACAAACAAGGAAATAAAACGATCGAACAGAGATTCCCAACAAGCTTCGGTCTTGTTTTCAATTATTTCCAAAATAATCCCTTTTAATTCCGCCCTTGTTTAATTGTTTGTTGTTTATTTCTCGTTTTAATTTTAACGGGTGGTTTGGCGGAAATTGAAGCCCCTTGAGATTCAGGATCAAAGCGAGTTTTATGCTAATTTTTGTCTTAGACATTTGAGTGTGTGAGCTTAAAGGGGACATTTGACATTCAAACATCCGGCGCTGTGACACAAGACACGAGCAGATTCGCGAGTTTACGAGTCCATAATGGGCCCATATGGACTCTTTGTAGGTCACCGTGTCGAATCGGGAAAGGTCAGTTCCTCGCTCGTTTTTTTGTTTGGGCTCAGTTTTGTCATCTGTGAAAAGCGAGTAACGAGTACCAGATGGACTCGAGAAATGTCGTGTTACTGTCAAATCGATCACTATTTCGTTGGCGAGTTTCGTTTTTCAAGAAAAGTGAAACTTGAAACTATAAAATGCAAGGAAAATTGGTGCCACGAAATCAGAACGCCCCTGTTATGTCCCCAAATGTCCCTAAATGTCGCTGTCCGCGAATGTCACGAATATCCCGGATGTCCCCGGGACATTCGGGTCATTCGGGACATTCAGGGAAATTTGAAGACATCCAGGGACATTCGGGAACATTAGGCACATAACAAGCGTCTACCGCAAAATCGAAAATTAAAATAATCGAAAAAAATGAAACTCTCAAGGAATGAAAATAATCCGCGTCAATAAATGTTGTGGGAGCGGCCTGAATCCTGTCTTGCGGTGAAATGAGCGAAACAAAGCATTTTGATGCGCATATTTTTGGTCTCCGCCACCACGTGTGAATTTTCCTCCTCCAAGGCGGCGGAATGTCCTAAACGCTTTTGCCCCTATTTTTAAAATTGCGGCTTCTCAGTGAAAAATTTAAAAAGTGAGAATTTTCAAAATTCTGGGAATTTATAATTTTTTTCTTTGAAAAATTGAAAATTGACTTTCTTTTATCTTCAAAAACTTAGAAACACTTTTATTTTTTGTCGTGAATTTGGGGTCTAGAGAAAAGTGAAGAATCAGATCAGATTTGCTCGGTGAATTGAGAAGTTGTTTTTTTTGAAAAGATCACACGCGCCCCAGTGAATCTAAATCAAGACCACCTTGATTTTTCATTCAATGAAGCGTTGATTTTTTCCTGATGTGGAAAAGGCCCTCCATTCATTGATACTAGAAATTTTCTAGTGCATGAGCGATTCGGGTCCCGGGTCACCATAAAGTTATTCTTCCTTGATTTCATTAAGATTTTCATTTTTGATTCAGGCTGAAACACATTAATAATGAGAGAAAGAGTTTTCTGGTAATTATCAAAGCCCAAACATAAGTTTTAAATTTATAAAATGATATTGTCATTAAATCCTATTTTTTGAATACTGCGCTTACTAATCAAAAAATTAGGCTCGACACAATTTTTGGAGTTAAGAAGATTTGGAGTAAGCTAAAAGGAGCAACTTTATTTTCCGGAGATACTCCAAATCGGAGCAAAATTTCAAAGCCGATTTTAATGGTGTTAAGGGCCTCCCGGCCCTGTCAAACCCCGGCAAAAACGCGCCTCCGGGCCCGGGCTTTCTTTTGAGCTATTCAGATACCCTTAAATATTTCTGCAACACCCTTAAAATCGGCGTTGAAATTTTGCTCCAATTTGGAGTATCTCCGGAAAATAAAGTTGCTCCTTTTAGCTTACTCCAAATCTTCCTAACTCCTAAAATTGACCATAGCCAAAAAATTATTTTATCACTAATAATATTTCTCCTTTTCGATGATAGAAATGATAAGAACGATGAGTATCTCGGTAGGTGGGCAGGTTTACTACGGCTTAGCATGAGCACCAATGGAAACGGTGGCGTTTGGTGGAAGGGGCGGCGCCAGAGCGCTTCCTCCGCGGAGTGGAGCCGCTCGCGGGCGAGTCCACCGCCGAGCACCTCCCGCCGACCCGAAACCGAAAAAAATTCTTCGGAAAAGAAAAAACTGAAAATCTGCGTCGAATTGTAAAGACTGCCGTATTTTACGAGAGAGCGAGCACTGCAGAGTTTTACAAAGAGTTGAAAAGATAAAGAAAAAAGAAGATTAACGAGATATAAAAACGAAAAAATTCACAAAATCAGAATCAGAGAGATACGAAATCAGTAGAGAGTGAAAGAAGAAAAAAACAGCAAAAAGAAAGAAAAAAGAAAGACTTTTCTTAGAAGATAAAAATCGTTTTCGGTAAGAAAATATTCGGAAAAATTAAATTTTATCCTTTAAAAAAATCAGTTGAAAATCAATGCCAAATGTAGAGGGCCCCCTTAATTTATTCAAAGTGCAAAAATCTGGCCTTGAAAGTTGATCGAAATTCTCAAAGCCTAGAATTAAAAATTCCTAAAAAATCCATTCCGCTGCCAAAAAAATCGGACAGGTCGCCCTTGGAAAGGAAAACAATGGCCACCTGCTTGGCGGGCTGATGTGTTTGAAGGGTGTTGAGTGAGAAATCGCCCGGCGATCTCAAAGAAAAAAATCATTTGTTTTTCAAACTAAAAGGTCATCTTCGGCTTCTTTATTTAATGTTTTTAGTAAATACGCGCGTCATAAAAGGGAGTCGAGATTTTCACATGAGCAAAGAACATTTTTCGAGGGTGGCAAATGATTGCACGCATTCTGAGCTTTTTTGAAAAAGAGTAGCTTTACAAAATGAATTAACCTTCTAGCCAGAGTTGTATATTTGAGAAAATTTTCTCGTAGCGGAGATAGCGGAGCTGACCTGAAAATTTAGCGGAGCTGACCGAGAAAATTTTCTCCGTAGCGGAGCGGAGCGGAGCTGACTAAAAATTTTCTCCCCGTAGCTAAGCGTAGCGGAGCTGACCAATTTTTTGTAACTCCGTAGCGGAGCGTAGCGGAGCTGACCAAAAAAAATTTTCCCGTAGCGGAGCGGAGCGGAGCTGGGCGGAATTTTAGCTTAGATAGCTAAGCTAAGCTGAAGTAGCTGAGAAAGGCTAGAAGCGTAATTTACACTGACTGGGGACTTATTTTACACAGAAAAGGGCCTTATTTTACACAGTGCCTTATATCACACGGGTTACGGCCTTATTTTACATAGAAAAGGGCCTTATTTTACACAGAAATGATCGGAAGCTTGTTTAGCTAAGCGTAGCGGAGCTGACGAAATTCTTTTTCCCCGTAGCTGAGCGGAGCGGAGCTGACCAAATTTTGTTCCCCCGTAGCTAAGCGTAGCGGAGCTGGCCGAAATTTATTTGGCCGTAGCTGAGCGTAGCGGAGCTGAACAAGAATTTTTTTCATCGTAGCGGAGCGGAGCGGAGCCGTCAGCTCCGCTATCTCCGCTAGCTCCGCTACGCAAATGTACAACTCTGCTTCTAGCGAGATTCCGCACAAAACGGACTTTTTCCACAAAAGGTTAAAAATGCCTATTTTAATTTTAACCCACCATAGACAGAGGACCCCAAATATGTCAATAAGCTTAAAGAAACCCCTTTATTTTTGATTGTCACTAGAAAATTCAGGATTTTATTCAATGCAAGCTTATTTTTTGCCTTTTTTCCGATATGGGTTAAAATTGAGGAAGTTTTTTTAAACCCATTGTCGTAAAATATCCATTCCATGGCATTTTATTGAAAAACGGCAACTTTTGTGATAAAAAGCAAGAAAAAAATTTTTTAACAAGAGAAGAGTCATTTTCGGTTTGATGATTCTTTTTTTTCGAAATTTAATGGGCATTTGAAAACTTATCTCAAAACAAATTTGCGAGCGGGTAATGATGTACTGTGACATTTGCGTGCGGTAAATTCAATTTCGAATTTTAGTTGCAGTCTTGTCCGCCTCAAACTTGCCTTTCAGAGTTGACAAATTTAAACAGACTCTGATTGTCAACAGAAACGCGACAGTTATCATCCGGCTTCAGAGGCTATTCTGCGCATAAGTTTGAAACTATCGGAAAATCAATGATTCCCAAAGCGAAGTGGATCTTTTTGAACTTGCGCTAGAATTTTTTACTTTCAGCAAAATCAAATAGAAAAACGAACTGAACTTACTATTCGAGCACAAGGGCAAATATTTGACAATTGGATACTCAAATACGCGAGAAATCACGCGCAAACTGAAAAATACGAAACTAAGGTTGTCTCTACGGTAGAGACTCTACCTAAATTTAAGATTGTTGAAAAACAAATTTAAACAAACAAAAAGAAAGATTCATTCAATAATTACATATTTTTAGATTGTTCTTCATAAATTCATAACAAAGAGATACCCTTATTGGATCAATAAATAAGGGTGTCACTTTGTAAAAAGAAGAAAACTCTTTGAAAATATGTAATTATTGAATAAATCCCTCTTTTTTGTTTGTTGAATATTGTTTTTGAAAAATCTTGGTCGGAAATACCTTGATCTGGCCCCGGAAAACAACAACCCATTACCGGTTGTTTTGAGCTCCCTTTCCGGGCGATTCGATTAGCAGATCTTCATGATCCCATTCTGCCGGGTATTCTTTTTGAGCACCGCGACGCATAATGTGCTCGGTCCGCCGCGGTAAACGGAATATTCTATTTCCAACTAATTTCGCGCAGTTCTTTCTTCTTTTGTCAAGAGAATCGGTGAGGTCACCACTGTGTTTAGTTAGCGGCTTAATCGGCCGACAGCGGACTACATGCGAGATTTGAGGCTTTGGAGATATGCGACGAGCTGGGCTAGCCAGAGGGAAAGCTAGTTGGATTAAGCTAAAGCGGCTTCTCGCCTTTGAAAAGGGTAATTTTCAGCTGAAGAAGGTCAGTTTTTTCAGGCGCCTTCTTTCTTGATGAAATCCTTAAGGGACCCCCTTTTATTCGAGGCAATTTCCAGGGACAAAGTGAAGTTCGGGAAGATCGTTTCTCAAAATGTTTGCATGGAAAATAAATGAGCTATTGCAGCATTTTCCTCATTTTTCCGCAAATCTTAATGACCCTCTTGAGGGTTTCTCTCGCGTTTCGGACTCGTGCAAAGCCAAACAGTAGCAACTACATCCGGTCTCAGGGCGCTGGGTTAATATTGAATCTGACAGTTGAATGGTCAGGCCCAGCTGTGCTTGAATTTCGACGATCTGGAGCGGTTTTCGGATTTTATCAAAATGGAAGGGGCTTTATTCAAGCACTTGCGCGGTTAATTGTTCATCAAATCGGAGACAACCCAAGAGCTCTCCAGGAATTTAACAAAGGCGCGATTTGCATCTCAAACAGCGCTACGTTTCCACCGCCGAACCTAAAATCTAAGCCTAAATCTAAAGCCAAGGCTCCAAAGCTTCAAAAAAGGGGAAAACAAAGATGGAGTTTTGCATAAATTAAATAAATAATTAGGATTCGAAGATGGCTATTTAGACAGAAAGAGAGCCCCTGTTTCTTAGTTTTTAATAATAAAGAATAATAATAATTTTATTTATTAAAAATTATTATTTATTATTTTTATTTAAATTTTAGTTTTGTCGAAAAATTCTTGAAGGACTTGTCTAAGCTCTTTAAATTCATGATCTTTTGCGTCCAATCGGCAGCTGTATGCACATTTGACATGGGTAGACATGTCCGGTCAAGCTGTCACTTCCCAATCTATATATAAATAAGCAAGCTCCGATGTAGGGTTACATGGCTTTTGGGATTTTTATCTACCCCGGCGTCACACCTGCGCGGGCATGAGCTCTCAAAATCCGGTACTTTGGCGGCTCATCGGATTTGCCGCTTCTCTCCCACTGCGACCGCAACAAGGAAAACCTGAAAATCGTGAACTCAGTTCCCGGCGAAGCGGAATAAGTACTGATTGATCAAATTAGGGCGAAAAAGTGACGCGGAACCTCCTTTGGGAAATAATTTTTCCCCGCATCGATTATTAAGTTATCGTGCCCTACTTTAGGTGGCTCGACAAGAAAGGGGGGCTAATTGCCCATTCCCTTAATTTTTCGAGGATCCACAGCTGGCAGGCCGACAATGAAGAGGCCTCTTTTGTGAGGGGCTGATATTAAACACGCGCCTGATTGAATAAAATGGATCGTATAACTTGGCTCAGAAAATGCGCTAGAATCATAGAATATAAAATTTTGGCCTTCACCCACTTTTTCCTTTTGAAAAAAAATTTATATTTCAACTGGCTTTAGTTTCGCTTACAAAAAGCTTGTAAAAATACAAAACGGCGAGTTTTCCCACAAAAAGGGCGGGCGTATAAATTCATTGTATAAATATTAATATGCGAGTATAAATGGCCGCCCGTATGTTTTCCTGCGGGAGCGGTCAAAACCTAAAAAGTGTCAAATTCAAAAATTTGGAATATTTCCACGGGGATAAGCCGCCTCTCTTGGAACGGGCGAATTCCAGACTTATGTCGAGTTATGATATTTTACAAGAAAAGGACTTGGGAGCTCGAGTACCTGCTACCGAATTCCGTGTTTTTGAAACATTACTTTTTTTAAGGATGTATAGACTGGTTTACAAATTGCTCAAAACAGAAAAAGAGGGTTGAAAAAAAGAGAGCTTTTTTGATAAGAAAATGATAAGAGTTCAAAAACTTCCGAATTTTCAGCCTTACAAGGCCCTTTTTTAAAAAACTCACAAACATAAACAGCCCTTTTATATTTACCGATTGCTCGCTTTTTTGGCGATAACACTTATCAGTTCGAAGCTAGAAAAAAGGCGGGGAAAAGCAAAAAAACTCACCGCCCCGGCCTCTGAAATCCAAGCCTAAGCGCCAAGTGGTGCTAATTAAAGCCACTTTGGTGCACCAAAGGAAGCACTTGAGTGTTTGAAATTTTTGAAATTTCAAATTCAAATTTCAAACTTTCAAATTTTCAAAGCTACAAGCTCGATAAGCCTCAATTATCCAATCATTTCCCCTCGTACAAGTCGTGACAGTATTCGAGAACTCAGATAAGGAGGGCTTAAGCGATTTGTTCTCTAAATTTGCTTCCGCTGACAGCTCTAGGCCTTGATATAAGCTTTATGCAAATCCAATCTCAAAATCACTCAGGTGTGCCTGTTTTCTTGGCTCCCTAAATTGCCTTATTCCAGCTTCAGCAGCTTCAATCTTAACCTTCTCTTTTCAGGCTGCTGGCATTTCCAACCGACGAAACAGCACGAAACACAACAAGCAAACACGATGAAACCAGCTTTTCGGAACCAGCTTTGAAATCGTCCGAACCGAAAACGGACGAGCCAAATTTGAACCATGACAGGAAGCGTTGAAAAATACAAGGCATAGAATAACGCGTATCCGGCGCAGTGGTCATCAACATCCGCTCATGCGTGGATTATGGAACTAAACTGGGGTCCTAGAATAGCACTAGCACTACTAAATTTATCACGCTTGACGGATTTATGTAATTATTGCTCTTGCCCCTTCGAATTTGCGCAGGTGCTATCTTTTAAGTACTATTTACCCGCGTTTCTCTAGAAATCTGATTTCTCAGATTGCCAGACCGGAAAGTTAACACTCTTTTGTCGGGGTGCCTTTTTCTTCGGGGCAGCTGATAAAATTCTTTACTTTCTTTATCACTTCGAAACAGTTCCGTTCTAGTGAGCCCGAGACGGCGGGAAAAAAGCCTCGAGTTTGGCATCACTAAAATTTTGCATCTAGTAATTAACGCATTTTCCAATCACGTGGTTGATCAACGGATCCCATGGGTAATACTCGCCCGTATAAACTTTCAAGTTAACCTGCAATTTGGTGAAACTAAAAACCTCCCGGCGCGGGTATAATCATTTTTACGCCGCTCATTTTTCACAAAACTGAATCTGATCCGAAGATTAGGAAAAAAAAGGATTTCCCGGGAGCTAAAGCGCTGTACTTGAAACTGACAGGAACTCGAGTGCCTCGATAAGAAATTTCCAAAATCCTGTGAAAATTTTGTTTTCACAAAGAAAAAAGAATGTTGTCGAAAATTCGAACTTATCGGAGAAACACGGAATAAGTACCGTAGCAAATAGAAGAATGACTTTTTGACCGCAACAAATTATTCTTTCGAGTTGTCTTTTTTTTCGCAAATAGTTGCGCGCATGTCAATCGCCGCGGAAAGGTACATCTGTGTTTGCAGGCGCCCGTAAAAATGTTCAGCCGGAAACAGCACCGCCTCGTGCGAACCTGAGACCGCAAAAATTTTAGCACTAAATAAAGTTTATCGTGATGCGGTTAGCCTCCTCCCCTGCTGCTTGTTGGACATCTTCAGTAAATACTCATTCAATAAAATATTTACAAAAATCAACCCTCTTTTACAAACCCTCTTTCAACCGATTTTTCAACGCATTTGAAAGCTATATCATGGCTCGGAGGACTCCTCCCTTATTTATTCCTCGCGGAATATTCCTACGCGCTCAGGCCTGTCTTCAACTACCCAAATAACATCGTCGAAGAAAAGGTCGATGAGAACTCGAAAATCGGATCCGTCGTCGCGCACATCCAGGCTTTCAGCGAGACCGACTCAAATGTCAACTACTCGATGCAGGCTTGGAGGGCTTCTGTCGAGGAGCAGCGCAATCCCGTCTTTGTCATGGACAAATCTGGCGTCGTTACAGTCGCAGCTGAGATCGACCTGGAGGATCCCGAAGGAAAGACGAAAACGCAATACAAATTCAAAGTCACAGCGAGCAACACAAAGACCAACGAAGCCAGTTTCTGCTGGTTGCTTATCCACGTCAACGACGTCAACGACAACGAGCCGGTTTTCGGCCAGAGCGAGTACAAATTCTCGGTTCACGAATCCACTCCCACGCGGACAATCGTCGGCTCTGTCGATGTCACGGACAAGGATCTGATGGATCAGGGCAATTTGAGGCTCTCTCTTGTCGAGAAGAAATCGCGAAAATCCCCAACTGCGTTTACAATCGACAAATACGGGCGAATAATGACCCACGAAAAACTCGATCGCGAAAAAATCGCCTTCTATAAGTTCTACGTTATCGCCAAGGACAGTCAAAGTCCAATTCATCAGAGCCAGGTAAAAATACAACTAGAATCGTCAAACAACAAACAAGTTCACGGGTGTGTTTGGGCACACGCCATGTTGCCCAGCTACTGGTTGATCACCATTGTTTGGGAATTTTCACCTGCGTTGGTGTCTCAAAGCTTCTTTGACTAGCATTGTCTTTATTGAAACAAATGGAATTCCAAATTCCAGCAAAATTGAACTTTTGGCGCGTCCTTTAAGGACCTCGATAAACGCAGCTCTAGTCAAGTGCTTTTCCAATTTACAGCAAATAATAATTTCATGGCAGTGTAAATAACCCTAATCAAGTGGCTCTCACAAACCTAACCATTTGTTTTAAAGACAAGCGTGGAAGTAACGATCCTCGACGACAACGACTCGCCACCTGTTTTTGCAAAAGACGAGTTGGAAGTTCGTCTTTCCGAAGGAACGAAAATCGGGACCAAAGTCATTTCAGTCAAGGCAACAGATGCCGATGAAGGGGAAAATGGCCGAGTTACCTACGCGTTGATGAATGACAAGGATACCTTCGCCGTTGATGCCACTTCCGGTGATATTAACTTGATCCGCGATTTGGACTTCGAACTAAACCGGAAGTTTGAGCTCCGTGTTCGTGCTCAAGATCATGGTCGACGGAGGCAAGAGTCAATCGTGACCGTGTCGGTCATTATCGTCGATCTCAATGACAACGCGCCGCACTTCAACATTAATCCTCTCGTCGCCCGGGTCAAAGAAGACGCTAGAATCGGCCACACAGTTACATTCGCCATTGCCTCGGACAAGGACGATCCTAACAGCCCAAATGGGAAGCTTTCCTACGAGTTGATTTCTCCCAAACTTCTCCCTTTTGCAATCGACAGTAATACCGGCCGAATAACTTTGGTCAAGAAGCTCGATCGCGAGACCATCGACCACTACGAATTCCAAGTCAAAGCTACCGACGGCGGCGGCTTATCCGACATTGTCGACCTTCGAGTCAACCTGATCGATGTGAACGACAGTCCTCCGAAATTCAGCCAGAGCAGTTTCAGCGTCAAGGTAGCGGAAGACTCGCGTCCCGGAAGCGTTGTTTTCAAAATTTCGAAAAACGATGTTCTCGTCGATTTGGACTTGGCCGACCAGATCGAGCTGGAAATCGATGAGCGATCCGACAACGGCGTCTTTTTCGTTCAATCAGATGGGCTTGGTGGCGGAAATGTCATTCTAGGAACAAACCTGGATTATTCGGACCATAAGACCTACGCCCTTACCCTCATTGCTACCGATCTTGTCGGGCACCGAGCGAGAGCTATTCTGAACATTCATGTGCAGGACAAAAACTCCTACGCACCTGTGTTTGACAAAGATGTTTATATTATCAACGTCTCAGAGGTAATCTTCATAATCCGCTAATAGTTTCTCAATTTTGTTGTCTCAAGGATAAAGCGCCAGGGCAGATAATCGGCAAAATCGCTGCAACGGATTCTGATTCCGGCGACAACGCCCGTGTTAGTTATACAATTGGCCAAGGAATCGCGCAGGAAGAAATCGAGAAGCTGTTTAAATTGGATGAGGAGAGTGGTGTGATTTCGCTGCTTGAAAATCTCGATAACGAACAGACTAAATACTACAGCTTCGAGGTAAGTTGTTGATCCTGAGCTTAATCCTCATCTTTTACTTCAGATCATTGCAAGAGATCATGGAATTCCTCAAAAAACCGACCGCGCCAAGGTTGAGATCAACGTCATGGACGTCAACGACAACCCTCCGGTCTTCGAAAAGCGCGAAATCAAAGTCACAATTCCGGAAGACGCACATGTCAATTCTATCATCACTACTGTCATTGCACAAGACGCGGACGAAGGTCGCAACGGCGCCATTTCCTATCAGGTAATCAGCAGCAGATACAGTAATCGCGAGGCGCCCGTGTTTGCAGCCACACTGATATTGTTGAAAATGTCAAATTTGTTTATTAAAAAAATCCTCTAGTTGTCGCGTGTGGATCCAAATGAACTCGGCTACTTCCTGATTGATACGTACGACGGGACGATTCGTCTGGGCAAGCCGCTGGATCGCGAAACCACGCCCTGTTATGAACTGGAAATTGAAGCTCGCGATCATGGAACACCGTCCCTCTACGCAAAGGCTACAGTAATGATCACTGTTTTGGACGTCAACGACAATGCGCCCCACTTTGAATCGAGCAAGAAGCGCTACTACGTACGAGAAGACAAGGATCCAGGCACGATCATCGCGAAAATTGAAGCGGATGACCGAGATATTGGGGATAATGCGAATCTTGAGTACTTTCTGCTGCCGAATCAGGAGACGAACAATATGTTCTATTTGGACTCGGCAACGGGCGAGCTGGAACTGCGCCAGCCACTGGACTTTGAAAAGAAGAGAAACTATACAATCACAGTTCAGGTAAAATTTACCTACCAAAGGAATGATATCATACTAGAAGATCAAAGAAGTTTTTTATCATCTTAAAAATTTGTGAAAATTAGATATTCTTCCTTGATTTCACAAATTTATGGTTTCATTTAGGTTTTCTCCGATTCGCTCCAAACAACCGAAGACCTCACAATAGAAGTCCTTGACATCAACGACAACACTCCCACCCTCAAAGACATGTACATAACATTCAACAACTTTGTCCAGAAAAGTACAAGTAGCCGGCCTTCCCTGATGGAAGACGTAGCCGGAGACGATACTGAATTTCCAATCAACCGAGTTATCGGCCAGTTGAACTTCTTCGACCCCGATGTGATGGACATTTTCGAGTTCGGGCAGGAGGGACAGGAAGAACTTGTGAAGGTAAAGATTGAGCAAATACAGAAATTCTGCATTGTTTGAATGATAGTCTTGTTTGATCTTCAAACGAAAAGAGACAGTAGTAAAATTACGATAAAGAGTTTACAATTGTACGTTCAGGTGAACAAAACATCTGGAGAACTCGCGGTGGGCCCAAATTTAGCGGCGATTCGCGAGTTTACAGCGCCAATCCGAGTGTGGATCAAAGACGGCCTTAACAAAGCTGAGGCAACACTTACGATTGAGGTCAAGATGGTGACGGACGAGGCGCTCGAAAATGCCATCGTGTTAACAGTAGTGCGACAGAACCTCGAGCAGTTTCTTCAAGGTTTGTTTATTTTTCTACGAGTCGAATCATTCTAGTACAGTCGATTGCATCATTTGACGTTTGTTCGATGCCAAATTTACTCGAGAGTAAAAAGCGCTCTCGGAAGTGGCCTTATTTATCTTTTCCGCTAACAAAATATTTTCAGTGGATTTCCAGAACTTCCGCTCATCCGTCTCAAGGGCTGTGGGAGTCAGCAAATCCGATCACGTGATTGTCTTCGATGCGCAGCAATCCAAAGACAACGTCGAAATCATCCTCGCAGTGAGAAAAGAAAACGGCGAGTACTTTTCTAGCTCAGAGCTGAGCGCACTGGTCTACCTCAAACAGCGCGAAATCAGCCCGCGAATAGCGGATCTAAGCGATTCCGAAACCTGCTCTAGAGAGCCTTGTCAAGCTTTCAACATTTGCGTTCCCGGTGTTGCCTTTGCCAAGAAAGCTGAGTTTGTCAAATCGCGCGATGTTATTTTTCGCCGTCTCGTGATGCAGAAACGGACCCGCTGCGTGTGCCCAAGCGGCTACGGCGCTGGGCAATTATGTCAATCTCCCGTCAACTCTTGTTGGTCCGCGCCATGTCAAAACGGCGGAACTTGTACGCCCATGGAAACTGGCTACGTTTGCCAATGTCCCGCAGGAACTCGCGGGGAGCACTGCGAACTCGTCGAGGGAAAAGGCCGCTGCGATGATGGCCCATTAACTTGCGGTGGTGGAGCCAAAAGCTGCCAAAATCTTCTCAAAGGTGGCTACGAGTGCAAATGCCAGCCAGGTGTAGAGAATAAGTTCTGCGATGCAGATACGAGAAGCTTCAACGGCAAAAACTCGTTCATCATGCTCCCTGGACTGGAATCACGCTGGGAACTGACGGTAGAATTCGAGCTCAGAACAGTGGTCAAGAATGCCATCGTGCTCCACAACGGCCGATTAAGCCCAGAAGGCGATCATTTCTCAGTCTTATTGCGCAACGGAAAGATCTATGTGGAACTTTCTACTGGCGGTAAAACGCATTCTCTTCACATAAACAGAAACGTCGCTTCTGGAGAGTTCGAAAAAGTCCGTGTTCAGTACCGCCATGAAGCGCGCCTGCTGAAAGAGACCAAAGGAGACTTTCATCTTCTCGACGGAAAGGGAAAGAAACGAGTTTTGAACATCATGATCAGTGATTGCTTCCGCTCAGATGGAAATGAATGCGCCGCAGAATTGGTCATTTCGGACAAGGAACCGGCGACAATGGATTTGACTGGACCGCTTTTTGTCGGAGGCGTTCCGGAATTCCTCAGAGACGATGGATTCACCGGTTGTCTTCGAAACTTGAAGATCAATGGCAAATTCAAGGATCTCATGACGCCTCTTGCTTCGAGCAATTCTCAAGTCGGCTGCGACATGTCTTCTACCTCCTGCGACGACAAAATCTGCAACAACGTCGGAACTTGTACCAAGCTCGGCGGGCAGATTCAGTGCTCTTGTCCAGATCATCTTACTGGCAATCGATGCGAAACCAACACCAAAAATCACGCAAAACGATTGGTCAACGGCTACATCCGAGTTCGCAACTTGAAGAATCTCGTTGATCGACAAGACTTTGAAGTTTACTTCCAAATCAGAACCGAATCCACTTCAACCTCGATCCTTACTTTCGAAAACGACGAGAGCGAACTTGTCATTGTCGATGGCTATCTTCAACTCCATACAAAACGCTCGAGACATTCTTGTGCCGACCAGTGCATCACGGCTCTTATCAGCGACGGCGAATGGCACCAAATCAGAATCAAAGCTTCCACCAGTCGAACATACATTTTCGTGGACGATCAATTGATCATCAACGCTAGAAGTGGCACTGCTACTCCCACTGCTGGTCTCATCATTGGCGACAAAGCAAAACACAAATTGGTAGGCTGCATTGCTGGCGTCAAAGTCACCGATGTTCGATCTGGCGTTTCCGAAAGCCCGTTAATGTCCCAAGTCGGAACTATTCTCGACGGATGTAATCCGCAAGAACGATGCAAATCTTCCACCTGCTCCAAGGGCGCTGAGTGCAAAGAAACATGGAGTGGCACTACGTGTGAATGCAAAGACGGTTTCTTCGGGCCGAATTGCTCTGGTGTTTGCTCTGTCAATCCTTGTCTAAACGGAGGAAAATGCGAGCCTTTGGGCAAAGACGGCTTCACTTGCAGCTGTCCAACTGAATTCAGTGGCAAGTTTTGCGAACGTCAATCTTCTTGTCCAAAGAGCTGGTCTGGTTCTGTTCCTGGCTCTTGTCGACCGTGCAATTGCACTCAAGAACTTGGTTTTGCCGAATCTTGTTCTGAAGACATAAACGACTGCAAGTGCAAAGACAACTACTACCGCCCAAAAGATCAGCCGTGGAAATGCGTCCCTTGCAATTGCGATAGACTTGGAGCAGAATCACCAACTTGCTCCGATGAAACAGGCGCGTGCTCTTGCCGCAGGGGAGTGTTCGGCCGCCAATGCGACAAATGCTCGAATCAGTTCGCAGAAGTGACGCTCAAGGGCTGCGAAATTCTCGGCTCAGAAGTATGCCCTCGAAACTCAGAAGCAAACGTCGTTTGGGACCGAGTCAAGTACGGCGCCACTGTAACGACCGAGTGTCCAGCTGGCAGCTCTGGATTAGCGACAAGAGATTGCACTCGGTTAGGCTGGGCTCAGCCAGATCTCGATAATTGCCAATCAGACCGCTTCGGCGAACTGGCTCGTTTCCAGCGCGCGCTCAAGTCCAACAACAGAAACTTGTCCACGCAGAAAGCTGTCAACCTCGCCGAGCATCTCTTCCTGGCTCTAGAAGACCCCGATGAACGAACTCTCTTCGGTCGGGATATTCAAGTCGCTTTTAAGCTGCTGCTAGAAAATTTCGCTTTCCAAAACTCGCATTCCGGCTATGACTTGTCAATGACCTCCAGTACCGATTTTTCAAAACACCTCTTTGCAGCTAGCGCAAGAATGATCCACCTCAGCGACGAAGAGTGGAAATCGCTCGACCCACTCGCCGCCGTCCACCTTCTCAACGCTCTCGCCGCTTATGCCGAAACAATCGCCGCCAATTTACCAAGGACATTTACATCCAAAATCAGCGCAAAGCACCCGATCGATTCTGGCGACGATTTGGCGTTTTTGGCGATCAACGGCACTTCCAACGAAATCATTCCTTCCGACGACGCGATGATCTATTTCGACGCTTCCAAGCTCGCGGGCGATGTTCCACGAGCAAGCTCAGTTTTCACTTCTAGAAGACTAGCCTCGCTTCTTCCGCTCAAATTCGCTCCTGAAAAGAAAGGCTTCAAAATTCCTCCGCATCCAGTTATCAACTCCGCCATCATCTCCATCGCGCTTTATGAGAACTTCACGGTTCTCGAGTCCATTCCGGATGAGCCGATTCGAATTCATTTCCGTTTGCTCAAGTCAGAAGGTCGCTCCCGTCCCCAATGTGTTTTCTGGCACACGGAAATCGACGCCTGGTCCCCGCATGGTTGCTACATCATTGTGGAAAACCGGACGCATGTGGACTGTAGCTGCGCCCATCTGTCTACCTTTGCCATTCTGATGGACGAGGGCGAAGAGTCTGTTTTCAATATGAATCCATTGAAGACCATTTGCATTGTTTTGCTCTCGATCACCATCGCCATCTTGTCTGGCTGCGCGGGGGTCTTTTCTTGCCTCAGCGAAGTTCGCTCTGCCCAGGCTCATCTTCACAACGCACTCAGCATTTGCCTTATCTTCCTGCACGTGACATTTTTGCTCGGAATCGACAAGACGGAGAACGAATACAGCTGTATGATCGTCTCCATCGGTCTCCACTACTTCTACCTCGCCGTGTTCACATGGGTGGCGCTCGAAACATTCCACCTTTATCGCCGCCTCGCTCAGCCTCAATTTCAAATTGCTCAACGAGCTGATCGCCAAGCCGTTCAGTTTTACTACGGCCTTGGTTTTGGTGTTCCAGCAATCATTGTCGCTACCTCTGTTGGTCTCCAGCCAGCCGGGTACGGAAACGCACGTTTTTGCTGGCTCGATTCTTCTGATCCCCTGGTTGGTGCGATGATTGTGCCTGTTTGTCTGATTTTCATCGCTACTTGCTCCGGATTGGTTATGAGTATCCGCGAGTACTTGACCGTCAAGCGCGTTGACATCATCAAGGAAGAAGTCCGTCGTGACATCCGCTTACTTTCATTCCTCGCACCAGTTTTACTCTTCGCCTGGGCCAGCAGCCTCGCCGCGGTTAACCTCAATTCGCCAGTTCTTTACATCATCACTTGCATCCTCCACCTTGCCGTTTCGCTGTTCATCCTCGTCGCTCATGTTCTTCGATCCGCAGAAGTGAAACGAGCCTGGCAACTGGAGCGGACGAAGAAAGAACGCCAGGAACAGCTCAAAAATGCAACGATGGTGACTGGGAATAGATCGATGGTTCATACGCATAAGTACTTGAATAACACTGGCACTACTTCTTCAGACACTTCCAAGCCTCCATCAGAACGGTGAGCTTACAACTAAATCATCGGATTTTCATTCCTCATTTTTAGATTCGATCGCCACGAAGAAAAAATGTACCAAGTGAAGCACCAATCCATCGGCCGGGTAAAATCCTCGGACAGCATGTCTGAATCCGACGGATACTCCGACTCCGACGGCGAGTTGCTCAGAAGAAAAGCGAAAAAGGCCAACAAAAAGCTTCGAAAACAGAAACTTCCTCAAGAAGCCGACACAATTTCTGGTAAGAGAAAATACTTCGATTCATGATTGTAATTGATTCATAGAAGGAGGAACGCGCCGCACTAGAATCATCTGGCACGATCAAGCAGATGGAACTCTAGCCTCAACTGCTCGCTCTACCCTCAAGTCTACAGCAGAAATCGTCGTTCCAGATGTCATTCCAAGCATCGAGAAAGAAGCTAGTCTGAGCACGGATCTAGACGCGGGCTCAGCTCTGCGAAGACAGAAATCCATCCTGAAAAACACTCCCTCTTCCAGTCAAGCAACTACGACATCGTAGCCGTAACATAACTCTTTAGACTTCTTAATTAAACTGACCTATCCCAAAAATGAAAAAGTTCACAAACCAAGGTCAAGTCTGTATCTACTAAAACACTGTATCTACTTTACTTCCAGTACTATCTTTTAAACTAACTTTTGTACGAAGCAGCAAATACCTCTTTTGTTCAAAACGATAAAAATCTAAAAAGACTTTCACTATTCCTGCCATGAAAAATACATTCGCTGTAAATAAAAAATAACAGTACTACATTTTAGTCCATATTTAATTAATTTCTGGTCAAGTTAAGAAAATAAGGTGAAAAAGCTGTTCTTAGTGATTTCTATTACAGCTTTTCAGACACAGTAGTCGACAGGGACCTCATACAGAACAGGCATCATACTTTTGTCAGTATATTCGATAACTCTTTGATTAAGCATTTCGTCTTCTTCAAAGTCAAGTCGCTCAATTTCAAAAGGAGCCTCCATTCCAGAGACAATAAAAATTGAGTTTTTGATCATTATAGCGGATCCACTACTGTCAGGCTAAAGGAAACTAAATTCAGATTTGATTTTTTTTAAATTTACGTTTTCAAGATCGCCGATTTTTTTCCAGATGTCGTTTTGAAGAAGCCAAATTGCTGATTGACTACCTTTCAAATAACCTGTTCCCCCGGCGAGTAAAAGACTCCCACTCGGAAGGCCCATCAAAACATGATAAGCTGTTTCACTTTTAAATATTTTAAGAAAGAAATTATTTTGTTCAAAGACCTTTCAGGAAAATCGGATAAAGACGACCAGCCATTAGAGTCCAGACTCTCAACTTTGTTATTTCTAGAGCCATAAAAGTCTCCAACTGTCGTTGGCTTTCCTTTGTAAAAGCCGAGCTTGCCAGCCCTATGTCGAAACTTTGAAGTGGAAGTTGCGTGCGAAGATTCCCCATCAAAAACTTCGCACTTGTTGTTGTACCAATTATCAAAGCAAATCAATGCCTTCTCTCCCTTTTCAATTGAAAGTGCAGCTGAGCCAGATTCATATTCAAAGAGCAATCGAGATGATAGTTTTTTCCACTCGCATTTTTCGAGTTTCGCTATCTAAGTACAGATAGTATCAATTTTTTTTATTTTTTCCTACTCGTTTTTCATCTATTCCGCCAAAAACGAAGAGCTCATTTTTAACAAGAGCATGATGAGCATATTGAAGATAATTAACACTTGGTGCTTCGATCGATGCTGCCCTTTTTGTCAATCCATCGAAAGAAATTGCGAATGCTTTATGCAAGTCCCAGCCCATAATCAAGATCGCACTTTTCTTCTTAGATTTTGAGAAAAAATGTTTCAGTCTCGAGCGTCGATCAGTTTTGAAAATCCGGATTTTTTTGTTCTTTACGTTTTCAAGGCCGACCATCGGTAGTTCTGAGTAAGCAATTTTCTTTTTCTTCTTCTCTCTTGAGATCTTTCTCGAGTTAAAATATTTGAGCCTTTCCAAGTTGGGAAGCCCCACTCATTCTCTAAAATTTAACTGTTCCTCGAGAACGCTTAATTTAAATGATTTTGTTGAATCAGATGTCTTAAAATGAAGAGTCAATTCTGTCGATTTCGCAGCATTTGACTGCAAAATGAACCGTTTATCGTGAAAGTCTGACTCGATCCAAAGAGAACCATTTTTGAAATTTCCGATGCTGAAGAGACTCGTAGCATCAAAGAAAATTAACTCAAGAATTTTCGTTTCCTTCAAAACAGCTGAATCTTCCCGAAAGTCGATCTCTAATTGAAAACTATCGCTTCCATCAAGTCTCAGCTCGACAGTTGAGATATGTTTTAATTCTTCAAGTGAGGAAAACAAATTATCAGGAACAATTGTCGTGGAGTAAATATTGGCTGGAAATGGCCGCTGGCCGACAGAGTTTTTGTCAAAAGCAGGAAAAACATCATCATGGAACGCAAAGAACGGATTGCTGGTCACGTGCATTTGTTTCTTCGCCGGTTGTTGGACGAATTCGAGCTCGACGGCGTCTACGAAGGATACAAATTATATGGATGAATTGCTGAATAACGCAAAATAATAATTGAATCCTTTCCGAAGTGAAATTTGATCTCGAATGAAAAATCGAAAACATAATTGTGGATGAAGATTTTTTCATCATTGGCGATTCCGTTTCCAAAGTACTCGCATTCGTCATTGTTGAAACCCTGAAGGTCTGTGTAGTTGCCATCGTTTTCAAACATTTTTGAATAACAAACAGAATGTTCTTGGTATTTATCAAGCGAACCAATCCACTCGCGACCGAGAGTCAAGAACTTCCCTTCTTCCTCTAACATCACCGAGTAAAGGGTGTTTGAGAGATCGATTCTTCTTGACACAAGAATAAGTATGAACTTGTCTAAATCGGTCTTTCTTGGGTTTGAATATGGCAATTAATTTCCACAATATTTCTTTATAGAAAAGCTAGGTTAGAAATTTAACCCCATTCCAGAGGAACCACGTGAACAAGATCCAAGTCTCGGAGTTCTACTGGAACTCCAAAGTCGCCTTTCTTCCATCCTTTCTCCAATTCTTCGCTTTTTCTTATTGAGTTCAACGCAAGCGTTGTCGACAACTTGATGAAATGTTCACCCAGTTTGACGCTCATCAAGTAAAACACTCCTTTGAAGCTGAGTGAGGAGACTTTTGCGTTAAGGTGGTTGCTGGCGATGAAACCCTGTGCTTCTTCAAAACGGCGCAAATTGTAGTCGGGAGCGTAGTAGTAGCATTTGTCTGCTCTGTCTGTTGGACGACTTTGAAGGGTCAAAAGTTATTGTCAATAAATAATAATAATGTTAGGAGAATATTTTTCGACCCTTTTCAAATGACGACAACTGGAAACACATTGATCCCCTTTTCTTCGTTTCGAATCTCGATTCGATGAGTTCCGATTGACGACCCGTAATGAAAAACGAAGAAACCACTTTTGAAAAAATATGGCGATATTATCAACAAGTGTATACAAGTGTACTTACATTGTTCTGCGTCTGTTTGGAATGAATATCGAAGAATCGCCCATTTCCTTGAGTTTCATCAGATTGCCAAGTGCATCGACCAAAAAGTGCTCGCCATTGAGAAAAGTGGCACCTGTAGACTTTCAAAGCTTTCTCTCATTTTCAGTGCAATTTGACTGTCAAAAGATCGAAAACATTCATAAGGAAAAAAGTTTGTCGCTAGAAAGTCGTCCATGAGAACTTCAGTTCTCCCTCTAAGATCAGAAAAAATAATCGGATACTTTTTATACAAAACCCTGCGATTGTCTAGTCTCTTTGTTATCAACTGTCGAGTCTCGGGAGCTCAAAAAGCTGGCAAAACGATACTCGAGCTAATTTTTTCGTTAAATTTTGTCAGCTTTCCTTGAATAACCTCGGGCGTCTTCAAATCCCATACTGGAACAAGCGTTTTCTCATTCTCGATTTTCTCACACTGATAAAACGGACAAGGACATCCTCCATTGCAATATTTTTCAAAAGGACAAATTTCTCCAGCAAAATTGTGCGATCTCGTCAATTCAAAGCAGATTTCTTCGCAGTTGTTGAACGCCTTATTCTTTGTTGACTCCAAGACAAGAGATTGAGAGCACAAATGCCGGCAGATAAATCTATCTTTTCAAGGTTTTTAGTTTTTTGAGAATAGATGATAAAAACACAAAACATTAAAAAACCATGGCATAGAACTTTTTTTTCTTGCATCGAACTTGATTGATCTCATTTTCTCTATCCGTAAAAGTTAACGCTGGCTGAGTCACCCTATTTGGTAAAGAAGCCGCATCTGGTTGAGTAAAATTTCCGGTTCCAATGCAACCATGAAGCAAGTGCGCACAGTAGTCCATTTCGTTCGTTTTGATGCATTTCTTGAATCCGAGCTGGCAAATGTTCGTCAAATATGTTGGTTGAATTTGAGATTCAAGGAAGGAATAGTAGTTTGCTGAAATTTCGATCTTATTTTGAAAAATAAAGAAGAATACTTATGCCGACGATGCTTCCCCAAAAGAAGCAACCAAATGCCATGTAAACTATGAATTGTCGCATTGTCTTGTTCCCACTAAAATACCGGTTATATTTAAAATTTTACGTTTAATAAACTTACTGAAGCGAAAATCGTTTTTTCGACTTCCAAAAAGCATGTTCTTCGAACTCGTCTGAAAACCAGCCGATAAATTTATCAGGTGCTGGTGTCTTCACCATTTCCGCCTGAATCATTTTTGGCAGTTTCATTTTCTTTCTGGGTCTAGTATTCTCCATTCCTCTAGTGATTTTTTCTCGAAAAATTCGGACTCTTTTTGTTGATCTTTTGAATATTCCTCTGTCATTTTCGACGTTTTCGACGGTTCGATTGAAGCCTTCAACGAAGTCCTTTGCTTTCTTATTGACAATCTTCACTGTCGGTTTCACTTTATTCACTTTCGGCATGAAAAACCCTCCACCGAGATCAAAAAGCGTCTTTTTAACAGTATTCGGACGGAGAACTACTTCATCCTTTCTTTTCATAACTGTTCCGACACAATGACACTCCAAGCATTTTACATTCGCCAGTGGCCCAGTTTTTGATTTTCTTGGAGTCTTTTCTTCAGGGGGGTTATTCTCTTCCTCGAGACTTGATCGCATTAGAAAATGTATGATCCGTCCCTTGAAGAAAGCAAAATGAACTTCTACTCTTTGGTAAAAACTCTGCTCGTTATAGAGTAAATCTTTTAAAAGAGCTATTCTTAATGCTCCTTGCTCGTCAGAACATCGCTCTCTAGGATTACTCGAAGCCGGTTTGGTATTCAAGTCAATCGAGAGTCAAATATGACGGAAAATCTGGCATTTTGAAGACTTACTCTGAAAGAAAAAAAAACAATTATCAGTTCTCATAATCACTTCTTTTGGCCGGAAATGTAAATTTTGTTGGAAACGCGCGAAAGTCGTCAACTTGATATTTCAATCGAACTTTTTCAAGTGAATCCACGTCTGCAATTGCAATAAATGTTTTGATAATGCTCGTTGCTGCTTTGATTAGACCGATGTTTTTTCCGTAAAATCCCGGGAATTATCTCCGAAAATCTCAGAATTCAACTTGTCTCTCAATCGGTCTTATTTCACCAGATCGAGAGAGCATTTCCATGTTTTGAAATGAACCATTTTCTTTTTTTATTGCTTCTCAGAAGAGCAGTCGAGGCGGAGCATTTCAGAGCAGGAAGTTTGCAGTTTAAAAAAGACGAGGACGGAGTCGTCAGTGTAACGAGAACAGTCGGCTTTCGTCGATATTTAGCTGGCTGGGGAAAAGAAGGATGCGACGAAGATGACATTGGTCAAACATCAGGCAAGATACTTAGCCACAAGAATTTCTACCTGCCAATCGGGGTTGTCGATAAGAACGAAGAGAACCTTGCAAAGGCAAAACTCGTAAAATACGAACTGCTGCAGATCGAGAAAAGTAGCTCCCTCCCTGATAATGAGCATTATTGCTACGGAAAAACTTTCGATGAGGCGCTCCCAGCAGCAGTTGAGGGAAACCAGTTCACAATGACAAACGGCTTTCATAACGAAGGATGGACAGTGTTTTTAACTCACGACAACGGTAACACCGGAAAGGGCAAATATCAATATACGGCGCATGTCTACGAGTACGACAACAATTCTCCTCAATTCGAGCTCCCCGCGATTTGGTGGATCATCGACGGCTGCGAGGAGCAAACTTACTACTTGACGCCGCAGGACCCGGACGGCGACCAAATCATCTGTAGATGGTCAACACTTGAGGAAGCTTCATTTTTCGCGCACGACAAGGAAGGCTACAAAAACCATGGCGGCAGCATAACCCACTGGCCACTCAATCAGCTTTCTCTCAATTCAACCAGCTGTGCGGTAACTTATCACCCTGAGCACGACAATGGTGGTGGCTACAAACCTATTGCTGTTCAAGTCGAAGATTTCGACGACAATGGCAATATCAAATCTTCCGTCCCAGCGGTTTTTATCGCGCAGGTTTTCACTCCGGATATGGACGAGTCGCTTTTAGACACTCCATTTACAGTCACTAATCGAAGAAGAAGAAGGCACGGCGAAGATAATGGCGATAATAAATTAATAGAATGGAATCAGTACAGGCCGAACATCAGACTCCAGCCGAGAAATACTGATCATTGCGATGGCCTGCCACTCTGGGTTCCACCGACTCCGCCCAATGAGTCCTTGTTGATTTACGAAGCGACAGTTTCCTACTACCAAGTCTGGGCAGCTCGCTTCCTTTTTCAAGGAAATTACTACACGACAGTCCATCGCGCTCAATTCTCCCTCCCCGATGGGATGACCTGCACAGAATTGCGAGAAGATGGCACTGCGACGTGTAATTGGACTCCAACTGTAGAACAAGTCGGCTTGCACACAGTTTGCGGCCTTTGTTACGATGTTTTTGAGCGACCAAGTAATAGAAACTGTGTGAAAATTGAAGTGATTCACAAAGAACCGCCCACTGAAAACCCGTGCACGACAAATCCGAAAGAAGGAATGGAACGGTTCGAGTTCACTGGACAGAATATTCAAAAAGATTCGATTTTGCTACTGAATGCATTGGAATCTGATTTCGTGATGTTTGAGTCAAGAAATTCGACTGGCGCATTCCACGATTTCAAGGTCAAAACTTACGGCGACCGAGACATCTCTGATTTACCGCGCCTGTTTGACAATAGCCCGTACACATTTTACCAGTTCGATCAAGCATGTGGAATTACTGAGTCTCCCCAGCTGATTGAGATTTACTCGATCGAAGGGGGAAAGAAAAACAAGTTGCGAAAGGTTCTCTTCGATTATCTCGAGCTAACTGTTTACGGTGATACACTCAGTCTTCCTCGAGCCAATCTCAGTGACAGTAAATGGGATGAACTTCCGGACCAAACCCCAGTCTTTCAATACAATCAAATGTACTTACTTCTCGCTGACGAGAAAATCCAAGCTTTTCAGAATCCTTTCAACCCTGGATCCTTCATTTTCAAATCGAAATCCGGTCCTGTTGTCACCTCGCGAATCACTCTAGAATTTCACTCGAAGCATCTGAAATTATCGAAGATTTCACTAAACTGGTTCGAATGCGAAACTACTGGCAAACTAAACCCGTCTGTTACAAGCGGAACTTTCGTGGACCCGGAAGACACCACGCATCCAATGTGCTATCGATACACTGGGGAAGACAGTTTTGATGATGACTTGTACACAGGAGATTACTGGAAAGAGGCAATTCTTCCTGGATTTTTTAATCCTGCACTTGGATCTCATTTTGACAGGAGATACAATTTTGCTGTTGTGAAGAAAACAAGCGGCGATTTTTCAGATTTTGACGAGGTGAAAAATGCCTGCTCTCAATTCGGTATGAGTTTGGTTTACCCATACAATGCCGATGCCAATGATTTCTGGCTTGCACGACTGATTGAGCAGCAAGCGGCTACTCCTGGATTGCGTCTCATGATAGGACTGATCTAAACGCTCTATTCGACTAGCTCTGGCGCGCTAGTTCCTTCCGAAAGTGCTCTGCCGATCGCAAATAATACAGCCGATCCAAACGGCTTCATCAACTTTGATGGACTGACGTATCATCAAGCATTTACAAAGATGAAAAATAATCAAACTCAATTCATTATGAATTCGAGCAACGGCAAATGGGCTGCTTTTTCTTCAGTTCCAGCTGGAATGGACGCGACTTTTTGCTTCAAATCAGAAGAAGTCACCACGATTTGTGGCAATTCCCTGTGTGCCAATCCGGCCACGGCTCAGTACGAGTGCAAATGTCCTGATGATGGAAGTTCGCTGATCACTGAATTCGGCATCGAAAAGTGCGTCGATCCAACTCCACCCTGCGAAGTAGACGATCCTTGTATTGCCCCGGCTGTCTGTAGAAATGCATTTGATTCCGCTTTTTGCGAGTGTCCAGATGAAGGTGTTACTAAATTCTTGTCTTCTGATGGCATTTCTTGCGAAATCATTGACCCGTGTTCGACTGGTCTCCACAACTGCAATCATCCAAGTCTTGAGTGCGTACCCACTCAAATTGCAGGGGAGTACAAATGTGAGAATATATTTGAATGTCCCTGCGAGATGGACTGTTTGAACCCTCCTTGCCTCGACCTCGCTGATTGCTCTGGTCTTGGTTCCCTCACTTTGTGCCCGGAAATTGACTGCACAAGTATCGGAACATACAAGGGGCAGTACAGGTGCCCAGTTGGAAAAAATGGAAATTGCGTTCGAGCAAATGACTGCGAATTTTTCTGCGAAACGATCGGGCCTGGATGGACCTGTCTAAAGGAAAAGTGTCAAGCATTTGAGGACTGTTCCTTTGAATGTCTTGAAATTGAGCAAAAAGGTTGCCCGGATGGGAAGGAATGCAAGAATGATCAGGATTGCTGCCCTGTTTGTGGACGACGCGAAGGAATGGATAAATTCTTACATTTTTATGAACGGATTTTCAATTTTAAAATTTATAAATCACCGAAAGAAAATTAAAAAAATTTATTTTTTACCGATAATTAATATTTTTCTTCAAAATGAAAAGTCGAGGGTTTTTCGGAGAAAGTTCACCAAGTTCGAAGCTCTCTCGCCTAAGTTTTCACTTTTCTGCTTTAAAAAACGAACAGTACTCGAAATCGGATAGCGAGTTCTTTATTTTTAGGAACTAAGGACGTCCCCCTGTCGCCCGGCTAATTCCCGGGTTCGAAAAGACGGTCGCCCAGTTTCGATAAAAACGGGTTTTCGTCTTTTTCGTTGCATCCGCGCTCTTTCAAAAATAACAAATTAGTCTTTTACAATTTGTCAGTCTCGTTTTGAAAGCGGTCGAAGCGGGCTCAAACCGCGACAGAAACCGCTGCGAAAATGCGCATCGAAGAGGTTGAGAGAGCCATAAGGTCGGAAGTGAAAATGACCGACTCTTTTAAGAGAAAAATGAATTATTGGTAAGCTTTTTTTTCTTTATTTAGATTACGAATGATTTTAATAAAAAATTAAAAAATAAAAGTTAATTTGTCTTCAAATTTTTAGAAAACTATTTATGAAAATATTCGTTTTTGATGAAAATCTCAAGATAAATCCTGTCTGAAACTCGAAGCCCTTGGGCATCAAAAATATTTATACAAAATAGAACGTATGCTACTTCAGCTCACGTTATTCCTCCCCGCTGCTCTTAAAAACCTGGCCGTTCCTTTTTCCGTCAAAACATTTTTAAAAGAAAAATTGAATTTGCTGCGGGAAAATGTGCGGTTTCTTCTGTTGGAAAAAACTGTGAAAAATTATACGGCGGCGGTGTACTGCGGAATTTTCGCAATGGAGCGCCCGCGGCGGAGGTGCCCGATCCCCATTCGGGGCCCTATCTGCCACAAAGAGCCACAAAAAACGTATTGCCACCAGTATTCGCACTTTTTTGGAAATATCGAATTGACAGTTTGAGTTTTTCAGGATGAGCAAGGAGAGAACAGGACCAGTGGATAGAGAACACACGGCGAACGTGATGAAGAGTCTTCATGCTCTCAGAGCTCAGGGACGATTTCAAGACTAAAATACTGATTTAGCCTTATTCATCTCATTTTTGTTTTTGTGTTACTCAAAATTAAAAAAAAAACTTGCGAAAAACAGATTGATAAAAATTCTTTCTATTTTTTGTTTAAAAAAGTCTAACCAATCAGATTTATAATAGTTCACAAAAGCGCCACCGAACGGGTGGAATTTTTAAAATTGAAATTTCCAAAATATCTTGAAAATCTGTATCAGGACATTGCTACGGACGTAACTCTACATTGTAAGGATGGTGAGTTCCGCGCGCATTCTGTGGTCCTCCTGACAAGCGCGATTGCTGATAAGGTGAAAGCGCGCAACTCCGAAATTGTGGACCTCAGTTTCGGTTGAAAAGTTATTCTCGAGAACGCTTGATTCTGCGTACTTGCGCAAGTGTTGTTAATTTCAACCTGTTTTGACAGCGACTTACCGGCATCAGGCGTGGCCGTTTTGCTGGATTATATCTACCTCGGCAGAGCGCGGCTATCGCTAGAGAATGGATTAAGTGCTCTTGAAGTGTCGAGACAACTGAACGTCAGGGACCTGTTCGACAAGTGCCGGAAATTCATATGTCCGTTTATGATTGACCCGACCAAGGAAAATGGTCGAAAACAGCGTGTTTTACACGTGTTCTGGAGCACTAATTGAGCAAATTCGCTACCGAGGAAAAAGTTTATCAAGAAAACATCTTCAACAGATTTTTTCTATAGTTTTCTCACGAAATTACTTTAGTGACACCCTTATAGAAATTGTTTTCCATGAAAGTTGCCGATTATTCGAAGTTCGGACTTTATTTATTTGAACGTTTTCGTCTCTAGAAAAAACGCTAATTATTTTAAGTAGCGCAAATAAATACTTGTTGAAACGACCACTTTAGCAATTTTACAAAGTTCAACTAAATTCTTGCCAAGTCGACAAATATTCAAACCATTTGAAAGGGATTCGGCGGGCTGGATCAGCCGGTTGAAGCTCCCGTTCCGATTGCAGGTGTTTCGAAACGAAATTCCGCGACGAGCCTAACATCCAGTACGAGTTCGAGATCGAAGGAGTGGCTCCTTAATTTCTTTGTTTACGGCGGCGGTGGCGATAAGCTCCTTCCGTAACTGCATACATTTGCTTATCTTATCAGCCTTTTTGGAGCCTGTGATTAGCTTGACCTCTCTGATATCGGCATCAACAAGAAAACTTCGCCAGAACCTGAGAAAAAGCCGCTACCAGCGAGCAGTCCAGAAAGAAATCTTTCAAGTCCGCCGGCGAATATGCAAAGCTCCGTGCGCAGAATAGTTGTGAAACCGCCAGAGCCGCTTAGTACTGTCAGCGATTACCTTAAACCTGTACCAAAGGTACAACTGTTGCATAACAAAAAGTCAGCTAATTTTTTAAACAACTTCTTTCTTTTAAATTCTAGCGCTAAATTTCTTGTTCAGAAATCATCCCCAACTCCCGAAGAAATCCCTGAAGACCGATCTGAAATCGAATCCATCGCTTCCAGCTACACAGAAACCACAATCACTCCATCATCTTCAGATACGGTAATTACAGTCATTTTTTTCTCCGAATTTATGGACGCGTTTTCTACCCATAAATTCATTGTCCGGTTCTTAATTTTACAGGTTCTGAATTTATGGGTAGGAGACGGTCCTGGAGGCGTTTTCCTGCTGATTGAAAAAGCACTGGCGCCACCTTTTGGGTTAAAATTTTCGAATAAGAGACCCTTAAGGTGCCCTGCGTGCTAAATCAGCTGGCAGAGTGCTGGATTGAGACTTTTCTTGAGTGAAACAGGACTCGAAAGACAACGAAGATAGCCGACTATCCGATCAGAGCGACAAAACTACAAGCAGCTTAGGAAAGTTTTCTTTGTCATAATTGATTGTTATTTCGAAAATGTTTGATGAAGATAATGTTGAAAACAAGAAGGAGGATCTCTGGGCGAGAAGAAAATAAGACGAAAGAAGTCTGTAAAATGGGTCTAAAAAGATCGATGCTGATATTCCAACTAACAAAAATTTTCCTTTATATTTCAATGCTAATAAACTGCTTTATTTCGAAACTTCTGAACAACAAAAAAACATAGAATTACTTGCAATTTATTCTTCTTCTGGCTCGTAGGCGAGAATCTTTCGATGGAGTTTTGGACTGTGAGGCGGGTTGCCGACGTATTCTGATCGATCGACCTCTAGAAAATCATTCATTCATCAAAAATGTCTTTTCAAGACAAACCAAGATATCCTGTCAGTCCTTCTCTCAATTTCAGTCGTCGCTGAATTCCCTGAGACTCTGTCGCCAGCTCTAGAAGTTTTTGCTTTTCCAGATCTCCGATCACGACAGTTTCATCGATGACAGTTCCAGCAATTGAAACTGAAACTGGAAGGCCCATGACGACTTCTTGTTCGCAAATGTCGAATTGCCCGTTGCACATGATTGAAAGCGTCATTCTTCAGACATGGCTTTATGTCGGAGAATTTACTGTAGCTTACCGTTTTGGGAATTCTGAGCAGAGCGCGTGAATAATTTCTGCGCCCGCTACTCCAAGCGCCGGTGCTGGAACACGAGCAGGGCTGTAGCCAGTTTTCAAGAGTTCCTTGAATTTTTGACGCTTGTGAGCATCGCTTTTCGTGTGTTCGATGACGGGAATGGGTTTAAGCGATGTCCAAAGGGGAACTAAGGAAATAACATACATCTGTATATTGAAAAAAATCTCACTGATTGACGAGTGCTTGTTTCCAATGACCATTGCTTCTTGCAAAGTGGTATCTACTCCTTTCAGCAATCGCAGGAAATGGGCACTTTCGATGACTGTTCCGGTTCCAACAACTTTGATCGCTAAAATCAATCTGTAACGACAGTAGAATAAGAGATTTCACTCACATGCTTTTGTCAACTTAGCGAGAGCAAAAGTAATCAAATCTGCAGGTTCGCAAGCAACGACAATTGTAGATTGTCCAGCTCTGAAGCCAATTTCCGTCGCCATTTGTCTCAAAAATGGGAGAACTTCGGCAAGTGCTTCATCACTCGATGGAGCTTCACCAAAAGGACAAGTGAGAAGGAAAAAATCAGCGTCGTCGATTTGAGCGAATTCGATTGAACCGCGAATGTCGATGAAGCGCCCGAGAACATCGGACGAAGCTTTCAAATCAGCGATTTTAGACGGCAAGGTTCCGTCATTCGGGTCAATAATGATCAGCTCCGAAGCTAGGTCTTTCTCGATGATACTCTGGGCCGCAGCGAGTCCAGCCGGGCCCGCGTGAAAAATCACAATTTTTTTCTTCATCTCAATAATCCACTTCTGTTCCTTTTTCGCTGAACATGCTCAGCAAACCGCTTAGCTGCAACATTTATGCTAGAGCCTCATCCAATTTTTAATAATGTAGCGTGTGGGTCTTCATCCCCGAGCATGTTACTGGGACAATATTTGATATTCTCGCCGACAAGCGCTTTCTAAATCAACCGTTTCTCGAAAATATTATATTTTGGCAAAGTCTTGATCTCTTCCCTAATTATTCCGCTCGTAAAGCAATTTTTAAAATTCCGGAGGCGAAAAATTGTGAGAAAATTGGATGTGATCGTAAAATTTTGGTATTTCTTGGTCGTAGAAACTAATTGTGTTGAGCAGCTAAAAAAAGGCTGTTCACGAGAATGCGGATTTTCTTTGCCTTTATTGGCCTTGGTAAATTGAAGAGAACCTATTTTAAAGAATCTGAATCTTGAAAGAAATCAAGCACCATAAATTTTTATTAAGTTTTTGGGCGCTTCAACACAGGGATCCTCTACGATCGTCTGCTGAAAGGCTGGAGCTATGTTCTCGACATGAATCAAACAGGTTGCACCATGGATTATAATGAAGCAGTTGAAGCATTCGAGGAGCATCCTTGGGATTCAGAACTTGTGCCAGACGAGTGCGTCAAATACATTAGAGATGAATCAGAAGCAGCGAACCCGAGCAGAATTCCGACTGCGTTTACGGATTCACCGATGCCCATGGAAATGGACGTCACTCTAGAGCAATTTCATGGAATCAACGCGAGGGAGCAACGAGTGTACTTCACTGCTATGTAAATGAGACTTTTTGAAAGGGATTTATACGCTCATTAATTTTCTTAGAATGGACTTTACTTGGCGAGACGACTTTCTACATTGGAGACCAAGTCTGAACAACGGCATCAAACACGTGATCATCGCCCCGGATAAAATTTGGACGCCGGATGTAGTTTTGATCGACAATCTATCCGACGACTTCGACAAAAAGTACCAAGCAGGAGTGACAGTCGCCTACGATGGAACATGCCACTGGGTAACGATAGTTAATTTCGAGGCTGGCTGCGTTTTCGACATGACCTTTTTTCCGTACGATACTCAGGCTTGTCCTTTGACCTTCGGGCCCTGGACGTATTCAAGCAGAGATATTTCGTTTCGAATCAAAACTCCGACGAATAATATAACTGGTCCTGGTCAGACAGGACAAATGCTTGTTAGTGAGTAATGCAATCATTTATTTTCTGATGAGTCCGCATAATTCCTTCTCTAAAATAATTCAGGCCCAATGAAACCGAATTCAACGGAATGGAATATTCTCAGTACGAATGGAATTATGAGGGAACTGAAATATCCTTGTTGCGAAGACGAGTTCCCAGGCATGGTTCGTACTATTTAAAAATAAAGTCAAAAGCGATAACTTGGCTTTTTTTAATCATTTAGGTATGCAAATAAGACTTTCAAAAACCATCCAAAAGAAATCATCTACGAAATAGTTTTCGAGCGGTACACTCTCTTGCCCACCCTTTCCATCGTCGTTCCCTGCATTTTGACGGTAATCCTGATCATTCTCGGCTTCTTCCTGCCCCCCGATGCTGGCGAAAAAATTGGCCTAAGTAACCAAGCTCAACCAAGAGCTTCACAAAACATTTTTCAGATATTACGATTATGCTTGCTTTGGTCGTTTTTATGGACCAGTTGACTCAGCAAATTCCACCGATGCCGTCCAAGACACCTCTGATCGGTCAGTTTTTCGTCGCTTCTCTTGTTCTTGTTGTTTGTTCTCTTATTTCGACCGTTTTCTGCTTGCGACTTCATCATACTTCTGGAGAGGAAGCGAAGAGAATGGCAAAATGGGCAACGGATGAATCTATTTCAATCTGTCTTATATAGCTATCAATCGTCCCGAAAATAAGTATAAAAGTCCGTTACAAGATAAGATGCGTTTTTATCGATTCCTTGCCAAAAATTCTTTTTACCTTGGGCCCTCCACCTGATCGTCCACAAGAAAAGAGCCATGAAGAAGAAACTGCCAAAGCTGAAGAAATCAACAAATTCGTCGACGAAGTAAAAACCCCCACTGAACGTCTTTTGATGGAGATTCTAAAAGGTGAACGATTTGTTTGAATTTTTTTCATCGAATGAATTCTAGAGCTCGCTTGCATTAACAAAGCCACTATGGATGGAGACCTTGGCGCGGCGTACGAAGAAGAGTGGAGATACGCTGCGACTGTATTCGACCGAGTAATGGCGTATTTTTACATTTTGGCGCTGATTGTCTTGCTTCTCAGCACCGTGTTGACTCGCTTCTGGAGAGACACCAGTCCCGTAACTTCTGTTTGAAAACATTGCAAATTTCTTCTGAATTTCCTTTTTGTCACTACAAATCAAGACATGATTTCCAGGAGATATGTATTTTGCTTGTATATATTGTACGAAAGAAGCGCTCGTGAAGTCGCGTCTCAGCCAGCTCGCCAAGGTCCCTTAAAACCTATCAGTTACAGTATAAGCCTCTTCCTTGACTCCATTCTTCCGAATCTTCGAAGAGAATAAAACCTGCGAAATTAGGGTTTTTATGGGAGACACTGAATTGTGCCGCCCTGCGCCACCTTGCGCCGCCCTGTGCCGCCCAGCCTCATCGGGTTTGAAGATATTTGGTCTTTCAAAGGCCACAATTTAAGCTTTTTATGTCAACTTAGTTATTCTCACTTATTTATATAGTCAAAATGTTAAAATAAGTAAAACCTTTAATTTAGGGTGCCAGTAACGAATTTCTCAATCAAATTCAGATCTTGCATAAAATCACTAATTTATTGAGCACGCGACGGGCCAAAGGCCCTTACGCGTGCATATTCTGGTAGAGAACTCATTGGGTTGGCGGGGCCCAACTCTCGCTCTTGTTCAGAACTCTTTCCTAGGTCATGGTTTGACCGATTGATAGTCGATTGGTTCCGGACCGGGCGGCGCAGGGCGGCGCAGGGCGGCACAATTCAGTACCCCCCGTTTTTATTGTTATATGCTTATGTTTATTTTATTCTGGCAATGGCCGATAAATTTTCATTTTCAATTTGAATAGAACAAAAAAAGTCGAAACTCATAAATCAAGCATCTATATTTTTTCCTACGTTTTTCTTTCGAAAATACAAGACTCTAACCCTGATTGAGATTGTTCGGAAAATTTTCATTTCAATAAAAGTTAAGCGATGTTTGGCATTTTATCTCTTATTCATTCTCACGAGAGGCTCTAAAAGAATCTACGCGTCATGGCGTGTTTTGGCGCCCTGCCGAGCGAGCCGCTGATTATGTTGGTGGAGGAGGTGTTCAGCGAGGGATTCATAAATTCTTGCGTATGACTGGCTCCGCCCGCGGCCAAGCTGCCCTAGTTCCGAGCAAGTTGCCCGTTTTGACGTTTCTTTTTTACCAATTTCACGAAATTACTTTCACCTAATGATCCTCAGAGAGTGACGAAACAAATGCTCGCGGTTGTTGTTGTCAGAGAAAAGCAACTGCGCCGCCGCTAGAAAAAGAAGTTGTTTATTGAATTAATCGCTGACGCAAAAGTTCACGCCTTGTTGAACACCACAAAGTGGTTCCACAAGTGACCAACACTTGACCTTATCGAAAATGCTTACTAGAATATTTTTAACATAGTTAAATGAAATTCAAAAATTTATCTTTTCTACCGGTTCTGCACGAGACCTTAAAAGTAAGGTTTCTTTATGAATAATTAGATTTGATAGAATTCAAAACTTCTTCTCTGCTATCTTACTGTCAAAATTTGTGAGCAAAAAGAAGTCTTTTTCCTAATTTTTAATTCTTTTTGATTAAAAAATTTCTTTTCAGACTTTGAATGGGAAACTAAAATGATCTGGGTGATAGCCCTGCTCCCTTTTCTCGGGGCAATAAAAATCCCTTCCAAAGAAGAAAGGGAGTCCTACAAATGCCTCGCCTCTGCGGAATGCGTCAAAACCTACCTGGAAAATGAAAACAAACTCCTCGGCCTCAAAAAGCAAGGAGGCCTTCCAGCAGGAGCTCCACCGATTCCCGGCCTTGGTGCTCCACCTATTTCGTCGAATGTCTCTCCAACTGGAAACCAGCCGCCGATTTTTAAAGGACCTCTGGCCGTAAACGTTATGTTCGGTGAAAAATTCGAGATCCAGCTCGACTGGACGGATGAAACGCCAGAATCCGTAACTGTCTCCATTCCTCCAGAAGTAAAAGCCGGTACAGTGACGAGAACAGGCAAGTTTCACTACTCCGCGGCGCATTCGCAGCCGTTGGAAATGCTCAGCGATCTCAACCGCGTCGTCTTCATCCTCGACGACGGAGAGCATACCACTGAGTTTACTCCTACTTGGAATTACTGTGCCTGTCGCAACGGGGGACTGTGTAATTATGATACGAAGGCGAACTTTGACAGTTTTTACATGGCCAGTTGCATCTGCGGCGACGCTTGGGGTGGCGAGTTTTGCACGGAGGACAAAGACGGCTGCGAAAACCCGAACCCATCCTGCTTTCCTGGCGTTCGTTGCATCGATCAAGCAGCGCCGCTGAGTGGTCACATGTGCGATGATTGTCCCCCTGGTCACTCTGGAAACGGCTTCATCTGCGAACCTGACTCAGACGAGTCTCGTGAGCCGATTTGCTACGACTTGCCTAAAATCCCCCACGGCTCTTTTATCATCCCGAATTCCTTGGTCGACTTTGTCGATTCGGGCGAACAAGCGTTGGCGGAAGGAGAAACTCTCCGATACGAATGCGAGGAGGGATATGAAATGATGGGCTCTCGGGATCTGATTTGCATGTCAGGCGGAATTTTCTCAGAAGTGCCTCCAATCTGCCGAGACATCAACGAGTGCCAGCGTTCGCCCGCGCCCTGCCATCCGACTGCGCAGTGTCGCAACTCTCCGGGCGGTTACGAGTGCGAATGCGGCCGCGATTGGATAAATGTCGAAAACACCAGCGCTTGTGAGCCGCTCGTCGGCTTCCTGAAGCTCGATGAAAACAACGAGGACACAGCCTCTTGCACGCCTTCTAGCGCCAATTCAGTCGACGTCTATTGGTCGATTACGAAAAGATGGCAGTTTGACCCGGAAGTGATCGACAAGTTCATCATCAGTTGGTTTCCTTACGAAACGGAAACAGAACAAGCTGACGAGCGATTCAAACTAATCGGCATGGACCGTGGCTCGATCACTGGAGGCAGCATGGAGTACGAAGATCTCATGGCAGAAACGAGCCTGAGAAAGCCGGATTTCGAATACATCGTTTTGGATCATTCCTACAACGCGTTCATCATCGACGGTCTTCAACCCGATACAAACTACAATATCGGCGTCAAACTCGAAACCAAACAGGGTGCTCTTATTGGCGAAAAATTTTCTGCCGCGCTCAGACTCTCCCGGGCATTGCTTCCCCTCCCCAAGCCGCTGTCGTTACAGAAGTACTGGGAACTAGCTTTGAAGTCAAGTTCCTCCCGCCAGCTAAGCCAATGGGCTTTATCGAAAACTACATCGTTGAGTCGAAGCTAATCACGCCAGAAATTTGCCAGAGCCCAGTGGCCAAGGAGGACGAATGTCTGCCAAAGTACAAGATCGTCTCTGCAAGTTCGAGCGAGCCGTCTGGCCAGATCTCGGCAGTGATTCAAGGGCTCAACTCCGAGGCCGACTATGAATACCGCATCAAAGCGCTATCGAAATCGACCGAGGGCAACTGGACGGCGGCAAGCAGGGTTCGGTAATTTGAGCTCAAGCTAAAACTCATTTTGGCTAGACGCTCAAATTTCCTCAAATTGAGAACTCAAAGTGACTTGAGAAATCATTTTGAGAAGATTTGAGAGTTTTGGGAGTTTTGAGTTTTTGGGAGATATGAGAGTTTTGAGTTTTCAAAACTCAAATTAAGCGAGCGCTTCCTTGATTGGCTCATGGATCGCCAGAATTGATTTCTCACGCGAGCTCTCATCTCTGAGTTCTCAAAACTCAAATTAAAAAACGTGAGTCTCAAGCTTTGTTTCCTTGAGTTTTAGCGTGAGCTCAAATTACCGAACCCTGGCGGCAAGGAAGATTACGACCACGAGAATTTTGCCAAACGAGTTGCCGGCAGCTGATGACAAAATCGGTAAGCCAATTCGAAATTTCGTTTTTTCCTAAATTGTTTAATTTTTGGTCTAAGTCGGCTTCAAACATAATTTGCTGGGTTCTGTGACTTACGAAGGGTTAATTAGGGCGAAATTACTACAAATTCGAAGATGGGGCAAAGTAAAACCCACTGATTTTCCCTGCTTTATTCCAAAAAAGCTTTGTTTTGGTCAAAAATATTGACAATCACATTTTTATTGTTGGGCAAAAAATAAGTCCTTGGGCAACTGTACGGAAAACATCTTGTTATACACGCTTATCATTATTTTTTTTAAACGGCGATAAAAAATATTTAGATCCTCTAAGTGGCTTATTGACTCGATAATTTGTTATCTGTTAGTAATTCGTTTTCACGGAGACAAATTTTTTTTTTCTTCGATAAAGTGAGTTTCTCTTGTTTTTATTTTTTCTCTTCAGTTTTTTGTTTTGCCTTTTCTTTTCCCTTCTTTTTCTCAAGTGGGTCGGTGTGATAGGGTTTTAAACAGATCCCGGAAGTGAGGCGCAATTTCGGATTTGCTCTCTCGGATTTTCTTCATCGCGGCGTTTTGCTCGTATAGCGCCCCCTGAGCGTTCTAGTATCAGCGCGCGCCCCTGCACTCGAAAGCTCGCGGGCCACTCAGCTGAGGTATTCAGCTCCATACACCTCAATTTTCACATTCCACGGATTTTTATTACTATTTCCGATCGAAAACCGGACTTTTGCGTAATGACTTGATCTTTTACCTGTTGCTATACAACAGAATATCCGAAGAAACAAAGAGAATCGCGAGAAAGAGGAGATTTTCACCGGAAATAAGTGGAAGAAGACGGAAAACAATCGGCCCCACGCCTCCGGGCGCGGATCAAGGGGGATTTCTGAGGATCAGTCACCGGCCACGGAGAACTGCACCAAGCCAAAACACCACCACCATAGCCGTTTCCACCCGAGCCGTTACATGAATCACCCAATTACTCCTCTAATGATCCTGAATTAGGCCCACTTTCGATCCTTTTTCTAAACCAAAGAGAGTCAGAAAAAGAGCAATGCCAAAAATATGAAATTCTTTGCCCCTTTTCTTTTTCTCCTCCCGATTTTCCGGGCCCAGTTCTGTTTCGACACAAAACGGCCAAAGTGTTCAAGTCCAAAAAGAGATAACAAAACCTCCACCTTATCGAGCCAAAGTGAAATTCAAAAAAGTAAAGGTAAAAAACCCTTTTTTTATTTTGAAAAATGATAAGCCGGAAGTTGTGACAGAAACACGTGTTCGAGCATGCTGTTCGCGGGCGAGCGCAGTTTTTGGCAGTTTTTGTAATAATTGAGCCGCTGCCGCTTTTTCCGCGTTGGCTTGAATCAACAAAATATTGCGCCGATTTTCACCAAATTTTCGACCAATCAGATTCGCGCTGACGGCTGTTTGGCCAATTAGATTTCAGAAAAAATTGTTTTTATTTCAAATCATTTTCTGAAAACGTAAATATTAGATCAGCTCCATTTCGAGTCGTTTTCAAAAACATTTGACAGCTATTTTTGAAACGAGCCCTAAAAATAAATCTACAGCGAGTTTTTTTTCGCCAAGACACAAATTCTTGTTTTCTTAGCGCGCGATTCTCGCAAGTGTGAAAGTTTCGTTTATCTTTCTGCAATCCGGCTTAGCAAAGTGGCTGGCGAAGCCGATTTTCAATTTTAAACTTCAATATCAAAAGTAAGAAAGGCGGAGAGAGGCGATTTTCTGGCAGTTAGACTTTCTGGCAGTTAGACTTTCTGGCAAAGGCGATTTTCTGGCACTGCCAGAAAATCTAATATGCCAGAAAATCTAATTTCCAGAAAATCGCCTCTTTTGATTTTGAATCTACAGTTAGTGATCCTGGAAGGTAAAAAAACGGAGAGGGTTTTCGACAGTACCACCAATTTTTTTCTTACATGTTTTATAAAAATTCATTGACAAAAGCCATTTTTGACCCATTTATTCAAGATAATTGGCTGTAGCAAACATAAATCAGCTTCTTCCGGGAATTTTCACCCGGTGTTATTTGCATCTGATTTCGAGTACTTGGTCACAGTGGGCACCCACTGAGATAATGGCGCACGCTCATGCTTTTTAAAACTGAACTTGTTATAAAACTCTCCTGAAAATTCTTCCTCAGAAGGTGGTGGAATCGCTGTCATTTTCAATATTTATCTATACGATTTTTCTTCCTTATCATTCTCCATTTTCTCAAAAAATCAAAATCTAACTTTTCAGCTGCCTGTGAACCCGTTTGTCACTCCGAAAACAGCTAGAACGAACTGCGGATGCTACCCTCATTCTATTTTTAGCGCAGAAATTTCAATTCCCAATTCGTAGTCTTTTACCGCCCTGAATAGTCGGCTTTTAGATCAAACGCTCCCGTCGAAAGGTGCAAACTCCTGCTGAAACTGCTCCGAAATGAAATTTGTGTGATAATCACCAGTTTTTCGAATTTATAAAATGATTATTATTAAGAGTTTCTTGCAGAATTTCAAATAATATCCATCCTATAAAGGCGATTTCACCACCTGAGGAAGAATTTTCTGGAGAGCTTTATAACAAGTTCAGTTTTAAAAGCATTAGCGTGCGCCATTATCTCAGTGGGTGCCCACTGTGACCAAGTACTCGAAATCAGATGCAAATAACACCTGGTGATTAACACAAAATTCCCGGAAGAAGCTGATTTATGTTTGCTACAGCCAATAATCTTGAATAAATGGGTCAAAAGTGGCTTTTGTCAATGAATTTAAAAAAACATGTAAGAAAAATTGGTGGTACTGTCGAAAACCCTCTCCGTTTTTACCTTCCAGGATCATTAACTGTAGATTCAAAATCAAAAGAGGCGATTTTCTGGCAGTTAGACTTTCTGGCAGTTAGACTTTCTGGCAAAGGCGATTTTCTGGAAGTTAGATTTTCTGGCAGTGCCAGAAAATCGCCTTTGCCAGAAAGTCTAACTGCCAGAAAATCTAACTGCCAGAAAATCGCCTCTCTCAGAAAGGCGATTTCTTTTCCTGTTTTTGGCGCGTTTCCAAGGAGCGAGTGGTGAATACAATCCGCTTCGGCCTAACGTTATCAAATACTCTTGCTTCAATTTTATGCTCCAGTAGGTGTATATTTCCGACTTTGCCGAAATACGCAGTGAATATTTCCGACCGCAAAGTTTCACGAGCGACGCTGAGAAAATAATCAAAGCCTAATTGAAATTGACTCGCTTTGTTCAGATCAAATTTAAGGGAGTTTATCTCAAATCTCTTTTTTGCCTTTAATATAACCCCAGAAAGAAAATCGTGACGCTCTCGTTTTCCATCGTCTTATTATTTATAAAGAGATTCTTTAAGGGTATCTTTTTGATAATTAAAAATTATAAAAACGACTTGCTTAAGGGCTTCCTGACCTTTTTTTTTATCAAGCTGACATAATTTTCTAGCGGCTGGCTGCATCGAAGCGGAGCTATTTGTCTTCGACCCTGAAAATGGCGAACTCGAATGGACTGACGATTTTAACGACCCAGCTTCTGTGCAATACATGATCTGGAACGATCTCCTTGTCGGGCTTGTTCCAAACGTTCATTTCATCGATGGAGAGGACGCAGTTGTTGCAACAGTGGAAGTGAAACTCGCCGAGTTTTACGAGTTCAACGATCAAGTCGTCTTCAGATGCAAAATTCACGTTTACGTCGATGGAAATTATCAGGTTTGAATTTATTTTCTCAAAAAGCGAGAGTAAACCTCCATTCAGGTCAATCTTGCCACTGTGGCCGGTCAGGTGTACGGAAACTTCGAGCCCTATCGCTCGCCAGATGACAGCATGACCCGGATTATCCCTTGCGACCCATGCGATGGAAACGACTGCTCCGAAAACGCAAGATGTATTCGAAAATCAACAACGTTTACCTGCGCCTGTGATGCTGGTTACAAAGACATTGGCCGGGGAAATGGCCTCCGAGAAGGCCGACTTTGCGAGCAACTGGAAACTGGAATGCCTTTGGCTCCGCGACAGCCATCAACTGACGATTTAATGTGTCATCTAACCCAGGCTGATGTTTTCTTCCTCGTGGACATGTCGAGAACTGTTTCAGAAGAAGACCTGATCAAGGTGATCACCTTCATCCGCGAGTTCATCAAGCACTACACCGTCTCCCCCGAAGACACACAATTCGGGCTGGCCGTTTTCGCCGCCAAGTACCGCGTCGTGTTCAATTTGGACGATTTCGAAGATAAGAAAACACTTCTGAAGTCGCTGCTCGACCTTGAACTCAAGTCCTTGGGCAAGGGTACAGCACTCGGCAGCGCGATAAACGAAATCATTCGGACGATGAATTACGCGCCCAACGGTCGCCGACCGAATCACCCGCTTCACGTGATCATTTTCGCGGATGGAAAATCAGCTGATCCAGTCGAGGAACCCGCCTCAAGGCTGAAAAAGATCGCGCACAGCGTCAAAGTCGTTGCGATCGGCAACGGCGTGGACCGATCCGAAATCAGTTCGATCGTCCACACGCCCGAGGACATCGTCTATTTGAAGAACTTCAACGACATCGAAAAGCAAACCAAGCAGTTAGAAAAGAGCATTGCTGAAAATCTGTGCCCGCGGGACGCCTGCCCTCTGTTTTCGCAACAGGACGTAATCTTCCTTATCGACGTTTCGATAAAAATGGAAGCGCAACTTGACCAAGTAAAGAAGGCGATTGTCGACTTTGTGGAGCAAATGAACATTGCTACGTCTGGCGTCCGAGTTGGACTCGTGCTCTTTGCTTCCACCTCTTCGATTGCTTACGATCTCGACTTGCAGCAACTGCCCAAGGTCATCCAGAAAGTTCTGCAGTCAAAAGTGACAATCATCCCCTCTGACAGTCAAAATCTCGGCCAAGGTCTCAGAACAATCGTCCGAATCGCCGAGAACATCCAATCAGCAGGCTTCCAAGAGCTCATCATGAAGTTCGATGGAAAAGGCTTCCCGGTTGGAAAAGACTACACTGGAATCGACACTCGCGAAATTTCCAAACGAGCGAAGATCATTATTCTTTCCTCTGGATTTGTCTCTGACGAGGCAGAAATGGTCCTGAACATTGCTGATTTGAAGGAATCCGCGGATATCGCCGTTGTCAGCTTCAACAACAATTACGACTTTTCCAGCGTCGTCGATCCGAAAAACATCATCGAAATCGACACAGAGTCGGAAGAAATATCCCAAGAAATCGTCAAAGCATTCGGACGGATCAAAGTCGACATGCTATACGGAGGCTGCGAGAATGAAATCATCAGTCCTCGCTGGGTTCGAGTTCTTTCCGAAAACGAAGGCGAAGCGGAGATTATTTGGGAACCCTTGGTCGGAGTTGACAGCTTTTTGCTGACAAAGAGAAACGATTTTGGACAGACTGAGACATTCCCGATTAATAACGAAGACCCAAGCTTTACTCTATCTGATCTGGAGGCTGGTTCTAGTTATGATATTTCTCTGACCGCGATCAAAAACGTCGACCAAGAACAAGTCGTTCGATCGCGAAATGTCCTTCCTTCTCGAATCTTCACAAAGCCTACAGCGCCGATTATGCTGGATTACGAATCAACGGAAATGAGCGCGGCGTTGAAAGTGAGCGATCTTGTGCAGAACCAAGCGGATTTGCTGAGAGTCGTCCTCAAGAAAAAAACACGAGTCCATTTCTGGACGATTTTGAGGTCATCAACGTTGTTGAATTTCCGCTTGAAGAGGTGGTGGCGAATGACTTTACGCTCGTCTTTGATCAGTCGAATGACATTGATCTCGAACCGGCGACCACTTATGTCGCCGAAGTGACGAGTGTCAAAGGCCCCATGGAGTCCGATTTGAAGAAGTTCAAATTCGAGACGAGAAGTTTGGAAGCGCCTGTTCCCCAAGGAGTTGGAATCTCAACAGTGAGCAACAAAGAAGCGACGATCACCTGGAAGCCGTCAGATGCCGTGAGAAGCTACAGCTTGAAAATACAAGATATGGACGGTGAAGAAGTCTTCGAAATATCGGATGTTCCGGCGGAAGATCTGATGATGACTGAAGACGGAAAACCAGCCTTCAAAGTGGACGATATCCTCGAGCCGGGAACAGCCTACAAAATCATTATGCAGTCGACGAACGAATGGAAGACATCGGAACCCTCCGATCCAACGATTTTCATCACTGAGCCGGAAGAAGTGTTCTCTGTTGAGCAATCGCAGCAGTACATGAACAAAGTCCGCTTTACCTTCTACCCGCCAGAGGAAGGAAGTGCTGAGAACTTTGTGGTCAAGCTTTATGATGACAAAGATGAAGCAATCAGGGAAGAGATCAACCAGCGAATTGTCCCGTTCAAGGACGGACAGAGCCAATACGTGGTTACTTTCGAATCCTCCGAAGACACACCAATCGAGCCAGGAGCAGAATACTACGTCGAAGTCATTTCTCAAGCCGGCGAATCAAGATCCGCCCCTGTTGGCCGCCAACTCCTCACAGGTACAAATCTCGACGAAAGAAACATTGTCTGAGAATTTAACCACGGAGTGTAATTCTTCACTTGTGGTTGTGTTTTGGTGAGAGTGTTTTATTTAGCGAAATACCGACGCTTGCCTCGGCAGCGTTTGAGACGCCAGATCAGAGAACGTAAGGCGGCATCTTTTGATTCTAGTGCTGCCTGATGTTTGATTTTCGATGTTTTCTAGAGGTTTGTCAAGAGAGACGATTCTTTTCTTGAGAACCAAGACGGAAATTTTATTAACATTTTTAGATAATTATTTTTGCTAATTGAATTCATAGACCTACCTTAGTCGTACATGAACATGTGTAGCATCGGAAGTTCAGCAAAAATATTATGTAAAAACCATCTGGTGAAATCACTTGAAATTATCCCATCCTAATTAAATTGCATGATAGAAAACATAATCAGTCGTACGGAAACGGTGCTAGAACAGTCCTCAACACCGATACCGACCACAACAATGACAACCAGTGCGACAAGCACGACATCATCAAAAACCCAATCACGAGCCACGATCAAGACTAGTCCTTTGCCCCAAAGCTCAAGGACGCCTAAACTCTTGGGTAACCTTATGTCACAAATCTCGATGTAGGTTAGCGCTAGAACTCGATGTTTTTGGATGTTCAGCATATTTTTCGATAATATGTAATTAGTAGAGCCTTGTTTTTCAATGCTTGTTGTCGCTTGGTGATGGAACTCGTTTTTTTCGCATCATTTTTCTAAACAAAAATATTTGAATGAAACAAAAAACTGCATCTTGGAATGAGCCAAATGCTAGGAATCATGCTTTGATGTTGTTGACATTACAAATATTTTGAAATTTTTATCTTGAACATTATTTTTTAGAAACCGGTACGTACCTCACTCTCCTTCAATCAACCACTCTAGAATGTGCATGTGATTTCTTTAACAATACTAATTTGCATGTAACAAACACTAATCCTAAGAAAGAACTAATTATGTATATGCACCTGAGTTGCATATACAGTAGCGCTCGAATTCTGACCGTTCAAGTTTACTGGCGGTGTAGAATTGGAGCTGTAGCATGTAGATTTGCATGTAGAAAAAATGTTAACTAATTGTGCTTGAAATTGCACGTCACTAAATCCATCGCACGTTAGATATTGATGCACCCGCACTTGTCAATATCGTCGAAGTCACAAATGACACCATCAAGGTAAGCATCGAAAAACGCGATGACGACTAATTCGTCTCTCCCTAGCTCGAGTGGGAGGATGTGCCAGACGCGGATGAGTACAGAGCAATGGTTTACGAGTCGATGGGAAGCGACTTCAGAGTTATTGATTCGAATCGGTAGGTGGCGAATTCTCTTCCTTGATTTCAAAAAATTCTAGAAAAACCGTTTCGTTCAAAATCAACCAGGGTCGAATCGTCGGCCTTCAACCCGGAACTGGCTACACAATTCTCGTGCAAGGATCTCGAAAAGGAAACGCTGGCAAATCGAAAGCAGTCCGAGCTTGGACCAAGCCCAATCCCGTCAATCCTGATTCAATCGTCTCCTCAACTCGCGTTGATTCCGACGCAAATCACCAGATCGACATTTTCTTCGATCCGCCATCGATCGGCGGCCACGACAGCTTCGACTTGATCCTCAGAGATCCAGACGGAAACTGGCAAGAGGAAAGAAAGGTTCAAAAGCCGGATGTTGAGTTTATCGGGAAATACTCGGCGAATTTCGTTGATCTCAAACCATCGACAACATATTTGCTCGACATTATCACATACCGGGGCGATGAAAAGTCTCTGACAAAAGACGTCGAAATCATTTCAGCTCATGCGATTCCACCGACAAACTTGAGAGTAAAACGCATCACACCAACATCAGCAGTTATCACCTTTGATCCGTCCCCGGACGCGGACGAGTTCTACTACGAAGTTTACCAGCTCGTCGATTCAAATGATCGACAGAAGCAACTTCGAAAGCGAGAAACTGTTGACAGAAGTGTTCGCGAAATTGTCGTCGAAAATCTCGTCCCTGGTTCCCCTCATGGAATGACAATGAGTTCCATCGCCAACGGGGTCTACGGCAAGCGCTCTAAGGAATTGAACTTTTTCACTCAACCGGCTGTCGTGGAGAATCTCCAAGTCAAGTTCGGAACCACTGAGCTTCAGGTCAGCTTCGAGCCACCAAGTGATGGAGGAGTGGACTATTACGACATCATCGTCGAGCCCAGCAACGAGCCAGGGCGAATCGTCGATGTCAAACAAATACGCGCCGGGGAATGGCTCGTCTGGACCTCTCAGACTCAACTGCTTCTCCCAGGACAAGACTACACCGTAACCGTTTCGAGTTTCGCCGGAGCTGATGGCGAAAACAAAATCAGCAAGAGCGGCAAAATGAAACCTCCACCAAAACCGACGCTGTTGAAAAATTTCGTTGATGATCGAAATAATTTGCGACTCGTTTGGGAAGTAACCGATCAAAAACTCGCTCCACTGGTGACTTACGATGTGAAAATCGAAGAAGCAGGACGGGAAGATGCCGCTCCAGCGCTAGAAATCGACAACATCCGACAAACTACCATCACTCGGCCGGAATTCGACAGTACAAGACTGTACATTGCCAAAGTACGAAGTAAGCTGAGAAAGATCTACTCTGAATGGGAAGAGAAGGAAATTCAAATCTCTTCAAGCCTGGTTCCAACGGTGCCTACTTCACCTGGCGAACAGCCTTCAGTCATTGACGTCAGTGAGTTGTCTGATTCCTTGGTGGACCCTCTCCCGAGCTTCATTTGTGAAAACTCGACAAAGGAAGTTGACATGATTTTCTTGCTCGACTCGTCCGGTTCCGTCGGAAAGCCAAACTTCCAAGTGATGAAATCATGGATGAGAAGACTCATTAGCGGCCTCAACATCGCTCCAGGCAGAACGCAAGTGTCGGTCTACTTGTACAACAATATTTTCCGAACAATCTTCGACCTGAACGAGCATCAGAACGCGTACGACATGATCACTGCCATCAACAAAATGGTCTACTCTGGAAAAGGAACTCGAATCGCCCGAGCGCTGCAGAATGCCATGTCGAAAGTTTTAATCCCGGAAAGCGGCTTACGACCGAATTCTGAAATCTATCTTTATTTGATTACCGATGGGAAGGAATCCGACGTGGCTGATGTCAACAACATGGCAAACGATATTAAGGATGCTTTCGGGGAGAGAATAACGCTCACTGCCGTTGGTATTTCCCGCTCCGTCGAGAATGCTGAGCTCTATGCGATCGCTTCTATGCCTAAGAAAGACAACGTATTCTTGTTGGAAAACTACCGGGACTTGGACACAATCACAAAAGTCGCAAACTACCATGCGGGCTGCATCCCGCGCAGTGCTGTTTACACCGACGTGGAACCAGATTCATTCGACATCGAAATCGGCGAGAACTTGCCAGACGCCACGAACAAGCCTTATCCTCCGATTCCGAAGCAACTGCGCGTCAGTGAAAAAATGACGCCAACGGGGAAGAAGGCCACTTTGACAGCCGAATTCGCCAAGTCGCGGACGAAAAAAGCCGCAACTGAAGTGGTTTTGGAACAAGTGAGGACCTCGACTAAGGAGATCGTGGAGATTTATTTCCGCGAAGAAAAGGGCGACAGCTCCACATTTGACGATCTGCCTCTTGGTTTCGAATATCACTGCAAGGTGCGATCCAAGCACAAGGTGTCCCGGGAGATGGTTTATTCCGAGTGGAGGTACTTCAACAACTTCGTAAGCTTGAGCCCGCCTTCGGTCGAGACCGATGACATTGAAGTCTTGGAAGGCAGTACTAGCTTCACCGCTGCTTTTCCAATCGATGGCCATGTTGACTTTTTCATGGTCGAAGCGATCCGACAACCAGAAAGCCGAGGGCAAAAAGCGATCGTCAAAAAGTTGAAACAACCGATCCAGAAAATATCGACGAACAAGGAAGATACTTGATCAAATTCAACGCGGAAGATGGCATTTCTTCATCCTCAACCTACAAAATCCGTGTTGATTCGTTTGCTGGTAACCAGAAAACGGAGAAGCCAACTGAATTCATAATTCAAACGACGGATATAACAGCGAGAGTTATGCTGACGAAGATCGAAGAAAATACCATTACGGCTAGGGTCACTGCCTCTGAAGGAATCCGGATAGAAAATAACCATAAAACAATTTAAGGATCTTTCTTTTTATATTATCAATTGCTTGCGCTAATCGACTTAATTACATAATGCTTACTGCACGCGTAGTGGGTCTCCATTGCGAGAAGGAATTTTCTATTTATTTATCCTTTGAAAAGGAATTGACGGAGTAGACATCCAAGTCCTCAGTCGGCTTACATTCGGCGATCAAGGAAGAGTAATCGACCTCGGCGACAATTTGTACCAAGTCGTCAATCTTGATTTCAACGGGCAGTACAAAATCACGGCGACGCCTTACATTCTCCGTCCCAATGGCGAGAAGAACTTTGGGCGCAGCGACGAACAACCGTTTTGGACGCCGCCGGCATCGGTCGACTGCGAAAGTATCGATATCAACGCGTACGCGACCAAGATTGATCTCCAGTGGGATCCAGTTTGGGTAACTCATGCATGTCCAAATTTTCTACCCGAAAATTTTCAAAATCGTTCTTTATTTATGTCAATTTTTCTCTTTTTTTAAATCGAATATTCGCTCGAATATTTTTGAAGTCAATATTCAAAGTCGCCCAAAAAGCCGTAAATTCCAAATAAGCCGCTCATCCCGCTGTTGAATGCCAAAAAATGCGACCTTCAGCAGTGGAATGGGCCGAGTGACATATTTGTTTGTTAATGTTTACATGTTCCTAAAGCTATGTTAGCGCAGGGATAGAAATCTGAGCGGCACGGCACGGCACGGCACAGCGGCATGGCACGGCACGGCACGTGCCGTACCGTGCCGTGCCGGAGAGTAAAATCTGGTAACGGCACCGCGGCACAGTATAATTGACCGTTCCTTGATTTGTTAATTAAAGGGGGCCTTCGGGCCGTTTTAGCCCCGTTCCTTGATTTGCTAATTTAAGAGCTTGACGGCCCTTCGGGCCGTTTTAGCCCCGTTCCTTGATTTGTTAATTTAAGGGCTTGACGGCCCTTCGGGCCGATTCAGCCCCGTTTCTTGATTTGTTAATTTAAGGGCTTGACGGCCCTTCGGGCCGTTTCAGCCCCGTTCCTTGATTTGTTAATTTAAGGGGCTTGACATTGGCTGGAAACATTGCTATCAATCTCAGTGTTGTCTTCAACCCCACCCTCACCCATTGTTGAAAAATTCAAATTATCCAAGACATTAACTTTATTATGGTTTTCATTTAATTTTTTCAAAATTTGATAAGTTCACTTAATTTTTTTCATTTTCATTCATAAGTTATATGAATCATATAATATGATTCAAATTTGTGCCGTGCCGTGCCGTGGTGCCGCGGCACCCCATTTTCGAATTTCGTGCCGTGCCGTGCCGTACCGTGCCGCGGCACGGGTATTTTAGTTGTGCGGTGCCGTGCCGGTGCCGCCGGAAAATTTTGTTATATTTCCATCCCTGTGTTAGCGCTTCACGTTCGAATATTTTTGAGATGACATATTCGCCTACACATCTTTATTTCTGTTATCATTATCCTTGAAGAAGAAATAGGGGTTTATTTTTATGTTTTGCATGTTTGGCGTTTTTTCGATTTCCCGTTCGTCCGGAAAGCCACGTGCAAGTCGGGTTCTTTTAGACGATTTGGGAGTTCGACATTGTTACCCAGAAGCTAGTGCCTCAAATGGACATGGTAAACACGCGCTATTCTCTTGAGCTTTTCCGCATTTCGGAAGATGGCGAAAAGACGCGAATTTCGGAGCAGGAAACGCGAAACAACCGTTTCTCGTTTTACAACACGCCCGAGGAGGTCCTCATCGAGCCGCTGAGCAACTACCAAGTGACGCTGAAGACCAAGTCGATCTCGATGCGAAGTACAGTGATCTGCGAGCCGGAAATCGCCACTCCCGATGTCCCAGAAATGTCTGAAATTGAGGTTTCGGAAAGTATTCCGGAGGAAGGAAGATCCGGCTTTGTTTCGATCGACTGGAAACCCCTCGTTGTCGAGAAGATTGATGTCGAGCTGTATGAACTCAGTGACTCGCAGAACTCCTTGATTAAGGATCTTCCTGATCAAATGATCAAAGGAACCGGTTTCTTTTATACGAACATCGAGAACAATAATGAAATCAAAGATATCTTTCTTTTAAAAACCGTCTCAAGACCTTAATCTTACGGATTTCACCCTTTCCACCACGATTTCCGACATTGACGGCGAGTCAACCTCAACCGGTCCAGTCGCTGACCTGGTCAATGGCTACAGTTATCTGCTGAACGTGATCCCCTCCGTTATCGGTCGCCAGGGCGCCTCAATGACCAAACGAGTGACAATAAGTAGGTTCCACTTGATGATTCCCGGCCGCACCTGCGCAGTACTGCCACTTATGAAAAAAAGTTACCCTCCCACTTTTCTCCGCGAAATCGATAACTTTCACCTTTCGGTAAACCGCGATAATGGGCAAATTAGACCTTTTTGGTACATTCTCCTAATTTTTGAGGTAACCCTGGAATCCGGAAAAGGAGATTTCAATTTTTGTTGAAGATTTTTTCCGCTCTAGAATCCAGAGAGATCCCATAATATTGGTTCAAAAAATAACAAGAAGACATTCTTTGTTCTTTGCAACCGAAAAAACTGAAGCCGCAGAAACCTTGAGCGCTCTTGTTTGTTTGGCGCGAGTTCAGTAATACGGTGCCGCCGCGCCATTTGAGCCTTTTGAGCTTTTCGCGCCATGCGTGCTTAGCAGGCCGGCTTACATTGCTAAAACTCGATCTGTCACGGGATTAATTGCATGCTCCTTTTCTAGTTCCGTTGATGATCTATTTTCTCCTTAAATTCGAGAATCTTGTCGGTCTTATTGATAATGCACTAGCAGATACTGTTTCTCACCAAAGAAAAAATTATAAAAGCAACTGTAAGCTGCTTGCGGTTTTTGATTTCAAAAAAATATTCTTAATCTCTTTGCTTTTATAAAGCTGCAAGCGGCTTTCCAGAAGCTAAAATTGACGTAAATCGACAAATAATTCTGAATTTGTAATAAGTTCCCAGACAGACAAAAAGAGCAAAGTAGCATTCGTGTAATACTCAAGAAAATAAAATAAAGCGGGCTGGAATGGAGGAGGCGCGGCGTCGCGGCGGCGCTCGCGCTCCAGAAAAAACGCGCGATCACGCACCGATCGCTTTTCAACCGGTCGATTCTCGTTTTCGAAGTCAACAAAAGAAAATGTGCTAATATCTCAAATAATGTAGTCCTCTTTTTCCCAGTGCAGTTTTACTTCAATCGAAAAACCCAATGAAATTCATATGTTCATAAATCAGAGAATAGTACAGTAATTTATAAAGAGAGCATGCTGTTTTTGAAACTTGCGCTTTTGGCCTCCGCTTTTGCACAAATAGGTAATTTTTTAGAGGAAAAGTGGGCTTTTTGGAAGGTTTTTTGTACTGTTTTCAAGTTTGAAATATTCATTCATTAATTTGAAGGTGAATCTTAAGGGTATCCTCAAGATAACCATTTTTTGCACTAGAGCTTTTTTGTGCTACATTTCGATACGAAAATCACCTGGAAACTTAAGGGTGTAAGGGGAGAAATCGATGTTCGAATTTAGAAGAAAAAAGCGCTACAAAACTCAAAAAACTCATTTCGCGGAAAGGCGCGAACGAGATTATACAGAAGGCGGGCGTCAAGTTGGAAATTGAAGCCCTCTTTTATTCAAGTATTCGTAAAATTCAACACCTCCTCAAACCGTCGAGTACTTCGCCACTCAACAGCGAACTTCGCAATTCGAAAAAAACGCGAAAAATATTTCAGAAAATTGAAAATTGGGAATTTCGCGCTCTTGGCCGGAGTAAACGTTCTGTCACAAATAAAAATTTCCGAGTGTCTCCGCCCGGCTAAACACTTCATCATCCAGCGCGTTAAATTTAAGGATTAATGTCTCCAACACTCGAGCCTTTTTTTATATTTTGAATTTTTGCCAAAAATTGTGAATTTTCGAAAAGTTGATTTTACGCTTAATTTTGTCAGCTGTAAGGACTTTTTTTTGAAAGAATATTAAGGGTATAAGGCATGAAATCGCTGTTTGAAATCTTAGTTCCGCATTTCGAGTGTGAAAACTTAAGGGTATCCCCAAGCAAACTATGTTTTACACTCAAATCTGGTCTTCTTAGAGTTAAAGTGTAGAAATCGCTGTTTGAAAATTCCGTCAAGGTCGACGGGGGATCCTTAAAATGGGGCAAATTCGTCAATCTACCCCTCTACTCTAAAAAGCACGTGACCAGTCAATTCAAAATTCGAATCAGCGCCCAGACGTTTTATGAATTTTTGCCCGTCTCTTTTGGAAATTGAAAAATTGAAGAATTTCCACCTGCTTCGTTTTCAAAGTAGAGCGCCGCCCTTTTTGTCAAATGAATTTTTCCTTGCCAAAGAGTTCAGATTTCGAGAAGGCAAAAAACGAACCACCAGGTCACGGTCAATTTCGCAGGTTTACTCAATCTCCGCACCGGTGATTCAAACCGCGAGGTGATTTTTTCCTCGGGTTTTACATGCCAATTACTGAAGGAAAAAAATCGCTGAGTAGAACTGTTTCTTCGAGTTTTTTCGCGATTTCTACAGAAGTAACTCATTTTAAGATCACCTAAATACTATTAGTTGGGTTGGACCGAAGTAAGTGTAACAAAAAAGGCGTGGCTTTAAAATAATCAATTTTCTTAAGAAAAATTGAGCTCAAAAATAGTCTAGCAATTAAAAATAGACATTTGAAGCGAAGACACTTGAATAAAATGTGTTTATGCGAAAACATCAATTGTCGATTATTCAATTCTTTGGCTGCAGCCACAAGGCCACCTGACATTTAGGCCGGCGCATTCCGCCTTAATTGATATTATTAAACGTCCGGCAAAAAGAATGATAGTTTTCGGCGGCAACACCATTCGAAAATATGAGTTTAACACAAATCGCTTGTTGTTACTCTGCAGGTGTAGATTCAATTTACTGCGAAAGAAAAACAAGTATTTTGAGCTTGGGAAAGTTGGTATTTGGAATCCGCTATTTTTTAAACTAGGAGCCATTCTTTCTTTTTGATTTTGGACAATTTTTCTTTAAAAGTATTCAACCATTTTTCATATCAGGAAGAAAATATTGCTCTGTTTTTTCAAAGATCAATAAGTTTTATTGATTTGAAAACTTTTTACTAGGAATAACAGGGTGGCCACAAGAATCGCCATAAATGCCGAAATCTTCAATCAATCAGAGTTCCGCTTTAGGTCGGTAGGCCAATCAGGTTTAAAAAAAGTAAAATCGAATTTTTATTCGCTTTCAATCGCAATACCAAAATTATCTTACATAGACCATCCCCTTGTTAACAGGATAAACGTTTAGAAATATCCCGAATCATGATTCATGATGGCTTCCTTATTTATCCTTATCTAAAACAATGTACAGTTTATACAGGGCTATCCTTCAAAAATCTCCATATCTGGGCGTGGGAGGCGATTGATGCAAAACATATTTTTTCTTATTTATTCAAGCTGTAGCAATTTTCAACGACGAGTCATATTTAGTCCTCGCCACGACTGCCTGGTGAAAAAATAATAAACTTGAATTTTAACCGCGAGTAAAGATAAATCCAACGAGTTCTCAAAAATTATCATTTCTACTTATGGTCGGCAGTTGTAAAAGCAAAGATAGCTCATTTGCAGCCAAAGCAAGAACTAGCGCTAGAACACTTTTTGACCGCGAAACTTGAGATGTGTTCTTATTTGCAAATGAACTTCCTTATCTAAGTGAGCATCGTCCGGGGCAAGGGGAAGAAAGACACTTTAGGGCTATTGAAATGATAAAACTCGGAAATTTTTTCAACTTGCAGATCAGTCCGAAAACCTCTTCCAAAATGACCCAACTTCTTCTTTCACCTCTTTTTTCTTTTCTCAGTTTTTGGTCGACTAAAAGTGGCAGTACTGCTTGAACCCGGTGCGATGAATTTTTTCCTTTAAAAAATTCAAATTCCTTTATTTATTTTTTCCACTAGAACCTTCGGTGCCAAAGGTCAAGGTCTCGCCCGTGCCCGCCGAGGAGAAGGTAATTTTTTACATTTCTCCCGGCCCCGGTCGAACAGAAGAATACAACATCGTCATCGAAAACGACGAAACTGGCGAGGTCATCTTCAACGAGCCCGTTGAGGCGAGCGAAACTGATACGAGACATGAAATTCAAATTCCGCTTTCCATTGGGCAAGGCTTCAGCGGCTCTCTCGTCGCGAGAAGTGGTGGATCTGACAGTTCTCCCGTCGAGTTCAATTTCGAAGTGGAGGACAAAGCGATCGAAGGAATCGAACTTTTGCACATTGGAAAAACTTCGGCCGAGCTGGTTTGGGACGGCGGAGAAGCCGAGTTCTTCCGAGTCCAGATTCTGCTCGACAATCAAATCGTCCAAAACTTGACAAAGATCACGGAGCCTCGAGCGCTAATCAACGGATTGAAGAACAACCACGAGTACGACGTCGTCGTCCAAGCTTTCAACGGACGAACCATGATTTCAAGATCGAAGACGCAGATCAAAACGGAGCCGCTTCTCATCCGCGATCCAAAAATCATCAAAACAACGGAAAACTCTGCCACTCTCGCCTGGACGCCGGAAATCGAAGCTGCAACTTACAAGCTCGAGTATTTCCAACTTCGCGGAAAGCCCGGAGATGGGGATGAAGAGATAGTTTCTCAGTCGGAGTTTTCCTTCCCAGTTCGTCGCGCGGAAGATGGCTCGGTCATCACCAACTTCAACATGCAAACTTTGGAGCCGTCGACGGAATATTACGTCCAAGTCTCGGCCCTTGACGAGGAAGGAATAATCGGACCACCGGTTCCTGGCCCTGGAGAGCTGAGAATCGTGACGAAGCCAGCGCCCGTCAGCGACTTGATCGTTTCGAATGAAAACATGGAGGATTTGGTAATTTCCTGGATCGATTCTGAAGGATACGTCGACTACTACGAGGTCCAATTCTTCCCCGCGGACGCTTCGGACGGCTTCGCAGCTGTTTTCAGCGACGTTGTTCAACCCCAACAACGATCTGGGAACCGACAAGAGTACCGCCTCAATCTGAGTAGACAAAGAGAGCTCTTTTCGTCGAACAAAGATTATCGAATTCAAGTCTTTTCCGTCCTCAACACTTTGACCGACCAGTACAAGTCTTCTTTTGCCTCGCGAATTTGGTCACCACCACGTAAGTCTGCTTCTCCATCCAATTATTCGGAAGACCGAGAATTCAAAAATGCTGCTTCAATTTTTCCATTTTCAAAACCAAATTCGCACGCGTAATTACTAAATAGTAATCAAACCCAGTTTTTTCGTTATTATCGATACAACAAATCAAAAGCTGGAAAAAAATTTAATGTCTCTTCCTTACTCGCTTTGCTTCGCTAAAAATTCATTTTTATAATGTCTTAAACTTTTAAAATTAGCACTGACCACCCAGCCCCAAACAACGACAAGTAGTACTGTAGCAACAACGACATCAAGTTCTGTTGTGATCAGTAGGGACCGTAAGTTTTGAATAAATCTGCGATAGTAGGAAATCTTTCTTTCCTAAAAAGCAGCGGAAAAGCCTCCCTCTTCTCCTTGTTTATTTTTTTCTAGCGGTCAACATCGAACCCGAAACAACTCTTGGTCCCTTTCCAAGCTTCACGACGGACGCTTTCGTCTTTCCTGGATTCGCAACAGAAGATCCTTTCCCTGACCCCAGTTTCTTCCAAACCGAGCCAAGCATTCTCTTCCCACCAACTGAGCCTGCTTTCTTTCTCCCAACAGAACCAGTTCAAAATTACGACGCATGCCAAAAATACGATGTCGTTCTTCTGACCCAGAATTCTAACTCCGTTCGCCTCCAGCCAATCAAAAAGTTCATGAAGAATTTCTCCAAAAGATCGTCCTCCACCCTGATGCTGCTCGAGTCGCTGTCGTTCCTTTCGCCCGGGCTCCCATCTCCGAGCAGATAATCGGCTTCAATGGGTATGCAGATCGAGAGGGTTTGCTGGAGAGAATCGACTTCGAAGTCGTCAAGCGATCGCTCCGTGGTCACTCGGTCGACAAGGGCTTGAAATACATTTCGTCCGACATGGAAAACGACTTCCGATCTGACGCAACAATGGTCGTCATCATCGTGATGACGTCATCATCCCGCTCGGACGAAATCGAAATCGCCGACGGAATTCGCGCGCTTGGCCGAAGAGCAGTTTCTAACATGCGCGGCTTGAAGCTGTACATTCTTCATTCTGATACAGTCCCTCCCTCGCAAATCCGCGCTCTCATGCCGCGAATGGTCGAGCCGGAGGTAGAAATGATCGCGATCAACATCGGCAACGGCGACAGACCTCAATTAGACGTGGCCGGAAGGATAATCGAGGAGATAAATGCCTGTGCAGAAGACGTGGTTATTGCGACGACTCAAGGAATGCCCGAATTCATCACCACTCCTGAGCCCTTCATCGAGCTGACGACTGAGCCGATCGTCGACACTTTCGCCTTCACGACTGAATCGTTCTTCCCTCCCTCTTTCCCGACCCTTTCCACATTCGCCGAAGAAATGACCGAGTTCACGCGCGTGATCACCACCATGGCCTCGATCATCGACTCGACGACTGGAACAATAGCGACGATGCTCCCGCCTCCGCCACCAATGAGCCCGCCCATGTTGCCGCCTAGACTCGAAAGAGTACTTTTGGATGCCAAAACTAAACCCACGCTTGAACCAGTAGCTACTACCGCTTGTAAGTGCATGCAGTGAACGCATTTTTCAACTTTTTGAAAAATTCAACCCCTTTTCACTAACTTAAAAAATGAACCAAAAACTGAAAAAATATAATTTCAATTTCTTTGCATCTTTTTCTTTTTCATTTGATTTCCAAATAGCGCCCGTGGATGCAACCACCGCTCCGAAGAAAAAGAAGCTCCGCCCGCCGCCGCCACCGCCAATGCCTCCACCACCAGCGCCACCACGCGTCACTTTCGATGTGGTCAAGCCTGCCAAGCCGGACGAGGGGAAGAAACCACCACGACGGTTCTCAAAATACCAAACTAGCACTCCTTTATTTTCGATCTTCAGATTCTTGCCTCCGCCACCGCCTCCTCCACCACCACCACCAATCCGTCCAACTGCTATTTTGGTGGATCCAGCGCCGACGAAGCCCGTCGATTCGACCACCACTGCGCCGGGAACAACAGGTAGGAAGCGAATGCCTCTTGGATTTCCAAGAATCATTCATTTATTTTTTAAAACTTGCATGTCAGAACTGCATGAATTCATTTCATTACAGATCTCTTATTTACAATTTCTTCCACTCTTCCTACAACCACTTCTTCGACATTTTTTATTGGAAACGAGACGACAACAGAAATGTTGCTCGGCTTCGTTCCTTCTACGGGTATTTAGCTTTAAAATCCGCTTTTATAGAAGCTCAGCGATTTTAGTCCAAAAGGCCTTCTTCCAGATTTGTCGACCAGTCTGGTAGACAGTCTTGGAGACTGGCTTTTGTTAGCTGCTGAGCTTAGCTTTTAAAAAGTAGATAGAGCAAATTCCTATCGAAATTGAGCAACCCTTGTTTTTGAAATTCGTGAACTATTTTTTCGCTGCTTCATAAAAATCTCATTGTATCCATGAGCATTTATGAATAATCATTTCCGAATTTCAACAAAAAATGGGGATTTCTACATTTTTTTTGAAAAATAAAAGGTGTGTCTTTTCTGTACAAAAACGAGCGGACTTTTCGGACGACCAAATTCTGCTCAAAAATGTCCAAAAATTAAACGATTCTTCAATTAGCCTTTACTCCAACAGATGATCCTTTAACTCGTACCACAAAAGCCATCGATCTTTTGCCCACGACCGATGGTTTTATATTTTTCGAGACTACCGAAGGTATGCCACGATCGGTTCTGCCGTTCGAGCTCGCCAAAAAAATAAGAAACTGAGAATGATTTTTTAAAATACTCTTTTCTTCCTCGCTTCTGCTTTTCTGGGTGACGATTCTGGTGATTTCGCTGAAAATATTTTCAAAAATTTTCTTCCTTGATTTCAAAGAAGAAAAACTCATATTTTCGCGGTTCATATAATTATAATTATTTACATCTTTATAAATTATGATTCATAATTTATGCCAACTAAAATATGATTTTGATAACGGAATGCCTCAAAATACCAAATAAAGTAGACACAGTGTGACAAAACAGTAGAACCACCTGTCAAACGGTGACTAGAAAAATAGGTAGTTAATCGGTGTCTTGAAAAACGCCGTGTTAGCATGGTTGAGATGAAAATTCAGCCGTGCCATTTGCCACCGAGCCCGACGAGGGCATACTACTAACAACGCCTGGTCAAACAACAACCGATCCAGTCGCTATTACAACAGCCGAGACTGAGATTCCGATTGTTACTACTGGTACTAATAAAAACCAAAAATTAAACCATCAAAATCGAAAATCGAAATTCCAAAATTCATCATTTCAAATTTCATTTTCACAAAATTTTCTTTCAAAATTTTACTTCGCATGATCTTTTTACTAATTTTTAACACCATTATTTTTTAACACTCTTTCCCCAGAACCCCCGCTCACAATATTTCTAGCTGCTCCCGTGTTCGTCTCCTACCTCGCTCGGTTAAATGCTAAATCGCCGCTTATCGCTAAAAAAGACAAGGTCGCTCTCGAGCGCCTTCTCCTGGAAGACCAATCCGAAGCATTCAAGGACGTCGAAAATGACCTCATGAAGAAGGTCGACAACATTCTCCCCTCCTCCGCCCGCGTCAGCCTCGATTTCGTCGACTTTGCCGCTGGAGCTCAACTCAACGAGTCGACTATTTATCCTCAAATGACGATGCGGCTGAGCGACAGTTTGAACGTTTCGGAAGTCGTCGACAATGCCAAACAAGCGCTTCGGGACAACTTTGAAATGGTCGGCGACGACGTCGAAATCGTCATCGACAGTCTCGAAATCTCCAACTCGATCCAGCGCCAGCTCGCCGTCCAGGTCGTCTACACTGATTACGAGCTCACCTCTCCGTCTGATTACGTCTCGCCGGACATTCCCTACACTCAGCAAATTTTGACCGAGCTCGGCTCCAAACTCGACCGGAAACTGCGCGTGACCAGCATGGACGGAATCCTCGAACTAGTCGATTTCTCCCCTCCTACTGACGAAAACCAAGAAAATCCAGTCAAAGAAGTCTGGCTCAAGATCACTCTCCCACCTGGCTACGTCGCTCGAACGGGACTGGGCGACGAAGCAGCTACTCCTGCTCATTTCGAGGACTTCTTCAGAACACAAAACACCGCAAACAGCATTGTCGCGAGAATCTCTCAAAACGACTTTAGCATTCCCACCGACGGCATCAAAGTCTATCCTTTCGGCTGGATCCAGCTTCAGCAAACTCTCGGCGCAGTAGTTACTCCTGTCGAGCCGACTGAAAAGACCTTTACTGGTACCGTCGAAGTGCACAATTTGGAGCCACAAGTGATCAGCGATCTTTACCGCGGCAAATTCGGCCCCTTCGAAGAAGCGATTCGGCAGATGTTCAAGCCGCTAGAAAACGATGTGACTTCCCTGCGCGTTGATTATTTCCAACCGACCAACTCCTCCAGCGCTCTTGGCCACTTCGCCTTTGTCCAAAACCCGCAAAGCGAGAAAACATCGACGGATCTTCAGCGCGCGCTCGAGCAAGGACTCGACGGAATCAACAACGAGCCACTCGATGGCGCATTGTTACGAAATCCACAGTTATCTACCTCGCGACAGTTCAAGAGCAGCGCAACGTCTCCGCTAGGCTTGGAAGCAGTAGACGAGCGTTTGCGCACGGAAGAGTTCGCCAACGAATTCGACAAGATTCCGCAGTTCAAAAGAAACGAAGAAAACAACACGATCGAGTTCGACTTTGAAACGAGCCGCAATACAGCTGCGACGCCCCGTGATTTGGAAAAAATCATCAACGAAGAGTTGGGAACCAGTGATGCCAAAGTTATCATTCCCGGTGGAGACCTGCTTCTTCCCAAGCCTTGGCTTTCTCTGCTCTACGTCGATGTTTCAAACGAAACAGCCCTCGCAGTCCTCGAAGACTGGAAAACGACTCCAGTCGAAGCTACCCAAGTCATGGAGCGCCTTCCAAAGGGATGGACTTTGGACTACAACGCCGCCCGCAGCAGCAATCAAATCTACCTCGCCATCTTTGCCGAGTTCGACTATTCGGAGAGCGCCGCGCGCGTCAACGAAAACTTCATCGGCGTAGAGGGCATCAAAGACTTTAGAACTCAACTAGGACGAAAATTCACTGGAAAAGTCGCCGGCGCCAACGAAATTCTCAACGGAGAAGGCGTCAACGCGACTGTCAATGGACTGCTAGTCGAGATGAATTCGAGAGGATTCGCTGTTTCGATTTATTACTTAGAATATATAAATAATGAAGGAGAACGGTTGACAATTGTCAACTCAGGAAAAGGTTAAAATTTCTCGAAATATTTCTAAGCGCCACAAAATTTGAAAATGAGCTTTTTTTTCAATTTTTTTCTTTGCGATTTACCCGCGACTAAAAAAGTCATTTAGGTGTCAATTAATTTCACAAAAATATTTTCACCTACATGTATTATAAGGCAGCACGAGTAGTTATTGTAAAGCGTAAAAACGCGTAAAAACTTGCGGGTTACCCGGAAAAAAGTCGCGAGTAATTTGAAAGGACTCGAAATCAACAGCCCTTGAGACTCTCAAGATAAATATCTTTTCTGTTTCTTCGAACCTGGCTTTCCAGACTTTAAAAATAACTTCATAAATAATTAAATTAACCTTCAAAAGGCAACCGAAAACGCCGCCAAGCCACAACCGATGAACAGAACATCATCTTCAAGTTCTCTGGCCAGCCTGGCGTCCGACTTATTCCAGGGGAGCTCGAGTCCGCCGGTCGAGAAATCATCGCCGACAAGTTCTCAACCGAGCTCGTCGCAGATTCTCTCACGATTGAGCCAGAAATGTACGAAGAAGGCAAAGTAATCGACATTCCTACCACACTTGCGCCAACTACTACTGAAACTCCTGTGTCTCTTTCTCCCGCGGTGACTCCCAGTGTCATTACGAAAACGAAGCTTCCTGCTGTTTCCGTTTACGAGAAAGAGGGCGAAGTGACAGAAGATGAGTTGAAAGAGCTGGAAAAGACGATCAGCGATCGACTCGGCGACGATCAAGATGTCAACTGCGATTCTAGAAGTGACACCAGTGGCGACACTTTGAAATCCGTCATTCAGGTAAACGGCATTTTCCTAGCAAATCTATCAAAAACAATTCTAGTGTAAATTCATCATCGAAAGCGACGAGAAACTCGCAGTCACTGAAAACATCGAACCCTTCACCGACGTGGTCCAATACATGGACAATGCGAACGCCAATCTCTGCGAGAATACTTTCCTCAATGACTGCTCAGCCGATGCTTCCTGCGCCACTGAAGGAGGAAATGTCGTTTGCACTTGCAACGAAGGTTTCGAAGATCAGGTAAGATCATCCATCGCCATTTCACTTTCGAACATCAATTTCAGAACGCCGAGAAGCCGGGAAGAAGCTGCGCCAAGAAAACCGACGGGATCCTCATTTTCCTCATTATCCTCATTGTTGTCCTGTTCATCGTCATTCTGGTGCTCTCCTACTTTGTCCACCTCAAACGGACAAAGACTGGAATCTACCATCCGTCGAGGCAAGAAAATAGAAGAAACAACTCTTAGAATCTACTTTTACAGCATCCCTTGCAAATAAATTAACAAAGAAACAAATTTGATTGTTGTCTAAAAATAACGCAAAGGTTTTTTTCGAAAATGTTTTCAGACCTTGTTAAAAAAGCCGAATCAGCTGAATTGGACATCAAGGAAGAATACAATTTGTGTGAAAATGAATATTTTTTCGAACCTGCAAAGAACGCAGGTTTTGCAAAAATAATTAAATTTCAAATTGTGAAATTAAAATTTCATTATTTTCAGCATTTCGAGGCAATTTGGGCGCGAATCTAGATCAAAAAAAATTAGAGGGAAGAAAACGGAAAATATTTTATAGATGTGTTTCTTCATGATTGCATCGAAATTCTAGTCACTTTGATGATTTTATTCCAGGCTGACGTATTTTAAATAAGATTCCAGCGCTCAAAGTCGCATGATAATAGCCTTAAAATTTGAAGTCTTTTTTGAACAAGGCGCTTTGCGTGCCTTTTCGAAGATTCGAGCATCTGAGCCAGCACTTTCCTCGAAAAATAGCCAAGAAGTTCACATACGGCTCTGCGACAGAAGAGTTCACTTCGAGCATAAGACGCTTTTTCTGCTTCCGGCGGGGCAAATCCGACAGGCCAACTTTCCTAAAAAGCATTAACCCACTCGCGCTTGTCCGTTTTGTCAAGTTCGACATGGTCAGTGACGCGAACTTTCTGCATCCAAAAATGAAATTAAATTGTCTCAAAAAGGAAAACACTGTTGAGTTGTTTTGTCGGAATATTAAATGTTTATTTACAGAATCCTTTTTAAAATGGAAGGTGAAGCTGCTTCTCAAGTATTTCGATCTTCTTTATTTTATGAATTCTTGTGTTGAGTCCCAGCGCTAGCCCGGAAATGACAGAAAAGAAAAGCGCGTGTCCGAGCGGCAGAATGACGATTGTGTAAAAGAACTGCTCGGACGGGGACTTGACAAAGTAGTTTTCGGGGTTTTGGTGGGCGATTCCCTCGATCCGCGCCAAAACTTCTGAAAAGCATCTTTTTAAAGAGACAAATAATCGGGAAAACGTACTTGCGACATTGTCCAGAATGACCATCGCGGAGGATAAAACGACGGAAATTACCAATGCCACGCTAACAACGAGCCCATACGCTTGCAGCGTAATTCTGGACTTGCGCTTGAGCATTAGGTGAACGACGACAATAATTCCGACGATGCTGAGCGCGAAATTGCACACGGACGTGCAAAAATACACAATTTCCACGATTGGCAGCTCTTTATCCACCGAAAATCTGAAAAGGTTGTGAGAGATTTCTTAGCTAACGAATTTCATCAAAATTGAAATGATGACTGCACTATAAACAGGCAAAGTCCTCAAAGACGACCAGAATTTAAAATTTTCTGAAGTAACACTTTCAATTTATCAAACTTGCCTGTACTCATCCAGCCACCAAGCATTGTAGCCGAGTGCTCCCCCTGCGAACAAAAAGTACAGAATCGAGACGAGAAACAGAACCCAAGTCCAGAAAATAACCGATCTCCTGTCAAGCTCGCTTGATTTTGCCATTTCTAGATCTCTTTACATTTTTTTATTTGAAAAATTCTTTTGTTTTTTTTGCGAGAAAACGATTGAGCCCGCCGAGCGTCCCAAAAGGATCGATAGAATAGGCGCTTTGCGAGGGCGGCGCTTTCAATGGCGAGTTTTTGCTCGTAAAAATAATTTTTGAAAAGAATAATTTGGTTTCGTAAAGCAAGGTTTATTTTATAGCACAATGGGTAAAAGAAAATCTTGGATTTGCACAAGATTTTCTTTCGCGTGATTTTCGTATTTACAGATTCGCTTTGATCCTTCCCTCAAAAGCGAAAAATTTTATTTCAAAGTCTCGTGGCACTTTGAGCGACGGCTGGAGCATCATTTCTTCAATCGTTTGGGCTCAGCGGAAATAAGGGCGTTTTCATCCCTTTTGAAGGCTTCTGATCGTTGGTCCTTATCGGTCCACACGACGATTTCTTGGCGGAAATTTTTCCACGCAAGAAAATTGAAATGGCAAGTTTGGTAGTTTGCAAGCTGTACATAACATTACTGTAGCTACTGTATCTAAGAATATCTAGTGGTGTCTTCTTTCGATACGCGAAAAGTTGCGAGAAAAATTGCGAGTTTAAAATTGACAGTTTTGAGCATTTTAGAGTACTGCAACGAAAGTTAAACTGGTTATTTACAGAGTTACGATAGCCTAACCCGAAAGGAGGGAAAAAGTTTTTACCGAAAATTCTAGAACAAGAACTGAACGCCTAAAGCGTGGAAAAGCCGGTGAGTAGGGTTACGTCGAAATGTCGCTTTCGAAAAGTTCGACTTTGGACCGAGCAAAAAGTTTGACCTGGCCGAGGCCACCCCCTTTGGGTCCCACATTTCTGGACGAGGTCTTAGCCTCCAACTTTTGGACCTTTTTCGTTCACGGAACGTTGTAAAAATCAAAACGTAAAAACGCTTCAACCCCATTCGCAATCAGCGCTATAACGCGGAGTGGCCCCTCGAGGCTTCCGAAAATGAGAATTTCAATTAATTTTTAAATAATAAGGGTTTTCGTGGTTCAAACCGCGAAGGTTCGATTTGAAGAAAGTCTGTGACGAGCGAAAAAAGAGGCCGGGAAATTATTTGAGGCAGACTTCGTCGCAGAAAATGCTAGACAAAGTGGGCTTTTGGAAGGCTCGCTCGAGGAAGCTGAAGTTGTCGACGTAGAGGACGTGTCGCTCGGAGGGATCTGAGGCGATTCGGTTGAGTTCGACGTAGTCGATCTGCTTGCCGATGCCGAGGGCGTAGACGGTCGACTGCTCCTGGAGGCGGCCGGACTGGACCTTGAGCACTGGTGGATCTCGGGCTCGACCGTCGGTAATAAGGAGAACCTAGAAGCAGGTTGAAGGGGAAATCGGAGGAAAGTAGGGTAACCTTGTTGGGGACTTCTGGTCGATCACCAAACTCGGGGCGGAAGGCGTTCTCGACAACCCACTTGATGGCGGCGCCGGTGTTCGTTCCTCGTCCTTGTGAAAGTGTTTCAAAAATAAGTCAGTTTGGGAAGTCTACTCACCTTCGTAAACGATCGAATCGACAGCGTTGATGGCTTGTTGGTGGTTTTCCATTTCGTTCATGTGGAATCGAAGAGTTGGCCGTCGGTTGTAAGTGATCAAGCCAACTCGGACACCATGCTGGCCGAGATTCGACTGCATCAACAGGTTGATAACGAAATTCTTCATTTTCTGGAAATTCTCGTCGCCGATCGAAGAGGACTGATCGAGAATAATGAAGAAGTCGAGCTTGTAGTTGGGATCTTTGGTGTCGCACTTTCGCTTGCAGCAGGGAGTTTCTTCGACTGTTTGGCCGAAAATGTTGGTCCAGTCGCCAGTCTTCGGATCGCAAGAGGCCTGGTCGATACCGGCAAGATCGAATCCTAGAAGAATGATTAGAAAAAAAGTCTAGTCAGAGAGGAAGGGCCGAGGTGTTGCAAATCAAATTCAAGGGCGTGAAGCTAATAACTGCGAAAATCCAAACACGGCGGCGCGCGCCTGTCAAACAAAGAAAAACTCACCAGTGGGGCAGGTGAAGTCGCAAGTGGAGCCGTGGTAGACGCTGTTGGTGCAGCTGAGCTCGACGATGTTGGTGGTGGGCTCGGTGACGCAGGTCTGCGACTTCCAGCACTTTCGCTTGTTCTGTTCCGTGTTTTCGTAAATGTGCCAGCTGCCGTCGGTGCACTGGCCGGCGGACTCGTCGCAGCAGAAGTGGCTGGTGGTATTGTAGACGTGTCCGCAGCAACAGGCTTTTCCGGGGCCGAATGGCTTTCCATCTTCGTGATTTGGGCAGCAGCCGATTGGTTTGATGTGGATTGGCTGTTCACCGGCGCCGATTCCGCGCTCGGAAGCGGATCTCGACTGAAAGAATCGTCAAAAATGATTGGAATCGCGTTTCTCACCTTTTTGCAGAGCAGAGGTCCTTCTTCGTAGACTGGATCGTAGAGATCAGAGAGAAGGTTTGGTGGAAGGCTGATCTTGGCGAGACCAGAGGGGTTTCGGTCGAGGAATCGCTTGAATTCCTGAGAGGATCGATCAGCTCGGAGGCCGATTTCTTCTGGAAGGGCGACGGGATCGTCTCGCTTGTTGTCGAAAATTTCTGAGACGAACGAGTCCATTGGCTAGATAAAGATTTTTAAGGGAGAATCAACGGGAGTTTCCTCTGTTAGTTTTTAGTAATATTTTTTGAAAAACGAGAGATTCCAGTTTCAATGACTCACCTTGAATGGAGTGTTCTGGATGTTGGGATCAGCGATGTAGGAGTTGTACAATTCTTCAGAAGCCTGAATTTGTTCCTCTGTCATCATTGGCGATTCGCCGCGAAGTTCAAAAGCTGGATCGTCGTCTTCGTCATCATAATCACGAGTATCTCGTATCATGCGGGGCAAATGTTTGAGCACTGAAATCATTACTCAAAGTCATCTCGTTTTGGGGGATGTTTTCTTACCGTCTTCGGTTGATCTCTTGTTCAGGCTGCTGACCCGTGGGAGCTCCATGGAGGAGACTCCGAGGGCGAGAATCTGTAGGAGCTTCATCTTTGAGTTAAAATGTTTTGCTTTCGTCCTTGGCGCTTGTATCAGCGTTTTTGTCTTTTTATTTCTGAAGAACTCGTTAGACTCTCTTTCTCTCGAAGCAAGAAAAACTACCTTCAAAAAGTAAGGACTGCGGGTTTTGTGCGTGTCGACCCCGTTGTGTAACTCGGCGATGCGTCCAAAGTCAGAATTGATCATTCTCCTATCAGTGCAGGTTTTATAATAGCGCTCGCTAGCGCCGCGCCGCCACGGTGCCGCGCGAGAGGTGCCACCAAAGCCAGGCGCAGCACCATCAACATCAGCGTCAGCGGACTCCGTGCACCAAGCATACCTTTTGCTGATCTGACGATTTGCGCAAACTCTGGTTCTTCTGAGAATTTCGAAGATTCTTATTCCTCTTCCATATCTGCAATAAGATATTGGTCTCTTTTCCAGTGTCATTTTAAAATACGAAATAAGGATAAAAGTCAACAAACTTAGATTTAAGTTAATAAAAATTTCACTTTCCGAAATCTCTCATTTTTTCTCAAGAAGGAATCTTAAATATCTTCTTCAACTACATCTGTAAAAATGATGTCGATTCAAGTATCGAAGAAACAGAGAGTCTAGTTCCTACTAAGATACATGTAACATGTATGGCACTAGAAGAGAAAGTTGTTTCAATTAACGATGAAAAGGATAAGGTAATGAAAGAAATCGGGGAACTGAAAAATGTACCGAAAAAGGGAAAATGGGAACGGCAAATCTTCAGGCACTTCGCTGCTAAAAGAAGACATGGAAAGCACGAGAGTACTGAGCAACTCTTGTTAGAAACAAAAGATAAATTGATCGAACGGGTTCAAAATCAAAAAGCGAATATGGAAACCGAGATTCAGAAGAAAAATGCTGATATTGGTAAATTTGTGCGGGAAAATGCCCCAGATTCTGGCCGAGAAGAGAAACAAAAAGAGAGTCAAAGTGAAACAGCTAAAATTGTTTCTTAGGAGGAGAGAAGAAAAATTGAAATTGTAAATATTCAAATTTTCGAAAGTTCAATTGATTAATATAAAAGTCTGTATATAATTATCCGGCCGCAGTGATGGTTTTGGCGCTAAATCAGACTCATCGAAAGACAGCAAATTTCACGGCGAACAAAAACTATCGACCACAAGATGTTCACCAGAATTTAGAAGCCGCCGAATCGGGCGTCCTGCAAATCACAGTTCACTCCTTATTCCTGTAGTTTTTGCTCGTTAATCTACTGCAATAAATGGCCTGATTTCGAAATCATGTCCGACCACGTCACAATCAAAGCAGTTTTTGTCGCCTCTATTTTGTACGTCGGTGTAAAATGTAATAGGAGTGTTTTCATAATCGGATTTATTTTATTTTTGGCGCGAGTAGCCCAGCTAGCACTGCTGCTAATCCAAAAACAGAGTTATGTCGTGGAACAACATGTTCAAAACGAGAAAAAGGATAAACACAGGCTTCAGTTCTATCATTTCCAAATTTCTTGGTGATTCTTGAGAACAGTATTCACGGAATATTATTCTGCTTCTTGACAACCTTGTGAATGCTTAGGATCATCGAATCTAGAATCGGAACCGACTCGGTCAGGTTAGGTCGGGTTTACCAAAACCTTAGCCTAAGGTGACCTTAGGTACGCCGTAGTACGCATAAGAACAAGGTTGTCTCAATCGTTTGTCATATTCCTTATTACGTTTTTGCAGTTTGAGCAATCTTGAGATTTTCGTTGACTCCGGAATGGCCCATTCCGAATGGGTGAGAATGAAAGAGTGGTAATGAGAAGTGCGTGTTATCAAAGGTGCTGAAGAGGTTCGCACCAAAAGCAAGACGTAGCCAAAAGCGATAAAAAACCAAAAAGCACTTATGTCCTTGTTCGCTCAGTGATTTTCCCTGAAGAGGAGGAGGCAAAGGATGTTCATTTCGTTCCGGCGCGATGCATTCGTAATGATGCTCGGAAAATGACAAAAAGACCAGCTGGTGTCTGGCGCCGGCACTCATTATTGATGATGCTCAATCGCTGCTCGAGCTTTTTTGCATCGTCAGTCAGTCTTCTCCCACGAGAGATAGAAAAGAGAGCAAGCTTAACCGTCTTCAAATCAACTTAGCTGAAACATGCCGCCGAAAAACTCGAATAAAAAGTAAGATTCGCGAGCAATCCATTTCGGGTGAAAAAAAAAGAAAATGACTGAAGTTTTAGACAGGGGCTGCAGAGCGTAGAGTAATGTTTTCTTCCCTAAAACCATTATCTTGATTTAAATATTAACAAAAAATTCAGAGCGAAGCAGTTTCAATATAACGAGGCGGATAAGACGCTTCGGTTCTTCCTCCGAGGGCGACCGATCGTGCACCATGTGCCCGAGGATTACGATCCAAAAGGGACGAGTTTATCAAAATTAGCCCTAGCCCGCCACGCAAGTCGAAACAAATAGGCCTGATCTAAAGTTACTCTCAGAAATGTAATTTGCGATTTTTGACTTTTGAATTTTTATTGATGATTCTGTCCATCGTCAGCGCTCATAATCTCCAGGAAACTGATTCCTGATCCAAAGTTGGCTGCCCACTGAGCCGGATGAGCCGGATTTTCATTCTCGCGGGGAATCGTCGCCTTCAGAAAACAAAAACCGGGCGAGAATCAGAAATTTCAGATCGAGCGTTCTGTTTCGAGAAAACGCGTTTTCCAGCGCTAAAGACTCTTCAACACTTTCGGTGGATAATCGCTTTACGTAAAATGGAGCATTAGTGGGGACGCAAATTCAAGAGGCGCGACTTTTCCAGTTGAAATTTCTACCACTCTCTTGCATTCTCAAATTGAGCTGCACTTTTTAAATCATCATTTGCAAGAATAAGAATAAATAGCCCTTCATCACGAAAATAAGCATCTTTAGCTGGAAACAGGACTTCTCCGATATTCCCCGAAATTGAATCAAGATTCTAGCACAAAAAATCTAGAATTAAAATCTAGAATGAAAATCTAGAAAATTCCCAGTTAAAACGGGTTAAACCAATTTCAGGAAGTGATTTTATGAATAAGCGTTTTGATTGGCTGGTAGGCCAAATACAGCAATCTTATTGGTAATCCAAAAATGAACTTCAATATTTAATTGGTTGAGTCCGTTAAAACCGCTTCGCCACTGAAATTATGATTTCTCGAATGGGCGCGTTCGCTAAACTCTTGAAAAGGAGCGAGCCGCCTTCCAGAAACAACGTTGGACTTATCCTGGGTTTACGGGTACCGTGGCAAAGACTGCCGTAACAATATTTTTCTCCTTCCCAAGGAACGGATTCCTCCTTTCTCTTTCGCGGCGTGTTGTTTCGGCGAAGGGAGGAAACCCGGCGCAGTCAAACGAAGACTCGGACGAGCTGATTTATTTTACAGCGGCGGTGGCAGTTATTTTGTGCCCAACCAAGCAGGGAAGATTTCAAAAGATAAACACATTCTATTGCGACGAGATTCTCAGACGAGAAAAGGCCTATTTCTGAGCTCGGCAATCTGAGAAGAAAACCTGAGTAAGGGTTAAAACGCGACTTTTCATTTAACTCTTTAAGAACCCTAACTCAGGTTTTCTACACAGGTTGCCGAGTCCAAGCCTTTTTGATGCGCAGATTTGCGTTTCTTTAATAGTCAGGGTTTTTGGAATAAGCTGTTTTAAAAAACTAAATTTTCGACTAAGAAACTATTACGGCCCTAAATTTAGGGGTCTCTCTTTTGATAATAAGTTGAAATCTGAATATAAGTACCAGCGGCACTATCTGGAACACACCGACGACATCAAATGCCTTGCCTTGCATCCAGACCCTTCGCGATGCCTTGTCGCCACTGGTAAGTCAGACGATCGCAGTTTTTCGCCAGAACTACGGAAAAAGCGCTACTTGGAACGTCCTCTTTTCAGGTCAATGTGCGGGCAACGGCAACGGTGTCACGCGACCGCCACACATTCGCCTCTGGAACTACAACACTCTCGAGACCTTTCACGTTATAAACGATGCTTTCGCCAGGGATAGACAACCTTACAAAATTTGTTTTTTCTTTGGTTATTTTTGATTTCGCAAAAATATCACCGTTTTCAAACGTGAGAAAAGCCCATTTTTATCGAGTTATCAGTTTAAGTTATCACAGTTTTCTCCGTGCCCTTGTACGTGAGCTTTAATATTATCCCACTCGTAATTTCTTGCGCCGAAATGTGCAATAAGCGGATTTTTATTGAAATTCGCGCTCTCTAAGCACCCGAAGATCGCATTCAACCGCGCATGAAATTTTTCATCTCACAAGGCGGCTCCATTAATTTCTTCCCAGCTGCCAAATCTCTTTCTTTTTCGGGTAGAATTATTAAGGCTCGACTCGGCAACCTCCGAAGAAAGCCTGAGTCAGGGGTCTGAAAGAGTTAGGTGAATGAAAAGCCGTTTTGCGGATTTTTAGAATCTTTATGGCTTTGTATTTTGAAAAAGCCGCTACGAGGCTTTCCATTCAGACCCTGACATAGGTTTTCTACACAGGTTTCTGAGGCCGCATTTAAGAATTGAGAGCACTGAAAAAGAAATATTAGGTGTGCGTTTTTCGTCGGAATTTGATTATTTTCCAAAAAAAATAGTCAAAAAGGTAGTATCCCTGGAAACAGATAAACAAGTGGTTTCTTTGGCGTTTTCACGAGCCGATCTGGGCGCACACTTGTTTGCGACTGACGACAGCAGTGATCATGTTCTCCGAATTTGGGCGATTTCCGAAGACGAAGCGTCGCCGCCCGAGAAGGCAAGGACCATTGTCAATTTCTATTCACTTGTTTATTTAGCTCCAAGAAGGAAAAATCACCAAGGACCAAATCTTGGGAGTGACGCCACATCCGGGCAAAGCGAAGCGTCTGGTCGTTTATGGCCGCAACCACGTGATTTTCGTCTCCTTCGAAAAAGAAAAAATCGCCAAAAAATCTGGCGTCTTTGGCAACGTCGAGAAGCCGAAGTTTGTCACTTCCGCAGTTTATACTGTACGTTTTTCGAATTAAACTTTTGGTAAATCGTTTTAGCCCTCTGGAGATTTACTAACTGGCGACTCGAACGGAGCTGTCGTCGGATGGAGTGGAAACCAGACGAATTTCTGCATTTCAAATGTTCACCAAGGTACTTCACGGATTTTCCCCTGGTTATGTCCCCAAATGTCGCCGAATGTCGCCATTTTCGTGTTTTTGTTCAAAAAATAGCATTTTTTGCGACATTCGGCGACATTCAGCGACATTCGGCGACATTACCAGTGTTGCCCGAATTTTCATTTGATTTCCGATGTTTGCCGAAAATATCGGTTAAAAGCTCATCTGTTTGTTTGAAAATAAGAATCTCAACAAATTTAGGCGGAATCTTTTCGATTGAAATCGACCCTGAAGGCGACATCATAACCGGCGGGGGCAAAGACGGAAGAATCGTGGCCACGAGTCCGGAAGGCGAAGTTCTTGACGAAACATCACTTCCAGGTTTTTCTCTTTTTTTTGATTTTTTTTATTTTGACGGATAATATTTTAGACTACGTCGGTGGCTGCCGCTGTGTTGTCCTTGGCCGCAATGGCAAGTTCAATTTCTCGATTGCTCGAATTTGAATTGGTTTTCAGGGACTATCTACGTGGGAACTACCAAGAACTCGATCATGAAGATGAATTTCGAAGAAGAATATTCGACAATTATGCAGGTTAGCGGCTTCTCGATTTTACGCCGAATCACGGACCAGTTCATCACTGTCGCATTTATCGGTTTTATTAGGGACATTTTGACTCGCTTTGGGGACTTGCCACTTCCAAAACCAAGAACAGTCAGTTTCTTACAGGCAAAAGGGTTCAAAAACTGTCAAGAGAAAACCATAATTAAAAATGTATCATTTTTTCAACCCAAAAAGCGTGTTTTGACGGGCGAGTAGTGCTGTGGGACTTGGACTACCACAAGCCCGTGTGGACGAAAGTATACAGTAAGTGGAAATTGCTGTTTACCTGTTAGGAATCGTCAAACTCGTGTGTTACGTAAACTTGTGAAAGGGCGGCGAAGAAAAGGGGATTAGGCATGAACCGGTAATCAGATCAACGTGTGCTTGCGTAATTGCCCGATCCGCCTCACTTTTTCGCAGTTGAAATTGCTTTGCTTTTTAGACTTGGCCTTCCGCTGCGCTGGAGTGCACCCGACGGAGAACATAGCCGCAGTGGGAACGACGAAGGGCGAATGGCTAATCATAGAACTCGGTAATGTTGAAATCTCGGCCTTGAAGTTTGGACCTCGGCGATTATGTATCTTACACAGGGGACAAGAATGGGCACCCATGTTTTGAGCCGGATTTGCCGCTCGTGCCAGGAGGATAATTATGTTCCATTTTTTCATATTTATCAGATCGTTGTGGCTAAATATCGCTAAACCTTCTAAATCGTTCAACTTTGGGCGCGGCACGGGCTTTTTTCCGGTCATAGACTATCGCAATCCGAATTTAGCTTCTGATCCTCCAGTTAATGTTTTTTTAGCTGAAAATTTTAATTTTATTTTTTTCAGAAAACGGGGAAATCCTCCAACGCGGCGCCGACGGAAAGAAAGAGCCGATTTCTGTAGCTTCATTTTCTCCAGATGGCAACTACTTGGCTCTGGGCTCACACGACAACAACGTCTACCTTTACCAGTAAGGAGACCAGTATTGGTGACTATTGGTCTAAGCTTATCAAATTAAGTGTGCCTGGCTTCCGTCGCGCTGGCCGTCTCCATGGCCATTCAAGGAGCGGTTCACCAAAAATGGATCCAATTATTGTTTTCGCCAAAATTTAAGTTAAAAAGAGGAGATTGAACATCTCCAGCGGTCGGCCCCGCGTGGTTAGAGCTCATCACCTAATTAGCCGCTAATGTGGCCACGGCTCCGAGCAGAAAATCGTGATCGGACATTTGCCGCTGGATCCGGTTTTAACAGCTGTCTCCCGTTTTGAATTGTAGCACGTTGAAGCGAACGGCTCGTGAGTTGAGATGGAATTTGCATTTTCAGTCTTTGACTGAGAGTCTCAGCCAGGAGACGCCCTTAATCTAGTCGTGAACCTCACCTAATCATGCGCGATAATTGGGTTCGAAAACACCTGCCCCCTCTTTCACAGATTCTTTTACGAAAATTAGTAACCGGAGACCCTCCCTTAGATTCCCTCGGCGGTGATTATTACGGTCGAAATTTCTGAAGTTTTATTGATCTTGGATTTTTATAAAAGTTCTAAAATAAGTTTCTTCAGCAGTCAGCGAGTACTCCCTCAGTGACAGTATTATGAGAAGGGGTTGAGGAAGCCCCTGGGTGATCTGATTGAGTTTGATCAAATAATTAAATAATGATCTCCTGGCCGGAGATTGTTGGACACGAAAAAGTTCCTTGTGGAGTTGATTCCACGAGCGGAACTGACGAGAGCCTTTGCGATAAGGCCGGATTTTCTTAATTGTTGCGAATTGAGCCGCCATTCTAAAGTCTTTATCTCTCCTCTTAGAACCAATTTTTCCGTACAAAGGTACATCGAACTCGTCAATCTGTAAAATTTAGAAGTTATGCAACTCAATCAACAAAATCAGCATAAATCTGACAGATTCTGGCGACATGCCCATCCTACTCATATAAACAGTTTATAACTCGTTTAAATCAAAGTCCTCCCAAGCTGTGGATGACTGGCTGCGCTGGACACTCACCTGTTCGTTAGTCGTTTTTTCGTGACTAGATTTTTGAGCAATTCTAAAATTTTTGTCTCTTTTAATCCGGACTCGGCAACCTGTGTAGAAAAACTAAGTCGAGTGGCTTTTCATTCTTGTTCTGAGTCAGATTTTCAACAATGCTTGCCGAGCCCTTTTTTCATCAATATCGGAAGCAGAAGTGGAAACAGAAGCCTTTAATTTAAACAAATTATTCTAGTTTCTCTGTGTGGAAATGACGAAAAATAGGAGATAAGGGCGGATTTAGCCGGCGCTGGAATGAACGCGCGATCGAAATCGGGCTTGTTGTACTGACCGGGCTGGGAAAATTAGAAGCTCTCCGATAAGGACTTTTGACAACATAGGGAACGAACAATTTTGTGAACCAGGCCGATAGCTTTATCAGCCATCTCGACTGGTCGGACGACTCGAAGCATATCTGCTCCAACTCGGGCGATTATGAGGAATGGTTACGCAATTTCAACCAATCAAAACCCAATCCTGGATTGGCAATCCAGAAAGCATAGTTCATTTCCTTTTTGTTGGTTTTTCTCCTCAAAATTTAGATTTCGAAGCTCAAAATATCAATCTCTAAAATTTAGTTTTTTCCTTTTTTACAACTTTGTAGGAAGAGTTCCATTTCAAAATAAATCTTGAAAGCGCACGTTCAAAGCGTAAAAGTACCAATTTCGAGTAGAAACTCGACGGCGTCCGAGCTGGGCTTAGCTTCCGCCGAAAAGCGGCGAGTAGATCTCAACATGAATCGAAAAAATAACCAAACAAGCAATTGATGTGGACAGTGGAAACGTGCAAACAGATCACGCAGCCGTCGACGATGAAACACACGCCTTGGTCGACTTCGAACTGCACCATCGGAATCAACAATATCGGAATCTGGCCAGAAGGAGCCGACGGCACTGATATCAATTCCACCTCCAGGTCAGAAAACGCCTATTTTTGGAATTTACAGACCAAATTCTAAAGCTTATATTCTAGAGTCCGGCTCGGCTTTTGAGTCTAGGACCTAGACTCTAGGTAGAAAACTTGAGTAAGGGTACGAAAGAGTTTGAATCGAAAGCCGCGGCTTTGTATTAAAAGCCGCTACAAGCAAGCTCTTTCGCACTCTTACTCAGGGATTCTACGCAGGATGACGAGTCCAGTTTTGAGTATACAGTGGTGTGAGCGGTTTCCGCACCCCTATTTTTCGCCTTAAAAATTCATATCTTTTGACTCAGATATGATATTTGATTTCTGTTTCCTGTAATGAGTTTCTCACGCCATTTTCTATTAGGGTAAAATACAATAAAAGGAGTTTTCAGAAATTTACTGTGTAATTTTTCAAAATCGTAGGGGTGCGGAAACCGCTCATACGGTATGAGTCATACCACTGTAAGTACATTTTAACTGTAATTTGCGAAATGTTAAAAACATTATTACTGTCGCGATAAATCTAAATCGTCAGAAAACGAGATCTCGCTTGATTTGTTGCATATTTGCGAATTCAAAATAAAATTTGCATCACAGCGGATCATCCCATCCCAGGGCACGTTTGACGAGTCTCAGTCTCTACTGAATTCGCGCTGACGCCAAACAAATTATCATTTTTCACGTTTTAGTTTATTTTTTGGGATTTCGAGGCCCAAAAGATGCTTTGAGGGGCGGAAATTTCAGTCTTCATCAAAGGGCGCGTTTTTATTGATTTTGCAACAGGGGATTAGCTGAAGGGATTCTTCCACCGCGACGCTGGCTCTGTTTCCATTACGGGATCAGCCGCGGGAAGAGATTTCACAATTGCGCAATTTCCGTCAATTCTGCAGCGAAATCATGAAAACCTCTTGTTCAGGTCGAACGGGGAAACGTTCTCGCCGCTGCTGATGACTTTGGCCATGTGAGACTTTTCGAGTACCCGGCGAGACAAGCTCAGGCTCCTTCCAGGGAGTACAGGAAAGGGTTTGTGAGGCAAAAAGGGGTAGGGGAGTTAAAAATACATCAATTTTTTTGGTTTGACCCGGATTCAACGTGTTTTATTTTCATCAAAAAAGGTCCCTAAATTAGCATTTTTTTCTATCAGCATGAAGTTGACAATAAGTTGAATCGGAGGTCTTCTTTTAGGAATATAAAACCGGAAAATTAGGGGCATTCCGTTTCTTTTTTTTTCGAAGTCAAGTTGATCAATCCTTCGGAAAGCGGTCATTCAAGCCACGTGACGGCCGTCGAGTTCACCCAAGACGACAAGCATCTTCTTTCGACTGGTGGCATGGACGCCTCGATTCTCCAGTGGACCGTCCTGCCAAAATCTTCATAGTCTATGAATCATAGATTATGACTGACTCAGAATATACTCGGTTTTTGTTCATCTTGGATTTTCAATAAACGCAACAGAGTCAGCTTTAATGTTTCTATTCAAATCGAAAGTGCAACTACATTGGCAATAGTGTTGTATGCATACAGCAGCAGTGCTAGATTCAATTTGTTGATTGATCCAGCCGACGATGGCTCAGGCTCAGCTTTTTATCGAGTTCAAGGAAAGAATTTATTCAGATGATAATTTCGAACCCGCTTGTTTTCTAACTTTTGTTAGCTCGATTTGAGCAATATCAAAAATTCTAGATTTTCCGGAACTCTTTCCTGAAGGTCCAGCAATGGAAATCGGCACTGCCATCGGAAGTCGCTCATAAATGCCGCCAGTATTGCACGCTGAATAAAATCAATAATTTCAAGCGCCAAAGTCTCCCATGAAAGAACCTGGCTCCTCGCAGCAATCGATGCAAAAGTAAGAATCCGAATTTCTATTGCATTCGTTTTTCTTCGCCGTTTTCATGCTGAAGCACTCTTTTTTGCTTGAGCAAGTTTTGGTCACTTCCGGCACTCCGCCCTCGCGCAGTTCTGATACTGTCCGGCAAATGTCTTCTCGGGCTGCAAAATTCAAACAAGCTTGAATTAAAAAAAAATATTTTAGCTTCAGCCAGACTTTTAGAAAATTTCGTAGAGGCTACTCATTCATCATACAATTTGCAAAGACTGGAGTTTCCAAATTGGAATTATTCTTGGATCATCCTAAGGCCCTTAGGCATAGGGATTTCAATCCGTTGACATTAAGGGCCTATCTCAGATAAGTTCGGAGAAAAATCCGATGAGCCAAATACTCACAATTCTTGATCGGGGCTCTGTTACGGCAAAACTTATGCATTAGTATAAAGCAGAATGAACTATAGTTTGAAAGTCTCCACGTCACTACTTGGCGAGCTTAATATTTTCTAGCCCTAAACATTTCCTGGAGGACATTGGAAGGTTCCTCCCTCTGCGCATTCGTCCGGCGACCTGGCAGCAATACATACTTGGCATGACAGGCCCTGAATCATTCCCGTAATTGCCCTTCCGCTTTTGCTAGCAGCGAGCGGCGGAAAGGGCTCCTTGTCGTCAATAAAAGAAAAAAAGCTCAAAGCCGTGTAATTTCAAAAATTGAAAACACAGCCACGTTGAGGAAGTTTTTAACCTTGATTCAGCCTCGAATCCAGCGATTAGAAATTTGCGAAAGTCGGTAAAAGAAACACTTACTGGAGTTCAGGGCTCGGCAACCTGAGTAAAAAACCTGAGTCAGGTTCTCAAAAAGCTTAAATAAAATGTCGCGTAGCGGCTTTTCCAAAAAAGAAGTCTTTTCATTTTAGCTTTTTGAGAGCCTGACTCAGGTTTTTACTGAGTAAACCTGAGTTTTACCTGAGTCTCAGGTTGCCGAGCCCAGCTGGAGTTTCTGCAGCGAAGACAGTGGAAATGAATGTGAAGACAAGCTCTGCGGAGAAAAACCTCATTTTCTAACTCGAAGTCGGCATTTCTGGCTAAATTTGAACAGAACTCAAGAAGAAGGCCAAATAGACAATCGAACTCAAAATCACCAATCGTAGAATTTCAAGTATTTTCGCTCAAAATAAAGAAAAACTGCTTCTAAAAAAAAACTGCAAGATTCAGAGGCTTGTTTCCGCCTCAGGCCTTGTTTTCGATGGCCCGCGGAGTGATCCGCTGAAAAAAAACGTTCTCGAAAAAAAAAGTTTCTGGATTGTCTCGATGGAAACCGTTTTGTTTTTGTTAATTCAGTTGCGCTTCACACATCAGAGGAACGGCACGATTTTTGTTTTTCTGATTTTTCAGTCTTTTTTTGATGATTTTTTTGAGTTTTATTTAATAAGCTACTAACTGTTGACTTATTAATGGATTTAAATTTTTGATTAGTAAATTTATCGATTTCCAAAAAAAATTGGAAAAAATATTTTCAAAAAACTGAATTTTGAGTTTTAGTCGAGTGTATGGATTACAGTAATTCTAAAGAGGGAATACAGTCCTTGGCCAAATAGGAGCTTCAGCAAATAGCCCAATCTGAGTCCGTAAGCATGTTTATCGCGCCGTCAAAAGAAGTTGGTTTCTGAAGGAGCGGAAACTGAACACAGGTAAATCTTAGCTTTCCTTTTAAAAATCGGCAAGGTCATTGGCGCCGGAAATCTGCGCAAGTAAAAGAGACTCAAAGAACTTTGAAACTTGTGAAAGAGAACAAAAGAGAGAAAAGTTGACGCTCAGAATTTTGAAAAAAGCAAACAAAGGAAAACACGTTCTAGAGAAAGTCAAGAGAATTAGCTAATTTGGAAAAGTTATCTCCTTGAAAGAAAGTCAACGTCTCAGCATAATCGAAAGCTCAAATAAACATAATTTTCAATTATTAATTTATGTTGATGCATTTCTTTTATTGCATCCATTGACAAATAGGCTAAATGAATTTGAACAGACTACTTTTTTATTGATAGGCGAAATGCAAGAGATTTATAAAAAATTTCAGATTTGAAACGATGGTGAAGCCGGTGGGTCCCAACAAATGGAAACTGTCGACAATGACGAATCTCTCTTCGTCGAAAGGAGCCTCGAAGAAGTGCAATCTCGTCATCGACAATGCAAGGCGACACGACCCACTTCCTACTTTTCGAGAACAGGACCGGATCATCAACTAGCTTGAATAATTCTTAACGCGGGTCGAGAAAAACGAAACTTGGCTCTAATTGAGGAAGAATCTCTCTTCGTTCCCTTTTTTGAATGAAGAGATTGGAATTGGTACGAGAATCTCTGTTTTGGGAGGTTCGGTGGTGTTTGATTGAATGTTAGTAAATACATAACTTGTGGGAGAAATATTGAATAGAGCCCCGGCCGGGTGGAATTGCGCTTTCCCAAAATAAGCGATTAGTTTTGGATTGAAACCGACGTCAGCTAATCTAAAATGTTGTGCCATACACACTCATCTCTCGGGATTAACTCAGACAACGTTGCCAAAAGATTCAACCAACCCTTTCCGCGAATTTGCCATCGCAAAATATACAAAGCCACACTTTTTCGGCCAGATACATTCATGTTCAAAACAAGAATAAACGAGTTAACTTTTTAGAAGGCTTTTTAAAAGACTCAAAAGTCTCACCTCGCTAGTAAGGATACGCCGCATATCATTTGCGTTAGAGAATACTTTTGGGTTCGAAAAGGCTAGGGTCGGCAACTCAACACTTTTGGCCTGTTGGGTTTATGAAATACTGCCTTTACTTTGAAAAATTATGGACAATTGTTGGTTATTGAAAAATAAACAATGGCAATTTTGTGAAAAATAGTGCCCCAAAAAAAATTATTCTTTTTAGCGGCATGAAATTCTTGACCATGAACGCACTTTCCTACTAATAATGTAAGTTGTCGTTCGTGATTGCACAAAGAAAGACCCCACCTTGGGCCTGGTTCACTTGAGTTGAGTTGGACGCGAAATTTCGCAAGTTTTGTTTTTGTTTTGAGCTGATCCCTCTCCCTAGCGATTTCTAAACTTGAAACACACGTTTTGTAAATTTTGCAACTCGTAGTGTCGTCACTTACAACTTGACCGCGGTGAGAAATCATAGGAGAAATTGTTAATTGACAAGATTATTTCTGGAAGGAAAAAACCGCCGCTTCCGTGGCCATTACCACCGGAAAATGAAATTTCGCAAAGTTTCAACAAGCGGTTATTTTCTAGGGTGACGGGCGAGGTGTTAAAAATCGCACTGAATTCAAACTTTGTTAAAAAAAAGGAGAAAGCTTTTGATGATCCTTGGAGCAGATTTTACTGGAGTCAAACGACAAGATCTTTGCTTACATGCGCGGGGTAAGTACCAAAGGAATTTTTTTTTCTAAACTTTATTTATTTTTAATTAGAATAAATGTCGCATACAGCCCAGAAAAAGATACATTAAAAATAACCGGTCGTTTTTGCAATTTATTTGCCCCTGATTCTGGCGAAGAGAGGGGTTATCATTCGAGCCTATGATTTGAGCCATCCAATATCTCTTGAATCTAGGCTAGTGGTTAGGGTTAGTGACTAGGAACTCTTAACGGGGGTCCCCTGGTTTAGGCCTTAGGTGGGTTAGGGTTAGGGTTAGGGGCAGCTCGAATGATAACCCCGTACTACCGATTCTGTGGTTAGAAAAAAATGGTCGAGTCCTTAAAAATTGGCGCGAATTTGTGCGAATTGGCACGGTTTTTCCTCTGGATCTGCCCAATGATTATTTTCTGGGCGGCTCGCGTGGATCTACTGAGTCTACCAGATTCGGCTTGTTTTTATTCAAAATCTACTGTATTGTATGAATGAGTATCTAAAGCAATTTTTTTCTGTGCAATTATCTCTTTATTCTTGCATCGGATATTTTTAGCATCAAACCGGATTTTCACATTTTTGCCAGGACAGGCGAGGTCCTTTGTTCCAGGATTTTCGATGCAATGATCGAGTGATTAGAATTTTGATAGTTAAATTGAAAGGCGTTTTAAAATTACGGGGAGCGAAAGAAAACGTGGGAAATTACGGCGAAAAGAAGGATTAGTTAATTGACTTTGATTGCGACTGAATTTTTGCAAAAAACGGACAATGATTTTTCTTCTAAAAGCGTCCTAGGATGCTCCCGGAAGTCGAGAGTGCTTGTTTTGCGTTTGGAAGTTAACTGATTCGATTTCTCGATCGCCATTAATTGGCGCGGGCTGAGTTGCACCCGAGCTGGGTTGATGCATCAAAAATGTTTGGCATGGGCGGATCGGAGATACTCTAAAAGCTTCATTTTATTTTACTAAAAATACGCGCGAGCATAGGTAGCGCGTGTTTTGTGGATAAACCGAACTCAGCTCAGCCCAACTCGATTAAAATTACATCACAAGAAAGCAACACGCGCCAGCAACATCAACCAAAGCGAATCACGAAGTGGCCCCAGCCCAGGAGGCCCAAACTTTCTTTCCAAAAGCTCCTGTTGAATATGCAACGACGGGCTTATTGGATCTATCACTGGATAGAAAATCTATTTCAGTGCAATTTTTCAAAGCTGTTCACTTTTTAATCAGGCTCATGTTTGATTGCCTCAACTAAAAATGCAACTAATTTTCATCAGAGAGGTGAAACATCTGATCCCCCATAAATTCGAAATAGCCTTGAAATTTTACTATTTTCTCACCGACGGTTTTAAGGCCGACTTTGGTCTTTTACCAGCAACAAAATGGCTACTTGGTTGATGGCTATTTTGGGCCAAAATTTTGGACTTGTTTTGGGCTAGTTTTTTTTTGGCTGTTTTTTTTGCATTTTTTGCAAGCCGAAACCTAAGAATAGCTGACACTTCGGTGGCCAGGCGACGCATAGCCAAACTAGCCACTGGTTGGTTGCCGCCCAGGCTCACCGTGATCAAAATATTTTCTCGTCCAAGATTTTCATTGAATCGCATAAAATGCCCGCCAAACAGTCAATTTCTAAAAAAAATTGTTCACATCAAATCATGTTTTTAGATGCGTTCAAAAATCGCGCATTGAATTTCTTCCATTAGTAAATTCAGAAGGCAGGCTTGAGAAGAATGCAAAATACGAAAAAAATTGCGTCACGAGTTTTTGTCGTCTCGTATTTTGCCGGTAACAGAGTGCTTCCTCGGCCGAGGTTCATCTAAGATCAATTCGATTTGTCGCCACGTGTTCCCAGTTTTTAGATAAACAACTGCCACTTCCCGGTCTCAGCTCTTTTACTGCTTTTTCAAGGCAATGGCGAGTCAGACTTAAAGAAAGGCACGTTAGATAAGTCTTCGCTCCGAGCGGGAGCAGCTGATAGGGAGACAGTTTGATCGAACGTCGTCAATCAATATTCGTAAAGAAAACGTTTCTGAAATACAGCTGAAACTCAATTTTCGAAGCCATCATTTTCGAGAAAACCTAGGATTCTCAAATCATGGAAGAGGTAAGAGAACGCGGGGAGGTAAAAGAGACGACTTTTATCTCGCGTCTCTCCTTAAAAATCCGAGTTCAAGTGGGGGGATAAAAAACTTCAGAATGTACAATTTATCTTTTAGCAAAAATATCTTTATACAAGATCGTTAGACTGTAAATGGGTGACTTGATATTTTTCGACGAAAAGTCACAAGTTGAGAGTCTCTCACATACAATATTTTTTGAAATAGCGAGTTCGAGCAAACACGTGATCAAAAGCCAAGTTGACTTTGCGAGGAGTGCGGAGTTTGCGAGTCGCGCGCCTCCAGTTGATTTGATGATCTCTAGTTGGGTAAGAGTGCCATTGTAGCGCAATTGGCTTGTCAATCAATGACTGACGCGATTTCCGTGATCCACTCTAAACGACCGGTTCCCGCCTCGGCGGCAAAGCCCATTTTGGCTTTGTCGCCTTATTAATCATCCAAGACGCGGCAGCTGGCCCACTGCGCCTTCCAAAAAGAAGACGCGATTTTCAACGTGTTAGACGATCGCGCCTCCCTTTGCCCAGAAAAGGGATGAAATAAATTACCCGTAAAGAATCGATGCTCCATCGGTTCGAGTAATCTTCGCAAAAATTAGGAAAAATGACGTGGTTAAGTTTAAGGGTCTCTACTTTCACCGTAAAAAGGAATTTTAAATGAACCGTGTTTTCAATATTGCTCGCTTTTAAGAGCTCTTTAGGTCGGCTTGTTAGGCCTGCTTATGGCTGTTTGATGGTTTTTTCATGCCGCATGAATCATGCGTCATCTTTTTTTTACAATAATAAAATCAAATAGCTTTAGTTTTTTCTGATACGTAATTTTCTTTGTGTTTAATCTTTGTATTTCAGGTCCGCGAGGTAGTAAAGCGACTCCGGGAAAGTCTGGGCTCAGTCAATGCAGAAATAAAATATCTGCTCCGATGCAAAGATACATTGGAGAAATCATTCGAACACATCAGAAAGGTAAAAGCCCGCAAGCTAAAGCAGAAGATCAAGTTTTAGGATATCAAATTGAATACTGACACGGTGAATCTGCGAAAAAATCGACCGAAAAGGGAGTCTGACCACGACGAAGCAGATAATCTTTTGCTCATGGGATTAGTTCCTAACTAGTCTAGCATGATCTCATCTCAGCTTCCTATAAAACAGGCGCGGAGCGCACACTCGCATTTTTTGGTGGGCGTAATTGGTATTCTTTGGCGAATTTGGTATTTGAATACCAAATTGGTATTTGAATACCAAAAATTGGTATTTGAATACCAAAATTGGTATTTGAATACCAATTGGTAATCTAACCGAGCGTCTCCCAAAAGTACCCTTCTTTCAAACGAGACTTGGAAGCGTTTCCTTTCAAAAATCTTAATTTTCTTCGTTCTTATCGAAATTCAACTGAGAAACAACCAGGGTCTAACTCGTCAATTTTCTTAATAAATCTTGAGAAAAGGCTTTTTCAAAGGAGAATGATCGGATTGGGGAACCTAAAAAATGAAAGAGAAAATGTTATGCTTTGGAACTTGTGAAAAGAAAAGAGAGAGCTGAACGATATCAAACGCGGTTTGGAGTCAAAACTGCGACAAGTCCAGCGCCAGCTTACCGAGCTCAGCAGTTCGAGGTAAGACTTGGAATTTCGCTCTTTCTCGGAAAAGAACGAACATTTACTCGATTTGAGATCTCGAGTCAGCGCCGTGCTCGAGGAAAGAAACGAAGTTCTCGAGTTTTTGGCCGTCCACGCCGCCAACGGACGCACTTACAAGACGCACATGTCAGACGCCATCAGGTACAGTTTCTTTTATCAATTCTTCTCGGCTTTAGAGCGCTCTAAATGTGATAAGGCGACGCAGGAGAGCGGATTTCGACGATTTAAATTCTCGAATCGTTTACGTATTAATTTCAGACAAATTGGACCAGAAGAATTTCTTCCTGACGGAATCGCAGAGGAACTTCTGCCGCTGATCGACACGCCGGAAGCTCAGACAGCTGATAAGGTAACCCATTCTAGAACGACGGCACGTCCTCAACTTTGAATTGAAAAATAATTCTTAATATTTTTTTGCCCTTTTTGTGAGCAAATGCTTCTGGTGGGTCCCTGGTTTTGGAGTTTTATCGCCTGTGATTGGCTTTCGCAAAAAATACTGGCCTTTGAATGACTAAAAGGCCTCTAAATTCCCAACAACTTCGAAATAACTCTGTTGACTTTTTTAACTTAGTCCTTTCTTTTTGCCACTTTAGCCAATCTAAGGCCAGAATTACTCGTCTGAGCGAATAAAAGACGCCTATTTCTCTTTAGACTAGGCTGAATAAAAGCTGTTGACATATTTTAAATCGTCGTTAGGGTCGAGTAAATTCGTAAATGCTCAATTTTCTAAATTACCCACAGTGTTTGGATTATCCATGTGGCTCATTCTATTTCTCTCTTTTTCGAATTCGCTTGAGTCAAAACGCGAAAGGCGATTTCGAGCGCAACAAAAATAATTTTCCGCAGACTGCTGGATTATCCAAAAAGCTCCAAAAAACGTTTGGTAAATAACTTATTTTTGGCATTTTGAAAAAAAAATTCGGGGAATGGTTTTTTTATTGAAAGCGCTAGAAAATCCTTAAAATTGTGCAGTAGAATCTGATAAAGTCGATCTAAAAATTCGTTTTGAAAAAACAAAAGTGAAGTATTTCGGCGCAGTTTATTTTGATCATTTTAAAGGAACTTCTAATGTTCAAAATTACAAGAAAAGTATTTGAATTGCAGCAGAAACGAGCGTAATTAACATTCTTTTGACTGGAGCCAATGTGGAGAAAATTGAGTGAAAATAAAGTCGCGGTTTTAGGAATCGCATGATTGCACACACAGATCCAGCGAATTGCGACGCGAAGTCAAACTGGCCATCGGAGATGCTCACGTAAGAGCTCAGGAAAGGGTTGAAACAAGTTTTGTATTTAATAAATGCTATTTACTCAAATGATCTCACATACACTGAAACGGACTATCGATCTTGTGCTCATCATGAGTGGTCTCCGTTTGCCCAAGTCGCCGTTTGCCCAAGTCGCCGTCTGCCCAAGTCGCCGTTTTCCCAACTTGGGCAGACGGAGATCTTAGGCAAACGGCGATGTGAATTATTTTTAATTGATTGATCATAAAATAATAGAAGTAAGCTTTCCGAATTATGACATCGTTTACATTGATCACGAAGAGCCTTCGTAATGGGTGGTCTAATTATGAGAGCCGCTAAATTCTCAATCAAAGTCCTAATAAACTATTCCTGGAAGAGTTAATCAAGAAGAAAAAGAATCCGGTTTACTGAGACTGGATCATTATTCGGTTGTCATAAGATTGTGCATTTGATGTTTGTAAATCAAGCCTGAGTACCCCTCTTCGCTGGGAGGAGGTTTTGGGAAGAGTTTCATCAGTTTTCCCCTTTTTTTCTCACTTCTCACAATGACTGTTTCCCTGAGTTTCAATCAGAAATAACTCCAAAAATAGAACGAACCGATAATGAATCACAAGAAACAGCAATATCATATTATGCCAATATGTGACCATCAATTCAACCAAGTTGGGGATTAGCGCTTGTGAGGACTCGGCACATCTATCGTTTCCTCAATCTGTAGGCCTCGGACGTAAAACCAGCGATTTAACTTTACCATCTCTATCTATCCTATCCTGCTGGTTTTGATTTCAGAATTCAAGATGACTCATCTTAGATGAGAAAATTCCCGATCTTAGTAATTATAAACTGAAATCAAAGTCTTCTTTGCGCTCATAAAGTTCAGAAACCTTGAATTAATTTCTTTAAATAGAATCATGATTATATTTTCAATTTGATCGCCGTCTGCCCAAGATCGCCGTTTGCCCAAGTCTCCGTCTGCCCAAGTTGGGCAAACGGCGATCTTGGGCAGACGGCGACTTGGGCAAACGGCGACCACTCGGATCCAACTGCGAGGGAAAAATTTACCATTTTTGATCAATCCATATCAATAAATCTTGTTTTTTATCCTTCTTTTGAACACCTAAAAACGATTCGCCATGAAAAAAGCGCGCGTTCCCTCTTTGACAAATATTAATTTAATTTAATCAAAATATTTGCCTAAAAATAAATCGCTGATCTTGCGCTCAACAATCGAAAATCGCTTTCAACCAAAAAAGGACGCTCATGAAAACGTGAACGAAGGATTGATGCAAAAAGTGGCCGAGACGGTGAGCTTGGAGCAGAAGCTCGACTTGGCGCGTGGAAAGAACAGAAAGGCCATCCACAAGCTGGAGCGACACAAGACGCTCACCGAGACCGCGAAGGGCTACATTGACGGGCCCGAGTCGCAAGAAAGTAAGTTCTTCAGGCAAAGCTATCCGTACATACCCCGTCTCGGCAACCTGAGTCAGGGTTCAGAAAGAGCTGTATTTTTTGGGAAAACTAAAAAAAATAGTTTTCGAATTCTGGCGAAGCCGCTTTCCGGCGTCGTTAAAATATCGCTAAATCTGAAGCCAGGGTTGAAAATTTCGGGAAAAAATCGCGGAGCGAGCGGAGCGATGAGCGATTTCAAAAAAATTTCTCCGGAGCGAGCGGAGCGATGAGCGATTTTGAAGCGATTTTGAGCGATTTGAACCCAAAAAAATCCGCGAAATTTTCAACCCTGTCTGAAGCCTGACTCTGGCTGCCGAGCCAAGAGCGTTGATTTTACGTTTTTGAGTGCGAAATTGATATTCGAAAATAATGATGAATTTTGAAGATCTGACAACTCGCGAGTACATGAACCGTCCTCTGGTGGCGACCTACCACCGGCACCCGAACACGACGATCGCCGACACACGTAGAATCATCCGCGCGAGCACCACGCTGGGCATCTCAATCGAAGAATCAAGGAAGAATATCGAAATGCTTGTCGCAGCCAAAAATCGCCTCCAAGCGGACTTGAAGGACAAACGCGCTGCTACTGCGGTAACTCAAGAAAACAAGCGAAATTTCGAGTTGAAAGGGACTTTTAGACTGACACAGCTCTGGTGCGGCTGCGGAGACGCCGCGCGAACCACCGCTGGGTGATGGACAAAGTCACAGCTGATCCGACAATCGAGAAAGCGGCCACTACTCCGTGGAAGAAATCCAACACTCATCCAAGAAGCTTTTCCAACAAGTAAAACTACTCCGAGAAGATCTCTCTCTCTCTCTTTTCTACTAATCAACCTATTTTCCCAGAATAAAAACTATATTTTTACAAAACTGGAACTTTCTTTTCGCAACCGCGCTTTCAAAAGTGAGCTAATCAGGTAGCTGATTGGAACGGGCTGCTCTTTTTCGCGAAAAGCGCGCTCAGCGGTGCTGAATATTTTCAGATTTGCGGCTAGCAAGGAAAGTAATTCCGTTTTGGCGGCGAGCACTGTCTAAATAGCGCGCGGCGAGGAGCACCTGCTTTCACCTTGTGGTGGCCAAATCCATTCTCATTTCCGCTCTTGGCAGCCAAATGGAACCCCGCTCAGCCGACGGTTTCAACAATTAGCAATTTCTTGCCTCTTTTCGGGCCAAAGTCAAAAACACGAACGTGGCCTTTTGCCCAGTAGTAATCAGCTGAGCGGAAATATTTATCCAGGCGACACGTGTCAAATCACTGGGCTGGGCATTTTCACACGTCTACTTCGAGAATGATCTTTTTAGATGGTTTTCTCGGGTCAAACTATTCGAGCCGAAATTTGGAAAATCTTAGCGTCCCCTCTTATAGCTCGATAAAAGATTTCACAAAAAGTTGAAAGTTGACCGCGAAATTTCAATTTGATTTGCAAAAATTTCAGGTAATGATTTTTCAGTTAATCCTTTTTCAAGAGAATAAATTGTGCTCTTCCTTGATTCCAGATTCGGCAGATTGGCGTTGTTTTGAGGCGCTTCTTCCGAAGCCTTCTACTGGAAATGAGCAGCGGAAAAATGCCTTTTCGAAAGTCGAGATTTCAGTTTGCTTCAATTGCTCACTTAAAAGCAGTCGACCGTTCCTTGAGAGTTTTGCTATAGGAAGTACCTTGCATGATTCGAAATCCTTCGAGATGAACGAGCGCTTCGAAAAAAAGACCGCAAGTGCAGAAGACGAAACATGCCCATGCGAATGAAATTGGCGAGTCTTCGATGTATTTTCCTGTGAATGAGGAGTGAGCGAGTGTTGAGCTTGCAAAATTACTGACCAGTGACTGTTGGAGCGATCATAGTGCCGATCGAGGAGCCCAGATTGTTGATAAAGACGTATGAAAGGCCCATATTGGTGAAGCTGTTGCAGAGACAGGTGCAGCTCGCGTAGAGTTGGGAAACAAAAAGTCCGTAGATGACAGTAGCTGTGCTTAATAATGGGCCCTTTGAAGATCCACCAGCAAAACTGTCTACGCCCAGGATCATACTTCTCCATGCATGAAAAATCAAGCAAAATTGGCCGAAATCATAAAATTTTTCTTGCCGTGCCTGATCCCGACGGTGGAGCCCGTGAAATAGATCAAGATCAAAAAAGTTGGTTTTAACTTTCTAGCGGCGTAGCTTCCGCTGAATCTCCCGACAATAAAGGCAGCCCAGAAGATCATGTTGATGTGGTTGGCTTGAACGGGATCCCAGTCGAAGGTTTCTGAGCAAAGTACGTAGTAGTAGATGAACGACTAAAGTGAGGAAATCAGTGCATGCCTCCTCTATTGGTTGTAGTTGCATTCAAGCTTTACTTGCCTGGAAGATAGTATCGGCGTTCGCACAGCAAGCATGAATCAGCATCGTGAACAGAAAAAAAAGATGAAGGTCTTGCCAAGGATCTTGAGCGCGCAAATCAACCTTCACTTTTTTGAGTGCGAAATTAGATGGCGAAACAAACCTCATCATGTTTGGCGGTGGTCAGTTTTTCAACGAGTTTCCATACGGCGCAGACACAGGTGAATATTCCACTGGCGACGACGATCGCGCCGACGATTATATATGGTGGGATTATGTCTGCGTCGACTTCATAAAAGATTGAAAACAAGTGATTTCATGTTTTTCTTACTGTGATCGAGTTGAATGCCCGAAGTGTAGTTTTTTTGGTAGCCGGTGAAATTATTGGCGCTGGAGACGCACTCCTGGAAATTCTGGATGAGAAATATTGGCGACTGAGAAAGGACACCTTGAGAGGATCACTGGACTTGAACACTTGCACGAGCAGGGGTGCGGAAATGCCTCCGATGGTGAAGAACGCATGGTAGATGGCAATGACCCAAGTGGATCCCCCTACTCCGAAAATATTCAGCAAAAGTGACTCCAAGCCCGTGTTTAAATAAGAACTCGTAAGCGTTGTAGCAAAGGACACAGTTCCGAGTAGCCAGAGTTCCGTGACGAATGGCATGAGAGCAATAAAGATTCCGTTTAACAGTAGACTGCCGCCGATAGTGAGCAATTTGCTCTTTCCTACGCGCAATTTTCTTTACAGCTTGGATTTTTTAACTATGGTAAAAAGTTAAAAAAGAAACTTTCCCTGATCGAAGCCTTGGAAAAACGATTCCACCAGCGATCGCTCCGCCGACGTTTCCAAGCCCTTTCCACGAAAAAACAGACGATACATCTCCTACAGAAACGTCGCAGTTGTAGGCGAGACTGGGAAGTACAGGGCCAGTGATCGAGATGAAAAAGCCGTGGGCGATCCGTGCAGCAGCTACGACGCCGATGAAGGTGCACGTTAGCGACGATTTACTGTTTTTCGGAAGTCTTGAAGTGAAGAACTGCGCGCTTCTGAAGCGAGAAAAAGATTTTTGACGATCTTTGAGAACAGTCTCCTCAGAGAAAAATAGGGTTTCTAATTGCGTGACTTTTTCCTGTAACTTCCATGAGTTTCCTTCTGATTTTCTTGATTCTCTTCCTTGTTTCCTTCCAGGGCAATCTGCGCGTCCTCGCCTCGCAAATTACCTTTTGAGTACACTTTTTTCATAAAGCAAAAAAAAAATTCTATGATAAATTCTCAATACTGTTAAACCGCTGACTAAAGATTTGTATTCTTTAAGAATTTTCACTAATAGTGAAAGATCTTACTTATTGTCGCATTTCCGGTCTCTGGCGCAAATTGAAATTCATAAGTGCTCATTTAAAAATGTGTTGTTCAGAGCTTATCAAGAGGAAAATTTCGCAGTGTTTCAACCGAGAAGCAACAGAATGGATTGAAAAGAACTATCAAGATGTCTCCATCGACAAAATTTACATGATTCAATTCTCTACACGACTCGCTTTTCTCGCTCATTGCAATCCCGTAAGATGCACATCTAACCCGAACGCTGAGACAACGCTATGTTTCTAGGTTATCAAGGAAATCTTCGACTCGGCAAAAAATGATGGGAAAGTAAATTGGAACTCCATTCCGCAATATTTCAAGGGACCAGAATCGAGACAGGAATCGGAAAATAAAATAAAATCTAAGTCAGTTCTCTGAGCAATCTTTCCTCTCCAAAATAAGAACGAGTTTGACCAGCTGATGAATAGAATTGAAGTTTTTGACTTCGAAGTTCTCCGCGATGAAGAAACATCTTCCGACGCTCTCCTTATTTATGCGAAAGAAAAGTCTGTAGATGGCGACCAGGACAGGGATCTTTAAATGTAAGCTAAGGGATGTATCATTTATGATAGCTCATCATATAAAAACCCTTCTCCAGAGAAAATCATATGCAATTGTGACAATTAACGGAACGACTGAGCTTGGAGACGTGTGGCAAGATCTCAAGATGAATCAAGTTGATTTCGAAGAAACCGGCGCTCAAGTTCACAGCGGATTCTACGAGTGCTTCATGGCATTGAAACCGAAAGTCGAAAACTTCCTCGATAGGACTTTAAAAGTTGCGGACTCAGAAAAGCAAGTCGATGAGATTTTATTTGTTGGCCATTCGCTTGGTGGCGCTATCGCTTCACTGATGGGAATGTCCCTGGCACCTAAATATGAAAAAGAGACCCTTAACTTTCGAGTTGTTTCTGTTGGCGCGCCGAAAATTGGAAATCAGGCTCTTCAAAATTTATTCAAACAGAGGTTCTTTGACTTTCGGAAATTATCTCTGTTCTCCTTCCTAGAGTCAAAAAACAACTTCGTATTCGACTTGACAGCGATATCATCGTCGATTCTCCACCGTTGTTGTATTGGTTTAGGAAGGGATGAGCGAAAATCGCCGTTAAGATAAATTTGAATCAAGAAGATTGAGCTCTAAAAAGAAATTCTGGAAATGATGCTGACGAAACTGACTATCCCATTTTCGACGTCAACGATTTCGCCTTTGCCTCTCATATGCCTGAGAGCTATTTGAAAGGAATTGAGCGAAATAAACAAGTCATTTTGAAGAAAAAATTCGAAAACGCAGTCCAAAAGGCGAAAACTGCTGTGAAAAAATTAACAAATTCTGAAGAAATTATCAAGACTGCTGAATAAGAATCATATTAAAAAGTTTATGCGAAGGAAAATTAAAATGGATTTAATTTACATATACTGTTTATGATATACAGATTTAGACAAGGAATAAAAGGCGATTGACTTTCGTGCCACTCAGAAGAAACAACACCTCTGTTTTTTTATTGTCATTTTAAATCGCTAGAACTTAGCCGTTTTTTCCGGGTAGGCTTCATCTCCCCAAGAGCTTCATTTCCCCAGAGCTTCATTTCCCCAAGAGCTTCGTTTCCCCAGCCTGGGCAGATGAAGCTCTTGGGGAGATGAAGCTCTTGGGCTAATGAAGCTCTTACTCGACTTTTTTAATATTTCAGAAAAAAAATTCAAGAAAATTTTGAGAAATATTAAGCCTTTTCGTATGTAACACGTATTCGTTGCAATTATAGAATAAAATCAAGAAATATCTTTTCTCGAGCATCAAAAATATTTAATCAAAACTGTTTTTATTGAATAAGTCTGCTAGACACTGAATAGTTACCGGTAATAGCTTCGCATATTACCGTTTACTTTTTATATTTCATTATTTATCGTTATTTTAGAAAAAAAATAAAAGATAGAACCAATGTCATAATCATTAAGCTCGATTATTTTGGGATAATAATTTAGGAACGACGTTTGATAAAGAAGGAAAACGTTATTATGATGGCGAAGAAATACTTTTTTCTTTTATGAAACACATACATTTTAGACTTTCAAACTTAATGAAAAAATAAGTTTTGTTGCGCAGCCCTGCTCAGCCATTGACCACTATGTACAAGTCGCCCACGCAATTAAAAGCTTCATTTCCCCAGAGCTTCATCTCCCCAAGAGCTTCATCTGCTCAGGCTGGGGAAATGAAGCTCTTGGGGAGATGAAGCTCTGGGGAAATGAAGCTCTTGGGGAAATGAAGCCTACCCGTTTTTTCCAGTGAACTCTTTCTTCTAAGTCTGCAAAGTAGAATTTGTGATTTTTGACATAAGAAATAGCATCCAGTTGACCATTGTTTCTTTCCAGGAGATTTTTAAATCTTTGACGAGTCTCTTAATTAAAAAAAACTAAATCTTACAAATTTCTGAGTCGTTTCCTTTTCAGATATGTTAAACTTTGATTGCATTTTCCGTCGACTGATATACTGTGATACGGAAGCGGCTGTCCTGCAGGAATTTTGCTCTCTAATCTTTTACTCTAGAATGCCAAGCGAAAATAACGAGAATCAAATTTGAAATTTGCGTGGTTTTATTTGTGATTTGAATGCCGGAAAAAGGCGCGACGCGGGGTTAAATAGCAGCGAGATTCAATCAGTGTTTTTGAACAAGCGATTGTTTTTGAAAAACAATTTTTCTTTTGAAAACAAGGAAGAGAGCCCGTGGCTTTCTCTGACGGTTTTTCTAGCGGGAAATCCTTTCGGATCGATTTCTTTTCGGATGATAAGCTGGTCGAACTTGCCAAGCAAGTTATTTTCGAAGGATTCTGGAGCCGGCGCCGCGCGTGACGAGATAAAACGCAAATTAATTTTTTTCATAATAAAAAGCAGAAAATAATAACAGCCACTAAAACTTCTCACTATGTGACCGTAGAAGTGACTGTTAATTAAGATTGAAATATATAAAAAAAGGGATGAGAAAAGTAAAAGAATATGTACAAAATTTAACAAATAAATTGAATAAAATTTGGTCAGGATTTTATAAAATAAATTTATCAAAATTGAAATCATAGAAGAAGCAAATTCCAAGGAACATACCCGGGGGAAGTTACTGTCGCGGTTCGCACCGTATCTTCTCTTACGGATGAGCTAGTTTGCGACAAGCGGACGCACTGACAGAGAGTTTGTCCGACCCCACGGCACCGAGATGATACGACGGTTTATCGGCTCGTTGGAGTAGTTGTTGTTGAAGAAGGTGTTGACGGCTATCTTGTTGTAGAAGTTGAATCGTATGAACTGTCAATAATCGAACTTTTAAAATCGCAAAGCAATGATAAGAAATATCAATAAATAGATTAAACATGCGGTTTTGCGAATTGCATATTTTTGATGAATGGACGTCAGATCGCACTAGAATAGTCAGAAACGAATTAAGATTTTTTCCAAAGTATGCGTACATACACATTAATCCTAGACTGAATAAACCCTTAATTAGTTTCCGACCCGTTGATTATGATGAGAGCATATGAGCATTCCAATGATAAAAGTAGAAATCGTAAAGAGATGACATGATGATAAGACAATTTTGGGTCAATCTGGCTCGTGAAAACTGACCATCTTTTCATTTTGAGAAGAATATCGTGAAATGATTTTCGGAAAAATGTCGGATCAATTTGGTAATACCAAGTTGACAAGACAAATTTAAACCAACGTAGAACCAAATTGACGTAAATATTTGGCCGTGAAATAAATTTTTTGTATTGCTTGAGGCGTTGTTCCCTAAGGATATCACTGTGACCTTCCATGGGTCGCAAACGAGCATCTTTTTCGCCTTTCTTTTTCATATTTCAGTTTCAAAGTCAGGAAGAAAAACAAGAACATTTTTACGCATCGGATGATTTGGAAATTTTTTCAGCAATTCTGTTTCGATAGATGCCTGTAAGATTGTCTTGGAGCAGTTTTTAAACTTACAGGGTAAATCATAAAAAGCGCAAACAGTCTTTAGCTCGGGGACAGTTAGTTCGTACAACGTTCGCTCTTTTTGCACTCTAAAGACCGCAAAAAAAAGAAGTTGTCCGTTTCTCGATTTACGCCAATTTGGATATTCTCTACGAATAGTTTCCTTCACTTTTATCTGAAGTTTCGCCCTTGATTCCTCAAGATCAAAGTCCTGATTCATTTTAAAAAGAATAAATAAAAGTGAGTCTCTTGTTAATTCGTTTAGTTTGATAAATATACCATTTTCAACATAAGTCTCCTCTATGTCGTCTGTATTTTTCCATTTATCATTTAGATGTTCAAAAAAGTCAAGATCATGATTTTCCATTTTAATTAAAATTGACATGTTTTCCAAATTATTTTCCACTGTAAATTTAGCAATTTTACGCTCGACAACGGAATCATCAGATCTTTCCCTTCTTCGTTTTAGAGCAACTAGCGGATCAATTTCGGGCAATTTATCATACGATGTCAAATTAACAGAAAGCTCAGAATCAGAACTTGATTTCTCGGAATCAAGCACAATATCTGATCCATTTCCTACTTGATTCAAATCAGGTTCTTGATTACGATAAATTTTCGGTAATGGCATTTCTATCAAAAGAGTCGAAGAGGATGAAACATTTTCTGGTTCTAAAGAAGAACTAGACCGCTCCCGATAAGGTTCCGATTGTAATGACTGATCTGACATTTCAGAGGATAAAGGTTCATGCGCTTTTTCCGATTCTATTTCTGTAGAGAAATCTTCATCAAACCGACCGAGGGAATCCCTCGAAAAAAGACAGTTTTCAGAAAAAATTTCAAAAAGCTCGAGATCATTTTCTTGTGGTTTTGTCACAGTCTTCGGGTATTTTACAACATCATTATTCGTCTCTAAAATTGAATTTCGCTCAGAATAGCTTTTTATATGCTCTGCATGTCGCCTAAATTCGTCCTTATCATTTTTAACAGTGTACCATAGACCACTCGGGGATTTAAACGTTACTTCATAGGGACCCAAAAAGGGAGGGAATTTTTCGCGGAAATTTTTTATAAGAACTTTATCGCCTAAATCATATTCTTTGAAACGGGGATTATCAAATTTGATCATTCTTTTTTGCTTTTCTTGTTCAATTTTCGCACGAATTTTCTCAAAGTCAACGTCGATTTTATCTCCGTATGTTCGCCAATAAGGGTCTTGGAAATGATGACTGATTTTTACACCAGTTTCTACACAAAATGGGGTTGTTCCGAGCACTGTATGTAAACTACTGTTTATTTCATGAACAATTTCAAACAGAAAAATATCCCAATTCACCCAGTTTGAACGAGCCCTGAGCCTGGCTTTTATGGTTCGATTGACGTTTTCAACTTGCCCGTTAGATTGGGGATGACGCGGGGGAATATAATGCACACCAATTTTATTTTCTTTCAAAAATTTTTCAATCAAAACGTGTTCCTTCGCGTTATCTAAAACCATATATTTTGGAAATTTAGGATTTCTAAATAATACGCTACGGAATTTCTGCAGTAAATGATCCGATTTTTTAGAAGACAAGGGCTCCGCATAAACTTTCTTGCTGAAACCGTCAATAACCACCATTACATATTTATGACCAAAATCAGTTTCTTGAAGTGGGCCGATCAAATCGAAGTACAAAATTTCAAATGGGCCGCTTGGTGTTTCAGATTTACCTAAAGGGGGTTTATTTGGTTGTAGATTTGGTTTTGAAATTTGACATTTGTGACATGATTTGATAAAGCTCGCGACTGTATTTTTTAATCCCGGCCAAAAATACTTTCTAGAAATTTTTTCGGCTGTAATATCGATTCCAAAATGAGAGTGATCATGATATTCGCTGCAAATTGTTTCTGTCAATGCCTCGGGGACGCAAAATCTTTTTTGATGGGCTGGAGAGTTTATAGCTAGTTCCCCGGTCTCAAGGATTTCAAGGTCAGGTCTACGTAAAAAGAATGGGTAAAGCTCACTTGGTGGGTTTTTTGGCCATCTATCAATACTAACAAAACGTCTAACTTGTGATAGTACTCGGTCAGATTTTTGGAATTCTACAAATGATTCAGGGGTGAACCTTATTTGATTGATTGAACAATTTAATGTATTACGACTAAGGCAATCACTTATTTTCATCTGATGAGTTTTTCTTTGTTCAATTCGAAATGAAAAGCCCTGAAGCTCCGTAAACCATCTTTGAATTTTTAAATTACTTGTCTTAAAGGATTGAGCGTATTTCACACAAGAATTATCAGTAATCCAAAGAAAATCGACATAAGCAAGATAAGCCCTCCATCGTTCCATACATGTTTTTCCACTATAAAGCTCTTTTTCCAATGTTCCGTATTTCTGTTGTGCCGGCGTGAAATTAAGCGAGTGATAAGCTATCGGTTGCAAGCAATTATGCGAATGATGGTGATTTTTATTCCGCTCCGCGCAAAGATAAAGAACTCCACCGAGACTATGATTAGATGCGTCAGTCTCAAGTACAAAAACACCGTTATTTAGTGGGGGGATTTTGAGCTCAAGGGTGTTTTGGCAGATGATACTTTTGAGCTTTTCGAGTGCAATTGTCGCCTCTTTTGTCCAACAAAATGAACCTCTGTACGTTTTTGAAATTTCTACTCCCAGGGGTGCAAAATTTTTAATAAATTTTCTGTGCTGCGAAAGAAGGCCAAAAAGTGATTGTGCCTCCTCACGATTTCTTGGAATAGAAAGATTTTTAACCGCCTCGATCTTGTCCTGTGATGGCCGTATTCTTCCGTTAAAAATTTCAAAACCCAAAATGCATGCTTTTCGCTCAAAGAAACTCGCTTTGTCAATATTAATTCGTAAATTATTTTGATCTAAAATTTGAAAAAATTTACATAAATTGGCTAGGTGTTCTTCTTCTGTTCTTGAATGGACCACTAAATCATCAAGATATGCGCAAATTTGAGTTTTTGGCGTGTCTCGTAAAATAACATCCATACATTTTGCGAAATGAATAGGGGCATTTTTAAGACCCATTGGAAGTCTTTTCCAAGTAAATTGTCCGTCTTCAGTCGAAAAAGCTAGTTTTTCTCGCGATTTCTCATCCACGAGGCACTGATGAAATCCTTTACGCAAATCCACGCAAGAAAAATAAGGCTATTCTCTAAAAATCCTAAAACGTCCTCAATTTGTTGCAGCGGGTGATGCTGCTGAAGCGTGAATGAATTTAATTTCCTGTAATCTATACACAATCTGAATGTACCATTTCGTTTTCTTACGAGTAACGCGGGGCTATTATAGGGTGAATTTACTCGCATTATTATGTCTTGCCCAAGGTAGGAGGTAAGAGTACCGGTCATTACTCCCCGCAAGGCATACGGCGTTCTGTACATATTGCTACAAATCGGGCGATCAGTCTCAAGTTCAATCGAAAATTTTTCAAGGTTCGAGACAGGCAAATCGTCGTCCTCGTCTTGAAACAAATGAGTATAAATGCCGAGAAGATCGAAAAATCTTGGCTTATTGCTCTCCGATAAATTGCCTATTTTTAATCGTGAAAGAAGAAAATCAAGATCCTTTTTAGAGGGCTTTATGCACGCGATTTCAGCTATTTCTGCAAGTTTTGCGAAGGCCGTGCCAGCGGGAATTTTTATTGTCGAATTAAGAGGGTTTATGACAAGAACTCGAAAAAATGGATTTTCTGGATCAACTCTTTGAAATGATTCTATTAATTCGAGCTTGGAATTTCTAAGCTGACTTTTTTCTAAAAAAAGATTCATTGATCTATTCAAATGAGGAATTTTCAAATCGATTATTTGCTCACTTTTGCCTCTGAATGTGAAATTTTGTTCAGAAACGGCATAAAAACTGTCATGCTCAATGTTATTAATTTTTGGGCTTTTTGATGAATTATTACATAAATTCGCCATTCGCTCGATAGGACCAGATTTAACAAGACGATTACGATGAAGATTGATCATTAATTCATTAGATTTGAGTGCTTCCGAACCGAGAATCGCCTCACAATTGTCATTTACAATGTAAAATCGTGATTTACCCCATTTTTCCGTTTTAACATGAAAATCACATTCAACAAAACCAAGAATTTCAATACTTCCTCCACCATAATTTTTAGCAAAAATATCAGGGGCTTGAATTTTAACATTATCGGGAATAAATGATTTGGGCAAAAGATTAAGTTGGGAACCTGAATCGACGAGCATTTTTATTTTCTTTGAAAAAATTGTCATTTCTACAAAATATTGTAATCCAATGCGAAAAATTGAACAAGTTCTTGGAACTGGTGCCTGACCAGGGCTTTCAGTTCCATTTACTCGTTTTTTGAAGTTTCTTCTCCCTCGACCCGAGCAGCTCTGTAAATTCTATCGGGATTATCGGGACAGGCCGTTTTCATGTGGCCTTTTTTCTGACAAAAATGACAGGTTATAAAGGGGCAATGCGATCTAAAATGAGTGTCTGTGTTACAAAATCCACAAAATCGTCGTGGCCTTTGCCGATCTGAGTTTGGCGCGCCCAAATTTCGACTTTGAAAATTCCGTTGCTGGTTATTTTGGCGCGTCAAACTCTGATCGTTACGGCGATCAACTTCCAATTTTGCAATTGTTGCCGTTAGTTTTTCAATTTGATCATGTAGCGCACATGCCCGTTTTTCCGCCGCCTCCTCTGATTTTTTCTGTTCAGTTTTCAATTGAGCAATTTGATCCTCAAAGGACATTGTCGATTTCGAAATTAAGTCAGAAGTCGACTGGAAGAACGAGCCCAGTTTCGCGTCAATTTCGATTTGGGCAATTTTGGGGACAGTCTCATTTCGTTTTCTTTTGTCAAGAAATTTGGATATTTCCTCGGGGGTTTTTTCAAGCATACACTGATCGCGAAGAAAATTCTGCAGTTCGGGCGTTAGCGATTTTCTAAATTGCGCGTCGATAATGTATTCTCTCGCATCTGGTTTCTGCGTAATCTTCTCCGCGACCGTTTTAACACGTGACAAAAAAATCTCGAACTTTTCATTATTCTCGCTCTTACGAGCGAGATTTTCCATTTTCTCTTTGTTTCGAAGGATCTTTTCCTCGGGCGATTCGTCGCCAAAAACAGAAGTCAAAAAAGACAATTTTTCCTCAGCTGATTCAAATCCATAAAGATCTTCCCCGTATTCCCTAAGAAATTCTGGCTCGCATGAATTATAAACAAAAGAACTTGAAAGGCGCGAAAATTGAGCCTCGAGGTCCTCTTTGTTTTCGGGTTTATTTTCCGCGAGAGATTTATCAAAAATCCATTTTGCTCGCTGTAATTTGTCTTTAATTGTAGAGTTAATCAAATTAAATTCGAAATTTCTCATTCCTAATCTAATCATCTGATTTGGGGAAACCGAAAAAAGCGCATGACTCTTGTACAGTACCTCTTCAGGAGTTGGAGTCACCATGATACGGAAGCGGCTGTCCTGCAGGAATTTTGCTCTCTAATCTTTTACTCTAGAATGCCAAGCGAAAATAACGAGAATCAAATTTGAAATTTGCGTGGTTTTATTTGTGATTTGAATGCCGGAAAAAGGCGCGACGCGGGGTTAAATAGCAGCGAGATTCAATCAGTGTTTTTGAACAAGCGATTGTTTTTGAAAAACAATTTTTCTTTTGAAAACAAGGAAGAGAGCCCGTGGCTTTCTCTGACGGTTTTTCTAGCGGGAAATCCTTTCGGATCGATTTCTTTTCGGATGATAAGCTGGTCGAACTTGCCAAGCAAGTTATTTTCGAAGGATTCTGGAGCCGGCGCCGCGCGTGACGAGATAAAACGCAAATTAATTTTTTTCATAATAAAAAGCAGAAAATAATAACAGCCACTAAAACTTCTCACTATGTGACCGTAGAAGTGACTGTTAATTAAGATTGAAATATATAAAAAAAGGGATGAGAAAAGTAAAAGAATATGTACAAAATTTAACAAATAAATTGAATAAAATTTGGTCAGGATTTTATAAAATAAATTTATCAAAATTGAAATCATAGAAGAAGCAAATTCCAAGGAACATACCCGGGGGAAGTTACTGTCGCGGTTCGCACCGTATCTTCTCTTACGGATGAGCTAGTTTGCGACAAGCGGACGCACTGACAGAGAGTTTGTCCGACCCCACGGCACCGAGATGATACGACGGTTTATCGGCTCGTTGGAGTAGTTGTTGTTGAAGAAGGTGTTGACGGCTATCTTGTTGTAGAAGTTGAATCGTATGAACTGTCAATAATCGAACTTTTAAAATCGCAAAGCAATGATAAGAAATATCAATAAATAGATTAAACATGCGGTTTTGCGAATTGCATATTTTTGATGAATGGACGTCAGATCGCACTAGAATAGTCAGAAACGAATTAAGATTTTTTCCAAAGTATGCGTACATACACATTAATCCTAGACTGAATAAACCCTTAATTAGTTTCCGACCCGTTGATTATGATGAGAGCATATGAGCATTCCAATGATAAAAGTAGAAATCGTAAAGAGATGACATGATGATAAGACAATTTTGGGTCAATCTGGCTCGTGAAAACTGACCATCTTTTCATTTTGAGAAGAATATCGTGAAATGATTTTCGGAAAAATGTCGGATCAATTTGGTAATACCAAGTTGACAAGACAAATTTAAACCAACGTAGAACCAAATTGACGTAAATATTTGGCCGTGAAATAAATTTTTGTATTGCTTGAGGCGTTGTTCCCTAAGGATATCATGATTCAACGAGCCTATAGTTATAATATTTTCTTCTGGATCACGAAGTTTGGCGAATTCTTGCAATCGAAGATGAATGTCTTCAACCTTTTGACGGAAGTTTTCTTTATTTCCGACTTTCATTTAGCGTTACCTTGTAGTCTAAACACTTCATCAGTTTTTTCAAATCAACGTCCATCGACTCAAATGGCAGTCCAAGCCTCTTCAGCTCAAAGTGAATGAGAGTGTTTTCGAATGAAATATTTGATGATTTCAGCCCGGTGTGTTCACTGAAAATAACTCGAACACGGCTCGAAAAAGAAATCGGATCTTCGTTTTCAAGGGGCGTTACAACTGGAAGGTAATCGAATCTCAACTTAATATTGTCTGTCTTTAACGATGATGATTTTTTGAGAACCTCCATTCGTAAGTTCGCGAATGAAACAAGAAGCAGCCAGGCTTGATTTGTTCCTTTGGAACAGGTTCCCGTTCTCCAGCCCTCAAATGAAACTGCAACTGGCTGCACAGGAACTAAACAAAAAGTAAAGGAAGCAGAATAAGGGCATGCAGACAGCACACGAAAAACGAATGTGAAAAAATATAAATTATAGAGTATAAGTTATACTTAGGGATTCTCACGGAAAAACTGCGCGCGGCTTGGCGCCAGTCACCCGAAATGGTGGAAAACTAATTTGTTCTTTTTGACATTATTTCAGTGAGAAATACTTTTATAATACCTCAAAAATGAGCTAACTAGGGCCTTCGCGCGAATATTATGATATTTACCTCTTGGAATGAAAGCGCCAGGCTTAAATTGAAGCAAACTTTTCCCATTAGTAACAGCTCCTTCGGGAAACATAATTAACTGAGGAAGAGGCTGCTCAGTCTTGACTCGTTTGTTGATTTCGTGAACAGTAGCTGAGCGTGAGTCGCGGTTTTCTCGGTCGAGATAGATTGCGCCACACGCTGTCGTTAGTGGACCGATAAGGAAAGTCTTTTTCAATCCATAGTGAGAGACTAGACTTGGTGATAGTCCTGTGATTAGCCCATGGTGAGCTAGAAAAATGGAATCTTGCATCAAAGAGTGTGGAGCTAGAACAATGATGGGCGCCTCTTGGCGGGAAGCCGGGCTGCCTCTGTGCTTTATTGAAATGCCAAGGATAAAAATTTGGAGTCTGGTTATCTATTCAAAGGCTGTTTTAATAAAAATCTGGCGCTTTTAATTCAACACTTAAATAGCCATCCCTTCAACATAGCATTGTAAAGAAAAATCTGGTAGGGTTTTGTGTAGTAACCAGACGAATCGAGTATTGCTGTAATTATTAACTGGAAAGGGCATGTCAGGGCAATTACTTATCGCGGTCTCTTTCTTACTCTATCGACTTTTATTGAAATAAGAGACCGTTCCAATCGCACGAAATGGTATCAAAGTGAAACAAGCGATGAAGAACTACAATATTTTTCATTCATTTGTTCCTAAATCTTACTTGTAATCGTCTGTACCAAGTCCATTCGATTTCAAAATGAAGTGGATAGGGAGCCTTTTCTGTTCTATCTTCTTCGTCTAGAATTCTTTCTATCGCTTTTATCTTTTTCTGATATTTGTTCATTTTTCATTAAAAAATATTTTTGTGAAAATGAATTATTTCCGGCCTGGAAACGGACGACTTTGGAAAAAGAGCTCAAGGAATGCGAAATGCGTCGATTTCGATAGTTTTGAAAGCGAATGCGAATGTGGTTTTTACAGAGAATGCTTTTCTTGAACGAAAAACGGCAAAAAAAAAATTGATTTTTCGTCCAAATTTCGACTTCCGCCTGTTTTATTGGTAAATTACTCTGCCAGTCAGATTGAAGTCTTATTTTGAACTTTCGAATGCGGAAAAAATCCTTTGAATTTGAGATAAAAGCTTTTATTTATGAAAATAGAATATATTTGTGAAAAAATATAAAATCATATATTTACATATTCGGCAGACTGAACAAACAAAGGCACAGCAGGAAACAACTTTCAGGGAAGTAATGGTTGGTTTTTTGGAATACAACGAGGCGGCAAAAGTCACGGGCGGAGGATTTGAACAATTCGCAGGATCTGGGCATGGAATTTCTGGTTTCGTGGCAGGTCGGAGGAGGAGGCGCCGGCGTTGCGCTCCGCCAGTGTGTGCAGCTGCGAGAGCAGGCCGATCGCCACAAGGTGGCTACGAATTGATGTGAACGTGCACAACTTGCGCAGCACGCGTTGGATCAGTGGCTGGAGGACGGCGGGGGAAGGTTCAGAGCTTAAAAATTGCTAAAGCATGAAATCATTCTATCTCTTCTTACATGATGAGTTTGTTTATTCTCTGGAAAACAGCGGCCTTCTTCATCTTCAAGATGAACTCTTCTCCGTGCTGAGGAATGTGTGAGAGAGCTTCGAGCGCTTGCAGCCGAAGTTTGGGGTTTTTCGAATCGATTTGGCGAACCAAATTCGTTAAGACTTCATCGAAGTGGGGCGGAACTTTGAAGTAGATCAAATTTGAAAGGAACAGAGTGGCGTTTCTCCTCACATTTTCGTCTGCATCGTTCGAGAGCGCAGAAACTGAATCGTAGAGATCGAGGTTGTCCGCTCCGCGCTGTTTGAGAATGAGCTGCGAGGCGACCAGCGACGCTTTCAGTTTTGTATTTGTGCTAGAAATTTGAAGGAAATTGTTAGGGCTCGAATTTGCTTACCTCCCGAATTGCAAAGACTTCTTCAGAACAGTTGGGTCGGGATCAGAGACGAGTTTCAGCGCTAGCTCGCTTTTCCCCATTAAAAGAAACTGGTGAACGAGGGTGAGCGCGTCCGCGGCAACGACGGGATTGGAGCTCGCGATGGCTGAATTAATCTCGCCGTTGTACTCTATCAAGTATGCAAGTAGATGCACTTTGAGTTTAGCGTTTTAAACAAACCTGGCAAAAGAGCTTGAATATCAGTCGAGTGGATCGGGTTCTGCAGCACTGATCGAGTAATGAAGCCGAGAGCAGCTTCGGAAATCTTGAGATTGTCGTTGTTCTCTTTGAAGTAGCGCAGGATCAGGCTCAAGAAGTCGAAGTGAGTGTAGCACTGTTGAATCGCCGCTTTCGTTGCGTCGTCAAGGTCGAGAGCGAAGACGAGCGAGAGCAGAGTGATGCAGTTTCGCAAAATCTGCTCCGAGGCGGAAGAAGACGCCATGCGAATTTGCTCCTGTGTTTGTTGGCAAAGAAGCTTCGTCGGCTGGTTATTTTCGCTTGGAAAATGAATGGCTCACCTTTGCGATTGTGAGAATGAGGACGGACTCGCTGTCCGCTAAGTACTGGATGCAGCAATACGGCTCTCTGCTGAAAATCGCCATCGAAAGCGAAATCAAATCGCAAAGCCCAGAAGGCGAAAACAAAACCCATTGGATCTTTTGTTCGCCGTCTGAAACAGAAATTCAACTCACGAAATCTTATTATATATTATATAATATATAACTACAGCCGAAAGTTTCGGCCCGAAACGCTAACGAGAGACCCTAGCAAAGGCCCAGACAAAGGTGCAACTTGCCATTGATATGAAGAGCCAGAAGATGTGCAGCTCGATGCCAGAGAAGAGTGAAAATAGGTTCATCAGTGACGATTGAAATTAGGTCCGAGAGCGCGCAGGAGCGAATAGAATGCTCCAGATTTCGGACAACGCCGTCTAAAATGCCCCGAGGCGGGCGATTCACAATGATTGTCAGATCAGCCAAGCAACGAGTGCAAGAGCTTCTAATTTCCTGAATCGGCAAATAGATTTCTAAAATTCGTCAATAAGTCGAGAGAAAGAAAAAACCGTTGAACCTAGCTCGATGGCGGCGATGAGAGCGGCCAGTCCTACAGTAGGCGTTGGCGGACTGGACATCACTTGCCTGAAGATGTCTTTGTACTCGATGTGCTCTGCTGCCAGGAAATTGCCGGCGACGGAAGAAATGAGGACTTCTTTCTCTTTCCGCGCCGCGATGAACATAATGTAGAATCCGATTTCGAACATTTCAAAGAGCGCCTCGTCTTCTTTTCGAACGTTGTTAACAATGATCTTTTCGGTTTAATTTATCCCGTGTTTAATAAAACGCTGCCTAAATCAATTTCGATTTCCTCTTGTCCAGCGATAATCTTCATCAGCAGTCCCAATTCTCCAACAACGGCGACGACTCCTTCCTGTGGAAAGCTACTTCTCAGCATCATCGGATAAAGCAAGTTCAAAGCGCTGCGTAAGCTGCTTGGCTCGTTGAGTTCCTTCTTGAGGAAGTGTTTCCACGCTTGAGTCGAGAACATTTCGCAAATACACTCGTCCGCGATTTGTTCTTTGTCGGAGGAGGCCGTTTGCTCAGTCTCATGCACCGGAAGTCGAAGGATCACGCCCAAGCATTGTAGATATAAGCTTGCATCGCTGTTACTACAAAAAAGCAATTTGGAACTTTTATTATAGACATCGATTCTACTTTACTATTTGCTAATTTTCGATAAATTCCCATTTTTCTACAGGACAATTACTAATACAAATCGAAACGCCACTTGGTTTGAATAACTGCGATTCTACTTCTGCAACAGAAATAAATTAACAATCGCGAAACTCAATCCAAATGTTTTGGCCGTATCTTACGAGTGCACCTTTGAGAAGCGCTCAAGGCGCGATTTAAAATCTTGGCGCAGATTTTTCGTCTGGAAAAGGACTCGAACAAATTGTCCAAATATGGCTGGATGTCTGTCGAATCGTATATCTCGCAAATGACGAGCAAGGTCGTCACTGCCTGAGCCGGAATGTCGCAGTCTTTGTGCAGATTGGGGCTGCAGCTTTCGATAAATGGGTCTAGCAGCGGATGAAGATCATTCACAAAGGTAGAGAATCGACTTAAATCTTCGTCTGCGCTGCTGCCGCCAAGATCTGAAGTCATGAAGGTGCAAGAAAACGCAAAAAGCTCCGATATGACTGCCGCGTTTTCTTCGATTTTGTCTCCTTGCACAAAGAAGCGCAAACGTTGAATCACGCTTTCGAAAAGATGCGTTTCTAGCTCGATTTTGCGGAGAACGTCGATTTCCGCGCCGAGAACTGCCAAATTCGTGAAGGTGCGCAAAACGTAGCACAATTCTTTTCCGTTGACTTTTTCTTTCTCTGGGAACTCGTTCTGTGCGTGCGTGAAGCACTCCAAAAGGCGCTTTTTGAACTCGCAAACGAAATCTCCATCTTGGAGAAGATTAACTGGCGTCGTGAAGCTTTCCACAGCGTCTGGGTTCGTCATTTCCGCCAACTCCTCCCACCTGCTCGTTGTTCCAGCGTCAGCAATTGATTCTTGAAGAGAACGGCTCATTGAGCGCCCAGCTCGGTTTTTGGCGCTTCGAACTCGTTTCGGCGCGTCCACGATTTCGTGTTTGAAATCTCTCGAAATCTGGGTCAGTTCCTTCTCGACAGGCTGGATTGAAGACGCCGTGATTGAGCTCGAGTTGCGTTCTATCTTCGGCAGCTTTACGGACTCTTTGACGCTCGCTTTCAACGAAAAGTTCGTCCTCACGCTCTCTCGTGGCCCAGCAGAGGGGATCGGTGCAACAGGCGGAATATTTTCTCGCTCGGCTTTCTTCTTCCTTTCTTCCATCTGCGCCCGCGCCTTCGCCAGCAGCTTGGAGCCGGGCTTCTTCGCCGAGGCCATTCGCTTCGACTGCTCTTCCTTCTTGCGTAGCTGATCGTCGGACAAGATCTCAGTGAGCGGCTGTTCCGATCTCGAGCCGATTATCTTCACTCCCTGGCGTACAAACGGGTGGTTGAGTAAATGCGGCCAGCCGAGCCGCTTCTTTGGGTCTTTGGTGAGAATTCCTTTGAGTTGGGCTCGGCAACCTGAGTCAGGGCCTGAAAAAACTTGAACGAGAAGCCGCAAGCAGCATAGCGGCTCCGGTAAAATAAGAATAGATTGCGATAATTTTAGCGAAACCGCTCTGCGGCTTCGTTTTCAAAAAAGTCGCTTCAAGGTTTCTCATTCAAGCTCTTTCAGGCCCAAATTCAGGTTTTCAACACAGGTTGCCGAGCCCGGCCTTTGAGGAAACTGGTAAGCTCAGAGGACATGTCGCCCGGCCAGTGGATTTCCTCTTGGATGATGAGAGAAACGAGCTGGAAGATGGAGGTGGTGTAAAAGGCGGCTGCCCGGCGAAGAGCTCGTAGAGAATGCAGCCGAGCGACCAGAGATCGGCCGTGTGGTCGTACGGCTTTTCCTGGACTAGTTCCGGAGCCATGTAGAGCGGCGTCCCCTTTATCGAAGTCAAGACGAAAGTGGCAGAGCCCATAGTTCGCGCAAAGCCGAAATCGCACAGTTTTATTTGGCCGCCCTTACCAATCAAAATGTTCTGTGGCTTCATGTCTCGGTGCAGAATCCGGTTCGAGTGCAGGTAGTAAAGCGCCGAGACCAGCTGGCAGGCAATCGTCTGAATGATCCCTTCGTCCAGCTTCCCATCGTCTTCAAGCACTTGAAAGAGCTCGCCCTCTGCGTGCTCCATCACAACGACCACCTCGTTCTCCGTCTCGAAGCTGTCGTGCATGCAGATTATGTTTGGGTGCTTGATCGCTACATTAATCAATAATTTTTTCCTTCAAAAAGAAGCGCACTAGATAGCTTACTTTTCATAATTTCGAGTTCACGTTTAAGATTGTTGATCTCCTTTTCGCTTCTGCCCGTCTTAGAGATGAACTTCAAGGCGACGGATTGACCAGTGTAGCGCAGACGACCACGGTAGACCCGTCCGAAGCTGCCTTCTCCAATCAGGTCCAGCACTTTATATCTCTCCATTTTGAGTCTAAAAGGAATCGGGCTTAGTTAAAGCCAAGTCCTGTGTAGAAAACTTGAGTTAGAGGCTGAAACATCTCCTGCGTGGCTTTTCTTTAGAGATCATTCAGACCTTGACTCAGGTTTTCTACACAGGTTGTCGAGTCCAGTTCAGCAGTTCGCAGAAAGACTGTATAGATGAATAGATGAGATAGGTGTGAAATAATATTCTTTCGTCACAATTTGTTGTTGATACAAGCGGTGATACATAATGAGCTAGTTGGCCTGTGTAAGGATTGACCACTCCTTGATCTCACAGCTGTGGTCATGCAGAATGCCGCGCCCTGGCCAAACATGACTGAAAAACGACTATAAAGGTAAGTCAGCCCCTTTGATTTCTCACGATCGAAACTAGTGAGAACATGAAGGTTTTTCAGGTAAGACAAAAGCGAAACTGATACTGTAACTCGGAAATTGCAGGCCTGACTCTCTTCGCCGTGGCACAAGCCTGTTCCACGACTTGCGGCTGCCCGAGCGGCTTCTCACCCAAAAACGGACCGGAAGGCACAATCTGCTACAAACGCTACATCACGGCGAAAAAGTACGAGTCGGCGAAGGCCCACTGCCAGAAAATGGATATGTTCCTGCCTCGAATCAACAGTGATGCGGAGCTTGAGTTCTACACCAGCATCACCGGCAAATCGAGCTGGGTCCAGGCCGAAAAGAGAAGAGGAAACCCTGGAACTCTGGTGAAATGGAGAGGTACCACCTATCGCGAGAAAACTCTCACCAAATATTTTAAGACTGGAAGGGAAACATTCTTCGAAACCAGGAGTGGTACAACGACCCAGAGGAAAAGGACAAGGATGAACCTTCTAAGGACGACGTCTGGGGATACATGAAGGTAGCCTTCTTAATTACCGATTCCGGTCCTCGGAAATCCTCTATTAGAGGATAATTAATAATTATAATTATTCCTTTATCGAAAGAATACGTTTTAATTTTTCAAAAATGACACTATATCTTTCTTTCAAGAGCGGATCAGTTTGGGGAGCTACTCAAAACGCAACTCGCCCGTACGTCTGCGAGATCAACATCCAAGACTGCATTGACGACGCGCTCAAGAACATGTAAACGGAGCCCCGCAGCGAAAAGTGCTCTCTTCATTTAATTCTTCGCAAATCTCAATAAAACACATTTGTTTTTGAATATGTAAAGGTCTCAGGTGATAAAGGTAGAAACGGGAGTTTTTTCAGAAAGAGTCTAATTCATTATTGCTTTAAAATCGATGATATTCTTGATCGACGTTCCACTTGGCGAGTAAATGTTCAATTTTACGAGTTCTTTTCCGAAGTTGAAATTGACAGCATCTTGCCCATGAACTCGTTTCTAGGGTGGGCAAAATTCGTCGGCCTACTAGTCATAACCTATAAATCGACAATTTGGTCTGTACTTTTCGGGTCGAGAAATCTCAGTCGGTCCAATTCCCAACACTCACATCCAGCCCCATTAATTTTGCCTACCCTAGCCTTGAAGTGTCTCTTTTTCAGTTTTGAAAAGTATGCTGAATCGGTTGAAGCTTTCGGGATCGTCGTCCACGAATCGCTCTCGTTTCTCACGGAGAATCTCTTCTATTGTTGTCTGGACGAGAACCTCGAGTAGATTCAGGTCCTTTTCGGTTTTGAGAAAGAAGACGATGAACATATATGGAGGTCCAGTCGATTTCCAATGCGAGCGAATCTCCAAGGTTCTTTCTCCGAAATGACGACTTTTTCTTGCCGCTTTGAGAAAGTGAAAGATTCTGTGGTTGAACAAGCACTGCAGTTCCGAATCTACAAAATACGTTCGAAAGAAGAATCAGAAGTGACGCAATTCAGGGCCTAGCCGTTTTAAATTTCAAGGTAAGCGGCGCTTACTAAGCGCGTTCTTTATAAATTAAGAAATTAGTACACCTACCTTGGAAAAAAAACGCGGCCTTCTTGAGTTTTTTGCGCATGACAGTATTAGCAGCCTCCTCGACGAAGCCACTGTCTGTTGCTGTCAGTTTCGGAGCCAAAGACATCTCTTTTTCGAATCGGATTGGAGGGAGGAGCCATGCGTCTCAATATCTCCAAACATTTCGTCGCTTTCACGGAATTTCGACATCCACTCAATGAAATCGAATTCTTTCGCGTTTTCTTTCGAGCTTATCAAAACGCTTGTTCGGTCGGTGCCATACGGAAGTTTCGCCATCTCCAGGCAGATCTTCATTTCCGACTTCGTCTTCCTTTCTTCGCTCTTTGCAATGTCAAAGATCGCCCTCTTCACCGATCGTCGAAGGAAACTCTGCTCGAAAGCTAAAAGATTAGTTTTCTTCTCCGGCGCTAGAATGGTCCATTTTTCTTTGCCAAGAAGAATCGTTTTGATGCGCACATGAGGAGATTCCTCAACAAGGACTAACTTGAATAGAAGCTGCTGGAACATATTCTCGTAGTAGACGTCTGAAAACACCTTTACCAAAAGCTGATCATGGACTACGTAAGACATTTTCTTTTTGTTTCTGACTAAATCGAGTGCGCTCTTTTCAATGGTGAGCTTCGTTTTTCTCTACCTTGGATTGCTCAAAATATAGCTTTTTAGGTACTAAAAAATAGTACTTCTTGGGGGCACAGAAATTATTTTTTTTCCGGATTTCGAACTTTCGTCGTCAAAAGTATATCATACCCAAAAAAGATCTCTGTACGTTCTTTGGTGCAAAAGTTGATTTTTTTTGCGTGCCACCCTACACATAAGACTATTAGGGAGACACTTAATTGTGCCGCCCTGCGCCGCCTTGCGCCGCCCTGTGCCGCCCAGCCTCACCGGGTTTGAAGATTTTTGGTCTTTCAAAGGCCACAATTTAAGCTTTTATGTCAACTTAGTTATTCTCACTTATTTATATAGTCAAAAAGTTAAAATAAGTAAAACCTATAATTCAGGGTGCCAGTAGCGTAGTTCTCAATCAAATTCAGATCTTGCATAAAATCACTAATTTATTGAGCACGCGACGGGCCAAAGGCCCTTACGCGTGCATTTTCTGGTAGAGAACTCATTGGGTTGGCGGGGCCCAACTCTCGCTCTTGTTCAGGACTCTTTCCTAGGTCATGGTTGTGTCGAATGAGAGTCGATTGGTTCCGGACCGGGCGACGCTGGGCGGCGCAGGGCGGCGCAGGGCGGCACAATTCAGTACCCCCCGACTATTATGATAAGGGTTTGTTATTTCTGGAACTGCCCCTGAGTTCTAGGTTCCACTATTAGGAGTTCCTAATTTGAGACAGAAAATTTGGCCCAAAGGGCTCTTAGGCCTTGGATGACTGTTGGTGATCCAAAATGTAAGTCGCCTTGGATGAATCACCAAAGGCCGAGCCATTTTATATCTCTAGAATCTGAGCTTGTGGTTAGGGTTAGGAACTCTTTTAGGGGGGTTAGTCCCGTGAGCGTAGACCTCTGGGTAAGAATTAGTTAGGAACAGCTCGAAAGATAACCCCAGAGCCTACTCCAAATGCTCTTTACCTTTGAATCGAAAGGCAACCTCTGTGACGCATTTGAGGGTGAACTTTCCTGCGATAGTTTTCTTTTTAGTTTTCTCTTTGACGCTAATTCGTTCTACGGGCTTTTGCTCTTGCAAGGATTGAGCCTTTGCTTGGGCTCTTGTTTTTCTCATTTGGAGAATCAATGACTGATTTTTTAAAGATAAACAAACTCTAGAGAAATATTTTTTGCACATTTCTGCTCGAAGTGGCGAATGCAAGAAACCGATATTAGCAAAATTATTTATTCTTCCGGAATATTTTGCTTTATCAGTAGCGGCAGTTCCTCGATGATAGTTTGAGCAGACATTCCTTAAAACAGATATGAATAACTTTCCTGTTAGACTTTTCACTACCGTATGACTTCTTTTCGAAGGCAATCTTCGAAGCTTTTTTTAGATAGTAACTTGCTGCCCAAGAAGCAGCGACAGTCGGTTGATCAAGATTTTTCTTCAACGCCCAGTAAAGAAAAAGTCCAGTAAGACCGCAGAGTACATCACCTTGGCCGCCGCATCTTCTTGGGCTGCCCGTTTGAGCACATTTCAGCGAGACTTCGCTATTTGAGATGCTGTCCTCTTCTCCTTTGAGCAGAACTGTGCATGAAAGCGCCTTACTCAACTCTTCAGCCCTTCGAAAGATTTAAGAAAGACAAAAGTAACGAAACGAACTTCGAATCTGCAGACAGACTTGCAAGTTCACAAAGTCGTTTGAATTCGGGCAAATTCGGCGTCAAAATCACGTTTTCTTTTCCTTTCAAGATGTGTGGGTTTTTCTCGAGCACGAAGATGCCGTCCGCGTCCAGAACCATCGGAAGCCGTGATTTTTCGATGATTCGAGCGACTTTGGAAATTGCCGAAGGATCTCGACCGAGACCAGGACCAATAATTAACACGTGAAGACGGGAAAACCACTTTCGAAGAGATTTTAGACACTAAATGCTTGAAAATGCTCACCTCAGAGCAGTCGTAAGACGGAACTACCATCAATTCTGGCGAGTAACCTGTTTTCCGTTTTCTTCCGCTTCCACAAAAACTTAACGCAAAAAAAACGCGAGAAAACTTATATTCCCTTTCATTTGATTGGAACAGCAGCTTCGGGGGGAAGTGAATACTGAGCAAAGATCGCCCCCTACTTCTCGGGTCGGTTCTTGCCTACTGCAGTCAGGAGTGGCAGTTTATAGGGGTTAGAGCGGCCCCACCCATTGGCCATGGTCTAAAGTAAGCAGCTGTCCTGAATTCGAATTCTTAATGATGCAATTTAACTTTTTCCGACCCAGGCCCTGCTCTTAGCGCTGAAATAGCGGCGAAATAGGGAGCGCCCGTGTAGAGCTCGCACCCGCCAATGACTCCTATTCTGCCCATTTCGCCCTTGTGGAGCTGAAACGTCATTTTCGGAATAATCCTGCTCTCTAGCCTGGAGACATTCATTCTTGAATATTTGTCAACGTCGATATATTTATTTGGAACTGAAGTGGAGATCTGAAGAAAAGAGGAGAACAAGTAAACACAGGAGAGAGGAAAACAGCTACTGCGAAAGAAGTCGCCGGAGTTTCGGAAATATATTTTTTTAGAAGTGGACATCTGGTAGTTTTGTTTTTTTTTGAATGAGTTATAGATAGGGTTTCTATCGGGAAAATAGAACTCGGTCTTTTTTCTTGAAATTTATGTGTTTATATCAGTTTTTTGTGCTGATAACGAATCTGCCATTTAAAAAATGATAAGAGCCACGCGTGGTGGTGCTCGCACGGAGGGGCGCGCGCCCTTGGTTCGCTTGGAGTAAATCACCAAAATTCATGCTTTTTTGGGGAAATTTCATATCTATGGGTAATTTTTGATGGAGATTTAGGATGGCTTGTTTATTTTTATCGATATTGAAGTTATTTAGCAGAAAAAAACATATGAATATGAAAATTTATGAAAGTTTCCTCTTCGAAAGTGGAGTGGGTCGAGCTGGGATCTAAATCGTCGGAGAATCTTTCATTTTTTCTGTCCATAGTGACGAGTCTCTTTAGATCTGTCAATCTCTTCTTGAGAAGCAATTCCATGCTCGACAAGTTTTTGTTCGACTTCAGGAAGTGTTAATTTCATAATTTACATAGTACAAATGTAATGAGTTCCGGAAATCCCTAGATTTCATATCGAACCACTAGGTTTTGTCACCTTATGCAAAAAGGTTCGAACCTAACACGGGGAGCAATGTCAACAGAGTCCGAGCGCATGGAAAGAGCCCTAGTTAGCGCGCGCCCGGGGCATCACTCTCAGTCATCCGGTGGTTTTGGAAGGTTCCGCTTTTTGCCCCCTCATGAAAATTTAACAGAATATCAAGTGCGCTTTGTTTAACAAAATATATGAAAATCAGAGTTCTACGAGTTTATTTAGATACTGAAAAGGAAGAAAAACTCATTTTTGCAGCGCTTTCACCGCGTAATGCACTAGCGCGCCGTCAGTTCTACCCATTCTTCCGCTGGTTTCGGTTGGTTCCTTGTGTCCCCCCCTTACGAAATTTTGATAGACTAAAGAAAAACGTCAGTTCTTTGACATATCAAAAAATCAGAGTTTTAAAACTTTATTTAGACGTATTAAGAGTGATTTTCCCGCAAATTGAAGGGATTTCTTCGCTTTTTCGACAAAAAATGCAAATTTTAAGGGCAAATTATGAATCAGCGTCATCAAAATGACTATATCAAAATGTTTTTTACTGAAAATCTATTCAAAGTAAGGAATAAGGGATCGAACATTTTATAGGAAAAGCGCCGCGCCGCGCGCCGCCTTCCCGATAGAAACCCTAGTTATAGACTATAACTTATAGGATGGAAATGAGTGATATCACCAAGGAGTGCAGGGAAAGGGGCATTCTCGCACGAAAGACTCGATGCTCCCTTCTTGAATGTCGATCAGACTCGTGTAAACAGTCAACATGTTTAAACTGGGCTTAGTTGACAAAACGTCGAAAAGCGCTTCTTTCGTAATGAAATTTTCGCCAGAGGCATTTTCGGAAGAAAGCTCGGAAATGCACTGAAATTAAAATCTTTGAAAGGAAATGAATGAAGAGCGAAACCTTGAGCGCGGGGTGACGGCGATCGTCGAAAAATGGCGGCTCTTGAGAAGGATCGTAGTTGGTTTGAAGGAGGAACCAGCTGCTCGATTTGGAAGGATCGCTTTCTTCGCCGATTTTGACCGTTTGGGATACGTCTTCTCGGTCCCGCACGATTATTTCTCCAAGCTAAAAGGCAGTTCAGTTACCGCGCTCGGCAAGCTGAGTCCTCTCGGAAAACCTTAGGGTTCTGAAGAGCTTGCGGCTCCTGCAGAATAAAAATAAATATCAAAAAAGATAGCTAGCTCAAATTTTCAACATAGATTTCAACACAGACAGTCCCTTGACGGGGCCCCGTCTCTGGCTTGGGCCAAGCCTTGGCAACCTGACTCTAAAACCTGATTTAGGACTTAAAAGGTAGAATTACGCGTAGTGGTGTAGAACAGTTCTTAGAAACTTAATTTTTGCCAAAATTAGGTTTTCAATTCATTTTGAGATTCTGACAGGGCCGCTACGCGACTTGGACTTTGAGAAAGCCGCCAGGCGGCCTAGGTTCAACAAATCGAAATCCGATGCCCGGAAAACCCGATATCGGATCGGATATTTATCGGGTTTTGTCGGGTATTTTTCACCCTACAAAACCCGATCCTGAAAATTTCAAAACCCGACGTAGGATCGGGTTTTTGTCGGATTTTGTCGGAAATTCGTCGGGGTTTTCTTGCCTTTTCAGCCAATCACAGTCTGTCTAAATAGCCTCTCTTGCCCTTTTGTACTCAAAATGCAATCGAAATAAATGAGAACTGCCTCCAGAACCGGGAAAAGGCAGAGGACGAGCTCTTATAGATAAGGTTTTGACCTTCTTTTACCTTGATTTTTAATTTTTGCTTGTAATAAACCCGACGAAAATCCGACAAAAACCCGATAAAAACCCGATTTCCGACCCGACAAAAACCCGATAAAATCCAACAAAACCCGATCCGATTTTTCAGGCCTCTAAAAACCCGATAAAACCCGATCTTGGTTTCGGGCGATTTTGTTGAACCTAGCAGGCGGCCTTTCAGTTTCCCTCTTTCAGACTGACTCCGGATAAGTACACAGGTTGCCAAGCCAAAGAGAAGAAACTAAAAAGCGTGCTCGATTTCTTTACTTACGGGGCGTTCTCCACTGGCGAGAACGAAATAAACTGGCGAAACCATTTCCGCTGTCTTCAGAAGATCTTGCGCGCATCGGAAGTCGTCGCATTTCTCAAAAAGATCTCGAGTGAGGAAGCCGAGCCAGTTCGCCGAGTGTTTTCCAAGAATCCACTCAAGGATGCCCACCCAGCCGCCATCTATATTGAATCGCTCGTTGATCGTCAAGGAGAACTTTTGTTTTTTCACGGCGGTGAAGATTCCTACGTAGCCGATGAATGAGGCAGACGAAAATTGGAGTTCGCCATTTTTCAGGAAATCCAAATGGATAAGACTTAAGCAATTTCAATAGTTTCGAACAGCTATTTTTTAATCTTTGCAGATTCATATTGATGAATGCTGGGGTTTTATTATTTTACCTAGGTCTGAGAGCCTCGGTTAGTGACCAGGTCATGTTTTTGAAGTCGAAACCCAGAAAGAGACCGAAATCCATGTTTCTCGCGTGGTGGACTCCGCCGCTTCCGTTCTTCGCTACGACACTGGTGCAGGCAGAAAAGGCTTCGTAGAAAATGTTGAAAAGGACGATGTCCCCGAAAGGAAGGCCAGCTCCCTGCGAAAGACTGCTCATCTCGTCGACGTAATTCTGTGGAAGCGTCTCGGCCAGCTCGGGAAGCTTCTCACGGACGAAGGGGACGATTTTCGCGTCGATCTTGTCGGCGAGAACGACGACGTCATTGACCGCCGCATGGAGCTCCTTCGAGTAAGTCTTCGCTAGTTCGCTCCAGCGCTCAATCGGGGCCAGATCGAGATTAATTTCTGCCGATTTGGGGCGCCACAGAACCCGCTTTTCAGGATACGATCCAGCCTGAAACGCTCTTAAAGGCTATCGAATAGGTTTATCCAGATATAAGCTCGGCAACCTGACTAGAAAACCACAGGCTTTCTTCTTTAAAAAACCGCTTAACGGCATTGAAGATCTTTCAAACCCTGACTTAATTTTTCTACACAGGTTGCTTAAGCGCAGAACCAGCTCAAGTAAATTTCAATCCATAAAATAACCTGGCATTTTTCATGAAAAGGTCCGGAAGGTGCGAATTGGAGTTTTTTCGTGAAAACAGAGGAAACGAGGAAGAGAATCCCCGATATTTTCATTTTTCCTCTTTATTTTTCGCTATTGTCGATTTATCGCCCGTTTTTCAATAAAAATCGCGGCGAATCTCGAAGATTTTGGATAGAAGCCAGTTTATTTTTGTTTCTAAAAGAAGAAAATTTAATCTTCGAACATTAACCGCGTGGGACGAATCCCCGCGTATGAGCGCGGGACGAATTGATCATTTTGATGTCGTTTAAGCGAAAACTGCAATAACTCTCGATCGGGTAATCCGATTTTTCTCAAATTTTCAGAGAATACTAAAAGGCATATGTTCTATTTCTCTATTCTATTAAATTTAGCAATTTGAACTGTTTGAAATTTAAATAAGTATAGGTTCATTCACAAAATTAAAATTTTCAATCATCAAAAATGAATCTTAATTTGACCAAAAACTATCTCATAAGAATAAGCGTCATCGAAAATATACTTTTAGATTTCAGAATAACTAAAACGGACAAATTGGTTCGATTTGACAGTAAAAATCTCAGCGGGCGCTCGAGTAAGCCCACTTTAATCCGCTGTCAGGTGGAACTGAAACGTGATAATGACTCCATATTTGCACAAAATGGTAAAAAGGGATGAATTAAGATACATTTCAATTTTGAGACTTTTGGATATGCGGTTTAGTAATAACGGGCATTCAAAGTCTTAAACGACATCAAAATGATCAATTCGTCCCAAGCGGTTAACTGAGTTTTTTGATAAGCGGCCATTTATAAGAGGAATAATTTGTTCCGAATAATTTTAAGTTGAATGAGTAAGAATTCTTGATTCGATAAAAGGAATAACGAAGGCTGTGTTGACTGACTGGAAAAGGAGGAAAGCGAAAAGTGGTGACAGTGAGATGATTCTTCGAGAGTTGGAAGGCTTCTTTTAGCAGGGCTTTAGCCGCCGGAAGAGCAAAATGTGTGGCTCCGGATCGTGAATCATGTAGTGCACCCAACCCTAAAATTGGTCACTCATAATTTATGAGTCATAAATAATAATCGCGGCATTTTCGAAATTCTTCAAGCATACAAAAACACTTTTTAACTTTACCTGGCTCTGCTGTACACCCAGCTCTCGCCACTCTGTTTCCGACATGGTTCGTTCTTTAGGCAGTCGTCTGAACACTTTCCTCGCGAAAATTTCAATCGCAAATAAACTCACCGAACCCACTCTTTGGGAATGTGAACGTGTCTGTATTCGAACTTCTCGTCAGTGTATTTGTCAGAATAGTAAGGAGCGTTTTGATACGACATTCTCTCGCTTCGCTTGTGGAAATTTTCGCCTTCGAAAATCGAAGACCGTAAATCGGCGACCAATCAAAGCGCGCTTCTTTTTCGCGAACTCGAGAGCGCTGCGCCGAAATGAGAAACGGAGGATTTTCGTAAATTTGACGCTAGTGGCTTTCTCCGTCAATTTTCATTCAAAATTGACCGCTCCCCTACGATTTTAAAAAATTACACAGTAAATTTCAGAAAACTCTTTAACCCCTGCCCGCATATCGACTAGGGTTCGCAATGAAAAATTGGGGGTTTATTTTAATGATTTTATAAAATTATATTTAATTTTTATATAAATTAGGCTTTCCTGATTTCAAATCTGAAATCAGATTTTATATATCTTTTTCGTTGATGAATAACGGGCGGTAGAAAAATCGCTATTTTTACGACGTCAGCATGACGTAGTCAAACCAAAAAGCGCTGAGCGCTTGGCGATGGTGGCGCTGTTGGCTCAGGCAAGCTCGAAGCTCCAACTTTTGAGTTTCAAGCAAGAGTGTGCTCTTACGATTTTTTAAATAAATATTTAAATAAAATAAATTTAATAAATAATAATTATATATTTTTTTATTTTTATGTAAAAATTTAATACATTAAAATAATTTATCTTCTTGCATTTATTAAATTTAATAAATATTAAAATAAAAAATAATAAAATTTTATAACTATAAATTAATATTTTCCAATAATTCTTAATTTTGAAGATATTTTTTTATAAAATTTTCATAAAATATTTAAATTATTAAAAATAATACAAGAAAATTTGATGACAATTAAAAAGGAGGCCACGAGAATTTTTCGTCATTATTTTTATTTATAGCATTTTCCTTGAATTATTCTTAAATTAATCTCAACATTTCAGTCATCAAAACTTTGTGTCGGGTTGTTAATGATGACAAAACTATTCCTTCTATGAAAGTGTCGATTTATACGCCCCCATTCATCCCACGAGAGATGATATAGATACATATTCAATTCGTAAAAAGCATGTTCAATATCGCACTTATCAGATTCTCGACACAGGCTGTGTCCGCATGATCAGTGATGCCAGAACTATTCTTTTTGTTTAATTTTTGATAAGTGCACTCTTATTCATCCCTTAAAAGATCAGGATGATACACATACATATTCACTTCGAAAAAGCAATTTTAATTATTCACCTATCAGTATCAAGTCTCACCCTGTGTCAGCCTCATCAGTGGTGCCATAACAATTCCTTTTAAAGAAGGATTGTAAAGGACGCCTTATTTCATCTCTTCGCAAATCAGACTGATCCATATACATCCATATATAATTTTTTCAATTTTATTTTTAAATTTAGATTCAGAATGATGAAGTTTCTATTCCAATTTTCAATAAAAAACAATTTTGAGGCCATTTTTGTAGCCAAAAATTTTTCATTGCGAACTAGGGTAGGCCAAAAAAAGTGAGTGGTCTATTTCAACCCTTTTTCAATTTTATATGAAAGTTTACATCAAAGTAAACTTTTTTTATATTGAAAGTCATACCCTGTCGGTAGCGGAAGGCAGTTTTTAAGCCCTCAAAAATTGAAGGGTCGAGCTGAAAAAAAGTCGGCGGCGCCGGGAATCGAACCCAAAACCTCCACCTTGGTGGTCGATCGCCCTCACCACCAAGCCATCCAGACTTGGAGGTGGAGGAAAATAAAACATTTTTATTTAAAATTAATGAAATTTAAAGTTTTTATGAAATTTTTATTAAAAAATTTTCATTATTGATAAATAAAAATACTTTTTAATAAAACTTGCCACAAAAAGCAGCAGGGAGCAGGCTTTTTCCACGTTGGTGGAGCAGGAGCACGGATTTTCTACCAGATTTCGAACTCTGGCGGACAGACAGCGCATTTTTGCGCTTTTTTCTAGGTGGTCCACTGCCACGCTGGCAAATTTTGCCGGTGTTCAGTGCCGCCCGGCCTCCTTTAGCATGGCCAGTTTTTTATTTTAAATTTATTTAAAATTTTAAAGAAGCTGGTCCCCCTTCCCCTAGAACTAATGGTAAGATGGGGGCGGGCGCCGGCCAGTTCCGTCGCCGAGCCCCAATTCCCCAGAAACCCACCAGGGATGGTTTCGTCGAACCAGCCCGGCCCTAGCACCGCGAGGGGGTTTAAGTGGTGGGTCTGGGGATGCCCCCTGAAGCCGCGGTGACCGGACCGCTGTAGAGCAAGCCTGCAGCTCCCTTGAGCAAGGAGTGCTGGTCTCTTTAGGCCAGCGGCAGAGCCCGAGCCCTTAGGATCCCACCGGCCGGGGCACTTGCCTGAGGCGGGATTATTATCCCACAACCCGAGCCTCATAAGGGCAGTGCCCCCTGCCACCCCGACCGTTCCCCTGCCTCATCCGGATCTACGGGCAGGGGGCCCAAGCAAGCCAGGGGGCTTTGCCCCTCCTGGTGTGCCAGAAGAGAGCAGTCCACCCACCAGCACGGGTGACTCCCGGCGCGCCCCAACCCGTCCCCGGGATCGAGGGACTTGGTTTTGCCTAGGGCGAAATCAAGGCCCACCTGGCCCTTGGCTTAACAGCCTTGCGCCGGGCGAACCCGAATGGGGAAACTACGGGGAGCACTGGTGGGACTAGGGGGCTGCCTGGCACACGGGCTGTCGGGGTAAAAGTGGAAATAAGGAGACGGGTCATGCCAAATTTTCGAATTTTTCTTTTTTTAATTACTTTAAAATGATTTTAATAATTCCTATGATTGTTCACAATATTCTAAGGTCTTATTCTAAGGTCATTTTTTAGTAAATGAAAAATAGAAGTTTTCGAAAAAGGAATCATATGATTCTATGGCTAAGGTAGTAAGACTGTAGTGATTTTTGATATTTATATTATCAGTTTCTTTAAACAAAAGGATAATGTGAATTCAATTATCGAGTCCGAAACCGAATAGGCATTGTGAAAATTATTACTTTACTCGACGTACACATGGAACCGACGACTGTTATCCAGGAATATTGCTCATTTTAGAAATTATTTTTCAAGCAATCACTTCAGACTTCTGGACATGGAACCGACGACTCTTCTCAAGGAATATTGCTTATTTTAAAAATTATTTTAAAAGCAATCTCTGTAGACTTATACACATGGAACCGACGACTTATATCAAGGAATATTGCATAGTGAATTTTTTTTTCAAGCAATCTTTGTATACCGACACGAAGACTTCATTCCTTCAATTCACAAATAATTTTTAATCTTAATCATTTTTTGTACGAATTATTTTTTTTTTTGTTTAGATTCTATTCCTTTTTTGTTCATTCAGATTTTTTTTGGGAAAAAGAATTAACGGGAACTTTTTCAGAAATCTCGATCTTTGTTGAAATGTCCGCTTCGTCTGTTGTCACTGTGACTATCAGAATTGTCGAACTTGCAAATCGTGCTGGTGTTCCTGTTTCTCATCTGTCAGTCTTGACGAAAAACAAAAGGAGTGCTAAAGAGAACGAGCCAAAAAGCACGAAACTGGCCCGAAAACTTCTCATGCACGGCTTCGGCTCGCAAGAATATCTTCAGCGAAACACCCGCACTCTCGCGAAAAAACTTCTGACGTTCTCTATCGATGATGAGGTGGATCTTGAGATGAAGCATCATCAATTTTGTTCGTTTCGAACTCGAACTCGAAGACGATGCCAAAGTTCTTGAAGACAACCAAGAAAAAGCTGTTTGTGAGCTCGGCAGTTCCGCATTGGTTTACAGCGTACTAGTGGCTCCTTATTGGAGCCGTGTTTCTGGATTATTGTCATCAGAAGATTACTTGGGCCTTGAAGAACACTTCAAAACGATTCTTCAACATGTTGCCGATTGCGCTTCACCAGCATTATTTCTTCTCGAAGAAGCCAAAAAAACCGAAGCTGTGTGGGAATTAGGCTTTGAAGAGGCCGTTAAGCAACTGTCAGCCGACAAGAACACGTCAAAATATCTCGATGATTGCATAAAACTTCGTCTTGCGGCTGTCGATGAGCGGTTCAACAAATTTTCAATCGACTGTTCCTTTCCTTTTACGAAGGAGATCACTTTCACGAATCAGGTTCGATTAACAAATTGAGACTGTCAATAACATTTATAAGGACTGCGAACGTTCATTTGGAAGTGCTAAAGATCTCTTCTCTCGGAAATTCAACATGGATACGAAGAAATTCGAGACCACCGTCATGACTCGGTTCAACATGACCTTCACTTTCTGGCAACGTCAGACCGATTTTGAAGAAAAACTCTCGAAGATATTCGCGAATGCCTCTTTGAAAGAGGCAAAGAACACGGAAAGACGGCGGTCTTTACGAATCGAGTCTGTGGCGAAAAAACTCGAAGAAATCAAAGAAAGCGAGGCGAAACGAACAAAAGTAGCCGTTTTTCATGCTATAATCGGCGAAAATAAATTGTGGCCTTCAGCCGATAACGAGGTTTCAATTCTCATTCTTTTATTGTAGCAAATTTTGTTGTAGATCGACGAAAACCAATGCTTCGAAAAGTTTGTTCAACTCGTCAAGCCAATGTTCCCCGAAAAGACATCCCTTCGACAATTTCGCGGACATGTTTTGGATTATTTGAACAGTCAATTGTCAGATGAGGATAGAGTTGTCATCCAGTCGAACTTGAAGAAAAAGAGATCCAAAAAAGAACTGTACACTCAAACTGTCGAGTACTTTAATAAACAAGAATAATTATTTAAAATAAATCAAGTGTTCGTTTTTTAAGCAAAAAAAAAAAATTGGTCATACTGGGATTCGAACTCGCGACCCTTATATTCGAATTTTCAATGATGATTTTGTAATTGCTTAATATTAATCAGAATTTTTTATGTTTTGCTTGCCGCATTTTTCAATGAAGATTTCATTAATGTTCTTTTTATTTTGAGGTCATGTGACCTCACGTGACCCCCAATGACCAATAGTCTCATGTCAAAATGTTAAGTAGATCATAAGCTTTCGGTAGATATGTTAATCACCCCCATACAAGGATGATAAGAAAATCGACTCCTGCACTATAGAGATCCCACTATCGCATAACCTTTCTTTTTCAATTTTGAATGTCTTCCGCTACCGCTAGAGGGTCCGTTGAGTACTCAAAATGTTCGTCTTATTGTGATCTTTCCACATACGGAAGAAAATCTTTTGAAATGGAGCTTGGGAAAAACTTATCGCCCAAAAACACGTTTTTTCGGTTTTCAACCCTTCGGAAATCTAGGAAAAGAAAATTTTTTTTTTCAAATTATTATTGAAAATAAATATATGGGTGAAAAACTATGATTATTGAAAGTTTTGAGGAAATCTAAGGACCATCCCTTTTTTTGGCCTACCCTATTGCGAACCCTAATATCGACCTACGCGTAGGTAAATTGATTTTTAAACGCGATTATCTCGCGTTTGGTAAATATTTTCTAAAAAGCTGATCCCTACTTATGGAACTACTTTTTAACGGAGAATCAGGATCTGAGGTCAAAAAAGTTTTTATTCAAAAATTTAAGATTTTAGCAATTGAGCGAAATTTTGATCTCATTGACAAGTCAATTTTTTTTCTTTTTCATTTTTCAGATTATCTTTTTAATCATATTAATGCTCAGTTTGTAGAACAAGTTATAAACTCTTAATTTTGTATGTATATATATATATATATATTTGTATGGCCGTATTAAAATATTTGAATTGATTTTGGACGAGATTTGGAGCGCTAAAGACTTATTCAGAATGAGTTATTCTTCTATAAAAAAGAGTAGTCTCGGAAAAATGACATTTGTTGACATTTGAAATCTGACATTTGACATTTGATCATGACCAGGAGATACCATAGAGTTGAGCTCTAAGTGGAGAAAGCCCCCGGGTCCCCTTTCCCGTTTCCCGCGCAGATCACTCGCAGGGAAGTCTAGAAATTTTCCTTAGCGCGTGGTGGGCGCTTCAGAAGAATCTCGAAACTCATTTCTGCGGAAATGAAGGGATTCAGCCAATCACAGAATCGAGAAGACGAAGTCCAGGTTTTGGCGCTGAATTAGGCGCGCTCCACATTGAGCGACGCTCAGGGCCAGCGTCGCTCAGATTCTCCTATCTCCACTTGGAGCTCAACTCCATGGTAGCTCAGCCTTTAACCTTTCTATCCATGTCCTTTCGAAAATTTTATCACGACCGAAAGACCCTCAAAAGGCCAGACCTACGCGTAGGTCGATATGCGGGCAGGGGTGACAAATTTTTCATGCGGGCAGGGGTTAAAAAAGATAAAATTTATTGTATTCTTCCCTAATAGAAAATAGCTTGAGAATTTCATTACTAGAAACAGAAATCAAATATCATATCTGAGTCAAAACATATGAATTTTTAAAGGCGAAAAATAGGGGTGCGGAAACCGCTCATATCACTGTAGCAAAAATACGAATCATTGATTATACAAGATTTATTTTCTTAGATTAAATTCGATATTGGGAATCAGCACTAAAACTATATTTCTTGAAAAATAATGTTTTTGATCTTAAAAAGTTTATTATAAATTTATTATCATAAATTATGGCAAAGAAGGGTAGTTGTGATAGTGAAAAAGAGACCCTCATGCTCCCGTGAAAATCCTTACATATAATATTGGGGCAAATCTTAAAATAAGAAAAAACATGTTTCTTGTATAAGTACTTGAACTAACGCTTCTTAGTGGCATAATGTGTTCAACGCACGTTCATTATGCAAACACAAGTTGCTAAGCGACCTGCTAAGAGGATCACTTTTCTGAGATTACTTTCAAGAGAGAAATCACAGAGCATTTTTTGTTTGTTCGAATATTAATTAAAAGAATGATTTGAGCAAGAAGAGGATGAGAAAGGCATCAGACGGTCATGACGACTATCGCTACCCAAGGAAGACCCAGTATCGAGCTCCTAATTACGAGCCTGTGATCAATGAGTTTTCCACGGCAAAGCTTCAGGAATGTGAGAATTGAATATATCTTTGGTTATATGATATTTCTTATCCGTCAACTAATGAAAAGGTCCGGAAGGTGCGAATTGGAGTTTTTCGTGAAAACAGAGGAAAAGAGGAAGATAATCCCCGATATTTTCATTTTTCCTCTTTATTTTTCGCTATTGTCGATTTATCGCCAGTTTTTCAATAACAATCGCGGCGAATCTCGAAGATTTTGGATAGAAGCCAGTTTATTTTTGTTTCTAAAAGAAGAAAATTTAATCTTCGAACATTAACTGAGTTTTTTTGATAAGCAGTCATTTATCTGATAAAACTAACACTTCCATTCCCTTAAAAATAATTATCACAGTAAAGCCATTCAAAGAGGGCTGGAAAAGTCGCCATCACTCCGACCGGATTGGAAATAATTACTGTCCGAAAGCGCGCGATCTCAAAGTTCGAGCAATAAAACATCGTCCAGATCCAAAAGTGAGCACTTTGTCGCACAAGAAACTAAACGAAGAGTATGAAGCACGACCGGAGGCGCCACCTTCAAGACCAATGTCACCAATGGAGCAGCGGCGAAAGGCTCCTGCTCGGTTTCTTGACTCCACAAGTTCTGATTTGGAACGAATGAAAGTTCTGAAGCGGAAGATTCCAACAAACGATCTTGAACCTTTGCATGAGAAATCGTTCCAAACTATTTTGGAGAAATCGAATCTTCGCGGGCGCTATGAATGGGTAGAAAAAGAATTAAGAAATGAAATCATGGAAGAGTATCTGGACGCGACAAAACAGTCAATTCTTGACTTTATTCTCTTGGATCTTGGGCTCGGCTATCTGCGCGGAAAACAGAAGACAGGGCTCTGAAAAAGTTTTCATAAAAGCCGCGTTAGTAAAGCAAATGCGGCTTACCCGCTACAAGAATTTTAGTCCATGGGAGTCTATTATGAAAATTCTTTCAGATACCTGACTCAGGTTTTCTACGCAGGTTGCCGAGCCCAATTTTGATCCATACGAGCAAAAGCGGCTGAAAATTGAGATTCCCCACGAGTCGCCCAAGCTCAATACAATCAGAGCACCAGTTCCTTGGCATGATGAGTTCTTGTCTTCAAAAAATTTCTGCGAAAAACATCTGCACACAACGTCTGCTCCTATTTACGAGCTAACAAAACTTTGGGATGTTCAATTTCGCTCACAGCTATTTTTCTCGGCGACGAGGAGACATTTGACGGCCACAAAAGCCCACAAGAGTTTATTCAAGCTGTAAATAATCGGAGTGATGAAGTGAGAGATGTTCTGGTGACGCAGTGGCTTCCAAAAGCTGCGGAAATCCTGGAAGATCATTTTCAGAGCAGCCAAAAGCGATACAACGTTAATTTACTCAAAAGAAATGATCCCGACGCCGTGAGAGATATAATGGAGCTATTCAATTGCGTTGCAGCGTTAATGTCATCTCAAGTTCGCCAGCTTGTAAAAGACTCACTCACTCGCATCGTCGAATTCATCGAAGTGCATAAAGACCCCGCCGTTTTAAAAAAGGCGCATAACTATGATCTTTTGGAATACATTCAGAAAAAGCCAGTTTTGAATCTGAAACTTGTGGCAAACGACTCTCCCCAGCCTGCTTTCTCGCCGAGTCTCGAGACAACAAAAGAAATGCTCGGAACATGCTTCGAGTACATCATCGAATCTGGCAGCGGGCTCAACAGACTAGAGCTTTTGCTGTTTCCTGAGCACATTGATCAGTTGCAGACGCAGAATCTATTCCCAGTTTTGCCCTCAGAAGATTGGGTTGTCTCTCTTCTCGCAAGAGCTGATTACGTCGTCAGCCAGCATGTTCCGAATGCGGAAACGTTTTTGGAAGTGTACTCTCCCTTTGATTCTATTCTTTCAGGGAGTGAATTGGAAGCAGTGAGTACTTTTATTTTCGAGTCGAGTGACAGAGAGTGTGAAGACATCGCCGCCAGAATAATGAAACTGAGAGCTGTTTTAAATCAAATAAATGGGCTCTATCCGAATTGTCAACTTGGAATTTTCTTCCTTGATTGCACGCAGATCAATTCTGAGCTTGTAGAGCTCGTTAAAGACCTTGAAAATCGAATCGTAGAAGATCAAGTGCAGAAAAACCGCCAATTGAATCGGCAAATCAATCGCGAGTACGAAGAAATCGGGCGTAAACTAGCCCGAGAGCCGGAAGACACCGAGCAACTTGTGAACACGATGAATTACTTGCGCGAAGTCGTCAAAAGTAAAAAAGATGCTCTTTCAGCCCGCGTTCAAAAAGCGGGGATTCGCCTCGGATTCCTGATCGAGTTCGCAACATTAGAAGACGAAGACTACCGAATCAACTACAACGTGCTTTCACAGCCCGAGCATTTGCGAAATGTGCTCGATTTTAACGAAGAAAAATTCGCTGTGAAAAAAGTGGCAGCGGAAAACACAGTCCGTAAAAAATCGAAAGAGATCGAAGTTGAGCTTGAGCGAATATCCAAAGCGATCGAAAAATTCAACATGGAGGAGACGAATTCGAGTGAGGAAACAAAACGATTTGTAGAGGTTTTGTCTACGTTGAGGGTCGATTTGGATAGAGTAGGCGAACGAATTGAACATTTGAACTTTGAAGAGCGGCTATTGGAGCGAGAAGAGTCTGTTTTTGAGGCACACCCAGATGGAATTCGGGAAATGCATCCATTCCAGCAACTTTGGGAAACAGTAAATGACTGGAATATCAAAAGCGAAAACTGGCTTAATGGAACATTTCGAAAATTACAAGTCGAAGAGATGGCCGAGGACATCAGCAACATGTGGAGGCTTCTTTTCAAGCTTTCGAAAGTATTTTCAGACACTCCCGCTCCACGAAGAATGGCAGATACTGTTCGAACAAAGATCGACAAGTTCAAGCGCGATTTGCCGATCATTCAAGCTCTTGGAGCAAATGGAATGCGGCCGCGGCACTGGGACCGCGTCGAAGTCGTTGTAGGAACTGACATTCGCCCCGACGAAGACACAACTCTTTTACAAATGCTTGAATTCAATCTTGGGCAGCACTTACCGAAGCTCGAAGAGATCGCTGTCTCTGCTGCCAAGGAATATGCTCTGGAGAAAACCCTGAATAAGATGAAGGAAGACTGGCAGGAGATGAAATTCACGCTTTTGCCTTATCGTGACACGGTAATGACTTGCTTTTTTCAATTTCTTTTACTTTTATTAAACATTTATACGGAATTAAGAGCGTAAGTATTTTCGGAGGTATGGATGAAATCCAGATTCTTCTGGACGACCAGCTCATCAAGTGTCAAGCTTTACGATCTTCTCCTTATTTAGGAGCGTTTGCGGAAGATTTCAAGGTTCGTTAACATTCTCATTTAGGACGTTTCTATTCTCTCGTCGCTCGATGATATTTTCATTCTTTTGGATGATCATATTCTGAAAGCGATGACAATGAGAGGCTCAGTCTATCTCAAGTATTTCGAGAAAAGTTTCCAGGTATTTAAACAACGCACAAATCAGAAATTAAAAAAAGAGCACTTTTAAACTAATTATGAATCAGCACAACAAACCACAAAATGCATGATTTTCCTAAAAAATCACAAAAATACAAAATGAAGATAAATATACACTGTTGTTGTTGAAAGACCTCAGAAATGCCAATCGCGGTTTATAATCGACGATGATACTGAAAATTATTTAGGCGTGGGACGACAAACTTATACTCATGCAAGATGTCCTCGATGTTTGGCTTAAAGTACAAGCTGCGTGGCTCTATCTGGAGCCGATTTTTAGTTCCGAAGATATAATGGCTCAAATGCCGGAAGAAGGACGTCGCTTTACTATTGTCGATGGAACTTGGAAAGAGTGCATGGCAGCAACGGCAGAGGATCCTTCTGTTTTAGTTGCCACTGATCAACCTGGATTGCTTGGTCGACTTCGGGAAGCTTTAGAACTACTTGAGCTCATTCAAAAGGGTCTCAATGATTATCTCGAAGAAAAACGTCTCTTCTTCAATCGATTTTTCTTTCTTTCCAATGATGAGCTTTTGGAAATTCTTTCGGAGACGAAAGACCCAACTCGAGTTCAGCCGCACCTGAAAAAGTGCTTTGAAGGTATCGCCAAGCTCAATTTTAATGCGAAACTAGAAATACTCGCCATGATCTCGAGCGAGAAAGAAGAGGTTCCCTTTGATGAGAAGATAGACCCAGCTCTAGCAAGAGGAATGGTCGAAAAGTGGCTTCTACAGGTCGAAGAGTCTATGTTGAAAAATATCCGTCGAGTAAGTCTTGCTGGGACGGATGATTATGCTTTTACGAAACGAGCGGAGTGGGTTCAAAAGTGGCCTGGACAAGTCGTTCTTTCTGGATCTCAAGTTTTCTGGACGTCGGAGGCCGAAGAAGCAATCAAAAACGGATCACTGAAGACGTATTGTCAGAAACTAACAGATCAAATCGGCGATATAGTTTTACTCGTTCGCAGTAAACTTCCGACCGGTATAAGAACTTCCCTCTCTGCTTTGACAGTATTGGACGTTCATGCAAGAGACGTGATCAAAGAGCTTGCTGAGGAAAATATCTCCAATGTGAATGATTTCGACTGGTTGAAACAAGTTCGCTACTACATCAACAAGGATGGCGAACAAGACGAAGTTTACGTCCACTTGATTAACACCGAGTATCCCTATGGCTACGAATACCTCGGAAATTCACCACGACTGGTCATTACACCACTCACAGACAGATGCTATCGAACACTGATGGGAGCTCTCAAACTCAATTTGGGAGGTGCTCCTGAGGGACCAGCCGGAACTGGTAAAACTGAAACAACAAAAGATCTAGCAAAAGCATTAGCAAAGCAGTGCGTCGTTTTTAACTGCTCGGATGGGCTGGACTACAAGGCAATGGGAAAGTTTTTCAAAGGCTTGGCTGCTTGTGGGGCTTGGGCCTGTTTTGACGAGTTCAACCGAATTGAAATAGAAGTGCTTTCGGTCGTGGCGCAGCAGATTCTTTGCATTCAGAAAGCAGTAGGCGAAGGAAAGACGAGGTTTAATTTTGAGGGAACCGATTTGAACTTGAATGCGCAATGCGCTGTTTTCATAACAATGAATCCGGGATATGCTGGCCGCTCTGAACTGCCAGATAACCTCAAGGTTCTGTTTAGACCAGTTGCGATGATGGTTCCAGATTACGGAATGATCGGTGAAATTTCCCTCTATTCGATGGGATTTGGAAACTCAAGATCTCTTGCTCAGAAAATCGTGGCTACTTACAAACTCTGCTCGGAACAGCTGTCCTCCCAGCACCACTACGATTACGGTATGCGAGCTGTAAAATCGGTTTTAACAGCAGCTGGAAATCTTAAACTTCAACAGCCAGAGGAAGATGAGAGTATTCTTATGCTTAGGGCAATTATTGATGTCAACTTGCCCAAGTTCTTGGCTCAAGACGTTCCACTGTTCAATGGAATCGTTTCCGATCTATTCCCAGGAACAGAGCTTCCGCAGCCCGATTACATAACGCTCAACGCAACTATTGAAAAAGTAATGAGAGCACGTAATCTTGATCCCACGGACTGGGTGAAAACTAAAATCCAGCAAATTTACGAAATGATGATTGTTCGGCATGGTTTTATGATCGTCGGTGCTACCATGGGAGGCAAAACAGTCAACTATTCTTGCCTTGCCGAAGCGCTTACAATCATGTCTGAAGACAGCGAGGAAATTCTACCGATCGAGTACAGAGTCATCAATCCGAAGTCAATTACAATGAACCAGCTTTATGGTTCTTTCGATCCCGTTTCCCATGAGTGGTCAGACGGTGTCCTGGCAATAAATTACCGAGAGCAAGCGAATCTCTGTGGCACAAAAAACGCGCGGCAGTGGTTGATCTTCGACGGACCAGTAGATGCTGTTTGGATTGAAAACATGAACACTGTCCTTGATGACAACAAAAAACTCTGTCTAATGTCGGGAGAGATAATTCAGATGGGCTCAACTATGAGCATGATTTTCGAACCGGCGGATCTGGAGCAGGCCTCACCTGCCACTGTATCTCGTTGTGGAATGATATATCTTGAACCTTATCAGCTCGGCTGGAAACCACTCGTCAAGTGTTTTATGAGCACATTGCCAAGTGGAATTCAAGAGTCGGAGAAAGAAATGTTGATGGACATGTTTAACTGGCTCTTTACGCCTTGCTTAGAGTTCTTGGGAAAGCAGAAATTTATGATGTCATCCGGTGGCCAGCACATGACAAGCGCGTTTTTGAAATTATTTGATGCGAATCTGGATGAATGGAGATCGGGAGACGAGCTTAGCCTTGTTCAGGCATCCAACTGGCTCATTGGTTTATTTCAATTTTCACTGATCTGGTCATTTGGAGCAACATTGAGCGAAGAAGGCAGAGAACAATTCAACCGTTTCTTGCGTCCGCTCCTCTCTGGAATGAAGGACGAGCACCCTCGGCCAAAGACAATCAAAATGAACAAACTTGTTGCTATTCCAGAAAAAGGACTGGTTCACGATTATTGCTTCCTGAAAAAAGCAAACGGGCAGTGGGAGAGTTGGAGGAATCTTATTGAAGCCGTGGAGTTCCCTGCTTCTATCTCCGCAAGAGAAATGATCATTCCAAATGCAACCACGGTACAGCAAAACTATTTCTTAAATACACTCGTCCAAGGTCGACAGTTGCCACTACTTTTTGTTGGCCCGACAGGAACAGGCAAAACCGCTCTTACTCAAACCTGGTTGATGAAAGCATCGAAGACAGAAGGTTCAGTTGGATACTTGCCACTAATTGTCAATTTCTCGGCGAGAACAACAGCACACCAAACTCAAGATGCAATTATGGTGAAAATGGACCGGAGGCGGAAAGGAATTTACGGACCTCCAGTTGGAAAACGATGCCTTGTCTTTGTCGATGACTTGAGTTTGCCTCAAAAGGAAACATACGGTGCAAAAGGACCGATTGAGCTGCTGAGAACATGGCTTGACTTGGACTTTTTCTACGATCTGAAAGATATGACCAAATTCCAGCTGCAAGATGTTCAATTCTTGGCAGCGATGGGCCCACCATCCAGTGGAAACACCGTAGATGACAGGATGGCTCGCCACATGAACATTATCTCTCTCCCTGAGCTATCCGATGAAGCCATGAGTCACATTTTCTCCACTATCACGTCAATCCACATGAAACGCAACAACTACGATGCTTCTTTCCAGCGAATTGGTCTCCAGGCTGTCCAAGCAACTTTAAATCTCTTCACTCAAGCAACCAAGACGTTTTTGCCAACTCCAACTAAATCTCATTACATTTTCAATCTCCGCGATTTTAGCAGGGTAACTCTCGGTTGTCTCCAAACTCCACCATCGCAGCTCGACTCGCCAGAAAAATTTATCCGTCTCTGGGTTCACGAAAGTAATCGGGTGTTCGCTGATCGTCTGGTGGACGCCGATGATCAAAGATTATTCTTCGAAATCATCAAATCTGCAACGAATGATGCATTCAAAGTTCCTTTAGAAAAACTTCTTTCGCATCTCTCGGCTAATTCCGCCTCTTTGGAGCCAGATCACGTGCGCTCACTTTTCTTCGGAGACTTTGCTGGCGAGTCCAAGGTCTACAACGAGATTTCCGACATGACAACTCTCAAAACGACAGTCGAGGGCTTCCTTGAGGAATACAATCAAATTTCCACCGCACCTATGTCGCTGGTCATGTTTCGTTTCGCGATCGAGCATATTTCTAGAGTCTGCCGAGTTTTAGCGCAGCCAGGCGGCATGCTCTCCTCATCGGAGTTGGTGGCTCAGGGCGAAACTCTGCTGCAAAACTCGCCACCTTCATGAAGGATTTTGAACCCTTCCACCTCGAGATTACTCGTTCTTACAGCATGAACGACTGGAAGGATGACATGAAACGGCTTTTAATGAAAGCAGGAGCAGATGGCAAACCTACGACATTCATTTTCGGCGATCAACAAGTGAAAGATGAGGCTTGCTTAGAAGATATTTCTTCCTTGCTTAATTCTGGAGACATTCCGAATCTCTTTGCGCCAGACGAAAAAGCAGAGATTTTAGAAAAGATGACTGCTGCGGCGAAGGCAACAGGCAGAAAGATAGATTCAACACCACTCGCTCTGTATGGTTACTTTGTTGAGCGAGTCAAAAGTAATCTTCACGTTATCCTGACTTTTTCGCCGATTGGCGACGCTCTACGTAATCGTCTTCGCAGTTTTCCCAGTTTCATTTCTTGTTGCACAATCGACTGGTTTCATCCTTGGCCAGAAGATGCTTTGGAAATGGTTGCCAACACTTTCTTGGAAGAGCTGGACTTAGGGGATGCAGGACACCGAGGTTGTGTTCAGCTCTGCAAACATTTCCACGAAAACATTCGTGACCTTTCCGAAGAATTCTTTGCCATTCTAGGCCGAAAGAACTATCTTACTCCGACTAATTATCTTGAGCTCATCATGACTTTCAAACAGCTTCTGCAGCAAAAAAGACTTGCAGTGACGCAGCTTAAAGAGCGATATTTAGGAGGTCTTGAAAAACTCGCTTTTGCGGCAGCCCAAGTTGATGTTATGAAAGAAGAGATTATCGCGAAACAGCCGGTCCTTGAGGCAACCTCAAAAGAGACGGTCAGAATCATGGAAAAAATAGAAGTTGACAAAGTGGATGTTGACGCCAAAAAAGAGCTCGTGCAAGCGGATGAGGCAATCGCAAACGAAGCAGCCACAGCGGCGAAAGCCATCAAAGACGATTGCGAGGCTGAGCTGGCAGTGGCAATGCCAGCACTTAAATCGGCCATTTCCGCGCTGAACACGCTCAAGCCAGCCGATATAACCAACTTGAAGTCATTCAAAAACCCACCGACACTGGTCAGACTTGTTTTGGAGGCTGTTTGCGTGATGAAGGGCGTCAAGTCAGAGCGAAAACCAGGCCCCGATGGAAAAATGATGGACGACTTTTGGGGACCCTCGCAGAAAATGGTCGGAGACGTGAAATTCCTTGACTCACTCAAAAACTACGACAAAGACAACATTCCTCCTGCGATCATTAAAAAGATCCGCGAGAAATACATTCCGATGGACGACTTCAAGCCCGAGACAGTGGCAAAAGTGTCGACCGCATGTGAAGGAATGGTCAAATGGATTATCGCAATGGAAGTCTACGAGAGAGTAGCTAAAGTCGTGGCGCCAAAGAAGATCGCACTCAAACAGGCAGAAGATGATTTGAAGGTTCAGATGGATACTTTGAAGATCAAACAGGCAGAGTTGAAAGAGGTCGTCGACAAACTGACAGCCATGGAGAACGAACTGGAGGAAAAGAAGCAGAAGAAAAGAGAGCTTGAAGAGGACATCAACATGTGCGAATTGAAGCTTGATCGAGCGGAAAAACTTCTTTCCGGCTTAGGCGGAGAAAAGGCAGCTTGGAAAAAGAGAGCGGAAGAACTCACAGAGCAGCTAGAAAGACTCACTGGCGACGTCCTTCTTGCTTCTGCCTATTCTGCTTATGTCGGCCCCTTTACTTCAGATTTTAGAAGAAAAGCGATCGACAACTGGATGGTTGCAATGAAAAGTGTCGGTATCGAACACAACCCAGTTTTTTCGCTTTCTGATATTCTCGGAGATCCAGTTAAAATCCGCAACTGGCGATTGGCCGGCCTCCCTGCTGACGCGTACTCGACAGACAATGCGATCATCCAAAGCTCCAGTCGTCGTTGGCCGCTTATGATTGATCCGCAAGGACAAGCTAACAAGTGGGTGAAAAACATGGAGAAGGGGCTTCATGTTCTGAAAATGTCGAATCCGAATTACTTGAGAACTCTCGAAACTGCGATCCAATTCGGCCAGCCAATGCTCTTGGAAAATGTTGGCGAAGAGCTTGACTCGGTTTTGGAACCAGTCTTATTGAAACAGACTTTTAAGTCGCAGGGAGTCGAATGCATCAAACTTGGAGACTCGACAATCGAGTGGAACAAAGATTTCCGACTGTATCTGACGACTGTTCTCCGGAATCCTCACTACTTGCCCGAGGTTTCCGTGAAAGTTTGCATTTTGAACTTCATGATCACGCCCGATGGACTCACAGACCAGCTTCTTGGAATTGTGACGGGAGAGGAGCGTCCGGACTTGGCAGAAGTGAAGAGTAAACTCATCGTAGAAGGCGCTCAAAATAAAAACAAATTAAAAGAAATCGAGGACAAAATTTTGGAGGTGCTTTCGTCGGACGGAAATATTTTGGAAGACGAGACGGCGATTAAAATCCTGAGCTCCTCAAAGACGCTTTCTGAAGAAATTCAAGCGAAGCAGAAGGAAGCAACATTAACGGAAGCGAAGATTGATCAGACACGAGCAGAATATCTGCCAACAGCGATTCACGCGTCTGTTCTTTTCTTCTGCGTCCAGGATTTGGCTGCCATCGAGCCAATGTATCAATACAGTCTGACATGGTTTGTTAACCTTTTTCTGAAAAGTATCGTCAAATCGAGAGCGCCTGGTTACGACGCGAAAACAGTGGATATTTCCAAGCGAAGTTGCCAGTTAAACGATCACTTTACTCTGGGATTGTACAGAAACATTTGCCGCTCTTTATTCGAAAAAGACAAGTTCTTATTCTCGTTCACGCTGACGACGGCGCTGATGAAACAAGCGGGAAGATTGGACGAGCCTGGATACCGCTTTCTTCTAACTGGAGGCGTTAGTCTAGTGGAAGACCTCGAACCTAATCCAGCGCCGCATTGGTTGCCGGACAAAACATGGTCCGAGCTTGGCAATCTAACTGAGCTCGGAAAAGATCATGAGCTATTTTCGACGCGAAAAAATCTCGATCTTGCCTGTTGGGAAAAAGTTTTTGACGCTTCTGATCCACACAATATGACTTTTCCCGCGCCGTATGACTCGATTTCGTCCATGTCTCGTCTTGTCCTGCTCCGATGTTTTCGACCGGACAAGGTCGTTCCAGCTGTTCAGCAATTTATCGAGACTGAACTGAACAATAGAGCGTTTGTCGAGCCACCAACGTTTGATCTTGCTGGATCATTTGACGATTCCACAAATACAACTCCTCTTGTGTTCGTTCTGTCACCTGGAGCCGATCCGATGGCCGCGCTGCTCAAATTTGCAGCGGACAGAAGTTTCAACGAGAAAATGGAAACAATTTCGCTCGGTCAAGGTCAAGGACCAATAGCACTAAGAATCATCGAAAAAGCCGCCAAGTATGGTGGCTGGGCAGTTCTTCAGAATTGCCATTTAGCCGCTTCGTGGATGCCGACTTTGGAGCGCGTTTGTGAAGAGTTCGGAGATCGCAAGGACCTCCACGAAGATTTCCGTCTTTGGTTGACTTCCTATCCATCCGGCGACTTCCCGGTTTCTATTCTCCAAAACTCTATCAAAATGACCAACGAGCCCCCGCGAGGTCTGCGAGCAAACGTTATCCGATCTTACTCGTCTGATCCGATCTCCGATCCGGATTTTTTCGGCGGCTGCACGAAAGAAAAACCTTGGAAAAAGCTTCTTTTCGCGCTTTGTTTCTTTCATGCCTTGATTCAAGAAAGACGGAAATTCGGGCCGCTGGGATGGAACATTGCTTATGAATTCAACGAGTCAGATCTGAGAATCTCCATGCGACAAATATCGATGTTCTTGGACGAGTACGACGAGATCCCCTTGCCGGCGCTGACCTATCTCACTGGCGAGTGCAATTATGGCGGCCGCGTTACAGATGACAAGGACAGACGCCTACTGGGCTCGATTCTCTCGCTTTTCTACAGAACAGAGACTATTGAAGACGACTTTTACAAGTTCTCGCCGAGCGGTCACTATTTTGCCCCGCCGAACGGAACTTATGAAAGCTATCTTGAATACATTAAATCGCTGCCTCTGGAGCCACTTCCCGAAGTCTTCGGCCTCCATGAAAACGCGGACATTTCCCGTCAGCAAGCAGAAACTCAACAACTCTTCGACAATGTTCTGATCACTCTTCCTCGAGCGACAGGGAGTGCGGGATTGACCCCACAAGAACAGGTGCAGCAGATTGCTGAGGACATTCTCCAGAAGCTTCCAAATGTCTTTGACAATGAAGCAATCTATAAAAAATTTCCAATTATCTACGAAGATAGCATGAACACAGTGCTCAAACAAGAGCTCATTCGATACAACAGTCTTATTCGAACAATAAGGCTGAGCTTACAGAACTTGTGCAAGGCGATCAAGGGATTGGTCGTAATGAACTCTGAGTTAGAAGATGTATTCGAGTCGATGCTGATCGCTAGAATACCTCCTGCCTGGGCGAAGCGCAGTTATCCTTCTCTTAAAAAACTGGGAGGCTACATCGCTGATTTGACAGCCCGACTGGACTTCCTTCAGACTTGGATCAACAACGGAGCCGCGCCAGACTGTTTCTGGATTTCTGGATTCTATTTTCCGCAGAGTTTCTTAACTGCTGTGAACCAAAATTACGCCCGAAAGTACCAAATCCCGATCGACTTGATTGGCTTTACCTTTGAAGTGGTCGAAGCAGAGGCCCCGGAAGACATTACAACCGCGCCAGATGATGGTGCCTTCATTTCTGGCCTCTATCTGGAAGGTTCAAGATGGGACCGCAGAGCTCAGAAACTCAATGAGTCAAAGCCAAAGGTAATTTTTTAAATCGTGCCGCGGATTTTCTGCATTTTGAGCCAAAAGTCCCTTATTTTGGTGTCTCCTATCTTGGACTCCGGCTAAATATTATTCAGGCTCTTTACGATCCGCTACCAGTTGTGTTGTTGAAGCCGACGGAAAAATCAAATATTTCTAGCAAGGGAATGTATGCATGTCCCGTTTACAAAACCAGTGCGAGAAAAGGAACTCTTTCGACAACAGGTAATCTTAAGATTTAGCGAATAGAGTATCAATTCTTCTTTTAAGGCCATTCAACGAATTTTGTGCTGTGGCTTCAACTACCGACTGAGCAGGAAAAGGCTTCAAAGTTTTTTTTTTTATATTTTCAAAAGGCTTATTTTATGAGCCTTTTCAAAGAGCGAGCAACACTGGATCAACCGAGGAGTCGCGGCACTTTGCGCACTTGACAATTGACCGTCAGAATCAAAAAGACTTGCATTTCGTATTTTTGTTTCATAAATAAATTATTTTTGTATTTCAACTGATCTTCTTAATTTTAATTTCTCTCACCGGAGGAAACGAGAAGCATAAAATCGATTGAATAAGGAGCGTTGGCCGGTCTTCGTTCGAAAGCTTCCGCAATAGGGAAAATCATAATAAGATTTTTCTGAAATCGGAATTTTCAGAAAAAAAAGAATGAGAGCATGTTTTTTATTTTTATTCTTTCCTCTCAGAGAAGCAAGAAACGTAGGTGATTATCTTCAGTACGAGCACTTTATTGCCCTGGCAGCCGATTTCTTCAATTACTGTACTGAGAAATCATGTGACGGATTCGCCACTTATTGCCACTCGCAGAGAGACAGGATCAACTCTAACGAGGGAATAACAAATGAGTTCTTATTGGAGCTATGCGAGCCTTGCGAACAAAAGTCGAATCGAACGATGTATCTGTGTGGAACTTCTTTCGCCGGCGAGAAAATACCGGTCCTGAGTTTCGCCACCACAGACAGCTCCTTTTTGCAAGTCGAAAGTTTTCTCAAAAGAACAGATCTCAATCAAAGCACTCTGAACTTGCTAAATCAATTCGGGCAAACTGCTCTTCTCAGCCTCGCTTGTTTTCAAGGACCCAAGACAGATCCTTACAAGCAGACTCTTCGCACAAATGATTATGTTTCTCTTCTCTCGAAAATGATCGATCTTGGCGCAGATGTCGAGGCAAAAGACAAATTTGGATTCGACATTTTGGACTGCGGACTTCTTTACCACAACATCGGAGTTATCTCGGCCGTGACAAACAATAGGATGGTAATTTTTCGCTCGGCCCAAATTTAGCAATTATAAGTATGCATTATTTTTTTTTTCTTTGTTGGAACATTCTTAACCCCTATACGGGAGGTGTACAATTTTTGTCGATTTCGGGATATAATCGCCAGCCAAATGGAACTGGTGAATCGGAATGACATGAAAACTCTAATGAGTTTTTGCACACGCCTTACACACCTTTCCGCAAAATTTCAGTCTGATAAGCAACGCGAGCACTGTACAAGTACCGTTTTTCTCACCTAAACCCGCGCGCTTCGAGGAAAGAAAAAATTGACTGCATCTTTTGGAAGTCTCTGAGGTCTCGTTTATAGTTTATTTATAGGTTTTCAAGTATGTAGAATTCAAAAATCGTACTTTTAGAGTGATATCATGAATATTTAACAAAAAAAATGGCAGAATAAATTTATGAAAAAAACAAATTCTAGCGCTAAATCTTTTGTTTTCGAAAAATCTAAAAGTGCAGTTTAAAAGAGAATATTCGTTTATGTATAACCTTGAATTTTCAGAAGATTATCTCAAGAGAAAGGCCAAATCGACAAAAATTGTACAGCTCCCGTAAGGGGGTTCTTTAGGCGCGCTCCCGTATAGGGGTTAAGGGTGCGGCCGACGTTCCAGCAGGCTTAGATTTTTAAAGAAAGATCAATTCTGTTCAAATAAAATCGGCGATTTTTCAATCGGCCCAAAGTTAAAAATTAAGGGGATGCACTACTTTTTTTTTCATCTTCTCAGTCGTTTTTGGTTGAATTTGCAAGTTTAAACAAGAATATATTTATTAAATCGTTTCGGGCTCTAGTGATGGGTTAAAAAAGTAAAAATTTTCTTCATAAATATTAAGCTTTACGACACATTCAAATCGCGCCAGCTCTTCGACTCGTTGATGGATTCGCTTGAGCGCCGAAAACGTTCCTTCGCCCCGATCGAGAACGAGTTCAAGCTCTCTTCTATGTTTCCGCAATTCGAAATGGACGTCAGCAAGCGACTCCACCTCAACTTCATGAATTACCTTCAGCCTGAAAATCTGCGGCCAGTGGTGGACTCGCTTCTGAGCATTGAACGGATGGAAGAGACCTTTTCGGGAGAAGGCAATTTTATCCGCGAGCGAGTCAATCGCTTCCAAAAGAGCATGGATACGTTTTTCAATTCTCCGGACAGCTGCTCGCAGGACAACTTCGAGTGCTACCAACTGATCGCCATGGCGAGCGTGCTCGACTCCGTCGTCAATTCCACGCTGCTTTTTGTCGATCATTACGGCTCGGAGTACAAGTTTTCGGAAAAGATCATGAGGAATTTCAACGACTCAATGATCGACATCATCAAATTGCTGCTGAGAATCGTCGAGAATCTCGAGTACGTAGAATACATAAATGACGTCCGGAGCGTCAAAGTGATGACAAGTGTTTTGCGCTTTTTGACGCCGCTGCTTGAGAAACAGTTTGTCAAGAATTGGTTTTTGTCGCAAGCTGGTTGGGTGGAACTGAATGATCTCTTCCACCACTTCTTCGAGGTGGAATTCATCAAGGACGAAAAACGAAGAAATAATACACTTCCAGCAGAGTTGATTTATGAAATGGTTTGATTCGAAATATTTTCCGTTTTTCATTTCTTTTTTTCGAAACCATTAAAAGGCGCCGATAGACGGAACTCGCATGAAAAACACTTCCGATCACAGTAAACTCTGCCGAATCTTGTTCGACTTTGCCGAAAAATGTCTAATGTACGACGTGGTGTCTCTCTTCGAAATCAATCGGAAGAAATTCGCGGAAACGGGCTGCGATAGAAACAAACTCATTCAAAAGTCGATTTGTCTCGATCGCGACAGCCTAAAAAGCCTCGTTGCAAAGCGCATTCCGGCCAAGAGTCAAATTGTGTCTGTCAGTTCTCAGCCGAAAGAAGCGAATCAAGATTTTTGCGGGGAAAGAACGCTACGGAGGAGAATTCAAAACGCGATGCAGCCTTGTCAAAAGCAAGACGAAAAACTGCTTCGCGAGAAACATCTTTACCTTCATCCGATCAAGCATTTGCTGAAAAACAAGTACATTCGGCTTTACGGAAATCTTGCTAGTTTCGCGCTTATTTATAACAAGGAAGATCTGTTGGTTCAGTTTTTGAGCTGCGACAGGGCCTGGATTTCGATGGATTCTTCGCAGCTCTGCATAACGAACGAGTCAACAAACAGTTGGTCTGGAGATGCGGAAACATGCACAGGTGTGTTCTACGAAATGAGTCCGCTTCAACTCTACGCCTCCCTCAAAATTCACAATTTTGAAAGCTACAGCTTCGAAAAACTCTTCGGCCAAACAGGAGAACAGACTCACAGCACCCTTGTTAGTCATGACCCTGTTTTTCGAAGAAATATTCTCATGTGGGTCCTTTTTTCAAATCCGATGGAATACTTTGTGGAGGATTCTTTCGGTGGCGGCTTTGGTAAGACATGATAAGAATATGTAAACGATAAAGTTAAACTTTAGTTTTAAATATTCATATTATATTTTTAAAAAATATATTAATAATATGAATAAGAAATTATTTTTCAAATTATCAGAATCAAAACTCATAATTCAATTTGACGAAAACCAAAAAGCAGCCATCTTTTCTAATAACAAATAAGGATGGACTGGCTATCAGACTTACATAAAAGACATCGAAAGTATGCTGACTCATCTAGCACGCAAAGTAAATTCGGACCCTTCTGTGTTGGAAATTCGCACGCAGCTAATTAATTCGCGCGACGTTAACAATTGCACGATTCTACATTACTTGATGATCACCAGTTCTTACGAACACATTATAAGGCATCCGATCTTTACGCATCACAGCAATTTGCAGCGAGGAATCAAGAATATTATGAAAAGTCAATTTAACGAGGATAAATGCACTTTCCCAGTTCTGGGTAAAAATCGTTACTTTCGATTTTGATTTTTTAAATTAGAATTTTGTTTAGTACTCAAAGTCTATTAGGGTCTGCTTATAATAACCCTTATTATTTGATAGCTTTTTATCCTCCCAAGATGTTCCAATTTTAGCTGCTCTTGGAGAAGTGCCACCATTAAAATTGCTATTGTGGAATCTGGAACACTTGGAAGATATCTCCGACACTCTGAAAATAATTGGCGAGTTTCCCACAGAACTTCAGCCAACCGCGATTGTCCAGCTCATCAGAAGGTACATTGACCCGAGCTGGCCGCATTACAAAACTCAAGAAATACTCAACTTTTTAAATGTGTATTTTGACTCGCTGATTGAAGATGTCGAGCTCGCCTTTCCAGAAAATCCGATTGGGCTTGTTTTGACGGAGTTTCTTCGCGGCCTCAATGCAGCTAATTGGTCTCTGCAAGAATTGGACAGACTCAATATTAGTGGGAAAAGAATCATAAAAATCCTGAAAGTCATTTTAAAAAGCCAACATCACTTGTTTATGTCAACTTTTGACTCTGATCAGTTCAACATTACGGAGCTTGTTCATTTGACGCAGGACTTGGCTTGGCAAACTTAATGCGGCTTCCTTTTTAAAATAGCCGCGCATTTTTCTTGAAATTTTCCGAACCCTGACCCAGGTTATCTTCAAAGGCTGCCGAGCCAAGCACAGGACTTTCCAGAAAAAACAGAGTTTCTGACAACGATTCAGTTTGAAGAGGAAAACTTGATGATAATGGACGCAGTCGATATTGTGATATTCTCCACTCTCTACGGACTAAAATTCCAATTGACGAGCCAAGCTCCGCCGCAATGGTCCCCCTGGGAACTGGAGATTATTTCGGATTTTTTGGAAAACGAAATTTTTATTCGACAAATTCTCAGTGGAAATTTGGCCAGTGAGAAAGGAGGCAATTCAGATTTTAGCCAACTGCTTAAATATCTTGACTCGGCTGAGTGCGTGAAATTGAAATTCTGCAAAAACAAAAGTATCGATGGACGGTGCCTTGATTGCGCGTTGAACTACGTCATCCGCAATCTCCTTTTTGCAACAAATGTTGTCGGAGTCGACGTCGTCCAAGGCGATGTCTTTCCAGACGTAAATGGAAACATCTCGCTGTACCTCCGAGTAATCAGCTCCATAGAAGAAAAATTCTTCGGGAAACATTTGAATTATTTCATAAATCTGCCGATCAGTACGTATGCGAATTTGTCGAGAATCTCGTTCTTCATGCATCCCGAGATTTCGATGAATTCCTTCGATGGAAGCGTCATCTGGCTTATTTTAAACTCGCCATCAATCATGCAGGTTTCGTTATCTTCGCGTGGCGGCTCGCCGTTCTCTATTTTTTCGCGAATGATGGTCAAGCATGGGCTGAAACTATCTTCCTTCCAAAACCTGAATTTCGGCAATACGCCTCACAGACTAACACCACTTGGATATCTCTTGCTTCAGGCCTTTGGCTCGGCAACCTGTAATGAAATAAATATTATATAATAATATTTAAATATTAAATAAATAAGGATTGTCGAATTCTTATTCACGTTTTTCCACAAATTAAACAGCCAATTTAAGGGCTATCCGGATCACTTTAAAGAGCTTGTCTCGCTAGGTGCAGATTTAAACCAGCCTTTTAGCACTTTTGAGAGAACTGTGACAATTCAAGCTCTCTTGGATATTTACAAGTTAGTTTTCTTTTGTTTGTGATTTTCGCATTCTTAGAATTCACGATAAATATGTGAACAAGTCGTTGGACACTGGCGCAGACCTGAAGAGTTTAGAAAACGTAATGAGCATTTTGGAAACCATTTTTACGAACGGAACTAACATTAATGGTTATTTTCATCGGTTTATTTATGCGTAAAAATTTCGTTTTAGTGAAAATTTGCGATGCTTACGGGAACTCTGCGAATCGAATTATTTACCAGAAAAAAGTAATCGACAATCAAGTAATTGCAAAGTGGCTCGAGAAAGAGCTCGGCAAAAACGCGTCTACTCGATATTCCGAAATCATCAAGGAAATCAACAGAAAGTCTGCTGGCTTCAAATGCAAGAAGTCTAAAAGTGTGATCATCGCTCTGATTGTCTGCTGCGTGATAATGTTGGTAGCAGCGCATTCTTTGTATATTTACAAAAGAAGAAAAAACAAGCAGCGAGAGCTGGACACGCAGCTTTGCCAGATCGAGCGAGCAACGACGCGGTACATTCAGGACTTGTGTCTCAATATGACGGTAGAAGGCATCGAGGACAAGTTCATGAAGACCGAGGATTTCGACGAGTCATCGCAAGAAGAGCTCGGCCAGGGCCACTTCGGCTACGTTTACTGCATCAACTCACGAATAAACGGCCAATGGCAAAAAAGTGGCTATAAAAACGATAAAAGTGGTGCACTACGGACTCAATTCGCAAAAAGAATTCCAGGAAAACTTAAAAGAGTTTATAACGGAAGGCGCTTTTCTTGAACTGGTCCAGCATCGAAATGTGATCAAGCTGCTTGGCTTTTGCGTTCACGGAATTTCCCTGTACATGGTCACCGAGTACTGCGACCATATGGATTTGCTGACATTCTTGGAAAAAATGATGAGCCCGAATTATTTGAATGCGGCGGACAAAGATAACTCGGAAATAGGAAAGGCAATTTTTCGAGAGATTTGTTAAGACTAAAATTAAATGTGTGCCTTAGGTTTGACTCTTAAAATGCCTTTTAAAAGTAAAAGAAAGCTTCCAAGTTTGTCTGAACAAAATAGTCACTCAAATTGCGGAAGGCTGTCGACATATAGCGGCGATGAATGTGGTCCACCGCGATATTGCTTGTCGCAACATATTCATTTCATCAATTGAGAATTCCGAGACGCAGAAGTTTTTCATCGCCAAGATCGGCGATTTCGGTATGGCGAGAAAAGTGGATGGGACGAGATTCTTGATTTCGGAAGCGTCCGAACAGCTGCCGTGGAGACAGTGCGCACCGGAAGTGCTATCTCTTCCTTCCAAGTTCTCCGAGTTCTCGGATGTTTGGAGTTTCGGAATTCTCCTGTGGGAGGCATACTCTTGGGGAGAACAAGTCTTCAAAGAGAAAACCCTTGCTGAGATGATCGAGTACTACACCAGAGACTTCCGCTTTTGCCAAGAAGAGCATGGACTCAAGAAGCCTGACTTTATGCCCGAAGAAGTCGAAAAAGTGATGGATGACTGTCTGAGAATCAATTTTGCGCTCAGTAGAGGTTTTAAATCTTTGAAAATAGTAATCTCGCAAATGATACTGAAAATATTCTTGTGTAAGGACAGCATTAGTTAAGATCTTCATCGCAAAGAAGGGTCGAAAATGGCTTCAGTTAGATTTAAAAAAAATTGATTTGCAGAAAATTGAGGGGGGAGGGTCCTTAAATAACCTAAAAAAGGGATTTGTTTTCATTAATTTAAAACCGAGTAAAGATGCTCTTTCGACGAGGCGCTCAGAATGTTGAAGAAAGTGTCGATTGGCTCCGACAGTCCGCTTTTCTCAGTGGCAAGTCCGTTACCGCTGTCTTTCGCCGATTCTTCCTCTCGCGATGACTTAAATTTCTTCTCCAAGAATCGTTACAACTATCAACCGTAGGAAGAGGGACTTCCTTTAGACCAACATTTCTTTTCAGGCTCTCGCCGCTCAACAGCACTTCCCAGGACGGCGGAGTCTCGTCTCCCGACACGCTCTACACCAGCCTGGTGACTCCAACTTCTTCAAGGACGCCTCTTGCGACCGTGCCTGAGCAGGCTTACGTGAACACTCAGCGCTTCCCGCAGAAGAGGATTCGTCAATCAAGCACGTCCAGCTCTAAGAACCGAAATTATTTTCCATTAGTTTCGGTAAAAATCGAGCTCTCCCTTTTTGTACTGTTTTTAAGCCGCGAAATTTCAGAAGAGCAAGAAAACGGGAATCCCTTGATTCGAGATCCATCAAAGACTGATTTTCAAACTGTAAAAAGTAAAAAATGATTTGTATAAACTGTGCACTGTTTTACTGTATGAAATCGGACAATCAAAATTTGGTCTTTATGGCCAAGAAGTAAAGCTGCTTGTAAACTTTAACTCAGTTTGACAATATTGAATGTTGCGTGATTGATAATTGACATCGTGTTGATAAATGTAGGAGTTTATTGCAGTTTGCTGAACGTTTTCGGTCGTGAGACCATCATCAGAGCTTGTTCCTTGATAAACTTGAAAATTCTTAAAGGAAAGCGTACCTTCTTTTGTAAGACTGCAGAACTGATTTAAAAACCCAAAATAACTTTGTCCCAGACTAAGGTTCTAGAAAATGTGGTGATAACTTTTTAAGGTAATCGATATTTTCGATTCAATGAAGAATATGAGCAAAATAATTTTAGATCTAGATTTGACTATCTCAGTAAAATGTTTTCAGTTTTACACCGAAATCTAGCATACAAAAAGAGAGTACAAATGGAAGCATTAGAAATTCGTCTTCATAATCCTCCGTTGAACAAGCAAATTCAACATCAACAAGTTTATATAATCTAACTCCAAATTCACAGTCCTTAACCTTACGCCGCCAAACTAAAATTTCACCCCCCGCCGCCAAATGTGCCATATATGGCACATTATCTTTTCCGTCGTCCTAGGCCCCATATAATGGCCGAACCCGAACCTTAACCATGATCCGAACTCGAACCAGAACCCGAGCTCAAAAATGAACCCAAACCCAAGCCCAGACTATTGCCCGAAAATGAATAAAAGTGGAAGAAACCGAAATGATGACGGAGAGAAAAATGGGTGTTGGAAAGACGTTGTGCCATATATGGCACATTTGGCGGCGTAGGGTTAAAGGACTGCTTAACAATAGAATTAAGTATATTAAATTGTTTTACCGATCAGAGGCATTTTCGAACCATGTAAGGAGCCTCTGATAAAAATATCGATTACCTTAAAAAGTTATCACCACATTTTCTAGAACCTTAGTCTGGGACAAAGTTATTTTGGGTTTTTAAATCAGTTCTGCAGTCTTACAAAAGAAGGTACGCTTTCCTTTAAGAATTTTCAAGTTTATCAAGGAACAAGCTCTGATGATGGTCTCACGACCGAAAACGTTCAGCAAACTGCAATAAACTCCTACATTTATCAACACGATGTCAATTATCAATCACGCAATTTATGGAACACGACGTCAACTTTTGAAAAACTTGGAAAACCATGCAAGTCGATTGCACCGGGCCAGGAAAGCACATGAATTCGTAAGCGACTGTGCGGAAAATGATTTAAAGCCTACTTTTACTAAAGTTCCAGCAACTGTTGTAAAATTGGGGAAAATCTAGGATTAATAGGGAGAGACATAAAATACTTTTAAGAGAATTAGAAAAATGTTCAAAAAAAGTTGAAGAGAAGCGGATAATCTTTAATGAAAATCTTTCAAGATTTTTTGAAAATCAGGCTATTACGTGTGAAAGAGAGAAAATGAAAATAATTATTGATCTAGAAAATCGCGCAAGAATGCGAGATGAAGAAAGAGATTTTAAACGGAATTTAAAATTAGAAAAATTAAAGAAATTTACTTCATCTAAAAGACCACTTAAATTTGAAATCAAAAATTTTTCGAATAAAAATATACCTCAAAACATTATTTCGATTCTAGAAAGAGGCTGGCGTGCACCAACAGGTGGGCGTCCTCATTGTCTTAATTTACTGAGTGAATTTGATTCTTTAATACAACATTTAGAGAAAAATGACGATTTTAAAGCTCTCACACCATTAACTCGATTTCATTTGAAGTCGAAAATTTCTGTTTTTCATGAAAAACTTTCTTGCTGTTTCGGACAAGATAGTTCAAATAAGGAAATCAAAAATTTCCTTAAAAACAATCAGGACATAGTTTTCATACTTGGAGATAAGGATTCGGTTATTGTGGTTCTCGACCGCAAACAAAATGAGAAATCACTTTTAAATGAATTTTCTGATAAAAAGAAATTTATTCTTGTAGAAAATGACCCGACGGAAGAGGATTCAGCGGAAATGAGAAAAAATTTACGTTCTTTAGAAAAATTCACAGACAAAAATTTTTACAATAGAAATAAACCAATAATGAACATAAAAACATCGAATGGCTTAGCGAAAGTTCATAAATCGACATTTGACGAAGAAAAAACATGCGACCTATCATAAGTGCTCGTAATTCAATCACAGAAAATTTCCATCGTAATTTTTTATCAAAATTATTAAGAAATATAAAAACAAAATTTTCTTTCCGAAGCTCTAAAGAATTTTCGAGTTGGATCCAATCACAAAAATTTGATTTTAATGAAATTGATTACTGTTCATTTGATGTCTCAAAGCTTTATCCTAACGTTTGTACAGACGATTTAATTGAATTTTTGATAAAATATATTTATATTGAGTATTCACCATTAAAAATTTTACCTAGATATAGAGATTCTAATGATAAGCTTTTAAGACCAATTCCAAAAACAATTTTGAAGCCAGTTCTTAAATCAGTCTTACAAAGATTGACATCCTTTAGATGTTTTGACAAAACATATAAGCAAGTTTGTGGTTTAGCTATGGGAGACTCAAGTTCACCAATTTTGGCTGATTTCTTTCTATTTATTTTTGAGCGTGAAAAAATCCAAAAACTAATTGATCAAAAAATTATTTTGGGATATAGGCGATTTCAAGACGATACAATTGTTTTTTTCAAACGTAATTCATTTGATCAGGTCAATCATATTTTCCAAAATCTCCATCCTCAAATTAAAGTTACTGTTGAAAAATCATGCCCGCAGGGTATAAAGTTTTTAGACTTTAATGTGTATGTCAATGACAAAAACATGATTGCAATACGAAACAATAGAAAACACACTATCCCAATGAATTTTGAAATTGATGTTGCTCCGACATCCATGAAAAAAGGGGTCTTGATTTCTGAACTGAAAAGATCACTTTTCAAACACTCGGATCCAAAAACTCAGGAGGAAGAGCGAAAAGAAATTGAGGAGAAATATCATGCCCAAGGTTACCCTTTAGAAATTATCCGTGATGCAACTAGAGTGATTAAAGAAGGTAAAATTGAGAAGAAAGATTGGAAACTCGAAAAAAGCGAGTTTTCTGAAAGAAATTTTTCTATGTGCATTCCATTCACTTCTCAACGAGTCAGTAAAATTACCAGTGAAATGATAAAAACGATTTCAACCTTTCTCCCTTCCTACAATCTGCACACGGCATTGAGGACAGTATCTATTCGTAATTTAATTGTTGCCAATCTGTTACCTAAGATTGATAATAATATGGCTGTAAATGCTGTTTACCGATTTGAATGTCACTGCGGCGCAGTTTACATCGGTGAGAGTGAATGCCTAAAATCTAGAATTATTGACCATCAACAAAAATCGAAACAAACAGCAGTTTTCTCTCATACTGAAAATTATGAAATTTTTCAAGCTCGATTCAATGGAGAATATGAGCAAAATAATTTTAGATCTAGATTTGACTATCTCAGTAAAATGTTTTCAGTTTTACACCGAAATCTAGCATACAAAAAGAGAGTACAAATGGAAGCATTAGAAATTCGTCTTCATAATCCTCCGTTGAACAAGCAAATTCAACATCAACAAGTTTATATAATCTAACTCCAAATTCACAGTCCTTAAAGGACTGCTTAACAATAGAATTAAGTATATTAAATTGTTTTACCGATCAGAGGCATTTTCGAACCATGTAAGGAGCCTCTGATAAAAATATCGATTACCTTAAAAGTTATCACCACATTTTCTAGAACCTTAGTCTGGGACAAAGTTATTTTGGGTTTTTAAATCAGTTCTGCAGTCTTACAAAAGAAGGTACGCTTTCCTTTAAGAATTTTCAAGTTTATCAAGGAACAAGCTCTGATGATGGTCTCACGACCGAAAACGTTCAGCAAACTGCAATAAACTCCTACAATATTGAATGTTATTTACTTGCTTAACAAAAAATGAAGAAAGGAATAACTTTTCAGCCAACGCCCCTACAAAATTCCCTGCACAACACCCAAGGGCGCCAGAGAGTCGGCTGCCTCGCGCTTCTCAGCTTCGCTCGGGCTTGGCGCATCTTTTGAATTTAGCTCAAATCATGTAACCCTGTAACACCTTCCAACTAAAAACATTTTTGACAAGAATATTCAATTATCATTATTTACTTCCTCGTTGACGAGCAAATTCCATCTTCATGCATGTCCAGCAACAACAATCGCCACAGGCATGCGAATATTTTGCGCGTTTCCATCATCGTAGTATCTGAATAATTTCTTGATTTGATAAATGTTGGCATAAATCTTACTCAAAGCAGATTTGACACATCATGAAAGCCTCTAGTCGTTCTTTTTTAAGAGTCTTTGGGTTGACAGACTTTCCTGTAGATGAGCTTTTTTCCTTCTCAAGTTCCGTCCATTCTTCATCTTCCAAGTGGGCTTCCTCCAGATCTTCAGCTAAAGAGGGCATTTTATTGGAAATCTCCTCGTTGTTTGATTGTTCTTTATTGCCTTATGTCACCAAGTCTGCTGCATCGGCGTTGTCAAGTTCGATCTAAAAGTTATTCAAAAAGTTTTTCAAAAAGATAACTGTACTTCAGTATCTCGAGATGAGTAACATTCGCCTTAACTGCTTGACTATCTATCCTGAACATCGCGTTGTTGAGCTTATGTTGTCTTCATAGCTGTCGATTTCGAGTCCTTTGAAATTACTCGCATTTTTTTCCGGTTAACCCGCAGTTTTTTTATTTGCAGCGTTTGGCCGTCTTTTAAGCGTCATTTCGGTTGATTTTGAGCCTCTCAAAACCAGCTTTCTCAAATCGCCCAAGAACGAGGTCAAAATTTTGAAACTTCGTATTTTGCCCTTACTTTATTTTCAGCGTTTTCGCCGTCTTCTGAGCGTCATTTTGGTTGATTTTGAGCCTCTCAATACCAACAGAAAAAAATAAAAAAAAATTGTTTTTTGATGGTCTACGCTATCTCATATCGCCCAAGAACGAGGTTAAAATTTTGAAACTTCGTATTTTGCCCTTATTTTATTTGCATCGTTTTCGCCGTCTTCTAAGCGTCATTTAAGTTGATTTTGAGCCTCTCGAAACCAACAGAAAAAATAATTCAAAAAAAAAATTTTTTTTCGATGGTTTTCGCTATCTCAAATCGCCCAAAAACGAGGTCAAAATTTTGAAACTCCGTATTTTGCCCTTATTTTATTCGTAGCAGTTCCGTCGTCTTCTGAGCGTCATTTTGGTTGATTTTGTGCCTCTCAAAAACAACAGATAAAAAATTCAAAAAAAAAAAATTTTTTTTTTGATGGTCTTTGCTATTGATAACGATAAGAAAAGAACACAAAAAATAAAATTGAATCGAAAAACTCACGGTCCATTTGCGCCAATTTGGTTGATTATTTGCATGGAAATCACATATATTTAATAGCGATATTGAGCCTTATCGCATAACAAAAAAGAAAAAAAAGAAAAATCTTAGAAGGTCAATCTGAGTCAGATTTGACTGTAGTTCTTGTTACGTACGCGTAATTTCATTCTCCGAAGGCACATTAGCCACCGCCCTTTGGGCGTTTTTCTCTCACACTTTTAGGTCGCATGAAAATCACAAATCATCCCTTTATTTACTATTTCTGATATTTTCCTCCTTGATTTAAATAGCTTAACAGGTTATTACGATTTGCTGCTGCTTGATGGATTCAACCCCTAGCCGAGTTCCTCTTTGAGGCTTGACACTGTGACCCC